CAACTGTTAAGGTGTATAAAAATGATTTATTTATACATTTTAATTCATTAATTTATTTGTTTATTAAAAAATATATAGATGGTACCACGATACAAAACAAAGGAAGCATTATTAATGGTGACTCAATTCATTTCAAATTCATTGGGTATGGATTCACACAATTAATTCAATGAATAAATCAAATATATTCTTTAACCTCGATCACTACACATAGAGATATGGATAAAAAAAAGTGAATAATAAATAATCATATTTAAAAATAATAATATCGGATTTTGGCTGTTAGGGTTTCTTTGAACTCTTCCCAGATTACTCATCATCTTCTCTTTTTGTTGTATTTGATTAATCTATTTAATAAATTATAATTAATTATTTATTAATTTTTTTTTTAGAATCATATTATCGATATCGTTTACAATCGTTTGGATGTCATCAGTGTTGCATATGAACGATCAGGCTTCATTCAAATCCAACAAAAGGGTCGTACATTGATCCCAGAAAGGAAGGAATGTCTCATACCTTTTTCCTTCCTTTCTGGAATCAAAGTACAACCCCTTTGTCAGCTACACATCTATTAACTTTTATAATGCCAACTTATCAACTATGAAACAAAAGCTAACAATCCTACTTGAATCTTTTTTTTAAAAATAAAATATTAAAAAAGAAAAAATTAATGTTGAAGAGTCTGAGTGAAATGATTGAGATTTATATACATACTTTATAAATATGATATTTATAAAAAGGAATGAATACAATGGATAATAATACACAAACAAATGAATACTATATATATAAATAGAGTGACTGGTTGGAGAATAAAAAAAAAAGTAATAATAGTGTAGTCGATAGCTATAATATCTACAATCAATCTATGTAGAATCAATAATAATAATAGATAATACTTTGTTCTGCTCTTAATCTTAACAACAAACACTAATGATTGTTCAAGGAAGTTTAAAGTGATGTTTTAATTATGCATTGATTTTTGAAACAAATGAAATATATATAGAAAAGGAGTTGAGTGACTGGTTGATGTTGACAAAGATGTTATAAGTGTGAATACTATAGCCATCGACTACTTATTACGATCGTAATAATCGTGTAGTCGATAGCTATATGTTGAATACTATAATAAATTAGATAAAAAAAAATGATTGTTGGTAGATAATAGTGAGTCTAGAATGATGTTCATCAACCATGAAAAAAAAAGCAAACAAATAAAAAAAAAAAAATATTTAAATTAAAAGCCAAACCCATAGCTATGTCTTCTTCTGATCGCTTTCGTGCACTTGCCATATTTGTAATGAATGATCTAAAGATGATGATAAATAATAATAATTATAATTACATACAACAAAATATAATAATATGTATTACAGTAGTTTATCTATTATACTTATTAATAGTATAATAGATCTTCCCGTTCAAAATAATAATAAGCCGTTCCTATTCATTTGATTGAATCAAACCAATCAAAATTTGGACAGCTTAATGGGGGCCTGTCGTATTATGCTAGAGGAATTGGCAGAAAATGGATACTTTACAGTCATGAAGGACGTCAAGAAAAGTGGACAAGACAAATTCTATATTGTCGAGAATAAATATAGTTGGTCGAAACTTGGTCATGTGTTGTACATTGAGAGTCCAGCTGGTGTTGGATTCTCCTACAATGAGGATTTGAAACTTTACTATACAACTGGTGACACTCAAACGGCTGAAGATAATTTGGCTGTTGTCAAGGGTTACTTTAAATTATTCCCAGATTATGCTTCAACTGGTTCTCCTCTTTTTGTTGGTGGTGGTATGTATCATTATTATTATTATGATATTAGATGATGTACATTCTCTAGATTAATTCAATTATTTATATTTATTTTAATTATCTAACTTAATAATTATTTATTAATTTTTTTTTAGAATATTATATTCCACAATTGGCATTATTATTGGTACAACAAAACAAAATTAAATAGTATGGCTGGTAATCCATCATTTAATTACACAACCGATGCACAATACTATTTACCATTTATGGCCGGACATGGATTATTGTCATTTTGTGATTTCCAAAACTTGACAGATATTTGTCAAGGTTCATTCTACCCAGGTACAGCTGAATGCCATGATGCCTTCAACACTCTCTCAACCAACTTTGATCTAATTTACCCATACAATATTTTGCAAGCGTGCAAGGGTGGAGGTCCAAGCAAAGTAGGAGGCTGCTTTACCACATCTGCCTTTTTATCAGAGCAGAGTCTCACCCAGAAACAATCGCCAAGCAAAAATATATATGGTACCACAACACAAACCAAAGGAATGAATAACAACTGGAATTATTATTGGTAACTCAGTTCATTTCAAATTCATTGGGCATGGATTGGATTCACACAATTAATTAAATGAATAAATCTAATATTCTTTCACCTCGATCACTACAGATAGATATGGATATATAGAGTGAATAAATACTAGTAGTAATTCTTTCTATATACAAATAAATTTAAAAAAACCAAAAGAAGAATTACTTTGATAAAGATTACAATATTGTATTTTATTGGTAGCATTGGTTTCTTTGTTGGTATCCAAAAAGTGGTGTTCCCATCACATCATAATCATAAATTGTACGATGAGACAATTATGATGATTATTTAAAAGATGTCGAATCAAAAGATTATTATAATAATCTTCTTACTCGACATCTTCTTAGAATGGGGACCTTTTCTTTGGAAGAGTGATTTTTTGTGAATACAATGGATAATACACAAACAAATGAATACGATATCTATATAATATAAATAGAGTGACTGGTTGGAGAATAAAAAAAAAAGATATAGTATAGCTATCGACTACATACTATAGTAATAATAGTGTAGTCGATAGCTATAATATCTACAATCAATCTATGTAGAATCAATAATAATAGATAATACTTTGTTCTGCTCTTAATCTTAACAACAAACACTAATGATTGTTCAAGGAAGCTTACAGTGATGTTCGCAAAAAAAAAAGAATACTCGAAAAATTCTATAATCAATTGATTATAATTTTAATTATGCATTGATTTTTTTTTTTTAAATTTAATTTCTTCATGGTATTAATAATAGCTCATTGAATTTGAAATGAACTATTTATTCAAATTAATTCTATTATTATTCATCAATAATAATACGAGTAATACACATAACACATGTTTTATTTATTATTGATTGATTTAATTATTAATTATTTGTAGTGAAAAATTTGAAAAGGGATTCATCATCTTGTTCAAGACCACTAATATTTTTCAATGCATTTAATATATCAGGAATTGGTATTAATATTGCTGATCCTTCTTGTTGTTCTTGTTTTTTGAAAATTAATTCTCTGATTGTTTCAATATGAATTTGATATTTATGATGGTTTGTTTGTGATGCCTGATAAATTTGCTTGACAATTTTCCAAATGATAATATAATCGCTAAAAGTTCGTTAGCCTCGATCCATTCACTGTGAATTTCATCTTTGAGAATACGATCTAATGAAATTTGTTGAGATGTCCATGATATTTTTTGAAATAATAATGGGATGATTTGTTGATAATAGTCTACTACTGCTTTGACTCTGTCTTGTTCATAGTCACACAATATCTGCCATTTATAAACAAGAGTTGGAATTGAATATGGTAAGGCTGGTAGTTCTATCAAGAATTGATCCAATGATGTTCGTGTCGTTTCGAGTAGTAAAGATGTTTGATCATGGTTGTTGCATTGGGGAAGGATTATCTCTACCAGTACAGAGTGATAGTCCAATGAATCCATCTGAGTTTTTTCATAAAAGTCATATATACCACAAACTGAATCAGATCCATAATCATCAAAATCATCATATAAATGCCATCGTCGAAGGGATTGATTGTCCCAACGAATAAATATATCTATTACATTTTGAATTTGATTGGTTGTCCAAACACCTTGCATAATATCAATCATCCTTTTCATTTGATTCATACCATATTTGAAATGTTTTCCTCCTCTTTCTGCTGACTCTGTCACAGACAGAAATACGGGACTTGACAATAATGATTTTGTGAACCGGTCAAAAAGGTATTGGGCCTTTTGACTCAATCCTTCTTTGGCCACTGCCATTTCTAAAATGTCATACATAATGTCGACAAGGGCCAACTCGCAAATAGAGTCGACCAAGTGTAGGAAATAGGGATACAAACTCTTAACCATCCCGATGAGGAAAAAAAGGATGCCATTCATTTCTGTTATAGATTGATAATAATTTGCGTTGGATTTTCTTTTCAATTCACTGATGACTTGTTTCATGATACTTGGGAGATAGATCGAAAGTGCCGAATAATCAAAATGAGGGTAGTGGACACAAAATTCCATCAAGTATCCAAATATTTGGCCACCAGTCCCAAAGAGGAGTATTACCAATTGATAGAAATATTTCCAAAAATACTTGATCCCAATATTTTTTCCTATTTCCATAAACCGATAGATTGCTCGTGTGACTTCATTGTGATCTAGTTTGTCCAATTTGCTCAAAATCATTGGGAATATTCTAGATGATACCTACAATATTTTAAAAAAAATTAGAGATTCCAAATTGTAGAAATATAGAGTAATATTCTAATACATACATATTTATATTGATTAGGATCTATTGAATGGATAAAGCGAGGGTCGAAAGATAGAATATTTGGCTCTAATCGATCCATTAAAAATTGTATCACTCGGTCATTTGAAAATATTGCTTGTGGCCAACAGTAGAGGATTGACTGACTTAAAATAGAGGTTTCTCCACTTGGTAATTCATCCTTTGGTTGGGTGATTACGATTGCCCGTATTTGATGATTTACACAACCTTGGGAGAGAACCTTCACTATCGTGTGGTAAAAAATATTTGGTCGGTGGTCAATCAAAGCCACTTGGTCCATGTCTAGAGATTCCAAGACTCTGATGATAATCTCACTGATTATTTCATCTTTGGAGTGTTTATCAAGTGTATTATTAATCATTTTTAGATATTCTAAATAATGACCTATATATCAATTAATCAACAAAAAGTATTGAAAGTTTAGTAGTGTGGTGAAATATAAATTGATTGAAATAGAATAAATACCAGCAGAAAATTTAATAACACTATTGTTTACTTTAACTAAACTTTTTAATATTGATATTAATTGATTCAAAATTTGTGTTTGTTGCAATGTATCATTATTATTATTAAGTGATGATGATAATGATGATGACGAAGATATTAATAGGTTGAATATATTCTCAATTATATTATGTTGATATTTCCAGCATCTTGTCACATCATCATGATCATTCTTTAATAATTTATAGAGTAGATAGATTGATTGATTTCTAATCTGTTAAATGGTTAGTTGAGATAAATAATTAGGGTTCATGAGGATTTATACTTGAAAGCTATGATATTGTATGTATACATACAGGAGTCAATTCACATTTAACAACAAGATAAATTAACCATGATAATATTGTTTCCTCTTCATCTACCAAAATTTGTTTGTACCTGTTATCACCATCCTTTTTCTTTTTCTTGTTTTCATCACCTTCTTCTTCTTCTAGGTTGATGTTGTACTTCTTTTTCTCTCTCTCTATTGCCAACTTGACAATCAAATCTATAAACTCTAATGATGGTTGATCTTTATCTGTTCGCATTATTTGTTTCTACCTATCTATTCGATTGAAGACAAAATATATCATTGTGAGATTGACCAAGCCAGCTGATTTCTTGGAACTAAAATTATTTTTTTAAATGTGAAAAACAACTGCGTTGGGTTTTTCGCAAAACTCAAGACCTCACGCAGAGTGTTTTGATTTTTAACAAATAATATGTAATTAAAACATATTTAATTAAATCTGTTGAGTACCAATACTATTATCTTAATATTTATTATTATTATTATTTATTATAATTATTATTATTATTAAATTTAGTTCATCTTGTTTGATCATGTCTTTCAATACCTTTAATTGTTAATGAATTAACAATCACATCTATAAACTCTAATGATGGATGTTGTTTATCTCTATCTCTGTTCATTTATTTGTTTCCGAGTATACTGTAAGCATACTTCTTTGCATTTTGCTGTTCATCACATTGATTAGGGATTCGCTCTTTAGAATAAATACTTTGTTCACACAATGAAATTTTGGTCTTGATCATACTTATACTTTTTATTTTCTTTCATTTTCTCTCTTCTATTTCCGAAAACAGATATTTTCAACCGGTTATTATTATCTGTCGTTGCGATTAGTAGATATTTCACCCATTAACAATAAACACATCATATCAAGCCAAAACAACAACCATCAAGATGTCTCCTTGTTGATATTTCTCCCTAGGTTTGCCTTCGGGAAAAAGAGAAAGAAGAAGATGTTGTTATCTTTTATCTTTTATCTTTAATATATATACATATACATACATAAATTAAATAATAACTACTACAATGAGCATGAATAATTGTACTAATAGTATGCTATTAGTATTATTAGTACTGCTTTTAGTTGTAGTTAACAATAGCAGTAATAATAGAGTAGAAGCACAATTGCAACCCACAGCATCATACAACAAACAAAATTATGTGTCAATGTTGATGTACCCATTCTCAGAGTGTAGTTCAGTGCAAGGTGAAACACCTGAAAAGGTTGTATCATTCTTGCCTGGAGAATGCTACGTCTATGGTACAAAAAGTGCAATGATGGTATTTGAAGCAACCGTGTCTAAATACTTTTACATTGTCTATACAACTACAAGTTGTACCAATCTAGAATCCAACAGTACAGTCTCTTTTACAGGATGTAATTACAATGCAGTTGTTAAAAAGTATTTAGAGTTTAAACTTGGTCCTCCTCAAATACCTCCAACTAACACTGACTATCTCTATTATGAGAAATTCCCTATTTCAACGTATGTCAAATTCAAATGTATCATAGTATATATAATCTAATCAAATTGCTAATCACTATCTATTCTTTTCTTTTCTTTTTTTTTCTTTTTTAGATTAACATGTTCTGTAACAAGTACTATAACATCAACATTTGCAAGAGTTGTAGTTGAAAAGAATACATGTTTGTCAAATGATGTTGGAGGATCATTCAAGCCATTAAGTGGAGACTCTAATTCAATCCAGATAAATAATCAAGTAGATGTGTCTTGTGCAAATCTGTCACCTACCTCTACATACTCTCCAAACTGTCCGACTGTTGTAGACGGCTATCGCGTTGCCAATGCTTTTGCTACCCTAGGTCCTATACTGTCACCATCCATAATAGTCACAGTGATTCATTATGGCACCATTCAAATATCGAGTGTCTATTATGCTTCAGTGCAATTTGCATCGGTTGACACTTGGTTCACTATTTGTACAATCGAGTTGTGTCAACCACTCAACACCCAAATATACAAAACAACGGGCGTTGCCATGATCATCAATCAAATACCATACACTGGAAACTTGACTATCTATGCCAACCCTTTTGGAGCAGACTATATATTAAATGCAACAATGGTTTCATTAAAATCAAATTCATTTATACTTCCATCAAGTACGTACAAAGCTAAACTAAAAAGAATAGAGATAGAAATAGAATATATATTAATTTCATTTATTTATTGATTGATTATTTTTTTAGCACCAATAATTGATAGTATTATTTTAAATTCTAAAACGACTAGTTCATTAAATATTAGTTATGTTGTATCGGGTGGATATGATCCACCAAATGCCAATACTTATGTTGTGTTTGGATCTTTGGGACCTGGAAGATACAATTATCCCGAGTGTCAGTATACCACTACTTGTATCATGAATGACTTGCCAGTGGGAGCTATAATCTCTGTGTCTGTTGGAGTTACCAACCGTGGTCAAAGTTCAACAAATATACAACCATTTACATTGCTACCTCCAATTGACATAGCAAGCTTTAAAACCACACCACTTTACAACTCTATCAATGTGTCTTGGGTAATCGATCCACCTGGTTACGGTGTAACCGCCGTCCTTGTCAATGTATCACAAACAACCTCTAGTAATTTCACTTTCCATTCCTTCACTGACAAAAACATCACTTGGTTTGAATTTCCAGTTGGTCAAAATCCCGACAATTATACTTTTCATTTAACAGCTATAAATGATGGTACAACTAAATCTACCTCTTCTACATTTCAATGGCTTGGTTGTATGTATACTTATTTAATTAATTTAATATTAATTTATTAATTTAACTTTCTTTTTTATTTTATTTTTATTTTTATAAGCATTATTTGTAAGTAATACAAAAATAATGTCTTCTCTTACAAAGAGTGTTGTTTTTACATTTACATTGTCTGGAGATAATGGTCCTGTGCTTTTAAATTTTACGCTAAATCATGAAATTCTTCATACAGGGGTTCCTTATACCGAAGGGTCTGGATATACAATTGGCGTGCCATCTGGAACAACATCGACCGTTGGTTTTATTGCTTACGATAACGTTGGTCGTGTGTCCAACACTGTATATCTCAACGTGACAACCTATCCAGTCATCTCGAATATCTCAATGCAGGTTCTTCAAGCATACGACCTCTTGACTGTCAATGATCCAAATGATTGGTATCTTTTAGTGACAACACTGTCGAGTGGAGGTGTACCAGGTGATTCTACATATGCATACTCGACTCCTATCGTATCACAATCGACCAGCAAACAGGGCAACTCAATCACCTATTACATGCCAACCTTTATCACCACTATCCCTCAACCAATGACCATTACACTTGAAAATGATCAAACAACATTATCTCTTAATACTGAAATTACCCTTTATTATTGTAAGTAAATAGACAAAAAAATAATAATAATAATTAATTAAGAATTCTTTTTTTTTTTAATTTAGTTCCAACGATAAATTCAACCAATTCAACAAGTGATTATGAATCAATTTATTTGACATGGATTAGTGATGGTGGAATGCCAGGTAATATTACATATCAAGTATCAGTCTCTAATCCAAAATCATCTATTCAAGTACCGTTGGTTTGGTGTTTAGGTTCAAACATTAGTTCATGTCTCATCACTGGATTGACTTCAAATACTGAATATTCTGTGGATATTAAAATGTCATCTGTTCAATTCTTACCAATCAACAAAACTATTTTAGTTTCAACTTTACAATGTATGTAGAAAATTAAAAAAACAAATCTCAATTTAATTTATTAATATTAATTATTTATTTATTTATTTATTTTTAGATCCAAATAATTATACATGTATTGATCGTCAAGGAATGAGTAATAAAATTGAATGTAATGGATTTGGTGAATGTTTGAATGGAACATGTTTATGTGTGAATGGTAGAGTTGGACTTTATTGTGGTACTGTAAAACCTGGTGGTGGAAATGGTGATGGTGGAGGAGGAGGAAGTCATATTGATCCATCACCAAACAACCCAAAAGTCATAATCAACAATGCAGATATATTTTATCAATTTGTCGTTTCACAAAATCAGAGAATTAGATATTGACGACACTATTATCAAATCTGTAGATTTAACAACTCTCAACTGGACAATGACAAATCAAACCAATCAACCAACCAACATATCACCTTTGATTTTACTTAATAATTGGATTTATTCAACATATAGTCGTTCAAAAGATTCAACCTATAGAGCAATTAAAATTACATTTTTACAATATGTACAACAACAAGAAGAGGAGGAAGCAACTATAAAAGACATTCCAGTTACATTTGCAGGTCAATTATTTTATGTTGCAGTTGGATCGATTAAATATACAATTGATATTGAAGGTTGGAATTTCAATAGTCAATTAAATACTCTTGAATTGGTTACAAATATCACTCAACCATACAACGATAAATGTGGAAAAGAAGATCCCATCAACGATATGGTATCAACCAACTCTACAGAATTCACTTCATTTTTAATTGGAAATGATCAATTGGTTTTAGGCAAATTAATCAATCGTGCATTATTGGATGATATTCCTCGAAAGGTATCAAATCGAATAGTATCAGTTGTGTTATCAGATTCAGACTCATCTTCATCCTCCTCTTCTGAATCTCAACAACAAATGTTATATAGTATTATTACATCTATACCATACTTTAATCTTAATGCTGTATTTGATCCAGATCTTCAATTGTTGATCAATGTCGATGCTATTGACCAATGTTTGTCATCACCATCAAACTCATGGAAGATTGTTGTTGGTGTAGTAGTTGGTTTTGCTGCTGTGGTTGCAGTCTCTGTAGCCACTATTATTTATAAAATCAAAATGAATACTCGAAAGCAGTACAATGTCCGTTTACAAGAAAGATTTCAAGAAATAAATAATAATAATTAAAAGGGTAGAGGTGAAAAAAAAATACCCATCAAAATTAATTATAATTAGTACCACCAAACCAAAGCCAAATTCAAATTGTGTCGTTTGTTTACATGATCAAGATGGATGTCCCCGACGATCATCCCTTCCCCTTCCTCAAAACCAACACACAAAGGTTATTTTTTATCTTTTACTTTTATATAAATATATATATTATAAAACAAATACAAGTATGAATAACAGTATTATTTATATACTTCGAATATTATTTGGAATATTAGTTCTAGTAATAGTCAACAATCATCTCAATAGTTTTGGATTCGGACAAACTCAAATTCCTACAGGTATGTTACAATGTAGATTCTAATCTTCAAATCAAAATGTTGGCTATATATTGGTTCACCTCTTATTCAAACTTGATTTGATAAATATTTAGACCGTAGGTATTACTATTAGAATCAATGAACTGGTCCATTTATTCATTATCTTTCATCTAATACTATTGTATTTGTTTTTTGTTTAGCTTTAATTATTAGTGATCCAAAAATTTTAAACATCAAGACAAAGATTGTTGATTTTACATTTTCAGTGCCAAGCGAGAATGGCATGGTATTTTGTAACATTTCTTTAAATAATACAATGACCTACACCGAAGTTAGGTTTAGTGACGTGACAAATCGATTAATTTCAATTAATCTACCATCTGGGACAACAACAAATGTTGGGCTAGTTGCTTATGATTTTTATGGTGTTTCCAACACTTTATATTTCAAAGTGACAACCTATCCAGTCATCTCGAATCTCACAAAGCAGGTTCTTCAAGCATACGACCTTTCAACCAACGATCCCAATGATTGGTATCTTGAATTGACGGCACTCAGATGGAGGTGTACCAGGTGATTCGAATTATTCATTATGGTCTACAATCAATTATCTACCAAGGACAATGTATAACGGCAGTATCATCTATTACATGCCAGATTTTGTCACTGATCCTCAAAATTTATCCTTGATGGTTAATAATGATGGTACCGATTTAACCCTTTATACTCAAATTACCTTTTATTATTGTAAGTAAATAGAAAAAAAAAGAATAGGAAGAAGAGCTATATTCTATTTCTTTCATTTTCTAATTATTTATTTAGTTCCAACTATAAATTCAACCAATTCAACAAGTGATTATGAATCAATTTATTTGACATGGATTAGTGATGGTGGAATGCCAGGTAATATTACTTATCAAGTATCTGTATCCAATCCAAAATCATCGATTCAAGTACCGTTGGTTTGGTGTTCAGGTGCCAATATTAATTCATGTCTTATCACTGGATTGACTTCAAATACTGAATATTCTGTGGATATTAAAATGTCATCTATTCAATTCTTACCAATCAATCAAACTATTTTAGTTTCAACTTTACAACGTATGAAGTAAATTAAAAAAAATAGCAAAATAACAAAAATCAAATTTGATTAAAAATCAATGACTAATAATTAATTATTGTATTTAATTTAGATCCAAATAATTATACATGTATTGATCGCCAAGGAATTAATAATACAATTGAATGTAATGGATTTGGTGAATGTTTGAATAGAACATGTCGATGTGTGAATAATAGAGTTGGACTTTATTGTGGTACTGTAAAACCTGGTGGTGGTGGTGGAAATGGTGATGGTGGAAGGGATTGGGATAGTCACGTCGAACCATCACTAAACAACCCAAAAATAGTCACCAACAATGCAGATATATTTTATCAATTTGTAGTTTCACAAATTAGAGAACTCGATGTTGACCAAAATATTATCAAGTCATTGGATTTAACAACTCTCAACTGGGAAATGACAAATCAAACCAATCAACCAACCAACATATCACCTTTAATTTTACTTAATAATTGGATATATTCAACAAATAGTGATGGTTCTTTCTACAATACTATTAAAATTACATTTTCACAATATGTACAACAACAAGAAGAGGAGGATGATGAAGAAGAAGAGGAAACAACTCCAAAAGACATTCGAGTTACATTTGCAGGTCAATTATTTTATTTGGCAGTTGGATCGATTAAATATACAATTGAAATTGAAGGTTGGAGTTTTGGTAATAGATTAAATACTCTTGAATTGGTTACCAATATAACTCAACCATACAACTATAAATGTGGACAAGAAGATTACAACAATAATATATTATCAACCAACTCTACAGAATTCACATCATTTTTAATTGGAAATGATCAATTTATATTGGTCAAACTAATTAGCCGTGCATTATTGGATGATATCCCTCGAAAGATATCAAATCGAATTGAATACTCTAAGAAAAATCTCAACAACACATGTCCTACAGTTTTATTACAACGATACCATACTTTAATCTTAATGCTGTATTTGATCCAGATCTTCAATTGATGATCAATGTTGATACCATTAACCAATTTTTGACAACACCATCAAAAAAATGGAAGATTATTGTTGGTGTAGTCATTGGTGTTGCTACTTTGATTTCAATTTCGATTGCCACTATTATCTATAAAATCAAAATGGATAAAGAAAAAAAGTACAAGGCTCGTTTACAATTAAGGTTAAAGTTACTAGAATTATCAAGAAGATACAGCCAAAAAATCCTCCAAAAGTGTTAAAATATTCCATTAAATCATTGTACAATTAATTAAATAAAAAAGAAAAATGTTAGAAAATAATCATATATTGATAGATTTATTTATTTATTTATTGTTCTCAATTTTTTGCTTTTTAGAACCATCTGAGCAAAACTTGTTGGGGAAAGAACAACATCAGGGAGAATCTACTTGTTTAGTTTAGATTACTCAATCAACTCTCTCTCTCTCTCTCTCTCTACCATTCATCATACCAGTTTATAACTTCCTATTAAAATTGTTTTTTGTCAAACATTAAATTAACATTCTTTTTTTCTAAACTACCAGTCAGGAGGATTTGTGGACCTTTTATTGAGACAAACACCAAATGTCACACTGGCTGGTAATACCTTTTTAGGTACCCAAGCGGGATGATGTCATAATATCCAATGGTGTTGGTACACCCCCATCACCTCTACAGATTTGTTTAACAGATGATCCAATGATTATAATCATTGGACATTTTAAATTAGCAAATATGGAAATATGACCACTCATCTTTGTCTTCTGAAATATATGAGAGGGGGGAAGAGGGATAGAGAGATAGAGGGATAGAGAGTAGTATATATAGAGGATACAGGGTAGGGGTTGATAACCTATTGATGGAAGAAAAAGGTTTAATTTAAAAGTCAAAGAAAGTTTACCAACTATTTTTCTCCATTTAAACCTTGAATTGAATTTCAACATTCTCATCATTCCATTCTTCATTATCTTATCTTAATTTTTAATTAAATATTTAATAAATAATACAATTCAATCTTATCTTATCGAACAAATTATATTTTATCCAAAAGAGATGTCAACCAATTCAAAAATTTTAAATCCTGGAGGGAATTCGAATTCCCAGAGTGGGGAGAACCCTCATGTATGTTTAAAATAAAAAAGAAATCCAATAATAATAATTTTTTATTTTATTACTAATAGTCCCCTTTTTTTTTCATCATCATTTTGTTTTCTTTTATCATTCCTTCCTTTTATAAACCTAAACCTCAGCAATGACCTCCGCCCAGACAAACAACACAGTCAGAGCCCTCCGCCAGGAAAACCAAGCAATCAGGGATGCCTTGGCTCAGGAAAGACAGTTAAGAGAACAACAACAAAAAGTGATTGAAGATCTCAGAACTCAACTTCAAGCTTTTTTAGCTGCTCAAAATCCCCCAAATACTTAAATCACAAGAATTAGCTTCCATTCCATTTATTTCTACTAGTGATATTGTTTTTTTTCACCTACTGTGGTTTTTTTTTTCAACAATAATCAAGTACTTTATGACATAACATACAATCATCGTTTAAATATTAAATAAATACAATCGCATTCATTTTTTGTTAAAAAGAAATAGAAAAACCATTGATGAGTTGACACATAGAAAAATTGAATTACTATAGTATATTAACACATGCATATATAGTTCTAACAAACGATGGTCCAATTTATTAATTTAATTAGGAGTATTTATTGTTGTAGCTGTAAAAGTAAATACACCACCACCACCATCACTACTGGCTATCTACTTTCTTTTGAATGGTATCATAGTTGTCATCATGTTTATCATCCTCTTTTTCTTTGTTTCTATTATCTCTTTACCAACAATTGCATGTCTGGATCGAGGGTGGCTCGACTGTTGAAATTGGGAACAAGTGTGATGACACTCAATTGTTCTTCTTCTCCAGTAACTTGAATTTGTTCAACTCTATAAGATATCTTTCTTGGAATATCATCCAATAATGCACGATTAATTAATTTACCCAATACTGCTGAATCTTTACCAAGATAGAATGAGGTAAATTCAGTGGCATTGTTGATAATATTATTAAAAGATCCATCATCATTTTCTTTATCACTACACTCTCCATAATCAATAATTGGTTGAGATACGTTGGTGACCAATTGAAGAGTATTTAATCTACTATTAAATTCCCAACCATCAATATCGATTGTATATTTGAGTAATCCAATATCAATATAAAATGTTTGACTTGCAAATGTGATTGGAATCTTCTTATCTCCTTGATTAATATCTTTAGTATTATTGAATTGTAAAAATGTAATATTGATTGAATTAAAGTTGGTGTTTACTTTTGGTAATGTTCAATAATTCCAATAATTAACAACAATTGATGGTGATATTGATGTTGCTTGATTGCTTTGATTGGACAGTGTCCAATTGAATGATGTTAGGTCGATCAGTTTAATTATTTGATCATCAATATCGACCTCTCTAATTTGTGATATAACAAATTTATAATATGAATTGTCATTGGTGATTATAATTTCTGGGATCCCTGGATTTGGATCAATTGTTGATCCTCCACCACCACCACCATTTGTTCCATTTCCATTTCCACCTGGAATAACGATTTCACAATAGATACCAGTTCTTGAATCATCACATAAACAAGTACTGTCAATACATTGACCATGACCATTACAATCAACTTGACTATTTCCATTATTATAATCAACACATGTTACATTATATGGATCTATTAATAATAAATAAAAAAGGAATAGGATTAACAATAAATCAATCAAATAATTAATTAGCTATTATTATTATTATTTTAAAACTTAACAGTTTAATCTTACATTTTTTAGTTTGCAAGTCGATATTTAAAACAACTGGATCAAATATTGGGGATAGCATTTGAATTTCAAATGAATAATTTGTTTGTGATACCAATCCAGTGATGAGACATGAATTAATATTCATTCCACTGCACCATACATACGGCGAATTTCTAGTGTCAGAGGGAATACTCGATACTTGATAGGTAATATTACCAGGTACACCACCAGTACTATTCCACTCAATAAGGGCTGTTTCAAATTCAGTTGATCCTGTTACATTGATTAAAGGGACTATAAATATAAAATAAAAGATTAATAAATCTTCATTTTAATTAACCTCTTTTTTTCTTGTTGATTTATATACTTACAATTATATAAAGAGAATATTGTGGTTGTTGTTAGAATGGATTGAGTATTATTGGCTTGACCTGTAATGGAATAAGGTCCGCTGGGAAGAATAGGGTTGGCATCTGTAAATACTCCCAATTCAGAATAATTTCCTTTTAAAATTTTAGGATAGTCTGAAGTGTACCCATAATTGGTTGCATTGGGAGCACCTCCAATCGAATCGAATCTAATCTCTAAATAGTTACTATTAGGATCGGATGAATTGATTTTTTGGGATACAGTGATTGTAAAATCCGACAATAGAGGATAGGTGGTCATATTGAAATAAAATAGACTTGATTCAACATTTGTAAAGGTGTCCCTCAAGAGTGCACTAAATCGATTAGTAGCACCTGCTTATAGGGATTCTGTGAAATTATACTCTAAAGTATTTGAAGATTGTACTGAAATGGTTGAATCCAGATCGGTAATAATTAAAGAAAAAGTTGGGTTGATATCATTAACTCCAAATAAAACTGATGCCGATGTAATCTCTATTGATTGAATAGTAACATTTTTTATACCAAAATTCACTATAAAGAGAGACAGTAAGAAAATATAATTAATTAATTAATTAATTAAAAAAATGACAAATAATACATACAACCAATAAAAGTATAAAGTTGAGAAGGTGGATAAAGAGTTAATTCATCATTTGTACCGTTGGCAGTAAAGTTGTAAATGGTTGGTGATGGTGACAAGAGTCCAAAGAGATAGGATGAGGTTGAGAGGGACGAGGATGTGAATTGTTGAGTATTGGTTCGAGTGTCTATAATTGAAAGACATGTTGTGCATCCTCCAAAACCAGTTCCAGTGTATTGGAATGAAATGTTGACAGAAGGATAAGGAGATGATTGAGGAGTCAGAGTAAAATTGAATGCTGATATTGGATCTACTAGGTTGACCGTTACTGACAATGTGTCGACAAAACCTGCTATATCAGTCATTTCTACTTTGATTGTCACATTTATGCCTTTTGGTAACATATCAAATACACAATATACAGGTGGACAATTTGAACCGGTATCAAACATCAAAATAGTACCTTGGTCATCCAACAATTCAATATCAAATAGGGGATTTGGGAATCCACCAGTTGGGTCATAACTGAATTCAATTCTCTTTGTTGTTACATCTATTATATTTATAGATTGAATTTTTGGATCTAAATTTGAAATAAAATATATTAATATTAATATCGGATAATTTATAATATTTTGCAGGACTTACAATCAGGTGAATAAAATTCAGATGATACAAGAGTAGTTATATTTTTATCTTGAATATAATTGTATCCATCGATTGTCAAGATAAAATGACCTGTGAAATTCATTGGAGCATTGAAATACATATTGTTGTCCAACATGAATACATATCCAGGTTTGTGATCCCAGGATGTACCATTGGCAGCTTGCCAAGATGCATGTGCATACAATGCAACGTTTGTTAAACCATAAGCAGGTTCCAAGATTGATATACGGCCAAAGGTGACTACATTTACTGAGGGATCAGGCAATGGCGACGAAAAAGTCACCATTCCATTGGCGATACGAGATGAATCAAGTGCTGCACAAAATGACCCATAATTAGAGCTGGTACCTCCAGTACAACCTGTTGGATTGTGTGTTAGAGTGACTCGTGAAACCGTTCCAGTATTGGTTAACATAGTTCTTGTTGGGTAGTCATTCATCATACAACTACTAGGTTTGGCAACAACTCTTTGATAGTCGTAATTGGTAGTCACTGCCATATTACATGTACTATATATTTAGTATGTAAGAGTAGAATAAATGATAGATTAGAAAAGAAATTTAAAATTATATAAATATAAATCCAGTTTTTTTTGATGGTATAGTTTAAACATACAGAACTGTAGTGGGGACTCTTTGGTAGTATAAATAGGATGATGATAAGATGTATGGTGTTTGAGGTTGCCCGATTTTAAAAACCAACCAATATGGTGTAGCAGATGCGTCAGATTTGATACATTTACCTGTCGATTGGTCAAAAGCAATGTTATCAATGGCACCACCACAATTGATTTGATCGTAGGTAGTGTAGAAATAAGGTTGAATATTTTGTATCTGTACACTGAATGTTCCGTAGCTGTAACAAGTGTTGAAACTGAATGAAACTACTTTGAGTGGAGGTTGTGTGGGAAGTCCACCCAATGAACAATCAGTGTTTGCATAGATTATCATTGTCACAAAATCCTTTGTTTGGGTTGATAGTACTGTTTCTTGTGCTGCTACTCGATGATTAGATATTATTGATAATATAAACATTAAAAATAATACTGCTACTGCGATTGCATTGTTTTTGTAAAACATTTTATTCTCCATCTTGAATAAGGATTGAGATAGAGGAGAGATACAAAGACGAACAAAGGTGCGTGTGTGTGTGTGTGTGTGTGTGTGTGTGAGTAGTGATAGATAGAATGGTTCATCAACTAAAATTTCGTTCGTCCAATTGCATTGAGATAAATCTCAGCGTTTTTCGAAACGGCGACGAATAAAAAAACAATTAAAATTTTAATTTTTTCAAATCCGGGAAAACCCCTGAGACATTCATGATCACGAACAATGAAATTCATCACCTTTTAAACGGTGAAGTAAATAATATTCTATTATCTCTATTGTTGATAGATTTATTTTATTGATTTAATACGTGTAAAAAATGCAAAAGATTGGGGGAGAATTGAGATCTGGTCCAATTTAGTTGTTTAATAGTTAAACTAACAAACACCAATTCAACAACCATGGAATAGATCATTATTATTCATCTCAAAGTTTTTTAAATTTAGGAAACTAAAGTAACAATGTTATCATTGTCAGAACAAGAAAATAAATTTGGAAGATTAAAAAAGAATCATTTTCTCATGATATTTTTTGAGATATTTTATGGATCAAACTCAGTTCACTGTTTTGCCATATATAGAAAATGATGATGACTATCATTCATAATGGGCAATGTTCCCTAAAAACATTTTGAAATTTCAAAAGATAAATCACAAACACAAGACAATGATGACCATTATTTTGTTTGTGCTATTCTATTTATCAATCCTCTCTACCAATAATATTGTTGTTATTTGTATGAAACTCTTTCAATATTTATTATCAAGCACCTTGGTGTTGATTTCATTTGTGATGACATCACATTACTCTAGTAAACACTATTTAGTTGATGGTCAGACACTCCCAATCGATCAACGTATGTTGTAAATATCTGATATACTGATATTAAACATAAATTAAATCATCTTATCTTATTACTTTCTTTGTACTCATAGTGAATTCAGCAATATGGTTAAGTCAATTTTATCAATTGAAACCAGCTGTGACAAATGAAAATAATGTTTGTAGCACTACTTCGCTAGGGTTTCAATGCTCAGTAATAGGATCTGAAAAACATATAACAAAATTGTAAGATTGTGCAACAATCATACTAAAGTATAACAATTGAATAGAACCAATCAATTATTTTCTGTTATTAATAATTAAGTGTCGTTTTATAATAGGAATTTATGGGCAAATTATAATGTTCAGACTTTAAACTCATCAATCACTCAATTTATATTCCCTGAAGTAACAAGTATTTTTATTGGAGGCGGAGCCCCAGCCACTCGTAATCCAGGTATCAATCCATTAGATTATTTCAATAGTACTTATCCAAAATGTACAAGTCTAGTATTTTGGAACGATAATAGAGTTACTGAAATTCCAGTCTATTTCAATCAAGCATTTCCAAATCTCAAAACTTTGTATGTTGATTAATTCCACCAACAAAAATTTCTTTATTAACAACAAACCAATGATCATTCTTCATTCATTATATTTTAGGAGATGTCAAGAGTGTTACAACCTGACATCGATTCCAGTATTTTTCAATTCCCCTACTTTACAATCTCTTACATTGACATCGCCAAAACTAATAGATTCTGTAATCTCTTCCAGTTCGTGTGTCGAACTAATTCTATCAATACCAATCAAACATTACCTATCAATTTAGTCAACAACAATTTCCAAATCTTCAAAATTTGTAATTATCTTTTTATCAAATCCATCCCCAACCATCCAACCAACAAACCAATATTCATTTATTTATTCATTTTCTTACTTTTAGGACAATATTATCATTGAGCATTAGTCCAAACCAAGTCCTAACCATTCAAGTTGATTCCCCACTCATTAGCTTATCGCATACAAAAATCTACTCTGACAGTGACCCAACAGATGATGATATCTATTCTGATAATTGGAATAGTGGAGAACCATCTGGTGGTTTTATCAATCCTATATTCTCATACCCAAACTCGATTAAATCACTGTAAATACATTCTTGTTGGAAAAAAATGAATATTTATTTATCTATACTTACCAAATTAATTATCCAATTACTTTTAGAACTATTAGTATGGCTACATCCCCCTCCTTTCATTAGATAGTATTTTTGGAGAAATGAAAAATTTAGAAAGTCTGTAAGTTGATGAAGTTCTTTAATCTTCTTTTCTGCAAAAGGATAGAAAATAATCATTATTTAATTTATTTTAGCTTAATGTATGACGGGAGCGGAACCCTTCCATTTGATAAACCTCTCCCAACAAATTTATCATATTTAGTATTGTTTATCCATTGTTTTTTATAAGTTATTATTTATTTATTTACCTTTCTTTACTTCTAGACAAGGTTTATATTTTAATAATAATTTTTCAGGGACTATTCCATCTAATTTCTTTGCAATGAATCCAAATATTAGAGAATTTGCAGTGGCATATAATCCATTCATTCAAGGTATTATTGGAGAGGAATCATGTCATGTCAATATTTTGTCTATTACAAACACTAGTATTAGTTCAGTTCCAGATTGCTGGTGGTGTTTTTACGATGGTATAAAGAACAAAAATTTCGCAACATCCCTTACCAAACCTTCATCCATTGACTGTCCTGGTAAGATCATGATGTCTTTAAAAAATATTATATCAAAATCTAATCGAAATCATCTAAATATATATATATATATTTATAGGTCCTCAATTGAAAAGTACTGAACTATTTTCAGTCAATCAAAGTGTAACGATTGTTGGTAATAATATAGGTTGGGGTGATTTTTATCTAGATCTTGTAGTGGCCAATAGAATAGTAGTGTAATTATTTCGAGATAAACAATGTTTGTTCATTGATTTTTCTTTCTTGTGATATTCATTATTGTATTATTTCTATAGAGGAAATCATTTTAAAATTCCAAGAGGAACTACTCAATATGTACAAGTTGTATTTTCAGTTCGTCCAAATATTTGGGCACCGGTGAATGTAACATGTATTGATTTTTCAGTCAATAATGTTACATTGGATCTTCAAACCAATCAAGAGATGATTGTAAATTATGATTATGCTACTCCAAAATATCCACCAAATGTAAATGTTGGAAATAGTTTACAATCTCTACAATCAATCAATTCAAAATATTGTTTCACAGGATGCCAAGCAATATATACTATTCCATCACCATTTAATTTTGATACAATGATGGATATCAATTTCTTTACCTCATTACAATCACAATCCTTTGTTGATTCTAGTATCATTATTATCAAAGGTAAGTAATATATATCAATTATTCATCAATCATCTTTTGACTTTTTTCCCTAATTCTCACCCTCCATTTTATAGATACTATTATAACATCAGCTAATTTACAATCAAATCAAACACTTTTATTATTTGGATATTTTGGAAACAATTCAACCGGTGGAAGTGTATTGATCAATAATACAATCAATTGTGTCATTGCAACAACAACACTGACATTTATTAATTGTACACTCGATCAAATACTAATCAGTGGTCCTGCAACCATCTCTGTATCAGTTACAAATGGAAATTATTCATCGTCATCATTATTATTCATTCCATATCCACAAACATCAAATAATGATTCTGGATCAGGATCAGGATCAGACAAAAACAAATGGAAAATTATAGTTGGAGTAGTTGTTGGAGCGGTTTATAAAATAAATAATATCATAAATATTGTTTTATTCATTTTCATTAAACACCTTTAATTTGTTTGCAAATTTTTTGTTTAAATTTTTAGCAATCAGTTTCTTTTTGTACAACACAATAGATGTTGTGACAATGGCAGCGGCTGCAACACCACCAACAACCACGCCAACTGCGATCCTCCATGTATTGGAATTTGAGTTACAATGTTCATCTTGGGTGGGACTGATCAAAAGTTGGAGATCAGGATCGAGAGTGGCTGAATATTGAAAATAAGGAACTAAAGTTACGAATGTCAATGTTTGTGTATTCCTATTGTCACTTTGGGTGTTATTGCTATTTTCAATGGCAAATTTAATACGTCTTGGTATTTCATCCAATAATGCACGATTGATGAATTTACCCAATACTGCTGACTTTTTTCCAAGATAGAATGAAGTATATTCGGCTGAATTTGTGACTGTGTTTTCTAGTGACTCGTCATCACCACATCCACTGTCACTTTTAGGTTGAGTAATGTTGGTCAGGATTTGAAGAGTATTTAATCGACTGTTGAAATTCCATCCTTCAATATTGACTGTATATTTGAGTGATCCAACATCAATATAAAAGGTTTGGTTTGCAAACAACACTGGTATTTTTGGTTGGTCAGTCGTGTTGTTGGTTGTCGAGCCAGGTCTTTGTTGGTATTGAGTAAATGTGATACCCATCTTATCGAAATACTCCAAACTATTATTATTATTGTATTTCCATTGATTCAATATGATTGATGGTGATACTGGTGTATCTTGATTGGTCTGGTTGTCAAGAGTCCAATTCATGGCTGTCAAATCCAAAGTCTTTACAATTTGGTCGTCCAAATCAACCTCTCTAATTTGCCAAAATGTAAATTGATACGATACATCTTGTTCTACAATAATTATATAAGGGTTGGTTGGATTTGGTTCAATGTTGCCACCATTATTGGTACCATTATTTCCACCACCTCCAGGATTCTTTTCCGTTTCACAATAAATACCAACTCTATTACCAACACATAAACATGTTCCATTCAAGCATTGACCAAATCCATTACAAAATACATTTAAATTTACTCCTTTTGGATCAATACATGTTTCATTTTCAGTATCTATAAAATTAAAAATAATAATAAATATTAATAAATAATAAATATAAATCTATTTGATTAGGGAATTTAATTTTGACTTGCACTTTAAAGTTTGAGTTTGATTAATTTTAAAAATATCATCAAATTGAACAGATTTCATTGTTAATCTAACTGTATAACTAGAGTCTGGGATGAGACCAGTTATATTACAATATGAATTATTGGTTACACAAACAACAGATTGTTGTTCATCTGCATTATCCAAAGATACTTGGAATTGGATAGATCCAGGCATACCTCCACTTGAATTCCAAGTCACATATAAATTTTCATATCCTTGTTGAATGTTTAATTCATTAATTAATGGATCTACATTAAAAATATATATATATCAATAAAATTTGAAATTAAAATAATTCTTGCGTGTTGTAATTTTTTTCTACACTACTTACACTCATAAATTGTTATGTTTCTAATTGATGAAAGTATAGTTCCATCATTTTCAATTGTAATATTTAAAATCGATGGATTTGGTGAAATGACAACATTATCAATTACGATGTAATTGATGTTGATATTTGTCATAATGTTACCAAAACCACTGTATTGAACATAGTATTTTGTATCGTTTGGGACACCATCATCAGTTTGAACTGAAATGTATAGGATTGATTGAGATTGATCTGATTCATTCCTTCTCTGAATAGGAGCAAATCTCAAATTGGAAATAGTGACATAGGACTGGAATTGCAGTGTAGAAAATGCTGATCGACGATCACCTTGAACGATTTGTACTTTGATGTTTTGAATTGAACCTGGTGGGTTGGGAAGTGTGATGATACTGGTCAATGTAGTATAGGTGTCGAAAAGTGTCGATTCGAGACTTGGATATACATTGACTTGGTATCCCTCTGTAGGATATATTCCAATTGCCTCGATTGCTAAAGTAGCAGTTTTTGTTTTAATCGCTTCTACTACACAACTACTAATTGTAATAGCTAGTAAAGAAGAAGAAGAAGAAGAAGAAGAAGGAATATTAATATAAATATATTTGTTTGTTTGTTTGTTTTTTTTGGTACATACCTCCAAGCCAATCAAAATAAATTAGAGTAGTTAAATAGATAACATCGTTCATTGCTACAAAATCTACTCGATAAGTTCCAATCGCAACCAAAGGCAATATAAGGTACCCTGGTGACGATGGGAGGTTTGTAAAGGTGCTCACTACTGCCGAGGTTTGATTATTAGTGATGGTTACGTTGAATGTAGTTGGACCATAGCCACCGGTTCCAACGCGATAGGTAATATTGACACCATTTTGGACGATCAAAGCTTTTCCAGATATAAAATTAATTTGAGGCAAGAGGTTGACGGTAGCCGCGTTGGCTGGTGAGCTGTAGCCACGGCTGTTAACCAACACTGAATAAGTTATTGTAGAGCCTGGGTTGTTTGTTTTCAACACACAAGTTGTAGTGGTTGCACATTCTGGATAACTAGCCATCGCAGTCGATGGCGATGTTGAGGTGACAGTATAGGTATTTCCAGTTGTATCTGTATACCCTCCAATCGAAGAGTATGAAATAGTTATAGTAGATGTAGTCTTGCTAACAACATTTACACTAGATATTGTTGGATCTAAAATATTCAATATTAAATAACAAAAATATTAATATTAATTAATAATGACACTAATTATTATTTTGAGATAGAGGAGATACATACAAACAGGGATTGTATAGAAATCAGATTGGATTGGAGTAGGAGCAATATTGTTGATATAATCATACCCCATCCATTTGATGGTAAGTTTAAATTGTAGGTTGTTGGGTACACCTGTCAATACGACAGTGTCTCGGATTTGGTAGACATAGGTTGGATTGTGAGTGTATGTACTCCCATTGATTGCAACGTAAAATTCAAATTGAACATAGTCGGTTGATTTGGTTTGGTATCCAAAATCAATGTTGGTGATATTGATCGTGTCGTAGGTGACTGGAGTGACAATTGGTATCTTGGGGACTGGACCACCGGCTCTAAAAGCTCTTGATATTCTGTATCCATCGTAAAAGCCTGGACATCCAGATGGATAGTTTGTGAATACCGTGGATGTACATTGGTCGGTACCAGTCATGCTCAACTGAGCAGATGTGGCAGTACCACTACCCGTCATAAACCCAGCATACAATGAATAGTCATCCGCTGCACAAATATTAGTTCTAACTATATTTCTTGAATTAACATAAACATTTGGTAAATCTGCATTACATGAACTAAAAATAATTATAAAATAAAATAAAATAATTAATATTTATCATTTGATATCTTTTGATGACTTTTTTTTTAATATTTATACATACAATGGAAACTTTTCAAAATAGAGAGTATTTATATCATCAATGGGGATTTGTGGGAGGCCCATTTGGTAGATGATATACTTTAAGTTTGGTGCATTGGTGGATCTGGTGGAGCAAGTGACCTGAGTTGGGTTGAACATGATGAAAGGGCCTGCTGGTGACTGACACGTTGTGTCAAGAGCGTGCAAGCCGTGAGAGAGAGCGGTGGGACTAATCAAAGAGATTCTCAAGCTGTTTTGGTCGTATGGGTAGCAATAATTGGGCATAAAAGAGACTACTTTTTCGGGCTTATCAGTGGGGACTTGACTAAGTGCACATCCACTCGATGAATAAACCTTTAGATTTGCAAACGTGTAATTTGAAAGTAGTATCTTTGGTGTCTCTACTAATGGGCCTGCTGCCATTACCACACTGTTAAAACTACATAGAATAATAAATACTATCTGTATAATTGCAACTATCACTGTATAATGACTAAATCTTGAACTTATTATCATCCTATCCCTATCTCTTTTTTTATATAAATACAGTAACTGAATGAATGAATGAACGAATGATTTGTTCTAGCTCATTCATTCATGATCTGTTTGACATCATCTCGTGTAGAATGTTCAAATCATTTAAATATCTAAAGTCATTGAAGATTTTTTTTTTTATAAAAATATCTTGGTGCAACTTCGTTCGTCTCAGATGGGTTATGGGGACCTTCGAACATTAATAAATATATTTATCTGTGAATGATTAAGTCTGTTTTCTAGAATATATAGCAACAACAACAACCCTGTGAGTGGTAATATACGTTGATAATAATGATTTGATTTATATTTGTTTATCTGATATTCTTTTTAATTTGGCTTGGTAAAGCTTTGCAGACGATTTCTTTTTGAATAATATGATAGAAGTTGTTGCGATTGCAATTGCAACCACGCCACCAATAACAACACCTACAATGATCTTCCACGTATTGGATTTGGGTGAGCAGTCACCCTCTGGATCTGAATTGATTAAAAGGTCAAATTGTGGGTCGAGTGTTGCTTTGTAATTAAAGTTGGGGATGAGTGTAATGATACTGAGTATTTGTTTTGGTGTGGTTGAATTATTGTTATTATTATTATCTGTTGAAAGTTGTACTTTATATGAAATCTTTCTTGGTAGTTCATCCAATAATGCACGATTAATTAATTTACCAACTACAAATTGATCCTCTCCAACATAGACTGATGTAAACTCTGTTGAATTGGTGACTATATTATTAAAATCAATCAATTCTCCACATCCATCATTTCGTTGTGGTTGTGTGATATTTGTTATTAATTCAAGTGTATTTAATCTACTATCAAATTCCCAACCATCAATATCAATTGTATATTTCATCGAACCAACATCTAAATAAAATAATTGACCTGCAAATGTCAATGGTATCTTTGACTGTGATTGGCTGTCTGATGTTGATTTAAATTGTAAAAATGTAATATTGACTGAATTGAAATAACTATTATTCGAGGTCATATAAATCCAATTACTTTGAATAAATGAAGTGTTGTAGATTGATGTTTGGTTGGAAAGTGTCCAGTTGAGTGTTGTCAAATCCACCATCTTTACTACGTTGTCGCCAATATCAACCTCTCTGATTTGTGAAATAACAAATTCATAAAATATGTTTTTGTTGTTGATTATAATCTCTGGTTTTGATGGGTTTGGATCTACATTGGTTCCATTACCACTGTTTCCACCTTGATCAGTTGTTTGATTTTGGCAATAAATACCAATTCTATTTTTATCACATAAGCATGTGCCATTCAAACATTGACCAAATCCATTACAATCAATTGTATTATTTACTCCATTCATATCAATACAAGTTAAACTATTTGGATCTAAAATTAAAATAAATAAATAAATAAATAAATAAATTCTTTTAAATAAATAGATTTAAATAATAATAATACATACATGTTAAAGTTGAATTAAATAATGTAAATGTGAATGGATCAAATTGAGTTGAATACATTGTAATGTTGAATCCGTAAAAAGTATTTGATGTCAAACCAGTAACAAGACATTCTGTTATGTTAGGACTCCTACACCATTGTACACCACTTGCTCCTCCTCCTCCTCCTTGATTAGGATTAAATACTGTAACTGTATATAGTATGTTACCAGGCATACCACCACTACCACTCCATTTCAAATCAATGGTTTCATAATCGCTATTAACAATTACATTATCAATTAATGGAACTATAATAAATTTAAATTAAATTAATATTTTAATATTTTAATATTGAATTAATTAATTGATTGATTTGATACTTACAATTATAAAGTTTAAAATTATATACTCGAGTGTCAATTGAAACATCATTTACAACCTTGATTGGAACTTGGTATGGACCACTTGGATAAGTTAGATTATATCCAATGATCGTGTTGTTTTTGTTTATGGAAGAAGAATAAGGGAATTCTGTGGTGAAAAAGTAAAATGACGAGTTTGGTATACCACCCTCTGAAAAGGCTTCGATTTGTAAAGTGGCAGTACCATAGGAATCTTTTCGTTGGGTAGCCCTTGGCGACAGCAAAGAGACTAGTGGATATGTGGTAAAACTGAATGGCATGGTGTTAGAGATTCGCAAGTCTTCGAAAATCTGTACCGTCCAATTGTATTGGGTGGCTGGTTGTAAAGGTTGAATCGAAAAGCTAGGGGATATCCATTCGTTAAAAGGTTGAATCATTACTTTAACATTTGACATATTATGAACATTGCTCGCAAAGATTGATCCAATAAATATATCAATACCAACTTTTACAAAAATAACTTTTTCAATCTTTAAATCTAAAATTGAAAAATAAAATATTAATAATTAGATATTAGATATTATTAATATATTTTGTAATTTAATTAATTGTTTTGTTGAACAATGTATGTAACATACCTCCTTGATAATAAATAGTGGTTGGACCTACTTCTAAACGAGTTCCATCGTTTTCAGCAAACCCCAAGATTGTGTAGTTGCCAGGTTGGTATAGTCGAACTGTGATAGAATTGGTGAATGGCAAGGCGGTGTAGGTGGTTGTGTTAAGTAGTAGGTGGTTGTGCACGTTAAGTGAATAGGTGGTTGGTCCAGACCCCATACCAGCAACCGTGTAATGATACGAAATGCCTCCAGACACTGCTTGACCTGTCATTGTTAGGTTGGCAATGGGCAGCAACAATTCGACGGGATACGGACCAAATAAATTAGTCTTTCCGAAATTAGTCACTCCAACGGTAAGACTGACAATCGAACCAGGTGGAAACCCACCAATAACACATGTTGTTGTATAGTTGCATTGATAATGTGTGGTTGTCGTAGACGGTGTGATCGATGTCACAATTTGATATACATTCAAATTATCGAATCCACCAACTGTAGTATACGTTAAATTCATCGTTGTAGTTGTCACACTTCTCTTTATAGTTGCAATCTTTGGATCTAAAATTTAAAAAAGTAAATCAATCAAACAATTAATATTAAATACAATAATAATAATAATAATAATTTATATTTTGATATACATACAGGCAGGAATATTAAAATTGGCAGTGTTTGTAGAAGGACCTATTAATCCGTTGACATGGTCACTTCCATGAGCACTGATGAGACAACGTCCAGTAAAGTTTGCATTGAGTCCTGTGATGGTGACATTTTGATCGAGCTTGTACACATAGTTTGTGTTGAAAAATGTACCGTTGATGTCTTGCATGGCCACTGCTATGTATTGGGTTGATTGTTGTTGGTATGGGAATACAAAGTCGATAAATTGGAGTCGAATAGCATCGTACCCTAGGACAATGACATTGGGGATGGCAGGGACAGGTAGAGGGACAGTCGCATTACCCTTGAATGCGCTCAAAATCTTGACGGGCTCGGGTGTGTCGACCGGACATGCTACAGTCCACGTCGTTGATTTACTCATCATACACTGTGATGCATTGTAGGCCAATTGAATCGACGACAATGTGCCATCACCAGACAACAAGCTGGTGTATTCCGTATCACCAAATGTACATGTATTTGGTAACACCACCGTTCTCGATACTCCAAACGATCCATTATCATTCAAAATAGAACCGCATGTTCTAATACAAATACAAATATAAAGTAAGTAATGATGATCATCATCATTTGTATGATATATATATATTATACATACGGATCACCATTTGAAAAAGTAGAAGGAATGTTTTCATAGTAGAGGTAGGGAGGTGAATTGGTGATGGGTAGTTGAGGAGGACCTATGTTGAATACATAGTTCTTTGGGATGAGTTGGTTGGGGTTGGTGGTGCAGTACACACCAGGGTTGTATGTGAATTGAAAGGTAGTGACGAGGTTGAGACAGTTCCAACTAGCATACTCGTTGTAACTAAACAATAGACTGTTTACAATGTACATTGCAACGCTTGTGTGGTTGGGATAGTTGTAACATTGGCCTGGCAAGAATGAAACAACCTTTTCGGGCTTGCCTGTCGGACTTTGGTTCATTGGGCAGTCTGCAGGATTGTATACAAGCATATTGATAAATAGTGCATTTGAACCTGATGATACCCTAGGTGACGCTGTATAACTATAGTTTACTTGTCCTGATACTAGTAATACATTATTATTATTATTATCTCTGCTACTGATAATCACGAGTATGATGATCGTGATGATATATACATATATAAATAATGGTGATGATGATTTGTTGGTGTACAACATTGCAACTGATGAATGATAGATTGTGAGGAGCGCTATATGTACATGTATCTCTAAGAAGATAATGTTGATGAAGATGATAGATAGCTGCCATCTTTATAATAGACGCTCATCATTATAATATTATTTAGTTCCGATAAATATCTAACTAAAACAATGAAGATTTAAACCAAACCTTTTGTTCATTTTTGATGACTTGGTGTTTTTTTTTTTTCCTTTTTATGTCTAAACAAACAAACAAACAATAATATTATTTATTGGTTACCCTTTATCTTTAGTTTTCATCTTCAACATATTTGTTCAACGAATTATATTGGAGGATAGATTGAATGTTAACAATCATCAACAGTAATAGATCAATGCAAAACTGTTGTTGATTGTAACTCGGCTAGTTAGCGATCATCATAGTCACACTATTATCATTATGTTTAATTGCATGTGTACTATAGCACAATCACTATCACGATGAGTTAGAAGAGTATGTAGGATGTGGATCGATTAGACAGAGATCAGAGAGACAATAGATTCATAAGAAGAAACAAGATTAAGTGAACTTTACTTTTTGATGAATCATTATAATGATCATCGTTTGAAAAGTTGGTTTGGTTATTTATTTATTTATTTATTTATTTGTTTGTTTGTGGTTTAACAGAAAGGTTCTTAGAAACCTGGGATAATAATATTGGAATTGACAGGAATAACATTATCGAAAGTGAATTGCTTGGTAGATTGGTTAGAAAAGATAATGGTGGAGAGGATCTTGTTATCACTGGTTTTAACAAGGATGGTGATGGATCCAGCAATCTTGTTGAGTACAAATGGTTGGAATGTATTTTGGTACTCTGGGTTGAGATCTTTGTAGATGATATCTACCTCTCCATTATCAAGGTTCAAGAGAGACACTGTAACACCTACACCATTCTCCAAGACACAATAGTAGAGTTGACCATACACCATAAAGAGTTGTTCGGTACCTTGGATTTGACGACCTTTAGTGGAAAGGATCACTTGTTTAGCGGTACTTCCCAAAAGAGAAAACTCGCTAATCCCAGTGTATTCACCAATCGAAAAGTAGACATAAAAGTAATCAATTCCATCAAATGCACAGGTTGGCACAGAGTTGAATTGAGAAGAACGATTTAATTGTGTTGGTCCTAATGCAATTGGTGTCCTATTTTAATTAAAAGAGAAATGGAAATAGATTAGTATTTATTGATTTATTTATTGGAAATATAATTAATAGTTGTATATTTTTAAAAAACTATACATACTTGGATGGATAGTCAGTGCTGAAACTATATGGAAGTAAAGCAACAGTTTCAAATCCAGTTCCGGCCAAACCTGGAAAGTAAGCAGTCTTGGTTTGTTGCGAGAAATATCCGTATGGTTGATCAGAGAATGTTGGCTCATTTAAAAAGTTGGTTGTTGAATTAAATGTGTTGATAAATTCATTGGTCTAAATAATAAATATTAATATTAATAAATAAATAATATATGGGTAATAAATTTAAACAAATACATACATTGACATTGAAAGAATAAATTTGATAATTTGTACCATTGGTGGTAAAGAATGTAACAAATGGATCAACAACTTGTAAGTACTTGAGGATTTTAACACCAGCATTGTTGACAATTGATTGGTTTTTTAAAACTTGGCCAGAATAAATATCAATTTCAAGATATTCAATGTTCATATCGGGTTGTTGATTGAAAATCATCATCGGTGAAGATTGACCATTCTAAAATAGTACAATAATAAAATTGAATAATCAATACAATCTAGAAACTATATATTTTCTTATCAACTTAAGTTTTATACATACTATGCTACCAAGGCAAAATAATAGGAGTAGAGTTGATAAAATAATTAATTTCATCTTTGACTGAAAAGAGAATGTCTTACTAAACTTTTACAATGGTTAAATCAAAGAGTTTTTCCTTAAATACAGGGTATCGAATATTATTTAAATAAATATTCTATTCTATAAATTGAGACTGTGAAATCATTTTATAAAAATCGAATCCGTATAGAGAAAAATCTTTAAAATTCAAAGCTCCTCTTTCTGATTTTTTGAAACGAAACATTCCGAGGCAGCTAGGATATTTTTGTGAATTTGTCATGAACCGTCATTTGACATCATCATCATAATTAAAGATAAACGAAAATTACAGAGATATTTTTTATTTAATTTAATTACCATTATTCATCTCCATTGATACCTTTTTTAATTTTAGGTTGTATTGTTTTTTCTTTAATTGCATTCTTTGATGTATGGTAACACCAGCACCAACAGCCATCAAACCAATGCCACCAACTACAGCACCAACGATAATCTTCCAAGAATTTGATGAAGATGCACAATTATCCTCTGGATCTGAATTGATTAAAAGGTCAAACTGAGGATCAAGTGTTGCTTTGTAATTAAAGTTGGGGATGAGTGTAATGATACTGAGTATTTGTTTTGGTGTATCGCTGTCTTGATTGTTGTTATTATCTGTTGATTGGTATGGTTGTACTTTATATGATATTCTTCTTGGTACATTATCCAATAATGCACGATTGATTAATTTGCCAACAACAGCTTGATCCTCTCCAACATAGACTGATGTAAACTCTGTTGAATTGGTGACTATATTATTATTATTAAAATCTATATCTAATTCTCCACATCCATCATTTCTTTGTGGTTGAGTGATATTGGTTATTAATTCAAGTGTATTTAATCTACTATCAAATTCCCAACCATCAATATCGATAGTATATTTCATCGAACCGACATCCAGATAAAATAATTGACCTGCAAATGTCAATGGTATCTTTGACTGTGATTGGCTGTCTGAGGTTGATTTAAATTGTAAAAAGGTAATATTGACTGAATTGAAATAACTATTATTCGAGGTCATATAAATCCAATTACTTTGAATAAATGAAGTGTTGTAGATTGATGTTTGGTTGGAAAGTGTCCAGTTGAGTGTTGTCAAGTCCACCATCTTTACAGTGTTGTCTTCAATATCAACCTCTCTTATTTGTGAAATAACAAATTCATAAAATATGTTTTTGTTGTTGATTATAATCTCTGGAACCGATGGGTTTGGATCTACATTGGTTCCATTTCCACTGTTTCCACCTTGGTCGGTAGTTGGAGTTTCACAATAAATACCAACTCTATTATTCACACATAAACATGTACCATTCAAACATTGACCAAATCCATTACAATCAATTGTATTATTAGCTCCAAGCTTTAAATCCATACATGGACTAATTGGACCTAAATAATAAGAAATAAATTAATATTTAATTATTTTGATTATTTAATATTTTTATATGCCTACTTTGAATAGTTTGAACAGAGACTGAACGAGTCACAGGATCAAATTGATCAGATTTCATTGTTAATGTAAATGAGTAATCGGTGCTTGGAATCAAACCAGACACATTACAAAAACCAAGATTCAATGCAATGCAAAAGGTGTATGGAGCTACTTGTGGAGTAAGAGGGTTAAAAATCGATAATCCATAGGTAATATTACCTGGGACACCATTAATACCTGCCCATGTGAAATTTACAGTATCATGTCCTGTTGTAAAATCCAAAGATGTAATATTTGGGACTATAATAGATAATAATAATATTATTATTTTGATTAGTTAATAAGTACTTTTTTTATAATTTTTAAATTTTTTCTTTTTACTATTTAACTTACAAGGGAAATAATTTATGAATACCTTTTTATCGAGACGGATATTATCTTGAGCAGTTGTGAGAGCAGCATAATATAGGTTATCAGCAAATGGAAAGGGGATATTAACTCCAATCACTATATTACTAACATTGGTATTGAGTAGAGCCCCACCAGTACCGGGGAAGTAATTCATGGAGGGATGAGCAAAAGAAAGCAGTGGCGATCCACCTAACCAAGTCATGACAAAGGTATATGAAATTTTGGTTGCATCAGTTTCATTCTTTCGTTGTGTGACCGCAACTTCAAAGTTGGACAAGTTGGCATAGGTTTTGAATACGACGTACTCGATATTGGAACGACGAGATGTCAATGGGTCAACGATAAACGATGAAAGATTATAATTTGTGTCTGCTCGTAAATTATCAATCTTTAAATATGCAGTTTTGTTGGTAACATTGTAAACAAGCACATCACCATCATAAAAATAAGCAACATATGAAGTTGAATTGGCAAGATTGCTAACATTATTATATACTGTAAGTGATTTAATTGCAACTGTATTTGGATTGAATGTTGTATTTAATTTAATATCTAAAAAAAAAAAAAATAGAAAAGAAATTAAAATTAATAAATATTAAATATTAATAATAAATATTAATATTTTGTTTTTTTTAAATGTTTACCTCCTAACCAAATAAAATTTCTTGAATAATTAAGTATTGTTCCACTATTGGTAGCAGATGTTTTAATTGTATAATTGGTTGGTGTTGATGAAGCTGGGAATACAATATAGGATTGTGTAGATGTTGTTGATGATCGAGTAGTCGAGGTAGTTAGATCTGTGATATCTGCTGTATAGGTAACTGGTCCTTCTCCTATTGACCCCAGAGTGAATGAAATATTGATGGCCTTGTACGAGGGAACGAGGTCAAAGCCCAAGTTACTAATGATTGACTTTAATTGGACCTGTTGTATTTTAGCTTGGGACTGGCCGAAATTGGTAACCTTGACAGTGACATAGACCATTGCCCCAATTGGCAACCCGTCCAAAGTACACACAGTGGCAGGCAAACACTCCCATGTTTGCGATCCCGGTGATTGAGTAGTCACTTGATACACATTACCACCATCCGTATTAAATCCTCCAATCGATGTAAAATTAATTTGAATTGTATCAGTTGTCACCGAAACTATATCAAATTGATTTATTGTTGGATCTAAAATATTAAATAATATAAATAAATAAATAATAAATATTAATTAATAACAATATAAATAAATACTTTTAGTTGTTATGTGTACATACATAGAGGCATTGAAAAAGAATTTGTTTTAATAAATGGGATAGAGGTATTTTTGATATAATCAAATGAATCTTGGTATACTCTAATGAGACCTTGAAAGGGGTTTGGCAAGTTGATAAATGTCATATCTTTGGAGATGATAAATGAGTAGCCTGGCTTGTAGTCAACGGGTGAGCCAACCGATGGTACGAGGACAATCGATCCAAACGACTTGCTGTGAAGATTGTATCCAAAGTCGAGGTTGGTCAGATTGATTGCCGTGTACGATACTGCTTCGACGTAGCCTTCGTTGGTGGTCGGCGTAGTAGCAGTTAGGAATGCATTTGCAATACGATGCGGACCCAATATATTACATCCACCGTAATACATAGTTGCAGCACCCGTACAAATAGACACATCATTTGCAAAGGTGATAGAGGTTGCATCACCACTAACTCCTTGTACAACGAAATCACTATAGTCATTATAAGTGCATTGACCAATCGACAACATAGTTCTTGCATTATAATATGTCTTATTACTTATTCCTTCACAAACACTATATAAAGTAAATCAAAAAGTTAATATATCTACTCTATATCCTCTCATCCTCTCTCTCTCTCTCTCTCTCTCTCTTTATAACTTAATACAAATGTACATACGAAGTAGTAGCAATCTTTTCAAAATAGAGAAAAGGAGGAGTTGAACCTTTAGACGAAGCTGATTGAGGTGGACCGACCTTGAAATAAGCCCATTTGCCAACACCTTGGTACGGGGCAGCACACACGCCATCATTGTAGTTTGTGGCAAGAGGTGCGAGAGAACAGTCGGATGTACTGTAGATGTTGTATGTGATCATGTATGGTTTATTAGCCGATACTGACACCTTGACACTCTTTACATCGTATTGGTAACATTGATCGGGTAAGAAGGAGACGACCTTTTGTGGGACTGATGCAGCCTTGGGTTGACCCGACGCACTACAATCTAGTTGTTGATAGATTGCTACGTTTACATACTCTGCTGTTAGTATGCTACTAGTTTCAACAAACGTTGGCTGTGAAGTTACACTACCACACCAACCACACAAAAATATAAATAAAAAATTAAAATAAAATGATGATGACTTTTCACAGTACTGCTGGTACAGCTTCTGTGTGTTGTTGTTATCATTGCTGTTATCTCTTTCTCTCTTGTATATAGATAAATAAATAAATAAATAATGAAAAAGTGATAAGAATCTATATCATCTGTTGTGATACACAACAACAGCCCGACCTACCTATCCAAGACAAAAACAGATGATATTTTCATCGATTCTCGCCGTTCGTGTAAAAAGTTTTACAAGATATTTTTAGAAATCAAAAAAGATATTTACTAATCTAATGATCATTCTGACCAGGTCTATAGTTATAAAATATACAATCATCTGTACATACATTATCTTCAAAATAATTGTACAATATGGTGTATATGGATCGATTCCCATTATCTTTATAGGGACGCTAATAAATCATCCACCTCCTGTACAGTTAGCCAGATCTTCAGGTAAACATCTAAAGAATATAATTCAAAAGATTATAAGAGATTTTCTCTTTCTCTTATTTTTGCCTTTAAATTTTTATATACTTATGTTATGGTTATTCTCATTAGTTAACAACAATTAATACCAATAAATAAGAAGAGTAAGATATATATATAAATATGGAATTATTAAAAGATATCTTTTACTAATCATTCTCTTTAGAATCTAGAGTTTGTCAATGGAATCAAATTTAATCAAATTTAGAGTAACAAGAGAATTTAATAGATTCAATCATACTTGTCCATTGTGTGGTGAATCGTTTTGTGAAAACGAAATCATATTTCCTGTACATATGCTCCGTTGTTTCTATGAGTACACCAAAAAAGCTGGTCTAACTGACCAACTAATCTCAATCATGAATGAACCAGACGATGAAGATGATTATTTATATGGGTATTAAATGCCACTGGGATTCCAACAATTTAGAAATATTAGTAAAATGGAAACTATTAGTCCGTTATTCTACATTTTTCTTTTCCTATTTAAATAATTCGATAAATCCTAGATATTCTATTTCTTTTGTTTATTTCTTTCCGTCTAATTGAAATTTTTTAATTTTGCTTCCATCTTTTTTTGATTCTTTACATAGGTCATTTTCTTTCTGTAATACATGATAGATGCTGTAGCAATGGTAATAGCAGCAACACCACCAACAACCACACCGACAGCAATCTTCCAAGTGTTGGACGACGGTGAAGAACATTCATTCTTTCCACTGTCGACATTGATTAAAAGAGAGAGATCTGGATCCATGACAGCATTGGATGTAAAGTAAGGGATGAGTGTTACAATACTGAGCATCTGTTGTTGGTTGGATGGGTTGGTATATGGTGCAACTGTGTATCCAATCTTTCTTGGGATATCATCCAATAGTGCACGATTCAATAATTTACCCAAAATCATTTGATCCTTTCCAACAAAGAATGATGTAAATTCCGTAGAGTTTGTTACAATGTTTCCATTAAATTGAATATCCAAGTCGGCAGAGTCAACACTTCCACTACCATCACCACATTCATCAACTTGCTCTGGTTGAGTTACATTTGTTACCAATTGAAGTGTATTTAATCTACCATTAAAATGCCAACCATCAATTTCAATTGTATATTTGATAGCTCCAACATCAATATAAAATAATTGACCTGCAAATGTTAATGGTATCTTTGATTCTTCTCCATTAATATTTGTGTCATCTTGATATTTAATTTGTATAAAGTTGATATGAATGGCATTTAAATACTTTATACTTGTGTTGGTTGCAACTGATGAATAATTCCAAAAACTTGTAACCAAGTTATTAAGAGTAGTCGTTTCATTTTTTAAAGTCCAATTTAAAGTGGTTAGATCCAAGTTGGTGATAACATGATCGTCAACATCGACCTCTCTGATTTGAGAGACTACAAATTGATAGAATATATTCGAGTTGGTAATAACAATCTCTGGAACCGATGGGTTTGGATCTACATTGGTTCCATTACCACTGTTTCCTCCTTGATCAGTTGTTGGAGTTTCACAATAAATTCCAATTCTATTATTCACACATAAACATGTACCATTTATACATTGACCAAATCCATTACATTCAACTGTATTATTTATACCTTGATGATCAATACATGTATAATTATTTGGATCTATAAAAAGAACAATAAAATAAATTAATATTTAAATATTTATATTTTTTTTTAATTTACTTACAAGTTAAGGTATGAACATAAATAGTTGATTCAATTGGATCAAATTGAACAGACGACATTTTAAGAGTGAAACCATAGTATGAATTTGAAGTCAGTCGAGTGACACTACATTTTGAAATACCTAGTCCATTACAAACAACATTTGATACGAGTTGTGGACCAGTTGCATTTGGGTTGAATATAGATACTTGGTATGTGATATTACCTGGCATACCTCCCATTCCCACCCATGTTAAATTAACAGTTTCATAATCTACAATATTTTTGAATTCAATAATTCCTGGGACTAAAAAATAAATAAAGAATAGAATAAAGATTAATAAATATATTCGTCATTAAATATTTATAATTAATTTTGATTATCTTACATGAATAAAGTTTAAATGAAGATTGAAATAATAAAGTTGTAATATCATTTACAATGGTTACATTGATATTAAAGGTATTGGATGCAATTGTTATTCCATTGAGTAGGATACTACTGGATGTTGGGGGACTGACAACTTTACCTAGGAAAGTAAAAGTGGGAGTATAGGTTGAATTATTTGGAACACCTCCAGTAGTATTGACATCCATTTGAATAGAATTGTGGAGCGTTGGACAGATTCATTCTCTGCGTATAAATGGCCGACGGATCGCCAATAGTTGGATACGAGTTGAATTGGATACATGTACTAGGTGAACTTCTAAGATTGGCGTCAACTGCAAACATACAAACTTTGTTGAGTGTGTCTGGTAGCGTAGATAACGAAAACTCTACAAAATCGGTATAATCAATTGGATCAGCAATACCATTCAAACTAACCGTAAAATTAGTTGAAACGTTTGGTATCACTCCTTTAACAATTGGCAATAAGTATACTTTTGTAGTTCTAATATCAATAATTTGAATTTCCATTTTTAAATCTAAAAGAAAATAAAAAAACAATTAGTTAATTTAAAATGATTCATTCATTTAATGGATGTTTTCTGTTTATGTTTTTTACATACTATAATTATATTCATAGGTAGTTTGAGTTGATAGATGAGTTCCATCATCGAAAGCATCAACGACGATTGAATAATTGGCAGTGATTGTAGTATTGTATAGCAAGTATGAATTGGTTGTATTGAATGTGACTGGATTACCACCAGTGGTACTTAAATTGGTAATAGAGATTAGGTAGTAGGTTCCTATTCCACCAGATAGAGAGTAAGAAATATTCATACCAGCTGGAATGCGAACTACACTGTCAATCTCTAAATTGGTGATTGGTTCCATGAGGGGAACTAAAAGACTAGAAGTAGCCGCTCGTCCTCTGTTGGTAACTCTAACCGTGAGACTGACATCAACACCCGGTGGGAACCCACTCAATGTACAAATATTGGTCGTATTACAACTCGGACTAAAAATGGTACCTAAATACGAAGTTGTTACTTTAAAAACATTCTCTCCGATAAATCCACCTTGTAAAGTTGATGTGACTGTAAAACTTCTAGTAGTTATTAAACTTGGAGTTAACTGTGAAATGGTTGGTACTATAAATATAATTTAAAAAAAAATTAATTATTATTTGTTTGTTTGTTTGTTTGTTTGTTTGTTTGTTTGTTTGTTTGTTTGTTTGTTTGTTTGTTTGTTTGTTTGTTTGTTTGTTTGTTTGTTTGTTTGTTTGTTTGTTTGTTTGTTTGTTTGTTTGTTTGTTTGTTTGTTTTGATTTTTTTTGATTTGATTTGTTTTACACAGTTACTTACCATCTGGAAATTGAATTAAAGATTGTGAGATAATTTCTATTGGAGCACCGGAGAAGTCCATACCATAGGACTTTAATTTAATGTACATTGGAGTGGCAGCTGGGAATCCACCGATAGAGACAACCATTTGACTGCTCATCTTGTAAATACTGGAATCTGATCCAATCTGTATCATCTGTGAATTAAACCATAAGATGAATGCGAAGACTGATGCTGGCTCTGTTCCAAACGATCCGTTTTCAATGAGTATATCTTTGTATCCAATGACTGTGATGGTAGGGTTCACTTTAGTATATGCACTCTTTGATGCAAAGGCATTGACTATTTGATAAGAGTCTGGTGTCACTGGACATCCAGTTGTATAGGTTCGTGTATCAGATGACGTCACGCAATCAAGTGATGCTGTCATATTTAACTGGATCGATGAACTGGTTCCTCCAAGTGCTCTAACCTTTGATCCAACATCATCCGAAACACATAAGTTTTGTGTTACAACTGTCCTCGAATATTTAAGTGTCATATCTGTATCAATATTACATCTAAAAACAAATATTAATTAATTAAATATTAATATTATTATTTCAATGATTTCTTTTCAATTATATTAATTTAAACATACGATTGATTTGAATATTTTTCATAGTATAAATAACCAACTGTATCTGATGGAACGGGCATGATGGGAACATCAGTAGTCGCCATGACATAGGCATCCATTTCAGACCAAAATGTGCAAACTAGCGGTTTTGGCCTTGAAAAGATGGGAATGATGCAATCACTCGTCACCGAGTAACCCACCCACATCGATGAGTGTCACAAAAAAATTATTGTAATAAGGCATGCATTCACCTGGGTACAATGAAACTACCTTCATAGGGGTTCCAGTGCATCCTAGAGTGCTATAATGTTTGAAAGTGACAGGGTATGGGGTGGTAGCAAGACTGTATTTAGGGGTTGGGGTGTATGTGGGCTGCTGCTGAGCCTCCACTACCATCACACCGACCGAGTCCCATAGTAAACTGAAATTAATTAAAATACAAACTACTATACTTGTAATATAAAGTATTCTTCTATTTTGAGTATTATAATACATGTGTGTGTGTGTGGTGTCTACTTATACATAGACATAGAAATATTATAAATAAATGATTGTCTTTTTTTTTTAATATGAGGACTCGTTTTAGTTTTGAGACCCAGTGTCGATCACTCGAGAGAAAGTCGTTCGTTCTCAAAGCCATTCGAAATGTTCTACGCAACTGAGATTTTTTCGATTAAAATTAATTTTTTATTGAAAAAGGGCGCGAGGCGTCAAGAGCAGGACGTCATCGACGGCTTCAATTCGGAATTGGTTGAACGGGAAGCTATTAGTTGTTGTTTATGCTAAATGCTCTGAACCTTTCTTGCCTGCTAATAGAATCTCGTCTTTGAGTATTCATTTTGATTCTGTAGAATATAGTGGCCACAGAGACTGCAGCCACAACAACAAAACCAACTACTACACCAACAACAATCTTCCATGAGTTTGATGAAGATGATGATGACGAACGGTCATTTGGTTTGACCAATAATTGAAGCTCTGGATCAAATACAGCATTGAGATTAAAGTATGGTATCGTTGTAATAATACTGTATAACATTTGTTGTTGAGATTCAGAAGAGGATGAGGAACTGGAGGGTGATAGTGGTACTGAAACAATTCGATTCGATACCTTTCGAGGAATATCATCCAATAATGCACGATTAATTAATTTACCTAAAACTAATTGATCGGTTCCAATTACAAACGATGTGAAATCGGTAGAGTTGGTTGATACTATATTGTTGTTGACGATGGTCGTGTCTTGATCTTTATCATTGTATGGTTGAGTGATATTGGTAACCAATTCAAGAGTATTTAATTGACTACCAAAATTCCAACCTTCAATATCAATTGTATATTTAATCGATCCAACTGTAACATAAAATAATTGACCTGCAAATGTAACTGGAATGTCTTTTGGAGTTGAAGTTGGAGTTGTTTCTTCTTCTTCATCTTGTTGTACATATTGTAAAAATGTAATTTTAATTGTTCTATAAATACTATTACTATTACTATTACTATATGTTGAATAAAACCAATTATTAAGTAAAATTAAAGGTGATATGTTGGTTGATTGGTTTGATTTGTCATTGTCCAGTTGAGAGTTGTTAAATCCAATGACTTGATAATATTTTGGTCAATATCTAATTCTCTAATTTGTGAAACAACAAATTGATAAAATATATCTGCATTGTTGACAACTGCTTTGGGTTTGTTTGGTGATGGTTCGACGTGACTGTTTACCCGATAATCTGCTACCTCTTCTCCACCATCACCATTTCCACCACAAAAAGGTAGAACTGTGCCACAATAAATGCCAACTCTATTATTCACACATCGACATATTCCATTTATACATTCACCAAATCCATTACATTCAACTGAGTTATTAATTCCTTGACGATCAATACATGTATAATTATTTGGATCTAAATTAAATACAATAACCAATTAATATTTAATTAAATAATTAATTAATTTGATTTGTTCTTAACATACATTGTAAAGTTGAAACAAAAATAGTTTGATTAATTGGTAAGAATTGAACAGATGACATTTGAACTTCAATAGAATATTCAGTATTTGAAGTCAATCCAGTGATGAGACATGAACTAATATTCGAACCTAAACACCAAATCAATGGTACTTGAATCGTTGATTTTGGATTAGATACAGATACTTGATAAGTAATATTACCTGGCATTCCACCATCACTAATCCATGTCAAATAAATTGATTCATAATCACTTGTTGAATTGGTTGAATTTATAGTTGGAACTAAATCATGAATATAAATAAAAGAAATTAATTAATTAAGATATTCATTTTCTTTTTCTTTTTTTTCTTTTTTTTATATTTACAATTATAAAAGGTAATTTCGGTCTCTACAGTAGAGATAAATAATACTTTTAGATCATTATCAATTGTAATGTTAATTGGGTAAGAGACAGTGAGGTCATCTGGTAAGATATAGAGTGTAGAGTTGTGTTTCTGTTTTTCGGGTGTCTGGGATGAGTATCGAAAGCCAAATGTATAATAAGTATCACCTGGTACACCTCCATCATGGTGTGCCGTCACTATAAAATACCCAGCGTCGTACACTTGAAGAACTTGCAACGAGAGATTCGAGATGACTGGGTAGGTTGTCGCGTCGAAATATACAGTGTTGGAAACACGGCCATCATCATCGAAAGCAACTATACTGACAGGGGTCGTTGCACTCTCTGGCATTTCAATTTGAACAACAAAGAAATCTGGCCCTTCCATGATCACTGGAAAATTTGTTGTTGTCATCATATTATTTACGGTAATATTTAATTTAAAATAATGGACATCACTTCCAACCACTTCCAATGTAACTTGAATCTTATTTGTAGTAGTTTTTGTAATTTCTGAATGACTAATTATCAATGCTTTCAAAAAAAAAAAAAAAAAAAAAAGAATAAATTTAATTAATTATTAATTATTAAATATCTTTTTTTAATCTATAGAAAATACATACGACCAAGCCATCGGACCAAAAGAGAGTTTGATCTAGTTGTTCCTTCATTCACAGCTGTAATATGAAAAGTATAATTGGCAGGATCTAGGCCAACCGGAAAATTGACCCAAGACCTGTTATCAGTGAAGGTATCGCGAGTGACATTGCTCAAGTTTGATTGTGAAACATTGAAAAGGACGGTGATTGGACCATGACCAGGTGGATCAATTACCCAAGACACATTGATAGTGTTGTAATTTACGAGTCGTTTGGCTGTAATATAAATCGGACCTTCTATTTAAAAAGAAAGTAGTTACATTAGTCATCAAGACATTTGATAAATAGTACTATTTAAAAAAAAAAAAAGAGGGGAGCGGTACGGCTACTTTCTTGATTGCGCTTCTACTCCAATAGTATTGTGACTAATGTTGTTGTTTATTACAACTAGCGCTACTAATAGTACTAGTAATCTATTTATACAATGATGATTATTATTATTATTCATACTTGTGTGGTTGTTTATATATATTTATATATATACATCAAGATATAACAACAACAAATTGAATAGTATAATACGAATGAACACAATGTGATCATATTGTACATCTTTTTATGTTATATCAGTCTCCCCTCTTTTAGAAGGAACCTCAAGTGGGAGGGATGATCAAAGCCATCTTGATAATTCTCCCTCGATGGATGCACTGAGATATAAATCTAAATGGAAATAATAAAATATAATGAACAAAAGTCTCAGTGTATATCTGGGTTGTGCTTTTGATGAAAAAAAAAAAAATTATTAATTTTAATGGAAACATCAGAGTTGCAATGCCAACAGATTGGATCAATTGTTGATCCTCCTCCACCACCACCATTTGTTCCATTTCCATTTCCACCTGGAATAACGATTTCACAATAAATACCAGTTCTTGAATCATCACATAAACAAGTACTGTCAATACATTCACCATGACCATTACAATCAACTTGACTATTTCCATTATTATAATCAACACATGTTACATTATTTGGATCTATTAATAATAAATAAAAAAGGTTAACATTTAATGAATAAAATATAAAAATATAAAACATACATTGTTTTGTTTGAGTGTTAATTATTTTAACAAATGGATCAAATTGAACTGATGACATTTGAATTTCAAATGAATAATTTGTTTGTGATACCAATCCAGTGATGAGACATGAATTAATATTCATTCCACTGCACCATACATACGGCGAATTTCTGGTGTCAGAGGGAATACTTGATACTTGATAGGTAATATTACCAGGTACACCACCAGTACTATTCCACTGAATTAAAACAGATTCATATTCAGCTGATACATTTGCCTCTAAAGATGGGACTATAAAAATAATATTAATTAATATTATTTATATAATTTTGATTTAAATTATTATTCTATATGAGTACATACAATTGTATAATGAAAAGATTAAATTTGTTTTTTCTGAATAGGGAACACTATCAGCATACCCATCCATATTAAAGGGACCACTAGGAATGATGGGATTGTATATAGTGTAAATGTTATTTTGATAGTTATCCGTTACAACTGGATAATCAGTAGTCCATGTATAAATGGTTGCATTTGGTTCTCCTCCAAGAGAAAAGAATGTAAATTCGGCATTGTTTGTCCCATTTGAATTTAATCACTGGAAAGGTGTGATTGTAAAGTTGGTAATGGGTGGGTAACTGACAACAGTGGTCAAGTTGAAAATAATTGAATCAGTTCTGAGGGTGGTCACAGTGTCTTCAATATAGGCCTCAAACTGGTAGTATGTTGAAGCAACTAATGGTGTAATGAGGTATTGTAATGAATTCTTTTCAGTCCAAGAAGAACCATCCATTGAATCAATATACAAAGTATAATTAGGGTTTAAACCCTCTGCTCCAAATGAAACCATTGCTCTTGTAAGACCAACCCATTCAATCGTAACATTATTTAATTTAAAATCTAAAAGAATAAAAAAAATTAATTAAAAATTAAATTAAATATATTAATAATAAGATTGATAAACTTTACGTACCTCCTTTTGATATAAATTGTTGTGATGGAGCATTCAAAGTAGTTCCATCATTGGTACCATTACAAGTGACCGTGAATATGGTGGGGGTAGTTGAACTGTACGAATAGATGTAAGAGGCAGTGAGGATAGAAGAGATGTCTACCAACTTGACACCATTAGATTCAATCAAGAGGCCACTGGTGCTTGGACCATACCCATATCCCAAGTAGACGAAACCAATCTCGACGGTATCTGATACAATAGTCAATGTAAAATCAAATGTTTCGATTGGCAGTGCAAGCATAACATCTTTCTGCATCAAATTAGTCGCAAACGTATTGTTGACCGTTACCTTGATAGAGATGCCTGATCCAGCTGGTAAATCATTCAGTACACAACCAACTGGTGGACAAGTAGATTGATCATATACTCCACCAACCACACCACCAGGAAACACTACTACTACAATTCCATACAAGTTTTGACCAACAAATCCTCCCTCTGATTGATAATTAAATTCTATTTTTCTTGTAGTTATCAATGTAGTTGAAATACTCTTCATTTTTGGATCTATTAAATAAATAAATAAAATAAATAAATATATATATATATAAATAAATATATTTTTTAATTTACTTACAAGGAGGGATATGAAATTGTGAAGTTTTAAATTCAATTGAATTTGGTTTGTTGAGGACATAATTTAAACCATTTTGAACAAACAAAAGGTAACCTGTGAAATTAACGTGTGGAGAAGGGAAATACATTTGATCGGACATTTTATAGATGTAACCTGGTTGTTGATTCCATGATGATCCATTGGATGACAACCAAGTCACATTTGCAAAAATGGTTGTACCCAAAGGATACCCAAAGTTCAGATTAGACACACCTACAGTAGTGTAGGATGTAACGGATGGGATTGGATTGGAAGTTGAAATCAACCCATTTTTAAAGGCACTCATAATCCTTTGACCATCCAACGTCGGTGGACATTGACTTTGATAGGTAACAGGTGATCCTCCAGCACAATTGGTATCCAGTTGAATGCTCGATGCTGTTCCATCTAGCGACTTGATAGACCCGGATCGCATATCACTAAAAGTACATGTATTTGGTAAAATAACAACTCTTTGATTTTGATAATTATTTATATTTGTAATATTACAAGTACTAAATAATAAAATAAATAATAATCAAAGATATTATATTAGTGCGAGTAGTTGTTGACTGTTAACATTTATATATATATATATATAGGGGAGAGAAGACATACGAAATGGTAGTTGATAAACGTTCATAATATAAACTTGATGATAGCCCTGTCAACGTTGGAATGGGTGGAGGACCAAGGTAAAAGGTCATCCATGGAGGTGAAGGGGTGGTACCAGTGTTATCGGTGATAATACATTTTGATGGCATGGTAGGGATTGCTATACTGCTTGCAGATTGTGGATAACAACCTAGTAGTGTGTAGAATTGGTATGAATATTGGTTGGTTGTTGAAACAGAGACATTGACACTAAACGTGGGATAGTTGTAACAAGTATTTGGCATAAACGAAACAATCTTTTCAGGCAGACCTGTTGGAGTACCACCAACACTACAAGCACTATTTGCATAGACACTCATAACAACAAAGTTCTTTTGAATGGTTGATTCGGTATAAATGACCTCTGGTTGAGCCATAATAATGGTGACACTCATCACACTCGATAGCAATGATAATAATATCAGTGCTTTCATCTTTTCTTTTCTCTATAAATATATATATACAAAGATAGATAGATAGATAGATGAACGACGGTTGAATGAATGAATGAACGACTTTGAGTTTGATGTGACATTCATTGGAATGGCTGGTCAAAGACATTCGCGCACAGGTTAAAAAGTTGAAAATCTCATCGTTGCTGCGAATAAACTATAGTTCAATCTCTATGTTTAGCCTGGGAGGCATTTGTTTAATATTATTATTAGTCATTGATTGTATTTTATCTCTATCTCTATCTCTATCTCTAGATGTAACAAAAATGAAATGAATGATATACACTCAAGTTCGACTGAGCAGAGGGTGAGCAATAAAAATAAATTTAATTAAATTTCTGATCATCGGGGATGAAGCGCGGATATCTTCACTAATATAAAGTTGAGCAAAAGCATAAATAGATAGTAATCTTTTATTTATTTATTTATTTAAATTTGTATTATTATTATTAGAGATAGAATGACTAAACTATTTATTGGAGTTGATGGTGGAGGTACAAAGACATTGACAGTGGTGATTGATGAACAAGGTAATGAGTTGGGTAGACACCACTCTGGAGGAAGTAATCATCATAGTGTAGGTGAAGAGTTGGCAAGAGAAGCTATCTTTGAAGGTATTAAAGAGACTGTAAAGAAGGCTGGAGGTTCACTATCAGATGTTGCACGTGTATGTCTTGGTATCAGTGGTATCGATAGACCCGAAGATCAAGTACTGGTTGGTACTTGGATGAACGATATCCTCCCATCCGTCACATACGATGTTAGCAACGATGCTGTCATTGCCCTCGCAAGTGGTACAATGGGAAAACTATACGGTTGTGTCATTATCAGTGGTACTGGTTGTATTGCATATGGTTTCAATCGTCAAGGCAAATCAACTAGATCTGCTGGTTGGGGGTATGTACATACACACAAAACAACACAAATCAATCAATCAATCATACATATATTATAACTTAAACTAAACTAATAACATTTATATCAATTTGTGTAGACCATTGTTGGGAGATGAAGGAGCAGGATACCAAGTTGGATTCGATATGTTGAAAGCAATTGTCAGCGCAAAGGATGAGACGAGACCAAAGACACTGATGACTGACAAGGTATTGACGCAATTATGTATGAAGTCAGAGGATGAACTGATCACCTGGGCATACGACCCCAAAAATCAAGGTTGGCAAAAGTTTGCTCAACTTGCACCCATCGCCACAGAGTGTGCTTTGGCCGGTGACGTTGCAGCTCAACAAGTATTAGACAAAAATGTTCAAGCTATGGTTGTATGTAATTTAAATTAACATTAACATTAATTAATGAAAATTAATTAAATAGAATAGAATTCGAATGATAGATTGAATGATAGATTGACAATTTTCATGAATGGTTCAAGATAGATACTAATTAATATCATATCATATGTATGTATGTTATGTATGTATAGGAATATATTCAAAGTGTATTTGTCAAGCTTGGATTGGACAAGGAAAGCGAATCGGTTCCATTAGTATTGGCAGGAGGTAATATCGAGAGGGAGTGTTTGTACAGCAATCAATTGAAAGCATCTATTGCTAAAATACTACCAAATGCCAAACCAGTATTCCCAAGTTGTGATAGTGGAAAGGGTGCTGCTCTCCTTGCACTCGAAAAATATAAATCTGCTTCTACTGCTGAAAAATAATAATTCTAATAATACTTAATAATAATAATAATACTTAATAAAACACCCATCATCTATATAGATATTTATAATAATAATTGACAATTAATTAATCTAACTTCAGATCATAAAGATAGATAGAAAGATAGATAGATTCGATTTCCACAAACCTACTATATGCAAGAACCAAAAATACTATTTTTTGGTTTGGGTTTGAAAATATCATGATCCACACAACACACACTCCCATCCCTTCTCACCTCACCCTCCATAGATTTTACGTGAATGTATGTATTTACGTATGAAAGTATACTTTCTTCATTCACCCCCTGACTTGCCTTGTATTTGATTAGACAAATAAAAATAAAAATAAAAATAAAAATAAAAATAAAAATAAAAATAAATTGGGATATAATTAAAAAGAAGAACATGTCATTTATTATTTTACTTTTTTTTTTTTTTTTTTTGTATTTATATAAAATTTATATTTTTATATTGGTTTCTCCTTCACCTTCACCCATCATCTTCACCTATTTTATAAAAAATTATGAATCCAAAAATAGATAATCAACAAAAGTATTGCAGTAGTTCAAAAAACTATGATCAATTAGATAAAGAATTATATTTTTTGGAAACTGGGTTCATTAGATCAAGATGTTTACAAACTATTATTAAATTAAATATTCCAATGTTGATTGGAGATACAATGACCGAATCAAAGACAGCTAGGGAATTGTCAAATCAATGTAATGTTGATTGTAAATCATTGTTTAGGTTACTTAGAATGTCAAGTTTATTTGGTTTATTTGAAATGGTCAATCAAGAAGGATCATCGTTTGAAAAAACAAAATTCAAACATTCAGAGTTATCATTATTATTGTTGGATGAAAAAAGAAGAAATTTGTCTGAACTAAGAACAAGTGATGTTTATTATGATATATGGAAAGGAGTTGGTGACTCTATTGAAAAAGGACATTCTACCTATCCCCAAGGACTTCAAGGTAAAGATTTTTGGGAAATATGTAAATCTGTACCAGAAACCAATTCCCTATTTAAAAATGGGATAATGGGATACACACAATCAACAATCGATCCTTTATTAGAATTGGGAGATTATTCAAAATTTAAAATTATTGCTGATATTGGTGGCTCTCATGGTTTGTAATGTATCAAATCAAAAAAGGAAATTGATTTATTATTAAATATTAATTATTTTTTAATATATTATTTATTTATTTAGATTTTTGGATAAAATATTAAAAAATAATCCATCAGTTGAAAAAGGAATTAATTTTGATTTGAAACAAGTATTGGATAATCATTCTAATAATGATAATAATCAACATGACCTGAAAAGATATGTTAATCATCCAGGAAGCTTTTTTGAAAGTGTTCCAAAAGCTAATCTCTATATTTTAAAAAGTATTCTTCATGATTGGGATGATAAACATTCATGTCAAATTCTAAATACCATCACAAAATCATGTGACCAAGATTCTAAAATTTATATTTATGATTATGTTTTCTCTGGTGATCAAAATATTGATCAAGCAATTTCACTATATGATATTCGTAAGACACAAAAATCAATGTAATATTCAATTCAAACCATATTACTAAAACATGTAATCCCTTCCATAATCTATCTAGATATGTTTCAAGTATTTAATGGAGCTGAGAGAACAGTCCAACAATTTGAAGAATTGGCTAGGAATTGTGACCTAAAAATAGAAGATATCCGAAGGGTCCAAGGAAAATCATTTATCCAATCATTGGTCATAATGTCAAAGAAATAAATAAATAAATAAATAGAAATCTATTCTAAAGGAAATACTAAACATGAATGAATGTTTACTACTTTTCTTGTCCAAATACTCAAGAATCATGCAAAAAACCAAACCTTAATTTTGCTCAAATCTATTTTTTATCACCCAACACCCTCATTCCCAACTTCATCAGCAACCCATTCATTCTGAGGTTTATTATTAATAATCAGATCAATCAATCAATCATCTTTCTTTTTCTTTTTATGATATCTGTAGATAGATAGATAGTATAGATAGTATATATCATAAATACGATAGATAGATAGAAAGACCTCTAGTTAGCTAGTAGTATTTAAGTTCATTTCATTCTTTTGATTGTGTAGGTAGAGTAGAGCAAGCAAACAAGCAGATCAGATACTTGCAGAATTTGAAAAAGATAATATCTATAGATGTTAATATCTCATCATATCTTACAAACATATATATAGTGTGTATTAGAAAGAAATCTTTATATTATTTATATTATATATTACTGTACAGTACGATGATTGAAAAATCAATACAAATGGATTCTTCGCCATCATCGAGTACCAACCAAAGCAACTCTTCTTCATTCAATGATGAAGAGCCAGAAGAGGGAGAGGAGAAATCAATCATCGACCAAAAGATCAGTCGATTGAAACCAACATTTGATCTTGACAAGGGCAAGGGGCAACACGGCTCCTTTCTTCCTCTACGTCTCCCAAGTGACGGTTATATCGGTAGTAACATGTCGACAGCATCTTCATTAAATGATCAACATCGTAATGGTCATAGGTATGTGTATTCAAGAATAGGAAAAAGATAGCATCATCATTTGATCAAAAGTCACTAAATTAAATCAATCTTAGCAATAATAATAATAATAATAATAATAGTAAGAGTAGTAGTAGTAGTAGTGGTACCAGTGGAAGTAGCAGCAGTATAACATATAATCAACCTGCACTCATTGATTTAAAGCAAGAACAACATGGTAAACGTTCGGCTACTACTAGAGGTAGTGGTGGAGGTAGTGGAACTGCATCATCTTTGATCGGTGGAAGTGGCAGTGGCGGTGTGAGTAGTGGCAGTAGTGCTGCAAACTATACTATCGCCAAATCACAACCAAAAAAGAATCCATCAACTATATTCCAATCAATGACAATCACACCATTAATGTCACCTCCTCTTGGTCAAACTAATATAGACATCAATTTTCCCTCTTCCTCTTCCTCTTCTTCTATGATGAAACAACAACAATATGACAAATCACCTAGGATGAATGGGAATTCTAATCATCATCACAACCACAATCATCAAACCATTAAAAAAGAAGACTATGTAGATGACAATGTACAAAATAACAACAACAACAACAACTCTCAACATCATCAATCCAAATCAACCACCAATAATAACAATAATAATAACAACAATGTAAATAGTAAAAGTAAAGTAGATCAAGATCATGCGACAGCAACCGTAGCAGGAGATGTAGAACAACCAAAAAAAGAAAAACAAGATAAAAAGGCAATGAAGATTACTATCAAATTATCAAAAAAGGAAGACAAGGTTGCGAAAAGTAGTAGTAGTAGTAACGACACTACTGCCTCTGCTGTTGCTAAAGATCAAGACAAAGAACCAGCAGATACAACAACAACAACAACAACAAAGCCTGCGCAGGTTGCTGTCAATAATGCATCTGGTGATGTTAAAAAAGAAGTACTTGACAAGGATGTTAAAATGGTTGATAAAAGGGATACTCTTTCCTCTTCTTCCAACAACTCAAAGAAACAAGATGATACTTTATTGTCAAAGAGAAAATCAACAGATGATTACAAAAATAAGAAATCAACAAAAGATCAAATACTGTCAGACTCTGAATCAGAAGAGTATTATGATTCCGATCAAGAAGAGGAATTACAAAGGATTAAACAACAACAACAGCAACAACAAACACACCGACAACTACCTGTTGAACAAGAGAAACCACCAATACAACCATCATCATCATCATCGACGTCGATGGTTGTTGAACAACAACAACAACCAATGGATTTATCATCAGAAGATGAGGAACCTGAAAGATCACATAAAAAGTCTAAAAGAGAACATGGACCACCATCATCTCTTAAAAAGAATGCATCATCGTCATCATCAAAGAGAAAAGAAAATATTGTCAGCGCTGAAAGAGACTACAAATCAAACAAGGAAAATGTTGGAGGTGGTAGTAGTAACAGTAGTAGAGAGGACAACAACAACAAAGAAAAGGAAAGAGAAAGAGATTTGAAACCAAAAGAAAGAGAAAGAGAAAAAGAAAAAGAAAAAGAAAAACAAACTCAAAGAGAACTTTCAAGTAAAAAGGAACTAAAAGTAAAAGAAATACCAACAACAAAAAAAGAAAAGAAACAACAGGAAAAGAAAGAGAAAGAGATGAAAAGGATACAAAAATTGCAAAATCTAAAAAAGAAGAAAATAATGATAAAATTGAAAAGAAATCCTCATCAAATTCATCATCAAATTCATCATCCAATTCATCGTCTGTTGAAAATCTATCACCTCCACCTCCTCCACCTCCACCACCTCATGCACCACCTCCACCACCTCCATCATCATCATCGACTGGTAAAAAGGATAAGGATCCATTCATGGTAACGGATCAAGAAAAAAAGGAAATTGAAAAGAGAAAATCACCACCAAGAGAAGGTGTACAAAAGGAAGTAGGTGGCGGCGGCAGTGGAAGTGGAAAAGAAAGTGGTAGAAGTAAATCGAGAACTGAAGAAAAGGAAAAAGACACACGTGACAGAGACAGAGATCGTGACCGTGACAGAGACCGCGATAGAGACCGTGACAGAGACAGAGATCGTGATAGAGACAGAGATCGCGATAGAGGAGGTGACCGTGACCGCGACAGAGAGAGAAGAAGTGATCGTGATAGAGATAGAGATCGTGACCGTGACAGAGACCGCGACAGAGATAGAGATAGAGACCGCGGCGGCGACAGAGACAGATCAGACCGAAATGAAAAGGAAAGAGAAACAAGAGACAAGAACAAACGTGATGCAGAGAATAGCAAGATTGAACTATTGGACGATCCTTTTAGAGCCAAAAAATCAAAGTCTGAAGAAAAGATTATTCGAGCGGAAATTGAAACTCTCAAAGAAGAGTCAAAGCGATTGAAAAAGTCGGCACGCGAATTACAAACTCTCAACGAAGTCGAATGTTTGGAAGTCTATCTACAAGTTGGATTCAAATATATTCATGCAGCTCATCTAATGATGGAAGTCGACTCGACCAGTAAAACAACAAGCTATTTCTATGATGCTGGTGTATTCTTTTCATTTACTTCAAAATTATCCTCTTCTTTTAAACATGAACAAGCTTCTTTATTATTGTATGTAAATTGAAAAGTTAAAAGTTAATACCCATGTATAATATATTAATATTTATATTTCATTATTGTTTAGTTTAAAATGTACATCATTTTGTCATGCTAAAGGGTTTTATTTAAAACGTGAACAATTGAAATCATTAAGAAAAGAGTTGTATTCTTCAAATCAAGGAAAAGGTTCATCAATTAATACATCCTCTACATCTTTACCTACTACCATTTCTTCTTCAACTACTGCCGCCGCACCATCAACTCCAACCTCACCATTATTATCACCAAATCCACAACAACAATCAAGTAGTAGTACTACGACGACAACCACTTCAACAACCAGTACATCATCGACAACTAGCAGCAATACTAATAATAATAATAATAATAATAATAATAATAATAATAATAATAATAATAATAATAATAATAATAATAATAATAATAATGTAACAGCCAACAACAACAACAAATTACTATTCTTCCTCAAAGAGTCTGAAGATTTATTTTCATTCTTTGAAGCTCACGACAAATCTTCTAAAATGGCATTCGATCATGATTACTTTGGTATATCTTGCTTGGAATTTATAGATATGATTAAAATGGAATGGGAAAAAATTAGCAAATAGAAATAGAATAGAAAAGAATATAGCTATAGATAACCAATAATTATTACCCAATCCATCCTACTACTCTAGAATACTCTAGAGAGACCACAACAAGAATAAAATGAAGAATTCTTGAACAATAACAGAAAGAACCAATTTGTAGATATAAAGAGTATAAACCATTTTTATTATATTGTAGGATTAGATACAACATAGAAAAAAAGGAATCAGATTATTATTATTATTTTGGTATGTTTGGATTGACATTTGACAGAGATGTTTTGCTTTTACTTTTTTTTAAGCATAGATAACATTCTTGACAAAGAGGTTAGCCTTGGAGGTACCATGGATGATGTAACCAAAAGTGTAAGAGGCACCAGCGTTGATGTCTTGGTAAGATGGGAGGATGAGGAAATCAACAAAAGATGAAGTATCAATGACCTTTACATTCCAGATAGAGTTATTGTCTCTGAGTCTGCAAGTGGCATCAGTACCAATGACAATTTGTTTGATGTTCTTGGTGGCATGGTTGGTCAATACAATATCGAATTGTGAAAAGGTTTGTCCACCTCTGGAACCATCTTGCCATGTTCCAATTAACTTGTGGTCAATGGAAACTGGATAAGTTGGGTAATGAGCAGCTACAAAGGAAATGCAAAGGAGCATAGCACAGAAAAGAGTAATTGATTTCATCATCATTTTTTTTTTTGAAAGAGACAGTTCTTGTTTAGGAATTTAGCTAAATAGTTTGTTAATTTGATTGTTTGTTTGTTTTGATATTTAATTGAATGATTATTTCAGACTATTTATAGGTATTGGTCCAATTGTCATTGGTCTTATTAATTGTATAAACCTCAAAAGTACCAAAAAGTTCATTGGAATAGGTTGGAGCGAGAGACCAAGTAAACCAACGAGCAATTCTATTCAAGAAATCTAATAGATTAAAATTATCTCCATTTTTAGTGCGAGTATGATATTATTTATACACCAAATAAATAAATAATAATATTCAATCTTTAAAAATCAATTATTATTTACATATATTACATATTATATTGGTATTTTTGATCAAACCCCAATATTCAATAATGATGATTTCCATTTATATTATTATTATTATTAAAACAATAGTTTTGTTTTGTAACTATCATATCATATCATATCATATGTTTATTATACGTGTTCTTGTTGGTGTTGTTGGTATTGTTGATTAATGCCAATATTATTATTTATAATATTGCTACGATTATCATCATTGTTGTTGTAATTGTTATTATTATTAATACTATTATTATTGTTGGGGATTATTGGATAATCAATGATAAGATAATTATCAGAATCCAATTCATGAAAAGAATATTTTAATAATTTTTTAAATGGATCGCTACCATTACTACTACTAATATTTGTATTAATTACAACTATTAATTTCTTTACTTTTTTCTTTAACTATTTAAAAATAATAAATAATATATAAATTAATATTAATATTAACTAGTTCCTATCTCTTTTGTTTTGTTATTTAGTAATTACCTTTTTAATTTGATTTTTATGAATAATGGCAACTATGATAAAGGAAAGAACAATGATCAAGATGACTGGAATCTGATAATATATTTTATCCTTTTTTCGGTTTCCAGTGTTGCCAATGGATTCAAAGATGGCTATAAAACAAAAACAAATGATAATCAATGGGATATAGACTATTTTGCGTACACGATAATTGATTGTCAGGTTATTGATCAACTCGATATTATGAGAATGTTCTTGCGCTGAAATTAAATGGATCACCTCAACTGGGCATTCATCCGGAAACGATATATACGATGCATCACTTTGATCCTCTCTTATTGAACATTTACCAAATCTTATTTGTTGTTGTTGTATACTATTATATGTATTATTATTATTATTATTATTATTATTTTGTTGTTGTTCTAGCGTTGTTGTTGAAAAATAGTTAGGTCTGTCATTCATTCGTTTTCATCAGGGTTCCTCTACGCATCATGACAGCCAACAAACAAAGTTGATCCCTTCCTTCCTTCCTGTCTGTTATAAATATAAATATATATATTCTTTAAACAAACTCTATTTATAAAAAGTAAAGTAGAGAAGAATAATTTGGTTTAAAAAAGGATGTGAGGTGAGAATAACTATAAATTATGTTTGTGTGTATGTGTTTGTTTCGTAATCACTAAGAACACAATGCTGCTATGTGTATGTGTGTGGGGAGGGGGGTGTTCTTGTTCTTTCTCTCTAGAGTTAGAGGTGGTGACAGGGTTGTTGAGTAACGAGTAGAGAGAGAGAGAGAGAGACAATGAAGAGGAGATCACATGTGGGGTATGAAGACACTCCGCCTTACATTCGTTTCAAAATCATAATATCTCTCGTATGGTTCATTCGAGCGATCAATGTTAAATAAATATAAATAAAGCTATTTGTGTTTGTAAGTACACAAAACCGTGTAAACAAAAAATGTGCAAATGGTTTATCATCACAACAACGGATGATTCGTCGTTTGGCTTTTGGTACCATCGATGCGATTGCTAACTCTTGCTCTTTGGTTTCAAAACATAACATCGCTTTCAAAACAAAAAGAGAGAGAATCTCTTCTCATTCATCAAAGAAATAATAGTAATAGTTCTCTGTAATAATTGAGAAAAGTTAAGGATTGATGAGGTGGGAAAAGATCATGGGTGAGCTGGCACTAGCTCCTCTGAGTGAGGTGTCCTGGATTCGAAAGATTTCGTTTCAATGATTCGTCGAAAACAAAAAAAATCGAAGACCTCTCCCTGCTAGCCTCACATCTACTAAACACACTTTAATGTGTTTCTTAAACAGTTATTAATAATACATATTTATTTGTATACATATATATATAAATACTTTTAAAGAGAGAGAATGAAAAAAACATTTATATTCCCAGATAGAGAAGTCCATGTTCATGGATGTGAGATGAAGATTAATGGTATTGTTATTCCAATGGTCAAGGAAGGAAAGCAGATGTGCTTTTACACAGTCGATGGCAAATGGGTCGTCACTGGTGGAACCACCCGTTCACTAGGATTTGACTTACAACTATACTTTAACGGCATCAATGTCGAGACTGGTAAGCATATTGACTGTAAGCCAAAGGTCACTGTTGGATACGTCCTCCTCTTTATCCTCTTTTTCCTCTTGGGTCTCTTCTTTGGTCTATTTGCCTTGGTCTTGATCCCAATCATTTTCCTCGGATTCTGGCTCGGCTACAGAGACCGTGTAGTCTTTGTCAATCTTCCACAAGCCGTCATTGTCACTCCAGAGGTTGTCGTCATTCCAAACGGCTACCAACAACAAGGTTATGCCCCACAAGGTTATGCCCCACAACAAGGTTACGCTCCACAACCAGGTTACGCCCCACAAGGCTACTATGCTCCAGCTGGCTACAACACCACTGCTGGCGGTGCCCCACAACCATACCAATCATACACCACCCAACAACAGCAACCACAACAACAACCACCACAATACCAACAAGGTCCAACCATAGACGCTGTTATCCAACAAGAGCAAGACCAAAAGGTTTCCGAAAAATCCAAACTTATTGATTAAACCAACCAACAAACAAATCAATTAATTTGTTAATTTATCCTCCAAAACATCCTTATATATATATTATTATATAACCAACTACGTCACGTCATGGTTCAACATTATATTACATTTAATTAATAACCATCTTATTAATAAATAAAATTATTAATCAATTCCTTCCCTTTTTTGTAAATATTAAATGAATCAAAAAAACAAACTTTGGAGGTCAAACTTCAAGTTGTTGTGTAGTTGTTTTTTGTTTTTAGTTTGTTATCTGATCAGATAGTTTAGATAGATAGAGATAAGAAAAGAGAGTTCTAATGAATGTAGGATCAATAAACTCTCCTTTGTTTGAAGGATCAGCTCGTGAGGGTGAGGTTGAAGATCTCACTCAAATCATGTGGAGGGATCCGTTATGGTTACAAATGTTCCCGTTGAATCAAATGACAGTATTGACTTACTTTTCAATGTCTCAGTTCTACGATAAACAATGTAATAATGAAATACTTAAAATGCAAAGATTAGATCCTTCAGCTTTAAAGTAAGAGAGACATAGAGATAGAGATAGAAGAAAGAAAGAGAGAAAGATAACTAATGTTTTATATTATTTATATTTTTCTTTTTAGAACAATGGTAGGAATAGAATATCAAGTTATAAATTATCAAGAACCATCATTATTTTTAATAGCAAGACAATATAGAGAATCACCTGGTGATGTAAAGGTTCAAACATTGTACTATATCATCAATGGTAGTATCTATCAAGCACCTGATCTAAAGGCAGTGTTGACATCTCGTCTTACACAATCATTGTATCATCTACGTCAAGCTTTTGATAAGATTGGGTCAATCGTCAACTGGGATATTGTCAATGGTTACTCTATCAATTTCGATCCCAATGCACATCAAGATAAACTCAAAATAGCTGCCTATACAATCAAACAAATTGAAGATACAAAAAGATTAGGTTTAGTTGTTGATTCTTTATTTAACAAGGTAAGAGCAAATAATAATAATAATAATAACTCATTAATTTTAAACATTGTTAATTATTATTTTTAATTTAGTTTCCAAGACCAATTGAACCTCAATCAGTATCTACACCACCTCAACAACAACAACAACAACAACAACAACAACAACAACAACAACAACAACAACCACCTCAACAACCACCTCAATAATACTAATAATAATAATAATAAAATCAATGTTGTATATAGAATAGAATAGAATAGAATAGAATGGAAATATGTTGGTTTGGATTAGTTTATAACACCGAGCTTTGACAATTATATATGATGTCTTTTTTTTTGGTCGGTGTTATTTATTATATATAATAATTTATTTTCAGGTATTTTTGGATTAATGGTTTTTTTTGAATCATTGATCCTATAAATATTTAAGTTTTTTTGTTTTGATTTACTACCAACCATCTTGTAGGGATTCCAATGCACCTGCTTGTAAATCCTTTCTGTACTTTTCTATACTTTCTTCAAAAATGATGTGATCAAAAATGGAATCTACATTGTCACAATTTGGTAGTAATTTTTGTAATTCTTCTCTTTGATTGGCATCTAATACTTTTAAAATATCTTTGTTAATTATTTCCTTTAAATTTGATATTAATAGGAAAATTAATATTATTATTTTACATAGAAGAATAGATTGTTATTGTAATAAATACATACCTTTACATTTAGATTTGCCAATGGAGAACATTTAGAGGTGATAAAATCTCTTGAAGTGGTATCATTCTCTGGAGTCTTCTTTTTTGATTTAGAAGTTGATCTTTTTGGTTTGCTGTCTTTGGGTTTGGTTGATTTTGATTTTTTGGTACCACTTGGAGCAATAATGGTATTTGAGGAAGAACTCAACATTCCAGATGATGACAATGGGTGAGCATGTTGATCACTACTGAGTGGCGACGAATATGATGATGAAGGTGTAGATGATTGAATTTGAGATTGCATCATTGGTGGTGGTGGTTGTTGTTGAATCATTGGTTGTTGTTGTTGGTGCATCATATGATTCATTGGTAGTGCATGTTGTTGATTATTTGGATAATATTGTTGTTGTTGAATTTGTTGTTGTTGTTGTGGTGGAGAAGATGACAATTGTTGATAATTATAATTTGAAAAATTATTAATACTATTATTGTTATTATTATTATTTGTATTAGTATTAATATTATTATTATTGAAATGTTGTTGTTGTTGGATTTGTTGGTTTAAAGGTGGTTGAGAATTTTGTTGTTGTTGATAGTTTGGTTGTTGTTGATGAGGTGGTGTAGAATATTGTTGCTGCTGTTGAGATTGTTGTTGTTGTTGAGGTTGCTGAGGTTGTTGTTGTAATTGTGAAAGATGATAAATAGAAAATTGATAAACCATTGAACAAAATCTTTGTAGTTCATGTTGTGGTAACTCGTTTGCGATACGGAGGAATCGAGAGAATGCATTTTCAGCGTTTGGTGGACCCAATGCAAAATCATTGGTTGAACTGTTCAAAGCACCAGCTCCAACGACCTGGTTGGAGATGGGAACGGATTTTTGGCTCGAGTGGAGTGGAGAGCTGATCATGGGATCATCTTTGAGGGAAACCATCAAAAGTGGTTGGCTGAGAGATGAGGTGAGTGGAGGAGGATTGAACTTGTCATCTTTGGTCTGCTTTCTTTTCTTGGCTGGTGCCTTTTTCTTTGGACTAGAGATCGATCCTGTCGATGATGAAAGCGAAGAAGGTATTGTCATGGTGTTGGGTGGAGATGACGATGAAAGAGATGGAGGTGGTTGAAGATTTAATACAGATTGTTGTTGTTGTTGTAATAGTTGTGATGGTGTCGTCTGATGGGGAGGTTGTAAAGATGATAATTCGGTGTTATTATTATTAATATTAATATTATTATTATTGTTTGATGGTAAAACAAGATTGGAAGACATATGTAATGCTTGTCGGTTGTAATCGGTCATTGTCATTTGATTGTTATTGTTGTTGTTTTGTGGTGAACTATTCATTTGTAATGGTTCGGGAATAAATGAAAGTTGTTGTTGCATTTGTTGCTGTTGTTGCATTTGTTGTTGCATTTGTTGTTGATGCTGTTGATGTTGCTGTTGTTGATGTTGATTTTGTTGATGGTGTTGTTGAAATTGTTGATTTGATTGAAAATCACACATTGATTGTTGAGGAGTTTGTTGAGAGATTAGTTGTTGATGATGCATTGGGATGGAGGGAGATATTCTGTCATCGGGAAAAGAGTTTGGCGAACTATTGGCAGAATTTGGCACGGGGTAATCAGTCAACATCATTTGGGAGTTTTGTTGTTGCAATTGGTTGTGCACGAGCAATTGATGTTGAAGATTAAATGTATTTTGTTGTTGATGATCCGATGACGACGGTTGTCCCACCGTCATTGGTTGAGGATTGTAATATCCCACCAATTCTTCCTTTTCGTACTGTGGCATTGTCAAGATGGGTGAGCTTGCATTCATCATATCCATCATTTGAAATGAAGATGGGTCGCATCCTCCACTCGAGATGGGAGTCGATCCAGAGGTTGTCGGTTGCATCATCACTGATTTGGAAGACTGTCCATCAAAATCGTATGGATAGGTTGGCGGAGTATTTGATATTAGGTTCATGCTACTATTACTATTGCTAGTACAAAAGTTGTTCAAATCACCACCACCAACGATCGATGATGGAGTAATGATATTGTTGGAATTGATATTTGGGGTATTATTTGCAGAGGTTGTATTTACAGAGGTTGGTTGTTGTGGAATGGTAGTGATGGCTATTGTGGTTGGAATATTGGTAGTAGGTTGTTTCTTTTGGGTCCTCTTTGCAGTGGTAGTAGAGGATGATGCACCTGATCCACCAGCTGGTTTCTTTGGTTTGGAAGTTGAAGATTTTCCAGAGGTCGACGACGTTGTAATAGTTGGAGGTGGTAGATCGATTGGTTTGTGGATCATATGTAATTGTTGTTGCTGTTGATGATTGTCCATTCCATCAACAGTTGAATTGATAGATATCATTTGTACCTGTGGCGCGCCATTATTATTATTTCTCATTTGAGGATTGGTTATATGTTGTGGTGTTTGCATTTGCGATTGATTCATATCAATAAAATATGGTGTCTGTGCACCAACCGAACCATTATTATTGTTGATATTATTATTGTTATTATTAATATTATTAGTATTTTGTTGTTGTGGCGTTGTTAACATTTTTAAGAAATAATCTATAATTTAGAAATGTATATTATATTATTTATGATGATGATGATGATACATGTATCAAGTAGTGTAATGAATGAGTGAATGGAAAGTATGAGTAATTGTTGTTAATAATAAAATACAACCAATGAAATATTAAATTATAAATATATAAATATAGGTCTATCTAAACTAACTAGTTCTCTCTATTCTATTCTATTCTATTCTATTCTTACCATTATTCAAATCTTCATTTTGTATTTGATACATTTTTGGTCAAATATTACAATAATCGATTATTATATTATTATTACTACTATTATTATTTAATTAATTTTTTATTTGATTGTTTGCGCAAAGCTGAAAAAGGAAATAAAAAAAAACAAAAGAAGTACGTTAATAAATACGGTACTGTACAAGATTCTAAAAAAATGAGAGAGAGAGAGAGAGAGAGAGTGTAGAATAAATATATATATATTCAATATTGAATCAAAATCATCGCATTGGATTTTAAAAATAAAAAACTAACCAATAAAATTTAATTATAGGAATGAAAAGAATTAAAACAAATAAAATAAATAATAAATTGAATGGGCGACTGCAGTCTTTAATGAGGGTGAGACTGACAAAGAAGAAGACTAGAGTTTGTTCACTATTATTATTTAATATTATTATTATTATTATTATTACAAGATCGTCGTTGTAAGAGATAGAGATAATGAATGAATGAATGAATAACGATTCAACTGACTGATATATCTATATCTATATCTTATCTATCAATCACAAACGTTCAACGTCTCGTTGGGTCAACGGAATATATCGTGACGAAATCAATCTTACAAAGAAAGATGATTGTTGCTGTTTGTGTTGTGTGTCATACAGGCTAGACTGGCTGACTGAATGATCAGTGTTTCTATTCCCACTGACCAATTAATCCAAAGAACTGCGATGATGATGATGATGATGATGATGATGATGATGATGATGATGATGATTATGATGATGATGAAGAAGAAAGATATCTTACTACTGCAGTTGAATCAACAAGAGTAAGAGTAGTACAGCAGTAATAGTACAGTGTAGCAATAATAATAATGATATCAACCAATTCAATCAATCAATCAGTCAAAGTATATGCACCTACTACTTCTTCTTCCTCTTCTTCTTCTTCTTGTTGTTGTACTTGTTCTTTGGTGATGATGGAAATTTAATATTGATAAAGGAGTGTGGAGGACATTAATTATGTGACGCTGGCTGACTGAGTGAGATGGATGGATGATTAAAATTGATAAGGAGAAGAATTTAGAATGAAAGAGAGGAAGAGAGTTGGGTTCCAACCATTAAACAAAACATATAACACAATTGAATTGTTGTATTTGTTTGTTTCACAATTTAAACCATTTTTGATGGTGGTGAGAGAGAAGGTGTGTGTGTGTGATTATTTGATTTGTTGAATTCCCTTCCCTCCTCCAAGCAAGTAAAGTAAGTACTAACTAACTATATAGTGATGGAAATGGTGTTATGTTTTGTTGATGGTGTTGTGTTGTGTTGTGTTGGGATGGGTTGGGAAGGGTTGAGTGAGCCCACCATGGGCATGGTCAAAGTTGATGGATTAAATGTGGTGGTGTGGGTGGATGGAAAGGGGGGAAGGCACAACTGTTTGTGGTTGGTAGTAGTTAGAGTACTCTAACCCTAACCACAACACATTAAAACAAAAATCCAAACAAAACAGATATATACAATTGTTGTAGTGAGCCACCTGCATATATATATATGTGTGTGTGTGTGTTGTTCGTACAACAAATAAATAAGATTTTATATAAATTTAAATATATAAAGAGAGAGTCTTTTAACTTACATTCAAAGCTGGATGATGGAAGGTATCCAATTTTAAACTTTTTAAAAACCGGCGCCAACAACAATAAACTGAAAATTAGATATACAACTAGATATCTAAAGCCGTCGTTGTCAGTAGTGATTCCAATTTTAAAAAATCAACAAAATTAATTTTAAATTGATTTTTTTTTTTAAATGGGTGCACAATCGAATTGCAGCGATCGAAACTGAAATGAAAAAAAAAAAGATCTTGGTTCCCAACAATGCAAGTAGTAGTAGTTATAAAAATAGACTAGAGGGTATTGTTGATGATTCTAACGAGACCTCCTATCGTATTTCCTTTGGTACTGGATGGATAGATGGATGAATGAACCAAAAAAATAACAAATTTGGTGATGTGTTTTATTTGGTGTGAGAGGAGTAAGAGAATAAGTAGAGGAAGAAGAAAAGGAAGATGAAGATGGAGAGGTGCCTATTTTGTTGGTGTTGTGGAATAGAGAAAAAATATTAAATTAAATGTTTATATAAATTGGAAAAAGAGACTTTGTACAAAAATGGGAAGGTTTTATAAAAAAATATATATACTACTAAAATGAAGTACTGGATGTATCTATCTATGTATGTATCTATTCAAGAATGGAAAATGAATCCCAATTGTTCTTGTGTGACCAACTTTTGATCAATTATAATTGGCTTGTTGATGGTTTGTTGTTGGATTATTGGCTAAATAGTGTTTCTTTTCTTTTGGGTAGGTAAGATAAGATATCCTTAATCCTGTTGCTACTGGTGATTTTTCAAAAGTCTCTCACCTTGTTTTTTTTTTTCTCTTTTGCTAACAATGGATGGGATGGATCGATAGCGATATATATTTTAAATTGTATTTTAATGTTTTTTTAAAAAGAGAGAAAAAGAAACAACTTCTATTTTTATCGTAACCCTACTTTGAACCGGCTGCTGATGAGGGCTGCTCTGTCCTCACCTTGGCAGATAGTACCAAATATATTTGTACATAGAATGTTGTGTGTTGTGAGGGTGTGTTGAGTGGTTGTTTTCCAAAGATAAACAAGTAGTGATCATCAGATGAGCCCATCACCAACCTCTCAGTCCCTCTTCATGTCTGTTTACAATCGTAGACCACTCTTTAATACAGAGTTGTAGAGCGGGGGTGGGGTGTGTGGGTGTTTGATTGGTACTCATTGTAGTTACCACAACATCACCCACTCTTTTAAAACCCACCACCCATCAATCCAATTGTGTGTGTGGTGGGTGGGGTGATCAGATCATTTTGATTGGGTTCATATTTTTTTGTATCCCTATCATTTTTGAGGATGGTTTTGTGTGTGTGCGTGGGTGTGGATATAATGGTCAAATCACTATAGATCGATCTATAGTATGTGGTATTCAATTGGAGGTGGTAGGGGTTAAGGACTAGTATTGGTTGGTTGGTTGGCTTCTTTGATGAATGAAATTCCATTTTAAATAATTAATTATTCATCCTGCCTATCACAATTATTGATCAATTTAACATACATTAAAGATATAGGACATATTGGCATTAAAGTAGATAAATGTGTGTGGAGTGGAAAATCTTCCACTAAACTTGATCATCGTATAAAATTAAAGATTTGAAAGTTGATGACAACATCAACAATAACTTTACCAACAACAGATTGTATTTCTGACTTTTGGTCATTCTATATATTGTACAATTAAAATTAAATCTTGTATTTACATGTCGTCAACATCAACATCATTTTTAATGAGCCGACAAAGATTTATCGACGCCGGCGGAATTCATATATGTCTCTATGGCCGAAGAGTCTTTCTTTAAATTTAATGTTTCCATCCTTTTTCATGTCCATCTATATTAAAGATTTGAATATTAATATATGTACATGCATATCGGATGTTTTTAGTTTTAAATACCTTCCATTTGTGGTTCTAAATAGCCTCTAAATGATTCACCCGATGCATCCCATCTTAATCCATAACCAAGATAATTTCTAATTTCAATGATAGTTATATTATGCTTATGAGAAAGAAAGATATTAATATTAATTAGTATTTTGTCATTGACTCCTCAACAATACTTACAGGTAATAAATGAATATTGATCCAAGTGGGATCAGATAGAATGGATACCATTACTTTCTCAGCCCTTAGATTTTTAATTGGTTCAGGTCCTTTTCCAGAACCCCAAAATGAATTCTCTGATCTTATACCATGTTTACATAAAGCTCTTGATGATACTGTCAATTTAGATGCACTCTTTGGTGAATGTAATTGGTTACTTGTATTTATAAGTTTAATTGGTCTAAAGAAAGAGAACAATATAAGTAAAGGTGTAATAATAATACAGCTTTTCATAGTTTAACATACCCAGGTGGAAAATAGGTATCTACAGAACCCAAAGTTTTTCTTACTCCAAACATGGTTAATATACATCTCATGGTAAGAGGTTTTAAAAATTGATAAACTTGTTCTTCCTTGTCTTTTATCATATCGTTCTTCCAATTTGAAATTAAACGAACCAATCTATCTGTATTGGTTTGATTTGTTAATTGATTAATTTGAATTGTAATTGGAGGAGGTGGTGTTGTCGTACTAGTCGTCGTAGAGGTTGATGATTCAGGTGAATTTAATGAAGTAGTATTATTTTCATCAACCGATTTCGTAGTAGATGTAGATGTAGATGATTCTCTTTCTTCTCCTTCTTGTTTGACGTTATTATTATTATCAATGGTATCTTTAACAATGACAGTTTCATTTAAACCATAAAGTTGATTAAAACTAACTGGAAACCTTTGTAATGCACCCCAGGCATACAATACAATACCAACCTAAAATAATAATATTTGGATTAATATATATATATCATCGGAGATGTATACCAATAACTAACCTAACTACATACATGTTTGTGATATGGTTTAGAAGGATAATACAACTTGTTATTCTTTAACAACATTAAATAATCCAATTGATTGTCATAGTTGAACTTGGTAGCTTGCAGAGGATCGAGAAATAGTGTAGGTTGTTCATCGTCTCCAATCAATTGTTTCAATTCATCTTGGCTCAAATGATCTATTATAGAATAGAACTAGTCGTTAATATATATATTTATATATCCTTTTGATTATGTCTGTCTATCTCTTACCAAAAGGATAAACCACTATATTAGAGTGTGTATCTTGCAACCGTTCTTGTTTTTGTTCTTCTTGGTCACCATTTGCTTTGATTTCTTTTTCACCATCATCTTCTTTTTCTTTATCATCATGTTGTTCATTTGTTGTAGTTGTAATGGTGACAGAAGATAGATGCTTGACAATGATACCTTTGATAATAGATTGTAATTCTTCAAGTACATTTAGATCAAACTCACTACTACTACTACCACTACTGTCTTCAAGAACTTTGACAGGCTCTGTCAGAGTTGATTCTTCATTGTTGTCTTGTAGTAGCGTTATATCAACCATTGATGGTGTTGTTATAGTCTCTGTTGACATATCTTTTTCTTTCTTTCTAACTATCAATCATCCATTGATATGATATCTATGATCATAGATGGTTGTGTCATTGTTTGTTTCTACATACTTGTGAGAAAAAAAAAAGAACCAAATCAAAATTCAGCATCACAAGTCGTCTGTACCGGAAATGGGGATTAATTTAATTAATATATACAACAAACTTAATTATTATTTTTATTATTATTATTATTTATAAAAGGGGTATTATTATTATTATTATTAATATAGTCTATGGGAAAAGTGGAATGAAACCTTCATTAATTTCTCTTTTATCTGGTCTAAAATGTGAAGTTGCCAATTCAATCCATGAATGATATAAACCTAAATCTGTTAATTGAGAGAAGTAGAAGAAAGAGTTAATAAAATACAATTCGAAAAAGTACTAGAATAATTTGTAATTAATTAATTAATTATAACAACATACCAAAATTTTGTCCAAAGTCATGTGCTCCTAGAATCTATAAAAGACAATCAAATCAAATCAAATGATCTAGTATTAGTATATAAATATTTGTGTGTTATATATATATATATATATATATATATATATTTAAATATTTTTTGTAATACAAACCTCATGAGTTACATCACCCTGTTTGAGTAAGAAAAATACTTGTACAACATGACCTTCGTCGTAGGCTCTCTTGCACATATCTTTATACTTTTGATTATTAACATGACCGGTGATCTGGTTTTCATCACTGACTCCAAGTACCATTTTGTTAGTGGCGTTATCGTAACTGTAAATCTTGCCTACAATGACAACATTAAAGATACCAGCATCTATGCATGGGTCTATCAATTGTGGTTCGATTCTAACAAATGTTGATGTTGATTGTTCAGGTGATACTCTTTTCTCGTATGGTTGTTGTTGTTGTTGTTGATCAGCCATTATATTATTATTATTATAGTATATTATAAGTTCTATAGGCATGCACAGATACAAAGATTGTTCAAACTTTCAATACAAAAGTTAAAAGAAATTAAAAAACAAAAAGGGAGGGAAAAATTCAAATTTCCTCGAACTCTATTTTGTTAATATTTTTTTTATTGCGTATAGAATGCGTGTGTATATATGTATGTGATGTATGTATGTATATATATTTAGATTTGATCGATTAATGCTTCGATAGCATCAATAAAGTGTGGTTTGTTGGAGCATAGTGGATGGTCCCATTGAACTGACTGTTGTTGTTGTTGTTGGTTCTGTGTAGACTCTTGTTGTTGTTGATGATGTTGGTTCTGTGCATGTGGATTGATGGTGAGAGTCATGGATAGGGTCGGATTAGAGGACTGGCAAAAGTAGTCGTCGGGACGAACGTTGGTGGTCTCTTGGTCGATCGAAAGGATGGTTTGGGCAATCTCGTGGTATGTAGTCTCTGGAATACCGATTTCAAGATACTCTCCTTCGTCACTCGACACGATAATCTCATGACGATCGAGGTCAATTTCAAACGACAGAACCCTATCACGTGCAGTCTCTTGTCTGGTAATGGAAAATTTGGTAAATGGTAAATAATAGTCTTGGCTACGTGCCAACAACAATTTGTTGTTGGCCATAAATAATAGTATAGTAATAATTATATATGAATAATGATAAAGTAGTACTTGTCTCATCATGGAAAAAGGAAATTATAGTTTTGATTTTTGGTTTTGGTATTTGGTATTTGGTTGGATATAGTTGATTGTTGGATTGAATTGGATTGAATTGGATTGGTTGGATAGTTGATTTGATTTGGTTTGGTTGAACTATAGTATTATCCAAAAGTACAGCAGCAGCAGCAGCAAGCAAGCAAGAAATTTATAACAAGCAAAAGTCTTGGAATAGGTAAGATAGAGATTATTGAATATAGATAAGGATATAAATATAGATGGATATATATATAAATGGCAATTATAATTATAATATTAATATCAATCTTAGATTAAGAATCTTTATTTTTATATATATGGATATGAATATAAATATATATATATATATGTTCCAGGATAAGGTTAAAAATTTGGTAATTTGGAAAACTAAATGATGGTTGGTTGGAATCCAAACTAAAAGGACTCCAAATCCTCTTGTATTTATAACCATCGGCTGCATCAAATAACTTTATTGTTATTGTTGTTGTTGTTGTTGTTGTTGTTGTAGTAGTATACATCGCACACACACGCACACATAATTTTTATCATATTTAATATTTGCGTCATATACAATAACAACAAACAGTTGGAATTAATCGACACACACTTGGTCACTTGGTTGTTGAGGTGGTAACTACGTAGACAAGTAAGACATATTGAATAGTATATTTATGATCTCTTTAATTTAAAATACACACATTTACTATCACCGGTTGATTTATTTTAATTCTACAGATTCGTTGATACATTAAACGTTTGAAGGGTTCTAGTGGTAAACGATCGAAATTAACAATATATAATTAATTGGCAATTATAGATAAATCTATATAAAGATGAACCAAACGCTAACCAACTATATATGTATGTATGAAGGATTATAACAAAATTTGAACAAACAAATTATTTTAACGCCCATCACTAACTGATCAGAAGATAAAGAAGTAACACATTCCTCTTTATTTAAAGTTTATATAAGTGGAAACAAGATTGATTGCCATGTATGACTAATCCACATCCGATAATATGATTCATAAAACAAAGCTTGTGATTGGATATCGGCAAACTCTTTATCATCTAACGAGCCAGAATGTGTAATTTACAACAAACGTATTTTCAAACAATCTTTATACTGGAATAGTGTAGTGTTTAGTGTTAAGTGGTTCACTAATTAATATATCTGCATCACACCACACTTTCACTTTGATGGTGGGGTTTGTCAACCTATATTCCAACAACAAACAAAAAAGTCAAACCATCAATCACTAAAATGTTAGGTCAAATTAGAAGGCAAGTCGTTTCGTTTTAATATTGGTATGTCATGTGATATGACAGACAGTAAGTATATCATTATATCTATTTTATTTAATCAAATTAGATAATATTATAGGTCAAGATCAATTAAATATTTTGACTATTTTTGATCTAAAACAAAAATTAAATATAAACAATATTATTATTATTATTATTTACAATCAAAATTTTTTTTTAAAGATCTTCACTCCACTTGTTTGTCAAAATAGATGAACTAATCTATATCTTATCAATCTCAACAATTAGCATTTAAACTCTGTTTTTTTTTTTTTTTGGATCAACTTTGATTGATTGATCAATCAAATCAAATCTGGTATAATAATATATAGTTGATTGGTTGTAATGTTAATATGGTTTTGGGATTTATTATTGTTCTTTTAAATTATTATTATTATTATTTAAACTATTATTATTATTATTGGAGTTATATAGTTGATTGAAAAGGGTGATTTAAACCTCACCTCTTGCCAATCTTTCAAGTAGATCATCCAAATCATCACCCAAACCTGATCCACAGTTCATTTCTGAACTACTATTTAGATTGTTAGAGTCACTTGATATGGATACACTCATATCGTATGATTTGTTGTCTGCACCGTTGAGTGTTGGACTGGTCATATTATTCTCCTTGAGTAAATCATCAAAACTAAGAATATTACTATTGATAATCGATTCCAAATCTTCAAATGTAAATGTTTCTCCATCAATTTTAATTGGTTCTTGTTGTTGTTCTTGTTGATAATTATCCTCTTGAATTTCCTCTGGTTGTTCATAATATTGTTGGTGTTCAGTTTGTTCTTCTTGTACATATACTTGTTGTTTTTCTTCTGGTTGTTGTTCATAATATTGTTGTTCTTCTGCTGGTTGTTGTTCATAATATTGTTGTTGTTGGTCTTGTTCATATTGTTGTTCTTCATAATAATTTTGTTCTTCTTCATTATATGTTTGTTCTTGTTCTTCTTGTTCTTCTTCTTGTAAATGTTCTGTTTCGATTTGTACAGTATATGATCTTGGAGGTGGAGGTGGAGGTGGAGTAGCGGCAAGTTTGGACGCTTGTGGTGGTGGTGGGGGTGGCACAGCACCGTTGGATGTATTTACAGGGTTCTTTTGGAGTGGTGCCGTGGCGGGTGGAATCTGAGGGAGTTGTCTTCCACCACTTGTCTTTCTTGGCACAACAGCAGGTGGAGGTGATTTGGCCAATGACGATGTTGACGAAGACAATGTTGATGGTAGTGGTGGTGGTAAGTCATCATAACTATTGTTAATAGTTGTTGTGTTGGCGTTGATGTTATGGTCATTTTGGATGGCAGTTTGATATTCATTCTCTGAAATCGAAAGTGAAGGTGGGAGAGAGCTGGGAAGAGGTGGTGGTGGAGGTGGAAGGTTGGCAGGCACATTGGTGTCGTATTCGTCGATGGCTGGAGGTGGAAGGGGCAGCTTGGAGAATGATGTCTGGGCATACTCATCGACATCGCCGACAAGTGGAGGTGGAGGTGGTAGACTGTGACTGACATCTACCGCAGCTGGAGCAGCCGGTGTCATTGGAGCCTGTGAAGGTGAAGGGAAGTTACGAGGTGGCAACGATGGCTTGGCCTTGAACGACGACGGTTGTGGAGGTGGGGGTGAAGAAATGGATTGAGCGTGTGCTGGTGGGCTGGCAGCTGGCTTTTTGGCAACTAGGTTGGGTGTTGGCACAGCGGCTCTCTTTGCCAATGGTGGTGGGGCTGCCTTGTTGACAGGCTGTGCACCATTTTGAACGGGTGATCTGGCTGGTGGAGTAGTTGCAGCCTGTTGTTGATTTGGTTGGGGTGGCACAGGGATCGGAGCAGCAGCAGCTTTCTTTAATGCTGTTGGAGGTGGTTTTGGTACAAATGCAGATGGCTTGGCATTGTGCGAACCTTGCTGTGGTTGAGGTGGAGCAACCTTTCTCAATGGAATGGTTGGTTTTGCAACGGCTGCGGATGGTGGATCAGCTGCCGTAGCGACAGTTGCCGATGTTGGAGGTGGGGCAGCTGTAGTATGTGGTGCCACTGTTGGAGGAGGTTTGCGCATGGGTGGTGGTTTACGAACAAATTGTCCTCCTCCTGCTTGTTGAGATTGGGGTTGCGATTGCACAATCATTGATAATCTAGCCTTTGTCTTTTCAGGATCATTTTCAATAAAATGTTTAATTATAATTCCCAATATTCTCATCATTGTCTCTGGTCTTGTTTCCCACATATCTTTTTTAAAAAAAACAAAAGTTAGAATTATACTTTAATCTTTTCATTTCTTTTCTTTTCTATTTATATTTATATATTTACCTTCACCATTAATATTAACTAAATTGACACCAAGTACTTTTAAGAAACGAAGAATGATATTATGATTTTCAATGATTTGAATCTTGGTCGACGGACTGCGATTGAAATCTTTGATTGGGAAACCAGAGAGACTTTCCAAGAGAATGGCAAGGACTGTACCATCCTTGAGATCAGCTTCCAAGTTTTCGATTCTTTCTTCTTTTTGATGTTCCTCTAATTTCTTGTTGATCCATTGAATGATGACCTGTTGACTTTGTTCCTTTTTAGGTACTGATCTGAGCACCTGAGTTTGAGCAGCTCTCTTGGCACTCAATTCAGCCATCAATGCATTACCTCCAAATCCTCCACCTGCTCCCATACCAGGCATTCTTGGTGGTAGTTCTGGTTGCTGTTGTTGTTGTTGTAATTGTGCAGGTTGAGGTGGTGGTCCTGATGGTGGTCCTCCACCAGCTGGTAGTGGTGGGGGTCTTTGAGGTGGACCTTGTTGATTACTATGTTTTGATACCATTTCACTATTATTATTATTATTGGTTGTTGAGGTAGTGTTACTTTGCTTTTGGTTGTTGGATGGTGTATTATTTACAAGTTCGTCGTCCTTGGACTTGAACGTATCCTTTTTCTTTTTAAATACCAATTTACAGGTTCCTATTTTTTCGTTTTCCCACTTTTTAAAAAGTGATCCTGGATACTCGTTATCTGCTAGTTCACGACAATTCTCTCCTACAGATAATCAAGAGAGAAAAGGAATATAATATATATTCGAATAAAGGGTGGTAATTTAAATTTGGATTAAAAGATAGATATATAAAATAAAAATAGAAATATTGTTAATAAAAGGTAATGGTAATAGTTGGTATTTTTGAGAGCAAGAGAGAAAGAGAGAAAGTAGAATTAAAAGAAAATAATATAAATGATCAAAAATATATATATTTTGATATGGATGGGAGGATTGATGGATGACTAGATGAGATTTGTGATGTTGGTTTTAATTATTATTATTATTACTACTATTCACTCTTAACCAAGTTGGATGGGTGGGTGTGGGGGGTGGGATGGTCGATTGATTGATATGATACAAATGGTTATATTTATAATTGTTGTTACGATAAATACGGATATGGTAAAAGGTAATAAAGAGTATTATAAAGATCGATGGGTGGGTTGACTGACTGATTGTAATAATAATAATAATTATTATTATTATTTTGTTGATTGAAAATAGAATTGATTGATAATAATATTATTCATTCCAGACGCGTTTACTTATTGTTGTTATCCTTCCTCTTTCTCTCTCTCTTTGTGAACATGACACATGATTGGGTTTCATCTTGCTGAATTGCAGAATGATGGGTGGATGGTGTTCAATTATGCAATTGTAGTGAGAGTAGGGTGGGTAGGATTGGGTTTGTATTTCACACATACAATCAATCGCGCGCGCGGTGTTGTTGATCAAACACACCAAACTATCGATCCATCCAGGCAGAAAATGGTATTTTGTGTTCACCATCCCCAACCCACACCCCCAACAAATATTAAAACTATAATTTATATATCGAACGGTTCGACCGCATCACCTCTCTCTCTTACCTACTAATATTATTATATTCTACAAAGATATAGATAGATAGATAGAGATAGAGATATATATATTTTTTAAAGACATACCTGAAGATTCTTTTGTTGCAACAAACAAGAGCATTCCATTTTCTTTTGGGGCTGTTATCTTTTCTAAAATGATTTGGACTACCTTTGGAGTGGGATCATTTTCATCAACCACCATTCTTTTATAACTACCATCCACAAAGCATACTTTGATAATTACATCCTAAAAGTGTGAGTGAGTGTGAGTGTGTGGTTAGTCATCATTCTCTCATTGTCACAATTGTGTCTTTATCCACCAATCAAATCGGCGATTGGCAGTCATTTTTTGATATTCATATAAAAAAGTAGATATATAACTTACAGTTGGTCCCATTTTCGTTTTCTATTGTTTCTCTCTTTTTCTTTTCTTTCTTTTTGTTGTGTGAATTAAATAAATAAATAAATAAATAAATAAATAAATAAATAAATAACCTATACTATGAATAATTTTATTTGTTTGTTAATGAATTGCAATGATCAAAATTATATTTAATTATGGGGTGGGTTGGTTATGTTACAAATATATATGATATGATTGTTTATATATATATATCTCTCTCTCTACACTTCTATTTAACATTATTATGACTATAACATATATTTAATAAGATAGGGATTGCTTGGTTTATCGTCTCTTTGGTACCAACATGTTTTCCCCTCTTCCTCTTATTCATCGTCGTCCGTTAGTTTGAGGGGAAACCCACACAACACACATTCTAAATTTGTCTCACACACCATTAATGTATTGACTTTTGATTCCCTTTCCTCCCTCTACACATTCCTTTTGATTCATTGTAATAGACGTCTGTTTCATATCCCTCCTCTTGCTACAACATTTTAATGTGATTGTTTACAAGCGATCAATCATATAATACAATCGATTGATTCTGTTCTTTGAAAAACATCTGTGTATCCTCTCTTGTGTCTGTGTTTAGTTTAGCTGTAGTTTACTTACTCTCTCTTGAAAAGTGTCAATGACTAATTAATTATATTGTACTAATTATTCTTTCTTTAAGAGTGTTTGTGTGAATATTATTACAAGGATAAATAAATATAGATATAATGAGTGTTTTCTTTAAAAGAATGATCACTTTACTTTCTGTGGGGGCCGGCACTTTGGGTCGTTGGACAAAGGGTGTTGTGATGGTTTTATGAAATTCTGAACGATCGGCAGATTCTGTCCGATTTCAGATAATTTTTTGATTTTTGCCTAGATGAATGGAGGGAAAGAAGTAGAGTCGGCTACTACTTTTTTTTAATGACGGATTTCTCTTAAAAGTCATTCAATCATGAAGTATTGGGGGGAATTTGACTTTACAACTTTTAGAGGCAATAGCTATTGATCAATCAGTGAGCGCTGAGTTTATTCGACGTCCCAAAAGATGGGGAAACTTAATTAATTAATTCATTTGTGGGCAACCCAACAATCTAAGTGGATCGGAGAGGGAGCAAAGATGGAGGACGAGGTTTTATGATAAATGACAATGGCTGGCTGACCATGATCGTTTATTAGATTATCAATATTGACATCGTCGATGATCGATGAACACATTCATGATTACTTTTGATAATTTGGATCTAGATAGTTTGATGTTCCGCCTCCGTATGAAAATTTGTAGTCACTGTCTAGATAGTAATCAGTCTCTGCAGGTGTTTTATAGCATATCATGTGATGTGAACTCTTGTGTGATCCAATCTTTTCATAAGAGTCATGACAACTTTGGCAAAGGTCAATATCCTCTATACACTCTTCACATTTATATCTATATCCTACAATTGGTTCTTGATCGCATCCATCACATTTATATCCTTCATGTATAATTGATTGACGATGACTATTATTATTATTCTTTGTAGTGGATGTTGATGATGATGACGACGACGATGATGATGATGATTTCGATGATGAGGACGATGATTTCTTTTTGGTAGAGCTGTTGCTGCTACTACTACTTGATTTTAATGTATTTGATGTACTACTACCACCACTACTACTTCCAATACTATTACTACTCGATTTTAATGGATTTGATGTACTTGAACTTGAACTTGTACTCCCACTACTATGTGATAACTTCTTTTTCTTTTTTCTTTCATTATCCATATCACGATCATCACGACTGCTACTACGATTAATACCATCCATTTTACTTGACTTGCTTTTTACATATGATTCATCGTCCATATGCTTTTTCTTTGGTGATGGTTTAGGGAATAGTGACTATAACATAAGATCAATGAGTATTTCTATTCTATTCTATTAAAAAGTTGTAAAGTAACATACGGGAGCATTTGGAGGTTTACCAGGTACTGGTAATCCCATTTTAGTTAGTTTAACAAAATACTTTTGAACTCTACTGGCCACTTGCTTTGGTGTCCTCGAACCAAGATCATCGGCAATCTTTTTCCATCTATGTGTTGCTATCTCTTCTTCGGGGTATTTAAGTAACAGTGAATTAAGCTTTTCCTGTTCTGTAGATGACCATGGTTTCATATGTGACTCTGTTTCTTTTTCAGTAAATGGTCTTTTCTTCTTTGATGATGATGATGAAGAAGGAGGTGAAGAAGGATTAGATGATGATGACGAGGTTGGTAATAACAATGGTATCTTGATTGGAGTCATTTCTAATAATGAAGAAGACAATGATTGTTTTGTTGGAGTCGTCATCGACGAAGATTGACTCGGTGGAGGTGAACGAATAATCTTCCCATTTGATGTTATCTCTATGATTGGTACTTGATGAATAGGTTGTTTACCAGGTAATTGTATTTTCTAGAGAAAGTATAAAAGTAAACAAGTTGTTAGACCGACTCATCATTATTCTCTCTCGCGATCATCTCGATCATCATCATTCATCGTTTTACATACACCTTCAATTAGCGATTCAACAAATTGTATTGGATCATTGATTGATTGCTTAAATAGAGTCTTTAATGATTCGATATCATTCTCTCTTGTCTTTCTCTGTTGCTCTAGTATCTCCAATGCACTCGTTAGCTGCTTGTATTCATCTGAAGATTGAATATTTCTTTCCATATCTTAATAAGCTAGCTATATTCTTCTGTGTTGTTTTGTTGTATGTGTTATCTAATATCCATGAATATTCTTTATCTATCTATACTCAATATATAATATATTAATGATTATTAATCTTAATAATGAATATCCATTCCCAGCTCTTGAATTTTTATTTTATTTATTTATTTATTTAATTTTTGAGCTTTTTGAGGGGTACAAAGAGGGAAACTTTTTGTTGTTGTTATTAATACTATTAAAAAAGATATTTGAAGAGAGAGAGAAAAGTTACTATCTTCTTTCACCAATCAATTTCAAAAAGATGAGATTGTCATCAGAAACGCCAATGGGAAAGTAATTATACAAAAGATAGTCCACAAACGGGTAGTTCTCAAATCAAGACCAAATATTATGTTGTTGTCTGACCAAGATTTGGATCAAAGATTGGGAGCTCTTCAAGACCAACTTGTGCCAATTAATTGTTTTAGAAAATAGTATACTAAAAAGAATTAATAGTCATAAGTTGGTCTTGATTTGAGCTCTTAACCAAGTACTAGTATTCAAGATCAATTTTTTTAAATATCATTATTGTAACATCTAATTACTGTTTGTAAAGGTAAAGGAAATAGAGTGTTTATTTTATTTATTTATTTATTTATTTCAGGATCGTTTGGTTGGAAAGAATGTACATTATTATTATTATTATTGTGTTAGGGTGAATGGTTGTTTACAAAAAAGGGGAATGGAAATAATATTATATATAAAGTTGATTTGATTTTTCTTTTTTTAATTATTTGGTTTCATCTTATTAAATACATCTTTAAACTTGTCTCTATTTAATTTACAATCGATTGCTTGTGATTCCAATTTGGTCAATAGAATCTTTAATTGATCGATCGATTGGAATAATTCTTGATACTTTTGATCGGTCAGTTTGGAGAAATGATCAATCATACGTGATCCCAATTTTTGAAACAAAGGATCCAAAAAGAATGCATTTAATTTGTTTCTCATAAACTTTGAAAAGAAGAAACGAATACCAGAAAATAATTTACCTGCAATCATACAAACTTTTCTATAAGTTTCTTCATCAATTCTACGTGATTTTGTATTACTATAAAAATTAAAATTAAAATTAATAATTAATTGTAATATTTGTTTGTTTCTATTTATATTTATATTTACATTTCAAAACTTTCATCAATTGGATTTGATTCCATTATTGCAACAACTCTTTGTTTAGTTTCTTCCGGTGTTACTTTGATATAATTGTATTGTTTGATTTCATTGAGACCATTGAGAAGATTCCAATCGACAATCTTTGTAAAAGTGTCAAAGTCATCTTTGAGACGTGTTTTACAATCGGCTTCAATCTCTTTGATAAATGTAAAGTATTGTGATTTGAATTCCTCCAAGAATGATGCATACAATGATACTGTATGATACTCTTCATTGGATAATATCGATACTCCAATATCAAATAATCTCTTAAATATATATGAACATCTTTGTAATGCTATATCAATCAATGGTAATAATACCTTTTTAGATTTAATTTGAAATATATTTGTTGCCTAAAAAAAAAAATGTTAATAAATATAATATGTACTTTTCTTTTCTTTTTTTTTTTGACTTACAGCCAATTCATAAATTGGGGAATTATGTAATTTTGAAATACCAATAGCAGATGCAACTTCATTGATACTAGTTTCAGGGAATTCTCTTGAATGAACGACATACTCTAATTCATTTAGTAGACGTTCAAATTGAGCACCGCCATACAATGCAAACTTTGCATTTTGAATATCGAATCCAAAGTTAAAGTTGGGCCATGTTTGAACACAACATTGCTCCAATTCCTTTTCAAGTGTTTGACCATACTTGTCTGGATCACCAACAACACTACCTTCTAGTAGTCGTTCAATTTGACTATTGAATCCTTGAACGTATTGGAGTACTTTGAATTTAAGTGTTTGAAGATTGTTTTCATCCAATTCCTTACGGACACGTTCAATTTCCTTGTCGGTACGACGACAAATATTTTCCAACGATGTGAGTGATGGTACAAGATTCTGTTGATATCTTTCGTGTAAATGACGTTCAACATATTCCTTGACCTTGTAAATACCAATCTGTGCACCAAAACGATTCTCATCGAATCCAATCTCTAACAACTTTCTATAGTCTTCCAAGTAACACTCTTTACATGCTTCTTTGAATTTGTATGGATCCAAATTACGCTTCAAAGGGAGACTGATGAAAAAGATCTTTTTACCAGTTACTATTCCTTCACCTTCCAAATACTTGTGTGCAGACTCTCGATTTCTTAATTCTTTGACTCGATTATCAAACTTTGTATTAATTAATATAGTTCTTGTAAAATCTGGATCAATCTTTTTAATTAATGGTCTACTAATTGTATTTGCCCACTAAAAATTAAAAAATAAATAAAAATTAATAAATATAATTATTCTTTTTTGTTTTTGTTTCTGTTTTACTTACTTCAACATTTGATTGTTCCAAACAAACAATGATACGATGTTTTGGTTCAATTAATTTTTTAACCATGTCTAGAATTTCATATTTTAATCTTTCATCACCACCTTTTCTAAAACCTGGAGTATCGTAGATATTTAGATTGGCACAATGAGCAAATTCGACACGTAAAAAGATTGGAAAGGAAGAGACTCTATCACCTCTAGCTCCAGTCAAATCATTGGTACGTCTAACAATCTCTTCAGTCAATTCTTCAGCTGGTGTTTCATGTTCTTCCCACTTGTCCTCCAACGATCCAATACTTGTGCCATCAATCAAATGACACTCCTTTTTAAATCGACATGATGGTTCTTGTTTACTTTGATTATTAATCATTTGAATAATTAATGGTCTTCTTGTACCAATATCTAAATAGAAAAAGAAAAAGAAACAAAAAATGATTAGTATTTTCAAAAAGAAAAGAATCTAATTGTTTGCATTTGATTCTACATACTACTCTCAACAATATTAAATTGAAAACCCAATAGTGATTCAATAAATGATGATTTACCATCTGATTGCATTCCAACGACTACCAATTCAGGTGTTTCAAATGGTATACTATGACTAAAAATTAAATTAATATAAATCAATTAATTAGTATTATTTTTTTAGTTTAATAAATTATTTGGTATTCATTTACATACTCATGAGAAATCATTTGAAGATCATTAAAGATTGTATACAATTCTTGATTAATAGTGTATGATTTTTGTTCATCATCATCTAATTTTTTCTTTTCCAGTTCCAACTTTGATCGAATTACTTTTGACCATTGTTCATCAGTTTCTCTCTTTCTCTTTTTCTCATCTCTCTTTCTCTTTTCTTCTTCTAATAGTTTGAGTGCATTTGCTTCAGCTACTGCCAACTGAGCTTTATTCAATTGATGTGATGGTGATCCAGCTGAATTTCCACCACTACCAAGATGTTGTTGTTGTTGATGATGATGACTATTATAATTACCACCACCATTAGTATTTATCATATCACCAGTACTATGATGATTTTGTTGATGATGTTGTTGTTTTTGATGAGTAGGAGTTGCAGGTACCTGTTGTTGTTGTTGAGATATAATTTTTTGAATTTGTTGTTGTTGTTCTTTTGTTAGATTTGTGTAATTAAAACCACCACTACCTCCTCCTCCTCCTAATGAAGAAGATGATGCATCACCCAAGAATATACTTTCTTTGTTTAAAGGTTGTGAAGATGTTGAAAGCGATAATGATGGTGACTCTTTTTGTTGTTGTTGATGATGACTAGTTGCACCCCCAACAACACTATTATTACTTGATGATTGATCAATACCTGTCATATCTTTGTACAAATAATAAATAATAAATAAATAAAACTATAAAACTAATAATAATAATAATAATAATAACTCGTGTGTCATCCATTTTCGTCATAGCACTTGAAAGTTCATTTTCCAAGAAATTTGGATCTGAGTGTTTTTAGTATTATTAAATTATTTTATTTTTGATGAAATCTGTGGGTCCCAAAGCAAAAGTATACTTTTGTCAAGTATACTAAACATCCTGTACTTCATATTCTGGTGGAGAACAACCTTCACCTTGTACATTGAAATTGATTTGATAAGGTATTCCTTGTGGAAGTGGATTACTAGCTGGAATGGTGACAACTCTTCTATTGGAAGATATGACAAGAAAGAATAGATGTATGATCAACGGTATAACGAAAAAGTACAAGTATATAAGACCCCACATTTTACAGAATCTACTACTATAATCATCTTCAAAGGTTTCTCTTGACTCTACATCTATTCCATTTCTATATAATCTTTGATTACAAACCTAAAAAAGTAAAAAGTAGACATAGTAGCATAGTTAGACATTTGTGATCGATCGATTCAACAATACTCTTTTGTTTACATACAAAATGCCAAATTGATTTAGAGTAACTGATTTTGTAAGTATTATCAGCTGCATAGAAATTCCATCTACCTTTTTTCATTTCCGCTTCGTCGTAATTAACTAATTCACCATTGACTGTGATGCTAGGATATTCATCCATTATTCCTTGTTTATATACAATGGTTATACCATCTTGTTCTATTATAAATGTTTTGGTTGGCATGTCTTAAATATAATTGTAATATTATTTGTTGATTATCTCTCTCTTATTAATACCACACAACGATTGATCAATAGTTGATCATCAGCGAGAAGGATAGATAGATAGATGATAGTCCATAGACAATGTCTTTTAAGATAATATGTTTATTAATATCTTTTTGATTTTTTTTTTGCACCACGATGCAAACGGTGTCTCGTATGTTCAAACGTATCTTTTTTTTGCTACACCCTACACCCACTTGTGATCAGCATTACTCAAAGTCGATATTTTAATCAAGTGATTATTAGTCATTATCTTTGCTAAAAGACACTTATAAATATCTATTCTCTAAACATCAAGAGAGAGATTAAGTCAATTACTCGGATAATATTATTGACTGTTGTTTATTGAAAGTGCACGCTACAACTGATACTAGTTATTAGTTTGGAAATCAAAGATTAAATAGACATAATCATTGTATAAAGATTCGGTAAAGTTTGGAGTAGTGAGTGAAGATTGTATTGGAGTAAAGGTACAGTTGGAGAATGGAACGTCAATGTATTTTGGAGAAGCCATTACATAGTAGAGAGTGTCTGGGTCTGCAATAGTATTGGCAGAGGATTGGACAACTAGGTTGGATTGTGAAATGCTCACATCTTGGCCATGAACATTGATTGGGGTGTTTGTTGGGTTGACGATAAGTGATTGTAGGATGACGTTGATGGTTGAACCTTGGGTGACAAGCAAGTCAGTTGTAATGGTCAAAACACCTTGGACAACATTCAAGACACTTGCTGTCATCTCGATATTGTTAACCGACGATTGACCATGGACAGTGATGGTAGAGTGGTCTACCAAGAAAGGCCCATTAATGTTTGAGTTTTGGATTAAGACTTGCGAGTTGGTGTCAACATAGATAGAATTAGAATTAGTATCGACCATTGTATTATTAAAAATGATGGTAGATTTGGAGCTGGCGGTGATTCTCGAGCCTCCACCTGCTAGACTAATGTCAGACTTGGTCAAGTTGAGGAAACCACCTGGCGAACTGACACCTATTTGCAAGTTATAGGCAGGTGGTTGGATCTCTGAAAGCTCGCAATAGTCTACACAGTTTAAGGAGATGTACGAGGAGGAGTCAAATACATCAGTGTCACAGACAACTACACCAACCTTTGTGTTTTGGATAGTGGTGATTGGTTGTTGCTCAGCAGAGTCTGGTTTGAGAACTAGGTTCAAGTAGGCAATAATACCATTAGAGATTGAGGCAGATACACCGTTGATAGTGATGGTACCGTAAGATTCGACATTTCTCAACAAGGTTGTACCTTGATCAGATGAGATGTAGACGGTGGATGTAGAGTCGGTATAGACAGCTTCAATGGCACTGTAAGTGGTGGTTGGTCCGGAGATGTTAAAGGTGGAGCTGCCGACGACAATGATAGAAGAGGCAGTAAGGACTTGTCCAACAGTAACCAATCCACCTGATGAAATGGTTAGGTTTCCAACTGGTGACATGATTCCAACATTTAGAGTACCAGGGTGGGTAACAGACGCAGTTTCAAAGGTGAACATACCGACATTGATCGATCCTTGAACAGAGACATACCCGTCAATTTCGACAAGACTATCTGATGGGCCATCAATCAAACCATTTAAATAGGCGATGGTCAAGGTGGAAAATTGAGCACCAGAATAGAGAGTAATGGTAGAGTATGCATCAGCGTTGGTGATGTTACTGGTAAGATCACCACCAACAGAAATACTAGAGTAGGCACCAATATCTAAAGTAGAGTCTACAGTGAATTCAGCAAAACTGTGAATAGAGATGGAAACAGTACCATTAACGACTAAATTAAAAGTTTGCAAGTAGATATCTGGAGTAGTAGTTAAAAGTAAAGTCTTGCTCCAATCGTTACAAATGACATTTAAAGATCTAAAGTTTAGTTGTGATGGACCAGTCATTATGATGATGGTCGATGCAAACTCACTACTAGACATGTCAATGATAACATTGTCGTTTTGACCTGGTTTAACACCACCAACCCAATTATCTCTATCTGAGAAGCTACATCCATTGGTACAATTTATATTTGTATTGAATGAAATATCGCTTGCATATGCAATCGATTGGGTCACTAGTACAAAGATGATAATGATTGAATGATATTTCATTTTTTATGTACATATAATGTGTAATAAGATGAAATTAGATAAGATAGTGATTGCTAAAGAGTCACCTTCAACAACAATGATCCTTTTAAAATATCTTTATTGATGACATCAAAAATTTTCAGATGGTTTTTTATATCATCCTTTTTTTCTAGAAAATAGATATTTATTTATTTTGATGATGTTGAATCACGAGTTTGCATCTTCATCTGGATCATTATCTTTAACTTTTTAAAGGTTCTATTCTTTTTGGTATAGATGTAAGCACCTATTACGATTGCAACAGCTCCTACTACACTAACAACAATGGCAACTATAATCTTCCAGTCACTATCTTTAGACGCTGTACCACAAGAACCACTTTGATCATAGTTGTTTGGGTCAACTACTAATGCACTGAAATCTGGGTCGAGTAAACAAACAGAACATATCGGACTGTTAATACCAATGATTGCCAATGATTGATTGTTGGAAGGGTCACCATAGCTAGTAACATTCATAACTTGAGTCTTTGAAAATGCCATGAAATCAAGGAATCTACCAATGAATTGAACATTGTCTTTTACTACTCTGAGGTATTGCAGTGTTCCATTGTCTGCTGATTGTTGGAATGTATCAATGGTGTTGATTGAATTGTCACATCCTACAATTGATTGATCGTTGTTGATAATCGTTGAGAATATAACTCTAAGAGTTGACATTGGTGATTGATAAGGCCAATTGGTAATATTGACACTAATCTTGATTGATCCACCAGCAATTTGAATAGTATCACCACCAAAATCAATTGATCTTGATTGGTTTGAAAATTCAATTAGCGATATGACAACCAATGATTCATACAATAAAGATTTGTTTTGATTGTTGAATAGATAAGAGATACTGGTCAAATCTTGAGTTTCATTGGTAGATACATTCCATTTATCAGTTACCAATTCATTGATAACAATATTTTCATAATCCAATTCTTGAATTGACATTAAATTAAAAGAGAATGAATAATTACCAGTTGTCGTAAAATTAACAATTGGATTTGTATAATTTGGTTGAATTATAACTCCAGGGGCTAAAAAAGATAAAAATAAAAAAGATTAATTATTTAAATAATCTATTTATGAATACTTGTCTGTTTTAGTTTTTTTTTTATGACATACCAGTTTTAGTTTCAATTTTACAATCAAAATCAGTCCAACCTTGATCACATTGACATTGACCATTGGTACATGTACCATGACCATTACAATTATTGGTTTTAATCTTGCAATCGTCGACAGTAGGTATTGGAGCAGGGAAAAATGGCATGGTTGATGACAAGAAAGAACCACCCTCAGTGAGAAGAGCCATATCTGTGAGCCCAGGTTTGGGAACTTTAGTGAAAAGGCATGAAATATGGGTTGGACTGACTAAAGTGACATTACATGGATTCAATCCCTCCGAATCAATTGTGTAATTGACATAGACCTGTGTATTATTGGGGAATGAAATGGTAGTAAAATATCCATATAAATTCAAGGTGGTAGGTGGATAGGTTGGAGGTTCCAAACTATATGAAGTTACAATAGGTTCTAAAAAAAAATATTGAATAAGTATTCTTCTTTTTTAGTATTATATACTTTTTACATACTTTGGAGGATGTCTACCCTTAACATGCCGGAATGGTAAGCATTTTCAATTACGAAAGCATCATATCCTTGTTTTGGGTTGATGAGAAGACAAAATATTTCAAATGTAGCTTCATCAAAGCTAGTTATATTACATTGTTCTCCAGTTGAATTCAATCTAATCGTTGGAAGTGCCTTTGGATTGAAATATTGAAATGATATTTTATATTCAAAATTGTTGAATACATTGTTGGTGCTGGTAAGTGATTTAAAAATGAATCCAACTTCAGTAATATTGAATGTAAAATCAGTGTCACTAAATGTAATAGTACGATTATAATTCATTCCTTTTGACAAGATACTAGATTCTCGAAATCTATAGTATGTAGGAGGAAAATAATTAGATAAATAAATAATTTAAAATAGAATTGAATTTTTTTGTCCTAACAAAAACATACATTAACTCCCGGTTGGGAGAAATACCAGAAACCAAATCGATTCCTCTTCCCCACCCAATATTATTACCAGTGATGTTGTATTCACCATTGACAGAAATTAAATCTAAACTATTGATGGTGACAGCTAAATAAATAATAATATAATAATGTTGTGGTTTAGTTAGTACATTTCTTTGGAATAAATAGTTTGAGAGAGAATAAATATTTATCTTTCGTACTGCAATTCAATGTTGTGGGTTTTTGGAGGTCAGTTACAAAAGAAAAACCTTGGCCGATCATATAGCACCAAAAACAATCTGGAATGGCTGTGATACTAGTTGAAGATATAGCAATTGCGTTAATGTAACAATACTCTTGTCCGAGAGTACCTGTAATCCCAGGGTTATTAAACAGGTTTAATCTCAAATTTTTTGGATTATTATCCAATAGATTACTTGGAAGGGTTCCGGTGATTTGGTTATCACTAAAATCACTACAATTGAGAGATATTAATAAATTAATGAGCAACCAGATGATAGAATAGTTCTAATAATATATTTAAATTACACACAATTCTCTTGTATATGAAGGAAAGGGAACAGATGGTAAACTTTGTAAATTACCATGGGATACATGCAAATAATCCAATTTTGGATACGGAGTGATAGGGAATGTAGTAGAGGTAGTATATAGAATTTGGCTAGATAAATAATGTTTAAAAAAATTGAATAAATTTTGTAAATATTAATTCAAACCCATCTGACCTCATTAATGACCTTTGGAGGGAGGATATACATACAGAATCTCCAAATTGGTGTATAAACCCAAATCGCTTGGTGACAATACATAGTTTGGACCTCCAATTGCTAAACCTAGAATCCTTTCAGGATAAGAAATGGTTGGGTTCACAGCACCCAATGATGTTTTATCTTGGACATATGCTGATAAATATGGAATAGGACGTTGCATTATAATGTTCATAGTTTTGGTTGATGCACCGACAGCTCTAAATTGACTGATTAATGGCAAATGGGAATGAGTTTAAAGTTGTCATGTTGTTGTTACAATCGTAATACATACGCATTACCTAACAATGGGAATGAGGAGTTGGTAAAAGTAACCGTCTGATCTTGATCACACCGTATATTAATATCGATATTTTCTAGTTTGGGTGCATAAGTGGTTTGATCAATAGTCATTGATGATATTGGAGAGTTATAAATAAGAACTTTTTTGAGGTTTGATTGACTGAAAAAATTTGATATTGATACCAATTTGTGGTTTGATTCAAATGTCCTACAATTAATAAAGAGGTGATAAATATATTTTGAAAGATTAAAATTGAATTGTTGTTTTGTGATAACATACAATTCAGTCAACAATGGACACCCAGTTGCAAATCCAGGAGGAATATCAGTAAAAAAATCGTTATTGATACCAATCGAGGTGAGAACCGGAAGGTTTTTAATCAGGCTCAACACATTAAGAGTAGGGTTATGGACCTGAATGATGACCAATTCCAAGTTAAAGGTTGAGAGTGATGGGAAATAAAATTCGGTGATCATTGGCGGGACACCAGAATCTCCATACAACATATTATAAATATTACTATAGTAATATTGTAGGCAGATTAGTATTGGTAGGTATGTAATGAATATTAAAAGTTTCTTCCAATATGATTAGTTGTTGTTGTTATTGTGGTGTTTATACACACATATTATTGATGTGATTAAAACCATCTGTTCCCATTTGACAAATGAATCTGCCATCACTACAAATACCCTCTTCATTTTGTGGTATCGATAAACCGTATTGACTAATTAACCATATAGCCGAGTTACTATGATAGTTTAAATTAAAATTGATCAATGATATGTTTTGATAATTGAAATAGTCGGTGAGATTGATTGATAAATATCACTACATACATTCTTGCGGTTGAAATTGAAGTCATTTTCCTATTCTATTTTTATCTTCTCTCTTTTGTGATAAAAAGTGATCACTTTGACACTGATCGATAACTTTGAAACTGCTCGCAAAAAGAACTAAACAAAAAAAAAAAAAAAAAGAAATTATAGTTTGACAAAAGTTTTTAGAATCTTACCACGTACGTCTACACACACAAGGAAAGATTTCGTACTTGATTTATTTTGGTTCAATCAATCAATCAATCAAACGATAACAATATTAAATTGTTTTGAACAAAGGGCAGCCTCTGATTTGATTGTTTGTAATTGTTGGTATGGTTGACAGAGGAGGGAGAGATGTGTGATTTTAGAGTGGTGGTAGTAGGGTGGCCGATGGAGGTGGTGCAGCATAAACAAGAGACTGGCTGGTTTCATGTTGGTCATGCTCAAGTCGAGGCACTCGAGACCGACATTGCTGAGAATGACCCTGGTCAGTGGCCACGACTCTTTTTTAATGGTGGTACCGCTAATGTCAAGCGACCGCAGCGACCGTGTTGTAAAGAGGTACTCTTCGAGCACTTGTGCAAACCCTCGTGCGAGCAGGTGGTTGCCGCCGAGTCCCAGACTCTCCAATCCGCCTTCTCGAGGCTGCACGAGCAGTGACCGGAGCAGCACGGCACCCGCCTGGTCTGTGATGTGGTTGTTGGCAAGGTTGAGTGTCTTGAGTGCCGTGTTGGACTCGAGTGCATGTGCCAACTCGCATATCGAAGCATGACGCAAACAGTTGGATGAAAGGTCGAGTTCTGTCAACGTGTGGTTGAGTGCCAACACGTGAATAAACTCATTCAAATCATCTCCATCTCTTATATAGTTTTGGTGCAAGTTGAGTTGTCTAATCCTACTATGATTGACGGCCATTATCTTTGACAATATCTTGATTGTTGCTCCATCACATTGATTATCAATTAATCCCAAATATTTTAAATCCAACATATTATTATTATTATTATTATTATTTTGTTGTAATGTTGTTGTGGTTGAATTGTCCACTTTGACTTGTTGATCATCTTGCGTGATTAAACTTTCCAAGACTAGTTGACCGTTTAAATCAGTTAGACCATTCTTGATAGTCAATGATTTAATGTGAGAGTTGTGTAACAATTCTTTGGGGATGTGTGTGTACTCGACCAAGGGAAGTCGACCAATGAGTTGTAAATCCCGAACAGAATGGTTGAGTGTCACCACATCCTTTAACATGTCATCCTCACTATTAGATGCATGTACCTTTAAACATCTACATCCTCTTAATCCATTTAGAAACTCTTTCATTAATTCATTTGTTGAACTATTATTATTATTATTAAGACTATCTTCATTATTATCTTGTTGTAGATGAATTGTAATTTGATTAAATTGTATGCAACTATGATGATTGAGTAATACACCAACTTGTGATAGATGTATTAATTGACGTAATTGATGTAGACTGTCAACATGTAGATAAGGATAGAAAAGTGATGGTATGATACCCAACCATGACTTGCACACCATCGATAATGTTATTATTAAATTGATTATATTAATTTGTTGCTGTTGGTGTTGTTGATTATTATTATCATCATCTTCTCCTTCACTATTATTATTATTATTTTGATGGGTATTATGTTTTGTTACATCAAATATAATCTCTTGAAGTATTTGTTTTTTAATAATCTTTGGTAAACTTTCTAAAAAAGACTTCATTCTTCTTCTTTAGTTTTTTTCTACTTTAAGTTTGTTGATGTTGGTTTATTATTGATATTCTTTCAATCTTTACAGATTGTAATATTGTTTTGACGTTCATTTACAAATAAATTAGATACAAATAAAAAAGAAATAGAAAGAGATAACCAACTCAAATGTTTTTATTTTTATTACTCCTTTTGGAAGAGAGTAATTTTAAATTAATTTAAATTAAAAATTATTTTTATTATTCTAATTCTCAACAAACTATCCTCTTTAGTCATCATGAATGAATATTTAATAGTTAGTTTTATTTATTTTTAATACAAAGAAATACCTTCAATTATCTATCTTTTTTTTTTTTGTACAAGTTTACAAAACTACGAAAATAGTGGTGTGGTGAGAGAGAGAGTATTAGATTGATATTATATGACCTAAAATAGATAAATAGATGATTGAATCATAAAGTATTTAAATGCTAATCCTAAATGTAGATTTAATATTCTGTCAATCTTGATAAGATTGGATAATCGGTTTTCTGATAATATCCATCTCTATGATAGTTACGTTGATCATGTATGTATATGATGGTTGGTTTCAAAAACAACAAGATATAACTAAAAATAATAACTCTATTTTCAAATTTATATTATCTTTTCCATTCCTTTCCTTTCCTATAACATAATTATGAAATTAATAATATCAACTATATTAATACTTTTGTTGGTAGATGTCAATACCTTTGTCTTCGCGCAACCAAAGGTTCCAACAGGTATCCCCTTTCCAAATCGTGTGACTGTTACACAAGGAGGTGGGATCGCTGGAGTGAACAAAACAGTCGATTTAGTATTCTTGGTTGGTGTAGCTACTCCTAGCAACAAAAAGGTTGATAAGAAACTATTACAAGACTTTGATACCTACCTCGAAAAAGATAGTCAATTCAGAAGTTTGCCCGATGTCAGTTCATTCAAACCCAGTCACCCTGTCGCCGACTCATTCAAATACCGTGCAGAATTTAAATACAAAAACTCTGATAAAGTAAAAAGAATTTATTGGGATCAATTCGCAACAGGCAAACCACACATTTGTAATTCATGTGAAGAACTAGCAACTAATTATGGTGCCCCTGTACCAAAATCCTCCTCAACAACAACAGGCTCACACAACCAGCCTACCTCAAATAAATAAATATATAAATGAATAAATGAATTAATAAATATTATTATTATTTCTCACCCAACTATTTCGTATTTTTAAAAAGGCTCACAGGGTATAATATTATAGATTGTTGTTCCTGGTCCGGAAATGGGAAACCAAAAAAAACAAAAATCAATTTTCAAAAAGCCTGAGTTATTGGTCCTGGGTCTTAAAATATTTGAACAAAATTTTGAATCAGATTTTTACTCATGCCCTGCCCTCTCTTTGAGAACCAGCGAAATTAATGAGTTCTCCCCAATGCTGGTCAGATCAACCCGAGTACTCTTTACCCACTGCCCTTTCACTGTGTGCGTAGGGTCCACTCCCACTCGACTTTTGATCACTTATAAATATGAGGGTACCCTCTTTTTCGATTATTATTATTCTATTATTCTGTACCTTATTTTTTATTTTTATTTGTACCATCTATCTCTTATTTTTTAATATTTCTATTTTATTATAATATTTTTTAAAATTTTAATTTTAATCAGTCAAAAAAAAAAATGCGATTTGTTGCAACTTTATTATTAGTTTATTTGGCAGTTTGTGCCAACTTTGGATTCACAAATGCTAGAAGACCACCAACTAAAGCTGAATTGGATGCTTTTGAATATTCATTGGTGGAATTTGAAAATGTTGAATCTGCCAAAGATTTTGGTCTCTTTTTATTAGGTTTTGTTGAAGGTATCGAAGTATGTAAATCAATATTATTTATTTACAAATAAAATATTAATATTTTATTAATTTATTTTAGATTTCAACATCAAAACATGCACAACAATGTATTGCAGATTCTGGTAGATCAATTAAAGGATTTATTGGAGCCTATGAACAAATTCAATTCGGTTTATCACATAAATCAGTCAGTGCTATTGGTCAAGGATTCAAAACACTTGGAAACAATCTCAAAGAGATTCCAAAGATCTTGGAAGAATGTGAAGTCAAAGTATTGGTCAAGGAAATCAAGGGAATTGCTCAAAAGTTGGAAAGCGGCACTGCTGGCGTTATCCAATTACTCGTCAAGGAAGCCATTAATATTTTCCACAACCGTGTTGATTTGACCGCCGATTTCAAGAGAGCTATTGCAGCTGAAAAGAGACATGATTTCAAATCATTTGGTCTTGAAAGTGGAAAGATTGTTGGTGTTCTTCTCAAGGTTTAAATTAACCTATTATTTTTAAATAAACAAAAAAAAAAAAAGATAATATTATCTATTTTTTTCATCCATACTATTTCTTTTTAAAGGTTGACTATTATACTATTATTATATAATTACTGTATCCAATTAAATTTATATGTTGTTTTTTTAGTTATCTATTAATTTAAACCTTTATTATTATTATTATTATTATTGTTGTTTGCTATCTTGAGGAGTTGTGGTTGTGGTTATTTCATCAGTAGAATGTTGTTGTTTATCTTTTTCTTTCTCTTTATCTTTATCCTTTGAAAATTCTGATTGAATATTATTAACTTGTTGTTGAATTAATTGTCTGTTTAAAGTTTCCAACATTTCAATTTTCTTTTTCAACTCTTCATTTTCACTCTTGAGGTCGAGCGAAATGTTTTTAAAGGAGACTGGTTCCTTGAGAGGGTTGCGCCAGTAACGGAGATAGTAGTTGCGCCAAAGTTGGATGTGTTCGGAACGCCAAGTCTGGGCAGTGGGGATTTTGGGGTGACTGGTCTTGGCAGCATTGTAAAATGGGTTGATAAAATAGTGTTTGACAGTATTGAGGAAACTCCAAAGCGAGACGGTACGTAGTTTGATCTGTCCACGCTCCTTTTCAGTGTTGCCGAGGAATGTACCGTACTGACACGAGTAGAGAGCGTCGAGGATAGCGATGAGATAGCTATCGTTAAACTCAAAGATGTCGTGGTACTGTTGAGACAGCTGCCAGACACAATCGATGAATTGGAGAAAGACGGGTGAGCGTTGGCTGTCACCATATGCATTCTTGTCACCGTGACGCACACGGTTCTGGAACATGTGTCCAAACGACAACCACTCCTTTTCAATGAGTACTTGGAACCCGCGAATGGTACGGTAGAAGGGGTCGAGCATCATCATGGACAGCGACGACAGCTGGCTGGTGCGATCCCACCCGTCCGAGCAATGGATGAGCACCGGATTGCCGTGGTGGGTCAGCTCGGCGATACGCGTGGCACCCAGCAACACTAGACGCACATGTTCGAGCCATTTGGTCTGCTCGAGCCCGGCCAACCAATTTTCTTCGTTGGATGTGCTGTGCACAAACTGTTCGAGACGGTTGATCGAGTCACGCATCGCATGTATGTTGCCAATACCCAGAAACTCAATGTTGCAGTTATAGGTGAGCTCGTAGCCCATACCCTTGGCGACATTGGCAATCGCGTTGGCTTTTGGACGCGCGTCGAGCAGGTGAAGTGGCTTGCCCGTCGGACAGGTGATGCGCAGCAGGTCGACCAGGCGCTCGTCCTCCATGCACCGCTGACGCGTCAACCCAACCATCGGCTGACTACTACGCGCAATGGGCACGCCGTCGGGCGACACCCAGCTGACTGTTGGGATACGACCCTTGGAACGAAAGGTCACAGCCACCTTGAGCTCATCGTCACTAATAACATACGGCACAAACAGACGACTGGGGTACGTCGCATTGGCATACTCGCAGTTGATCTCGCTTGGCCGCCACAATTGAAAGTCTAAATTCTGACGGATAAATTCAGAGAATGTATCGTACACCTTCCAACCATCGCCATCTGTCATTTGCTTGGGATCCATTTGGAAACGATAGGCAAATAGTTGAGAGGCGTCTTGGAATGCAATCGAGCGTAATCGCATGATCAATGGGATAGTGTGGTCTTGTTGGGGACTGGGTTCGGCCGATGGATAGACCTCGCGTGGTATAATGAAAAAGTCGACCCTTCTAAAATCCTTGCACCACATGGAGATGACCTGGTCGATACGGAACGTGTTGGTGCGATCGATACGGTATATCATCGCCAACGGCACCGATATCAGCTCTTGGTTGGTCAGTTTGCTCACAATCACAAACCGAAACGTCGTCAAATACAATTGCGATGGGATAGTCTCTCCCGTCAAATTATCGATATAATACATTGGATAATTGTCTCTCTCTACCAATTCTCCTGCCAATTTAAAAAAATCTAATTTCTTTTGTTGTTGTACATTATTATTATTTATATAATAATGATTTGTTTGTTGTCCCTAAAAAAAAAAAAAAAAAAGTAAAATAACAAATTAAATATTAATACATATATTTGTAAACTTGGAATCAATCTTTTGGAAATAACTTACCTTTGATATTTCATTTTCAAGTATATTGTTTTTTGATAAAGTTGATGATGAAGTAGATGATGTTGATGTTGATGTAGTCGTAGTAGTAGTGGTGGTGGTGGTAAGTGGTTGTAACGGTGATAATGGTGAAATGACATCTTGAATAGGACTAATTGAATTGTTATTTTGGTTATTTTGATTTGAATGTTGATAATTGATAAACTTTATATATTCAACTTCCAACTTTTGTAATATATACTCTTCAACAGCATCAAATAGATTAATGGTAATACGATTTAATATTTCCATTTCATTGAGTAATTGATTTGAATCAATGGAAGAGGTAGGTGAATTGGTATTGGTATTGACAGTATTATTATTATTATTAATTGGTTGAAATCCACTATTTGATGGTGATGACGATGATGACTCATTATTATTATTATTACTCTCAGTTGGGGAAGTGAGAGAAGAGAATAAACCAGATTCATAACCAGAATTTGTGAATAGTCCACCTCCACTATTATTCAATATATTGTCGATTGATCGTGTGCCTGAAGAGTTGGCAGAGCCGCCGAGTGGGGAAGCGAGGAATTTGACGGTAGCTCTCAACGATGAATCGAGTGGAATCAAAGACTTGTCCAAATAGTTGTCATAGATGGCACGAGCATTCTTGAGCATGTCAGACGGCCCCAACGACGCAGTATACGATCTGCGGTAGTTTCTAATGGCCGATTGACAAGACAACATGCGATGATACGTCATATCATTCAATCCCTTTACATAGTTTTTGAATAATGTGTATTGTTGATCTGAATGGTTACTGCTATTGTCACTCGATTGAATGTTATTGTTGTTTGATGATAGTGTTACATTATTTAATAATTCTACAATCTTTAATATATTATTGTTTGGTGTCTCTGTTGTTGTTGTTGTTGGTGTACTAGTACTTGTGCTGCTCTCAAGGGAAGGTAAAGGTAGAGGTAAAGCTGAAGCTGAAGATGATGATGATTCTTCAGCGACGACCACCTCATCATTGTCAATGCTCTTTGATGATGACTCTACTATAATGTCATCGTTGATGTTGTTGTTGCTAGTCTCCTCACTGATAGGGTCGTCCATTATAACTATTAATCTAATGGAGTAGTTGAATAACTAACTAATATATATATATATATGTGTGTGTGTGATAATAATAGATGATGATGATGATGATGATTAAGAAAACATAAAGAGATAAAACTAACTAAAACCAAGCTAGATTAATCTTTTATAAAAAAAAAAAAGCAAAGCAGATCACTCCTGCGAAAATTCAACGAGACACCTTAGTTTTTTTTTTTTTTTGTTCAAACAAATAATTCTTCAGGACGTGGAGTAATAATATCTCTCTGAATTATTTAAATAAATATATATTGCATCTTTTGATGAATCAACCTCACCGACACCATCAATGACGACAAATTCATCACTGATACTAATAATTACAAATAATACACTTATCTATGATTAAAAAGAATAATAATAATAACTGTAATAATAAACATGAATGAAAGGAATAATACTATAATAATATTTAAAGTAATAAGATCAAAGGTATTGTGGAGGCATATACTATCGTTCTTACCAACCCTCACAACATGTACACACATACAAACCAAATACAAAGATCTATCATACAAATCAATATCCTATCTAACCTATCGTAATTGTAGTTGTACCAGTACGAGTACAAGTGACATTATTTCAAGCAATAATATTAATAGTAGTGATGTTCTTGGAGGGGGAGGAGGAAGAATCAATCAAAAAGAGAGAATTGAACAACAACAGAGATCATTTAATCAAATATTCAAATACAAGTTGTTGGAAGTGGATGATGATCAAAAGTGTCACTTTATAGTGTACTTTAGAGCATTGCCTGTACTACTACGTAATTGTAGGGATGTGGTGATACTGAAAAGATTGTATACACAGTATCCCTATTACTTTGGGTTACCTTTGGTACGTGGACACATCGAGCTTGGTCAATTGGACTTGACAAGTTCGCTGGGGTCGTTGGGAGACTGCAAAGATTCAAAGAGTTGGGTGGTTGACAATGTGGCAGCTAGTAATAGTTTGGATTGTTTGCTCTATACCATTAGATCGATTGGTATCGTACCAACTAATCAAACACTGGATATGGCATGCGAATACGGTAGTTTAAAGGTACTAGATTATTTACATAATTCATACCCTCTCTTAAAACTAGATAGAGGGTTTGAATTGGCATCACTCAACGGTCATTTAGATGTTGTTCGCTTCCTTTTGGACAAGAGGACTGAGATGTATACATCGAAAAGTCTACTTGCAGCGTCACGGAACAAAGACAAGAGTACGAATATGGCCATTGCAACATTGCTGTTTGATAATATCGAGAGACGGTGTTCAGACTATTCAAGCGGACCACTTCCAGAGTTTACGGGAGGTTTGGTGGATAGTGCAGTCTTGTCGGCGTCGGTTGAGATGGTCGAGTTGTACTATACTCGTCTTGGACGGGGTGCCATCACCCGGCTGGCACTTGACCAGGCTGCCGAACTCGGATATCTAGATATTGTCATGTACCTCGACGGGGTTGGCGCACCCGCTTCGACCGATGCCATGGAGTACGGTGCCAAGAACGGGCATCTCGACATTATCACCTATCTCTTTGAAAAGAGGTCAGAGGGATGCACCAAGGGTGCCATGCAAAAGGCTGCTGCTGGAGGATTCCTCAATATTGTCCAATTCCTTCACACTCACGAGGATGCCGTCCTAGGACACTCTGGACGCACATTCGAACCGGCACTAGAATGCGCAGCAACAAGTGGAGTGATGCAAGTGGTACAATTCATGCACCAAATTCGAAACGAACAAAAAGTGATGTTAACGCCAGTCCGAATCATTCAACAAGCTAAAAGTGACTATGTCAACGTCATTAAATACTTGTTTGAGAATGGGATAGTCAAGCCAATCAAAAAAGTCAATGACCACCACCAATACCAAGAAATCATCGAGGCAGTACTCGATCAAGACAATCTCGAGTTGTATAGGTATATTGTCGAGTTGTATAATATTGACACTCATCTCACACAACCAAAAGACAAGGAAGGGGAGGAAGAGGAGAAAATTGATACATTTACACCTTTTTGGAAATCACTTTTACATCATTGTCGACGACATGAACATCCACATGGCAACATTAGATTGTGGTTGCTCAAGACCAACAAAGACAATTTGTCACCTAGACACTATGCCACCCTTCTCAATCATGCTGAACTATGTTTGTTACAAGTGACAGAGTATATTTGGAAAGAGTGTCCACAAGCCTTTTCTCCATCAATCCTCGACCACCAACAATTCTTACACCATATAATCACCTTGGACAATGTCAAATACCTCACATTCTTTCACCAAAACAACCTTATTCGACATGCTAGATCAATCAATGAACTGGTCGAGTTGGCCCTTTCAAACGGTTCAGTCAAATGCTTTAAATACCTACAAGAAAATTGTCAATTACAAGATCAAATCAACCCATCAAACAAAGAAAGGATAATTGATTTCTCATCTTGTTCAAGTTCATTAGATCTTGTTCAATATTGTTATTTAAATTATCGTGGCGGTGAACATATTGATGGAATTCAAATTGTAGCAAGAGTTCGTAGTTATTTCTTTCAAACAATTAAAAATGGTGATTTTGAAATTATTAAATTCCTCATTGACAATCATATTCATTTACCATTGCCATTGGTCGAGGAATTGTATGGTAGCCATGAACCGAGAGTGGCTTGGGAGACTCCTTTTTCACTCATTGACTGTGCTGCCATGTCCAAACATTATGAAGTATTATTATTAATCATTCAAACGTACCCAACTGTTTGTCCAACAAAGATAGCATTTAGACAATTAAAAATAGAACTTGCACAATGTATCGTTCAACATTACCCCTCTAATTATCTACTGGAATTAAAATTTGAATCTTATGAAAAATATAGACACACTCAAATTAAAGATTGTATTAAAGAATTAAAAAATAATCAAAATAATACTAGTTTATTTTCATCGTTTAAACAATTATTTAAAAAATAAATAAATAAAAAGAATAATAAATAACTTAAATATTTATTTATTTTTTAGAGAAATATCTACTTATAAAGGTAAAATAACTAGCTTGACTAGCAAGATCATTATTATTATCTATATTATTATTATCTATATTATTATTATTTTGATTATTATTATTATCTATATTATCATTATTTTGATTATTTTTTTTTAATGGATTTTCTTGATTTAATATTAATTGAATAATACTATAATCTGTTGGATAAAGATGTACAAGTTGTTGTATGATATGAGTTTGTAATCCAGTGAATGCAATTTTGGTAGGAGAAATGAATGGTAACTTTTCAGAAAAGTATTCTACCAATTCAATGTGACCAGAGATCGTAGCCCAATCGATTGGTGACTCGATTGGTAGGGTCTTGGTTCCAGATGGTGGTGAAGTAGTTGGTGGTGGAGTGGTTGGTTGATTTCTATCAACCGCCGCAAACAACTCTTTTAACTGTTCAATGTTATTGTTGACGATGAATTGAACAATTTCATAGTTTCCACGATTAATCGCGTCGTAAAAGTAGAATCGAACTGTTTCATTGTTGATTGGCATGTTGGCCCAGAGGAATTGGACAATTTCAAGTGAAGGTTTTATCAATGGTTCTCCATGATGACTGAGCTGGATTCTCGAATGTTGTTTGAAAAATGCAAGACATTTAAACGATTCATGTGTACATGCAATGTAGATTAGTTGATCGTGACTGAAAACAGACAGCATTCCACGCTGGTGGATAAATTCGAGTACTTCAACCCGGTCATTGGAACATGCAATTTTTGAGAGGTGAAGACACACTGCTACATCTGTAAATACATCGGGACAATATTGGTGGATAGCTTCGAGGGTTTCTAGAGATTCAGCCGATACTGAAGACAAAAGAATTTGAGTGTACGCCTGCTTGGTCAATATATGCGAGAATCCAACAAGCAACCATAGACGCAAGTCAGGTTTGTCAAATGGTGGTAATAAATGATGCCAAAACGGAAGTGTTTGATAGGCAGGCTTGGATGGCGACGACGTGTCCTTATTATTATTATTATTAAATACAGTGAACTGTTCTGCAACCAATCTATACAACTCTAAAGCTCCTTCTCCTCCTCCTCCTCGCCTATTATACATGGTTTCATCAGGTAATGGGTTATATCCATTCTTTTCTCGATTGAAATCTAGTAGTTCTACAACTATTTTGTACAACTCTATATCTCCACGTTGAGCTGCATATTTAATAGTGTTTCGATACTCTTGAGAGGACTTGAATTTGATGGGATATTCTTTTAAAATAAACGATACCATTGCACAATAATCTCCTTTACCAACACTGCATACTTGTGCAGCAGTATCAATTTTGCATCCATGCGTAGTATTATCTTTTAAAAAATGAACCACTTCCAAATGCCCGTTGATTGCGGCATGATGCATAGCCAACGAGTCACATTGATGACCTGTTGTCAAGAGGTATTGTACAATATCGAGATGTCCAGCTGCAGCAGCCTTGTTTATCGCTCCTTTACAAGTCCAAGGTTGTTCGAGTGGTAGAGATCTCTCTACGAGATACTTGACCACTTGCAAATGACCGTTCTTTGCACTGTATTCCTTGGCGTCTGATGTAAAAGGTGCAATCACCTCTTCTGAAAGGTATTGGACAATATCGAGATAACCAAGCTCGGCAGACCGATCGAGTGCAGATGCAGATATACGGTCTCGTCCAAAATGCGTGTAAAACAATCGCACCATCTCCGCCGACCCCGATACAACTGACAAATCGACGATATGTTTGTATCGGTCGTCTGTCTTGTCGTCAACCAATCGATTCTTGGTATTTGAGAGGAGTAGGGTCGCAACGTCGATACAAGGGGTAACTGCAATATGTGCCAATGTCGTGATTGAATACCCTTCTGTCTTGTTGTCTATGAGGAATTGAATCACATCTAAATGAGGATGGACCGATGCCAATTCAAACGAACGTCCAATACCAACCTCTGGATACGATTCGTGTAGATAATCGAGTATTTGAAGACTACCATACTCGCAAGCCATCTCGACCGTTTGTACAGTCGGCACAACACCAATTCGATCCATCACATAGACAAAACAAGCAAAGTTACCACTAGCAGCCACATTATCCAATACCCAACTCTTTGATCCAACACAATCACCACATGTTGTTGGTGTTGCAGGTATTGATTTAGCAGTAGACATTGGAGATGTCGACACTACCAATTGATGTCTAAAGTAATGTCGATATTGATTATATATCTTGTCGAGGATTGTTACATCTTTACATTGTCTTAATATTCTTGGTAATGCTCTGAAATGTAATATAAATTCATTACTATTACAACTATTATTATTATTACAGTTATTATTATTATTATTACAGTTATTATTATTATTATTAGAGTTATTATTTAATTTATAAATTAATAGTTTGAATGCATTATCACGTTGTTTTATTCTAGTTGCTAGTATGCTGTGTTTGTTGCTGTAGTTTGATAAAGAGTCGATAACTAGTGATTTTAGATGATCGTGATGACACAATGATAGGTATGATATAGAGTGACTTGATGCATCTTTAAACTTGACAGATCGTACTTTTAACGATTCTAATTCTATTGATGATAATGATGAAATGAATGATAGAATGTGTCTAAATAGTACAATCGATTTAAATACACTACTTATTGCTTTTTCATTCTTTTCCATCTTTCTTTGTTTGTCTGTGTAAAAAAAAAAAATAAAAAAAATTGGGTTTGAATGTTCCAAAAAAATACCATTTTAAGAAAATACAAAAGAAATATCGTATGAAAAGGGTAGAGAGAGAAGAACAAATTTTATTAGCCCAGCTTTAAAAATTGACAATATTTCTTTGATAATGATTCTATCAAGTACTGGTTTGATTTTGATTTCCATGTACTCTCCTTCCATTTGTTCAAGAGATTAATTACCATATTTCTTGATGAGAGGTCTCCTCATAAGATAATCTTCAATTTCTTTTTGATGACGCTTCGCCCAAAGGTAGATGTAGAGTCCAATTCCAAGAGATCCCACTGTTATTAGTGCCAGTTCAAACCAATTAAAATCGGGCTCGACTTCTATCAATCTTTTTTTTTTTTTTGGTAGGTTATCATCGATATCCATTGCAATCGACAAGAAGAGTAGTAAAACCGATATTTTGGAAATCGATTGACCTAAATTTAAATTAATTTATTTGTTTTCATCAAATTTAATTGAATCAAAAGATGATAAATCTAATTGACAATTAATTGTATTTGTTAAAATTGTTAATCCACATTTTTGTGATATTACCAGATTATTATTATTATTATTATTATTATTATTATTATTATTATTATTGATGTAAAGTAATTCCAATTGTTCTTTGAAAGATTTGGTTGCAAGAGAGCTGACATTCATCAGGATGACCTGTTCAATGGATGGACTAGTTTCGATAGCTGCAAAGAATGCACCTATTTCATGGTCATCTCCAAGTGTTTGATCATCGTTCATTCGTCCATTATACTTGATTGTACGTATTGATTTACTATTCTTGATAAAGCTAGTTATATGGCATAGCGTATCGGTCATATAAGTGTCAAACAACATGGTTGTCAGTTTTGGCAAAGGACCACTGTGCACAAGAATACTCTTGACAATCATCGATGCTATACCCAAATAATTGATGATTTTCAAGTGTAAACACTCGAGTTGGGGTGGTACCAATGCAGTCTGACAAAAAGGTCGTGTGGGTGGATCCTGATACAATATCAGTGTGAGTGATTTGACTGGTGACTCGTGTGACGCCAAAAATGTAACAGTGTCCTTGTCAGTGATCTCAGTGTGAACTAGTCTATTCACTTTACTCGATAGAATGTATTGGTGATACTGTGTAGATACAAGTATCGACTTGTCCACCATTGCAAAGTCACGTATAGAGTCGGGTAGCAAGTGAAATGGGAATGAGTATTGCATTCCAAACCGACTCGTCCCATCCACTGTCAATTCTCCCCACTTGAGTTTGTAAAGTGTATTGCGTGGCAGACTTGATACAACCATTTCAAGATCGCTGGTGACAGATGAATCAACTTCTCCTCTTCCTCTGACCCAATTACACTTGGAAATAGATATCTCCAAGTTTTCAAGACATGTGCATTGTGCAATGGTCTGACTAATCACTTTAGCAGACATATCGTAAAATACTATAGACAGTTTGGTCAATCGATCAAACAAGGATGAGTTGTTGATAGGATGATCGTATCTATGAAACTTCATCTTTCGTAGAGCAGGCCATACTATGCGAGGAGGTGTGTCGTCATCTTCCTCCTCGATTAGTAGCATCCACTTTTCATCTGTGTAATTGGCCCATATACCAATCTCGTACACCTTGTCTGCAATGTACTCTTGAAAGATTTTACGGTTCTTTACACTATCACCATCGATATCGTTGTACAAGTAATTCATGTTTTCATCTGATATATCTTTTCCTCGTATCGATTTGTATAACGTTAGTTCCACTTTAATGTTGTTGATTAGACACCAAGGGTTCTTTAAATGTATCTGTTTTTCTTTCAACGATGTGTTGAAATCCAACTTGAACGGTACCAACAATGAGTTTCTAACTGCCTCTCTCCACTTTCTACACACTCCTCCAATACCAAACACATCCTTTGGTAATATAGTAGTAGTAGTGCTCGATCTAGCATAACTACCTCCTCCTACTGTACTGTATCTACACACCATATAAATTATCTCTAATTGAACTATCCATGGTAAAGCCTTTACTAATGTTGATGTTGTTGTTTTTGTACTAGAGAAGTTATTCTCTTCTTCTAATAGTTGTTCAACTTGATTCATCTAATTATTCATTCATTTGAAAGTAAACTCTCATCAGCAAAATTGAATGATCGCAAAGTGTGTACTAAACAAAAAAATATTTAACGCTTGTATCCAAAAAAAAAAAAATTGATTTATTGATTGTTAATAATCTTTGGCAATTTGGGAATCAAAGTAGTCAATATAGGTTCTGATGATAGCACTCCTATTTGGTGTCGACTTTATTTGTTCTTTAAATGACTTGTATTCCTCTCCATCATCGTCGTCTTCTTGTTCATATTCATTATTGTACTCTTGTTCAACTTCATCGTCCAAATTGACAAAGATAAGTGTTTGGTTGATTGACATTGATTTTAAAAGTTGATTGATGAATGGTCGAGTAGTATTGTTTGATGTGTATTCAGAGTTGGTCCATGAAACATGTAAAGTTGAAAGATTACATTTGGCAATTGATTGAAAGAACCTTGGATCTAGGAAATCAATATCTTGATTGATTAGAGAGGCATTGGAGGATGAGAGGAAAGAAAGCAGCCCTGTATTGGCTTTGTCAAATCCAAACCAGGAAGTCATCGGGTTGCAGTATACATTGATGAAGATAAAGATAAATCAGTAGAGTATTATGATTCATTTGGCCAAGAACCAACAGATGACTTTATGAAACAATTTAAAGATTTAATTGATGAAATCAATCCTGATTATTATTTAAAATTCAAAGTAAATAAAATCATTGATCAAGCATAAGGTAACTAGTGGGGCCACTACAGCTTTTCGTACAATGGGAAACCTAACAGAAGTTTTAATCCATCGTCATTCAGAATAACCAGATCGATATTATCTGGGACATGAGGAAGTGGAGATTTGTCGCTTTGTTTTCTCTTTTTTTCGCTGGGATTACTTTGTTCTTTTGATGCATCTTATTTTTTACCAGCAAGAAGTTTTTTTGGAAAGGGTGTTGATGGAGAAATAAACGTTGCAATTTCCTTGGAATCAAATACTATTTCTTTACCTTTAAAGGATTTGATCTTTTGTTCTGTTAATTGCAACGATCACACACGTCAATTTAAAGTCAGTCAAGCCAACAGGAACAGCTTTGATGAGCTCTTCACAAAGATCTTGAATTCCGAATGCATCATGTTGATTCAAATGCTTGACAACAAAAGAAATGCCTAAAGTCCATATAATATTATTTAATTAGTCATTCATGAATTAAAATGAGAACGTATCCATTAATTACCTTTTGTTTGAGACAATTTGATATAAAAATCAGAAGATTCGGACTTTGAGCCACATTTATACAATGTATTCTCTTTGGCCTGTCCCCAAACATCTTTAAATGAATTTGTGTGGACCATAATTCCCTTGTCTCCTTCCAATGGTTGTTCCATAAGATGCTTCACCATTTTCATGTCAAAACTGCCAACATCTTTTATGTTGGTAAAAATAGGGAAGAATCTAAACACATGATAAATGTGTTCAGCACATTTGTTATGTATCTTTATACCCTTGGAAAATAATTAAAGAAATTAATATAATTGCTAAACAAGAAAAATATCAAATTACATACTTGAAGAAAGGGGAAATTTAATTCTGATTCGTCTAAAATTCTTTGGCAGACTGAACTTGCTAAAGATTTCTCCAATGCTTCACCGGTGATCCTGATAGATTTGGAGAATAACGAGTCTTCTGCAATCATCAGCCTACTCTTTTCTTTTGGGTCAGTGATTGTGCCTAGTAGGTGATCGATGGTGATTCTAGGAAAGTTGAGGAAAACTATATTTAGATCTGTTGGATGTGGTTTTATATATGTGATAAAACTGAATTACATCGGCAAAAACATACTCGATTGGTTGTTCTGACTCCTCTGAAGTTATAAACCATTGGCGTGGATCAATTTTTTGAGTAGAAGAAATTGGAATCTTTATCCATTTGGTTAGAAAATTGGTTGGTTCTGAGTGAGGGTTGTTACTTACATTCAAGATAAAAAGTCTAACCAATTCAAGATACATCAATCGTTGATCTGTTGTAGATTTGGCGTTGAATAATGGGATGAATTGGTTGCTTTTTCCTCGTTCATCAGACTCCAAAAAAAAGATTATACTAGTAATTATAAAATAAAATGTGTGGTTTTATTTTAAATATTAATAAAATCATTGGAAGATGGGTGAGCGATGATCAGACATGACTTTAATATTAGGGTTGATGGTTGTGATTAATAGATGACTTGAACCACAACACAGAGTGACTAAACGAGAGAAACGAGAATAATGATGGGTGGTGGTAGTGGAGGGAATCTGACGAATGACAAGACGAATATGAGTGGTTAAATAGTAGATAGATGTATCATTACTTACCTCTACTGTTCAACAACTTTTAATTCAACAATCCAAATAGACGCTCTATTTGGCTACTAGCTTCTTTGCAGGTGCTACGACTATTCCACATTTACCAAAATCAGCCTCTGTAAACACTGCTATACTCTCCATCTACATCATTTTCAAGAAGCATCTGGGCATATTCTTCTCTTACTTGAACTTCTTGTGTAGCCCATTCTTTTACTTGTTTTGCTGACCATCGTTTGAAATCGCTTTGTGATGCAATTTCTGTTATTGTCAAAGCATTATACATGTTATGATTAAAAGAGATGTCGTAAGATAATAGAAAACATGGGTTCTCCTTTTAATAATAATAAAAATTGTTGTTGGTATTGATTTTTTTTTTTTTTTTTTTTTTTCGATCTCTTGAAAACAACAAGACAGATTCTTTGTCTTATGTGAACAAATATTACTCCTAAAGAGGGTAGTCTTCTATTATAGATATAGAGGTCCTATAGATTCAGCTCAACTTTGAACGATAACAAAAGCAATTTATATTTAATATACCAACATTCTAGACAGTAACATTCAACCTATTACAAACAACATTGATAATCAATGTTTTGCCTATTGTAATCGCTAGAACCACTCTCACTAAAGCATTCTCGTTTATCATCCAATCCAGGTTATATTTCAACTTGGTATCATATGTCTATTCATACAACCAAATCCATTTTGTAAAAATTGGTAAACTGGTTACACTCTGTGTTGATTCACCTTGACAATGCAAACTACAGCTTCAGAAGTATATACTGATGTTTTTATTCCTGAAAGATTTAAACCTCCCAATATTCAAATAGTCACAGTGTCAACATACCAAAAACATTCTCCAACTTTATTTATTCATCCATGTAAAATCTGTTGTTTATTGATGGACAATTGATCATCCAAAATAGTGATGGAAGTGGAATACCTTGTGATGCCAACCAATCTTTTTCCATTGATCCATTTTCTAAGAGCTATGTTCTTTATTAATATCAATTTTCTATCCAAATTATAAAGTTATAATTATAATCCAATATCTAAAATCATACCAATATTTTTATATTTTTCCAAAATAATTTTAACTTTTTTAACTTTTATCATTTCTATCCAAAATATTAAAAGTTAATAAATAATTCTCAAAAATAATAAAATACAATAAAAATAAATATTTCTAAAAATAAATTAACTATTTTAACCTAATTAGTATTTTAATGAGCCCTGCAAGGGCGAATGGTAACTAAACTTTTTTGGGACCGCAGCGATCCAACGCCCAACCCACACACGACCCTTTGTAATCATTTATAGTTGCTTGATATGTTACTTGTAGATCATTATTATTATTATTATTACAGTTGTTAAATTGATCTATGGCTTTACATACTTTCTCTTGAATCTACTATAGTTCATCCAAATGACCAACTATTGTCAATCTCTCCAATGATGTCATATCTATTTAATACTTGATACCTTGAACAACACTATCACCAGTGTCATCAATGATCCAAGTAAAGTGTACAACTCTAGTAGTGTCATTGCATTGATAAGAGGTGTACGATGAAATGTAGGAGTGTTTTGCCATCGAGCATTTGGTCTTGGCCATTGCACTCTATATGATAGCATCAACGATACTATCTTTAACCAATACTTTGATACCAATGCTAAGCTTTGAATCTCTTTCTTTTCAAAATCACTATAATCATACTTTGACAAGATGATTGATTGTATCTGCTTTTGCATATTTTAATTGATGTTTGTTTGTCTGTCTTTATATACATAACTAACATAGGTATGATAAGTCTGAGTCGAATCGATTCAAAAAAAAATTAATAAAAGATTTGTTTATTCGTTATGAAATATTCAAATTATTTTGTTGGTGATGTATATATATATATATATCATCAGTAATACCTTATTGATCAGTCCATCTGGGTTTTCCAGGTCCAAACAAATAGGCGATATATTGGTGAGCGGTAACTGGCTCGTATAGAATATGATCAAAAGGTACCAAATACACATCATCTCTGAAAACACATGCGTGATCAAACCTGTCATCCACACCATCTCGTTTCAAAAGGAATCCATAAATGATCTTTGTTTGGAAAATAGCAAAAGATCCAGCACTTGGTAGTTCAATGGTTTTATCAATTTCAACAGCTTGTTGGATTTCATTAAAACCATAGTTGAAATGATTTTGTACCATTTCCGGTCTTCCTTCACATCTGTATTGTATTGTATAAAATATATTTGTACAGTTTGTTAATATCATGATGAAAGTAGTATTTATTTTTTTTAATGATACATACAAATCAATCAATTGGCCTCTACTTGTTCGTATTTGATCAGTTTCAGAACCCTTGAAACATTTAACAGTGACTGGCTTTTTACTTGATGTAATTACATTCCCTAAATATTTGTTCAATACTCCAATGGGTTTACAAAATGTTAACCCTCCTTCTGCACTACTGGAAACAGGGCCAAAATGATATTTCTGTTCAATTTTTTTTTTAAATTAGAAATGGTTAATCTCTATTTATTGTTTCAGAGTTGAAAAATTAAAATAATAATAACATACAAGCATTATAAACATGTCAATAGGAATTTTAAACTTGAGTTCCTTGTCAACCTCAGTCTCTGATGCCACCATTAAACTATTTTCCAAGTTAAAAGGTTCTTTGAATTGATTCAAAGGTTGTTTATTTATTTCTGTATCCATATTTATTGAAATGTGTAACTATAATAATAATTTCTTTTGTCTTTTTATATGTTTCAACTATTCCTTTAAAGTTTCCATATCAACAATAAATTTACAATTTTAAAATTGTGGTGGTGGTGGTAAGGCAATTTACAAAGTTTAAAAAAAAGTTGGAACCACCCCCATCTCCAATTGAGGTTCATATGTAAGTCGGTCATGGGAAATAAAAATGAAAAATACTATATGTGAAACCAATAATAATTTATTAATATCTTTGAGTTCTAAAAAAAAAAAGTTATATGAAATCGGTATACTGGTGGTTGGTTTCCTATAAATGATGTCATTTCTAGAAATGAATGATTGATATGTCTAAAATTTTCCTTGAATTTAAACAATTATTTTGATACTTGTGTTTGGTAGATTATCTATTTGTCCATCTTGATTTTCCAGTTCCATACAAATAGGGTGTATATTGGTGATAGGTAACTGGCTCATATTGAATATGATCAATCGGTACCAAAGACACATCATCTCTGAAAACACAGGCGTGCTCAAACTGATCGACACCATTTTTTCTAAAACGGTAGCCATAAATGATCTTTGTTTGAAAAATGGCAAAGGATCCAGCACTTGGTAGTTCAATGGTTTTATCAATTTCAACAGCTTGTAGGATTTCATTATATCCATAGTTGAAATGATTTTTTACATCCATTAGTAATTTTTTTTCACATCTGTATTGTATTGTTTATATTGGAAATAAATAAATATATATATTGGTACAATTAGTAAAAATCATGATTTAAATTATTTATATTTATAGATACATACAAATCAATCAATTGGCCTCTACCTGTTGGAATTGGATAAGTTTCAGACCCCTTGAAACATTTCACAGTGACTGACTTTTTACTAGATGCATTTGCATTACCTAAGTATTGGTTAAATACTGCAATGGGTTTACAAAATGTAAACACTCCATTAATATCAAGGGCAATATAATCAAAAGTAAAATTCTATTTTAAATTGTTTTTTTTAAAAAGAGAAATTGATTGAATGGTTAATTAATCATTGATTAGGTATTCCAAATAAATAATTAAATATTTTGTTGAATGTACATACAAGCATGACAAACATTTCAATTGGGTTTTTAAATTTTAGTTCCTTGTCAACTCCCATCTCTGTTGCCACCATTAAACTATTTTCCAAGTCAAAGGGTTCTTTGAATTGATTCAAAAGTTGTTTATTTATTTCTGTATCCATAATATTGTCTTGATGAAAAATATTAGTATTATTGATATAATACTCTTAAGTTCTATTTGTTTTTTTTTGTTTAAAACTGGTTCATTTTAAAGCTTTCCATTCAACCAATTTACAATTTATTATTTTTTAATGGTGGTGGTGAGGCAATTTACAAAGTTTAAAAGTTGGAACCACCCCCATCTCCAATTGAGGTTCACTAGTAGTGTGTAATAATAATAATAATAATAATAATAATAATAATAATAATAATAATAATAATAAGAGTGGGTATATTACAACAATGTGTTTATTTTTTTTGTTTATTTGTTTATTCTACTTTAAAAAATCTTTTGTTATAAAGTATAAAAGAATTTGAAATCTAAAAAGTGAAAATGAGATTGTAAAATAATAATAATAATAATAATCATGTCATAATAATGGAATATAGTAGTTGTACAAGTTTTATTTTTCAAACTTTGAAATTAATCTACCGGATCGATTAAATAATGATCCCAATCTTTGGAGATGAATCTCTCCATTGGATTCGAGATCATCAGGATCGATCTCTTCCTCCTCCTCATCCAGTCCATCTTCCAATTCTTCTTCACCTTCATCATCATCATCTTGATTATAACCATTAATCTTTTTACTAATATTATTATTCTTATTATTATTATTCTTACTAATTTATTTATTTATACCTTCATTCACTCTCTGGCATCACTTTTTTATTATTGATCTTTTTTTTTAAATAGTTTGAAAAATAATACTAATAATAATAAAAATAATAATAATAATATTAATATTTTGTTTTCCTCTTTGCAATGAAGAAGGAGCGACTCAAAGATTCTTTAGGAGTTACCTCGTTGCGAAAAAAAATAATTATTTTCAAGAGCTCCTCACCATCAGCCATGTGAGCATTACCAAATTGGGCTTTTTTTTGAATTTTTAGATTCGTGTACATTTCAAGATACGAATGTTTTTCAAGAGGGTAGAGTGCCTCTTGATGACTATTGGCCTATTGATTCTAAGATAAAAACGAAAGCTTTAAATTCATTGCTGAGAACTGCCGCGTCTTTCTGGTGGATGGAAAGGGCTCCAACGGTTTAAACAAAAAAACATTTGCTCCACCAAACGAGTCCGAGGAGGGCTCTCCTGAGCCTTCACCACATTCGTTGTTGATGAGAAGGGAAGGAAGAATATCTGTTTTAAAACACAGTCTCCACCATTGTCTTTTCAATTCATCAATTCCTTTTTAATACAGAGTGTGGGTTTGGTCGTCTTGACAAAGACGCTACTTTTCTTTTGGAATGAAAATAATATTATTTATTTTACTTCAATAATAATAATAATAATATTAAGATAGCATAGTTTAGTATAGAATAGTAATAATATAACAAAGAAAGGTTTTAATATAAGTGAAAACTAATAAATAATAATTAAATTGTTTATTCAATATTCTTTTTTGTTTTTTTTTTTTTTGAAGTATGATTGCAATATCTTTGGTCTTAAAATGAATTAAATCTAAAGTGCAATAGGTAATAGGTAATAGGTAATAGGTGTGGTGGAGGTGGTGGTGGTGGTTGGTTACCAACATATAAATGTTGATGTGATTGTAAAATAATAAGTAATATACCTAGTTAATTTTGGAATTTGGTAATTAATCTTCCAGATCTATAAAATAGTAATCCTAATCTTCTGAGGAATTGTTCTCCATTGGTTTGTAGGATATCTGGATTATTCAATGATGGTGATGGATTTGAACCATTGGTCTCTCCTTGATTTTGTCCATCTACTTGGATTTGTCCTTCCTCTACTTCCTCTTCAACTTGTCCTTCTTCTTCTTCTTGTTCATCATCATCTTCTTCTTCAATTAAAGGAATTGGAAATGATGCAGAATCATCAACGGTAACATTCTCCAATACAGCAACCAAAGATTGTAAAGTATCAATCATCTCTGAAAAGGTAATCATTACATCTTTTGGTATTGATATGGATTTTGGACCGGTGGTGTCTGTCTCCATTGGTAGATGTTGGTGATGGTTTAAGTTTTGAGCTTGAGGTGAAGTAGCTGGCTGACGAGAAGCAGATTGAGCTTGAAGAGTGAGACCTGGACATCTCTTCCATGTATTGTTTCTCCTTGAACCTCTGTTGGTACCAGATGAAGCACGTAGCTTTGTTGGAGTTGCTGTCTTTTTAACCTTTTTAGTTTGGCTTGGGAGTGGTGGTGACAACGACGACATACTTTGACCGACAATCTCACCATCTTCGAGCATTGGATCTTGTTGGGTGACACTGACCTTTGGTGGTGGAGCAGCATTAGTGGTGGTAGTCGAGGTAGTAGAGGCAGAGGTAGTCGATATACCAACAACATTGGTAGTCTTTGAAACATTTGGTTTGAAATGGAAGACACCTGTATGAGATGGTTGAGCCTGTTGTTGTGATGTATGGGTTGAGCCAGAAGTAGAGGGGGTTGGGGTAGGAGTACCAACATTGGAGACACCTGGATGAGAGGTTTGTGCTTGTTGAGTCGTATGTACTGGACAAGACCCACCAAAACAATGGGTACCACCATTACAAGGAGGGATGGGAATCAATGATCCCGAGCCCAAGGAAGGTAAAACAAAACCACCAGCAACTGCATTGAAATGTGTATCTCTAGCCAAGAAAGTTGACATACTAGACATTGGATGAGTGGTCTGTTGAGAATATCCAAGGGGGTGACCTATATTTTAAAAAAACAATAGTTGAAAAGAATGATACAGATAAAAAGAGAATGAGAATGTAGTTGGAGAGTAGGGGCTAGTTAGTAGGTGAATCGATTGAAAGAATAGTAAATAGTATATAGATGGTATACATACTAGGTACTGGAACAACTACATTGGTTGGAACATAGTATTGGTTAGACTGAGTCTGTGTTTGTTGTTGTCTCAATGGTGATAGGTGTTGGTGAGGTGTGGGTGTCGTTGGACGTGGTTGTGGTGGGACCTGAAGAGTTGCTGACCGTGGTTGAGCCAAGGCAGGTTCAGTGGCAGAGGCAGGGGCAGGGTTTGGTTCGACGACAGTGAGGACGGGGTGAAGGAGGGGAAAGCCAACATCAACTACTTGTTGTTCTTGATACACATAGCTACCAGTTACAATATGAGGTGTAGTACTAGGACTAGCAGGATTGAAATTGTTATTATTATTATTATTATTATTTGTTGACATTTAAATTATAAAAAGATAATTGTACAAATACAGATAATGATACAGATAGAGAGTGAGAGATAGAGATAAATTGTAAAAGTTAACTAGTTATAACTATTGTTGTTGTTGTAGAGGATTGAGGCTAGTTGAGGAAGTGAAATGAATGAGATGAACAAGCATCTTGCAATGCTTATATAGGCTATTATGACTGACCGATTTGAGGAGAGCTCAACCATTTAATTTGATTTAAAATGGCTGGGTCGGCGACCGACTGACTGGATCTTAGAAGTGATCCATTTGAAACAATAAGATATTTTTTTAAAAAAGTGTTGAACAACTAGCTCAAACTAAATCTAAACCAATCAAGGTACCTAAGATAACAAGTCTGCAAAATAATAATAGAGTAGTATAGTAGTATGATTAATATGTTAGTATGTTGTAGTATTTAAATAAATATATATAAATTTAAATATTTCAACTCTTTACAATTAATAAATGAGATTTAATCTCATCTTTCTAGCATTCTATCTATATATATATATCTCTCTATAGTATTGTTAATTATAAATCTGATATAACTATGCTATGATGTGTAGACTTAATGGGGTTCATCATGATCAGTGTTGAAAAAATTGTAGGGCACCATCACCCACACTGTTTTTTTTCAAAAGAAATTAAAATAAATAATGATGCCAGTGGGTGTCTATGAAATCTATTTATAGGCACCAACCTCTTTAACATAAAAGAATAGGGATATCTACCGATTTTAAAAAAAATTGTTTGCATTGTAAATTTATAGTATTAATTTTTTTAACTGGTGTACTCTTAAACACACCAAATTTATTTATTATGGTTTAGTTATTTAAATTTGGAATATTTATTAAATCCCAGGTGTAGAAGTTTTATAGATATAATTGGACATATTTATGAGGTGGTTGTGAAAATAAATAAATAATAAATGCAAAAGTGTCGCATTTATGGGTAGGGAGATGATGGTGAAGAGGGTGGTACCATTCCCAAGAATGTAGACATTCTATGTAAAAACTCTGCATCATAGTATTGGATTTCAATGTTTGGTATGGTGCCTATACCCGCCACTTGTCCTGTTGCTGCTGTCATTGCAGTATTATCGGTAAAAGTAAGAAGGGGAAGAGTGGTATCAATGGCCTGTCCAACATCCATTGTAGCATTTGTGAATGGAGCGATAGTTGTATCTTGTTGTTCTACTGTCAGTAGATCAGTATTTGTAAAGGGGGTAATGGTGGTATTGGTGGTGGTAGTGGTGGTCACCTCCTCCTCCTCCTCCTCCTCCTCTTGTCCATTTGATTCCGATGGACCAGTTATTTCTACATACAGAGTTGGTGGAGAACTGGAATCAGGAAAGGACGTATCAGTATAGTCTTCCTCTTCTTCTTCTTCGTCATCAGTATAAATAATAGGACCGTCTGGATATGTACGATCTAGGATATCTTGGATCTCTCTAGAAGATGGTACATAGTCAGCTTGGGGTGTGGCGACACAAGAGCGATTATCGTCGTCGGATTTGGGATCACCATTATTGGTAGATGGCACTCTCTGTTGTGGAAAGATAACAGATGGCAAGGATCCAAGAACTGTTCTACATTCGAGGCTGTAACGAGTGTTATTGATGGCAGATTCTCTATCCTTTAGTAATCTAAGTATAAGATTTTTACCGATCCTCCCTCTTGGTATTTGTTGTTGTTGTTGTTGTTGTATTGGAGGTGGAGGTGGTGGTGGTAGTGGTTGTGATGGAGGGGGAGGTGGCGATGGTGGTCGTGGTCGTGGTCTTCTAGGTTCAACTTTCTTTCTCTTGATTGGACCTGCTGAAACCCTTCCAATATCTCTTTCTCTTTGTCTCACCTCTCCCAAATTTGAACTAACTGGATGTTTTTTAGCACTCTTCTTCTTTCTTTTCAAATTTCGAGCAGGGAGAGGAGTAGAGGTGGTACTAGTCGTTGTTGGAGGAGAGTCAGGGTAACTAAAACCAAATTGATCGTTGTCCAAATTATCGATGGTATTGATTCCAGAGTGATTAGAGCCAAAATATTGTGGAGCAGGGAATGGAAAGGCCAATAGAGTAGGTGGAGGAGGATGATAGACCGGTGGAGGCACAAAGGGAGGAATAATTGGAAATGGTGGAGTTCTAGTGGCTGGATCGTCATCGGGGTTATAGTAGATTTGACTTGGAGATGGTGGTGGTGGAGGAAGAGGATGTGGTACTATTCCCTGTTGTTGTAGATGCTGTTGTTGCTCATATATCTGAGTTGGGCTAGGTGGTAGAGGCCCGAATGGATTTTGAGGTACTGGAGGTGGTTTATAAAATGGAGACTGGTCTATAGGAGATAGGTAGATAGAAAACAAAATAAAATGTAAAGTGGAAAAGGGGAAAAGGGGAAGAGAGTGAGGGGAAAGAAAAGAGAGAAGAGTGGGGAAAAGAAAAATGTATAATTAAAATGAATAGATATATGTAAGTAAGGAATGAAAAAAAGACATGTATCTATTAAATAGTGTAGCATACGTGGGTGTGGTGGAGGTGGTGGTAGATGGTTGAGAAATTGCATAGGATGTACTTGAAAGTGATGCAGTGAGGGTGGTGGGAACATTCCAAAGGCTGCTGGATGGACATGTTCAAATCTTGGTGGTTGATTGATAGATTGAGGTTGAGGTTGAGGTTGAGGTTGGTTTTGTTGATCTATATATAGAGAGACATGAATAGAGAATATAAAAGAGATATGGTTAGCATTAAAATGAAGGATGTGTAAATTTATTAATCTTCTTTTTATTCTATTTAGCATACCATTGTTGTTGTTATTGTTATCATTGTTATTATTATTCGTATTATTGTTGTTGTTTATACTATTATTAAAATTATACATTTTATACAAATACAAAGCGTTGTTGATACAAATAAGTATAAAAATAGATTTACAAGTACAAATAATACACAGATATAAATACAGATATTAATTAATTAAAACTATAACCTTGAAAGAGGTGATGATGTTGAAGTTGATCTAGATGTTGAAAAGACAACAAACATAATGAACAAGTGAACTATGTTTCCAATGCTTTTAAAGGGAACCGACTGAATGGATTGAAGGTGGCTACCATTTGTTTTGATTTAAATTTAATTAAATATAGCATTGAGTTGTTGTTGATCCAAGACCGACTGACCTGTTTCTGATATCCAAATAAAACAAACATCAAACTTTTTGGATTTAATTTCCAATTTAATTGAATTTTCTATTTTTAAATTGATCAAACCCATAATTATGCCTCTATTTTCAATATCTCGCCTATCATTGCTATACCTAAATTTTTAAAACTACATCTAAATTTAAATATATATATATAATTTATATAAAAATGGTAATGAGATGAATGGATCGTTAGTTAATATTACTTTAATCATTGGTATCGTTTAATATTAATATTATATTCTTTTTTTTTATCGGTTCTCAATAAATACCAATCCAATCATTTTAATTTAAAGTTGTACTCTCTTAACTTTAAGCATCTCTATCTTTGATCTTGTTTTTTTTTTTTAGGTTGTTGATGAAAAAATAATAATAACAATATTTATCTCTATTACTCATGCTTGTATCAAAGCAAAAAGGAGATACCCAAAGTGGATGTGTGCTACAGCGAGGCTAAAAAAACAACTTGTTTTTGGCTCTTCATCATCAGCGCAAGCGCGCATTACCAAATTGGGCTTTTTATGAATTTTTAGATTCGATCAATTCAAGATCTGAATGTTTTTCTCGAAGGTAGAGTACCTCTTGGTGACTGTTCGCCTATTGATTCTAATGTAAAAACGAAAGCTTTAAATTCATTGCTGAGATCTGCAGAGTCGATTCTCTCTTTAACGGTTCGAACAAAAAACAGGTACCCGCCTCCCAATACGGGTCCTAGGCTCTACTGGTCCTTCAACAAAACTTAAATATCTGTTTTCCAACAACATGTTTTTACCTCCACCAATAAGATCACGCTCTTTCAAATAATTAATTCCTTTATTATACCGAGCGAGGTTTATTTTTGCCTCCTATTCTAGTATTATTATTAATTGTAAACGGTTAGTGTACAATTTATGTTATTAATAATTACTACCAAAGTTTGACAATCTCTTGGCATGTAGTACCTTTGATCAAAAGTCTATGCTGTACTTGCATGAGGAGCACTTGCAAGACTCTCAGGTAGGGCTAGATCTCTATTATTATTCAAGTTGATGTTTAGATTGTCATTGGTTGGGGTATGCGTGCTGACACTGGAAAAATGAATAGGGGTTGATGGGTCGAAAATCGCAGAAGGATGTCTGTGAAATTGATGGTAGAATGGAAATAATTCATGGTGGTGATAGGGCAAATAGGCTGGCAAGTCTCTGTGATCGAAAGAAGGACCATCAGGATCACTGTAATGGTGGTGTTGGGGAGGACTGTGGTAAGGTGGTGGAGGCATTGGATGAGGGAAATTTAACAGACCCGGTAGGTTTGCCTCTATTGCCGATTGTTGTGATACTGTGCTCACTGTCATCGTTGTACCATTGGGATTGATATAGTGCTGAGAGTTTAAAACTTGGGATCGAGGTGGTTGTCTTTGTTGTTGATGTTGATGTCCATCATAATGATAAGGATTATGATGAGGAGGATGATGATGATGAGGAGGAGGAGGAGGAGTTGATGATGTTGACTGTGGTGGTTGTTGTTGTTGATGCTGGCGGCGGTCTTGGGGAAAAAAAATAATGGTAAGTTAATATTCAAATGATTTCATAATTGATGTATAAAATTAACATACTTTGAGTTTGATAGTATTGATGAGCACGTTGTTGTCGTTGTTGGTGTTGACGTTGTGCGCGTTCTAGGTTGGCCGGATTCGGAACAAGAGGGAAATAGATGAGATGGGTTTGGAGGGGAAGATCGAGGGGCAACGGGAAAATAGGACCAATGAATACATTTTGACAATTATTACGATTAATACGGTCCATTTAACAAAAAATAGAGCAGCAATAGTATTGCTATGTGAAAATATACAGATATGTATTTATGATAATTAAATGTAGACAAAACAAATAATTACAACATGTATGAAATTATAGTTTATAAAAAAAAGAATGAACTGTATACATTGGATGGAGGGATGGATTGGTATGGATGGAAGAGTTAGATATAGGTTTTTGTTTGTTTCTTTCTTTTCCTCTGTGCCAATAATAAATAATAGATTTGATGACTGAGAGGTCCCATCATCGTCAAGTAAAGAAACCAAGCCTCAATTAATGTAATTCCAATTAATTGATTGAAGCTTTAGCGATCAGTCAGTTCCCATGCATGATGACGATGATAAAAGTAACAGTAACATTTGATAGAGAAAAAAAAGAATGATATAGTTACTACCAAGATGATATTTGATGATGATGATTGGACCCACTAACTCTTTCTTTCTTTTTTGTTATTTTGTTTTTGTTCTTATTTGTTCTATAATAGATAAAGATAATTGCAAACAAATACCAATACAATGCGAGGTTGCTTTGAAGTTTACGATTTTGGTCATGCAGCATTGTTTTCAACAAAACAAGCTTGGGGGTGACAACCACCACGTGTTCTCGATGACCATTGGATCCCCACACGCACTTTATCACCGATTAATAGCAACCACATCATACATATTAAGCAAACAACAAAACATTGATGTGTTTGATGAATATTGATATATAACCCAACAGAAGTTTAGAGAGAGAAGAGAGTATTTGTTTTTAATCATTAATTGGCAACTTACAATTGAAATTATATAGAATTATATCTATTCGTATACCTACATGTTTTGGGTTCAAAAAGTATAAAGAGAAGTGTGTTGAATCGATCGAAAGCAAATACTACTATTATTTTATTTGTTTGAAAGAATTATTATTTTTATTTAAAACTGCTATCTCTATCATCATGGGCGTAATTTCTATATATTTGTTTGATATTACGATGATCAGGCCTGTACTTTATCCTGCCAATTTAAAACCTTCAACCAAACCAGATTCCTCAATGCTTTCTTTCCATTTCATTCCTTTGTAAAATAGGAATAATGGATGGTGATTATTTTGCTGTTTTTAAGTACCATTGTGGTAAATCCTAAAAGACAGTGGATGACATTATTGATGTAGTAATTATTATTAACATTGTCAATTATTGAAAGGACGCCGTGTCGTACTTTGAATGAGTGGGGGAGCTGTCGACAACTGGGTCTTGCACTTTCAATATCGGTCACTCTGTTGATTCAACAATCGTGTTACTCAAACGCGAGCAAATTTGATTGATTGATTATATCAATAAGTGATTGTTGATGAGTTGACATATAAACTGAGCTCTAATTGTACAAGTAATGTACAGTAGGGAATAAAAAAAAGAATAATAATTGATGACAAACACATGAGCAAACAAAAGATGTGAAGTGAGTATTTCACACAAAATACTTTTTTTTTGTAAACTCAAATTTTATTAGTTTGTTTGTTCACACCAACACACCTTCATCATTACTTGGTTATAACTCTTTCATCATCAACCAAGATATATGTATCAAATCAGATATATCTATATTATACGATCGTAAAATGATACTACCACTATTTATAGAGTTACCCTTTTAGAGGATTGATAGATTATAATAATACAAACACACAATCATGATATAGATTAATTACAGACGATTCAAAAGGTAGGTAGTTCAAATTATCATCACCATCACAATTATCAATCATTCTATCTATCTATTTATTTATTTATTACTAGTAACTAATAATATTAAATCTATCTTGTATATAAATAAAAATATAATGATTAGTAATACTACTACTAGAAAAAAGGAGGAGGAAGAAGAAGATATTGCAATTATTGGTATTGGATGTAGACTACCAGGTGGATCAAGAACACCACAACAATTTTATGAACAGTTACTTGAAGGTTTAGATGGAGTATCAAAGGTGACACCGGATCGATGGTCACCTTCATTCACAGATCAAGGGTTGGTTGCATGTGAAAGAGGTGGATTCTTGGACATGAAAGAATGGACACACTTTGATCGCCAGTTCTTTGGTATATTGACAAAGGATGCTGCTGGTACTGACCCACAAGTAAGACTATTTGTTTCCGTCATTTGGGAGGCATTGGAAGACGCTCATATTGATCCAGCTGCCATTCGTGGGAGTGACACCTCTGTTTTCCTCGGTCAAATGTTTGAAGCAAACAGTCATATGCACTCACACGATATTACTAGTATGGTTGGAAACAGAGGTGGTCGGTCAGACACTGCACTCAAGGCATCGTATCTGTACGACTTTCGTGGCCAGTCGTTGTCAATCGACACTGCATGCTCGTCGTCGTTGATTGGTGTTCTCCAAGGTATCGACACTATTCGTCGAGGTGAAAGTGACATTTCAGTATGTGGTGGTATGAATGCGTTCCTTGATCCCGCCACATCCATCATGTTTACCGGTGCGGGTATGTTGGGCAAGACAGGCAAATGCGCATCGTTTGACGCATCAGCCGACGGATACGTAAGAGGTGAAGGTGTTGGCGTGGTCGTGCTCAAGAGACTATCAAAAGCAATCGCCGACAATGACAATATCTACTGTGTCATTAAAGGAGGGTGTTCCAACACGGATGGCAACTTTGAAAAGACGTCTCCCACTGCACCGTCACCAGCAGCCCAACAACTCAACACTAAACGTGCGCTTGCAAAGGTCGGCTTTAAACCCGAGGACATTTACTATATCGAATGTCATGGAACGGGAACACCCACCGGTGACCCCTTGGAAATCCAAGGTATTGCTCGAGTATTTGGAGAATCACATACCAAGTCTGCCCCTCTCCGCATCGGATCGGTTAAAAGTAACATTGGACACACTGAAAGCACAGCAGGGGTTGCATCCATCATCAAGTGTGCCATGATGCTAAAGAATAGAACACTGATCAAGAATATCAATTTCAATCAATTAAATCCAAGAATTGATCTGTTGGATGGCAGAATTAAAATTGTCCTAGAAAATGAACCTTTTCCTCCAAATCAATTAATTAAAATTGGAATTAATTCTTTTGGTTTAACTGGTAGTAATTCTCATATTATTCTTCAAGAATATCAAAATAATAATAATATTAAACCGGAAATTCAAATTAATAATCAAATTAATAATAATGGTAAGATTAGAAAAGATTAAGATTAAGATTTAATTATTATTTATTAATTTATTAATTTAATTTTGATTTTTAATTTTTAGATTATTTAATACCATTTTCAGCAAATAGTAAAAAATCAATTGAATTATATATTGATATGATAAAGAATAATGTTGATAGTTATCGTAACAAGATGACATTTGAAGATTTTGTTAGATATCAATCACAATCAAAAACAAATCATCCAACTTGTAAAAAGGTTATCATTGCCAAGGATTGGGACTCGTTTTCATCATCGAGCACAATGGTTTATGAAAAACAACAAACATTTGTATCGAGTATGTCACAATTGAACAATGGAACCAAGAAATCAATAGTCATGGTGTTTTGTGGTCAAGGAGCACAATGGAGTGGAATGGGTGAAAAGTTGTACACCCATTACAATGTGTTCCGTGATGCCGTAGATCACGTCGATCAACTACTCTCACAACACTACCAATACTCAATCATTTCCAAATTAAGAAATAGTAATGAAAAGGAAATTCATCATCCAATTCTAGCTCAACCATCAACCTTTATCATTCAAGTTGCACTAGTCAAACTATATCAATATTTTGGTATCATTCCTTCAATTGTTGTTGGTCATAGGTAAATTATAAATATTTAATTAATTTTCAAATAAGAATGATTTATTAATCTTTTTTTTATTTTATTTTCTAGTTTTGGAGATATAACAGCAGCATGGTGTTCAGGAATAATATCATTAAAAGAAGCATGTAGAATTGTTTATATTAGAAGTGTTGCACAAAATAATACAATTGCAAGTGGTAGAATGTTGGCAGTATCATTATCTTATGATCAATTTAAAGAGAGATTCCAATCGTCGTCAATGTATGACTCTGTAGAATTGGCATGTTACAATTCAGCCGATTCAATTGTATTGGCGGGTGACCAAGACCAACTCTTATTAATTGATCAACAATTAAAGAATGAGAATGTGTTTAGCGCATTCCTTGGTACACCATGTGCATTCCATTCATCAAAACAAGAATCAACCAAAGAATTTATATTTAATCATTTGGATCAAATTAAATATGAATGTGATAAACCAACAATCCAATACTATTCAACAACTACATCAAAATTAATAGAATCATCATCAGAATTTAATGCACAATATATTTATGATAATCTAAGACAACCAGTATTATTTCAACAAACAATTAATAATATTAATTTAAAGTTTAATAATAATAATCAAAAGGAAGAGGAATATATTTATTTAGAGATTGCTCCACATTCAACATTATCATTTTATTTAAAGACATTATTACAAAAATCAACAACTATCCTATCACCATTAAATAGAAAAAAGGATGAAATAGAATCAATTCAATCATGTCTATCACAACTTTATTTTATTGGTGCCAATGTTGATTTCTCTTGTCAATTGCCACCAATCCATATATTGGATACTATGTGGAAAGATAGAACAAGACATTTACCAAGATATCAATGGGACAGTGAATATTTGTGGCATGAACAAGAATCATTTAAAACGGTTCGATTACAAGGTGTATCAACTACTCTACTTGGTGCATGTCATGACGGGTCACTCGTATTTGAATCATCTATTGATGTTAATCGACCATCATACCAATACTTAAAGGGTCACAAGGTTAAAGGAAAATATCTATTCCCAGGAGCCGGATACATTGAAAACATTATCAATGCCTTTCCCAACAAAGATATCTTTATCCATAATCTTGGATTCATTGCACCATTCTTTCTCAAAGAGGGTGTAGTGTCTAGATTAAAGTCATCTTTTATTCCATCATCGTCGTCACTGACAGATTATCAAGTCGTTTTTAAATATTATGATGACAAGGTATCGAAATGGATCAAATCATCGGTTGGAAGATTGACAATCAAGAATCCAACCACAATACTTGAAAAGTACGATCACGTCGATCAACTAAAACAAGATGTATTCAATGTTGCTGTCATGACACCATCAGACGTCTATGAAAAGTTAAACAAGGTTGGATTAATGTATGGTGAGACGTTCCGTAGAGTCGTTAAAATCTCATTTAGCGAGGATGGAGCAATCTTGTGCGAGGTTGATGCCAAAGCAAGAAACCATTTTGAACAGTCAAACACTGTCCTCAATGCATCGGTATTGGATTGTATTCTTCATTCAAATATTGTAAAGTTTAAAGGTGAACATCCAAAATGTGAAGTTGTATTTGATAGAGTAGAAGATTTCCATATCTATTCAAATAATCTCCCTAAACATCCATGCAACTCTTTATTCAATATGACCAACATGGCCACCGCCACCAATCGTCACCATCAATACCTACAACGAGGAAATGAATTTAAAGGATCACTAGATATTATCGATCAACATGGAAATATTATTGTAAAGTGTGGAACCGTTGTTTGTACATCATTGACCAAAGTATTAAATGTACATCAAGCAAAACATCCATCAAAAGATATAATCAAACAATCCATTTTTCAACCAAAAAATTCACCTCTTCTTCCTCTCAACATTGACAGCAACAGTAGTAGTAATAATAATATTTTTGAATATTTGGAAAGATTTATAAAATATGCATCAACAACACACAAGATGATAAGAATTATAGATTTTGGATCAAATGAATTAATGTCATTGGATTTTATTAGAGCTATTAATCATTCCATGGTTACTTGGTGTCAAGATTTATCGGTTTATTTTGTATTCCCAGAACCAACTCTAGTACTCTCTCTAGAGTCTATGAACCTTTCCAAAAAAATGTCAATCAAATTAATTCAAGATTTTGATCCATCCAAATCATTAATCGATCAAGGTCTATTGACTAACAGTTTTGATTTAATCATTTCAACTTTGGAATTCACCAAAAATAATAATAATAGTCCAAAAGAATTATATCAATTATTAAATCCAAATGGTCAATTGGTTTTATTTAACAATAATAATGATATTAATAATGATTACACTACTGCACCAGATGAAAGTAATAGAGAATCAACAATCATTAATCATTTAAATCAATTTAATATTGATAATTACTTAAATGATTCAACATTGGATAATGTTGGAATGATTTGTAGAAAACCATCAATTGAAGAGATAGGTATTGGTGAATACGATCATTTATTATTCATTACACCATCTTTATCTTCATCTTTATCCTCTTCACTGTCAGATAGAATCATTAAACAATCAACATTACCATTGGAAATGGTTTCAAATAGTGTTGGTGTATTCTCAAGTGACGATATCATGAATGAATCAAAATACCAATCATTACTAGACGCAATCACATTGAATAATAATAATAATAGTAGTGGTCGTAGTGGTAAAGTGGTTATTATTTATTTGGAATCAACCGAGGAGATGAAAGCTAATAATTTGGAATTAAAATCAATACAACTCGTTAGACTATACCAAATCATTGGAAAGGAACAATTATCAGTCAAGTTGATTACATTAATATCAGGTCAATTAAATCAATGTTTGGTACCAATCCGAAGAGAGTATGATCGTCTATACGGAACACATCAAATTGATTCAGTCACAATTTGTGTGGACGATGCGAGTCGCAATCAAATCTCACTTGCTCAGATACTGAAATTCTCAAACAACCATTACACGGGTGAAGAAGAATTCAAATTAAAGTGTGATGAGACTACTGGTGGCAAGATTCAAGTTTTGGTAGAGAGATTGGTTCATGGATCGGATCAATTACAATTGGATCCAAGGTACATTGTTAATGACCACCAAGATATCAATGTTGCATTTGAAAAGGATTCTAAATACCATCTTGGACGTAGAAACCAAACACTATTAGATAACCAAGTAGAAATCCAAGTCAAAGCAGCTTCCATCAATTTCAAAGATATTGTTATTTTGAATGGAATGGTATCACAAAACTTGTTTCCATCGGGTGATGTATACAACCCACCTTTGGGACAAGATTTGTCTGGTATAGTCACAAGAATCGGATCCCAAGTCACCAAGTTTAAAGTTGGTGACCAAGTTTATGGTCTATCCAATAGTAGTACATTTTCTTATTACTCTATTGCATTCCAACATGAACTTTTCCTTAAACCAAATCAACTGTCATTCACTCAGGCTGCATCTATTCCATTGTCATTGGGTACATCCTATTATGCATTATTTAAAAAGGCAAATATCGATTCCGATGAAACTATTCTCATACATAGTGCAACTGGTGGTGTTGGATTGGGAATACTCAACCTCTTAAAACACAAACAACATAAAGGAAATATATTCGTGACAGTTGGTTCAGATGAAAAGAAAGAATATCTAAAACAAAATTATGGTGGTGATTTAATTACTTGTATTCTATCCTATGATAACTTTACTCAACGTATTCAAGACTTAACTTGTGGTAGAGGAGTTAATTTTGTAATCAATACACTTGACAGTTCAAGAATGCAAGATAATTTCAAATGTCTTTCTAAAAATGGTACATTGGTCGATTTGTCAATTGATCAATTCAACAATGTCGATAATATCGCCATGGAATCACTAAAGTATGAAAAGGGATACTTAGCAATCCATTTTGGTAGAGACTATGCTCATAGTATTATTCCCAAGTTACAAGACCTACTCGTCAGTGAAGAGTTACAACTACCACCAGTCACATCGTTTTCATGTCAACAAATCAATCAAGCATTGGAGCATGTACGATCAAGAAAACATATAGGAAAGGTGGTACTTGATTTCCAAAATGTCAAACAAGATGTACTAGACCCAATGTTATTAGAACAAAAGAAACCAATTGAAAGATTAGATTATCATCTTGACGGTGTTCAAGATACACTTTTAATCACTGGTCAAACTGGTATCGCCGTTGAATCACTATACTATATCATCAAACATTCACCTAAACTACGTGATATTATAGTAGTTTCATTCTCCTCACCAAAATATGAAATACAACTATTAATGAATCATTTCAACAAGAGTAATAATAATAATAATAATACACAACCAAATATTCATTATATTAAATGTGATGTTGGAGATTATAGTCAACTCAAATCATTAATTTTGGATCTTTACAAAAGAATTCAAACAATTAAACCTGTAAAGACTGTAATTCATTGTGCCAACATTTATCAAACTGTTAGAGCAGAAGATATCAACATTGAAAGCCATCACCAAGCAATGTCGGGAAAAGCAACTGGAGCATTCAACCTTCACAATCTATTTGAAGAATTGGATTGGAAATTGAACCATTTCCACTTGCTCTCTTCGTTTGCTCAGTACATCCCGACAAATGGTCTAAGTTATTCAATTGGTAATGCATTCCTCGATGGATTGGCAAGATACAGAAGAGAACGTGGATTGGAAGCAACTTCTATCGCTTGGGGTAGTATAGGACAGGCTGGTAAAGTGGCAACTGAAAAGGTTGTCGATCTCACCCTCAACTCGTTTGGATTCACAATGATACCACTGTCCTATATGTATGGTGTGCTGCGATCATCATTTATCAACCAATCAACCCCATTTACAAATCTATTATGCGTAGATATTGTCACCAAGAAACTAGTCACAAATCAACCAAACCTCAGACACATCAATTGCCACTTTTTAGATATTGGTGCCAATATAAAAAATGACTCGACCCTTTCCAACACTGATTCAATTGAAATCAAGATTCTCGACTATGTATCAGAGATACTTTCAATTGAAAAGAATCTACTCAGTGGTGACACCAAACTCAAAGACTATGGAGTCGACAGTATGGTTTCTATCCAAATCAAATCTTGGATTGAAACAGAATTTAAATCTTGTTCTCTCAACCAATCACAAATTGCTCATGGTACAATTAATTCAATCATTGAAACTATTAAAAGAAATAATTGATCAACTTGGAATAAAAAAAGGTTGGAATACCTCACACTAGTACTCTCGAGCTTTCAAGTTTGTTTATTTATTCATTATTATTCTTCTGACCATCTCTATTTACCTTTTAAGTATTCATACATTTGACTATCACCAACCGTTTCATATACAACTTGATCTGCTGGGACTGCGAATACATCATCTCTGTAAACACAATCAAAATCATAATCCCATTTGTTTTCATCTTCGGCACGATATCCATACACCATAATTGTTTGGAAAATATTATAGGTTCCAGCATTTGGAAGGTCAATGGTTCTCAATTTCACTTGCCATGTTGATATCACCTTCACCATAGTTGAAATGATTCTTTATTCAGCTCTATTTTTTTAAAATCATTTAATTAGTTTTTTTCTATTAATAGTGGGTGCACCTTCACAATCAATTATTACCAACACAGTTATAACTATGCCACCAGTCTCCTTTAAAGCAGATCCTTTCCAACTTTTAACCAATAATGATTTTGGTGCAGAGGTGGTTGTACGACCTAAATAGCGATTGGCAATAGCGATGGGTTTGCCATAGACATATTTATTAGGCTCAATCTCTGTTTTTGATAGTTCAAACTTTAAATTCTAATCGATTGTTGTAATATTAAAATTGTTAGAAAATTCTTCAACAAGGATTTGATTTTGATTTAGATACATACAAGCATTACCAATTGATCAATAGGGTTTTTTCCCTTGATTACCTGGTCAACTCCGAGCTCGGTTGAAACTATTTGACTGTTAGCCAAATCAAAAGGTTCATTTGGGCCATTACCATCACAAACTTTGAATGATTTATAGCTTTTATAATTTGTTTGGAACAAAATTTTCATATTTATTATTTTTTGGAAAACATAATGATTTGAAATTATGAAAGTAAATTATTTTGTTGGGTTATTTAAATATTATGATCCATGACAAGAAATCAATAAGAGTAAATTGAATCAAAATCATACACCTTTAAATAATATTTGCAAAGGTTCAATTTTATTTATTTTGATACCATTATTTTTTATGGTTTAATGCCATCTACTTGCACCCCTTCCAGTCAAGTATGAGATTACATCACTATCAGGATTTGGGTCAGTTCTAATATTGGTTACATTGATTGCATACAAATCATCTCTGTACACTGAGCATACAGAAAAGGATGGACTGACACCGTAAACCAGAATGGTTTGATAGATTTCAAATGTTCCAATTCCTATATCAACATTTTTAGATAGGGTAGTTTGACTGGGAATACTTGATCCATAGTTGAATAAATTACCAACATTTGATTGATCATCACACCTATAAATAAATAATTAAATATTAACTTTTTATGAGATTCAAGTCAATTATTATTATTTTCCATACGCTTGAATAGTTGATGCATTAAAACTAGATGATCCAGGAACCCATCCTTTGTAATATGTAATTGGGACCGATTGAGGGGATGTAGATGGAATCTCTTTAATTAATTTGTGATACACTGCAATGGGTTTAATAGATTGATAGTAGTTTGAATCCTATTTTTAAAAGTAAATTAAAATTATTAAAATAGGTATCATTGTGATTTTAATAAATTGTTTGAGTAACATGTTCTTACAATCAATACACAGTGGTCTGCAGGAACCATTAACTTTAATCTAGAGTCTACTCCATATGAAGTGTCCACAATGATACTATTATCAAGATAAAAGGCTGGTCTACCTTCAGGTAATGATTCTTTGGTTGTTGGTATACATGAACTTGGAATATGACCTTGAATCGAAGTAGAGGATGTACTCATGATAATTAAAATGATATAATAAAATTAATAATGATGATTACTTTTAATAATAATTATTTACTTGCAACATTAATAGTATTTTTTAAAAACACAATTTCAATTGTGGGAGGGGGGTATTGGACAAATTACATGTACCTTTCTTGGATGGGGGTGGGGTTGTGGTTAGATATGATGTTCAAACAGTTTAAAAAGTTTATTTTTAATTATTATGTTGGTCTTTGATTCTTGACCATTCATTTTTAATGAAAGAAGAGGAAGAAGAAGAAGAAGAAGAAGAGGAAGAGGAAGCATCTCACTTATACTGATCTATATATTTAGGTGCAAAAATAATTAAAAAGTAGGTGATCGTGTGCGCAAGATGACTTTCATTCTTTCACAAAGATAAAATCATACAACATTTATTGAAGAGATATAGTCAACAGCAACAGAGGATGTAAGATCATTGGAGTTGGTATTATTTTTATTTATTTTGTGATCAGTACAATGAAATGTGATACGGGTAGGTTGATGAACTCTTGGCAATGCAGTATTATCATTAGGGTAGAGTGACTCGACTCACTGAGAATAGTAGACTATACTATGGCTAAACAAAATGAGAATATAGTCGAATCACTCTACCATAACGATGATACCACCAATGAAAGCTTCTTGAGATATCTTAAAAACCTTCAAGTCCAAAAGATTCATCTGCTACCTGTACCATTTGATAGAGATCCTGAACCAAAGTGAAATACATAAAACGATTTGAATACCAGATCTGGTACGATAGCATTGATTGGTTTCAACTTGTTGATCATTTTAGAAAAAACTTTCTTCACATCGCTTGGAACATTTTTCATTCAGCTTACCTTGGTCTCTTGCAATAACCAGCAGCTCCCAGTATGACTTTTCATCCAAATCAATAGGTTTGTATATAATTTTCTCTGCCTTTTTAAAACAAGACAGAATGTTTTCAATCAACAATTGTCTATCAATGGTAATAGATAAATTGTATTCTCTTGCTCTTTTAACCAATTCATAGTCTTCCAATTGATTAAAATCAAACTATAGATCATTTGGATTACACATGGGGGGTCTTTTAGTACCCTTGGGAACCCAATGTCAAGAGGATGTCCAATGATTTGATCGAGCATTGTCAAAATGCCATCGAGCCAACTATACTCTGTATTCCATCCACTCTTTTGTCTTTGTTCCTGATAGATGTTGATCAGTCTCGATAGCTGAAGGAACGGGAGTAACACTGGATGGAAGAGATGAAGACGCCATCATGAAATCAGCATGACATGGAGTGGCTTGACAAAGAGAGGGAGCAGTTGAACCAGAAGAAGCAACTTGGAGGGAAAACATTGGATTTCTCTTCCAACCATTTTCTCTTGGGCTCTTGGCCTTTTCTATTTGGGCAAGAGTACCAGAAGACCGTAGCATAGATGGAGAGGGTGTCTTTTTCACCTTCTTGATAGGACTTGGGACTGGTGTAGACGACTCACTATCACCAACTTGGAGCACTGATTCCTCTGGTATCGTTTCCAAGCTCGTAGATTAGATGGAGAGGGTCAATCTAAAGCAATAGTCACAGAAGATTGACCATCTTTTTTACCAATGGTACCAGCTTTGATAGAATCTTGATCTTTTTGATTGTTGGCGCTGACAATAGAGGTTGAACGGGATTGAGTCGGAATCGATTCTATTTGTTTGGTACATATATACAAGATTGGTGGCATATAACAACATGCAGGGACAGAGATGACATGCCTTTTGCAAGTTTGCCACTAATGGCAAAAGTGCTCTAATTAGCGTTGGTGTTTCTATTATTATTTGGTTGTTCTCTATTTGTTGAATGATGAGATGATTTAAAAATGAAGTTAACATCACAGATTGAAAGATATTTTTTTAATTAAATTTTTTTTTTTTTTTTGAAATTCTCTTCATTTTTTGCCTGCTTCTTTTCCTTCTCATTTTAAATAAAAGCTCAAATTTTTAAGGATGGTAGACATTCAAACAAAAGATTCAAACATGTGAAGGGCAAAGATTTCCATGAGAACGGGGAAACAAATAATCAATCCTATTTGGGAACTTATGATCGATTTGTTTCGTTGTTGTTGTTTTTTGCCAAAAAAAGCCAATCTCCGAAAATATCTATATTTTTTTTGCCGATGTGGATGTCCTCATCATGCTCTCCACATCAGTTGTTTCATCTTACAATGGAGGTAAGACAGCATTGTTGTTCACATCTTATAAATATATCTCTATCTTTTATTTTATCTGTATTTATATTTTATTTATTTCGAAAAAGAAAATAAAAAAAAAAACAAGCCCCTACGATCTTCATGATGATGACCAAGATACCTTCAGTGTTTCATCTCATGAAATGTATTTTATTTGTATTCATTATTATATCATGTAGTATTAGTAATAGTAAAGATGGAGGAGTAAACGGACAGTGTACACCAACTCAATACGATTATAGTGAAAGAGGGTGTCTAGCAGGTTTCACTGATCAAATTACATTGTATCAGGTATGTTTATGACAATACTAATCTTATACCTAATCTTGATCTTAATATTAACTCTTTTTTTTTATATATATATTATATATTTAGTGTATTGGAGGATTTATTCGATTTGATACTAATAATTGTATAGTGACTAGTTCGAGTACGACAGGATCGATTGGTCCAAACCGAATCATTAATATTTACAAGTGTGGATTGTTCTTGTCGCTGCAATCGTGTGGTGGTACTGCTTGGACGTATGATCTCAAGTCTCCATTGGTGATAGATAAACAGAGATACTTGTACACTGTCAATTGCTGGGTCGGTGGAGAGCATATCGTCTATGGCACCGACAGCAGTGTCAGCACGAACCCGTGTGTTGGCGGTACCATCAAATCAACCTCTAAACAACCTATTGGATACTTTACATGTCCCAACTGTAACCATGGTACCTGTCAAACATCCGATAACCTACTCTACTGTCTTTGTGATGGTGGTTGGAATGGTAGATTTTGTGATCAACGTATGTATAGAGAAAAGAAAGAGTTGAGATATAATATATATTAATTAATTACTTTTTATTTGTTATTGTATTAGTTATACCACCAGGAACACCAATACTAACAAATGTAAGTGGTGAAGTGTATGATACTAGTGGAGGTGATTTGGTGATAAGTGGAGACAATTTGGGTGATGATGTGACTAGTGTACTGGTGCAAGTTGGGGAATCACCATGTATCAATGTAACGGTGAATGCAACTACGATTACATGCTCGATAGCACCAAGTACAACTCTTACACCAGTGACTCATCTCATGGTTGTGAATATATCGGGTGTGACAGTTGAGCCGTACCTCTATGTCAATGTCTTGTCGACATCGATGCACAACTGTGCAAGCAGTTGCAAGAATGGTACTTGTACAACGAATGGATGTCAATGTTTTAGAGGATACACTGGTATCAATTGTACACAACAACAAACCAATCAGACTACTGTCAACGGTAACAATAATAATGGTACGCTAGAGGTTGAAATTGGAGGTAGTGGCGCACTATACCAAATCAGAATGCTTCGTATAGACGAGATGAATATCGATGATGTCATTGTCAACACGATAGATCTAACTCTAGTGCAATGGATACTATCAACTAATAATGAAACTGATAAATGGGTTTATAGTACAAACTTTAATATTAGCAAAGGCGAAGGCGGAGACACGACTACAATTACAACAGCATCAATGGAAGTAAAATTTGTATTTTATGTCAATGCAACTACGGTGCAATTCTCAAATCAACAATTAGATATTAATGCACAAACACTCAAAGCAACCATTAAAATTGCAAATTATACATTTGACGGGTTTCTCAACAAACTATCGGTTGCTTTTGAAACTGGATTCAATGCATCAGATGTAGAATCTTGTTCAATCGAACAATCAACCGATCAATTCAACCAAGACCTATACACATCTATTCAAAGTCCAAAAGGTGGTCTAGTGTCTCGCTACCTATCCTACGCCGAAGTTGATACACGTCCCGTTAGAATTGAAACCAAATTACTTTCATCAACCAATTCATCTCAGGTTGCTGGTATAACTATTCCTTATTTTTCTCAATATGGTTTAGTTGATCCTGGTATGTAAAAAAATTTAATAATAATAATCAAAAATAATCAAAAATAATTAATTTATATTTATGTTTAAATTTAGATTTTTCAATATTCTTTAATGATGGAGATAAGGTTGGTAATTGTATTGAACAAGAAGAAAAGAGTGATGATAATCAATGGCGGCTCATTACAGGTGTGGTAGTTGGTGGCATTGGATTTATTGCTATTGCAGGAACTATTGGTTTGATGGCACACAGAGGCAGATGGATGCAAAAAATTAGAGCAAAAAAGGTTAACCATTCTATTCAAATGGAGTAATTATAACTTAATTAATTAATTAATTAATTCATTGGAATAAACCCAAACAAAATTGTATTTTTAAACAGAAAGAAAAGGAAAGACAAAGATTGATCATGATCTTTGCGAAAAGCCACGTCTTACTCCAAACAAAAAAAATATCTAGATTTAGTAAAAGATTAACAACAAAATAATTGTAATCTTCTCTCTTCTCATTAATAATATAATATGTTCAAATAGATAGATAATCAATATTACTATTAATTTAAATAACTCACTTTTAAAAAAAACAATATAATGATGTGTAAAACAGTTTTAATTGTGACAATTATTATTATTACATCATTGATGTTTTTGTCAAATGTACAAGCACAATGTCTAACCACTGAAATAGATCTAGGAGTAAAAGGATGCTTTGCAAATGGAACTACTTATCTAACACTTAGTCTTGTATGTATAAATGAATGAATCACAGAAAGATTAGAGAGTAGAGTACAATAGTTATTAATGAATCTTTATTATAATTATTTGTATATTTAGTGTAATGATGGGGATACATTGTATACAACATTTGGAGTATGTAATGGACAAGATCTTGGAAAGATTAGTACACCTGCAATGTATGGTCAGGCTCGTACAATCAATATTTATTTATGTCTTTTAGGCAACAACTACCTTTCATTCAGGTCGTGTGGAGGGTCTTATTGGACGTACAATCTAATGGATCCAATCAAACCGTACCAACAATCATATTTGTTTTTGTTGACTTGTGGCAGCAACTATGGTCAAGTGGCAGCCTATGGGACACCAAGTGACACTGTCGCGACAATGACCAAGCTATGTGGTGTCTACGGTCTGCGATACATGTCACAAGCAGCACTTGGACAATACGTATGTCCCAACTGTAACCATGGTAGTTGTGTCATACAAAATGGTGTTGGTACAGTTACTTGTAAATGTAGTGATGGTTGGAATGGAAGATTCTGTGATCAACGTATGTATACGTAGCAAATGTAATCAAATATAGATAAAATATTATATGTATTTATTTATTAATTAATTATTTATTTGTTTGTTTGTTTGTAGAAATACCAATTGGAACACCGACTATATCAAATGTAACAGGAGAGATATTTGATACAAGTGGAGGACAATTGACAATTACTGGACAAGGGTTTGGGTCAACTTCAAACAATATATTTATTTCAATTGGTGGTGTACCGTGTAGTAACATATCGATTGTCACTTTCAACACTGAGGTTAGGTGTAATGTGACCGATGATGTGTATCTGTCACCGGTATCACACCGACTGCTACTCAATGTATCGGGGTTACAGGCACCCGAGTTATTATACGTGCATGTAAAGTCGGCAGTCTTTGAAACCTGTACGGTTGGTGGTAATTGTCAGCACGGTAACTGTACGTACAATGGATGCCAGTGTTTTACAGGATACACTGGTTACAATTGCTCAGAGAAACAATCATCCATTACAACAACTGTAGCTCAAAATAATAATGGTACTCTTAATGTTTCAATTTATGGTAATTCTTCATCCTCTTCAACAACATCGACATCACTATTTCAAATTAAAATGATTAGGATTGATGAATCTGATATTGACGGTATGGTAATCAATTCTATTGATCTAACTAGATTAAATTGGACATTATCAACAAACAATGAAACTGATAAATGGACATATAATACTTTGTTTGGAGGAGGAACAAGTATTCAAGTTAAATTTGTATTTTATGTAAATGCTACAATTATTCCATTTTCAAATCAACAATTAGATATCAATGCACAAACATTAAAGGCAACCATACTCATTTCAAACTACACGTTTGCAGGACTACTCAACACCCTATCAATTGTTTTTGAAACTGGATTCAATAATGATGCAGAGACGGTCGAATCTTGTTCGATTGAACAATCAAACAATATATTTAACCAGAATCTATACACTTCTATTCAAAATCCAAATGGTGGTCTAGTGTCTCGGTACCTATCCTATGCCGAAGTCGACACACATCCTGTTAGAATAGAAACCAAATTACTTTCATCAACCAATTCATCTCAAATAATTGGTGTTAGTATTCCTTATTTTTCACAGTATGGTTTAGTTGATCCTGGTATGTAATAATATAATAATAATATCAAAAAGTATAATTAATATTTATTAATTAATATTCTTTTCTTTTAGATTTTTCAATATTCTTTAATGATGGTGAAACAAAAGTTGGTAATTGTGTGGACCAAGAGGAAAAGGAAGAAGAGGAACGACAATGGAGACTCATTACAGGTGTAGTGGTCGGAGGAATTGGATTTATATTGTTGGTTAGTGTTATCGTTGTGATTGGTCACAAGAAAATGTGGATCTCTAAATTAAGAATTAAAATAGGTCAAGAGGTTGAAATGCATTAAATTAAAGAAAGATTCACTGATGGACTCATTCATTCATAAATGTCAATATTGGAGAGTTGATATTATTTTAGTTGGGGTCATCAAACCCCCACCCATTTATTATAACATAATAAATGTATATTATGTGGAATACAAAAGATTAGCAATAAATTATTATTACAATAATTCCTCAATATTATCATTCATAGATTGATCGATCAATTTCATTTGTCCTTTTGGAATCGATTCTTTTGAAATATATTTTTTGTCCAATCAAAATCCGATATTTTTTTTTGATATATGGAAGTGGGTGGTATACATTTTAAAAACGATCAATTGATTATCTCATTGACCATAAATGGGTTGGGGCATTCTATTAAATTATATTACCCAATCTAATCAATCAATTGATTCAACAACAATAACAACAACAACAATGGACCAAAAGGGGAGGTATCAGTTATGAACTCAAAGTCTATCTTTTTAAAGTAATCATCATTTTAGAAATATTTGTTATTATTATCTGTACAGAAACTTTATCATGTCTATTAAATTATTATTAGTATTATCTATATCTATATTTATCTTATTTTCACCGATTATTAATGCTTTGATTCCAACTACTGATCCTCAATGTTTGTATTATTTTTTTTTGAAATATGTTTCTATGTCCCCACACTCATTATTATGTATTACTTTCATTTCTTTCTTTAGATTCAGTATTGAATAGTATATCATCTGCAGCATCGAATCAACAATCACAATGGACATCAAATGATATTCAACAATGTACAGCTAGAGGGGTACTATGTAATACTGATAAAACAAAAGTTATATCATTGTAAGTTTATATTATATATCATTCTTTCAAATTCATCGCTTTTGTATACTTACATACATTTTGATTTCAAGAGTATTAGATGAATGGTATACAGGTAAATTAATAAGTGATATATCACAATTATCATCACTTCAAGTACTTTATCTTAAAGGTAATGGAATAGGTTCGACAATGAGTATTCCTACACTCCCAAAATCTTTAAACTATATCACTATTATCAATACTTTATTTCAAGGTATTGTTCCTAGATCAATATCAAGTTCATCTTTAGTTTCATTGTATGTAACTTGGCAAAGTATATCAATATTCAATAATAATCATATTAATATTATTTTTATTATTTTTTAGAACATTAAGTAATAACAAAGGATTAACTGATATGTCTACCGTTGATTTCCTGTCAGCATCATTAAATCAATTAAATTATATAAACATTACAAATAATATCAATATTAAATCAATGTTACCAAATTTGGCTGATTTTAATAGAACTGGAACAATGTAAGTAAACTTTAAAATATGTAATCGTATATTCAACTCAGAGTTATATATATTAATAATGTTCAATCTTTTCTGTAGAATAATAAGTGGTAATGGATTTACAGGAGGATTACCCAGTTTATTTAATTTAATATTCTTTGATAGTGGTAAATTAAAAGCAACGGTTGACCTTTCAAATAATAGATTACAAGGTGTCGTTCCACCCTATGCCTATTGTATTTCAAAATCAAATTCATCCATTTTAAATCTAAGTGGAAATATATTCTCATCGACTGGACTGTGTAATCCCAACCTCAATGTCATCTCTCCCAATCAATTTACAGATGTTGGTACCGGGTTCTTGGTCTATGGTGTTGCTTTTAATGAAATTGTATCCATTTATGATGATGTTGGTCCTTTATCTTGTTCATCTTGGATTTCTATTTATTCAACTATAAAGTATGTCAAAAGAAAAATAGATCATTTATTATTTAATTTATTTATTAATTAATTTTTATTTATTTATTTTTAGTTGTAAATTTAATAGATTTAAAGCATCATCAACAGGATATCAAACGATTTATTATGGACCTGATAAACAACCATTTTATTTACCATTACAACCACCCATTGTTGAGAGTGCAACAACTGTTAGTTCAAAGACTGGTGGTCAAATTACAGTGGTAGGATACAACTTTCCACCAGTCATGACATCTCTTTTAATTACAGTCGATAATGTACCATGTAAAAATACAAAATATTCACTCTCACAACCCGGTCATGGAAAATTGATATGTTTGGTAGCTCCATCATTGAAAACAATCACAGATCCACGTGCATCCCTTCAAGCAACTATCATCAATCCAAATAATCCATCATCAAATTTTACTGGTTCAAATTATAACTTTTTATTATATCAAGGTAAAAAAATCAATCATTAAATATTAAACTCTTTATTAATTATTTTATTTTAATTTTTAGATGTATTATTAGGATGTTTAAATAATTGTAATGGTAATGGTGAATGTGTTATGGGTCAATGTAAATGTATTGATAGTTTTACAGGTCCAAATTGTTCAATACCAGTTCGTGATGTACCAAGTTTGATTGAATCATTCTTGAGTAACGATACTAGTAACGGACCATCAATTATTGCAAAGATTGGAAATGCAACCATTCAAATACAAATGACATCTGTACAAGAGTACAATGTAGATGGTGATGTAGTTAAAAATATATCACTTGCAACCAACAAGATTTGGTACAAGACTATACTCTATGCTTCATCCAATTCCTACTATTTCTATGGTTCAATCAATGGTGGGAAGACAAATATATCGGCATCTGTACAATTATTTAGTAATGATACGGTTTATGTATTTGGTAATGAAAAAAGTAACATTTCAAGAGGATCCATTAAATTTTCATTTAATATTAGTAATTGGGATTGGACAAGTACAATTAGTACTTTACAAGTACTTTATTCAACAAGTATAAATATTAATGGAACACTAGGAGGAAGTACTTCTTCATCTTCTTCTTTACCATCAAATTGTAAACCAAACAACAATCGATTAGATCTTCAACAAGTGAATGATCCATTGGTTCAAGATTCATTAAAATATGCGTCATTTAAAAATCGTCAATTTGTTGTCAACTCGAGATTCACTAATCGTGCCATTATCGATGGTCGATTCCTAAATATTAAAAACAAAATAGCCAACACCTCGTCAGAACGTACAACCTATGGTATACTAGTTCCACATTTTGAATCGAGTGCACAAATTGATCCAGACTTTTCATTGATACTCAGTGACAATGCTGACATTAACAATAATGGAGATGACACTTTTACATGCTCGACAGCTGGTGGTTTGAGTACAGTCAAACTTGTATCAATTGTAGTAGTATGTGGATTATTTATAGTGTCGTTGGCAGTTGGTACCATCATTTATGTAAAGTTTAAAAAAAGAGAATTAAAATCAAAACGTAGAGTTCGTAATGCTACCAATGCCTACCTTGCATCAGTTGCTCAATCAACCAACACTGCCACCACCGCAGGTTCATCATCTTCCTATTCATCTTCATCCTCTTCAATCACTGTGACAACCTACCCATCATCCTACTCTTCAACAGCTTCATCTTTTATGGGTCATGGTCATATTGATAATACTACACCATCTCCCACTCCACCAGGTTCAGCATTCTTTATGAATTATTATTTAAATCAACAACCTCCAGATTTAGACAATAATAATAATAAATCACAACCTCCCAAATAAATAAAGAATAAACTTAAATAAATTATTTGTAATTGTATTTTATTTTATATTTTATATTTATTTTACCTTCAATTTGAATTAATAAATTTGAGGATTTTTAATACCAAGAGTTTCAAGGTATGTTGTGGAAATATCATCGAATTGCTTCTTTAATTGTTTCTTTGTGTTAAAGTCTTGGAAATTGTAGGAAAAGGCATTTCTGAGAAGACGTAAAACATGGAGGAGATTAAACTGTGAGTTTTTGGCAATCTCAAAGAGCATTTCGTTTCTTGTAAATGTGTAGAGTGAAGAACGGAGACTGCAGATGACGACTGGTACATTGTTGTCGGTCATATGTCTGACGGGGCTTGTAAAGGAAAACTCGCTTGTGAAAATTTTGAGGTACTCTGACAAACTCAACTCGACTGGGATACGATAGTTGGCGAGATAATTCATCATCTCTGGGAAATGGTTTACCTGGAATGCACCAGATAGACGACTAGCACCAGCATCGTTGATGGTCGATACCATAGACTCTATACCAGAGTGCCCGGCAAATTGGACAACGTTAAAGTTTTGTGATTTTAAAAAGTCAAATGTCTTTCTAAAGTATTTCATCTCGGAGGGTGGAATGACGTCCGTGCCAAAGATACCAAATCCAACGACAGACTTTTGACGGTTGGCTACTGCCATTTGAGCAATCTCAAAGAATGAGACTGGGTCATCGCGTGATGGTGATACAAAGAGGATGAATGCAATCGTCAGTCCCTTGTCTTGCCAGTGGACACGACGGTCGACCAACACTTGGAATGCGTCCTGTAGAGACAGACCGCCAAATGTATGAGAGGCTGGACGGAAATGTACTTCGATATACGACACCTTGTCTTGGAGAGCACGGGTCATGACATCGTCAAAACCACGTTGCAACTGCTCGGCCGTTTGTAAAAGCATATTCATAATCTTTTTGGCACGTTGAATCGTCTCGACAGTATGACCTGATGGACACTGTATGACAGATCTAAATTCATTGATATCGGCCAATTTAAGATTGAATCTAGCTTGCACTGCTTTTAATAGTTTGTAGTCGTTCGCGACCATTTCATCCCACATGAGACCGATCGAGACGGACCCGTCAAGACGGCAGTGGAGGTCGGCTTTGGGAAGATTAGAGATAATGTCAAGTGACATGGTTGGGATGGGTGTGAACTTGTAGACGGGTAAAGTCACGTTGATACCACGCTCCAAGTAGTATGGGGCGTTTTGATAGAGTGGCTCGAGATCATAGCCAGCGTCGCGGAAAATTTCAATGGCACGCTTGACCGACTCGATACGAAGACGATCCTTCATGGGTGCGTCCAAAAAGGTTGATGCAAAGGAGTGGTCGATCAAACGAATCACCTCTTCGACTGAAAAGTTGAAAGTGTCAATTGCCAACTTGAACTCGCCAGACAGGGTGATGTTGCTCATCGTTGTATTGTCGCAACAGAGTGTGACGACGGCACCCTTGTCAAAGTATCGTCTGATGGGGTGATCGGCAATACTCTTGATACCCTTGATTTGAAGATTAGAGGTTAAACAACATTCAATGGGTATTCCACGATTAATCATGTAATCGAGTAATTGTGGATTCTGTTGGATAGCGATACCATGGCCAATACGATTAGCACCACATTCGTGAATCGAGTCCGCAACACTCTCCCAATTACTATCCTCTCCAGAATGTAATGTTACATTGATACACTTGCTACGAATCACTTGGAATGCTTCCTTGTGATACTTGCTACCGAATCCATCTTCTGGTCCAGCCAAATCAAATCCTCTAACTCCCTTTGATCTGTATCTCCATGCAACTTCAGCTAAATCTTTGGTTACACTTGGTGAAAGATGACGTAAACCACATACAATAATACTAGCTTTCATTGGTAACTTCATCTCTGCCAATGCCAACCCTTCACAAACTGCCTCCATAACAGCCGACAAACTCAATCCCTTTTCAGTATGTAGTACAGGTGAGAATCTAACTTCCAAATATGTTACTCCATCATTGATTGCATCTTCACACATTTCATAAAATATTCTTGTAATTGAATCTAAAAAGAAAAAGAAAAAGTTTAAGTACTCTTTGATTTGATTTTGATTTGATTTGATTAACATACGAGCAGTTTGCATTACTTTAAGAGTATATTGAAAAGCTTCAAGAAAGTGAGGTAGACCATTACAATTCTTGTCCTTGAGGATATAGGTACTGAGCTCCTCCAAGTCATAGGTTGGCAACTCGATCTTTTCTTCGACTGCCAATTCTAGCAATGTTGTCAGTCTAATCGATCCATCCAAATGTCTATGTAATTCTGCTTTTGGTAATTGTTTACAAATTTCAAATGTAATCTCTTTATTTGGTATCATATCTCTCTCTCTTAACTTTTGATTTGATTTTAAATAAATAAATAAATATAATAGACTTTAAAGTTAAGTGTATTTGTACAAATTATAAATGTAATAAAACAACAATATTATCTCTCTCTCTATTCTATTACTAGTAAAAATGAATGAATGAATGAAAGAGAAAGAGGAAGAAAGATAAAGATGATGAAAGATAAAGAGGTGTTATATTTTGGTTTGAAGAATGAAAATTTTGAGCATCTCTGGGATTCATGAGTTAAATTTTATCAAAAATCCATGTTTTCAATTTCGGGGTGAGGTTTATAAAAAATATCTTGCGTCATTGTTGGGTGGAAGGTCAAGGACCAAGGATCGGAGTTCGGATGGTATCCAAGAATAAAATAAATAAATAAATAAATAAATACTATTTTTTTTAAAAAGATAGGAAAATGATGGTGATGATATCATATCACACCGACATTCAATCTTTATAGTAAATAAATATAAAAATAATAATATTCTTCTGTTTGTTGTTACTTCTTCTTCTTCTTCAGGTGTTTTGATTTGATTTGATTATTATGCCTCTTTGTGATCGATTTGTTTGTTTGTTGTTGTTTTGGTGGTTGATTAGTGTTTATAACATTGCAGTTGGTCTCTTCCATGAAAAATAAGTATTAACAGACATGGAGGAGATGATTGATAGGTAACCAGTGAGTAGTGTACGAGACCATTCTGAACGAGACCAAGATGGAATAAGCGGGAGTGACCCCAACATGATAGCAACTAGTACGGCTGCACTTCCCTCGTATGGTGTCAACCCCGGGAATGAAGTGAGTGCAGCTCGCAATCCAACTCGAGTGGCTGCCAACGCAGACAACATAAACGATGTCATTGATAATATGCCACCGGTACTCTTGACCAATCTCTTTGCCTCTTTTAACCAAATCCAAAGTGTTATTGATACTACACTTCCCCATAACCCTAATCCTGGTATACTCATTGATACTCCTTGTGTATTTCTAAGTGAACTACAAAATAAAAACAACCAAATCATATATTAATATACTAATAATGTACAATTATTTCCAAGTTTTTACATACTCTCCTCTAACACATCTATTTGTAGTTGATAGGATACTCTCTAATTTCTTATTATGTACAAGTGTTAGATACAACATTCTTCCATTGATCAAACTATAAATGGCACTAACTATTAAAAACACCATTCCCCAACCTTTAGATACTTTTACAAACAATAGGATCGTCTCTAAGATCGATGATATCGTCATCAACAATTGATAGGATCTACTAAACGTCAATTTTACACCTAAATAGGTCTGCATTCTATTTGACATTTCATATAATCCTATTAATCCTATTATCTAAACCAAACAAACAAAACAAACAAACAATCATCAGTGTCAATGTAATAGTTAACTATGAATCTTCATTATTTTACTTACTTTGCTACCTAATCTTATTACATTATCAATTGTTTGTTTACCACTAATCTCTCTAAATATGATATCAATGTCTTGATGTGGAATGACAATACCACCCTTTCTCCTTAATAGTCTTAGTAGATAGTATACAGTCAATGGTGGAATAAACGTGGCTCCTATTTTAGTACCAGTAGTCATCTGTTGCCACATTGACATTAGATTTACATTAGTTCTATTTACAACTTGAAATTGTGGTAATACTCTACCTGATTGAGGTGTTGTAAAGTGTCCTCTAGAGAGAATAGAATAGTTAATATATATATTTCTTTTACTTTAATCACAAACAAACATACTGAATCTGTTTCAATCTTCTAGTTGTTGTATAATCCATTTTTGAATTAAAATGTACTATCTATCTATCTATCTATCTATATATCTATCTATCTATCTATCTATCTATCTATCTATCTATCTATATATATATGTATATTACTAACTTTTAATCATTCGATAATTAATTATCTCTCTCTTTTAGTTTGTTATTAATAATTAATTTTTTTTTTGAATAAACTTGATGAAGTCACTAAACAACATCCCCTCAATGATCATTCATTCATCTTTTGGAATAATGATGTAATAAATAATAATTTATAGATGGATAAGAAAAAGAAAAAGAAGAATGAGAATAGCAGCATTACAACAAAATAAACAAAAGAAACTTCTACAACAACAACAACAACAACAACAACAACAACAAATGATGGGTGTAGACGAACAACAAATGCAAGATGATGATAATGTTGAAATCAAGAGAATACACCATAATCATCAAATAGACTCATCATTCTATAATGGGTATGATGATGTAGTTTGTAATGATCAGTATTATAGTCATGAAAGAAAACAACCTTGTTATATGACTGTTGTTGACCCTACTACTAGTAGTGAAGCTACTGAACACCAACTATTAGAGTTATTAGGTTGGTTTATGCCACCACCCGATAAATATTCATTATACTTTAACCAATTTCAAATTCAACAATTGAATTATATTAAAGATACACCTTCATCATCAGCATCATCATCAAAATCAACTTCAACTACCTCGACTCAACAAAATATAAAATGTAATCATACACAATGTATGAATCTACCTGCATTTACATCGATGACCGCTTATGAGAATCATTACTATAGTGTTCATTGTTACGAATGTTCAGTGTGTTCTAAATCACTACCCTCTTATAAATGGTTGGAATGTCATTTGTTGGAAGTTCACGATAAAATGTTTGCTCAACTTGCTCTTAAACATCAATTGGTTAGTATATTAATAATAACTTATATAATTATTATTTACTAACGTACATCTATTTAATTAATTAGTTTGACTGTATTGTAAATGATTGTAAACAAAAGTTTTGGACAGACAGAGTACGAAAAGAACATTTAGTATCATATCACCGATTTCCAGAAGCATTTGAATTCCATACTCAACCAATCCTCGATCAAATGATTACTCTTCACCAAAATATAGTTCAATATCAACAACAATTACAACATCAACAACAACAACTACAACAACAACAACAATCAAGACCAAATTAATTAATGTTGGTAGTTGGTATGATGTTATGCATATGTGTGATTTCAATCAATGCAACACAATCCACATCCACAAATGAGGAGACAACAGCAAAGTGGCGATAATTAATATTTAATTAGTTCATTAATTATTTCCCAATTTCCCAAGTTTATATTGAATGATCATTTATCATTCACATTGATTATTTATTCAATAATTATAATTGATAATTAAAATAATAGTTGTTACTTCCCCCGGGGAAGTTATTATTTATTTAATAATAATAATACTTAAACCTGTTTGGCAGTACCAATAAACTTTCCACCTGGACCATTAATAACAACATTTAAAGAACTAAGCTTACCGTATCGTCTCTTGAAACTCTTTTTGGTAGAACAACAAATCTTTTCCAATAGTTTACGGTTTTGATCGAGGATTGATATATTATTCTTTGAACAATCCTTTCCCAATGAAATATCACTTAGACTGATTTCAATTCCTTTACCATTTTGTGCAATAATTGAAAATGCATCCTGTTGCCTAAACAAGTAGAATAGATTAATATCTTTTGGTTGCCAATAACAACAAGTCTAGAATTTATATTTAATCATACATTGGAGTATCTTGAGGAAAATTGGTTGAATGGAAATTTTGTAAAGATCCATTAGATACATCTACTAGTAACTCTGTTACTTGTCCATTGACATTGATCATTACAATCAATGATAATAGAAGAATTGAAAGAACCAATTGTACAATCTTCATGATTCTAAATTTGTATATAAATTTTAATTTTTGAGAGAGAGAGAGAGAGAGAAGAGAAAAGAATCTAAATTAAATAAATATGATTTGATGATGACGTTGTTTTAATCACTATTGTGTTAATCATAATGTTATGTATATTTTTTCAAATATAATATATTATAGGAAGCAGAATATATTAATATATATATATATATATATAAGGATGATGATGATCGGCACAACACCCCCGTTCCTTTTAAATTATCTCTTATTCCTCCCATCCAATAATATCAATCCATGCATGGTTCATATCCATCCATACATACATACATCTCCTCTCATGGTTGATCAACATCATCATGAATGAATGAGAAACCTAACCCTCACCCCCATTCGGTTACTATTGATCATTATTTAAACGACCACTCCTCTCCTCCACTTTGTACATGTATCAATGCTTACGGATAGAAAGAAGGTCAACCATATAATTATTTGTTTGATATTTCTTGTATAGCATCCATTTTCCCATTGATATATACCACCATGTCAAGCAACTATAATATTGTTATACTATTATATTATATTAACATGATCCAAAAGAAATAAAAAGTATTCGATCACATCATATCACATGTGATCATCGACGTCAAATTGCCATGGGTTATATACATCGCCAATGCATACTTGAAGTTGTTGTTATTTACCGATACATCATCAAGAGTAGTTCAAAGAAAGAAAGCTACTACTACTACTACGACTAACTACTCTGCTACTATTTGTGAATGAAGAGTGGGGAGAGGACAACTTTAAATGAAAAAGATGAGAGAGATTCTTTTAAGAAGGCACCCGATTTTCAAAAGCTCGAGATTTTGATTTGTCCGTTAGACTCAACACGAAATCTTCTTCTTTCGAGAGCCACCTCCACACGTTTTTCTCTTTTACTAGTTTTTTTTAAATTATTTTATTGCGTTGTTGTTTGTATTTATTAATATCTATTTTTGTAGTAGTAGTAGTAGCTTATATCTGTATCTGTATCTATATTATCCATCATCACTAAATTAGCAGTTAGAGTAAATCAACCAAAGATGTATGTATACCTACCTCTGTCCTTGTGTAGTATTAGCAATCAATCAAATCAAATCAAATCAGCAGGAGAGTAGTAGTACTATTCGTTCATCACTCCAACACAACAATAAACAATAACAACAACAATTATAACGATATGTTCCACATACACACATAACACACACACGCATTGATTCGATCCATCAAGATCAATCCAATTGACCTAACCACTCACACTCACACACTCACTACTACTATTCTTTCTTGGGATATCACAATTATCACACTCCATCCCTCTCCTCATTAGACTAGACCACTAGTATTAATGACCATGGTATAAATAATGATAAATCATCATCACACAAACCAACCATTCATCATCATCACCATCCATTAATTCTACTACTCTTTTTTAATTCATTCACTAACCTCCAATATTGATATTGTCATTTCTAGTATAGTAAAGAAGAGAAATTGGAATATATATATATATAGAATATAGAATATAGAATACATATGTTATTGTGTGATTGATATTTGAAAAGAATAGATATATTACAACAATCCATTGGTATAACACAAAAAAATGGTAGATATGAAAGATAGATAATAGGACATAGATATGAAAGATAGATATATATATTGACATTTATATTGCTTGTTTTAGGGATCAAGAGCATCGAAATTATTGGAAGAAGCACAAAAGAATCATTCAAAAGATGTTAATTTGAAAGAGACTAATTTGAAGAGTCTTCCAATCGTCGTTTGTACAAACTTTAATTATATAGTTAAATTGAATCTCAATGACAATCTGATAAAAGAGATACCGCCAGATATATACAAGATGCGGTCTCTAAAGATACTGTGGATGAGTAATAACAAGTTGGTGAGCATCGCCGACGAGGTGGGACTGCTGTCCGAGCTGGAAGAGTTACACGTCGATGGAAACAGCATCAGTCGTATAGGAAAGGTGTTTTTCGAGTTGAAAAAGATACGTGACTTGTCGTTGGCGCGGAATGCACTCAAGGAGGTACCAAGTGACATGGGTATGCTGACGAGTCTCAAGACACTGTCACTCGAGAACAACGAGTTGATTGCGCTTCCCGGGTGTCTGGGTGCACTGGCCAATCTGCGTACACTTAATGCCGGACAAAACCAAATAGAATATTTGTATGGCGATGTTGTGAATATGGCATCTTTGACAAACTTGTCGTTGTTTGGCAATCGGTTACATACGTTGCCCGAGACATTTGGCAGGTTGGGTGCGCTGTCCAACCTGAATCTACGCTCGAATACGTTGTCCACGCTGCCGGGGACATTCTCAAGTCTGCAGAGTTTGACGACGCTGTCGTTGTGGGACAACTCATTCTCGGTGTTTCCCGAGAGTCTGTGCAGGGTGACGAGTTTGACCGAGCTCAGTTTCAGCAATAATCGATTGGAGACATTACCCCCTTCGATCAAATCACTCGTCAATTTGCGCAAACTCTATTTACAGTATAATCAGATAGAATCGATTCCCACCGAGATCAAGTATCTCGTCAGCTTGAATCACCTCTTGCTCCACCACAACAAGTTGTTGAGTGTGCCGTGTGAGATATCGGGGATTCGCGCACTCGACTCGATCAACCTCACGGGCAACCCATTACACGCGCGTCTCTTACAACTCGACATGCAAGCACTCATGAAACACCTGCACGGGGAGATGTCCAACAAACGCGACGTGTCTGCGCGTGTCATCCAGCGCCACTACCGCGCCTTTAAAAAGCAGTACCGGTTCCGCTGCGTCGTCTTTGCCGTGCTCGAGGAACACCGCCAGCACAAAAACATCCAAATGACCAACACGTCGATCCTGCTCATCAAAGCAGCCACCAAAATTCAGCGTTGGTTCCGCTCACGTAAACGTCTTTCCCTCTGGCACCAAATGGTCTCCAAACTCATCCTCATCAATAGTATTCAACAAAACATTAAACTAAGAAGTAAATCAACAGACTCTACAAATGATCAAAGCAGCAGTACGCAAGACAATCATGGAAATAATGGACTGATGATAGCAAGTTCGACGATTAATATAACTGGGACTAGAAGTGGAAGGTTAGGGTCGATATTTGGATTTGACGAGCCGGATCATGAAGATAATATAATATACTATGTGCCAGAGTCACAATCGTCTGTGATTGATGGGTTGGTGAACCCGGCGACCCCGATCATCAAGGCGGCGACCGTCCCCAAGCTGATCGAGCATCTGTGTTATATCACGTACAACGAGCCGGGATTCACGCGCGCATTCTTTGCGACGTACACGTCGTTTATCGAGCCTACCGAGCTGTTCCAGTTATTGTGTGTGCGATATCATGTCGAGCCGCCCGTCAATGGAAATGACGGCGAGTTGGACCAGTTCCGAAAGATTGTCAAGCCGCGTATACAAGAACGTGTGATTGAACTGCTCGGGTACTGGATCAAACACCATCTCAATGATTTCGAAGTACACCCCAAACTCCTCAAAAACTTTAATAGTTTTCTATCAAACACTTTACTCTTTGAAAAGGAGACAAGTGCCAAACGACTCATTGCAATATTCAACGAGACCAAGAAAAAGAATCGTGATGATTTGGAAGAGTTGTTAAAGCTCGCCCAGAACGCTCCTAAACCCATCCTTCCCCTTAAACCAATGGATGGCACGTCTATCAGTTTACTCGACTTGTCGACGATTGAAGTGGCCCGTCAAATGGCACTCATCGATCAGTCGTTACTCGCACGTATCTCTGCCAAAGAGTTGCTCTCAAAGAAATGGTCGTCACAACATGTCGGCAACATAGAGACGTGTCCCAACATCATCAACATGATTCAAGTGTTTAATAATGGCAGTCAATGGGTTGCGAGCGAGATTGTGCAGGAACGGTCGTCCAAGCAGCGTCTCAAGCGTCTCAAGTTCTTCCTCGACGTCGCGCGCCACTGCTTTGAGATGAATAATTATAACGGACTCATGATGGTCGTGTCGGGACTCAGCAGCAGTAGTGTCGGACGACTAAAGGGCACGTGGGGGTCGCTGTCATCACGTCGTCGCGAACAGTTTGAAGAAATGGAGCGGTTTGTCAATATGGAGGGTAACTTTAAATTGTACCGTCTGGTATTGTCAGATGTGGTCGGGCCATGTCTCCCCTTTGTCGGGCTCTACCTCATGGACCTCACATTTATGGATGAGGGGAACCCCACGTATATCGGGCCGTCTGGCAAACTCCTCAATTTTGTCAAGAAGCGTATGGAAGCAAACTCGATCAACCGGTTCCTCTCGTACCGCGGCACACAGTACTGCTTTGAACCCGTGCCATTCATCCAAGACATGGTTCTGAGCAGCCCGACACTCACCGAAAAAGAGTTGTATGACCGATCGGTCGCCATCGAGAAACGTCATCTCCGCAAGATATCCAAACGTCAAAGTCGCGAGCGTATGCTAACTCATTCAAATAGTAATGTTGATCTTGCCGAATCATTTAATCAGCATCAGCAACAACAACAAACTAGTACAAGTACAAACACACCATCCAAATCATCAATTAAAAAAGAAAAAGAAAAGGAAAAGGAAAGAGAGAAATCAGCTGCCAAAAAAGAAAAGAAACTACAACAACAACAACAACAGAACAATACGAATAATAATATGTCAACACCACCACCAAAACTTAAAAAGGGTGATCAAGCAAACACATCGTCTCCAGCAATCATGTCGTCACCTCCCAAAGAAGGTGTACCCAAACTCGAGTTTACACTATCTTCCAATCGATTCACTCCCATCTCTCAATTCAACAGTCTCTATCATTCCGTTGATAATAGTCCAATGTCATCACCTAGATTCGTTACAAATAATAATAATAATAATCCAAAGGATCAACAAAAAGATTCCTCATCCAAACAACCCTATGACCATTCACCAAACTCGTCAACTTTTTCAACCATTCGATCAACATCGAGTTATCTTGCATCTACATCACCTCCTCAATCTCCACCTTCAACTCCAAGAGGTGGTGACAATAGTAGCAGTAATTATAAATATCCAAATTCTCCGCTTTAAATAATGTAAATAAATCTCTGTTTATAAATAAATAAATAAATATTATTATTCTTTTTTGTAAATAATAATAATCGATAGACTATTCTATGTTGTATGTCAATTCAATTCCGGTGATTCATCACTTTGCACTATGTCACTTTGAAGAAGGTGTATGTGTCTGTTGGATGGGTGAAACGTTGGGTTTGGTAGGCCAGTTCCCAACAGTCGACCGAAACATAACATAAAACAACATCCAGCCTTCAATTGAATGGTTTTTTTTAATTGAAAATGATCATTCCAAAATTCAAAGATTAAAAAGGCTAAAAAATCAAAGAAGAGCCGTCGCGACGGGTGCACCTTACAACTAGTTGCTTTGTTTGGTGGGCTCTGGGGGAGATGGCTGGGTCAGAAAAGGCTTAATATATTGTTTTATTATTACTTTTGTCGCAAAGATAAGGTTAGCCTAACCTAACCCTACCCTAACCAGCCACCACCACTAGTAGGTGTCCGTACGGAGTTGCTTGGGTATAACTTTGTCTTTCTCTCCCAAGAGCTTAAGATGGTGGAGGTTTAGTTTGAGTCAAGAAGAATCCAATCACTTTGGTTGTTGATAGATCATCAATAATCATATCATATATTTCCAACGAAAAAGAAATCTAGAATAACAAACAACAACAACAACAAGGCGGTATAATAACATTATTTATTATTATTATTATTTATTGTGTTATTGTCATTCATCATTGAGATCACCAACAAAACAACAACCAAACAAACAGCTGCACACTCCGAAGCAACCAAACTAAAAACCACCCCTGTTGCGGTTTTTTTGTTTTTTTTTAAACAATCAGACAAACAACAACCCCCCCAACTACAAAATAATATAATATCAATATTTCTGTCTAATAATAATAATAAGTTTATATTAGTATAGTTAGTTAGTTATAGTCGTACAAGAACAAGAAGAAGTATACTATAAGTACTACTACTATTCATATTTGTATAGTTTTTTGATAGAGAAAAGAGAGGGATTGTCCCCAAGCAAGCCAAACAGCAAAAGCAGCAAAAAAAAAAAACTTTTTCAAAGAAGAAAGAGAGACAGTACAGTTGCAGCAAGATAATTATCATTCATTGCAGCGGATAGACAGACAGACAGATCTCTCATTCAACAATAACACCAACAACAACAACAACAACAACAACTACTACTATAAGAATAAAAGAGAGAGAGAGAGAGAGAGAGTAATAAGAAAGGAAGAACCAGTTAACACACAGGCCATCGGTTCATAAGAGACAAAAGAGTGTTTGGGTTGACAGACAGCAAACAACATAACTACGACATCAACAGAGGTAAGTTAACAAAGAACTCAGGTGATCACAGGTAATGATGATAATGATGATGAACATCCTACAACAACAATCATGACAATATGTTCCACATACAAGGATGATTATTTGATGATACAAGATTAGATGAATGAAATGAATGAATACAAAACACATACACATACAATACACAGTAGTAGTAGTAGTATCTATAGATTGATGTTATACGTACCTACCCTACCCTACCCTACCACGCATATTTATCTATCTCATAATCCGACACATTCAACAAACAACAACAACAACAACAAGAACAACAATCGACCAACCAAATACAAATCAACCACAAACCTCCTTTGATAATATTACCACATTGGTGACCTGTACAACTACTACTACCTCTTTTACAATCCTCCTTCTATTTGTTGTCCATTCATGATCTATCACATCTTCTTTGATGTTATGTTGTTTTATAAAATCATGCCATGCCACACCCCCTAACCCCTAACCCTAAACCACACCCACCCACCACACCATCGCTGTAATAAATATCGCACGCACACTGATATTTTAGTTAGTAATAACTGAAAGATATATATATATATATTCAAACATGTTTAAATTTATAAATATATGCAGCAGCAGTTGTTGTTGTTGTTTGTGTTTAGAGGAGGAAGAGGAGAGAGAGGAGTGAAGAGAGAACTCAATAGCAACAGCAGCAGCAGCAGCAACCAACAACAACAACAACAACAACATTAGACAAGATATTATCATTCATTTAATTGGCTGTTGTCTGATTTATTGATTGATTTATTGATTGATTGATTAATGATTGTTGGTTAAAGAAACAATAATAATAGTAGTAATAATTAATTAAAATTTAGTCGTACTTACTACTAAATAATAATAATAATAATAATAATATTACATCAACATAATAATAATAATAATAATACATTATGATCATGTGATAGATAGACAGACAGACAGACAGACATAGACAATATTAATATTAGTAGCAACAAAAATAATAATAAGCAGTGGTATCAATCAATGTTGTTGGATTTTCCTCTTCTTCTCAACTATCCACAACCAATATCAATATCAATATCAGTAGTTGGAAATAATAATAATAATAATAGTAATATTATTAGAGGATAGATATCTAATTGTTGACCAATCAATCAATCAATCAAAAAAAAAAACATTCAAAGAAAGGCAGCAGCAACACCCAACAACAAAGTTTAGCTGGACAAATTTGTCGGTCGGCAGCAGGTGGCGGGACATAGCAGATTGATCGATTGAAGATAAATAGAGAGAGAGAGAGATATATATATATACTACTAGACCTCTCTTTATTCTTTCTTTCTCCTGCTCACCCCTCCCAACCCAGTGATCACTGCCACATAACTCACTAACTCACTCACTCACCACAAACTTATAAAGTTTTCCTAATATTAATATATTTTCATTGTGTTGGTGGTGGTGGTCTCTCTCCATCCCCCACATTTCACACACGACAGCTCAGCTCAGCTCAGTCAGCTGACTTGACTGTTAACAGTAGTCATAATTGTTTGTTTGTTTGTATTTGTATTTGTTGTATGGGTAGAAGATAAGATTACACAGTTCATCTCATTATTATACAATCATAATTAATATATATATATATATATAAATAGATAGATAGAGAGCAGTCACATCATCAATCAATCATTATCATCATTATCATCATCATCATATTTTGATTAATACATATATAATACATTATAACATAAATATATTTACAAATGTCAATGTTTAGATCATTTAAAGATTTACATAGGCGCTCGTTGGATATGGACGATAGTAGCAACAGCAGCGGTAGTAATAGTAGTAATCAAAGTAACAATAATCACTATAATAGTACTAGTCATCAACATGGAATGGACCAAACACAAACACAATCATTAAATACCAATAGCAATGAAAACAATCATTATTTAAATAATCAAAATAATAATAATAATAATAATAATAATAACAATAATATGAATAATAATAGTAATAGTAGTAATGGTAGTAAGGATGATTCACCAAAAGTTAGAAGAAGAAGATCAGCTAGCGATGTAGCACAAAATAATGATTTAAAACGAGCATTTCGAATATATTGGGCAAGCGATGACCACATGTATTGGACATTTCTATTAGATGCAACAAATACTGGTAATTATAATGAATGATATGATATGAATGGAAAATACTGATTAAATTTGTTGTTTTGATTTATAGTCGGAGATATTACAGATGGATTAAAAACAAAGGTTCCAACAGGAGTTCAAGTCTATTTGTACAAGAGAACCAAAGGAAATTTTGGTAGATGGAAAGATAGAAGACTTTCAAACGAAGACAAGGTGTGGGATATAGTAGACAAGCGTCGCGACAAGTCAAAGTCTGACCCGATATTTGTTGTAAAAAAGAAGAAATCATCCAATTTGAACCTTGTGACAAAGAAATCACAACTCGATTCGTCGACAACTCACAACTCGTCGTCATCGTCGTCGTCGTCGGCTACTTCCTCCTCTTCATTGCAGGCTGCTTTATCAACTACATTGGGTGGATCATCTTCATCTACCTCTGCCGATTCAACTCTATCACCTTTAACAAACTCTGGTGAAATTTTAAATAATAATAATAATAATAATAGTGGAAATAGTAGTACTAGTAGTCATCACACTGGAATCAATCATATCACTAATAGTCAGAGTACAAGTTCAAACAACTTGTACAATAATAACCATAATACTACATCTTATCAACACCATTCCAATAATAATAATAATAATAATAATAATAATTCTGGTCAAGGTAGTTCATCAAGTAGTAGTAGTAGTACTCCACCAACACCCTATCTCAATACATCTCCTGTACCTATTCGTATAGCAAATAGTAATAGTACTAGTAATAATAATATTATTCCAACTACTCAACAACAATCTCAAACATCTCAACCTCCACCTCAACAACCTCAAAATGGTAATGGATTAAAAACAACAATGGAAATTGCTCCACCTGTTGTTGTTGTAGCACCTACATCAACTTCTTCAACTACTACACAACAACAACAACCACAACCAATACAATCATCATCATCTAAACCAATGAAAATATCTGCCATTTCTGGTAGTAATGTAAATAATAATAATAACAATAATAATAACCTTAATAATAATAATAATTCTCCATCACCAACAATTAGTATAAATTCTCAACCAATTCAAAGACCATCAAGTCCATTAAATTCGATTAGTAATAGTAGCCATTTGAAAAAAGTTGGTGGTGGTGGTAGTAGCAGTAGCAGTGGCAACAAGAATAATAGACTATCGATACAAGATCCCAACAAGGAGATTATGAGATTGATGAGATTCTATTTTAGCGAAATGAGCTCGTTTGGAGGACAAGAGGGCGGTGGTCGATTCTTTACGATTGCCGTGCACAAGGAGACTACGGCACGAGACGTTGGCATTTCGATCGAACAGAAACTAGCTCTTCCAGAGGCATCGATTACCGTCTATTTGGTTTTGCCGGTTCAAAGCAATGGAAGCAAGATTGAACGAATGTTGGGAGACGATGAATCAATCATCGACATTAAAGATTCTTGGGAAGATCCTTCACAAACTTTCTTTTTAGTCAAAGAAAGTACTATTTATCGACAATTACAACAACAATTTAATAATTTATCAAATAACAACAACAATGTATTTAATCAATCAACATCCTTGACCAATAATCAAAATAATAATCAAATTAATAACAATCAAAATAATAATCAAAATAATAATAATCAAAATACTACTGGAAACAAGAGATCATCTAGGAGTTTATTACCGGGCGTTTTAACGGCGGCTGGAAATAATAATGGAAATAATAATGGAGGCAATGCAACAAATGGTCATGAACCAATTGTTATACCAAGTGAATGGAGAAGATCGACCGATGCAATATCACTAAGATCTAGTGAAGATTTGTGGAAACGAAAATCGATACCAATCTTTTTACAAGTGTCACCTGCTTCACCTCACAAGTCGGTTGGTATTAGCTCGCCACTTGCCAATATGGTAGCGTCGGCTAATCAAGGTCAAAATGTGACCGATGACGAGGGTGATGATTCAGACGAGGAGTCTGAGCTCGACTTGACGTTGTTGCGTGGTTGGGTGCATTGGATCCCGTCGGTGGAACTCGAGTATATTAAGCGTATTGGTAGTGGCACGTACAGCAAGGTGTACAAGGGTAAATACCGCGACCAGTTTGTAGCGATCAAGACAATGCGTGGCACCAATATGACGACCGAGCAGATACAGGCGTTTAAAAAAGAGTGCGATATTTTGTCGACTATTCAGTCGCCCTACCTCATCTCATTTTACGGGTCGTGTGTCGAAGAGTCACAGTTGTCAATGGTCGTCGAGTACTGCGGTAAAGGCACGATGCACAAGGTGCTCAACAGTCCCAACCTCGACTTTGACTGGGAAAAGTGGTTCAAGTGGACGATCCAGGTCGCCGAGGGTGTGCGTTACCTGCACAACATGAACCCACCGATGGTGCATCGCGACCTCAAGACTTTAAACATTTTAATTGCGAGTGATTGGAATGCCAAGTTGTGCGACTTTGGGTTGACGCGTACCATGACCATGACCAACGTGTCGACACTGGGCATGCTGCGTGGCACGATGGCCTACACGGCACCCGAGATTTACGACGGGCTGCTGTTCAACACCAAATCAGACGTGTACTCTCTTGGTGTCATTATGTGGGAGTTGGTGCAACGGTGTCTGTCGGGCACGTACCAGCGTCCCTTCCACGACTACCCCATCTCGATGGATATCCAAATCATCATTCTCACCTCGAAAAACAAGGTGCGTCCCAAGATTATACCAACCTGTCCCCCTGCACTCGCCAATCTCATCGTGCGATGCTGGGATCAAGACCCCGAAGCACGTCCCTCGTCCGAGGAACTGCTCACACAGCTACACCAACTGCGCTCGACCTTTGAGGCGAATCGCGACGACTGGGAGGGTATGCGCACCAAGAACGAAAAGCTCATTAAAAAGGAGCAGCTGATTGCGCAGCAACAACTCCAGCTCCAGCAGCAGTTACAGCAGCAGTTCAAGTCGCAAGAGGAGCTGCATCTTGCAGACGAGGAGTTGCAGCGTCCACCCACCGCCACCACCACGACAACCACTTCACAAGTAGATCAAGAAATGATCAATAATAGTTTAAAAGCGACCCTGTCAACCACAACCACCACCACAACTACCACAAGCACCAAAACCATCATTACCACCACCAAAAAGATTGGAACTGCTGTCGGCGATGAGCAACATGTCGGCGGCAGTATAGTTGATCGAGCCGGAGAAGATGCAATGAAAAATGTATTAAAGAATAATTCTTGTAATAATAACAGTATATTGGAAAATAATAATAATAATAATAATAATAATAGTCAATCGGTGGCACATGTACATGCAGCAACAGCAATGGCAATTGCCTCCATTTTAAAAGAAGATTTGACAACAAACAACAAATTGGTAACAACAACAAGTATTAGTAGTGCAAATGTTGAACAATAATCAATGAAATAGATAGTATAGATAGCTATAATAATAATAATAATAAAACCAATTGGTTGTTGGATGGGTATATATAATGTATATCCTCCATCACTTCCCTTTAAAAAACAAACAAAAAACAAATAATTATTTATTTATTTATTTATTATTATTCTTTAATTATTGATCATCAATATTAATATACCAATTACCAAATATACCAGGATATTGTTGATTTAATTCATCTCTTTTTTTGATTAATTTTGGAATCCATTTATCTCTAATATATTCTGGATCATTATACTTTGAATTTACAGCAATTGATCCAGGTTGAGGTCTTGATTCAAAATACTCGAGTTCAGTTGTTGTATTGGCTGAACCCCTAATTAACTGTATGCATTCCATCATGTCCTCTCTTGATATTGTACCATCTCTAAAGCGACAATATAATCTGTACACAGCATTTCTAGCTTGGTCTATAATTTCCCTTTTTTGTGTTTCGGCATCCACTCCTAATGGGCAATCCTGTTCTTTAAGTGGTCGGTAAATCTCGTTATATAAATCTGCATATCTTCTTATATAATCATTTTTTAAATTTGTTGTCTGGGTTGAATGTAAATGTTGTTGTTGTTGTTGTTGGTATCTTATTCTAAATTCTTCTTTTAAATTTATGTATCTATTTTCCATTTTAACAACAATTTTACGTTACTGTACACACATTCAATGGAATTCAAACATATTTTGATCAAGATTTATCTAATTATACAATATGGGATACCCCCCCCCCTAAAAAATATTGATACAATAATTCAAATGGAATTATTGCATTTCAATCGAAAATAGTAATCAGTACAATTGATTCTATTCTATTCCCCAAACAGTTACTAACTTTTCAATCAATCAACCACAATTCGAAAAGTATCGTTTTTTTCCATCAACACACCTTTCAACACACCCACCCCCCACCATCCTCATCCTCATAGTGTTACGACTACTCTTCGGATTTCCCCCCCACAAACACACCCGACCGATGTCTGCTGCTAAACACTGGTTGGATGGGTGGATAGATGATGATCGTTTTTGATATTTTTATTTCGAAATATCCAAACACACAACAACTGATGGTTGTTTTGGTTGGTTGGTTGGTCAATCAGTCACGGTCGGTTGTAACAGGTAATTACTAGTATTATTATATTAAATTGTTGTGATTGATCACTGTTCATTGTATATTCACACAAACAAACACAAACAAACAAATAGATACTAGATAATAGATAATTCTCCTCTATCTTTTTATTTACACCCCACATCCTCATCCCTCACCTTTTAACATCCAAACAAACAAACAAAGTGTGTATGTATAATATTTATTAATTTTTATTTATTCCACTCTTTTCCTCCACACATGGTATGGCATATATACAACCATTTTAATTCAATGGGAGGGGGTAGATGAGCAATCAATCAAATAGATGGGATCGACAATGTGTGTGTATGTGTGTGTTGGAGGTGGGAGTGTATTTTAGTTTGGTTTGCTATATTATCAACCATGACCATGAATGTGTATGTGTGGATAGACGGACGGATGATGATTAGATATTCAATTTCGTATTCAATCATTCATCAATCTAATCTACTCTACTACGCGCGATTCGAATTACTCAGTTGTCAACAATATCAAATCACTTTAATCATTCATCACTTATCCCATTCCATTGCAATTCAAATCTATTTTTGTTTTTATTAGTTAAATAATTTATATATCAATCAATCAATCAAAATTATATTTATTTATTTTTTAGCAACCCAAATACATCAACTGTATTTAAAAGAAATCCAGATAGTTAGTTTATTTAAATAATATACAGATCTGTAAAAGGTAATAATTATTTTATAGATTGTTAACAAACTACACATCCATCCACATTTGTATTATTATTATTATTATTATTATTATTATAGTATTTAACTAGACACGACCATCACTCACTACATATCATGATGTTTTTAAAATCACATGGAGTGCTATTGGGAAATTGAAATTTAAATTCAATCCTTTTTAAAGACACTGCCACAATTGTACAAATCAACAAAACTATTTTATTTTATTTATTCATTTTCTTGTTGTTTGTCAAAAAAAAAACTGACTACTACCACCATCACTATAAAAGGAAATTTATGATAATTTAAGAGAATAATATTATTGACAATATTGACAATATTTGAAACCATCAAATGATTTAATTGAACCATTATAAAATATCAACTTCATCAACTCCAACAACAACAACACCAACATCGTCATCATCATCATCAAACATCGAACATCATCATCATCATAGCAAATTATATAATGTAAAAATTAATCGTTAATATTAATATTATTGTCATTTCCACACTCATTGCAAATCTAATAATCTAATATTAATCCATATTTACTATACCCACACATACCCCACACCAAATGTTATTTTTGACAAGACAGACAAACACAACCACAATTGGAAATGTAAATATGTTGGGGGTTAGGGTTATTTATTCAATTTTTAAAGATTTCTTATCAGATATATTATACAATTTATATACACACACACTCCATTGCAACGAGTCGTAGTCATTGTTGTTGGGGGTTAGGGTTAAAAAAACAATTCAAACACAATATTAAATATGACTGACACCTTGGTAGTCGGTCGGTATGGCAAGAACGATATGTCACCCCCACAGTTTGTCATATTTACCTACATACATAAATGGTTTATAATCTAAATGCGATAAATGAAATTTCCATTTTTGAAAATAGTCGTACAACTATGTGTAGCATTGGACTGAACCAACAACAACAAACAATCCCACTTCTAGATTGCTCTGGATAGCTGGCCGGTTACAAGTTTGCTAGTTTGCTAGCTTGCTTGCTTGCTTGTTTGCTAACTATCAATCCATCCATATGATGATACTTTTAACACGGTTGGTTGCAACCATTTGAGATTGCCAACCCATACCACACATATATACATATAAATACCACAACCAATAATTTAATTTTATTTAATAATAATAATAATAATAATTACCACAATTCGATTTCATAATTTGTAAATGATGCTATAGCGAATGAATAACTAGCTAGTTTGCCAAGCCAACTGTGCACACATTGTTTGTCTCGTCTGAAACCGCTGTCACTCAATCCATCATCATTATCACAACCACTCTATTTAATTAATTTTAAATTTCATTGTACAATTTTGAAAAGTCATTTACTTACTATTTTGTAGTTCCCAAATAAACAAAAAACTAACTTTATATTTAATCTACTGTCTCAACTATTTCCCTAAAAATAATTAAAGAAAACAAAACACAAAAAAATAATTGATTCTTTTTTTTTTCAAAAGTAATCATTTTTTTCAACCAATTCAATCAAATCAATTTAATCGATTTATAATATATATATATTGTAAGTTTTAAACTTAAAATTATCTCTTTTAAAAATAATTAATATTTTGAAATATTTAGAATATTTTTGTTTTTTGAAAAAACAAATATAGAAAAAGAAGATGGAAGAAGTTGGAACTATAAGTAAATCAAGTGTTCCAACATTTTCATTACCAAATCCAAGTAATTTATTAAAATTAACATCGGCAGCTGTTGCATCTGGATCACATTCATCGTCATCGATTCCATCCTTTTCATCGCTTGACTCGCCACTTGGTGGTGCAGGAGGACAATCTATACTGTCGGCACCTAATATCAAGAGACCACATACCCCAACTAATATGTTTACATCGACTACTGTGTTGCCATCGGGTGGTATATCGACTTCGGTACTACCATTCCAGTCTACTCCTACGTCGTCATTTAAATATGTTGTCCAACAAGATAAATCCAAGAATATGATGGACTCTATTTTGTATGATTTGAACCATCCCCATTCACACTCTCAATTCAATGATCTCACTGGTGGCGATGCTCCACAAGTATTGGAATCGTATTATTGCAAGTACTGTGAAAAGACATGGCCAAGTGGAACATTCAAAAATAAGCAAGCTTTTGGTGCACACTGTTCCAACTGTTCGAGAAAGAGAAAACAAAGAGAAGATGGTATGCTCCCATTCGTACCAGAAATGAATAAGGATAAGCGTGTTAGATCAAGAGGTAATGGTGGAGTATATGGATCATCATCATCATTGTCGTCTGCATCCTCGTCGTATTTGGGTGCTGGAGGTGCCATGATTATGAGTGGAGGCCAAGGTTCGATGGACGATACAGTGTCTGACCCATCGTACGATGATTCATACCGTATGGGTGGATTTATAATGACCGATACAGAGAGTCATAGAATCCCATCATCTTCACCCTACTCTTCACCTCCAGAGTCGCCTAGCATCATGTCGTCTCAACTACCAGTCCCGTCAATGTCAATGTCTAGTGGTGGACCGCTACCAATGATGCGGTCGCAGTCGGGAACCGATCTATTGCGATTTGGGTTGTTGGATGTCGTCGAAGACAAGATTGTAGAAGAGAATGAAATCGAATTTATCAAGCGTGACCTATACAATATCCGCACCGACATTGCCATCCAAGACATGAAAAAGGAAAAGGATGTCAACAATCTCCAACAACTCTTGGTCAAAGACATCAAGGAAAATGAATACAAAATAATGCAAGACCTAAACACACGTGCCAACATTGACCAATCACTCACCAGAATCAAAGAAGAATTCAACCGTGAACTAAATTCACTCTTTTCTCAACTTGATCAAGAAATTGATAAAGTTAGAAAATCCAAAGAATCCAAAGATTCAAAAGATTCAAAAGATTCAAAGTCATCACCAATGAATCCAAATGTACCATCACCATCCTCTTCTCAACAACAACAACAACAAACATCCCCATTTTCAAACAATATAAATATACCAACGATAAAAATGATAGGACCAAAATTGGAACAAGACATGGAAATGGAATTGGAAATGGAACAAAAAATGGAAAGTAATGATAGTATAAACAAAATATTGTTAAAGATAAAGACATTGTCAAAGGAAAGATTGGCGGCAATTGGCAATAGTCTCAACACACAAAGCAAAGAGTGTGAACGAGTAGTATCAATCGAGACCAATGAATGTGAGAAACACGCACACAAGAAATTCGACGATATTAAAAAGGAACTCATCAATTACACACAGAATATTATGGATACATTTAATGTAGTCCAAAGAATATGAAGTCAGGCGCCACCAATCGATACTACTTTTGAAAATATATAATCATTCACCAATTTAATTCTTAAATTAATAAATTATTAAATATCTAAAAAATATATTAAATATATTATATTATCCATCATCATCATCATTTTTTAAATTGTCTTTACAAAATCATCCATTTATCCTTTCATCCATCCATAAATCATCCTCCATTCCTGTCTCTCCTCTCTTTTTTTCTTTATTCGAAAATCAACCCCCCCATGAACTGTCAGTTTGGTTCAAACAAACAAACAAAATGTGAGTAGTTGTAAACAGCGCTTCACGATAGATAATTCTTTTGTAGACACCCCTGTCTCACATTTGTATAGAGCGTGTGAGAGTGAAAGAAAGAGAGAGAGCAAAGGTGAATTGTGAACGAGTTGTTTTGTTTGAGGGGTGGGGATTAAAAGAAATCGTCTCACATCTATCATCTTTCTTTTTACCCTACTCTTGTAATTAAATTGTTTTTTTTGTTTGTTTGTTTTATCAACCTCCTTTTTTTTCTTTCTTTCTAGACAAGTTTACTCTCTCCTCTTTTACTTTTACTATTTTTTAAAAAAGAAAATACTTTCTCTTTCTCTTGATTATTATAATAATTTAAACCAACGACCCAACAACAACAACACCTGTAGCAAGGTCGTAGTAACGAGTTTCACCATCAATCACGCAAAACTTTGGTCGACTTGCCCAATTTGTCGCAACGTATCGTCATCAGAGGCAATTATTTTTTTTAATTTTCTTCTCTTCTTTAAATCATCATCGCATCGTTGTCCTCTCAACGCAACGACCCTTAGAACCTGGGTGCCACATACCCTTTTGTTTTTTTTTTTTTTTGCAATTTCAAACTAAGGTAGATTAGAACAGCACGCTCACTACGCTACACCATCCTACTCTGTATTACTATATACGATATTCCCCTAAAGCGTCGATTCAAAAGAATAACATAACAAACAACAAGACAAACAAGACAATTTAGTTAGTTGGTCTCGGATAAGAACATAAAAAAGATAAAAATTGTAAATATTTAATTAATTTAACGAAAAACATCAACAGACTCACCTCACATCCCAAACGGTCTCCTTTTCACACTCTCTCCTTCTTTTTTAAACATTTTATATTACTTTTTTTATAACATATTAATTAATTAATTATAATATTACTTTACCTACTACTACTACGACTATTACCTAATAATAATAATAATAATAATAATAATAACAGATTAAAGATATATTTATTATTTAAAACAACAAGATAGAAAGAAGAATGTTTTCAGGTGCTTTAAATTATATCAAGAATCTTGGTGGTTCTACACCACAAGAAGGAGACAATAGTCTCAAGGTAGAAGAGAGTGGAGACAATAAGCAAACCAACCCAGAAGATAACGAACAAAGAAAGGGTCTCCTCAAGCAATTATCATCATACATGGGCAAGGATATCACTTCATTGATCTCTCTCCCAGTTTGGGTCTTTGAACCAATGTCTTTTCTCCAAGTCATGTCAGAGCCACTCCAATACAACCATCTCTTAAAGAAGGCTGCTGAAGCCGATAGCCCATACCACGCTCTTGCCTATTTGGCTGCTTTCAATTGTGGTCTTTACAGTACCGCTGTTAGAACTAGTAAGAATAGACTTAATCAATTGTAATAATAATAATAATAATACAATAATCACTAATCATTTGTTTTTTTTTTATTTAATAGAGAAACCATTCAACCCAATTCTTGGTGAAACATTTGAAGTTGTCAAAGATGGTATGAAGTTTATTGCTGAACAAGTTTCTCATCATCCACGTATGTAAATTTAAATAATAATTGAAATTCAATATCTATTTATATATATAATCTATGTATATTAACTTTATTATTTCTATTTTTTATATATTTATTTTTAATTTAGCAATTGGTGTTAGTGAAACTATTGCTGATGAATACACACTTCAATTGGAAACATTATTGAAATCAAAGTTTTATGGAAACTCTTCTGAAGTTGAAATCGATGGTATTAATCACTTTATCATCAACAAGAATGGTCATCACATTACATGGGGACATTTAGTCACCTGTTGCCAAAACATTATTATTGGTGGTATTTGGTTGGATCATTATGGAGATTTGATCATTGAGAACCACACCACTGGAGACAAGTGTGTCCTCAAATTCGCCAAGTCTGGTTGGTTGGGTGCCGGTCGTTATGTTGTCACTGGTGAACTCCTCGACAGTGAAGACGAAGTCAGATACAGATTGGAAGGCAAGTGGAACGAAAGCCTCAAGATGTACGAGGTTCTTAGCAACGGACAAAACGCTCCAAATGCTACCATTCTTTGGGAAGCTTCAAAGGAAGTCATTAATCATCCATTTAATCTTCCAAAATGGGTTGTTGAAAATGTTACTGGTAAGAAATAGAAATAGAAAAGAAAAAAAAAGAAAAGAAAAGAAAAAAACTAATATATTTTTTTAATTTTTAATTTTCTTTCTTTAGGATTAACACCAGAATATGAAAAGATTTTACCAAGTACTGATAGTAGACTTCGTACCGATAGAAGAGCTTTGGAAGCAGGTGATCTTGATACTGCCAGCAAGCAAAAGCACGCTTTGGAAGAAAAGCAAAGAGAAGACAAGAGAAATAGAGTTGCTTCTGGCCAAGAATGGGAAACTAAATACTTTAAAAAGGTCGATGACGCCAAGTTTAACTACAGGTGGCAATTTAATGGAAAGTACTGGGAAGAACGTGAAGAAAGAGTTAAGGCTGCCAACTAAATTGAATCAACTCTACTCTTGTCATTATTTTTTATCACTTTCCACAAATACATTCCATCTCTTCAACAATTACAACAACACCAACACCATCACCAATCATTCGATAATATTAAAACTATTATTATTACAATTATATTATTATTACAATACCGTTTCCTTTTACGTACCAACAACAACAACAACCATTACGTTAACGATACTTATTTTGTACAATCTTTTTTTTTTATCATTTTTTTCAAAAACAAAAACTAAAAAAATAATTAATAATTTAAAATTTAAAAAAAGATTTCTTTATGTATTACTTTTTTTTGATTGATTATTATTTGACGTTTTATTGATTTATTGATTTATAATTCGATTGATGTTGGTAATTTAATGGTTGGATCGATTAATAGAGTATAGGATGACATTTCTTGAGATGATTGTCTCCAATTCAAATCCATAGCGTGTTGAAGTGAATTTGGAAGAGGGTCTGGTGATAGTTCATCAGGTCTCCATGATTCCAAGAGACGTTTGATTTGCAATAGGTTGAGTTTTTGGAAAATCGATTTGATACCTTCAACGTCAACCACAACCGATTTGTCAACAACAAACAGATTGGCAACTTCCAATGAAGAATCCAATTGATCACAAGCATTCTTGAAAATGGTTTGTGAACACCATTCTTTTAGACGTGAAATACTCATCTTTACTGTAAATGCTACTGTTGCTCTACATACTCTTGGATTACTTAAAAAGTGATTGGTAATTTGACAATTCATAAAATAAAATGTTTGACTAAAAACAAAAAAAAAAAAAAGAAATAGATTAATAAATTGAAGAAACATAATAATTCTTTTTCTTTTTCTTTTTCTTTTACTTACTTTAATAATTGATTTGATAATAATTGGCAAACTTTACCTTCATCCAAAAAGTAAAGAATGGAATCTAAAATGATTAAAATGTTATTCATTGAATATTGAGCATTTCCGCCATTGCTATTATGGTGTTGATGTTTTTGTATAGAGGAAGCATTGCCTGGAGAAGTCTTTGATCCCTTTGTCTCGAATAATGAATCTTGACTTGTGAATATAGCTGGTATTAAAACTTTTTCTAATTTCTTTAAAGTAAAAAAAAAAAAAGAAACAAGTAAATTAGTATATTTAATACTTTTTAATTTCTTTGTTTTTTTTGTCTTACCGATTCAATAATTGAAATTAATTTTCCATAAATATTTAAATTTAATAATTGAAGGTCTCTAATAAAACTACCACCAAATTCAGGAGCTGGATTAATAAATGAATCTTGATTAATTTCAACACCAGATAGAATTGGATCTGCTGATTTTGGAACAAGAGCATTTTGATGAATCTTGTGAAGTAAATGAACAACTGTAGAGAACCAATAACAAATAAGTTTACAATCATCTCCTGATCTCTAAAAAAAATAGAAAAAAAATAATAATTAATAATGAGTTAAATTAACTTTTTACTTTTGTTTAACTTACAAGATAAGATTTTTCAATGGCACTAATAATTTTTGATAAGAATACATGATTTGATAATTTAGATAGACCACCATTTGACATGATCATTGTCCAAATGGTACTACCACAGAAAGGTACATTATTTCTATCAAATTCCAAGTCTGGCCAATAGACACATGATTCAATGGCCTTGTATTGTTCCAATTCTTTTTTAAGTTCACTTGAATCTGCCTTTGGTGAAGTGATAGAGGAGGTGGTTGGTTGAGGATTTTCCAATTTTTCTTTTAATTGTTCAGATTCCTTTACAAGGTCATTGTATTTGGTACCAATGACATTAACTTGTTCGGCCAATTGGATGTTACTTTGTCTTTCTCCATCACGTTCAATTTTAAGTACCTTTACATGTTGTCTAAGATTATCAATCTCTTCCAACATGTTTGTTTCTTTTTCCTTGTCCATTGTTATGACATTAGAGGCGACGGCTGCAACGGTTGTCGTAGCGGCAGCAGCAATTTGTGATTCCAAAGTAGCAACAGTCTCTTCAAATTTAACCTTTTCTTCTGCCATTTCATCTTCCTTTTGTTCCAATTCTTCTTTCAAATCTCTAATCTTTTCCTTGTACTTGTCAATCTTTTCACGTAATACATCTGTACTTTCTTCATCACTACTGTCATTGTTGTTCTTGTTGTTTTGGCGTTCATTGGCAGATTCAGATTCTTGTAGTTCATCTTTGAGAGAACCAATAGTTTCAGTAGCTTCTAGTAATTGTTCTGAAAGTTTTTCCTTTTGTCCGTTTAGTTGATCGACTTCTTTTTGGAGATCGTTCATTAATTTTTGGTATTCACCAATAGTATTTGATTTCTTGTTGGTGTCTTGCTTGTAATCTTCCAATTGATCCTTGTAACTTTGTGCTTCTTCCTTGTAGATGGCCAATTCCTTTATAGTATACTCTAGTTTTGCATCGACTTGGTCATCTGAATCCTTTTCCTTTTGTCCGTTTTCCTCCTTTTCTTCTTGCAACTCTTCAATGGTTTCTTTCAACTTTGCAATCTTTGTCTTGTAAGTATCCTTTTTCTCTTTGTTTTTAGTTTGCTTTTCTTCGAGTAGTTGGAGTTTGTTGCGAAGTTCACCCAACTCTTCTTCGGTAATTGCCAAGACTGATGTTGCATTTTGTCCACGTTCAATTTCACGAGTCAACTCTACAATACGTTGATCACGTTCAGTGACGTCACGAGAAACATCATTTATACGATCCTTTAATTCTTCAGCCTTTCTTTCAGCCTCTGATGCACGTGTCTTTTCATTGGTCAATTGAGAGGAAACAATCTTGATTTGTTGTTGATCATCTTCAAATTGTTTCTTTGCAACTTCAAGTTCTCTCTTTGCAACTTCTAATTGATTCTTGAAATTTTCAAGTTCTTCTGATTCATTTGATTTGGAATGTTCTTCAGATTGTTGTTCGGATTGTTGTTTTTCCAATTCTTGTTGTTTTTGTTCCAATTCTTCTTGTTGTTGTACCAATTTTTCTTCTTTTTGACGCAATTCAACTTGGAATTCAACAATTCTATCTTCCATATCTTTTAATTCTACATCTTTTTGTTTGAGTTTATCACGTTCTTGACTCAATGTTTCACCCAAATCTCTTTCCAATTCAATGATCTTGTCTTCATAATCTTTTGTAATTCTACTAGACTCTTTTTTTTGAATTTCCAATTGTTCTTTTAATTTTTCAATCTCTTGATCTTTTTCATCATCACCTTGATCCTTTTCACCATCCTTTTCATTTTGATTTAATTTAGATTCCAAATCTCTAACCTTTTCAAGATAATCATTTTCCATTTTATCAATTGCATTACGACTTTCAATTTCCTTTGCAGTCATGGCTTCAATTTCCTTTTCCAAATCTTTAATACGTTTAGATTGTTGGTCTAGTTGTTCTTGAGCACTTGAAGCATCTTTGAGTTGATTGGTGAGCGTCTCGATCTTTTCTTGAAACTCAATCTCGCGACTATCATAGAGTTTTAGTTTATCACGTGCATTGTTGAGTTCGGCCTCTTGCACATTGAAACGATCCATCTCGTCAGAGTTGGCAACCAGCGATTTCTCCAAATGTTGGATTTGGTCACGAAGGTTCTTATTGTCTTGCTCGATACGTCCGTTGGTACCCTCAATGCCGTTGCACTTGAGACGCTCCTCTTCCAATTGCAAGTAGGTTCTACGTGACTCGTCTTGTGCCTGTTGTTGGGCGGTTCTGGCCTGTGCCAACTCTTCCTGTAGTCTTTGTTGATCGGCTTGTGCTTGTTCGAGTGCAGCCTCTTGCAATGCCAATGTTTCGGCAGTCACATCGTTGTTTGCTGGCTGACTCACCTTTTCACGGAGTTGTTTCTCGAGTTCTGTCTTTTCTTGTTGATGACGTTCACTGTTTGCATTGAGTGTAATGATTTGGTTTTGGAGTTGAGTCACGTCGTTCATACTCTTGATATTTTGGTTACGTTCCATGTAGAGGTGTTCACTCGTTTCATTTTTCTCTTTGGTGAGTTTGGTCACCTGATCCTTGAGTGCTTCCACCTCGCCCGCAAACTGTGCAATGGTTCCTGCGCCAACACTCTTGCTACGCTCCTTTATCTTTTCCATCTCACCAAACATGTCGTCACGCTCTTTTGAGAGTGTAGTGATTTGAGAACGTGATTTATCCAAGTCTGTTTGCAAAGACTTTATCTTTTTCTTGTACTTTTTCAACTTTTCAGAACTACTTTCATCTTTTTTTAATAGATTATTTGATGATAATTCTTTTACTGGTGTTGGAGTTGGTGGTGCAAGTGAAGAGGTTGGTGTTGAAGTAGTCGTTGTAGTTGTGGTCGTAGTAGTTGGTGTTGATACAGATACAGCAGGTGAATGTGTAGAGATGGATGGAGATGATGATGATGGTGTTTCTGAAACCTTTTTAAGTCCAGTCAACAATGACTCACCTCTTGTAGGGGTTGGATGGTGTTGTTCACCAGCACTAGCAGATGAAGAGTTTGAAAGATTTGAATCTTTTCTCGAAAGTGATCCACTAGACACTGATCCAAGAGGAGGAGGATGATCATCTTCAAAACTAATATCCTCTTCATCGTCGTCTGCAGGATCATGATCCTCGCTTGTCGGAGCAAAATCAGTTTCATCAGGTTCACTAGTACTATGATCCGTTCCCAAAAAGTATTCCTCACCATCTACATTCACCTTTTGTTTACCCATTGTACTATAAATCTCCTTTTGCATATCATTCTCTGCTTTCATTATAGATTTACCATTAATCTTTAATAATTGTGATTGAAATGATAACTAAAAAGAACAAAAAAAAAACATTAGTTTATAATCTATCTTGTTTAGTTTGTTTGTTTGTTTTAGAGACATACAGATAAAGAAGTAGAAACTTTTGATTTATCACTTATAGGGAAAGTTCTTGATCTTTCAGTCTTTGCCTCTGCATAATGAGCAAGATCAACTTCAACGCTACCAATAGTAGTTGCAAACTTTTTACCAGACTTGTCCTTTTCCTTTTCCTTTTCTTCGGTGATGGTAAACTTTATCTTTTTAGGTTGGAACTGACCCTTTTTATCTTTGAGTAGTGATGCCTGTAGACTAAATGGTTGATCGAATGTGGCAACACCATCCTTTGAAACGACTCTTCTAGAGTCTCCTTGGTTGTCAATCTTTTTACCTCTTTTCCAAGACACCCATATCCAGTTGGCCGTTGCTTTTGGTAAACCTTCAATCTTGTTTATACGTATATTAAATTGAATCTTTATCTCCTCTTTATTAGAGGAAGATGATTTAAATAATGACATATTTTTTTAACTAAATATTAGGTGTTCTTGTTGTTGTTGTGTTTCAGATATATCTGTTGTTGTTCTTGTTGCTGCTGCTGATAAATGATGATATTAATTTAAAACTACTACTACTACTATTAGTTGTATCATTACAAATTATTAACAACAGAATGATAGGGTAAATGTAGATAGATATACAAGTAATGAATGAAGAAGAAGGAGATATAGTTATTATATAATGAATGATCGAGTTCATGTTTTTCCCCCTTCATACACCACTTCCACCCCTCAAATTAATTAATTTTTTTTTTTTTTTTTTGGCAAGTTTTATTTTTTTTAATTTTCTTTTTTTTCCTTATTTATTATTATTATTATCTTTAAAGATAAACATTTAAATCCTTGGATATATATTTAATAATTTCATTTTCTAAAATTGCAATGACTAATAAATTGGTATCGGTAGTTATACTTTTTTGTTTGGTCGATGGTTGTCGTTTGATATAGTCTTGGTCATCATGGAATATTTCAGGTTTTGTTATAGTTTGTTGTCCTTGTCGAGAATCTTGGGGAGAATATTCTCTTTGAAGGGAAATATTGATAGTTTGTATTTGATTATTATTACATTCCTCAGGTTGATAAATAAATGGTGTATATGGTGACAAAAATTTAATATAATATGATTTGTTATTGTTATTATTATTATTATTCTTCTTTATCAACTCTAAAAGGATTGAAATAGAATGACTATGATCCATTTTTTGTTGGAGTAGGTAAGTTTTAGATTTACTCCAATTATTGTAAAAGTGACTATATTTTTCGTTTGAGTGTTCTTTGAAAATATCATCTAGTTGTTGGGAGGAGTCGGTTGTCGTTTGAATATATTGAAAATATTCTAATGAAGGGGAGGAGGAGGAGGAGGAGGAGGGAACACATATATGTATATCTAATTGATCTTTTGTCTCGGTGAAATAAAATTCATCAAGTTTCATCAATTCAATATAGGGATTATTATTATCATTATTAATAGAGTTGTAGTTGATTGATTGTTGTTGTCGATGTAGTTTATGTTTGATAAATAATCTTTCAAAGGTTGTACAATCTATTAGAATATCAATCGTTTGAATGCTTTCAATTTGTAGATGATCAACAAATTGTTGTACACTCGTTGGATCAAATACATTACAAACTATGATTTGTAAATTATCCTTTTTCCATTGTTGGTAATTGTCGTGTTGGTAGAATTGTTTGGTTGTGAGGTATGGGAATCTTGTCATGACCATCACTTTAAATCCGAGGTCTAGTAACTGACATGCTACCTGATACCCAGGTCTCTTACTTGCATTGGTTATCAGTACTGTCTTTTCTTGATTCTTTTCATAGGTTGATGAAATGATTGAAATCAGCGATGATCTTTTACAATCATCATGTTGTTGACTGTTGATTGTTGTTGACAAGTTGACCAATAAATGTTGACGATAATAATGTTGATTAAAGAATTCAGTCAATCCCATGTGTGGCGTAGTTGACAAAAATGAAGAATAGAACGGGACAAGTAGACGTTGAAGATGCTTAGTTGATTGGGCCTCTGATGCCCAAAAATAGTCGAGTTGTTGAAATGCACAGTAACGAATGTAAAAACTATTGTTTTCATCGTATTGTGATGGTGGTGGTTGGATGGCATCCAAAGGATATGCACTGAAAAATGGAACACTCTTCCAATTTACACGCTCTATACTACTACATGTTGTATCATCTATGCATTGAGTGGCGAAACCATAGTGTCGTTGATTTTCAAGTTCAACACCAACTCTATGATTTTGAGAACGACCAGATAATATAATATTGGTAGCTGTCATAAATGACCGTATACCACGTGCAAGAGTATATACATTACTCCCGTCATACACAAAGCAGCAACTATCTACTTTCATTTGAGTCTGTAGCAGTCTTTCAACACTGTCATATTTGGATTTGGCACCAAATATCAACTCTACAGGACGGTATGGATACCTTGGAATAAATAGAAAACTATACGACGTGTATACAACGTGGTATGGGGTGTTTCTAAATGCTATACTAATCTCTTGAACAGTTTGACCAACTCTTTTGTCCAATTCTATTTGATCCGTTCCAATTAGGTACAACTCGGTTACAGTATATGCATTACCCATTCGATTGTCTTGTGTATATCCATACACATTATACATATAACTAGTTCGAGATCTATTATCACAGCTTTGGTTGTAATAATCGTGAATATCACTCTTTTCACGTTCACTTATCCATTCACCTGATTGTTGGGTCTTGACAAGTTCTTGGATTCCTTTTTTTAGCCGATCCTCTTGGTCTTGGTAATACGATGTGCCACGAAAGAATAGTTGGTGTGTTTCATAGAGCATCCCTTTACGATCCGTCTTTTGATTGGTGTAGCAGTGGTGGAGGATTCGAGATTGTATATTCTTTGGCAACGATGCAATGGCACCAAGAGTGGCACAATGCGACAGATACGTATCTCCAATATTTTCATAATGCAATTGTAGACTTGAAGAGACAGCATTTCCACCAACCACCAATGCCGTAGCACTTTGTCCTTGTCCCACTCGACCCAATGTCAATCGATCCAATACACCATCATTTGTATACATATCCAATACCATTCTAAACCTTTTAATAGATGTAACCATTCTTTTACAAGGTTGTTGAAAGTCAGCATTATTATTATTTTGTATCCTATTGATTCTATTCATTCCATCTTTATCATCAAATATTTTAATCAACTTTGATTCATCATCATTATCACCATTGTCTCTACAGTGTTCAATAAAATGATCATATGATCCATTTACATTTACATTTACATTGTTACCTTTTGTTATTAAACTATAAATACAAATGTATTAGTTACGATCTTTTCTTTTTTTGGTTCTATAATCATACATCTCCTACATACGGTTTGATTGGTTCAGTATCATCATCCTTATTGTTTTGAGCAATCATCAACCCGATGATACCCATCTTTTAATAATAAAGAAGAGAAAGATAGACAGATGCATCTTTGTATACATGTATGATGATCATCATAACAAAGATAAGAAAGAAAGAAGGAAGAAAAAAGAAAGTGAAAACCAAGGGGATTTTCAAGAAATGACTATGCAGAATTTAAAGTCAAAATGTTCGCGAGAAGTGTAGTCTCGAAACTATAGTTTATACAAAAAGAGATACATTGTAGATAGATATATATAATCAAACAACAACTATACTATATATTATAATATATAAGATATGGAAGAAGAAGCTGAACCCATCGAATATATCATTGATTCAAATGATGATGATGAAGATGAATGGACAGACGAAGAAGATGAAATGAAACCAAAACAACCTTCATGGATAGAAAGATTATTAAAACAATTTAAAGAAGAATATGAAGAAGGAAATGGGTATTCAGAGGTATATGTCATTCCAGAACAAGATAGAGTTGTGATGAGAAAGAAGGTGTGGATTGAACCATCTGCACCAGGTCAACCTCGACAACTTGAATGGACGAATCGTCCAATCTTGACAGAAATACATTTCCCATGGAGACAAGATTTCAACAATGTATGCTTTGCTGGTGACCTCGTCATTACATTCCCAATGCAAGAGGATCAAATCAAACAATGTACTCAAAGACGGGATACCTATCGATTGGCATCTATCAAAGCACATAGTCTACTTAAACAACAAGTCGAGACTACTATAGTAGCCAGCAGCTCGGATTCAAAAGTAGTTAAACTACCTGCTGATCGTCCCTCTTCATACGACTCTAAAGCAAACAAGAAAACAATGGATCTCTTAGTAGAGAGTGGTCTATTACAAGGACTGACCAGTGACACTGAAAAGAAACAAGTGTATCGTAGTCAACACATATTTCTACCGGCCAAAGTATTACCAACCTACCACATGGACGATGAAAAATACTTTGCATCTTCACTATCTATGGGTCACCTCATACCAATGATCAATCAATTCCAAGATAATCTCAATCAACAAGACAACTTGATCGGCTACTCTTCAATGGATCTATCAAATATCAAACAATTGGATAAAACTGGTAAAGGTTTTAATTTCATTAGACAATATATTAGAACAAATGTATGTATATAGAGATAGAGAGATATATAATATAATATATATTAATTTATTTATTTTATTATTTGTTTCTTAGGAAGAACCATTTTTCATAGCATCAACAAATAGAGAATCAAGATCATTTTCAAAAAGTGGTGATAATATAAATTATGAAACCATTTTAGGAAGATATGATAGAGAAGGAAGACTACATATGATTCAAATATCAAAATCTGATAATCGAATGTTCTCGGTTATGAATTCTGTTAGAGTGGTTCAAAAGGTTTTGGCAACTGTTGAAACTAGAAAAGAAGAGGTATTCCAATACAAATCGGATGAATTATCAATTCAAGGCTTTTTAGATATCTTTAAGCAATACACCAATCGTGATTATTTACAATGGCATGATAAAACATTCGAACCTCTATCACCAGAATACTATGCAAGTTTAAAATATTATTCACCAATACCATTTAATATCCCTTCACTTAAAGATATTGCATTCTCTGTTTTAAAAGAGAAATATTTAATGTATGAAAGAAATCTAAAATATTATTTTAAAAAAAATAGAAAAGAGTATTTATTAAATTCATTTTTATCTTTGTTTTATTTTGTTATTATTTTAGATCAAGAAAAGAAACAATTGAATCAATATTATTATTACCACAAATATTGATACAAGAATTTATAAAGAGTTGTGTAAATGATTTTAAACCTGTTGGATTTGAAATATTACAAGATTTGAAAAAAGAGTTGGAATCATCGTCATCATCATCATCTCTGGTTGATGAATTGATACCATTGGATTATTGGATAAAATCAATGTTTAAAAGAGATGATACATTACGTAGATTTTATGTTAATCATTGTGCTCAATCAATATTTCATCCAATGTTTAATGAAGATAATTTATTGATCAATGTTTATCAAAGTTTTGATCAATTTAAAAGAAAGGATCTTCCAATGGACCGAGTTTTCTTTGCATCACCAGATAGTATCTCACCAGTATCATCGTCAAAGGCAGTTGGACAACCTTCAATTGTCAATCATGCAACATTTCTTGAAAACTTTCACAAAAACACAAATAATATATTTAACAAACCGGAGATGGATTGGTCAAATATTATTATTATTGGTGGTATTGTGACGGCGTCGCTTATTGGTTCAACTCTTGGTTTTGAAGAATCAGATATTGACATTTGCTTTTATGGATCAAACTTTGGACCACAAGATTACAAGGATCGTATTGACCGATTGATTGCTTGTATTGGCGAGCAGGACAATCTATCAATCTGTTCAACTAGAAATTGCCTGACTCTTTCCAAACACCATCCAAACAGACACATTCAAATCAATGATTGTCTATTTGTCGACGTGGAACATGTGTTGTTGGGAGTTGACATTGAAGCAAGTTGCTTTGCATTTGATGGAAAGAATGTATGGACAATGCAAAGAGGTGTGGAAGCTATCAACTATAGATGTAATTTTGCATCACCATTTGGTCACTCGATCCGTGGAAATATGTATCAACGACGTTTGTTGAAATATTTGTTGCGTGGATTCTCCATTGCACACTTTACAGACGACCCTATCATCATTGAAAGATTTGGTACAACTCCCAACAACAACAACAACAACAACAATCATGACGACCAAGTTCCAACCAAAGAATACTATCAACATCACTGTCAAAATGGAATAGCATTATTGTACAGTGCAAGAGATAACCCTGCCATCTTTGCAAAACTAGTAGCCAAGAACAAAAGCAGTTCCCTACCATATGGACCTAAATGGGACAAGGAACGATTCGACATGTTCGTTCAAGACAGTTTTGACGAAAATTACGATGGTTACAATGACGACAAATATCCACAATTAATAGATCTAGATGATCTATCCTCATCTCGTCTCATTCATTTTGATAATGTAGAAGATGTACAATTGGAAGCAAATTGGAATACTCCTTTGGATCAAGATGATATTTATGATGATGATGAAGATGAAGATGAAGACTATGATGGTGAAGATGAAGATTTTGATGGTCAAGATGATGAAGATAATGATCAAAGTAATAATATAGATGACGATGATGTTGATCAAGATGATATGGATCAAGATGATCTAGATCAAGATGATATGGATCAAGATAATGATGACCAAGATGACGATTAAAGTATTATAATTAATAAATAAGGAGTTTACTTTATTTACAACTAAATCATTATATATGATTTATTATGATGAGTGATTGTGATTAAGGAGGAGGGGGGATGGGATATATGGCAAAAATTGATTAATTAAATCAAGTATGAAGTTATTATTATTATTAATATTATTATTATTAGTTTGATTGATTAAATGTTGGGGTTAGTAATTATTATTATTATTATTATTATAGTTATATAGTTATTATTATTATATTATTATTATTATTTGTTTGTTTGATAGAGTTAAAAGAAATAAAATCTAGTTTTCTTTTCCAATTCTTTTTCTCTTTTTAATTGTTGTTTTGAATTGATTTCTTTGATCATGTTGGTTGAGGATGAATTTGAAGAGGTGTCTAAAGAACCACGATTAAAAGAATCCATCTTTTCGAGTAGGTCTGGGACAATGGCATTAAACATTTCATCGAGACCACTTCCATCGATAGCATTGACTTCATAGTAGTGTTTGATACCTTGTTCATTCATCTTGGCTCTGATGGCAGATTCATCATCAACCAAACGATTTGGAAGATCATTCTTGTTACCAATAACGATAAAGGTAGAGTGTGGAGATGAATACTTTTTGATTTCACGCAACCAAGTGTTGACAACACTATTGTAAGAGTTGGCATAGGTTAAATCAAATACAGCAAAAATAGCATTGGCTCCCTTATAATAATTTGGTCCCATACCAAATAAACTTAATCTACTTGATCTTTCAAACTAAAATATAAATGTTATTAACTATGATGGATCTATTATTTTTTGTAATCATTCGATTGTCCTCTTACAATTTGAATATTAATAGACTTTTCATTTACTTGTACTGTTCTAGATACACTATCACCAAGAATAGTATTTGAAATATCACCATTCTTTTGTACTAATTTTGTCTTTCCAACATCCTTGTCTCCAAAAACATAGGCAGTAAAACTAATTCTAAACGTAAAGTATAAATGTATAAATATTAATTAATATTTAAACTACCCCAAAGATGAATATTAATACTATAGTACTTACGATTCAGTTGACATTCTTTATTATTTATTTATTTATTTATAGTTTTTTTGAACTTTGTAGTAGATATGAATATATTATTATTATTATTATCTGTATAAAAATATTTATTTATTTCTTCAATCTAATGAATGTGTTTGATTGAAGATATGTATGTGTATGGTATGATGATGAAATAAAGGCTGTTTAGTCTTGTTGTTTATAAAGAGAGAGGGTTTCTTGTTCTTCATTTTATTGGTTTGATTTTTATCTCGTGGAGGAGGAGGTGTAATCTATTTTTTGATTGTATACAACCACCCGCTATAATCATCAAATGCTAAAAAAGCAACCAGTTTCTATCTATACCGACACCCAACAAATAGGAGACAACATACGAAATCATCAACAAGATTTGGAATGGATGATCAATCAAGTGATATTAAGAGACTAGAGGTTAGTGAACACATACAAATACCCCCCTACCAACACAGATGTGGTTATTTTCCAACCCCCAGTGTTTGTTCCTCAAATAGCTACACTCCAAAAATAGCAAAAAAAATCAAATCCAAAAAAAAATGACTAAATCTAATTATTTCAGATTTGCTATGATTGTGTTTGTTGTACAACAATCATAAACGACACTATTCAAATATTATCCTGATTAATCAAAAGAGTACTTAAAGAGTTCTATGTATGATATAAGATGAACTGTATCTCTCATAGGTTCAATTATTCAACCACATCTAAACACAACTTTTATTATTAATAATTAGAGAAAGTGAATCACCGACCAACCACCATCTATTCAAAATAAAAGATTAATTAATCTTTGTTTAATCATGTTGTCCTTGGAATTAAAAAAAAAAAACAACATACAGGAAGTAATTGTGGAAAAAACAATAATCAAAAAATATTGTTGAAAATCAATTAAATTTTCTCAAGTAGTTGTATTACCAGATTTAACAATAGTCGGAATCCCATTAAAATAGGATAAATAATATTGAATAGAAGAGTATAAATAAGAGTAGTTTGACATTTGAATTAAATGTCTTTGCGCAAGACTTGTAGAAAAGTAAATGACCGACAAGCGATACTTCAAGCATGCTGATTGCCAACTACAATTTTCCCTACTCTTCTTTACTGAAGAGTAATTTTTGTCTTTTTTAATACTATATTAAAAAACAACCAACCAAAACTAATTTAAAAGAAATAATAATAATTTGAGAGCTGAACATAAATAATTGAGTTACTGTCGACAAGGTTGGGGGATTCTAAATCAATCATTGCAGTTGATGACTGCCGAGGATGACGATACTTATCCGGACCCCGACAAAGAAAAATACTTTGCGTGGGTGTTTCCCCAACCCTTGGATGCTAACCACCACTCGTAGGATCGAAATGTTGTTGAACAAACACCCCAATTGGGATATTTTACTCACTCTCTCTTTAAAAGTAGGAGAGTAGAGTGTAGCGTAGGAGTGCTATCACCATCATTAATTAATTAACTTATATATTATATTATATTTATTAATTATTATTATTGAAAGTATACTTCAAGAATGATTAGACAAAGACAACACAATCATCACAGTCACCATCACCATCACCATCATAATCATTTGATTTCAAATGAAGATGGTGAGAATCCATATCATCAAATGTCGATATCAGTATATGATCAATTATATCAATCACCTGTACTACAACCTACAATGACATCATCGACAATGATAACGACACCTTTACAACAACCAGAGTCGATGTCTGCTAATAGTACACCCGATGTCATTGCAATCGGTCAATCTGTCGGTGATGTTGTCATGACTCCCATGCATGGTACAACCCAACCACCACAGCTACAAGACAATACATTTAATCCAATCCCTCTATTCGATGAGAATGGTCAACCTCTTGGACAATTCAAAGTGAAAGTTAAAGTATCGATTGAAGATCAACAAGTACCCTCTACTCCAATAACATCAATACTATCAAATCAACATTTAAATGGAAATGTTAAAAGACCTCCACCATTTCAATTATTATAACAACAACAACAACAACAACAACAATCTTGTACATTCATTGTAAAATTCACATATAGAGATCCTCTCTACCTCCCTCAACAAATATATCTCTTTTTAATTTTGTAATTAATTAATTTTATTTATACATGTACATATATACAAAGAGTTTTGGGTTATATCCCTTCTTCTTCTTCCCCTTTCCCTAATCCTAATCCGTTCTTGAAAACAACAAATAATAATAAATCTATATATAATTTAATAATAGACCGACCTATTTTGTTGGTGTTTCATTGATTTTTAAATATTTGCCTAGTTCTTGTCTTGTCTTGATCAATCAATAATCAAAGTTGATCTTTAAAATTCTTTAATAACATTTCATAATGTAATTTCATAAAATTGGTTTGATGTTTTTCTAAATCTTTTCTTTTTATCTTTTAAAAGAAAGTATTAATATTATAAATGATAATTAATTTAAAAACTATATCTAGCTACCATTTGATTACAAATTTTTGGACCCAATGGACATTGTTCTAATTTTTCTTGACATATTGATGATAAATGTTGATCCAATTGACACTTTTCCATTGATTCATTACAATATTCACATTTAACATTAAATCTATGACATGTTTCTAAATGATTCTAAAAAAAATAAATACAATTAAATAAATAAATAAATAAATAAATAAATAAATAAATAAATAAATAAATAAATAAATAAATAAATAAATAAATAAATAAATAAATAAATATTTCTTTCTTTCTTTCTTTCTTTCTTTTCCTTTTTCTTTTTTTCCTTCCTTACATATAAAACAAATAATTTAGAAGAACATGCTTTACAAGGTATAGTTGAATAAGTACATTTTTGATTTAAATGTAAATCCATATCCTTTGTCTTGATCCAACCACAAGTTGCCAAACTTTGACTTTTAACACAAATCGTAGGTCGATGCAGACAATGATGGGTCTCATGTTTTTCACATTCATCTACGGTACCTGTAAATTGACATCCATCAAAAGGATCTTTATCCCAAGACTGTGTATTTACATTTAATTTGAAATAATAGGTACAATGAACCTCTACATCTCTAATATATTCCTCTATAAATCTATTTCTCGATAGTTTCTCTGGTAATATTGATCTACATGTTGGACATGTATTTTGTTTTTGTCTCCAATCTCTAAAACATGTTGAACCTTTGAAAAAGAGATCGATAATGTAAAATGGTTAATCATTCACATTCACATTTAAAGTTGTACTTGTTAGTTTACTTTTACTTACAATGAGAATGACCTTCTAAACATTGTAAAGGTTCTTTTAGAGTATCTGCACAAATACTACATTCAACCTTTTCCAATACCTTTGAATTAACAACTCTTGTTGATAAATCTAATTGTACTTTATCAAATGCGTATGATGATGATGATCCATTATTACTATTATTACTCTTTTGTGAACTACTACTACTAACAACATTACCCATTACTATCTATATCTTTCTCTATCTTTAGATATATATGAATATATATCTATCTATCTATCCTTTACAAATAATAATTAATCAATCATTGTACAATAAAAAAAAACAAAAAGTAATTAACAAGTGTAACTAACCCATTTTAGGCATGTTCTTAAAAAATTGGGTATTCCATTTTATTTATTTATTTATTTTTCTATTTCTATTTTTGTTTTGTATTTTCTGTTTAGTTTTAAAATTTACTTTGAAGAGGAATACCAACTTTTCTAGCCATATGAGTTATATAGTCAAGATCACTTTTACCGATTGGAATATCGAGACGACCTTCAAAATCATTGATACTCTCGACGATCGAGAGTGCGTAGGGTTTGAGTGTTTGACAGAGTGACGTAACTGCCTCTGAGATGGCGACAGCCTTTCCACTAGACAAAAAGTTGGTGTTTCTAAAGAATCCAAAGTCCTGTTCAATATTGTGTAGTGCATAGAGCTTGATTAAATCATTCAATACATGTCTTGTAATGGGATCTGAACATTTTCTAACTGCTCTATGTGCACATTCCAATGTATGTAAATGTGTATATGCTTTTGCCAATTCTGCTACCAGTATTACTAAAAACAAACAAACAAACAAACAACAAATATTAAATAAATAAATAAATAAATATTAATTATTATTTGATTTTCTTTTCTTTTTGTTTTTCTTAGTTTACTCTCTCTCTCTACTTACGAGAAGCATTCCAAGATTGTTGAAAAGTTAAACCTTTTGCTTTAGTTTGATTTAATTGTTCGATGACCATTGAACGAGTTTTTTCAAAACGAAAAGAGAATGCATGTTGATGAAACTCGTTGGACAAGAGGTAAGGCATCGATCTGTAGTGAGTATAGATTGGGTTGGATGTTACGAGGAATGATTGAACTTCCTTTTTAATGTAACCTGTCATACCCTCCTTTTTATACCATCTTTTGTATTCTACCATCAAGTATTTACTGAGCTGTTGGTACAAGACGGCACCATCACCCTCGGCCGTTTGAAATACATCCAATTCATTTCTCATGTATCCTAGTAGATTGTGAGACGACATGCCATTACCACCACACATTACACGTAGTCTTGACAATGCAACAATAGCAAATTCCGTCACCATCGCCTTGATACCACTTACAATAGCATGAAACTCTTCTCTCTTTTCCTCTGATTTCGATGATTCCTGTATATTATCAATCACCCAATTTCTTGCAAATTCAAATGCCGTATTTTGTGCCAACATTGGTAATAATATTCTATAATGTGTTGGATAATTCATAATCACTACAAGAAATCAAGTTAGATATTTATCTATCTATTTTTTTTTTTGTTATTTGTTTACGTACACTCTTCAGTTTTACCCTTTTCACCAAATTGACGACGACTAAAAGCATACCGAATAGAAGCTTTTAAAGCAATACCCAAGTATTGAATGGGACCACATACATAGAGCATTCTACCAAACACCAATTCAGAGATGGTAATTTGGAATAGTTTACTTGGTGACGATAGTTTAGAGATGTATTCACCGTCCTCGGTGATGGTAGCATAGCGATTTAAAAGGTTTTCTCTTGGTACACGATAATTGGAGAATCTAATCCATGCATTATCCACACCATTCCACCCAACCTTGTGTCCACAATCTCCAATTGATATACCATTATAAACTGTCAGTGTCTCGGGGTCTCTAATAGGTGTAACAATCACATGTACTCCTTTATCCTCACCTTTATAAATTAATCTACAAAATAATACTACATGTGTTCCAAACACTTTAAAAGATAATAATAATAATAATAAAGAGTTTGTTTAGAATATATAATATCAATCTTTTAATTTACTATACTATACTATACATACTCGACATATTACCAATCCAAAACTTTGTACTTGTTAAAGAAGGAGAATTGATTATAAACTCTTTGGTAGAATGATCATAGGTTGCAGTGGTTTCAATTTGACGTACATTTGAACCATGACCCATTTCGGTCATTGCAAAGCCACCTACGATCTTGTAGTTGTTGATATCGTCAAAGTAACGTTTATGGTGTTGCTCTGTACCAATCTCCAAGATGGTGCCACCAAACAACTGAAGATGGATGACAATCTTTGCAATGGGTGATAGATCCAACGAAGGGAAGAGTGCGTGTAGATAGGAGAGTAGTTTCTTTGGGTCTTCACGTAGCAGTTGTACTCTGAATCTGCCCATAGCCATCACCTTTTTAACAATCTCATTGGTCAATCTTTTCTGTGTTGTAGAGTCTACATCTAGAAATGGTCCATGTTCAATACTATCATATATAATCTTTTCAAATTCTTTTCTTTCCTAAAGTTCACATAATAATAATAAAAATAAAAAGTAAAAAGTAAAAAGTAAATTAATAATTAAAATCGAATGATCAGAGACAAGACAAACGCAGACAGATGTTCTGCTCATTATTTTCATTTTAGTTATTTGTTTTTTGTATTTATTTGTATTTATTTCACATACCTTGTCATAATGAATTAATGATTCATTTCTAATTGCTGATAACTGTTGTGTATCAATCACTGCTTTATAATCCATTTCCATTTTTCTAATTCTCTATTCTTATCTTTCTTTAATATATCTAATTCTACTACTTTTTGTAAATATTTATTTATTTCTATATATTATATTATATTTTTTAAAAACAACAAATGAATGAATTAAATGTCGTCTACAAGAGACTATATATATTATATTATGTCAGCTCAAATTATAACAATTATCAATTCACCCATGCACAAAGCGAAAAAAACAAAATGAATTGTGGTGGTATCCACCCACCTCTTGTACTTGATCACACCCCTCATGATCAATGTACCCACCCCGTTCTTCATGCATGTTTGCGTGAATATTATTATAAGGTTGAATACCATCATATACCCAGGGTTTGATGACCATCTCCAATCTTGAAAAAAAAAACGGCGGCCTCATCTCTACTCGTTTTTCATTGAATTTGAGCTGGGTAAAGATATCTGTAGTTTTGTTTATTATTATTATTATTATTATTTCTCTTTTTGTTTTTTGTTTTGTTTTTTTTTTAACTTGTGGGATCAGAAGGCATAATTGTAAAGAAATATTGATATGATAAAGGAGAATCATCTAGAATAATTGATATTGATGTCATGATGACAACATCTTCATCACCAAAAATCTCACGGTGGCAAATGGTTGGTGCGTCGACGAATCGTTGGCATTCTAAATCTTCACCCTCCATATAATATCTGACATTTCTAAATATATTGAATCTATCTGTAATTTCAATTGTTAATAATCCTTGACTTCTTTCTACTTTGGTAAAAATTGCTAAAAAAAAAAAAAAAAAAAGAAAATAATTAATTTAAAAAAGATTAGTTAGTTGCTTATTTCAATATATTGTTTGTTGTAACTCTTGGTTCTGTCTAAATATTTCTTCTACATACATCTATCAATAACTTCAATAGTATGACCAACCAAAGGAATTGTATATTCTTGAATACCTGATGATGAACCTGTTGGATAAGATCCAACCAAGGAACCATCGAGATCTTTAAAAACTTTAACAAGAATATCACCATCTGAATCAAGTTTAATGACAGCTTGATTAAATGAAAATAGTGGTCTCATATTGTCAAAGTAGGAAGCTGCGAATTGACCAAATGGCAATGATAGAGTAAAGTCGGTAACTAATCCACCACTTTGTTTGCCAAACATGGTAACAAGTGTTGTTTCGATAAACATTGGGACGTTTACTGTTAAACGAGTGGCGACTGTTGGATTTGGGATGGACAAACCGTATCCATTGAGAGCAATGGTGTAGTTTGTGATTTCCGATGGCATATCGTTGTAGAAATATAGATCAGTGTTGGCTGCAAAATCAACCCATGTCTTTCTTGTGGCCTTGTCAACCACGATATCTCTCTTTAATAATTTTGGTTGGTTTGATATTGCTTTAATCGATGCTCTAGGCATATAATACTCCAATCCAATTTCTGATGGGTCCATCTTACCATTTGAATTTATATCAAAATAAAATTGATAATCATATCTATGTTCTATAAATAAATAGTTAATATATAAATTAATATATCTTTTTTGTTTTTTTTGTTTCTACTACTACATACTATAACCAATTAAGAAATAATTTTCAAATAATGTCATCATACAATACGATTGGAATGATGGCCAAAATGCCATACCTGGTATAATCAAACCATCATTACCGTAGGTATATTGGTAAAGACCGTATTGCAAATCAACATTCTCGTTTGGTGCAATGTTGTTTGATGGTGGTGTAGTTGTAGTTCCTTGACACCCATAATCTTGTAACTCGACGAGTAAAGCTATATCAGTTCCTGAAAAAGTTGCTTTTACTCGGAGGTTGTTTCTTGGGATGATAAACGAAAGTGGTTGGGTTACATGGTGTTCTGGTTGTTGTTGGCTTGGTAACACATAGAGAGTTGGTTTGGGTGTCATCGAAGTAACATCGACACTGGGGAATGCATAATAACCATCCATATTGGTCATTGTTTGAGCTACCACTGTTGAACCTTGTTTGATTTGAATAAGAATATTTTCGGCTGGACGATCAATAGCAGAGTTGAAAATATTGTTGTTGTTTTGATCATAATAAACTCTTCCTTTGAAATAATCGACATAGGGCAGAGGGATTGGTTCTCCTTCGTAGGTAATTGAATAGGTCTCTGACATTGATTGACCACTCAATTTGACGACAACCTCTTTGGTAAGGTCACCTCCAACATATGGTGGTACCAAACATTGAATCATCATTGGTGAAGTAGCAGATGTAGTATCTTCAACACTTGAACATGTCATTTCCATTCCATCTAAATAAAATTGTGGAACTGTATAATAAATTGATTCCAAATAAATTGGCATACCTTCTTGTGGTATTAATGGTAACATTGAAAATAATCCTATAAAAAATAAATTTAAAATATTAGAAAATAATATAAAATAAAAGAAAGATTAATATTAATTAATTTAAATATTAAATAATTAATTTTCTCTTCATACCTAAATCATAAATTTCAATAACTGCAAATGGATCAGAGAGGGCTGGAATGGTATCACCAGAATAATAAGTTTTAACGACTGTTCCACTTTTAACTACAACTTTTACATTTGATTTGTTGACAACAAACTCTTCTCGTGTGAGGACAGAGAGTGCATCGACCGCATTTGTTAATTGTGCCACTGTATAGATACCATAAAAGATGGCAAAGACAGTTGATGTTCCCTTTGTCATGCCTGAGATAGCAAGGGCAAGGGCAAGGCATTCGGGTGCAAAAATAAAACATACAATACCAATAATAACGGGAACAGCGACTATGCCGACGATAACAAGTGTTGGGATTTTTGGTCTTGGTTTATCAACTTCGTCTGAACAACTTGGGTTGGGAGGCAAAGTGTAAAAGTTGGATGTTTGTCTCTTAAAGGTGATGGTAACGATCAGGTCGGGTTGGTTTTTCTTACAAATGGCCTTGAAATTGTAACATGTGGCCGTTGCAGCATCCATTGAAATGCTGTGAAGAGAACACTTGGTAGAACCAACTTGAATGGAAATATCACCGCGGAATTGAGGAAGACCCAAGTCTGAACCTTGTAGTCGTAAGAGGTACCCCGATTGCATGAAATTGACGTTGGTCAGCACGGGTGATTTGTAAGAGAGTAGTATGTTGAGGGGACTACGGAATAGACCATCAACGTATCTGTGCCCAACTCGACCACCACCTGGTGGAATGACAAAGCTGAGAACGATAGTTCCAGGCTCAGGTGGTCCATCGGCGGCGACGACAGAGGAGGAGAGCAACAAGCCAGAAGCGTGACGTTCAAATCCAAATCTCGTCAGTTCAATCACTCTCGTTTCTCCAGTATCCAAATCTTCTTGTTCCACTTGTTGGTAACCGTTAAAACGAGCAGCGTTACCTCCGTAGGTCAAGAATCTATGCCCACCAGTAATAGCGACGCTTGTGGGCGATGAAATGATGATGTAAAGCAAGGTCCAAATAGATGGAGGTTCATCTTCGTTGCGATAATAAGAGTAATAATCGTTGACAATTCTAGCTTTTTGTCCACCAATAATCACGTCAATATGCAATCCTTCTCCTGCTCCAGAAGGCACCGTACAAGCAATACGGTTATAGTCGTACCATAAAATGTGACGGCATTGCCTTGAATTGATTTTTACTGTCATTGTTGGGGTTGGTGTTGAGTATTGATGAGAAAATTGAAAGGGTAAGAAATTTTCTCCCCAAATTTGAATTAGATTTCCTCCTTCTTCAGGTCCTTTAAAATATTCTGTGAATAATCGAGGTGCTAAAAATAAATAATAAAAATTAGTATAAAAAATAACAAACCAAATATCTATCTATCTATCTAATCTAATATCTCTAATCTATACATACGATCATAACTAAATTTTTTACTCTCTGCAAATTGTTTACCAACATATAATTTAATAATTAAATTGGTACCATATCCAGGTGGTAAAGTCGCATCAATCGTTTTAGAGTCTTTCCAATTTATACGATCAAAATCGACTTTAAAACTACCAATTGTTATGTTACTATAGGTAGAGTCAATTTCAAAACGTTTTTTTGGAGTAGATTCACCAGTATCTGGGTCGGTTTCAGTGTTGAGCATTTCGTTTGGAGGGAATACACCTTCTTCGGAAATGAGACGGAATGTTTCACCTCCTCTTGTTGGCAAGCCACGATCTGCCTTCACCTCGTCGACAAATGGAAGAGAATATTTTAGTTCTTTGAGGTAACCCGAGTTACTTGCAGATTGATTAAAAGAAGATTTTCTTCCATCAAACTCTACACTTTCAATCTCCCATCCAGCTCCAACTGCACTTCCAAAATAACAAATGAGACATTCCAAATTTGGTTCATTTTTGTTGGCTTGTTCGATATCTTTGGATGGTACCCAAACCTCCTCGCCATCTTCTTTAGGTTCTTGATCAAAAGAATTATAATAAATAAAAGGGAAATCTTGGCACAACTCTAGTGCATTTTGGCAATATGCTGGTTTGGGGTGAAGTTCTTTGAGTTTTGTATCTTGATGCTTGAAATAAACATGGATATTAGTTTGATCTGATTGAGTTGTACCAAAATCAGTTCCTACAATCCAGAAAAATTTGGTTGGACCAGTTGGATAGGTTCCATTGACGATAACTTGGTAGATTGATGGTTGGGCGTAATCGAGGGTTTTAAAGGCAAAGGTCACCTCTTGATCACCGATTTGAACCTTTACTCGGTGACCCGTACCTTTTCCAGTTGGTGCATTACAAATAAACGAATTTTGGTTGATAACCTCTATGCTATCACATTCATTTGGACCAACAAATGCAGTGATTTCTTCTTCATTTAGACCAAAGTTTGATCCTGTGACAGTAATAGGTGTTTTAATATTTTCAGGATTGGTACGTAAACTTGTCAATGGGAAAATATTAATTGATGAAATTGTAGGTGCTGACATTATAATATTTATCATATTTGATTCTTTTCCTTTAACCATAATTGAAACAAAACTAAAATAAACAAATAAAAAATTAATAATTTAATTAAATATTCATTTTGTTTGTTTTTTTTACATACTTAGTTGTACCAACATTATTAGTTTTAAAATAAATAATATTTTCTGATCCGACATGATCTGTTGTCTCTATAGGGAATTCTACTTGATTGATGAATAATTGGATACCATCAAGATTGGCTATGTCACCCGTTAAAGGTGGTGGGAAAAAGTTGGTTCCATAAATAGCTACCATTGCATAGTTTGTTGGGACGTTTGTATTAGGTGTAATACGATTGATTTGAGGTGCATCGACTGTGAATGAAAATGTAGTCACTGAGATCCAATTAAGAGAAGCTCCACCTTCTCTACCATAGGTTATGGTGTGGGTACCGGCAAATGTTGGAAACTCGCAAATCAATGTTTCTAGACCAGGATCGATTGAACCTGAATTTGACATGCAATCAACCTCTGCTACTTTAAAGTAGGAATTCTCCAAATTACGACCAGTTATAGTTAATTGAGTGACTCGAGTTAATGGACCACTAAGAGGTGTAATTGATTTGACCATTGGGGTACATGGACATTGATTGACTGCTTGGTGAATATTGTTGGTTACCGTAAACGAGCATATTTTATCTTTAAACAAGACAACTGAAATATCCTTGTAGGTTCGAACTGTTAAAACACCACCAAGATGTTGTTCAGTGATGACTCCAATATCTCTCACCATTCCCAAATACTTTGTTAAAAGTTGAATACCAAGTGGTGTGATGGGACGATCCAACGAACCAAATTGACACATTGATGGGTCAAAAGGTTTGAGAATGTTGGTTAGTTTTGGATCACCAACCATATTTTTATAGGCATTAGAATAAAGGTATTGAAGAGCTTGATTTTTCATGATTGGTGTGTTGTCGTCTTGTGCCCACAATGAAAGGATGGTTTCTATTTGTTGTAATGGCAGTGCATGAATATCAGCATCACCAACCAATTTAGACATAAAGAATTCTTGTAATGTTGGGTCTCTGTCACTTGGAAGGGGAGGGGCTGGACCAGGGGTTACAGGACACATATAAAACATGTTATTGTATTGCATGATAGTATCAATTGAATACAACTCCCGAACCAGCTTTCTGGTTTGTAAGACGGCGACCAATGAATTGGTAAAGTCAAGGACACTTGGTTGAGTTGAAACTTGTACAACCTTTTGGATAGATTCGACGATGGCGTAGAGTGGTACTGGATGATCGGAATTGGCATCTAAAAGGGCACGACGGTGTTGTTGGGTCGTTGGAAGAATACCTTGGTCAGAATCATCACTAGAGTCGATCAAATCGTAGAGATAGGCAGTTACCCAACCCTCGTTGTAGATTCCTTTGGATGGTGATACTTCACGATCGTTACGATAGTTTTCAATATCAACAGGCATACCAGTACAACTATCTAAAAGATGGTTGCGTTGTAGGTGTTGGGAATGCAAGTTGACCAAGTGTCACGGACATGGCATTACAAGACCACGATAGAAGGAACAAAATAACTTGATGATTCTGAATGATGGTGGATGGTGTTGGAATAACAATGCAGAGACATCGTATAATGATTGTTGGATACTGATTTGATGAGTGCATGGGAGAATGCACGTAATACCTCTTCCAAGCAAGGAGAAGCAAGGTTGATTGGTGTGTTGGCGAGACCGTTGACAAGACCGACATTATTAGGTGCAATGGACAAGATAAATGACAAGTCGTCAATCAAGAGTGATCCTTCTTGAATGATTCGTTTGTCGACAATATCGGCAAGCATTTGGAGAGTACGATAAACAAGTACAATATTGTTATCAGTATCTTGGCTTGGGAAGAGAGCACCCTTTAACTGGGTAAATGGAACGATCTTTTGGGATAGGTCTTGTGTGACAGAGACTGCTACAGAACCTGGCATTGTTGAGGTGAGGTAAACTTGGATGGTTTGAGGACGTGATTCAGAGTAGGTAATAAACCCATTCTTGTCAGTACTTTGAGTCAAACCTTCCATAAAACTATTGAGACAAAATCTATTACAACCAACAGACAGCATGTCAGTTGGAAGATGAGAGTAGGCAGTATGTGGCAATAGATTACCAGCACTCGATAATGCTTGGTAGTATTGTGTTGTGTAACTTGGTGGTATTGGCTTGCCACCACCCTCTGCAACACTCGTGTCAATCAACAATGGTCCGTTGAATGTGATGTGTGATGTAACCACCTGTTCTTGACCATCAACCGAAACAACATACTTGTTTGTACACATACGCATAAACTTGAGAATGTTGGCTGGAACTTGTGCAACACAAACAATGGTACCTGGTTGAGTGGTTGCATAACCAAAATCACCAACACAAAGTGTACCACTTTCCAAAATATTGGAATCCGAGAATGCAATACTATTCATCTCTAGATTTGATGAGAATTGTGATGACCCAACTGGAATACCAAACACCTCTGAAAATCTATTTGGAATCTTTACTTCAATAATATTTTTAATTCCATTCATTTTCTAAAATCAAAAAGACAAATATTAATATAATGATCAATCATACTATATATATTATGATTATATTACATACATATTTTAAAGGTAAAGTTAAACTTAAACTTAAAGTTGAAGCTGTTGATTGCCATAGAGATGTAACACTTGAAGATGATTTAATACTACCGTCCAATGAAGAGGATGAGGTTGCAGGTGTTCTATTTTCGATAAATAAAGGTGCAAGCAACGATCTAGAGGCACTATCTACAATGTTGGTAGCATAAATGTATGGATCGGCTGCATCCAATGCTTTAGCAATTTGACTTGTATCGATATTATCAAAAGATTGACAGATAAAGATATGTCCATACGAAAGACTAGTAGTATCTATCTCCTTGGGATCGGTTACAAAGTCTGTTGGTAACCATTCATTTGGATGTGTGAGTGGTGTCTTGACAGATGATGACGCTGATGGTGATCCTGTAGTAGATGGTCTGATAGGTACTGGGAAGCCTTGTAACGAATGCTTTAAATGGTAACCTGATCTACTTGATGTACTGTACGATACGATACCCTTGGAAAGGGATTTGAGCGATTCAGTCCTCTGAATTAGTTGTTTTACGACTTGTGGTGCAATCTCTCCGTAGCTTGGTGGTTTGGTTTTTGGCTCCTCCTCAAAGTCATTGTAATAAGGTTTATTATTAAATGCAAAGTATTCAGTACCTTGATCACCTAATCTCGATACGAGTAAACTTAATCTGTCACGATACTCTGAACCACCTTCAATGGCACCTGTATCATCAAAGTAGATGTAATGATTACTACCTGGTAGTTTTCTAACTACCCACCAATTTCTAACATTATTTGGGTCTTTATAACAATCTAATGATTATACATATAAATAAATAAAATTAAATAAATATGCAAAGTAAAAATAATAATGATGGGTGGTGAAGTTCACTACAATACATACGTTGTGCGAGCGTCTCAGATAAAAAAGCAAGCAAACACACCAATAATAATAAAAGTGTGGAGCTGCTGATGATTTTCATACTTTTGAAGTTAAAAATAAGCAACTGCTTGCTTGGTCAGCTGTCAATACTTGTCTAATTTATTATTATTGTTATAAATATAAATATAAATAAGAATGTATCTCTATCTGTCTCTATCTGTCTATTTCTACCTGTTTGTATCTATCTTTCTATCTTTTCTATTGTAGACCTTTAAGTTTATAGTTGGTATAATAGCTAGCACAAACAAACGAGGAGAGGCATTCATTTCGTTTCAAGCTTGCAAAGTTGCTTGCTTGCTTGACAGAGAAGGTCGTCGTTTGTGTCACGATATCGTTATCATCGTTTAAGAACTACTATAAGTTTGGTTTACATTGGGAGGAGTGGAGGTCTCGTACGAGTGATTCGATGAACAGACCGTGAAAATAAGATGGATAGGCCCTTTGGCTATAGTCTATGCTTGCTTGTGTAGGCTACATACTGGGTATATCGTGGCCATGAAAAGGGAGTCATGTGGTGCGATTTACGAATAAATCTGCGTGCACGGTTTGGGGTTCCACTCGTTTTTTTGCCTTGCAAAGATGGACTTTCTGATGGTGTTTTTTACGACCAGACCACCTACCTATAATATGATACATGTATGTCATATGCAAGCATGCAGACCGAGTACAGAGTGACGGGTGGATCGCAACATAAACAACAAATGCGTTAAATGACAGATATTAACACACACAAGTTTGCTTTGAACTCTTGTTCTATTGGCCTCCTCCTCACTTCACTCGTTTCCTCTCTCTTTTTGTAAACATTAACAAAAAACCTCTTCAATAATAATTATTTATCTATCTATCTATCTATCTATTTCTTTCAACATTTATATTTATATATTGATAGAGAGAGAGAGAAAGAGATAAATTATGGAGAGAAAGCGAAAAAAAGATTCTTATTATTATGGCAAAGATCATTTCTTTGTTATGATTCTATTATCTTGTCTATTGCTACTATCCACTTTAGTTCTCACAGTAGAATCATTCAATGTCGAACCAACAATATTCTATGGAGGTGATGTGGTTTGGATCACTCTGGACAATGTTGTTGCAGATCCTTCCCAACTCTCTGTTGTCTTACGAAGAAGTGATGCAATCACTTACGATGTCCAAATGGAGTTTGAACGCAGTATCAGTGATTTGATTCATGTCTTTAGTTTTGATCAATCTACCCAAAGAAATCCTCCTCCACGCGGTGTCGTTCTTACATACCAGATTGTTGTAGACAACTATAACCCGGTCCAGGTCTATTTTGCACGTATGTTATTTATTTATTTAAAGAAAGAAAAATTAAATGCTGACCTTTTTTTTTTTTAAAAGAGTCTTCAAAAATTATAGGATTCTCAACATCACACCTTTTAACTGATTTACAAAATGTGGAGATTGATATTTATGGTGAAAATCTCATTCCCATCGCTAGTTTTAGTGATGTCATAGAAGTGTTCTTTGTAGCAGATCAAATACAGGATATACCTTGTATTGTTCAATATCCCATTGCAGATACAACCATTAGATGCACGTTGGCATCAACACCCAATACCCCAACAACTCTTCTCGCTAAAATCAAATACCAATCCCTTTACAATCCTCCAGCCGATTACATTGTGTCTATCACTTCTATATATGTTAATGGTATTTATATTATATTTATATTTATATTGAATATGTTGGAGTGAGTATATTAATTATTAATTATTATTAATTTAAATTTAATTTAATTAGATTATCTAATATTAACGGGAATGAATCCAATCCGAGGTTATTCCGGTCAAGCTCAAGCAATAACTTTTACTGCCAATGTTAATATCAATAGACCAATTGATAACTTGCAAGTTGTTTTTGTTCAAGTTGGTGGTCAATTTTCAATCGTATGTCAAGGCGCAAATCTTTTAAATGGCTTGGTCACTTGTACACTTCCAATCATTCCCAACATTGCTCCAGGTTCTTATCTAGAACTAAGACCCGATGTTAGCTATGGAACTTTAAATAGAGCGCCAGCACCATTTACTTATGTCACTTCTAGTGGTATTTATTTATTATTTATTTAATATTTATTTAATATTTATTTAATATTTATTTAATATTTATTTAATATTTATTTATACTCTTTCTCTTCTTTATTTTAGCTTCACAAATTGGAAATATTCTATCAAGAAAGCTGATCATTTCTGGTTCAGAGTATGTCACAATCACTGGTACCTTTTTTGACCACCCTACTCTGTTAACCATTGATGGAGTTGTGTGTACTATTCAACAACCAACAACATGGACTACTATTACATGTTTGACGGGTCAATTCAATGCTGAAAACCCATCTGCCACTCTTTCATTAACTATTGGAAACGAAGTTATTCAATTACAAAATGCTTTTGGTAAATTATAATAATAATAATTTTAATATAGATACTTTTACTTATTTTTTTTATATTAATTTATAGAAATTGCAAGATTGCATATTATGTCGGTACCATCTTTTGCTCTTTATGATAGTAATACTGTCCCAGTTACTACCACCATGAGAATAGGATTTACCGGTGTTATACCTGATGGTACCTCTGTCAGAGTAATTTGTGGAGCCAGTCAATTTACTCCATCAACTATTAGGGTCATCTCCAATATTTTATCATTTGAAGTCTCTTCAGCTGGTTTTACCGATGGAGCGTCCTGTCAAATTGCAATGATACTTGGTACAAATGGACCTACAAATGATCTTGGTCTTTTTACATTTAAAAGTAAGTAGATAGACATAGATAGATAGATATATAAATATTAAATATTAATATTAATATTAATTTTTTTTTTTTTTTTTTTCTACAGAACCAATCATTACAGTTGACCAAAATACATTTCAATCTTTTATTTTCAAATCAAACAAGGCTAAAATTAATTTGAAAACCAATGTTGATGGAGAAACATTCGTAGGGTTTGCAGTTGACCTTTTACTTGTTATCCCTGCAGGTGATACTATTGTCGCCAAAGGAAATGTATTACCTGATAATATTGTTGAGTTTAATGTTCCATCTTACTCTTTAGACACAACAATCACTTCAGCTCTTGAAGCTACATGTAAAACAATCAGAATTGATAAACATGACTATACAATTCCCACCCAAAATTATAGATATACAGGTACTTACAATATTAGTAGATTGCTTTATATATATAGTAACTAACATTTATTTTTATTTTAATTTTATTTAGTACCTAAAATTACTCAAGTCGAGTTTAAAAGTACTGGATTTGAAATAAAAGGGGATGATTTGAATCTTATTGGCCAAGGTTTCACAACAAAGTTTATGTTGGATGATATTGTTCTTGGACAATGCGCACCTTCTTCAAATACTCTGGTCGTTTGTACCGGATACGGTTCATCTACCCAAGCAAAGACGATACGTTTGATTGTGAATGAAAAGACAGAATTCAAATTCGATCTTTCTACCGGCGCCGGTATTACTATCGTTGGACCTGTGGCAACAGAGATCAAACCAAGATTATCACATTTTTCCGATAGATCATCCATCACAATTAAAGGTACTGGATTTACAGCACAATCCTTGGTTACAGTTGGTGGATTACAAGTTGCTGGTTGCAACTCCCATGTAGGCACTACCAATATCATTTGTCCCAAACCTCTTGGTCTTGAACCAAACGATGACGCCACTCCATTCCATGAAATTAAAATTGATGGTGTCGTTCAATCGGATATTTCTTATATGGTCCATGTAGTCTCTTGTTTGGGTCAATCTATCAGTTCATCGATTGATCCCGGACAACACTATGATTATTTGCCAAAGAAATGGTGGTTCAACTATAGATTGGCAACAACAAATGACGATTATCTTTATGCCGATGAAGGGGACCAGAATCTAAGATCTTTTACCCCATTGAATACTCATACTGGTATCAAACATAATTCTCTGTATATGACACTTGGGCAATCCAGACATTCAAGTTCAAATCATATATTTTACAACGACCAAACAGGGATTTTCAGTAAATATCATTTAATGAACAAATATTTATTGATTCATTTATTAAATCATTTTTTCATCTATTGTAGATCCAGCTACTGGAATAAAAGACGATGAAGGAGGTGGCAGTCATCCTTACGGTCATACCAAAGGGTTTGTAATTGTAAGATAATTAGTAATTAATATCCAACAGATACATACATACGTTAACACAATTTTTATCCCCTTTTTTTGAAAAATTCTAGTGGCAAGAACATAATAGTCAAGTATATGGAGTTCATGTCTTGTAGGTTATTAATAGTAGGCACTATGTTTTTCAATGAATTATTATTAACAATCTAAAATATCTTTCATTTAGGCACTCGAACCCAGCTTTTCCACCAAATGATTATTTTGACCCTGTTTTCACACCCGACAGACTTAGGTATATAGGAAAGACAACATTCAAGCAACATTATTTTTGTCGTTCTTTTGTTGGATTGGATGAGCTCGACAAAGTTGGAGATTATATTATCATCAACAATGCATTCATGTACAAGAAACATGTTCCTGGGACTATATCTGACAAAATGAAATCCATACATGCAGGAGATGGTACAACATTTATGAATGTAAGTATCGTACACGGACATTACTGTCATTTAGAGTAATTACTAATTACTCCCCCTTTCCAAAAAGAATTGTGATCCCGATGTCATGGGACCCACTTGCTTAAAAAGCTATGATGCATCAGGTGATGGAAAGTATTTTGCCAAAACTTCAATGAAAGATACTATGCCCTTGAACCCACTCCTACCAGCTGGTGGTTTCCCCATTTTACCAAATGCTGGGGTACCCACACATAATGCTCCAACCAAACCAAGTTACTATCCAACTCAATATCTGCACCAGCAAATAGGAAACAATCAACGTTTCTTGACATTTTATACCAATAAACACGAAAAATGTGTCGCACCAACCCAACCACCTACGCTCCCTTGGGAAAATCGGTATTGCTATCCAATTACTGGCGTGGACACATGGGAGTATGCTGCTCGTACTCTTGGCTCACAACTCTTTGTTCAAACTTTCAGAAAAGGGCCAGCTTTGATCCCATCGCCCTATCTTGTAAATGTTTATGAAAAAATTATCCATCCAGACACAAAAAAACACAAAGATTCCGCTGACCACGCCAAGATTGCATACACTTTTCGACCCACATCCAGAGGTGGTACCACTGGAGACTGGTTTTGTGTCGGTGATAGTAATAGAGCTTTTGCTCAGGTAATTATTAATTAAATTCAAAAAAAAGTTTAAATATACGAGTTAATTCTAATATTATTTTATTTTATTATTAGGTTGGAAGAGGTGGTGGAGTATTTTGTTTACAAGCTCCAACTTTGGTAGATCAGTTCCACAGCGCTATAATTGGTTATAAATCAGTTGCACCTATTAATCCCGCGCCACCACCAAATACAATGGTCGAGTATGGAGTTTCTCACACTGAAAATGAACATGTAGTAAGATCAAGAAGTACTGCATTGTCTATTCAATTAAACACTGTTCTCGGCTTTCAAAACCCAGTGACCGTCGAACTTTATGAATCAGTCTCGTATCAAGCCATTCCACCAGTATTCCAAGAGTACAAACTGTTGCCTTTCGATGTTCTCAGTTTCATTGGAACAAAAAGAATTAGATACAATGCAATCCGTACTGATGTTGCACCCGCAACGTCAGAGACTCCATTCTCTCAAATTGCCGATATCCTACCGATAGGAACAAACGTTTTTACACCGCCAGAGGAACTTGTAGCCGAACAAGCACTTAAAGTCAAATACTATGCAAATGACGATTTAGTTGCTTCGGTGTGTAACCCCAACCCTCCCAACCATCATTGTCACCAATTATCACACTATCGAACCGATCTAATCGCATCTTCAGCATTCCGCCCTCCTCGCGCACAGTACCTTATTTCTGATATTGTTGATTACCAAAGAATCCATCACACTTGGTTGATTCAACAAAAATTCAATTCACTTGTACAATCGCAACTACCAAATATGACCAAAGTCAAGTATATCATCAAACAACCTCAACTAAATACCATATCCAATTATGATACTCAAAATAGAGTGATTGTTTTGAATGTTGCTGGAAACGCCATTTGTCAAGAAGAACAAACCTATCTATTATTACTTGCCTACTATCATAATAGAACCATTCAGGAACCTTCCCAACTAGTAACTGGCATTTATGGAAATCTACAACATAACTCTCAGAAAACATTTGTCAATGGTATTCTTTTGGCTTTGACAAGGTATTTACATAATCAAGCTGTTGGATCCACAGTAACCAGTTTCGACCAATGCTTTGTTTTAGCTCAAACTCACAACTTGGCAAATTTACAATTGTAAGTCAAAATAGTCAAGTTTAAAACAAATTAATAATCTTAACCTTTTTTTTTTATTCATTTTTAGAGGACCTGATGATTATTTAAAGATGGCATCTGCATTTTGGGCAATTTTAAATGCTAACCCATCATTGATGACTTTTGGCTCGGTTCTAAAAACTCTAACAACTATAAGAGTTCAAGATGAAGGAATTGATAATTTTGAAAAGTTTTATGCCAAACAAGAGAATATTCTAAAGAATTATATAGGTTTATTTAGAACATTAGAGTTATTACCACCTGCACCAAATCCAATTGCTGGTACTGCTCGCATTTTATCATCCTCATCCTCCTTTTCCCCCGCCAGTTCATCAATTGCTCACCTCTTGAAAGTTTTATCAGAAAACTATCCAAACAACTATGACGTTGACAGTATCACTCGAGAATTGTATGGATCTGGACCAGTTCAAAGCACTTATTATTCGGATCTAAAGGGTGCTCTCGATCAATGGATCAACATTCAAGATAAAAACCAAGGAGTACAAACTCTATTCATCGATATTCTATCAAATACACAAACACTTGGAGCTATTGAAATGCTTGACAAGATTAATTCAAACCAACATGGTGTTGATATTGATATTCGTACTTCACAATCTGGTATCAAATTTATAGCAACATTATCAACGATTGTTCAAATCACTACGTTACTTGTTTCATTTAGATCACATCCATCAACATTGATCAAGAGATATGGTAACGATTTTGAATTATATTTTGTTCCAGTGGAAAATGGTGATGAAGGATTTTTAGTTGCAACCCTCAACAACAAACTTTGTGACCTACAAAAGAATACAAGAACCAATTTTGAATTGTCAACTCCTGACTTGTCAAATGGTATCTGTCGTCAAGCCACAGATATTATCACATCAGTTACACCATTGAGTGGATCTACTGTTGGTGGTTTTAGTATCAACGTAGGAGGTATTCATTTTAGTTCAAACTCTAAAGTTAAAATTGGAAAGACTATTTGTGAATCAACGCTATTCATTTCAACGACCATGTTACAATGTATTGTTCCACATGGTATTGGAAACAACCATATCGTTTCAACTGGTTCATCTTCATCCTCTGGTCTGATTGGACTCACTCGATTCCATTTCAACTATTTCCAACCAACAATAATCGGTATTCAAAGCCCAACATTAGTATCAAATCTCATTACCATAACAGGTAATTATTTTGGTAATAATGCTCTCTATATTAATGTAAAGGTTGGAGACAGTGATTGTGACATTGTTTCAATCCAAAATGATCGTATCATATGTAAACCAACATCTAATGATTTTGGTATTGATAGAACTGTTTCAATCCAATCAACCAACCCCAACTCCAACTCCAACTCTTTGTATACAACCAATCTAAACAAAGCCAATATTGATACATCATTGGTCTCTTTTAGACCACCCATTATTCATTCAGTCAGTCCATCGACCACTGTTCATGTTGGTGAAACCATTTATTTGTATGGAAAGTATTTTGGATTGAAAAACAGTGATTTTGGTCCACACGTTACAATCAACAAACAAAAGTGTCAAGTTCTCGACTACTCACCAGAAGTGATTACCTTTATCGTACCAAAAGGTAGTGGAAGTAGCCAGATTGTCGTCAATGTTGGTGGTCAAACAGCTACGATGCCAGTAACATACGATATTCCCTATGTTGATTTCGTCACACCAAAACTATTCAATACCTCTGGTGGTCAAGTAATGAGAATACAAGGTGATTCATTGGGATCGTCTATTTATGACATCGACTCTATCAACTTTTACTTACAACAACCAATACAATGTCAACCATTTAACCTTCTCATGGAATGTACCATTCCAGCTGGTGTTGGTAAAGATATTCCACTAACTGGAACAATCAATGGAAAAACAATGATACCTTGGAACACCAAACCTATATTGGCTTCTTATTTACCACCATCTATCGCCAGTGCTGCTAAATTAACAGGAAACCAATTATCAATCAAAGGTTGCAACTTTGTTGGAAGTTTAATTGGTACAAGTGCATCGGTCGTTTTATATACTAATTTGCAGAGTCAATTATGTCAGCTTCCTGTATTCAAACCCAACGACATTGTTACTTGTACCTCTCCATTTGTCGCATCGGCCACAGGTGTCGTTGTCATTATCCAAGGACAAGAATCTGACAAGTTCAATTTTGATGTATCAATTGTTGGACGTGTCTACCTCGACCGAGATAATAATAATATGCTTTCACAGGGTGACCAAAACATCGATGCACAAGTTGTAGTTACATTGACATCAACCGATGGTCAATTTACTCAATCATTGATCACCACAACGTCAGAGTATATGTTTGCTGGAATTCCACCTGGAGACTATAAAATCAAGGCTACTTCACCAGGTATCTTATTCCCTCGAGATACATTCGCAGTCTCTTTAATTGCCGGCAGCGGTACAAGAACTTTGGATTTTGGTGGCTATACAAAGGTTGGAACCGTTGGAACGGTCACCTACAATCAAGAAACTTTAAATATTCAAAACAATATGAATGTTGGAGTGTATGGTTGGTGTTATACAACAGAATGTCAGACCTCCTATTCTTACAATATTCCATCGGGATCTACCGTTTACATATCAACTACTACAGGTCAAGTTTATCTTTACAGTATGTATCCTAAAATTAAAAGAAAGAAAGTAAATCATTGTGAAAACTATTGATTATTAACGAATATTTTTAAATTAATTTATAGCAAATACTATTCGTATTTATTTGTATGAAGATAAAAATTTAAATTTAGTATTTGATCAAGCTACTGAACCTTTAATGGCGGGTTTACAGTCAACTGTTGCTGACGGACCAACTATACAAACTTGTAGTGGTAGCGGTTCTGTTTGTACTGTTTACTGTACTAAAGGTGTTTGCACTGTCACGCCTGGCGCCTCTCAAATCTACACAAGTATCTATGGCAGCATTGTTGTTGAATTTAATACAATGTCCTTGGTCGATCAACAAAAAGATATCTATGTTGCATACTTTGGCAAAGCACAATATCCTCGCTCTACTCAAATAGAGACCACGAGTAATGGAGTCGTTACCCTTCCACTTGGTACATTCTCACTTGCTATGGCTTCACCCATGACAAGGGTTATTCCAACATCCAACACTCTTGTTACTATCTTGCACCAAGGAGTTACCTATTCATATACCCAAACAACCATCATCAACTTGTCCCCATCTCCCACCATTACTGTCTCAGTATCTCCACTTGGAATCCTACAAGGAATAGTACTCAGCCCCTATGGACAATCTATAGTGCTAACTGATATTCCCAATTCAATTACACCATACATTTCTGTAAATGATAAGATCGAGTCTTTTGCATGCCAACCAACAGATTTATTAGGAGTGTTCCGTTACTGGACTTGCACGATCCCAAGATTACGACCAATCTCACCAAATGCAAGAATATACGTCAAAACCAACGACTGGCTTTTAAATTCCTACCCAGTTTCCCTTACCACTGTTACTGTATCTGGTTTGGTATTCCATGATACCAATCTTAATGGAATCTATGAAATTGGTGAAAAAATTATTCCTGGAGTTCGATTAGAAATTTACAATGTATCTTCGTCTTTTACTTTCAGTACTTCTACTGGTTACACAATGCAAACAAATAGTTTTAATTACATGAAGGCTATTAACGCTTTTGGACCAACTGCCGAATACCCCACTCAAACATCGGTAGCATTCTACCCACTAGGAGATTCTCCCTCAAAGGATTTTACTTCTTATACCTCTATCAATGTTCCAATAAGAAAAATCAGTAAGTTAAAAGAAAAGAAAAGATTTAAATATGATATTTATTTATTTATAAACTCTTTATTTATTTTATTTTTTTTACTACTATTTAGATGTAAAATGTAATGGATATTTAATTTCAGGAACGAATCAAATTGAATTTTTTGAGGGAACAATTAACCTTTCAAATTATGCTGGATGGTGTTTAGAAGGTCAAACTTGTCAATACCCAATCACATCGGTATCAATGCCCTCTAATTGCATACGATTAAATAATAGTGACAATACTATTACTATTATAGAAGGTATCAACATCAGAGTCGACCTTTATGACGATGTTTTTATTAGAACAGGCCTGCCCTTTGGAGTATTCCAACCACTCGCTTATCCAATGTTGGTTCGAACGTCGTTTGTTTATCAAGGCAGAGAGATCACAGTCGAAAAACTTTCTTCTTCAATGGCAATCGTTCCAGTCTCTAGTGTGCCTGGTCAATTGACAACATTATCGATTGTTGCTCCACCCCAGTCATCACACCAATATTCCATTATGAATGATATCAAGGTTAATCCAATCTATCCAATTTACCCCATAGAAATTGGAGTCGCCACCAAATCCAATCTGGATGCATATGTCGTATTGTATGATGTCCTAAACACCTCGCTTACACTTCCAATGGGTGTTTATGACGACGTTTTAACAAGACTATCTTGGAACAGTATTCGTGCAAGAAAATTGATTATTTCATCACCCGATGTGGTAGTATTGATATTCAAGAATGACATGACTTTGATTGGTCCGTTCAGTTTCCCTCCTGGGTCAACCAACAATGTCTTCACCATCCCTGTCAACACTTACATTTCCGTTATCGAGGTGGCCCACAAGACTATATTCAATACCATCGTTCCAACTGAAGGTGGTCTTGTTCAATTGCCTGCCAATCCATTCCAATCACGATCATTGTCACTACATATGGAAGGAGTACAACTCAAGTGTTCCGAAAGTCTCTTTTGTTTATTCCCAACGTTGCCTGCATCTGACAGACAATTGGTCGTCAAATTGCAACCTGGAAACATTCAATTGTACACCACCTATACCATTACCTATCCAGTTAGATACTCAGTTCCCACCGTACCATCAACCTATCTCGATTCTTATGGTCCAAACAAAACACTGCCAATAACCTTTGGCAGTAATGCCAGGTTAAGCTCTATTTCAATTGACAACTATCGATATACAAATGTTTTATTGAGATCACAAGCCTTGATAATAGAATCAGTTGAAAATCAAACGGCCACTGTTATTAATAGCTTTGCAATCTCGAGCTTAAGTTACCCAATTACCGTAACCATGACAAACACCTCTTTCTCTGTAAACTGGGGTTCGTCATCTAAAATCACCTTTATCGAAGGTGTAGCAATGAGATATTTCTCAACTCATCCTGATGGTGCAATGGTTCAAGATGAATTGGGAAGAGTATTATGGGCAAGGTTTAGAGCTTCCATCACAGAATATTCAATGTATGGACCTCTTGGATCAGGACTTGGTTATTTGGATTGTCTCGACCCAACTAGAAATACTCTAAGTAATACTCAAACTATTGGAAATGGTTACTATTCAATCTATGTTCAACAAAACTATGGTTTCACCCTTAAAGATGGAATTGGTAATCAAATGTGGACAGGAACCACCTTTTTACCTACTGTGCAAACCAAACTTGTTTTCTATGCTGATGGTGATCTATGCTCTGTCAATAGTGCAGGTGTAAAAGGATGGTGTACCTATACCGCTGGACTTGGAGGTCGCTATTTCTTGGTTGCTCCCTATGGATATGTTCAAGGACACAACTGGATGATTTTCATGCTAAATGCAAACGGACATGTTGTTTGGGCAAGACATGATGGATCCACAAGTGTTTACATGTTACCTGGGTCATATATGGTTGCAGGACAAGCCCTCAGAAATGGTCAGTTCCTAACCAATGGTCTCGTCTATATGGTTTATGATGCAACAGCAGGATATATTAAATATCATCGTGAACCACCAGGACATCCAAACAAGATTCCCTTGTCTCAAACACAATGTATTGGTAATATTCTACTACTTTCAGGAACAACACCTCAATGTTTTAACGATCAAGACCCAAGTCAACTATCTACCGTCACCACCACTCTTGCATACTGGGGTATAAAACCAGGTCCCTCCATCAATTTTGAAACTCGATTAAAGACAGCATTCTCCTCATCTGCCACTTTTATTGACCATTCATTCTCACCAATTTTACAAGATCTCATTCAAGGTCAAGTTTTCATTGATCTCAATCGTAATAATATAATGGATCAAAATGAAGTTGGACTCTTGGGTGTCGCCGTTTCGATTGGTGTATCATCAACCACCACAGACTTGGGAGGTTTCTTTTCTCTTCGATCCCATCAATCCACTACAGAGAAACTTAAATTCATCAATATTCCTTCTCAATACTATACTCCAATACCAGAATTGACTCTCTACCAAATTAGATTTAATAGAGATATTCCACTTTATCAAAAAGGTAAAAGAGAAACAAATATAAAAATGAAAGAAAAGAAATCATTTATTAATATCTCTTTTTTTTTATTAATATTTTATTTTTTTAGGAAATTGTTATGGATACTTAAATTCAAGTGAAAATAGTAAATTATATTTGGATGTTGGTACTTTTAGATTAAGTGATTTTGGTTGGTGTACATTGAACAAAGCATGTGCCAATAGAATGCAAACCTATTCATTCCCAGACCAATGTTTGGTTATGTTTGGTGACAATAATAATTTTGTATCAATTAGTCAAAAGACATTTACAATCAATCTCTACATTGAATCGATATCATCACCAACTGGCAACCTTCCACTGTCTGCCTATAATCCCAATTTGTTATCTTCAAAAGTACAAATATATGTCGCTGGCATTTCATCACCTATAGAATTGACTCCAAACGTAAACACCAATTCCTATGTTTGGGGTAGTTCACAAGGTATTAGAATACAAGTCACGACGAATCCTGGAACCATGTCACTTTTGAATAACATTCATTTGGTTGCCAATTTAACAAATAATGTTATTTTTAATGTTCCAATGATCAAGACCAGCAGAAATCAAGATCTGACAAATCTTGCTATCTTTGGACATGTAAACCAATCTGCAGAGCTGATCCTTCCACCTGGTCACTATACCAACACATTTATTGGAATGTTGGGATGGATAAACCGACCCATCTCCTTTACTACATCCAACACTGAAATGCAAGTGTACCTATTTGGAACATCAGGACAACCTATTACACTCACAAGTAGAAATGGTACCTCTATTCCAATTCCTACCAATCTTGGCATCTCCCAAATTCAAATTGCACCACCCGACACGTCGTTCTCTATGACAACCAAGATGACAGGAGGCTATTATCAATTTACCGATCCATTCCCATTGGGTGTTTATAAATCACTCTACGTTGGCAATTTCTCAACATCTATCGCTTGTAGTGAACAATTATTATGTTATATTCCACCTGTGGGTATCGGAAATCAATTATTGTTTATCCAAGTAAACAATGTCATTCTCAATAGAACCTTTACCATCACATATAATGACCCAACACCAAGTCCTCCCACTGTTTATCTAGAACAAGGTCAATCAATTGGACCACTTGCTACACTCAGATCATCAGTTGACAGTCAAATTGGTTATTCCGAGATTTCTGTGACCGACAAGTTGGTAGTATCAATCTATGATGGTGCTGGAAATATTCTAAATTCCTCTACTATTTTACCTGTCAGCTTAATTGCACCCTATACTGCTGTTGTCACCAACACTGGCATTTGTTTAAAGGGTACCGGTGTGCAATTACAGTGTGGTCAATTTAATAGACCAGCCACCAATAGTAATAGCAAGGTATTGTCACTTTATCCACAAGGCATCTTTTATCATTCCAATGGACTGCCTACAAGCAACTTTACATGGGCATACACAAGACCATACTCGTTTAATCTCTATGCAACATCGTACATGTCAACTGGTATTACCTATCTCGATGTCCAATCCAATCCCACCCTCAAAGCAGGCAATTTTATTAGCAACGGCTTCCAATTCCTCAAACTCACAGGTTCAGGCACCGTAGTGAAATTGACCGTCGAGTCGCTAAATCAAGAGGTATGGTCCTATGAAACTTCAACGATCTTTCCTGCCTCTGGCGTTGTGTTAGAAATCACACCAAATAATCTTTGTATGCAAGGTATTGTCACCAAGTGTGCATTGCCAACTTTCCCATCCAACATTAATCCTATGCTCCGTGGTCGATACTTGTTTTTAGCACCCAAGGGTACTTTTAGCGGTTTGGAGTGGGCTCTTTTGTTTACCGATTTGTATGGAAACATCATTTGGGGTCGTTATGCAATGGCCCTCTCGGTCACTCAATTCTTCTTGCCTGGAAGCTATCTTGTTCCAGGACAAATCCTTCGACCAGGCGAGATCCTATCCAATGGCTACACATTAATACTTTTTACAAAGCCATCATCACAACTCGTCAAATATTACATGGGTGAATGGGGCTCCACCGCTGTAGGTGGGACTTCCAACCTGCTAACTATTCCATCTGGTCATGATGGTTGTTACTTGTCAGGAACGTCACTTGTAAGTGGAAATACCCAATCTCTACCTTCTCTCGTACCAACAACTGCCAAGTTGTATGGTATACAAGCAGCATACAAATTTGGCAGTACTTACGAAATGAACCCTGAAATCATTCTACAAGCACCAACATCACAAGTCCATCCTCAAGAACGTTTGGCCAAGCGAAAAATAACTATTGGTGGAAAGGTTGTGATTGTCCAAAGTGCACAACAATATGTCGGTTTGTCTGGTATCACTGTTACCTATCTCGGTCAACAAACTGTGACCAACGAATTGGGAGAGTTCTTGTTTGATATATATTCTCAACCCCAAGCATCAAGATTTGTATTTTCCAATATCCCTTCAAATATTGTAATGCCAATATCATCATTCCCAGTCCCATCGGTATCTGATTTTAACAAGATGTTCTTTGCCTTTTCAAAGAGCTCAGATACTCGTTGTTCTCTGCAACTCGAATCAGAGGGAGGAGAAACAATGCAGATTCAAATGGGAACTGTCGACCTTTCACTCTTTGGTTGGTGTTATCAAGATTCATGTGCTTTCCCAGTGACAGACCTTTATCCATCATACTCTAATCAACAAAAGTGTCGTTCCACCTTTACTCCAAATAATAATTTAGAACTTTCTTGGTGTGATTCTTGTTAAAAAACAAAAACAAAAATAATAATAATAAATAAAATAATAATAATTAATTTAGTAACATGAATTTTTTGATTGATTTTTTTCACAATCTAGAATAGCTGTCATCCATTCTAAAAACCTTTATTTCATTCTCTGTGTGGTACTCTGTACTCATCTATATTCAAATGATTTTAATATCAAAGTATATCACAAATACCTTGTTGAATAGAAATACTATTATATTATATTATACTAATACAATCATCTAATATATGTTATATATTTGAGATAAATGGATTCCAAAACTAATCAAAAAAGAGATGAAATAAATCAACAATATCCTTTTTGGTAATTGGGATATTATTGATGAATAATAATAAATAAATAAATAATTATTTGTTTTTTTTTTAAGGGAGGAATATACATTATACCCATCCAACAAACAATTCGTTTTATTATTATTAACCTATCTATCTATCTGTGCTATCTATTTCATTGATTATTGTTCAACATTTTCACTACTAATACTTGTTGTTGTTACCAATTTGTTGAATGAAAACCGACAATAGAGAGATTTTTAGATCAAAAAAATAAGACAATAAAGAAATGACTCACAAAAAAAAAAACAATTAAAACAATCTATATTAATAATTTTTACTTATTTATTGGCATCATCAAAATCAGTTAATCTATGTGTACCAACGTCCAATATAATTTACGATTATCATTATCCATAACAATTACCTTTGGAAAAAAAAAAAATTGAATTTGTTTATTGTTACTTTTTTTTTTTAACTTGTTGGATCAGAAGGCATAATTGTAAAGAAATAGGGTTGTGATAAATGATTACCATCCAGAATAATTGATATTGATGTCATGATGACAACATCTTCATCACCAAAAATTTCACGGTGGCAAATGGTTGGTGCATCTACGAATCGTTGGCATTCCAATTCATCACCATCCATAATATATCTGACATTTCTAAATATATTGAATCTATCTGTAATTTCAATTGTTAATAATCCTTGAACTCTTTGTACTTTGGTAAAAATTGCTAAAAAAAAAAAGAATAAATAAGTAAAGATTCTTGTTGTAAATTTTGTACTATATTTCTTTAATACATACATTTATCAATAACCTCAATATTATGACCAACCAAAGGAATTGTATATTCTTGAATACCTGATGATGAACCTGTTGGATAAGATCCAACCAAGGAACCATCGAGATCTTTAAAAACTTTAACAAGAATATCACCATCTGAATCAAGTTTAATGACAGCTTGATTAAATGCAAATAATGGTCTCATATTGTCAAAGTAGGTAGTTTTGAATAAACCAAATGGCAATGATAGAGAAAAGTCTGTAACTAATCCATTACTTTTGCCAAACATTGTAACAAGTGTTTTTTCGATAAACATTGGGACGTTTACTGTTAAACGAGTGGCGACTGTTGGATTTGGGATGGACAAACCGTATCCATTGAGAGCAATGGTGTAGTTTGTGATTTCCGATGGCATATCGTTGTAGAAATATAGATCAGTGTGGGCTGCAAAATCAACCCATGTCTTTCTTGTGGCCCTATCAACCACTATATCTCTCTTTAATAATTTTGGTTGATTTGATATTGCTTTAATCAATGCTCTAGGCATATAATACTCCAATCCAATTTCTGATGGGTCCATCTTACCATTTGAATTTATATCAAAATAAAATTGATAATCATATCTATGTTCTAAAAAAAAAGTAAAATAAAAAGGAAATAAAAATAGTTAATATAAATTTATATCTATTTTGTTTTTTGTTTCTACTACTACATACTATAACCAATTAAGAAATAATTTTCAAATAATGTCATCATACAATACGATTGGAATGATGGCCAAAATGTCATACCTGGATGAATCAATCCATCAGTACCATAAGTATATTGATAAAGGCCATATTGTAATTCGACATTCTCGTTTGGTGCAATGTTGTTTGATGGTGGTGTAGTTGTAGTTCCTTGACACCCATAATCTTGTAACTCGACGAGTAAAGCTATATCAGTTCCTGAAAAAGTTGCTTTTACTCGGAGGTTGTTTCTTGGGATGATAAACGAAAGTGGTTGGGTTACATGGTGTTCTGGTTGTTGTTGGCTTGGTAACACATAGAGAGTTGGTTTGGGTGTCATCGAAGTAACATCGACACTGGGGAATGCATAATAACCATCCATATTGGTCATTGTTTGAGCTACCACTGTTGAACCTTGTTTGATTTGAATAATAATCTTTTCAGCTGGGCGATCAAAGACAGAGTTGAAAATATTGTTGTTGTTTTGATCATAATAAACTCTTCCTTTGAAATAATCGACATAGGGGAGAGGTTTTGGTTCTCCTTCATAGGTAATTGAATAGGTCTCTGAAATTGCAATTCCACCCAATTTTACTACAACCTCTTTGGTAAGGTCTCCTCCAACATATGGTGGTACCAAACATTGAGTCATCACTGTTGAAGGAGTAGTTGTAATATCTTCAACATTTGAACATGTCATTTCCATTCCATCTAAATAATATTGTGGAACTGTATAATAAATTGATTCCAAATAAATTGGCACACCTTCTTGTGGTATTAATGGTACTGTTGAAAATAATCCTAAAATAAAATAAAATAAAATAAAATAAATAAATAATAATATTATTACAATATAAAAAATTAATTAATATAATATATTCTAAATAATTATTATAGTTTTTTCTATTTACCTAAATCATAAATTTCAATAACTGCAAATGGATCTGAGAGGGCTGGAATTGTTTCACCAGAATAATAAGTTTTAACGACTGTTCCACTTTTAACTACAACTTTTACATTTGGTCCGTTAACAATAAACTCTTCTCTTGTTAGGATAGTGAGTACATTAATAACATTTGTTAATTGTGATACGGTAAAGACACCATAAATGATGGTAAAGGCTGTTGATGTTCCCTTTGTCAAACCTGAAATCGTAAGGGCAAAGGCAAGGCATTCAGGTGCAAAAATAATACATGCAGCACCGATAAGAAGGGGAACGGCGATGACGGCGACGATAACAAGTGTTGGGACAGATGGTCTTGGATTATCAACTTGGTCGTCGGAACAACTTGGATTGGGTGGTAAAGTGTAAAAGTTGGATGTTTGTCTCTTAAAGGTGATTGTAACAACCAGATCTGGTTGATTTTTCGTACAAATCGTCTTGAAATTGTAACATGTGGCCGTTGCAGCATCCGTTGAAATGCTACGAAGAGCACACTTGGTAGTACCAACTTGAATGGAAATATCACCGCGGAATTGAGGAAGACCCAAGTCTGAACCTTGTAGTCGTAAGAGGTACCCCAATTGCATGAAATTGACGTTGGTCAGGACGGGTGATTTGTAAGAGACTAATGTGTTGAGGGGACTACGGAATAGACCATCAACGTATCTGTGCCCAACTCGACCACCACCTGGTGGAATGACAAAGCTGAGAACGATAGTTCCAGGTTCAGGTGGTCCATCGGCGGCAAGTGTGGTGAGCAACAAGTCAGAAGCGTGACGTTCAAATCCAAATCTCGTTAGTTCAATCCATCTCCTTTCACCATTATTCAAATCTTCTTGTTCTATTCGTTGGTAACCGTTATAATTAGCAGCGTTACCTCCGTAGGTCAAGAATCTATGCCCACCAGTAACAGAGACGGTTGTGGTCACTGTAACTGTGATGAAAATCGTGGTCCAGATGCTTGGAGGTTCTGGTTCGTTGCGATAATAAGAGTAATAATCGTTGACAATTCTAGTTTCTTGTCCACCAACGACCACATCAATATGCAATTGTTTTCCTACTCCAGGAGGTACCTCACATAAAACACGGTTATGGTTGACCCATAAAACCGAACGACATTGCTTTGCATTGATTTTTACTGTCATTGATGGGATTGGTGTTTGAAATTGATGAACAAATTGATAGGGTAGGAAATTGTATCCCAAAATATCAATTACATTTCCTCCTTCTTCAGGTCCTCCAAATAATCCTTCTAATAATCTAGGTGCTAAAAATAAATAAAAAATGATAATTAATAAATAAACAAATAAAATATTTTCAAATATATACATACGATCATAACTAATTTTTCTACTCTCTGCATATTGTTTACCAACATATAATTTAATAAGTAAATTGGCACCATATCCAGGTGGTAAAGTTGCTTCGATTGTTTTAGAGTCTATCCAATTAATATGATCAAAATCGACTTTAAAACTACCAATTGTCATGTTACTATAGGTAGAGTCAATTTCAAAACGTTGTGTTGGAGTAGGGACACCGGTGTCTTGGTCGATTTCAGTGTTGAGCATTTCGTTTGGAGGGAATACACCTTCATCGGAAAGGAGACGGAATGTTTCACCTCCATTTGTTGGCAAGCCATTCTCTGCTTTCACCTCGTCGACCACTGGAAGAGAATATTTGAGTTCTTTGAGGTAACCCAATGTTTTTGCAGATTGATTAAAAACTGATTTTCTTCCATCAAACTCGACACTTTCAATCTCCCATCCAGCTCCAACTGCACTTCCAAAATAACAAATGAGACATTCCAAATTTGGTTCATTTTTGTTGGCTTGTTCGATATCTTTGGATGGTACCCAAACCTCCTCCTCACCGTCTTGAGGTTTTCGACTAAAAGACTTATAATAAATAAAAGGGAAATCTTGGCATAACTCCAGTGCATTTTTGCAATCTGCTGGTTTGGTGTGAAGTTCTTTGAGTTTTGTATCTTGATGCTTGAAATAAACATGGATATCAGTTCTATCTGATTGAGTTGTACCAAAATCAGTTCCGACAATCCAGAAAAATTTGGTTGGACCAGTTGGATAGGTTCCATTGACGATAACTTGGTAGATTGAAGGTTTGGCGTAATTGAGTGTTTGAGAAGAGAGCGCCACTTGGTCACCGATTTGAACCTTTACTCGGTGACCCATACCTCTTCCAGTTGGTGCATTACAAATAAACGAGTTTTGGGTTATGACCTCTATACTATCACATTCATTTGGACCAACAAATGCAGTGATTTCTTCTTCATTTAGACCAAAGTTTGTTCCTGTGACGGTAACTGGTGTTTGAATATTTTCAGAGTTGGTACGTAAACTTGTCAATGGGAAAATATTAATTGAAGAAACTGTAGGTGTTGACATTCTAATATTTATCATATTTGATTCTTTTCCTCTGATCTTAATTGAAACTAGACTAAAAAAAAAAAAGTTAACTATAATAGAACAGTTAAAGATAATTCTTTTTTTTTTACATACTTTTTTGTACCAACATTATTTGTTTTAAAATAAATAATGTTTTCTGATCCGACATGATCTGTTGTCTCTATAGGGAATTCTACATGATTGATAAATAATTGAATACCATCACGATTGATTACATCACCCGTTAAAGGAGGTGGGAAAAAGTTGGTTCCGTAAATAGCTACCATTGCATTATTTGTTGGGACGTTTGAATTGGGTGTAATACGATTGATTTGAGGTGCATCGACTGTGAATGAAAATGTAGTCACTGAGATCCAATTAAGAGAAGCTCCACCTTCTCTACCATAGGTTATGGTGTGGGTACCGGCAAATGTTGGAAACTCGCAAATCAATGTTTCTAGACCAGGATCGATTGAACCTGAATTTGACATGCAATCAACCTCTGCTACTTTAAAGTAGGCATTATCCAAATTACGACCAGTTATAGTTAATTGAGTGACTCGAGTTAATGGACCACTAAGAGGTGTAATTGATTTGACCATTGGGGTACATGGACATTGATTGACTGCTTGGTGAATATTGTTGGTTACCGTAAACGAGCATATTTTATCTTTAAACAAGACAACTGAAATATCCTTGTAGGTTCGAACTGTTAAAACACCACCAAGATGTTGTTCAGCGATGACTCCAATATCTCTCACCATTCCCAAATACTTTGTTAAAAGTTGAATACCAAGTGGTGTGATGGGACGATCCAACGAACCAAATTGACACATTGATGCATCAAAAGGTTTGAGGATGTTGGTTAGTTTTGGATCACCAACCATATTTTTAAACGCACTCGAATAAAGATATTGAAGAGCTTGATTTTTCATGATTGGTGTGTTGTCGTCTTGTGCCCACAATGAAAGGATGGTTTCTATTTGTTGCAATGGTAATGAATGAATATCGGCATCACCAACCAACTTGGACATAAAGAATTCTTGTAATGTTGGGTCTCTGTCACTTGGAAGGGGAGGGGCTGGACCAGGGGTCACAGGACACACATAAAAGATGTTATTGTATTGCATGATAGTATCAATTGAATACAACTCCCGAACCAGCTTTCTGGATCCTAGGACGGAGACCAATGAATTGGTAAAGTCAAGGACACTTGGTTGAGTTGAAACTTGTACAACCTTTTGGATAGATTCGACGATGGCATAGAGTGGTACTGGGTGATCGGAATTATCATCAAAAAGGGCACGACGGTGTTGTTGGGTCGTTGGAAGAGCACTTTGGTCAGAATCATCATTAGAGTCGATCAAATCATAGAGATAGGCAGTTACCCAACCCTCGTTGTAGATTCCTTTGGTTGGTGATACTTCACGATCGTTACGATAGTTTTCAATATCAACAGGCAAGCCAGTACAACTATCTAAAAGATGGTTGTGTTGTAGAGTGTTGGGGAATGCAAGTTGACCAAGTGTCACGGACATGGCATTTACAAGACCACGATAGAAGGCAACAAAATAACTTGATGATTCTGAATGAATGGTGGATGGGGTTGGGAATAACAATGCAGAGACATCGTATAGTTGATTGTTGGATACTGATTTGATGAGTGCATTGGAGAATGCACGTAATACCTCTTCCATGCATGGAGAGGCAAGGTTGATTGGTGTGTTGGCGAGACCGTTGACAAGACCGATATTATTAGGTGCAATGGACAAGATAAATGACAAGTCGTCAATCAAGAGTGATCCTTCTTGAATGATTCGTTTGTCGACAATATCTGCAAGCATTTGGAGTGTACGATAGACAAGGACAATATTGTTATCAGTATCTTGGCTTGGGAAGAGAGCACCTTTCAACTGGGTAAATGGAATAATCTTTTGAGATTGGTCTAGTCCGACGACAGAGACTGCTACAGAACCTGGCATTGTTGAGGTGAGGTAAACTTGGATGGTTTGAGAACGTGATTCAGAGTAGGTAATGAACCCATTCTTGTCAGTACTTTGAGTCAAACCTTCCATAAAACTATTGAGACACTGTCTATTACAACCAACAGACAGCATGTCAGTTGGAAGATGAGAGTAGGCAGTATGTGGCAATAGATTACCAGCACTCGATAATGCTTGGTAGTATTGTGTTGTATAACTTGGTGGTATTGGCTTGCCACCACCTTCCACAAAACTCGTGTCAATCAACAAAGGTCCGTTGAATGTGGTGTGTGATGTAACCACCTGTTCTTGACCATCAACCGAAACAACAAACTTGTTTGTACACATACGCATAAACTTGAGAATGTTGGCTGGAACTTGTGCAATACATACAATGGTACCTGGTTGAGTGGTTGCATAACCAAAATCACCAACACAAAGTGTACCACTTTCCAAAATATTGGAATCCGAGAATGCAATACTATTCATCTCTAGATTTGATGAGAATTGTGATGAACCAACTGGAATACCAAACACCTCTGAAAATCTATTTGGAATCTTTACTTCAATAATATTTTTAACTCCATTCATTTTCTAAATAAAAGATAGACAAATATTAATATAATGATTCATTATATATATATTATGATTATATTACATACATATTTTAAAGGTAAAGTTAAACTTAAACTTAAAGTTGAAGCTGTTGATTGCCAAAGAGATGTAATACTTGAAGATGATTTAATTCTACCGTCAGACGAAGTGGACGTGCTTGCAGGTACTCTATTTTCGATAAATAAAGGTGAAAGCAACGATCTAGAGGCACTATCTACAATGTTGGTAGCATAAATGTATGGATCGGCTGCATCCAATGCTTTAGCAATTTGACTTGTATCGATATTATCAAACGATTGACAGATAAAGATGTGTCCGTACGAAAGACTAGTAGTATCTATCTCCTTTGGATCGGTTACAAAGTCTGTTGGTAACCATTCATTTGGATGTGTGAGTGGTGTCTTGACAGATGATGACGCTGATGGTGATTCTGTAGTAGATGGTCTAATAGGTACTGGGAATCCTTGTAACGAATGCTTTAAATAGTAACCTGATCTACTTGATGTACTGTACGATACGATACCCTTGGAAAGGGATTTGAGCGATTCAGTCCTCTGAATTAGTTGTTTAATGACTGTTGGTGCAACCTCTCCGTAGCTTGGTGGTTTGGTTGTTGTCTCCTCCTCAAAGTCATTGTAATAAGGTTTATTATTAAATGCAAAGTATTCAGTACCTTGTTCACCTAATCTCGATACGAGTAAACTTAATCTGTCACGATACTCTGAACCACCTTCAATGGCACCTGTATCATCAAAGTAGATGTAATGATTACTACCTGGTAGTTTTCTAACTACCCACCAATTTCTAACATTATTTGGGTCTTTATAACAATCTAATGATTATACAAATACAAATTAAATAAAGTAAATAAATAAGCAAAATATATAATGATGAAGGTTTGTGTGTAAGGTGGTGGTGAAGTTCACGAACATACTTTGTGCGAGCGTTTTCGGAGTAGCTGATAAAAAAGCAAGCAAACACACCAATAATAATAAAAGTGTGGAGCTGCTGATGATTTTCATACTGAGAAGTTAAAAATAAGCAATTGCTTGCTTGCTTGGTCAGCGGTCAATACTTGTCTAATTTATTATTATTATTATTATAAATATAAATAAGAATGTATATCTATCTGTCTATCTTCTCTCATTAAGTTATAGCTCTATTAAATGTAGAACTACACAAACTAGGAGAGGCATTCATTTCATTTGGTTTACATTGGGAGGAGTGGAGGTCTCTTTGACGAGTGATTCGATGAACATAAGATGGATAGGCCCCTAGATTAGCCTATGTTAAGCAATTTACGAATAAATCTGCCATGGTTTCCCTCGTTTTTATTGCCTTGCGAAGATGGACTTTCTGATGGCATTTTTTACGACCAGACCACCTACCTATAATATGACATACATGTATCAGCGTGCAGACCCAGTACAGAGTGACGGTGGATCGCAACATAAACAACAGATATTAACACACACGAGTTTGCTTTGACACTCTTGTTCTATTGGCCTCCTCCTCACTTCGCTCGTTTCCTCTCTCTTTTTGTAAACATTAACAAAATAATACCTCTTCAATAATAATTATTTATCTATCTATCTATCTATCTATCTATTTCTTTCAACATTTATATTTATATTTATAGAGAGAGAGAAAGTATGGAGAGAAAGCGAAAAAAAGATTCTTATTATTATGGCAAAGATCATTTCTTTGTTATGATTCTATTATCTTGTCTATTGCTACTATCCACTTTAGTTCTCAAAGTAGAATCATTCAATGTCGAACCAACAATATTCTATGGAGGTGATGTGGTTTGGATCACTCTGGACAATGTTGTTGCAGATCCTTCCCAACTCTCTGTTGTCTTACGAAGAAGTGATGCAATCACTTACGATGTCCAAATGGAGTTTGAATACAGTATAAGTGATTTGATTCATGTCTTTAGTTTTGATCAATCCACCCAAAGAAATCCTCCTCCACGCGGTGTCGTTCTTACATACCAGATTGTTGTAGACAACTATAACCCGGTCCAGGTCTATTTTGCACGTATGTTATTTATTTATTTAAAGAAAGAAAAATTAAATGCTGACCTTTTTTTTTTTTAAAAGAGTCTTCAAAAATTATAGGATTCTCAACATCACACCTTTTAACTGATTTACAAAATGTGGAGATTGATATTTATGGTGAAAATCTCATTCCCATCGCTAGTTTTAGTGATGTCATAGAAGTGTTCTTTGTAGCAGATCAAATACAGGATATACCTTGTATTGTTCAATATCCCATTGCAGATACAACCATTAGATGCACGTTGGCATCAACACCCAATACCCCAACAACTCTTCTCGCTAAAATCAAATACCAATCCCTTTACAATCCTCCAGCCGATTACATTGTGTCTATCACTTCTATATATGTTAATGGTATTTATATTATATTTATATTTATATTGAATATGTTGGAGTGAGTATATTAATTATTAATTATTATTAATTTAAATTTAATTTAATTAGATTATCTAATATTAACGGGAATGAATCCAATCCGAGGTTATTCCGGTCAAGCTCAAGCAATAACTTTTACTGCCAATGTTAATATCAATAGACCAATTGATAACTTGCAAGTTGTTTTTGTTCAAGTTGGTGGTCAATTTTCAATCGTATGTCAAGGCGCAAATCTTTTAAATGGCTTGGTCACTTGTACACTTCCAATCATTCCCAACATTGCTCCAGGTTCTTATCTAGAACTAAGACCCGATGTTAGCTATGGAACTTTAGCAAATAGAGTGCCAGTACCATTTACTTATTTCACTTCGAGTGGTATGTATATGTATATCTGGGCATTGATTTATACTTTTTATTTATTGATATTTTTTTCAATAGCTTCACAAATTGGAAATATTCTATCAAGAAAGCTGATCATTTCTGGTTCAGAGTATGTCACAATCACTGGTACCTTTTTTGGCCACCCTACTCTGTTAACCATTGATGGAATTGAATGTGTTATTCAACAACCAACAACATTGGCTTCTATTACCTGCTTGACGAGTCAATTCAATGCTGAAAACCCATCTGCCACTCTTTCATTGACCATTGGAAACGAAATTATTCAACTACAAAATGCTTTTGGTAAATTATAATAATAATAATTTTAAATAGACAATACTTTTACTTATTATTATTATTATTTTTATTATTTTTTATATTATATTTATAGAAATTGGAAGATTGCATATTATGTCGGTACCATCTTTTGCTCTTTATGATAGTAATACTGTCCCAGTTACTACTACCATGAGAATAGGATTTACCGGTGTTATACCTGATGGTACTGCTGTCAGTGTAATTTGTGGAACCAGTCAATTTATCCCATCAACTATTAGGGTCATCTCCAATGTTTTATCCTTTGACGTCTCTTCAGCTGGTTTTACGGCTGGAGCATCCTGTCAAATTGCAATGATACTTGGTACAAATGGACCGACAATTCACCTTGGTCCTTTTCAATTTAAAAGTAAGTAGATAGATGGATATATATATATTAAATATTAATATTAAAATTATTTTTATAGAACCAATCATTACAGTTGACCAAAATACATTTCAATCTTTAATTTTCAAATCAAACAAGGCAAAAATTAATTTGAAAACCATTGATGAAGAAACATTCGTAGGGTTTGCAGTTGAGCTTGTACTTGTTACCCCTGCAGGTGATACTATTATCGCCAAAGGAAATGTATTACCTGATAATATTGTTGAGTTTAATGTTCCATCTTACTCTTTAGACACAACAATCACTTCAGCTCTTGATGCTACATGTACAATCAGAATTGATAAACATGAGTATACAATTCCCACCCAAATTTATAGATATAAAGGTACGTACAATATTGTAATAGTAGAGATTGCTATATAGTTACTAACATTTATTTATTTACTGTTTATAGTCCCAAAAATAACTCAAGTCGAGTTTAAAAGTACTGGATTTGAAATGAAAGGGGATAATTTGGATCTAATTAGTCAAGGTTTCACAACAAAGTTTATGTTGGATGATATTGTTCTTGGACAATGCGCACCTTCTTCAAATACCAAGGTCGTTTGTACCGGATACGGTTCATCTACCCAAGCAAAGACAATACGTTTGATTGTGAATGAAAAGACAGAATTCAAATTCGATCTTTCTACCGGCGCCGGTATTACTATCGTCGGACCTGTGGCAACAGAGATCAAACCACGATTATCAAAACTTTCCAATGCATTACCCATCACAATTAGAGGTACTGGATTTACAGCGCAATCCTTGGTTACAGTTGGTGGAATCCCAGCACCTGGATGCGTCCCTTCCCCCGGCACCGCCGATATCATTTGTGGCAGACCTCTTGGTCTTCAACCAAACACTGACATCGTTCCATTCCATCAAATTACAATCGATGGTGTCGTTCAATCTGATATTCCTTATATGGTCCATGTCGTCTCTTGTTTGGGTCAATCTATCAGTTCATCGATTGATGGTCAACACTTTGACTATTTTCCAAAGAAATGGTGGTTCAATTATAGATTGATACCTAGATTACTAAATGGTCCCCGCCCTGACGATTATTTGTATGCTGATGCTGACGACCAGAATCTAAGATCTTTCTCTCCATTAAATACTCATACCGATATCGAACATAATTCTCTGTACAAGACACTTGAACAATCCAAGAATACAGGAGCAAATTATATATTTTACAATGATGGAGTAGGAAAATTCAGTAAATATTTATACTTTAAAAAAAATATTGTTTTCAAAATATTAATTTTTTTTAATTATAGGACAAACCAATGGAGCACAAGATGATAAAAAACCTTCAGGTGAGACACAAGGCCATACCAAAGGATTCGTAATTGTAAGAGATAAATAGAAATATTCTAACCAAAGAAGATTCTGTTAGATACAAAAAAATATTAACCTACATATCCAATTATTTATTTAAAAAAAAAATCCACTACTACTATGACTAGTGGGAAGAACATAATAATCAAGTATATGGAGTTCATGTCTTGTAAGTCAATTTTTAATTTACAAGCAGTTGCAAAGAAATAATTAACCAATTAATCTTTCCGTAAATCTTTCTTAGGCACTCTACTCCCCTTTTTCCAACACTTGATTATTTTAATCTGCCACCCCAAAAACCAGCGTTTTTAGGATCATCAACCAAAAGACAACATTATTTTTGTCGTCCTTTTGCTGGATTGGCTGAACTGGACAAAGTTGCAGATTATATTATCATCAACAATGCAAACATCTATATGGACTCGATTAGTGCTCAGTCTCTATCTACCAAAATGATTAATATCAAAACCGCTGGTCCAACATATCTGAATGTAAGTATCCGATGTGATCGTCAAAGCCTCAGGATATCTTTTTAATTTATTCAAATTTCCTATTTTCATAGAATTGTGATCCTGATACGATTACAACTTGTTTGTCCAACTTTGACGTACCAGGTGGCGGAAAGTATTTTGCTAAAACATCAATGTCCCGAATATTATCCGAGAACCCACTCATCCCACAACCCAATCTTTATCCAGTTTTAGAAAATACTGGGTACCCCACAAAAAATTTCCCAGATAATCCAACGTACTACCCAACTCAATATCTGCACCAGAGTAGAGCAAGGATCCAAAATAATATTGATCATTTTTTGACATTTTATACCGATGACCCCAAGCAATGCGATAAAACCCAAGGATCTACAAGCCCTTGGAAATATCGTTATTGCTATCCATTTGGTGGTGTCGACACGTGGGAGTATGCTGCTCGTACTCTTGGTACACAACTATTTGTTCAAACTTTCAGACAAGGTTCAGCTTTGATCCCATCGCCATATATTGTCAATGTTTATCAAAAAATTGTCTATCCCAACATGGAAGAGCATAAAGACTCCGCTGACCATGCCAAGATTGCCTACACTTTTCTCCCTTCGTCCAGAGGTGGTAACACTGGAGACTGGTTTTGTGTCGGTGATAGTAACAGAGCTTTTGCTCAGGTAATTATTAAATCAAAAAAAAAGTCATAATATTAGTTTTAACACAATTATTTTATTTTAAATGATTAATAATTATATTATTTAGCCTGGAAGAGGTGGTGGAGCATTTTGTTTCCAAGCTCCAACTTTGGTAGATCAATTTCACAGAGCTGTAACCAAGTATAAACTAGTTGCACCTATTGATCCCGCTCCAAATAGGCTGATAGAGTATGGAGTTTCTCACTCTGAAAATGAACATGTAGTAAGATCAACAAATGTTGAATTGGATATTCAATTAAACACTGTTCCCAACTTTCAAAACCCAGTGACCGTCGTACTTTATGAATCAGTCTCAAATAAAGTCACCCAACCAGCCCCAGCACCAAGATATTTCGATGAATACAAACTGACGCCTTACGAAACTCACCATTTCCACGGAACAAAAAGAATTACATACAATGCCTTCCGTACTACTATTTCACCTAGAGGGTTTGGTGTTCCAGGTGCAGAGACTCCTTTCTCTCAAATTTCCGATAACTTGTCAATCCTACCACCCTTTTTTACACCGCCAGAAGAACTTGTAGCCAAACAAGCGCTTAAAGTCGAATACTATGCAAATGACGATTTGGTTGCTTCAGTATGTAACTCTAACCCTCCCAACCATGATTGTTATCAATTATCGCACTATCGAACCAATCGAATCGCACATTCAGCACCTGATGCCCACCCTCTCTATGTGTACGCTATTTCTGATATTGTTGATTACCAAAGAATCCATCACACTTGGTTAATTCAACAAAAATTCAATTCACTTGTACAATCGCAATTACCAAGTATGACCAAAGTCAAGTATATCATCGAACAACCACAACCCAACACTATATCGCATTATGATACTCAAAATAGAGGGATTGTTTTGAATGTTGTTGGAAACACCGACATTTGTCAAGAAGAACAAACCTATCTATTATTACTTGCATACTATCATAATAGAACCATTCAAGAACCTTCCCAATTAAATGGCCTTTATGGAAATCTACAACAAAACTCTCAGAAAACATTTGTCAATGGTATTCTTTTGTCGTTGACAAGGTATTTACATAATCAAGCTGTTGGATCCACAGTAACCAGTTTCAACCCATGTTTTGTTTTAGCACAAAGTAAAGACTTGGCAAATATAGGTCAATTGTAAGTCAATCAAAAAAGTTGATAACAAATTTAAATAATTGACTAATTAATTAACCTTTTTTTTATTCATTTCAAAAGATCTGATGATTATCTAAAGATGGCATCTGCATTTTGGACAATTTTAAATGATAATCAATTGCTGCTTTCTTTTGACTCGATTCTCAAAACTCTAACAACTATAAGAGTTCAAGATGAAGGAATTGATAATTTTGAAAAGTTTTATGCCAAACAAGAGAATATTCTAAAGAGTTATAGAGATTTATTTGGAACATTAGGTTTATTGCAACCTGCACCAAATCCAATTGCTGGAAATGCTCGCATTTTATCCTCATCCTCCTCTTCCTCCCCCACCAGTTCATCAATTGCTCACCTCTTGAAAGTTTTATCAGAAAACTATCCAAACAACTATGACGTTGACAGTATCACTAGAGAATTGGTTGGATCTGGATCGGTACAAAGCACTTATTACTCGGATCTCAATGGTGCTCTCGATCAATGGATCAACATTCAAGATAAAAACCAAGGTGTTCAAACTCTATTTGTAGACATTCTTTCAAATACACAAACACTTGGAGCTATCGAAATGCTTGACAATATCAATTCAAATCAACATGGTGTTGATATTGATATTCGTACATCACAATCTGGTATCAAATTTATAGCATCATTATCAACGATTGTTCAAATCACAACGTTACTTGTTTCATTTAGATCACATCCATCAACATTGGTAAAGAAATATGGTAAAGATTTTGAATTATATTTTGTTCCAGAAGTGGAAAACGGAGGTGATGAAGGATTTTTGGTTTCAACTCTTAACAACAAGCTCTGTGACATTCAAAAGAATACAAAGATCAATTTTGAATTACCAAATTTTGACTTGTCAAGTGGTATTTGTCGTCAAGCCACAGATATTATCACATCAGTTACGCCATTGAGTGGATCTACTGTAGGTGGTTATAGTATAAACGTAGGAGGTATTCATTTTAATTCAAACTCTAAAGTTAAAATTGGATCAACTATTTGTCAATCAACACTATTCATTTCAACGACCATGTTACAATGTATCGTTCCACCTGGTATTGGAAACAACCATATCGTTTCAACTGTTTCATCTTCATCCTCTGGTCTGATTGGACTCACTCGATTCCATTTCAACTATTTCCAACCAACAATAATCGGTATTCAAAGCCCAACATTAGTATCAAATCTCATTACCATAACAGGTAACTATTTTGGTAATAATGCTCTCAATATTAATGTAAAGGTTGGAGATAGTGATTGTGACATTGTTTCAATTCAAAATGATCGTGTCATTTGTCGGTCAATCTCTAATGATTTTGGTATTGATAGAACCGTTTCCATCCAATCCACCAACTCCAACTCCAACTCTTTGTATACCTCTACCACCAATCTAAACAAAGCCAATATTGATACATCATTGGTCTCTTTTAGACCACCCATTATTCATTCAGTCAGTCCATCGACCACTGTTCATGTTGGTGAAACCATTTATTTGTATGGAAAGTATTTTGGATTGAAAAACAGTGATTTTGGTCCACACGTTACAATCAACAAACAAAAGTGTCAAGTTCTCGACTACTCACCAGAAGTGATTACCTTTATCGTACCAAAAGGTAGTGGAAGTAGCCAGATTGTCGTTAATGTTGGTGGTCAAACAGCTACGATGCCAGTAACATACGATATTCCCTATGTTGATTTCGTCACACCAAAACTATTCAATACCTCTGGTGGCCAAGTAATGAGAATACAAGGTGATTCATTGGGATCATCTATTTATGATATCGACTCTATCAACTTTTACTTACAACAGCCAATACAATGTCAACCATTTAACCTCCTCATGGAATGTACCATTCCAGCTGGTGTTGGCAAAGATATTCCACTCACTGGAACAATCAATGGAAAAACAATGACACCTTGGAACACCAAACCTATATTGGCTTCTTATTTACCACCATCTATAGTCAGCGCTGTTAAATTAACAGGAAACCAATTATCAATCAAAGGTTACAACTTTGTTGGAAGTTTAATTGGTACAAGTGCATCAGTCGTTTTATATTCTAACTTGCAGAGTCAATTATGTCAGCTTCCTGTATTCAAACCCAACGACATTGTTACTTGTACCTCTCCATTTGTCGCATCGGCCACAGGTGTCGTTGTCATTATCAAAGAACAAGAATCTGACAAGTTCAATTTTGATGTATCAATTGTTGGACGTATCTACCTCGACCAAGATAATAATAATATGCTTTCACAAGGTGACCTGAACATCAGTGCACAAGTAACAGTTACATTGACATCAACCGATGGTCAATTTACTCAATCATTAATCACTACAACATCAGAGTATATGTTTGCTGGAATTCCACCTGGAGACTATAAAATCAAGGCTTTTACATCCACTAAATTATTCCCTAGAGATACATTCTCGGTCTCTTTAAAAAGTAACAGTGGTATTAATATCTTTAATTTTGGTGGGTTCCAAAAGCTTCTGACCGTTGGAACGGTCACCTACAATCAAGAAACTTTAAATATTCAATCCAATATTAATGTTGGAGTGTATGGTTGGTGTTTTACAACGGAATGTCAATTAAACTATTCTTACAGTATTCCATATGGATCTACTGTTTTAATATCAAGTACTACAGGTCAAGTTTATCTTTACAGTATGTATCTCAAAAATTAAACAGAATTATTGAAGGATTAATCGCATGAAACTAACTGTTTATACTATTTTTTAATTTATAGCAAATACTATTCGTATCTATTTGTATGAAGATAAAAATTTAAATTTACGATTGGATGTTAATGAACCTAATATTTTAGGTGCACAGGCGTCAATTGTTTATGATGGAAATACGGCACGATATTGTAGTGGTTCTGTTTGTTATTTTAATTGTGCTAAAAGTGTTTGCACTATTAAACCTGGGTCGGCCTCTCCAACCTACACTAATATCTATGGCAGCATTATTGTTGAATTTAATACCATGTCGGTGGTCAACCAACAAAAAGATATCTATATTGCTTACTACAACAAATCACAATATCCTCACTCTACTCAAATAGAGACCACGAGTAATGGAGTTGTTAACTTGCCAATTGGTACTTACTCACTTGAAATGACCTCACCCATAACAAAGATTGTTCCTATTGGCACCAACACTCTTGTTACTATCTTGCACCAAGCAATTACCTATTCATATACCCAAGCAACCATCATCAATTTGTCTCCAGCTCCCATTACTATTACAATAGCTCCACTTGGAATCCTACAAGGAGTAGTACTCAGCCCCTATGGACAATCTTTAACGATACCTGATATTGTTGGTTCAACTCCACCATACATTTCTGTTAATGAAAAGATTAATTCGTATGCATGCCAACTAATAGATTTATTAGGAAAGCTCCGTTATTGGGTTTGTAATATCCCAAGATTAGGACCAATCTCACCAAAGGCAAGAATATTCATCAAAACCAACGACTGGCTTTTAAATCCCTACCCAGTTTCACTTACCAAGATTAATGTATCGGGTGTGGTTTTCCACGATACCAATCTTAATGGAATCTATGAAATTGGTGAGAAAATCATTTCAGGAGTTCATTTAGAAATTTTTAATGTACCATCGTCCTATACCATCAGTACTTTAACTGGGTACAGAATGCAAACAAATAGTTTTAATCAAATCAAAGCTTTTAAAGTTCACGTTTTTGGTCCAACAATTCAATACCCCGCTCAATCAACCGTCGCATTCTATCCACAAGGAGATTCTCCCTCATTGGATTTTACTTCTTATACCTCTATCAATGTTCCATTGAGAAAACTCAGTAAGAATAGAAAGAAAAGAAAAGATTTAAATGATCATTTATTAATTATTAACTCTTTATTTTATTTATTTATTTTACTACTATTTAGATTTAAAATGTAATGGATATTTAATTTCCGGCACGAATCAAATTGAATTTGTTGAAGGAATAATAAACCTTTCAAATTATGCTGGATGGTGTTTAGAAGGTCAAACTTGTCAATACCCAATCACATCGGTATCAATGCCCCCTAATTGCATTCGATTGAATAATAGTGACAATACTATTACTATTATAGAAGGTATCAACATCACAGTCGACCTGTATGACGATCTTTTTATTAGAACAGGCCTGCCCTTTGGAGTATTCCAACCACTCGCTTATCCAATGTTGGTTCGAACGTCGTTTGTTTATCAAGGCAGAAGTATCTCACTAGAAACTCTTACTTCTTCAATTGCAATCATTACGGTCCCCAATATTCCTGGTCAACTTTCAACATTATCGATTGTTGCCCCACCCCAATCATCGCATCAATATGCCATTATGAATCATATCAAGATTGATTCGTCCAATCCTCCATCAACTGCCATTCAAATTGGAATCACAACCAAACCGACAGTGATTGGATATATGGTAGAATTGTATGATGTCCAAAATACCGTTCTTACACTGCCAATGGGTGTTTACAAAAATGACATTTTAACAAGACTATCTTGGAATAATAATCGTGCAAGAAAAATCATTACCTTTTCACCAGATGTGATAGTATTGATATTCAAGAGTGATTCGTCTATGGTTGGACCATTCATTGGAACAACCAATAATAATGTATTCACAATCCCTACAAATACTGATATTTACAGTATAGAGGTAGCCCACAAGAATATATTCAATACCATTGTTCCAACTGAAGGTGGTTATGTTCGTTTACCTGCCAATCCATTCCAATCCTCTAGATCATTGTCACTACATTTGGAAGGAGTACAACTCAAGTGTTCAGAAGTTCTCATTTGTTTATTCCCAACGTTGCCTGCATCTGACAGACAATTGGTCGTCAAATTGCAACCTGGAAACATTCAATTGTACACCACCTATATCATTACCTATCCAGTTAGATATCCAGTCCCCACCGCACCAGGAACCTATCTCGATTCTTTTGGTCCAAACAAAACACTGTCAATGACCTTTAGCAATGTTGGCACGTTAAGCTCTATTTCAATTGACAACTATCGATATACAAATGTTTTAATGAAAACACGAACCTTTACAATAGAATCAGTTGAAAATCAAACTGCCACTGTTATTGATAGTTACTCTGTCTCGAACGTAATTTACCCAATTAACGTAACCATGACAAACACCTCTTTCTCTATAAACTGGGTTAGGTCATCTAAAATCATCTTTATCGAAGGTGTGGCAATGAGATATTTCTCAACTCATCCTGATGGTGCAATGGTTCAAGATGAATTGGGAAGAGTATTATGGGCAAGGTTTAGAGCTTCCATCACAGAATATTCAATGTATGGACCTCTTGGATCAGGACTTGGTTATTTGGATTGTCTCGACCCAACTAGAAATACTCTAAGTGATACTCAAACTATTGGAAATGGTTACTATTCAATCTATGTTCAACAAAACTATGGTTTCACCCTTAAAGATCAAAATCGCAATCAAGTATGGGAACAATACGCGTATTCACCTACTGCACAAAAACTTGTTTTCTATGCGGATGGTGATCTATGTTTAGTCGATAGTGCAGGTGTAAAAAAATGGTGTACCTATACCGCTGGACTTGGAGGTCGCTATTTCTTGGTTGCTCCCACTGGATATGTTCAAGGATACAACTGGATGATTCTCATGCTAAATGCAAACGGACATGTTGTTTGGGCAAGACATGATGGACCCTCTTCAAGTTTTTCAATGCTACCTGGGTCATACATGGTAGCAGGACAAGCTCTCAGAAATGGTCAGTTCCTAACCAATGGTCTCGTCTATATGGTCTATGATGCAATTGCAGGATATATTAAATATTACCGGGAACCACCAGGACATCCAAACAAGGTCCTCTTGTCTCAAGTGCAATGCATTGGTAATATTCTACTCTTGTCTGGAACAACGCCTCAATGTTTTAACGATCAAGACTCAACTCAACTATCTACCATCACAACCACTCTTTCATACTGGGGTCTTAGACCATCTACATCCAGTGTCATTTTGGAAACGCGATCAAAGATAGCCACTTTTTCGTATGTCACTTTTATTGACCATTCATTCTCACCACTATTACAAGATCTCATTCAAGGTCAAGTTTTCATTGATCTCAATCGTAATAATATAATGGATCAAAATGAAGTTGGACTCTTGGGTGTCACCGTTTCGATTGGTGTATCATCTACAACCTCTGACGCCAAAGGTTTCTTTTCTCTTCGTTCTCATCAATCGATGACAGAGAAACTTAAATTCATCAATATTCCTTCTCAATACTATACTCCAATTCCAGAATTGACTCTCTACCAAATTAGATTTAATAGAGATATTCCACTTTATCAAAAAGGTAAAAGAGAAACAAATATAAAAATGAAAGAAAAGAAATCATTTATTAATATTCTTTTATTTATTTGTTCTTTAGGAAATTGTTATGGTTATTTAAATTCAAATGATAATAGTAAATTATATTTGGATGTTGGTACTTTTAGATTATCTGATTTTGGTTGGTGTACATTGAACAAAGCATGTGCCAATAGAATTACAACCTATTCATTTCCAGACCAATGTTTGGTTATGTTTAGTGAAAATAACTTTGTATCAATTAGTCAAAAGACATTTATAATCAATCTCTACATTGAATCGATATCATCACCAACTGGCAACCTTCCACTGTCTGCCTATAATCCCAATTTGTTATCTTCAAAGGTACAAATATATGTCGCTGGATTTTCATCACCTCTCGAATTGACTCCAAACGTAAACACCAATTCCTATGTTTGGGGTAGTTCACAAGGTATTAGAATACAAGTCACGACGAATCCTGAAACCATGTCACTTTTGAATAACATTAATTTGGTTGCCAATTTAACAAATAATGTTATTTTTAATGTTCCAATGATCAAGACCAGCAGAAATCAAGATCTGACAAATCTTGTTACCTTTGGACATGTAAACCAATCTGCAGAGCTGATCCTTCCACCTGGTCACTACACCAACACATTTATTGGAATGTTGGGATGGATAAACCGACCCATCTCTTTTACTACATCCAACACTCAAATGCAAGTGTACCTATTTGGAACATCAGGACAACCTATTACACTCACAAGTAGAAATGGTACCTCTATTCCAATTCCTACCAAACTTGGAATCTCCCAAATTCAAATTGCACCACCCGACACGTTGTTCTCTATATCAACCAAGACAGAAGGAGAATATTATCAATTTACCGATCCATTCCCATTGGGTGTTTATAAATCACTCTACATTGGAAATTTCTCAACATCTATCGCTTGTAGTGAACGATTATTATGTTTTGTTCCACCTGTGGGTATCGGAAATCAATTATTGTTTATCCAAGTAAACAATGTCATTCTCAATAGAACCTTTACCATCACATATAATGACCCAACACCAAGTCCTCCCACTGTTTATCTAGAACAAGGTCAATCAATTGGACCACTTGCTACACTCAGATCAGCAGTTGATAGTCGAGTTGGTTATTCTGAGATTTCCGTGACCGACAAGTTGGTAGTATCAATCTTTGACGGTGCTGGAAATATTCTAAATTCCTCTACTATTTTACCAGACAGCTTAATTGCGCCATACACCGCTGTCGTCACCAACACTGGCCTTTGTTTAAAGGGTACCGGTTTGCAATTACAGTGTGGTCAATTTAATAGACCAGCCACCAATAGTAATAACAAGGTATTGTCACTTTATCCACAAGGCATCTTTTATCATTCCACTGGACTGCCTACAAGCAACTTTACATGGGCATACACAAGACCATACTCTTTTAATCTCTATACAACATCATTTTTGGCAACCGGTATTACCTATCTCGATGTCCAATCCAATCCCACCCTAAAAACAGGCAATTTTATTAGCAACGGCTTCCAATTTCTAAAACTCACAAGTTCAGGGCTGCCCACGAGGCTGAGATTGTCAGTCGAGTCGCTAAATCAAGAGGTATGGTCCTATGAAACTTCAACGATCTTTTCTGACTCATCGGTTGCTTTAGAAATCACACCAAATAATCTTTGTCTAAAAGGTTCTATTGTTACACCCAAGTGTGCATTGCCATCTTTCCCATCCAACATTAATCCTATACTCCGTGGTCGATACTTGTTTTTAGCACCCAAGGGTACTTTTAGCGGTTTGGAGTGGGCTCTTTTGTTTACCGATATGTATGGAAACATCATTTGGGGTCGTTATGCAATGGCCCCCTCGGTCACTCAATTCTTCTTGCCTGGAAGTTATCTTGTTCCAGGACAAATCCTTCGACCAGGCGAGATCCTATCCAATGGCTACTCATTAATACTTTTTAAAAAGCAATCATCACAACAATCGCTTGTCAAATATTACATTGGTGAATGGGGCTCGTCTTCTGTAGGGGCGTCTACTACCCTTTTAAGTATTCAATCTGGTCATGATGGTTGTTACTTGTCAGGAACGTCACTTGTAAGTGGAAATACCCAATCTCTACCTTCTCTCGTACCAACAACTGCCAAGTTGTATGGTATACAAGCAGCATACAAATTTGGCAGTACCTACGACGACATGTCCCCTGTAACCATTCTACAAGGACAAACAGCAGAAGTCTATCCTCAAGAACGTTTGGCCAAGAGAAAAACAACCATTGGTGGAAAGGTTGTGATTGTCCAAAGTGCACAACAATATGTTGGTTTGTCTGGTATCACTGTTACCTATCTCGGTCAACAAACTGTGACCAACGAATTGGGAGAGTTCTTGTTTGATATATATTCTCAACCCCAAGCATCAAGATTTGTATTTTCCAATATCCCTTCAAATATTGTAATGCCAATATCATCATTCCCAGTCCCATCGGTATCTGATTTTAACAAGATGTTCTTTGCCTTTTCAAAAAGCTCAGATACTCGTTGTTCTCTACAACTCGGATCAGAGGGAGGAGAAACAATGCAGATTCAAATGGGAACTGTCGACCTTTCACTCTTTGGTTGGTGTTATCAAGATTCATGTGCTTTCCCAGTGACAGACCTTTATCCATCATACTCTAATCAACAAAAGTGTCGTTCAACCTTTGATCCAAATAATAATTTAGAACTTTCTTGGTGTGATTCTTGTTAAAAAACAAAAACAAAAATAATAATAATAAATAAAATAATAATAATAATTAATTAGTAACATGAATTTTTGATTGATTATTTTTGACAATCGCTTTCATCTATTCTATATACTTTTGTTTTTATTTTTTAATTTAACTTTGGATTAGGAGGGACCAAAAATAAATATTCATGTGAGAAACGAACGCTACTGCCTAGTTGAACTATTATTGATTTCGTGATGGCAACATCTCGAAACTCTTCAATCAAACCGTAGCATTCGGTTAGTGCATTGGCTAATCGTTGGCATTGTAAATCATGATCATCCATTTTATATCTGACATATGTATGTATATTGAATCTATCTATAATTTCAAGTCTGAACACTCCTTGAACTGGTGCAAATACCGCATTATCAAATATTGCTAAAATAAATTTAAAAGGTTAGTTTTTATTTTATTTTTTTTAAATAAACTAAAGTTTGCATATTTCTATACATACATTTATCAATAACTTCAATAGTATGACCAACCAAAGGAATCGTAAATTCTTGAATACCTGATGCCTCTGTTGGATAAGATCGAACCAAGGAACCATCACTTTCTTTAAAAACATTAACAATAATGGGTCCATTTGAATCAAGTGCTATGACGGCTTGATTAAATGAAAATATTGGTCTCATATTGTCAAAGTAGGTAGATGTGAATCTACCAAATGGCAATGATAGAGTAAAGTCTGTAACTAATCCATTACTTTTTTTGCCAAACATGGAAACAAGTGTTTTTTCCATAAACATTGGGATGGTTAAAAGAGTCGGAACTGTTGGATTTGAGATGAATAAACCGTATCCATTGAGAGCAATGGTGTAGTTGGGCATATTGTTGTTGGAAAAGTATAACTGATTGTCAGTTGCTGCAAAATCAACCCACATCTTTCTTGTGGCCTTGTCAACCTCTATATCTCTCTCAAATGGTTGATTTGATGATATTGCTTTGATTAATGCTCCTGGAATATAATACTCTAATTCTGTTTCAAATGTATCCATCTTACCATTTGAGTTTGCATCAAAATAAAATTGATAATCATATCTATGTTCTAAAAAATAAAAATAATATTAATATATATCTATTTATCTATTTTGTTTTTATACTACATACTATAACCAATTAAGAAATAATTATCAAATAATGTCATCGTGCAATGTTGGAATTGCGAACCAAATGTCATTTCTGGATGAATCAAACCATCAGTACCATAAGTATATTGGTAAAGACCGTATTGTAATTCAACATTCTCGTTTGGTGCAATGCCGTCTGATGGTGGTGTAGTTGTAGTTCCTTGACACCCATAATCTTGTAACTCTACAAGTAAAGCTATATCGGTTCCTGAAAAAGTTGCCCTTACTCGGAGGTTGTTTCTTGGGATGATAAATGGACGAGGTTGGGTTACATGGTGTTCTGTTTGTTGTTGGCTTGGCAATACATAGAGAGTTGGTTTGGGTGTCATGGAAGTAACATCGACATTGGGGAATGAATAATAACCATCCATATTGGTCATTGTTTGAGCTACCACTGTTGAATCTTGTTTGATTTGAATAATAATCTTTTCAGCTGGACGATCAATAGCAGAGTTGAAAATATTGTTGTTGTTTTGATCATAATAAACTCTTCCTTTGAAATAATCAACATAGGGTAGAGGTCTTGATTCTCCTTCATAGGTAATTGAATAGGTCTCTGCCATTGCAACTCCACCCAATTTTACTACAACCTCTTTGGTAAGGTCTCCTCCAACATATGGTGGTACCAAACATTGAGTCATCACTGTCGATGGAGTAGTTGTAATATCTTCAACATTTGAACATGTCATTTCCATTCCATCTAAATAATATTGTGGAACTGTATAATAAATTGATTCCAAATAAATTGGCATACCTTCTTGTGGTATTAATGGTACCGTTGAAAATAATCCTATAAAAAATAAATTTAAAATATTAATATTTATATATTTTATATTCTAAATAATTATTATTTTTTCTATTTTGTTTCATACCTAAATCATAAATTTCAATAGAGGCAAATGGATCAGAGAGGGCTGGAATGGTATCACCAGAATAATAAGTTTTAACGACTTTTTCACTTGTAACTACAACTTTTACCTTTGACCTATTAACAATAAACTCTTCTTGTGTGAGGACCTTGAGTAAATTGAGAGTAGTTAATTGTGAAACTGTAAAGACACCAAAAAGAATGGAAAAGGCTGTTGATGTTAACTTTGTCAAACCTGAAATACCAGTGGCTGCGGCAAAACATTGGGGTGCAAAAATAAAACATGCAGCACCAGCAGCGGCGGCAGCACTGATCATGGCGATCAGTACAAGTGTTGGGAGTTTTGGTCTGGGAATATCAACTTGGTTAGAGGAACAACTTGGGTTGTTTGGCATAGGGAATGTGTTGGATGTTTGTCTCATGTAGGTGATGGTAATCGTCAAATCTTTTTTACAAATGGTCTTGTAATTGTAACACGTAGCGGTGGTTGCATCACTTGAAATGCTGTGAAGAGAACACTTGGTAGTACCAATTTCAATGGAAATGTCTACCCGGAATTGAGGAAGACCCAAGTCGGAACCTTGTAGTCGTAAGAGGTACCCCAATTGCATGAAATTGGCGTTGGTCAGGACGGGTGGTTTATAAGAGACCAATGTGTTGAGGGGACTACGGAATAGACCATCAACGTATCTGTGCCCAACTCGACCACCACCAGGTGGAATGACAAAGCTGAGAACGATAGTTCCAGGTTCAGGTGGTCCATCGGCGGCAAGTGTGGTGAGCAACAAGTCAGAAGCGTGACGTTCAAATCCAAATCTCGTTAGTTCAATCCATCTCCTTTCACCATTATTCAAATCTTCTTGTTCTATTCGTTGGTAACCGTTATAATTAGCAGCGTTACCTCCGTAGGTCAAGAATCTATGCCCACCAGTAACAGAGACGGTTGTGGTCACTGTAACTGTGATGAAAATCGTGGTCCAGATGCTTGGAGGTTCTGGTTCGTTGCGATAATAAGAGTAATAATCGTTGACAATTCTAGTTTCTTGTCCACCAACAACCACATTAATATGCAATCCCGATCCCTCTCCAGGAGGTACCACACAACGTACATTGTCATAATCGATCCATTCAACCGAAAGACATGGCTTTGAATTGATTTTTACTGTCATTGTTGGGGTTGGTGTTGAAAACTGTGAAGAAAATTGATTGGGTAAGAAATTATTTCCTAAAATAATAATTCTATTTCCTCCAATATTTGGTCCTTTATAATATTTTTCTATTAATTCAGGTGCTAAATAAAAAAAATAATTAAATTAATATAATAAATAAATATGTTTTTTTTTTTATCCTTTTATCTATCTATCTACATACGATCATAACTAAATATTTTACTCCCTGCATATTGTTTACCAACATATAATCTAATAATTAAATTGATACCATATCCAGGTGGTAAAGTTGCGTCAATAGTTTTAGAGTCTATCCAATCAATGTTATTATAATCGACTTGAAAATCACCAATTTTAATATTACTATAGGTAGAGTCAATTTCAAAACGTTGTGTTGGAGTAGGGGAACCGGTATCTGGGTCGGTGTCGGTGTTGAGCATTTCGTTTGGCGGGAATACACCCTCTTCGGAAATGAGACTGATTCTTGTACCACCTCTCGTTGGCAACAAGACATCGTCTTTTAATTGTACCTCGTCGACCAATGGAAGAGAATATTTGAGTTCTTGGAGGAGTCCCAATGTTTTTGCAGATTGATTAAAAACTGATTTTCTTCCATCAAACTCGACACTTTCAATCTCCCATCCAGCTCCAACTGCACTTCCAAAATAACAAATGAGACATTCCAAATTTGGTTCATCTTTGTTGGCTTGTACGATATCTTTCGATGGTACCCAAACCTCCTCCTCGCCGTCTTGAGGTTCTCTACTAAAAGAATTATAATAAATAAAAGGGAGATCTTGACACAACTCTTGCGCATTTTTGCAATAAGCTGATTGAGTATGAAGTTGGTTGAGTTTTGGATCTTGATGCTTCAAATAAACATTGGTTTCAGATTCATCTGACTGAGTTGTACCAAAATCAGTTCCGACAATCCAGAAAAATTTGGTTGGTCCAGTTGGATAGGTTCCATTGACGATAACTTGGTAGATTGAAGGTTGGGCGTAATCGAGTGTTTTAGAGGCAAAAGTCACCTCTTGGTCACCGATTCGAACCTTTACTTTGTGACCCATACCTCTTCCAGTTGGTGCATTACAAATGAACGAGTTATGATCTATAACCTCTATACTATCACATTTATTTGGACCAACAAATGCAGTGATTTCTTCTTCATTTAGACCAAAGTTTGTTCCTGTGACAGTAATGGGTGTTTTAATATTTACAGGATTGGTACGTAAACTTGTCAATGGTAAAATATTAATTGATGAAATTGTAGGTGCTGACATTCTAATATTTATCATATTTGATTCTTTTCCTTTAACCATAATTGAAATTAAACTAAAAAAGGAAAATAAAAAATTAATAATTTAATTAAATATTCATTTTGTTTGTTTTTTTTACATACTTTGTTGTACCAACATTATTAGTTTTAAAATAAATTATATTTTCTGATTCGAAATGATCCATTCTCTCAATTAGGAATTCATCTTCATTGATAAATAATTGGATACCATCACGATTGATTACATCACCCGTTAAAGGTGGTGGGAAAAAGTTGATTCCATAAATAGTTATCATGGCATAATTTGTTGGGACGTTTGAATTGGGTGTAATACGATTGATTTTAGGTGAATCGACAGTGAATGAAAACGTAGTCTCTGGGTTATAATTAAGATTAGCTCCACCGTTTCTACCGTAGGTTATGGTGTGAGTACCGGCAAATGTTGGAAACTCGCAAATCAATGTTTCTAGACCAGGATCGATTGAACTTGATTTTGATATGCAATCAACCTCTGCTACTTTAAAGTAGGAATTCTCCAAACTACGACCAGTTATAGTTAATTGAGTGATTCGAGTTAATGGACCACTAAGAGGTGTAATTGATTCGACCAATGGGCCGCATGGACATTGATTGATGGCCTGATGAATGTTGTTGGTTACCGTAAACGAGCATATTTTATCTTTAAACAAGACAACTGAAATATCTTTGTAGGTTCGAACCGTTAATACACCACCAAGATGTCGTTCAGAGATGACTCTAATATCTCTCACCATTCCCAAATACTTGGTTAGGAGTTGAATACCAAGTGGTGTGATGGGACGATCCAACGAACCAAATTGACACATTGATGGGTCAAAAGGTTTCAAGATATTTACGAGCTTACTATCACCAATCATTGCTTTAAACGCACTCGAATAAAGATATTGAAGAGCTTGATTTTTCATGATTGGTGTGTTGTCGTCTTGTGCCCACAATGAAAGGATAGTTTCTATTTGTTGCAATGGTAATGCATGAATATCGGCATCACCAACCAACTTGGACATAAAGAATTCTTGTAATGTTGGGTCTCTGTCATTTGGCAAGGGAGGACCATTGGCAACAAAAGGACATACATAAAACATGTTATTGTACTGCATGATAGTATCAATAGATTCAATCTCTTGTCCAAGTTTTCTGGCATCTAGGACGGCGACCAATGAATTGGTAAAGTCAAGGACACTTGGTTGAGTTGAAACTTGTACAACCTTTTGGATAGCTTCGACGATGGCATAGAGTGGTACTGGATGATCGGAATTGGCATCGAAAAGGGCACGACGGTGTTGTTGGGTCGTTGGAAGAGTACTTTGGTCAGAGTCATCATTAAAATCGATCAAATCATAGAGATAGGCAGTTACCCAACCCTCGTTGTAGATTCCTTTGGATGGTGATACTTCACGGTCGTTATGATAGTTTTCAATATCAACAGGCATACCAGTACAACTATCTAACAACTGTGATGAGGTGGGGAATACAAGTTGACCAAGAGTAACCGACATGGCATTAACAAGACCACGATAAAATGCGACGTAATTATTTGATGATTCCGAATGCATGGTGGATGGTGTAGGGAATAGTGTTGCAGATCCAAGATCGTATAGTTGATTGTTGGATGCTGATTTGATGAGTGCATTGGAGAATGCACGTAATACCTCTTCCACGCATGGAGAGTCAAGGTTGATTGGTGTGTTGGTTAGACCGTTGAGTATACCAACATTTTTAGAGGAGGATTGGTCAATAGACAAGACAACTGACAAGTCATCCAGAGTAGTGATTGATCCTTCTCGAATGATTTGTTGGTCGACAATATCGGCAAGCATTTGGAGTGTACGATAGACAAGTACAATATTGTTATCAGTATCTTGGCTTGGGAAGAGACCACCCCTGTACTGGTTAAATGGAATGATCTTATGGGATTGGTCTTGTGTGACGACTGCGACTGGGACCGAACCTGCCATTGTTGAAGTGAGGTGAACTTGGATTGTTTGAGGACGTGATTCAGAGTATTCAATAAACCCATTTTCATCAGTACTCTGCGTCATACCTTCCATAAAACTATTGAGACACTGTCTATTACAACCAACAGACAGCATGTCAGTTGGAAGATGAGAGTAGGCAGTATGTGGCAAGAGATTGCCAACACTCGACAATGATTGGTAGTATTGTATTGTGTAACTTGGTGGTGTTGGTTTAGTATTCTCAACACGGCTCGTGTCAATCAACAAAGGCCCGTTGAATGTGGTGTGTGATGTAACCACCTGTTCTTGGCCATCAGCCGAAACAACAAACTTGTTTGTACACATACGCATAAACTTGAGAATGTGGCTGGAACTTGTGCAATACATACAATGGTACCTGGTTGAGTGGTTGCATAACCAAAATCACCAACACAAAGTGTACTACTTTCCAAAATATTGGAATCCGAGAATGCAATACTATTCATCTCTCGATTTGATGAGAATTGTGATGAACCAACTGGAATACCAAACACCTCAGAAAATCTATTTGGAATCTTTACTTCAATAATATTTTTAATTCCATTCATTTTCTAAAATCAAAAAGAAAATAAATAAAAAAAAATAATATATTAAAAAACAAATAAACAAATGAAATGAAATGAATGATTACATACATATTTTAAAGGTAAAGTTAAACTTAAACTTAAAGTTGAAGCTGTTGATTGCCAAAGAGATGTAATACTTGAAGATGATTTAATTCTACCGTCAGATGAAGTGGACGTGCTTGCAGGTACTCTATTTTCGATAAATAAAGGTGAAAGCAACGATCTAGAGGCACTATCTACAATGTTGGTAGCATAAATGTATGGATCGGCTGCATCCAATGCTTTAGCAATTTGACTTGTATCGATATTATCAAACGATTGACAGATAAAGATGTGTCCGTACGAAAGACTAGTAGTATCTATCTCCTTGGGATCGGTTACAAAGTCTGTTGGTAACCATTCATTTGGATGTGTGAGTGGTGTCTTGACCGATGCTGACGATGATGGTGATTCTGTAGTTGGTCTAATAGGCACTGGGAATCCTTGTAACGAATGCTTTAAATAGTAACCTGATCTACTTGATGTACTGTACGATACGATACCCTTGGAAAGGGATTTGAGCGATTCAGTCCTCTGAATTAGTTGTTTTACGACTTGTGGAGCAATCTCTCCATAACTTGGAGGAGTATCATCTTGAACAACAAAGTCATTGTAATAAGGTTTATTATTAAATGCAAAGTATTCAGTACCTTGATCACCTAATCTAGATACTAGAAAGGATAATCTTTCACTGTACACTGAACCACCTTCAATAGCACCTGTATCATCAAAGTAGATATAATGATTACTACCTGGTAGTTTTCTAACTACCCACCAATTTCTAACATTATTTGCATCTTTATAACAATCTAATGATTATACATATAAATAAATAAAATTAAATAAATAAAGTAAAGTAAATAAATAAGCAAAGTAAAAATAATGATTGTGAGTGGGTGGGTGAAGTTCACTGAACATACGTTGTGCGAGAGTCTCTGATAAAAAAGCAAGCAAACACACCGATAATAATAAAAGTGTGAAGCTGCTGATGATTTTCATAGTTTGAAGTTAAAAAATAAGCAACTTGTACAATGTATCTCTATTTCTATCTCTATCTGTCTATTTTCAAGAGAGGATATAGTTGTATGATGAGGGCATTCATTTCGTTTCATTGCAAAGCTATCAGGCTTGACCTCTTCATTATCTATACCGTGGTTTACATTGGGAGGAGTGGAGGTCTCTTTGACGAGCGATTCGATGAACATAAGATGGATAGGCCCCCAGATTAGCCTATGTTAGGCAAAACAACACGATAGTACCTGGTCATGTGATGCGATTTACCATTTAAATCTGCGGGCACGGTTTGGTTTCGTTCGTTTTTATCTTGCAAGACGATGAACTTTCTGATGGTGTTTTTTTCAGCATGAACCTGAACCTATGATAGGTATGTCATATGCACAGGGTAGCCTAGTGGAGAGATCACCACAACAACCAACAACACTAACGACGAAATGAACAAGTTTGCTCTCTACCTCTCACTTCTATCTTATCTTTTGTTAACATTTAAATCATCACTCTATCTATTATATTTATATACAGAGAGAGATAAATTATGGAGAGAAAGCGAAAAAAAGATTATTATTATTATGGCAAAGATCATTTCTTTGTTATGATTCTATTATCTTGTCTATTGCTACTATCCACTTTAGTTCTCAAAGTAGAATCATTCAATATCGAACCACTAGAATTCTATGGAGATGGTGTGGTCAAGATCACGTTGAACACTGCTGTCGCAAAACCCGCTGTTTTCCTTCGTACAAGTGGCTCAAATGTAGATGATCCAATGACCCAAGAACGCAGTTCAAGTGATAATATGATTCATGTCTTTAGTTTTACTAGATCTAATCGTCCTACTCCATCCAGCACAACTCTTAGATACTGGATTGTTGTAGAAAACTATACTCCAGTAGAAATTTTGATTAAAAGTATGTTTATTTATTTTATTTATTATTTATTTATTTATTTATTTATTTATTTATTTATTTATTTTTTTTTTAGAGTCTCCATATATTTCAGGATTCTCAACATCATACCTTTTAACTGGTTTACAAGATGTGGTGATTGATATTTATGGTGATGGTCTCATTCCCATCTCTAGTTTTAGTAATGTCATAGAAGTGTCCTTTATGTACTTTAATAGAATGCATGAGATACCTTGTACTGTTCTAAATCCCACCATAGACATTACAGATACCTCAATTACATGCACTTTGGCATCAACACCCAATACCCCAACAACTCTAGAAGCTAGAATCAAATATCAACCCCTTTTCGAATCCACAAACCAACCCAATCTTCTCTTGTCCTCTTCTCCCGATTATACCTATTCTATCTCTTCTATTTATGTTCAAGGTAAATATATAAATATAAATATATATTTCAAATATTCAAAGATTATTAATTAATTAATAATTTTTATTTTTTTCTATAGATTTAATCCTAACGAGTATGAATCCAACCCAAGGTTATTCTGGTCAAACTCAATTAATAACTTTTACTGCCAATGTTAATACCAATTCACCAATTAATAACTTGTTACAAATTGTTTTTATTGACGGTCAAGCTGGTAATCAATATGATTGTGGAAACCCAGTGTTGTCAAATAATGGCTTGGTTACTTGTACACTTCCAATCATTCCCAACATTACTCCAGGTACCTCTGTTCAACTATCACTTGAATATAAATATGGAACGTCAACATCTAGAATATCAGTACCATTTACTTTTCTCACTTATTGTATGTAATATCAATCACTTGATTTATTTATTTATTATTTATACTTTTTTTTCTTTTTTTTTTTTTAGCTTCACAAATTGCAACTACTCTACCAAGAAAGTTGATCATTACTGGTTCAGAGTATGTCACCATCACTGGTACCTTTTTTGACCAACCTACTATGTTAACCATTGATGGAGTCGTATGTAATCTTCAACCCCCAACTCCCATTTCAACGGATATTACATGTATGACTACTCAATTCCCTGCTGCAAAACCATCTGCCACTCTTTTATTAACTATTGGAAAACAAATTATTCAATTACTAAATGCTTTTGGTAAATTATTATTCAGATTATTATTTAAATTATTAATTTATATTTACTCTATTTTTTTAATCATTTATAGAAATTGAAAATTTGCGTATTCTATCGGTACCATCTTTTGCTCTTTATGATAGTAATAATGTTCCAGTTACTACCACCATGAGAATAGGATTTACTGGTATTATACCTCGATTTTCCGTTATCAAAGTAACAGGTGGATCGGCTACATATTCTCCACCATATTTAAGGGTCATCTCCAATGTTTTATCTTTTGATGTCTCTTCAGCTGGTTTTACGGCTGGAGCATCCTGTCAAATTAAATTGAGAGTTGGTAGAAATGGACCTACAATTGATGTTGGTCAATTTCAATTTAAAAGTAAGTAGATTAGATAGATAGATGAGATAGATACATATTACCAATGTAAATCAAAATATTTATTGTTTTTTTTATTGTTTTTTTTCTATAGACCCAGTTATAACAATTGACCCAACTACACCATTTCAATCATTTATTTTAAATTCAAACAAAGTTAAAATTGATTTGAAAACCAATGTTGGAGAAACATTCCAAGCATTTAAAGTTGAGCTTGTACTTGTTACCCCTGCACGTGATACTATTGTGGTCAAAGGAAATGTATTACCAAATCAATTAAATACTTTCGAGTTTGATGTTCCATCTTACTCTTTAGACACAATCCCATCAATCACTAAATATCAAGATGCTTCTTGTACAATTAGAATTGATAATCATGACTATCCACTTTTAAATCAAATTTATAGATATACAGGTAAGTACAATATTGTAGTTTCAAAAAAGATAATATTTATTTATTTCTTTTTATTTTTATTTTATTTTTTATAGTACCAGAAATTACCCAAATTGAATATAAAAGAAGTGGATTTGAAATGCAAGGAATTAATTTAGATCTTGGACCAAGTTACACAACAAAGTTTATGTTGGATGATATTGATCTTGGACTATGCACAGCTTCTTCAAGTACTCTGGTCGTGTGCTCCCAATATGTTTCATCTACCAATGCAAAGACAATACTTTTGATTGTTGATGGAAAAATAGAATTCAAATTCGATCTTTCTACCGGCGCCGGTATTACTATCGTTGGACCTGTGGCAACAGAGATCAAACCAAGATTATCACAGATTACTGATAGATCAGACATCACAATTAGAGGTACTGGATTTACAGCCCAATCCCTATCATCAGTTACTATTGGTGGAAAACAACTCAAAACATGCACCCGTTTAGGCACTACCGATATCATTTGTGGCAAACCTCCCGGTCTTCAACCAAACCCCGTCGGTCAATCCCATCAAATTACAATTGATGGTGTCATTCAATCTGATATCTCCTACATCACCCATATAGTCTCTTGTTTGGGTCAATCTATCGGTTCATCGATTGATCCCCAACACTATGACTATTTGCCAAAGAAATGGTGGTTCAACTATAGATTGGCAACAACAAAAGACGATTATTTTTATGCCGACGAAGAGGACCAGAATCTAAGACATTTTTTTCCATTGAATACTCATACCGATATCAAACATAATTCTCTGTACAAGACACTTGAACAATCCAAGCATGTTAGTTCAAAATATATATTTTACAACGACCAAATAGGGAAATTCGGTAACTATTAATATTTATTTGTTTAAAAATATCAAAACACAACAATATTAATATATGTGTTTTTTTATTGTAGATCCGGAAAATGGAGTCAAAAAAGATGCAAGACAAGTTAGTGATCCTTATGGTCATACCAAAGGATTTGTAATTGTAAGAGAGAGAGACAGAGAGAGATAAATAGAATATATTAAACCGGGACGACTTTGAACTATTAACCACACAATTTATTTATTTTCTGCTAGTGGCAAGAACATAGTAATCAAATACATGGAGTTCATGTCTTGTAAGTTAGTTTAAGTTTTTAATGACAATTAATCTTTCAAATGGAATAATTTTAATATTAACGGTTAATTAATCTTTCTTTTTTTTTAGGCACTCTAATCCAGCTTTTCCACCAGAGGATTATACTGAGCATGATTTTCCAGACAAAAAACCAGCGTTTTTAGGAGAAAAACATAAAAAACAACATTATTTTTGTCGTCCTTTTATTGGATTGGCTGAACTCGACACAGTTGCAGATTATATTATCATCAACAATGCAAACATCTACAAAATCAAAGTTCCACAATCTCAATCTACCAAAATGTTGAATATAGATGGAGCTGGTGCAACAAATATAGAAGTAAGAATTGTAGTAAACTTTATATGTCAAATTCGTTTTTTTTTTTAATGACTAATTTACCTCTTTTTCTCAAAGAATTGTATTGCCTTGTCAATGGGTCCCAATTGTATAAACAACTTTCCGGTAGTAGGTGGAACATATTTTGCTAAAACTGCAATGACAAGCAATTTATCCACTACCCCACTCCCACCAGTCCATCCTTATGACGTTTTAGCATTTAGAGGCAACGTCACACAAAGGTTTCCAAAGAATGCAATTCACTACCCAACTGAATATCTGCACCAGAGCGCAGCAAATAATCATCTTTTCTTGACATTTTATACTGCTAAACCCCAGGAATGCGACAATTCTATAGGATCTACAAGCACTTGGAAATATCGTTATTGCTATCCATTTGGTGGTGTGGATACATGGGAGTATGCTGCTCGTACTCTTGGTACGCAACTCTTTGTTCAAACTTTCAGAAATTCTCACGCTTTGATCCCATCGCCCTATCTTATAAATGTTAGTTCAAAAATTATTTATCCAGGTATACGGGAGAATATCGACACTGCTGACCACTCCAAGATTGCCTACACTTTTTTACCCACATCTAGAGGTGGTACCACTGGAGACTGGTTTTGTGTCGGTGATAGTAATAGAGAATATTCTCAGGTAATTAAAGTAACAAAAAATAATAATTTGAACAACCGATTTTATTAATATTATTTTTTTATTTTATTTTTAGCCTGGAAGAGGTGGTGGAGCATTTTGTTTTCAATCTCCAACTTTGGTAGATCAATTTCACAGAGCTGTAACTAGGTATAAACTAGTTGCACCTATTGATACCAGGTCAAATACAATGATAGAGTATGGAATTTCTCACACTCGAAGTGAAGATGTAGAAAGAGCATCAAGTGTTCTATTGTCTATTCAATTGGACACCTCTCTCACCTTTCTGAACCCAACTCCCAACTTTCAAAACCCAGTGACCGTCGCACTTTATGAATCAGTATCATACAAAGTCATCCAACCAGCCCCAGCGCCAAGAGTATTCCAAGACTACAAACTGATCCCCTACGAAACTCACAGTTTCTATGGATCAAAAAAAATTAGATACAATGCCCTCCGTACTACTATTTCACCCAGGGGATTTGGTGTTCCAGGTGCAGAGACTCCCTTTTCTCAAATCTCCAATATCCTACCACCCTTTTTTACACCGCCAGAGGAACTTGTAGCCAAAAAGGAACTTAAAGTCGAATACTATGCAAATGACGATTCAGTTGCTTCAGTGTGTAACCCTAACCCTCCCAACCATAATTGTCACCAATTATCACACTATCGAACGAACCGAATCACCCATTCACCAACCCAATCCAGTCCCCAATCCAGTCCCCCTATCTATGTGTACCCTATTTCTGGTATTGATGATTACCAAAGAATCTATTACAGTTGGTTGATTCAACAACAATTCACCAAACTTGCCCCTCAACTACCAAGTATGACCAAAGTCAAATATATCATCGAACAACCACAACCCAACACTATATCGCATTATGATACTCAAAATAGAGTGATTGTTTTGAATGGTGGAACTCCCATTTGTCAAGAAGAACAAACCTATCTATTATTACTTGCCTACTACCATAATAGAACCATCCAAGAACAATCACAAGTACTTGACATTTTTAAATCAATCAATACTGGATCACAATCAACAGACTCTCAAAAAACATTTATCAATGGTATTCTTTTGGCCTTGACAAGGTATTTACATAACCAAGCTCTAGCACTTGTACCCCCAGTTACCAGTTTCAACCCGTGCTTTCTTTTAGCACAAAGTCAAGATTTGGAAAATTTACGATCGTAAAGTTAAAAAAAAAACTAATAATATAATAATAATAATGATAACTAATCATTGTTTTTTTTAAAGAACTGATGATTATCTAAAGATTGCATCTGCATTTTGGAAAATCCTAATGCCAGTCCCTCCCGTAAATCCCAATCCGAATCTTTCTTTTGATTGGATTCTAAAGGCCCTATCAAGTATAAAAATTCAAGATGAAGGAATTGATACTTTTGAAAAGTTTTATGCCAAACAAGAGAATATTCTAAAGAGTGAGAGACCTTTATTTGAAACATTACAATTATTGCAACCTGCACCCGATCCAAATGCTGGTATTTTATCAAGACCTCCAAGTTTTCCAAATTCTCGTACCTTTGTATCCTCTTCCTCATCTTCGTCTTCCTCTTTGTCAATCTCTCACATATTGGAAGTTTTATCAGAAAACTATCCAAACAACTATGACGTTGACAGTATCACTAGAGAATTGTATGGATCTGGATCGGTACAAAGCACCTATTACTCGGATCTAAAGGGTGCTCTTGATAAATGGATCAACATTCAAGATAAAAATCAAGGTGTTCAAACTCTATTTGTAGACATTCTTTCAAATACACAAACACTTGGAGCTATTGAAATGCTAGACAATATCAATTCAAATCAACATGGTGTTGATATTGATATTCGTACATCACAATCTGGTATCAAATTTATAGCATCATTATCAACGATTGTCCAAATCACAACGTTACTTGTTTCATTTAGATCACATCCATCAACATTGGTAAAGAAATATGGGAAAGATTTTGAATTGTATTTTGTTCCACAAATGGAAAACGGTGGTGATGAAGGATTTTTAGTTGCAACTCTCAACAACAAGCTCTGTGACCTGCAAAAGAATACAAGAACCAATTTTGAATTACCAAATTTTGACTTGTCAAGTGGTATTTGTCGTCAATCCACAGATATTATCACATCAGTTACACCATTGAGTGGATCTACTGTAGGTGGTTATAGTATTGACATTGGAGGTATTCATTTTAGTTCAAACTCTAAAGTTAAAATTGGAAAGACTATTTGCCAATCAACTCTATTTATTTCAACGACCATGTTAAAATGTATCGTTCCACCTGGTATTGGAAACAATCATATCGTTTCAACTGTTTCATCATCTATTGGAATCCTCTCTCGATTCCATTTCAACTATAATCAACCAATCATAAATGAAATTCAAAGCCCAACATTAACATCAAACTTTATGACCATATCAGGTAACAATTTTGGTAATAATGCTCTCAATTTAAATATAAAGATTGGAAAGAGTGATTGTTCAATTGTTTCAATCCAAAATGATCTTATCATTTGTCTACCAGCTTCCAATGATTTTGGTGTTGATAGAACCGTTTCAATCCAACAATCCACCAACTCTTTGTATACAACCAATCTAAACAAAGCCAATATTGATACATCATTGGTTACCTTTAGACCACCCATTATTCATTCAGTCAGTCCATCGACCACTGTTCATGTTGGTCAAACCATTTATTTGTATGGAAAGTATTTTGGATTGAAAAACAGTGACATTGGTCCACATGTTACAATCAACAAACAAAAGTGCCAAGTTCTCGACTACTCACCAGAAGTGATTACCTTTATCGTACCAAAAGGTAGTGGAAGTAGCCAGATTGTCGTTAATGTTGGTGGTCAAACAGCTACGATGCCAGTAACATACGATATTCCCTATGTTGATTTCGTCACACCAAAACTATTCAATACCTCTGGTGGCCAAGTAATGAGAATAGAAGGTAATTCATTGGGATCATCTATTTATGATATCGATTCTATCTACTTTGCAGAGTCGATGCAATGTCAACCATTTAACCTTCTCATGGAATGTACCATTCCAGCTGGTGTTGGTAAAGATATTCAACTAAGTGGAACAATCAATGGAAAAACAATGACACCTTGGAACTCCAACCCTTTATTGGCTTCTTATTTACCACCATCAATTGCCAGTGCTATAAAGTTTTCAGGAAACCAATTATCAATCAAAGGGTACAACTTTATTCCACCTGGAATTGAGGCAAGTTCTTCATCAGTCATTTTATATACCTCTTTACAGAGCTATCAGGTAAGGGCTGAATTCCAAGATTCCTACACTGTTGTTTGTACCTCTCCATACGTCTCATCTGCCTTGGGTGTTGCTGTCATTATCAACGGACAATTATCGAGCAGGTTCGATTTTGATGTATCAATTGTTGGACGTATCTACCTCGACATGGATCATAATAATATCCATTCACAAGGTGACCAAACCACCAATGCACAAGTTACAATTACATTGACATCAACAGATGGTCAATTTACTCAATCAGTAGTCACTGACACATCTGAATATATGTTTTCAGAAATTCCACTTGGAGACTATAAAATCAAGGCTACTTCATCAAGTATCATATTCCCTAGAGATACATTCTCAATCTCTTTAATTGCCAACAGCGGGATTAAAACTGTAGATTTTGGTGGGTATACAAAAGTTGGAATCGCTGGAACGGTCACCTATAATCAAGAAACTTTAAATATTCAAAACAATATAAATGTTGGATGGTTTGGTTGGTGTTTTACAACAGAATGTCAGGTATCCTATTCTTTTAATATTCCTTGGTCATCATCCATTTACATATCAAGTACTACAGGTCAAATTTATCTTTACAGTATGTATATTTAATATTGAACAAGACCAAAAAAAGAAAGGATCATTAAGATTATTAATGTTATATTTTTTTTTTATAATTTTGTTTAGCAAATATTATTAATATAGTTTTGTATGAAGATTTAAATTTAAATTTAGTATTGGATGCGAATGAACCAAATATTAGAGGTGCACTTTCAAAGACAACTATAAGTGACGGAATAACCACACACTTGCAAGATTGCAGTAGTTCTGTTTGTACTTTTTATTGTCCTAAAAGTGTCTGCACTATCACCTTTGGTCAGGTTACCTACTCTAATCCCAGGTTTACAAGTATCTACAGTACAATGGATGTTGAATTTAATACAATGTCGATGGTCGATCAACGAAAAGATATCAATATAGCTTACTACAACAAAGACCAATATCCTCGCTCTACTCGACTAGATACCACTAATAATGGAGCTGTTAACTTGCCAATTGGTGTATTCCCACTTGCTATGACCACTATAACAAGGGTAGTTCCTACTCCCAACACTATAGTTCATATCGTTCACCAAGGAGTTACCTATTCCTATACCCAAGCAACCGACATTACCTTGTCCCCAGCAGCTCCCATTACTACTGTTTCAGTATCTCCACTTGGAATCCTACAAGGAATAGTACTTGCCCCATATGGACAAACATTTTCATTACCTGATATTTTTGGTTCAGCTCCACTTTACATTTCTGTAAATGAAAAGATTGATTCGTTCCCATGCCAACTAATTACAATTAGTGGTCGTACTTGGTATTGTGGTCTTCAAAGATTAGGAGAAATCTCACCAAACGCAAGAATTTTCATCAAAACCAACGACTGGCTTTTAAATTCCTACCCAGTTTCACTTACCACGGTGACTGTATCTGGTTTGGTTTTCCATGATACCAATCTTAATGGAATCTATGAAATTGGTGAAAAAATTATCCCAGGAGTTCGATTAGAAATTTACAATGTACCATCGTCTTTTACTTTCAGTACATCTACTGGTTACACAATGCAAACAAAAAGTTTTAATCAAATCAAGGCTCTTCAAGTTTTTGGTCCAACAAGTGAATCTTTTCCCCCACAATCAATTATTTCATTTTATCAACAAGATTCTCCATCATTTGATTTTACCTCTTTTACAATTAATGTTCCATTGACTAAAATCAGTAAGAGAAAATGAAAAGAAAATATAAATATGATATTTATTAACTCTTTTATTTATTTTTAGATTTAAAATGTAATGGATATTTAATTTCAGGAACGAATCAAATTGAATTTGTTGAAGGAATAATAAACCTTTCAAATTATGCTGGATGGTGTTTAGAAGGTCAAACTTGTCAATACCCAATCACATCGGTATCAATGCCTCCAAGTTGTATACGAGCTAATAACAATGACAATACTATTTCTATTATAGAAGGTTTCAACATTAGGGTTGATCTTTATGAAGATCTTTTTATTGGAGCAGGCTCTAATGGATTATATCCACCACTCGTTTATCCAATGTTGGTTCGAACCTCTTATTCTTTCCAAGGTAAAGATATCTCACTAGAAACTCTTGTTTCTTCAACAACTGCTATTTTAATTCCAAAAAATCCTGGTCAATTGACAACAATATCGATTGTTGCTCCACCCCAGTCATCACATCAATATGCAATTACAAACAATATCAAGATTGATTCATTCAATCCTCTATCAACTGCCATTCAAATTGGAATCACAACCAAACCGACAGTGATTGGATATATGGTAGAATTGTATGATGTCCAAAATACCGTTCTTACACTGCCAATGGGTGTTTACAAAAATGACATTTTAACAAGACTATCTTGGAATAATAATCGTGCAAGAAAAATCATTACCTTTTCACCAGATGTGGTAGTATTGATATTCAAGAGTGATTCGTCTATGGTTGGACCGTTCATTGGAACAACCAATAATAATGTATTCACAATCCCTACAAATACTGATATTTACAGTATAGAGGTTGCCCACAAGAATATATTCAATACCATTGTTCCCACTGAAGGTGGTTATGTTCGTTTACCTGCCAATCCATTCCAATCCTCTAGATCATTGTCACTACATTTGGAAGGAGTACAACTCAAGTGTTCAGAAGTTCTCATTTGTTTATTCCCAACGGTGCCTGCATCTGACAGACAATTGGTCGTCAAATTGCAACCTGGAAACATTCAATTGTACACCACCTATACCATTACCTATCCAGTTAGATATCCTGTCCCAACCATACCAGGTACCTATCTCGATGCCAATAATGGTCCCAACACATTGCAACTAAATGAACGTTTAACCTCTATCACAATGTACAATCGATTTACCAATGTTGTTTTGAAACAAACGTCGCAATCAATCCCCAAAACATATGGAGTCCTTATAGAATCTGTAGACTCTGCAACCACAACTGTTATTGAAAGTTACTCTGTCTCGAACCTAAAAACTCTTACCCTTTCAAGTACCTCTCTTGTTGCATCTGGTTTGGGAGGATCCAGTAGTACTAAAACCATCCTTGAAGGTATAACAATGAGATATTTCTCAACCCACCCCGATGGAGCAATGATACAAGATCAATTGGGAAGAGTATTATGGGCAAGACTTAGAGCTTCAATAACAGAATTTGCAATCTATGGACCACTTGGATCAGGACTTGGTTATTTGGATTGTCTCGACCCAACTAGAAACCAATTATTGGTTACTCAAACGATTGGTAATGATTTCTATACACTCTTTGTTCATCCAAATTATGGTGTAGTCCTTAAAGATCGAAATGACAATCAAGAATGGACACAAGTCACTTATTTACCGACTGTGCAAACAAAACTTGTTTTCTATGCTGATGGTGATTTATGCTCGGTCGATAGTGCAGGTGTAAAAGGATGGTGTACCTATACATCTGGACTTGGAGGTCGCTACTTCTTGGTTGCTCCCACTGGCTACGCTCAAGGTTTCTTTTGGCAGATTCTCATGCTAAATGCAAACGGTCATGTTGTTTGGGCGAGATATTCCCAAGATGGAACCAAGGTACAATATTCCATGTTACCTGGGTCGTACATGGTAGCAGGACAAGCTCTCAGAAATGGTCAGTTCCTAACCAATGGTCTCGTCTATATGGTTTATGATGCAATTGCAGGATATATTAAATATTATCGTGAACCACCAACACATCCAAACAAGGTCCTCTTGTCTCAAACACAATGTATTGGTAATATTCTACTCTTGTCTGGAACAACGCCTCAATGTTTTAACGATCAAGACACTAGCCAACTATCTACCGTCACCACCACTCTTGCATACTGGGGTCTTAGGCCATCTGTCAGCGTCTCTTTTGAAACTCAAACAAAGACTACTGCTTTCTCTTGGACCATTTTTACTGACCATTCATTTTCACCACTATTACAAGATCTCATTCAAGGTCAAGTTTTCATTGATCTCAATCGTAATAATATAATGGATCAAAATGAAGTTGGAGTCTTGGGTGTCGCCGTTTCAATTGGTGTATCATCTACAACCTCTGACCAAAGAGGTTTCTTTTCTCTTCGATCCCATCAATATATGACAGAGAAACTTAAATTCATCAATATTCCTTCTCAATACTATACTCCAATACCAGAATTTACCCTCTATCAAAATAGATTTAATAGAGATATTCCACTTTATCAAAAAGGTAAAAGAGAAACAAATATAAAAAAACAAATATTAAAAAAAAAAAGAAATCGTCAAATCATTTATTAATATTCTCTTTTTTTTTTTTTTTAGGAAATTGTTATGGTTATTTAAATTCAAATGAAAATAGTAAATTATATTTGGATATTGGTAGTTTTAGATTATCTGATTTTGGTTGGTGTACATTGAACAAAGCATGTGCCAATAGAGTAACAACCTATTCATTCCCCGATCAATGTTTGGTAGTATTGGGTGACAATAATTTGGTATCTATTAGTCAAAAGTCAAATTAAAAAGAAAAAAAATAATAAATAATATTTGATTGAAAAAAAGTCTACCTATTGATTTATTTTTTGATGGACTGATAAGTTTTTAGCTAGAGTCTTGGCAGACCATGATATCATGATGATGAGTATTCCTGTTTCAAATTTGACATGCATAAGTTCGGATATTTTTGGAAAAAAAAAGAATGGTTGAATAGTATTTTGATGATGATCAAAATAATACCCAACAACTATTCTTTTCCAAAAACATCCGAACCTTTGTAATAATGTATGCTTATTTTATAAAGGTACATCTACAAGTTTTATATAGAGACACCAAAAATTGGTGCGATGCAATGTCTATTGATTTTTGGGAATACACAATATTTGATAAATTGGCCGCTTAAGAGACTATACCATACCAACTATTAAATCTCTATAAATAATTATTTAACATTGGAAATAGTATTAGTCATCTATTTTTTTATACTTGTAATTTTATAATTTGTTATTGCCAATACATACTGGTCGAATTTGGTATACCCGAGCCATTCTAGGTGTTCCTCCAAACCAAGATACTCCTCGCCATTTGTGTACATCCAAACAGTCCAATCGTTCACACAGATATGTGTACCAATCGTGTGTCACTACTCCACAAGCCGACTATGTACCATCGTCCAAAGAGATACAAGATATCCTTGATCTTGTGTATCCAAATGGTCCAATTATTCATACTGATACTGAAGATGATGACACCGATACATCACTTCCTGATTCAAGTTCACCACCAACTCTCTATGTTGAAATCGTTAATATTCAAGTGAACCTAGGCTTCATTAATGTAAAGGCCACCACCGTAGTCTCCCATCCCATCAACAATCGTACAACAAAACATACGAAAAACAAAGATAAGAGTAAGTCAGGCCTGACTTTGCACTGTACCATGAAAAGATCTTGATGGTTGAGAATTGGGAGCTGGGCTGTCTCGGTGATGATAAACGTGACCCATCATCATTTGTTGTTCATGAGAACATGTCACACCGGGAGTGACTATATGCTTCTCCATGATGGCTTGGCCAGACTGAAACAATTGGTCGCATTGGTGGACATTTAATTTCAGAACAACCATTGGAGAAAGGGCGTTTGATGGAGCGGACTAAACTACAAACATCGCATTGACGAGCTGGGACGGTCTTTGGTTGGTTCTCAACAAACAAGGCAATGACACGGTCCTTGAGCATACATTGTTCACAGTTGGTAGCGGGGAGAGCAATGACGTCAATGTCAGTGGTGATTCCATTTTCTTTGGCGTGTTGAGCGATGCGATACCCATGTGTACCAAGGGTTACAGATTCACAGTGTCCTATCTAACCAGCACGGGACGGATTCAAGTATTGTTGTTGTTGTAATCGTGGTTGTTGTTGTTGAGATTGGAGTGTTTGTATGTGGTTTGAACTGATGTGAAAGATTGGACGTAGGTGGTGTACCCAGTTGTTAAGAGGAACTTGACCCCTCGACCTGGGGCCAAGCCACCAAGGTATTCCTTTGCTATGCTGGTACTATAAGTAGATCTACTTGAATTATAAATGACAAAAGATAGATAGATAGATAAAAAAAAGTATAGAGATACAAATAATTATTTGTTGAAGAGAGAAAATTTATTAGTTTATTGAACAGTGCTATTGATCAATCACTCAATCCGTAGGCTTGGACGGCTTGTGCAAAGCCGACACGTGAATTGCCAAAGTCAAAGAGATAAATATTTATACAAATACAAGTAATATTTGATTGATTGTTATGTTATATCTAATGATTTATTAGTTTATTGAACAGTGCTATTGATTAATCACTCAATCCTTAGGCTTGGACGGCTTGTGCAAAGCCGACACGTGAATTGCCGAAGTCAAAGATTGTATAATAGGTGGAAATGAAAACGTCACCTAAAATATAGAGTGGACCAATTGGAGCTGGGATATCAATACCCATAAAGCCAGAGAGACAGGTAGTCTTACCGAATTCAGTGATTTGGAGGATGTAGTCGGTTGGGGTCAAAACAAAGGTGGTACCGGCGAGGACGATTTGGACGTCTGGGAGTGAAGAGATGACATTGCATGATGGGAAGATGGCTTCACCATTGACAGAGACGGCACCCAACTTGGTGTTGATGGCTTCGATTTGTTCAGTTGGACCGGCGAGGAGAGAGGTACCGGAATCGGCGATGGCACGACAACCAGTCTTGCCACAGTATCCGAGAGAGTTTCCATCATATTGGACGTCGTCCATGGAGAATTCCCAGTAGGTACGGTTGGTGAGTGGGACGTAGGTGATGGCACCGGTAAACTTGGAGTTATCGATTGAACCGAAAGAGAGTTCACCACCGTTGGTTGGTGAGGCAGTCTTGGACAACCAGAAAGCAAAGAGTGGTTGGGCAACGAGACCTTGATCCATCATGTTGTAGAAGACGGGTGGGATGTTGTTGACAGAGATGGATTGGAAAGCAAGACCGAGGATACCGTCAAACTTGGCAAAGTCAAAGGCAATACCTGGTTCGGCGGTGGCTTCGGCAAACAATTGGTTCTTGACAGACAATGAACCAACTTGGACAGTGTCTTCAGAGACAAAACCAGACATGGCTCCAGATCCGTATTGGATGGAGAAATCGGTTCCGTTTTGGACAAAGGATGATGACTTGGTAGAGTCGTACTTGTTGTGCAAGTCACAGGCAATGACAGTGATTGGGCACTTCTTGGATGGGATCCAAAGGTTGGATGAACCAGTATCGAATACAACCTTGAATGGTTGACCTGGAGTACCAATGGTGATGGCACCATAGTATTGAGCATCCTCAAAATCAGAAAGTGGAATGGTGGTACCAGCGGCAGCCAACATATACTTCTTTTGGAGGTTTTGTGGAATTCTTCTCAAGGCTTGACGAGTTACCTTATTAAATCCAAGTGGTACACTAAAAAGAAAAAGGAATAGTAAATTAAAAAAAATAAATAAAAAGATAAATATTAGTCATCATAAGAATTATTGAATCTAGATATATATTGACTGACTGTGTTGTGTGTGTGATATATGATAAGATATATATATGATATAGATATATCCAAAACTAATCGATCGTATATCTATATTTTTCATATGATCATCAAATGTCACATGTCATATGTCTATCTATTATTATTATCTATTTGTTTTGGTTCGTTCTTACACGTAAGCTTGTGCAACCACGATGAAGGCCAAAAACATGGCAATGGCAGAAATGAATCTCATTTTTCTATATATATAAAATATTAATGATTAATGTTTGAGTATTGAATTGCAATGCTCGATTGAACCCGTACTTGTAGATGATGAAAAACTTCAAGAGAGAGAAGGAGAAAAAAATTAAAAAAATTGAAAAATAGATTTTTTTTTTTTTTTATCCTCAACCCTCTCTAATTACATCACCCCCCCTTTTTCTTTGCCTATCTAGGAGGTTGGTGTTGACCGAAAAAAGTATCGTTGTAAAAAATCAAACAAAAACAATTCCATTGAAAAGTGAATGTGAGTGGTTTCGTCATTGCTCTTGTTATTTTCCGTGACAATCATTTGCTTTGCAGCAGTATAGGATATTTTTATCTGGTTTCCGGAATCAAAAAGATGGTTATTAGAGAAAAGTATCCGTACGGTATAATAGATAAGTATTGTGTTTTCCCAATCAAAAAAGAATGTAGGCAGGTTGTTAAGATCGAGGACATAATACCCGATACCATTGTGATCTCTCAAAGAAGAGTTTTGACCCATTTCTTTGTAAACTTCTATATTCCGAAATCATCCCGAGAATTTTCGATCAAATTATCCTTTTCCTTATCCTTTATCATCATGTCTCTCAAACAAACCATACATGGCGGAATATAGATAATATTTGTGTCTCTGCCAAACAGAACTTCAAAATATAAAGAGGAAGTGGAACTTCTTTCCTTTCTATAAATCCTTCTCTTTTTTTTTAGAGATATAAAGGCCGTAGTTCGTGATTGCCTGTTGTGTGTGTTCTTTTGATAGAGAGACTCGACTTGCGAGAAAGCGACCTTTCGTCGCTGTTTTCTCTTTTTTTTGATTTTTTCCTTTATTTTTTTTCCTGAGGACAGCAGAAAAATTATCTTATGGTGGATGTGTTTTATATTACTCTTTTGTCTTGCTCATTCATCATTCACTTTTTTTTCGAAAAAGATATTATTATTTATTGTATGTAGAGAGAGGAGAAGTAGTAAAACTATACCTATAGCAATAGCAACAGCAGTCACAACAACAACAGGAAAGGGGAGATAGATATTTATATACATATATAATGCAGATTTAAATCTATCTATTTTGTGTGTACCCCCACACACTTTTAAGTTTTGATTGATGTTGCTGTTGTTGTTATAGCTAAAAGGAAGATATTAGATATTAGATATTAGAGATATTAGATATTAACAAATTAGACATATTTAATCTATATAGATCAATACCTAATCCTACATATATATAAAAATGAATAACAAACAAATTCTCTTATCTGGTTTGGTTGCATCATTCGTCTCATCAGCTGCTGCTGGTAGTTGGAATGCTGGTGACACTATTGCCTTGTTGATTGGTATTGCCATGTTCTTTGTCCTCTTGTTGGCTTTCTTGGGTTGGTTATCTCGTCGTTCTTAAACAACCAAAACTATTACAACAACAAACATACTTTTTTAATACAACAACTATATGACTATTTTTTTGAATCATTCATTTATTTATAACACCTACAAACAACAACAACAACAAAAGATAGAGATATATAAAGACAAGACAACTTTTTAATCGAAAAAAAGAAAAGGATGAATTAAATATTATGCTTTTGATGTTCTGCTCCCTCTCTAAAACAAAAAAGTCATACTTGTGTAATCAATAATAATTAATAAAAAAAATGTAGATATAATTAAAAAAATACCAAATCGAGAAGTCTCTACTACTTGATCAATTTATTGAATTATTATTTCGAAAATTTTTTGTATTTTTAAAAAGAGAGAGAGAGAGTGTGCGGTTTGATCATTCTTACTTTATCATTTAGAAACGAAAAAGAGAGAGAGTATACTCACATAGAAAGAAGGAGAGAGGAGATGACTAGTGTACCAACATGTTATAGTTGTAAACAACCAATTGCAGATATTTGTTTGGCAGCTTTTGGTTTACAATGGCATCCTTATCATATTGGTTGTAATACTTGTGGAAAGGTATAATAGAACAAAAGAAGAATGAAGAAGAAAAGAATAAAGAATGAACTCAAGTCTAAATAACATTCAATTGTTTGGTTTTTAGGACTTTTCAGATGGATCAAGATTAGAAGAAGGACCTGATGGATTTGCCTATTGTTCATTACATTTTATCGATAAATTTGCACCAAAATGTTTCAAATGTCAACAAGCCATCTTGGGTCAAACTACCAATGCTCTCAATAGAACTTATCATCCTGAACATTTTTCTTGTAATACTTGTAATGTAAGTAGTAGTAGTAAAACAAAAAGATAAAGAAAAGTTATCAACTTTTTTTATTTACTTTTTTCTTTTCTATTTGCTATTTTAGATGCAATTAACTGGAAACTTTTTCCATACAGATGATAATACACCATATTGTGAAAAACATTATTATGAAACGATTGGATTTCTTTGTGCACATTGTGAGAAACCGATTCTCACTGGTAAATGTATTTCAATGGGTACCAAACGTTATCATCCAGAACATTTCTTTTGTCAATTTTGTAAATGTGCATTATCAGGTGTTGGTTATAAAAAACAAAATGATAAAGCTTATTGTAAAGAATGTCATTTAAAGTTATTCTAAAAACCAAACAAACAAATATATTAAATATAAACAACTCTTGTATAAATATTAAATGATTTAAATGATGATTTTATTTTTTCTTTTTCTATTTCTTTTTTCTATTTTTTTTTTTTAACTTGTTAGATCATGAATTTCCATAATAGTAGTTGGATAAAGATGAGGATGTTCTTGAATAAAAGATTTATAGTATTGAAGGACAATGTAGGGTTGACCAATGACAAGAGATAACCAAAAGATGACATTGCCAACATTTTGTCCGTTGAGTTGATTCTTGGTGAGAGCAATCAAGACCATTTGACTCATGATACCGAAAAAGGCCCACAATTTAAAGGTTTGGAATGGAACGCTAATGACAAGTTCGTGAAAGATGGCAGATACAAAGAAACACATAAAGTAACCCATGTTTTTAGAGAGTCCACGTCTACGCATCGGTGTATAGATTAAAACCACCATCCAATGGTGTACTGGCATATTCCAGGTTCTCCAAAAGTAATCCAATCCAGTACTATTCCACCAATCACGATAAAATTCACGATCTCCAAATCTTGTAATCTCTGCACAAATATTAAGATAAAGATGAAAGAATACATAAAATCCTAATAACCATACTGATAAATTTGGTAACTAAAAAAAACGGAAAAAAATAAGTATATATATAAAGATTTTTGGTTTTGTTTTTGTTTTTTTACTTACTGATAATTTTAAAACTCTTTCAACAATTAAAACATAATTATCTTGTTCCAATGGTACAAGACTATTTTCGACAAGTGGTACCATGTATTGTTCAACCATATAGAAAATTAAAGCAGACAAGAATAAAGCTTCAACAATTCTTCTCAATAAAAATGCTTTTCTAATTCTATCCGATCTTGGATATTGTAATTGATAAACCAATGTTGGTACCAACATGAACCAATATGTACCTAAAAATAGAAAATATAAAAGATTAATTAAATTGTCTTTTTCTTTTTCTTCTTTTTGTTTTTGTTTTCATTTTACTTTTTAAAGTTAAATTATTTGGATAAATGGTTGGATCAAGTTTTGTCTTTTCTTTATCTTTTGTACCATTGTTATTAATTGATGATCTAGTTTTTGTTAAATTCTTTTGTTTACTATTTTCATAGGAATAGGAAATGATTTTCATAGAGAATACACAGACTAGGATCATTACAATGATTCCAGATGCAGGGTTTGGTTTAAAGGTGAGTACAGAGGCAGATGGCGCAGTGACAATGAGAAAACAATTAATGACACGTAAGAGGTACAAGAAACGTGTTGGTAAAAGATCGATAGATGCGGCCTTTTCAATCAAAAATGCAGCCAAAATGTAAAAGTTGATAGACAGTGCAATCAACACTCCAGGCCATCTATGCCATTCAGATACTGCCAATAATCCAAAATCAATTCTAAATCCATATGCTAAATGATTAAGTATAACTAATCTAAAACTCATTAAACTCTAAGAGGAAAGAAAAAAAAAAAAAAAGGGTAAACTTTTTTGATGTAGATTTTGATTTGATTTTTTTAGTTTCATCTTACGAGCATAATGACAACAAGATTAAGTAAACCTTTATAAGTTACACCAGTTGATTCAGAGCTGAGAAGGGAAGGTCTAGAGGCAAATAGATTGAGATCAGATGTTGATAAGGTGGTGAGTGGTGAGATGCTAGTTGGATGAATGGTATTACCCTTGACAGAGGTAACATTTGGTGATGCATTGATTGGTGAACTAGATGGTGTAGAAGATGATGACGAAGAAGACGATGAGGATGGTGATGATGATACACCAGATGTAGAGATTGGTGAAGTAGTAACTGATGACGAGTTATTATTGGCAACAGTAGACTTTGTCTTTAAAGGAGCCGGTACAGTTGCAGTTGTGACATTACTGTTACTATTACTATTGCTATTATCTTTCTTTCCAGTTTGTCTATTATGATGATGATGATGATTATGTTGTTGAATAGGTTTCTTTTTAAGAAAGAACTCTGAATCTGATTCCGATTCAGTATCACTACTTGATTTCTCTGGTGCGTTGATTCTACTTTGTGTTCTATCTAGTTTTTTAAATTCATGATTAATGAATCTATTTCTTACTCGCTCAGTTTCAAGTAAACTATCGAGTTGTTGTGTATTATTACTCATCTTTTAGAGTAATATTTAAAATATAGAATGATAATAAATAATAAGTTATATATTATATAATATATAAATATAAAAGTTATTTCATGAGGAAATGATGATGATGAATGATGAACACCCATAGAAGTTCTTTTGGTTAAAACTCCCCACACCAACCATAGCTTCGGTGTGGGCTGATAAAAATATTATTAACAAAAATTACCCTTTTTCGGGAATCTGTGGCGAAAGTGGATGAGATCATGTTATCTTATTAATAAGTATACTTTCACACAAACAATTTCGTTTTTATTATTATTGCTTTTTAAATTCTATTTGTTTCGATGGAGGTGATTGCGACAAGATCGATCTTGGGTGCCCCTACGAACATCGTTGCAGATATCAGACAAGATGCAAGTATCAAACATGCATGTTTGTACACGATCAGATCAAAGTACCCCCAGCAGTGATTGCAAATTCAACAGGCCAGCAAAGTACGGCGACGACAACCTCGTCAACTGTTTCCGCCGAGACAACATCAAGTGAAGCTAGCGCTACAATCAACCCATCAAGTCAATCTACAACCAATTCTCCATCAAGTGAGGCTACAACAAATTCGCATAGTACAGATACAAGTGATGATACACCACCAAACTTTCAGCCAATACAATGCAAGAAAGCAGAGGAAATCCGATTGAAAATAGGAGACTTTGAAACCGAGCCAGGACCAGAGTATTCAAAGTTTGTACAATATCAAAGTCACCCCCATTTTGTTTGCTATCTGGCATTGGTATTCAACATTGGTGTTTGTAAAGCCACAAAAAAACCAAAATGTTTAGAATGTCTATTGTATGAAACCAAAAGTATGTCGTCTATCATTATCATCATCATCATCATAGTTCTTTCTGACCAGGAAATCTAATTATTGACACTTTATAATTGTTTTAGACAAATTGGTGTCAAAGTGTGGACATCAAGTTTGTGGAGATGAATGGGAAAATCGATCAATTGAATGTGGTGATATACCCAACGAGGAATATATAGAACTTTCCCGTTTTATTATGGAATGGAGAGGCAAACAAACTCTAACAGACATCGCACAAGGCCCAACAATGGTAATCGTCCAAATCGATCCAATCAACGCAAGACATCTTGGACTTAACAAAACTGGATCAGCATGGTGCAAAACCTTTGATGGTTTGAATAGATATATGCAAACTGTGTTGGGTTGGAGATCCATTGAGAACAAATATACATATTATATAACTGATGCTTACACCAAAGTTAATCATAGGTATGTATTTCCAAGACCTATATAGGAAACACTCTTTATTAATTCATTATTATTTAATTATTTCATCAGTAAATTGGGAATTCCAGAGGACGGTTACCAAAGAATGAAAAAGCAAGTAAAAGATATTATTGACCTCAAACCTCGGGTCATACTTGTCTGTGCAAAGGTAGCTAGGGAATTATTTAGACAATATATGACGACCCATATCATTGCCGACACTTCGAACCATTTCTACAAGATCTCTGACATTTTGGTTGTAGAAACAAAACATTTTTCAAGAGTGAACCAAAACCTGGCATTATTTCAATCTCAAATGGATACAGTAAAACAATTTCTTGAAGGAAAAAACATGACATTTGGTCATGAAAATCCTCACAAGTTCTCGGGAGAGGAAAAACAAGTAATTGGAAAGGAAAAAAATACCTCTAAACCCAGACCAGAGGTGTCGCAACTTAGAGATAGACTAAAATCATTTACAGATTCAATCAAAAGGATCCCTAAAACGGACATTAATGTTCCTCATCCTTCATATGAATCCCCAAATACTTTAATGAATAATATGAAAACACTCTCAATTAATAATGATCATAATAATCATTATAATGGTGATAATTATGATAATAATAGTATTAATAACAATAACAATAATAATAATAACATTAATAATAATAATAATAATAATAATAATAATAATAATAATCATCATCATCAAGGATATCCAGAGGAATATGAAGAGATCAATCAACCACAACAACAACCACAACCACAACAACAACAACAACAACAACAACAACAACAACAACAACAACAACAACAACAACAACAACAACAACAACAACGATATGGTCGTCTTGGTGGGAAGCTCCATCCTATCGATTTAAATGGTATTTCGCGTTGTGGGATGATCAAAGATAATACGGGTCGTGCAAGTCCAATGCAATTATATATAGGTCTCCCTGAAAACGCACAAATGTGCCACACATGCCAAAATATATAATAATGTTTGAGCAATCAATGAACCGGTTATTAATAAAGACATGTCAAGGTATAATTTGCTTTTAAAAAAATCAAGTACTTGATTCTTGAAGAGGGTGTGTGTCTCGGGTGTTTGGATCGCTGGCGCTCCCAAAAAAAGTTTACAAGCATTCGCCCTTGCAGGGCTCATTATATATTAATTAGGTTAAAATAGTTAATTTATTTTTAGAAATATTTATTTTTATTGTATTTTATTATTTTTTAGAATTAATTATTAACTATTAATATTTTGGATAGAAATTATAAAAGTTAAAAAGTTAAAATTATTTTAGAAAAATAGAAAAATATTGGATTGATTTTAGATTTTGGATTATAAATTCATAATTATAACTTTATAATTTGGATAGAAAATATTAGTAAAGAACATAGCTCATCGAAAATGGATCAATGGAAAAAGATTGGTTGGCATCACAAGGTATTCCACTTCCATCACTATTTTGGATTATCAATTGACCATCCAACATGCAACAGATTCGACATGGATGGATAAATAAAGTTGGAGTTTGTTTTTGGTATGTACAAACTGTTACCATTTGAAGATTGGGAGGCCTAAATCTTTCAGGCATAATCACATCAGTGTATACTTCTGAAGCTTGAGCTGTTGCTCGCATTGTAAATGTTGGAGGCGAGTCCACACATAGTGTAACTAGTTTCCCAATTCTCACAATGTGGATTTGATTCATGGAATAGACAAATGATCCTCCAGATATATTGTATTTAAATTGAATCCAGTGTGTAAAATATTCATAGAAATCCAATGGTGTTGGAATATAACCTGGCATTTCACATTTAAAATAACTTGCAAATCTCCAAAAATTATTTGGTTTGTTGTGTTTTCAAGTACGAGTTGATCTGTAATTGTCAATTCATCCACTTGTCCAATGGCCACATCTTCAAATTCATTTAATAAATCTACAAATCTTGCTGTCATTTTCTTTTATATTAATTATTAATCAATATTTAATATATTACTTTTTTCTGGCCCCTCTTTTCCTCTTGGCTCCACCATTAATCCCATATTGTGTTCCTCCAGCTTGTGTTCTTTTTCGTCTTGGTTTTTTTCCATAACCCAATTTATCTGCTACATCTCCAATCTTGCTGGCATATGGAACTCCAGCATCACCAAGTGCCTTTGCTCCTCGCGATATTAATTTGTTTTCTTTGACAAAATCATATGCTTTTTTAAACCAATCTCCAAATCCATCTCCTTGTTGACCACCCAAACCTGTGTGAATACAAGCTCCATCATTTGAAATCCATACCCTTCTGCTCATTTTTCTTATATATATTTAAATCTATATTTTAATTTCGAGTTGTAAATTGAAATCCTTTCTATAATCCCCATTTCTACTTGTGTAAAGGAAATGAAATTTCTCTTTGGTTGAATATGAATAAATCTCTGTAAATAATTTAAAAGGAATTGCCAGTGATAGTTCATCATATATGATTTTTAATGTTTCTGTTGGTATATTTTTAAATAGCAAAACATAATCCAAATTACCTTTTCGAATATGTGATGAGGTGTCTTTCCATGATTGGGTACTAATAATAATCTTGGTTGAAAAGTGTCTTTGAATCTTCATTAGTTTGGTAATACTTGGATCTTTTAATTCATTTGATAAATCATCAAAAATAATTAAATAATCTGGTGCCACTTCTTTTTTTGATGATGATTTCTCTGCCACAATATTATTGGTCAATATCAATGGTTTACTATTTTCATTTGGTTTTACTTGCAAACTTTGAATAAATGCCTCCAACACATTTGCCTTGTCATCATAAATACTTGTAAATGTCATAAATGTTATTCCTCTTTTATCCAAATCTTTTTGAATTTCCAACCAACTATGATCATTGTGAACTGTTGCGCAAAAGATTAAAACATTTGTTTGTTTGTTAGTACATTCATCTATAATCTTTTTAATAACAACAGTCTTGCCACTATTCTTTGGAGCACATACCAATATATTTGCATTTAATTGATTAAATAATTCCGATCCTTTTACATTTTTTGGTGGTTGTGGTAGTTTGATTGGTTCCACAATGATATTATTGATTTTTGTTAGCTTTATCATTTTATATATATATGTTGAATTTAAAATTTGGTAAATTGAAATACAGCTGCAAATTCCAATTCATTTTCCAAATAATTGTTGTTTTGATCCACACATTCAAAATAATAAGCTCCTTGTATAATGGCTCCACTTTTGTTTGTAAAATGTAAATTACAATTTGTGGTGGATATTTTTGAAAAGGAAAAAAGGTTGTTGTCACTAATCAATGAAGTTCTAATTGTGTACACATCCCCAATATGAAGTGTTCCATCTAAACTATAGAGTTTTAATGTAATAAGATCTGGAACAAAATCCAAATTAATTTGAACCATCAACCTTCCATGATCACCAGGAATGATTCCACCAATTGGGATTGTTTTAATAATTGTCTGTCTGTTGAATTTCATTTTCCTATATTATTTAATAATCAATAAATAATATTTACATTAATGTCAATCCATTTGAAGTAATAACTAACCTTCTATTACATACCACTGTTGATTGATGAGTAAGATTGGTTGCAACACTTAAAAATGCAATAAAATCCCATTTAACTTCTCCTAGATTTAAATCAATACCAGAAACAATATTTTCATCTAGCAAACCAAATGATCCATCATCAAATCTATCCAACCAACACCAATTATAGTTGTGAATATTTGGTGTTTGAATTGTTGAATCTATCAATTTGTCTCGCAATGCTTTATAATCATCATTTACAATTGGATAATAATCGTATTGCATTCGCCTTGTATTATTAATATTGGTGTAAAAATGTTCCAAATTTGTCGCAGCCACATTGTTGTTGTAGATGGCAGAGTTTGCAACTGAAGCAGTAACAAATAAACTATGATAAATTCTTTCCAAAGTAATACCATTTAGTCTATTTAATCTTAATGATACCGGCTGATTTGTACCTGTAAGTGATGCTGTTGTAGTATAACAATAAGGAATAAGTAAAGAGAAACCTTCTGAGTTTGCAATCTTTTGTTGTAAATTTTGAATAATATCAAATCTCTTTTCAACTGCTAAATGTATTTCCATACCTTGTACATTGGGTCCAGCAGGAGCTGTTAAAGCAACTGGATTTGTTGAGGAGTAAGAGAGGCATCTGCACCAAAACCAATATTTGGTAATTCTGACCAAACAAATCTAACCAATAATGTTTCATTCAACATAATATCCTTGTCCAATGATAAAATGGATTCGTATAATTCGTTGAATGGAATGGTTACATTTAAATTAACTGCTGTATTGGCCGCAAAGCCTGAAGATAAATAGTCTGGTTCAGTAAATGCTCTATCACATGAAGTGCCATCATATCTTGGATTCATATTTACCAAAGTGTTACAAGAATAACAAGGAATATAAGATTGATTTGCTGTATTTACTGCAGAGTTGAAAGTGTTGAGTGTATTATTTAATTTTTTGTTGATCTTGGTCACCATTTTAGAATGTAAATGAAAGTTGGTATGATCCATTAAATATGTACCACCTCTTGTAAATACCTGTATCTGTCTAAAGAATGGAATAAAATCAGTAAATACAAATCCAAACTTTGCATTGGTTGCTGGTAATGTAAATGTAAATTGAAACCATGACCTACTTAAATTAAATGCTTTGGTTGGTGGTATTTCAAATATAGTGTCATTTCCTCCTTGATAAACTGCTGTTTGAGTTGCACCAGCTTGAGGATATACTCTAGTGTATTCATATTGTGGTCCTGATCCAACCATTTGTCGATAATCAAATTGATTTGAAATTGCTTGTTCCATTTTTTTAATTCTATATATTCTATATATCTAAAATTAAATTTCATCAACAACTGTTAATGATTCTTTTTCTTTAACCAATAAATAATTTATATATTCTCTTACCAATTGTGAGATGTCATTATGTTTGAATAAAATCAATGTCAGATTGATATTTACACCATTTAAATTTACTTCATTTCCATCTTGATCTGTCAAATAAATGGTAAAGCTTGTCTTTGTATTTGATACCAATTGTTTACTATATGATTCAACATCATAGTTTTGCCAATGTATATTTGAAAAGTCTGCATTACCAGCTGCAGAATAAACCTCTTGTAATATATCATCATCTCCATTACTACATAAATCTGAATGAATAAATAAAACATTATCAGATTGTAAGTTGATTACATTGGTTGATTCCAAAATATTATTATTAAATTTATTTGTTGAATCTTTATTAAAACCTAAATGACGAAATAATTGATTAGTAAAAGAAAAGATTGGTTGAATATCTCTTGTTGATGCACATGTAAATATATATTTACCAGTATTTGGTTGTTGTGATGTCGGCCAATTGATTGCATATTTCACATTGTTTGGTGACAATGCATTCAATTGCTTTTCGAATGTATCTTGTAATGATTTTCTTGAATAATTACCAACAGGGATAGAAATAATAGTTGATTGATCATCTTCTATCAATTCAAAAGTATTTAATCCTCTTCCAACTGTATAAAATGATTTTGGTATTGCCGCTTGTAATAATGCAACTCTGTCAAACCTGTCTTGAGGATAATATATAATATTATATTTAAATTTAGAATTAGTACCACTGATTCTATTGTGTGAATTTATATAGAATATCTTTTTATGTGTAATCAACATACTTTTATATATAATTAGTAAAACATTATTATAAAATTATTAAAATTTACTATTACTCTAATAAAAGTGATTTGCTGTAGCTGTTTTGTCTCTAAATAAAGTAGTGTAAAAGTATTATAAAAGTAGTGTAAAAATAGTAATATAATAAATTACTCTATATATATATATAATAAAGAGAATGGATCAAGATATAAAAAAAGATAAAAGATCAATTACATCTGCTCTAAATCTACAAAAAGCACGTGATGCTAGAAAAAATCAATTTATAATCTATGATAGTGATTCTGATTCTGATAATGATTCTGATAATGATAATATAAAGAAAAGAACAAAAAACAAAGCTCCTGTAAAAAAGAAAAGAATAGTAATAGATAATAACAAAAAAGACTTTGAACAAATGAATAAAAAAATGGAATCTCTCATTGAAATGTTTACTTGTCACCAACAAAAAAATAATTTCATTGTAAACGATGAAGTTGTAGAGAAAGAGATAAAACAACAACCTATAAATATTAAAGAATCAGATATTATAAAGAATAAAATGATTATGAAGTTTTAAATATAATTATATTGTATAATAATACAAGATGATGATTGGAGGCAAGAAGCAAAAACAGAGACCATTAAGATTAAAAAAAGATAAAAGAGGACGATACATACAACATGGAGTAGATAGAGTTTACATTAGATCAAAAAAGAATGATAAAAAATTGATTAGAAAGTTGATTAGAGAAGCATTAGATGATGAGAGGAAACAACAACAACAGCTCTCTAAAGAAAGCAGCCCTGTATTGGCTTGGTCAAATCCAAATGAAGTTGCCATGATCAAATCAATACAGGATGCCAACTTTAGAGAGTCTGTACTCAAGAATCAACAAGAATTGGATAAAGAAACAAAGAAAAAGATCATTGATCTAACAAAAGATGATCAGCAAGAGATACCAATTCTAAAAAAAGAAAATGATAGATTTGATCAATTGGAAAAGAGGTTGTCAATGTTGTTTGAAGCAAAGGAGGAGAAATTAAAGAGAAGACAAGAAAAAGATGATAGATCAATGGAAATACTTTACAATCAAAAGTTGACAGAAAAGAGAATACAAGAATTGGAAGGCAAGTATGAAAATACAAGACAAATAGATGAACAATTACAATCAATTATAGATATGAACAATGAAATGAAAGAAAAGAATCTTTTGGAATTGGAAAGAACAATTCAAGCAAATCAAGTAAATCAAGCAAAACAAACAGAACAGCAACAACAAATAATGGTTGATCAAATTTTACCAAATGATTTAATAGAAATGGTCCCAAGAAACAATCTAACAGCTACAAATGATTTTGTAAAAGAGTATTTAAATTCAACTATGACCTCTACTAAACTATCTACAAATTTAGGAAATGAATTAAAAGACATGGTAAAGAATCAAAGAATTAGTGTCATTGATTTAATTGTATCATTTGCCCAAGATTTGAAAAAAAAACAAAAGATTGGTAGTGGAAGATCAAAGGTCTTTATGATAGAATAATTATTCTCAAAATTTCGCTATCATAAAGTAAACAAAGTTATTGATCAAGCATCAAACATGTGGTTTGCTATTAATAGATACAATGGTATACCATTTTAAAGAATCAAGTTTGATTAATATAATATTAATCTTTATTTGTATTATTTTGTGATAGATCAACCATAGCTATCATGATTCTTTTCATAAAATTAAATAAACTTAAATATTAACAAAGTTCCATTGCTTTTTACTTGATACAATGAAGAACTTTGGCACGAATGATTAGAGGCGGTCCGTTTTCCCAACCACTGTTGAATGAATCTATGTTGGTCCACCACTTTTAATAATCCATTGATTATTGATACACCGCTTCCCCAAAAAATAATAATAATATAGCACTTCCATCCACACTGCTTCAAAATCCATTGATTTGAAGCGCCACACTTTCAACCCACTTATATTGGTTCTACTTCTTGTTGATTCAATAATTTATTTAAATTTGGTCCACCAATTAATACCAATATCTATTCACTCTTTGAAACAAAAAAATCGAGAAGTTTCAAATTGTTGTTGTTGTTGGTTATCTCGTCCAAATATACAATAAACTGGTTATTGAAAGATTCTTTGTTGACATTTAAACGTCGATCGGCTATCCACAAAAAGTTTGTTTTGGTACCTGGGGGTAACATTCTTTTAATTAAACCAAATATTTCGGAATCCTCCCATTCGTTCTTGTGTGTAGCCGCAACGGTGACCTGACATGCAGTGAGGACAGGTCCGTCCACAAGAAGAAGTCAACATGTGGAAAGTTGGAGGCCGATGGTACGATAATCTCGTTATATGGTGAACCCCAACGGTAAGCTTTGAGTTTGTCTGTTTTGAGTTTCTGTGCTTCAAGACCTTGCCAGTCCATCCCAGTTGATAAAAGTTTTGTCACATTCTCCTCTTTTTTGTAATCGATATTGTAAAACATCTTTGAACATGATATTTTGAAAGCTTTTGCTTCAATAATAGAGTCAATAATGTATTTCTCTACAACTCTGCCGCGGAGATCCTCTGTAAACTCCAAACTGTTTCTGAAAATAAGGTTATAAAAATGATCGAGTAACTCTTTATACACAACAGAACCCATATAACGCTCCTCAAGTATACTTTCCACTACTTTTGTAATACCATAAACATGTTTGTCTTTGACAAACATAAGTTGTTGGTTAATGAAGTGTGGGGGTTCAATAGGAATCTAATAGAGAATCAGGTAAATATAAATATCGTACGATGAATATTTTTAAATAAATACTATACCTTTAATGCCATTGCTACTACTGATCTGGTAAAAGATTTTAGGTCTTCTGGGTCCTGTAAGTATTCTTTGCGATAGAAAATGTCTAATGGCCCGATTTGTGCGGATCTTGCAGCATCGAAATTGTCGAGTGACAGGATGATATCATCGTTGTTGATGTATTTTTTGGAGGAAAAAGGTCCTTCCAACTGTTTGATCCAGATCGACAGATCTAATCTAGAAAGTAGTACCAAAGTTGGTTAGCGATTATTTGTTATAAATATAAAAAGAAGCCTATCTTACGGGATAAAGTTTGTATAAAGATTGACAGTTTCAAGGTCATCTTCAGACACAATGACATTATGTATGCCCAAGTATGCCAAACACTCTTCTTTGGTGAAGCCATCACAAAATTGGAAAACAGGCCAAGATTCTTTATGAGCGACTGTGAAATAATAGTTATTATTTGCTGATGCAGACACAACCACCATTTGGCCAAACGTTTCCATAGCTCCAGCAAGATAGCTTTCAATGATGCAATAGGGGGACTCTTTTCTTTGTGAATCTGTCAAGCCATTGTGTTGATCGAAAACCCAATACACTTGATGTTCAGCATCCAACCACAATTTTGTGGCCTGGGTGATGAGTTCTTTCAATGAAGCAAGTGATTGTGGAATAGTCTGGCTACACAAAAAATTAGAGAGTGTAGAGTCTTGGGCAAATGAGGCAGCATGAACCATTGAGGATATCAGGAATGAATAGGCATTGTTCGATTCTGCCCATCCCTGGCAATCAGGGATATATATCACGATGTTTTTGGGCTTCAGTCGAAGCAGATATACTGCTTGATAGATTGAATGAGATTTTCCGAATCCTTGTGGACCTTGTATGTACACCCCTCTCTTGCAATCTCTGGCAGAAGAGGAAATGAAGTCTTGAAGCTTTTTTGAGATGCCTCTGTCCACAATCTTGACTTGTTTTTCATTAAAGGAAAATCTGCCTTTGTGGATTGACTTTGAAAAAGAGTCTTCAGGGATAGAGTATGCTCCCCCTGAACTATTGAAGTATCCAATAACTCTTTGCTTCTTTACAGTTTCAACTATTTCCTGATCTTGATAGTATACTAAGAAAGCAAGAAATTAGTAAAACACTAGTTATTATTGATCGTTTGACTTACATTGTTCACCAACAATGACTTTTTTTTTTTTTTTGTTGCCTTGGCACTCCAGGAATTCGAGTATTCTCTTTTCAGACACTAAAAGGTTTGCAAAAAGAAATAAAAGAAAAAGAAAAAGAAAACAAAGAATGGTTAGATATATTGCAGTAAAGGTAAATGAAATGTATTTAAAATTGTTGCCTATGTGGAGATGAGGCAAGTGGTTAAAAGGGAAAAGAGATGGGAGTGGGGATAATGAAAACCAAAAGATAATCAACAAGAAATGGTTTAAAAAGAGGAGGAATTATAGTGATTGTAACATCTGATAGAAATATGAATGGTGATTGGTTGATATAATAATTATAATTATATTAGGAATGGTTGGAGATGGATTGACCAACAACAATGAGGCAAATGTTTAGTGTTTGGTTGGTTCGACAATGGTTAGAAGTACAATGGGGCAAGTGGGTAAAAGGAAAAGATGGGTAATTGGTAATGAATAGATTAAAAGAGCTGGGTGGTGCATTGATGAATAAAAACCAAAAGATAATCAACAGAAATGGCTTAAAAAGAGGAGCAATGATAGTGATTTTTTATTATCTGATGAAACAAGAAAGTATTGTCCACTGGATGTGAATCAAACCAACAAACAAAAGGTGGAGGGATTTTAGTGAATATAGCCAGTGATATTAATGGTGATTGGTTGATAATATTAGGAACGGTTGGAGATGGATTGACCAACAACAATGAGGCAAGTGAAGGCCTTGTTTGTTCTCATATTACAGGAGAAATGGTGATCGGTTGATGTAGCAATTAGGTATGTTTGACAAAAGGAGTGGATAAGATGGAAAAAGAGATGGGCGATAAATAAAAGGTTGTCGGGTGATTAAGAGAGGTGAATGGACCATGATATTTGGTTTGGATCAAAGGATTAGAAATATATGAATGAACACAAGAGGTCAATGATATGTAAAGATGAATAAGCAAAACAAAATGACAAATGTTTAGTGTTTGTTGTGCAACAATGAAGCAAGTGGTTAAAAGGAAAGAGATGGGTGGTGCATTGATTGGTAATGAAAACAAAAAGATGATCAACAAGTAATGGTTTAAAAAGAGGGGAATGTAGTGCAATATCTGATGGAATGTTAAATGGTAAAGAATGGGAGTGATGGAATCTGACGAATCATCATCAATGTATGAACTAGACGAATAAAAAGGAGTGATATAGTGATGAGTGTCTTACCTTGGGGTGATGGGGCAGGAACCTTTGTTCTAGAGTGGAGGTGATCATATAAAGCTGAGCCATATTCCGCCGACTTCTCAATGAATGTATCTTTGCTCCACGAAAGGAGAATTGGGCCTTTCCATTTGAATTGATCAAACTTCTCTTCTGCAGCTGGAGAATCCTTCTTGAAATACTCTAGCCAAGCAGTGGAATCTTTGGTAGTCCATTGACTTGGATCTAAGAAACAAAGTATGAGAACAAATTACCATTGTTTGTTTTACAAGGAGAACTTACCAGTATTTAGCCATGTTGCTTGGTCAGACATTGTTTCTTCTTGGTTTAGATCTAGAAGATTGGTTAATTGAAATAAAATTGGATAGCGATTAATGAAATCGGAAAAGTGGATAAATAACAATGAACGAATATGGTCTTTTAGTTGTTTTTTTTTGTTATATAGTTGCTTTTGATAATATATTTACTAAAAAAGAAAATAGAATAAATAAAAAGAAAGATATATATATATATATAAATAGTTGATAAATGCTCTAAATAAAAGAAAATATAATACAAAGAATAAATAACTCTTGAGGTTTACAGTGAAATGAACAAAGTGGTGGTGAATAAATATATGGATAACTGATGAATGTGAAATATGTAATAAATGGCAAAAAAAGAACAAATAAAATGTATCAGAAAGAATACATAGTGAACTGCTGCGGTATGAGTGCTTTTATCATCAGACTCCAAGAAAAAAATATTATTATTATTAAACAAAAAATAAAATGTGCTTGGATTATAAATAAAATCATTGGAAGATGGGTGAGCGCGATGATCATAAGACATGACTTTAATATTAGGGTTGATGGGTGATTAATAGATGACGGTTGAACCACAAACACCACTAGTAACTAAACGAGAGCAAAGAGTATCATGATGGGGGTGGTGAGGGAATCTGACGAATGACAATCATGTGTGTAACAAGACGAATATGAGTGGTTAAATAGAAGATAGATGTACCATTACTTACCTCTACTGCTGCTGCTGTGATGCGATAGCGATTGTTGTTGCTGCTGTTGTTGTTTAATTAAAAGTTGTTGAACAGCCAGATAGAGCTTCTTTGCAGGTGCTACGACTATGCCACATTTACTAAAATCAGCCTCTGTAAACACTGCGATACTTTCTCCATCTACATCATTATCAAGAAGCATCTGGGCATATTCTTCTCTTACTTGAACTTCTTTTGTAGCCCATTCTTTTACTTGTTTTGCTGACCATCGTTTGAAATCGCTTTGTGATGCAATTTCTGTTATTGTCTTGGCATTATACATGTTATGATTAAAAGAGATGCCGTGAGATAATAGAAAACATGATGTTGTTGTGATGGATACTTTGTCTTATGTGAACAAAGATTAGTACTACTAAAGAGGGTAGTCTTCTATTATAGATAGAGGTCCTATATATTCAGCTCAACTTTGAACGATAACAGCAATTTATATTTAATATACCAACATTCTATGATGACAATAACATTCAACCTATTTTACATACAACAGGTAATCAATGTTTTGTCTATTGTAATGGCTAGAACCACTCTCACTAAAGCATTCTCGTTTATCATCCAATCCATGTTATATTTCAACTATCCACGATGCAATGTATCATATGTCTATTCATACAACCAAATCCATTTTGTAAGAATTGGTAAACTGGTTACACCTCCAACGTTGACAATGCAAACAACAGCTCAAGCTTCGGAAGTATATACTGATGTTTTTATTCCTGAAAGATTTAGACCTCCCAATATTCAAATAGTTACAGTATCTACATACCAAAAACAATCTCCAAATTTATTTATCCACCCATGTAGAATCTGTTGTATGTTAGATGGACAATTGATAATCCAAAAATAGTGATGGAAGTGGAATACCTTGTGATGCCAACCAATCTTTTTCCATTGATCCATTTTCTATGAACTATGTTTGCCTATAATTTCAATCAAATTATGGTTAAAATTATGAATTTATAATCCAAAATCTAAAATCAATCCAATATTTTTCTATTTTTCTAAAATAATTTTAACTTTTTTAACCTTTATAATTCTATCCAAAAATATTAAAAGTTAATAATTAATTCTAAAAAAATAATAAATACAATAAAAATAAATATTTCTAAAATAAATTAACTATTTTAACTTATTTAATATATAATGAGCCCTGCAAGGGCGAATGCTTGTAAACTTTTTTGGGAGCGCAGCGATCCAAACACCCGAGACACACACAAGAGGTGCTAATATAGGAATTGGCCAATTAAATCAAACAATAAATAATAATAATAGTAACAAAATAATATTGGTTATAATGATGCTATGGTAATGATATCCATTTTATTTAAAGAGTGTCTAGGAATTGAGAAATATCGGGTATTTCTTTCGCGAGACCTTTTTGGATACGAATGGAGCGGATTAGTTTAGCACTCGGATTCCGTCGTGGAACCATCTTTGAAGAGACAAAAGGGTCCCCGAGGACCAATTCCCAATGGTCAAAGTTCATTTGGAGGAAAGCACGACCACTTGTTTGATCGGAGGTAGGAGCTGAATTCAGCTTGGTACCAAAGGACTCGGCGACGGGGAGGTAGGCCTTGACACTGATCAAACATCGGCTAACCTTTTGCTCTTCAAAGATGGTTCCACGACGGAATCCGATGGCCGGGTAGACGACACTCAATGATTGTTCGGGGTGTGTGGGTTGGGCGTTGGATCGCTCGCGCTCCCAAAAAAGTATACAAGCATTCGCCCTTGCAGGGCTCATTATATTAAATAGGTTAAAATAGATAATTTATTTTTAGAAATATTTATTTTTATTGTATTTATTATTTTTGAGAATCAATTATTAACTTTTAATATTTTGGATAGAAATTATAAAGGTTAAAAAAGTTAAAATTATTTTGGAAAAATAAAAATATCTTGGTTTGATTTTGGATTATAAATTCATAATTTTAACTTTCTCCAAGAACATAGTTCATAGAAAATGGATCAATGGAAAAAGATTGGTTGGCATCACAAGGTATTCCACTTCCATCACTATTTTGGATTATCAATTATCTATTTGTCTTATTTAAATAGGAATAACAAAAATGGTCAATTAATTAATTGACTATTGATTTCATTTATTAGTATACGAATATAAAGACATGTAAGGTATTATTTGACCAAATTTCTGCAACGAGGTGACTTTTTGAACTTTGTTCACCCAGCTGGATTGATTGCTGTGCATTCTGATTATTTGGTCATTGATTAATAGAGATGCATAGACTAGAAATAACAACAATCAAATCAATTCTACTCAATTCCTATATTAGAAGAAAGATATTTCATTTTGTTAGATGGATACATTTGAGTTTACAATTAGATAGATCACTAGATTCATTTGTAAAAAAGAAGAGAAAGAGTATTCAACAAAATAATAATAATAATGATAATAATGATAAAGAAGAATATAGATATTTTAAAACATCATTCAAGAATAATCAACAATTAGAGAATGGTCAATCATTGACAGAAATGTTAAAGTATAAAAGAGGTGATCTCTTTATGAAATATCTACCTAGGTATTTGGAGATTGTCGATCACGCTGATATCGATCAATCAACAACTACTATCGATTATAAAAGTAATCTTGCATTACTTGCAATTCAAACATGTCACATTCCATCAATCATCTCTTCATTGATACAATACTTGAATGTCAATGATGAAAAGGTCAATTTGGTCATTAAAAGATTAACTTCAAAACCTTACATTTATTATAAATTATATAATAATAATATAAACATGTCAATACAATATATTGATATTTTACAATCACTTTATAATCAACAACAACAACAACTAAAAAATAACAAGATCAACTTTAAATTTAATTATAATCATTCTATTATTAAATTAATATTTAAATATTCAAATTTAATATTAAATCATCTCAACAATATCTCCTCATCCTCCTCCTCCTCTTCATCTTCTTCTTCTTTTTCTTCAAATTCCGATTCAATTATTAAATTAATATTAATATTTAATAATTTGATGAAATTAAATTGGAGAGATATAATATTCTTTACAATTAAAAAAAGAGAATTTAAAGTTTTAGATTACATTTTAATCAATCAACCTAATATAATGAATAGTGGTCATATCAATCATTTATTATATTTTGGTGATTTGGAAATGTTGGAATATTTAAAATCAAAACAAATCCTATTGATTGGTAATATCAATACTTTTAATAGTATACTTTATAATTCTAAAAATGATCCAAATCTTTATAAAGATTTATTAGAATTTACATTAAATAATATTAAAAAAATTAATAATGGAATATTAAAAGGAATACATCCAACTATACTATCATTGGAATTATTAAATCAATTATTGGAAATGCAATCAAATAATAATAATAATAATAATAATAATAATAATAATAATAATAATAACAATAATAATAATAATAATAATAAGAATCTTTCAATTGCATTTAGTCAAAAATTTATTGGTGAATTGGTAAAATATCCAAATATATCTATAAAATGGATAGAACATTATTTGGATTTGGTTTCAATCAATGTTGTTGGACACGATTATAATTACTTTTTAAACAAAACATTGGAATTTGGTAGAATGGATTTATTGGAATGGGTTATTGAAAAATCTATAGATTATCCATACTATATTCATTTTGTACCAAATATTAATAATAATAGTAATATTAGTAATAGTCAAATAACAACAAAATATATGAAAATGATTAGATTTATTTTTGAAAAGGCTAAACAACCAAAAATATCAGACTCTGTTATTTGTCAATTCTTTCAACACTCGTCATTGGAAATGTGGAGTATTTTAGATCTTTTAACTGTAGACTCTTTTATTACACCCAATTCATTTACTACACTTTTAAAAGAGTCTGCTAATCAATCGAGTGCATTATACTCGAGAACGGTTTCATTTCTATCAAGAGAATTGTATGTAGATATTTACACTGACATTTATGCAGTTGATGGTATTGTCAAAAGAAATGATATGGATCTATTGATACGTACCATGCCCCATAAATCTTATTCAGATCATTTTACTGCTCGTTGTCTTGACCGGTTATTCAAAAAAATCGATTCACTCAATCGACATTTAATTAGATTGGAATACATTTATCAAATGATATCAAACTCTTCTCCATCTCTACAGCAATTGGAATACATTCAAGATCGACAAGGAGCAATTGAAATGATTCAATATTTATTACAAAAACATTATATTTATGTTTCAACACATACTCGTATGATTGAAATTCCCTATACTATTGAAATGGAATCTTTAGAATCAATAATGGCTCCAAGACTAGTTGAAAATATATCAATTTACAAACAATTATTTGAATATTTGGACAAAAGTAATATTCATATTCAATTGAATGATTTATCATCAATGGATATTATGATTAGATCAAAAACAACATTATTAAGAGAATATATAAAGTCTCACTGGACTAAAAAGACTACAACTCTGTTGTTAAAGGTTCCAAAACATTTTCAATTTAAATGGGAAAAATGTTTAAAAAGATTTACAACAAACAATCAAATCAATATTATCAAAGATATAAATGATCATTATCCATGGTTTATACAACCTCTATTGATAGATTTATTAAAAATATCTCTTCAATATGGTCATTTAAATTTAATCAAATTTATCACCGATTAAATTAAATAAACAAATATATAGTTTTTAATTATTATTTATTTAATTATTTATTTATTATAGTATTATAGGGTTCATTTGTAAATTTTGTTTTTTTGTTTAATAAACCAATGGATTATTGTAACGTTCAATAGTAGAATGTTTCTTACCAAATTTACCCAACTTCTTTTCATTGTCTGATTGTTCGATTTCCTTTACTTCGACAGTTACATGAGTGAATGGTTTGGAACGAACACCAGTTCTACCTCTACCCTTTACTTCTAATGATTTTTGATAATGTGATCTACCCATCCATACTTGTGCTAAAATAAAAATAAACAAAATAGTTAATATTAATATTTTACTTTCTTTTCTTTCTTTTCTTTCTTTTCTTTTCTTTTTCTTTCTTTAGACTTACAAACAATTAATCTATCAGGATTCAAATTTTTATAATATTCAGCATTGTATCTAGCACTAGTTACCAAACCTCTGATTTCTTTGGCGGGGCCAATGTTTGCAAAGGTTAATTGAGCAATAGCTTCACGGTAAGAGAGACCGGTGATGGCACGAAACAATGGCATCATCTTCCACTTGCTGTATTTGAGGTTGGTGAGTGTTGCAGTAGCAACCTTTGCCTTTTCAGCTGCCTTTTGGCTTCCTTTTTCGATACGACTCTAGTCTCTTCCTCCTTTTTAAAGGCTTCCGAGAACAATTTAGAACTGCTAGTTGTTGATGACATGGTTGATTGTGGAATAGGTGTTGTTGCTGTTGATGGTGCTGCTGGTGCTGCATCTGCTGTCAATGCTGCCAATCTATTTGTTGTCTTTATATATGATCTACTACTACTATTGCCAAATAACATCATTGAATGTCTTGAACTATTATATAATGTTGTTGTGTTTGTAACATTTTGTACAACCAAACTACAATTCTTTGTAAATAATCTATTTAATTGATTCATTCTTTCTTCTTCTTCCTTTTTGTTAAGATTAATAGATTGATGAATGAATGAATGAATGTAATGAATGAATACTGATCAAAACGAAGGCTACTCTGTCCTCTCAGAGGAGGAGACCAATGATCATCTCCCATCATTTGCACAGTTTTTTTTCATTTTTCGTTTTTTTTTTTTTTTTTTTTTCAAACTTTCACGAGTACAAATACTACTTTACTTTATTTGTTTAGTTTTGTTAATAAAATAATTTTATTAAAAATATTAAAGATATTATTAATATATCTGAAATGTAAAGGGTATAGGGAGACTGAGACTTGGGTTGCTTTTTAGATTTTATAAAATAAAAGTAAAAAGATAAAAGTAGTATTGCCATGGTAGAGATTGGTGGAATTTGAGAGATGATCAATTGATACAAATCAACTTGATAGATAAATACAAGTCCAGTTGTTAAAAATACTGGTAGTATAACTAGGTTTACTAGTTTGTTGTTATTTGATACCAATGACAGTAGGAATATAATAATTGCCATTGCCAAATTATAAAATACTGTAAGGATTGAATGAATTGAACAATAATCAAATTGATTAATTTGTCTATTTTTGCTGCCACTATTGCCACCAAATAAAAAAGTAGAGATTGAAAAAGTTGGCATTACCATACAATATTTGTAAACATTGATAAATGGTGCAGTAACTATATGAATTGTTTTAAACCCAGATATCAATATATAGATTGCCAAACAAACTCTAACAAGTGCATAGAAATGTGATTGTAACCTTTCATTTTCTAATCTCTCTTGTGTCTTTTTGATTTCTTTTTCAATTTCATCTCTTTTACGTTGATAATCTTCATTGGCTAGTTGTCGATCGTGTGCCATCTTTTTCAATTCCAATTCTTCGTTTTGTTTTTGTTGTTCAAGGTGCAATCGTTGTTTTTGTTGTAGTTTTTCTATATGCTGTCTTTGGTTGTCTAGAAAGCTCCAACTATATCTTTTCCATTCATCAATACTTTTAATTTGTTTTAATAATATTAATTGATCAATTGAATTTCTTTTTGATGTTGAAGTAGTAGAGGATGAAGATGAAGATGTAGTAGGTTGATTATCTCTTTTAATTTCTTCAATTTCTTCTTCTTCTTCTAAAATATCTTGTTTTGATTTACTCTTTATCAATAATGATGATAATTGATTTTCATCATTATTATTATTACTACTATTAAAATAATCCATTGTTGTATTTTGACATTCTATTACTAAATTAACCAATTGAGGATTTGAATATTTTTTATAATTTTCAAGTAATCCTATAGTCTCTTTAAATTGATCCATTGTGAAAACTGTCATAGTTGTAGGAGTCGAAGAGGTAGAGGTAGATGATTCATCATCTTGATCAGAATCTTGATCCAATAATAAATTACTAGTATTATTATTATCACCACCTTGAATAGAATACATAAATAATTTTAATTTTGAAATGACTTGTTGTTCTTTTTCCAATTGATTATATTGTAATTTTAATTCTTTACAATTCTCTTTAAATATTTCTTTGAAATAAAGTAAAATATTAATACTTTTAGCAATGATAGTCAAAATTAAATGGTTTGCATACCTTTAAAATCATCCATTTCATCCAATAATGATTTTGAATCTGATAATAGAGTATCAATTTCAACTAGATTTCCTTTTTTCATTTCACCATATTGATCCATCAATTCCATATTTTTGTTGTATATATCAACTACTTTTTGACATTGATTAATTACTCTTTTTTCTTCTTCTTCTTCCTCTTCCTTATTATTATTATTATTATTATTATTATTATTATTATTATTATTATTATTATTATTATTATTATTATTATTATTATTATTATTATTATGAGATGATGATTGTTGTTTTTTATAAATATCTAAAGTCTTTTCCAACATTCTAAAATTTGATTGATCCAATAATGTTAAGAGATCATCCAACAAGACTCTTTTGGTCGTTGGTAGATGTTGCTTTTGTAGTTTGAGTTCTTTGACCAAAGTATCTTGAGATTCACGTGATTTCTTGTCAGTAGTTACAAAACCACTAAAACTATTTCGTAGTGTTACAACCATCAATACTACAATAACAATCCTTTCGAGTAATTCTATAGTGTATTGAATTATTGTATCGTATTGATTGGACGACGAAACTATTTCATCGTCATTGTGATTCTTATCCTGTTCATTGACCACCTCTTGGACGTTGGTGGCCGTCGTAGTATCTTTAGTTTTATCTTGACATAGGTCAGGAAAGTTCTTACACAATGAACTAGATTTAAAGTTTTCTTTATTCTTTTCTCCTCCTCCTCCTCCTACTATATTATTATTATTATTATTATTATTATTGCTATCATCATTAGTCGTAACTAATAAATCTGGGTGATTCTTGTAGATACTTTTATGTTGTTGTTGTTGTTGTTGTTTTGGTTGATGTTCACATGATACTACATTTAATACTGATATCAATACAAAACAGCAACATAGTATTATAATACCGCTACTATGTTTATACAAGTTGTTATTCTTCTTTTTTGATTGTTGTGATATCATTACATCTATCTATCTATCTATCTATCTTAATCTGTCTATCTACCAGAAAAAACAATGAACTTCGATGAAATGGTCTTTGAAGAAATTTCCTTTTTTAATTTATTTTTTTTGTAATATTTTCATAACACACTTTATATTTCTCTCTAATCATCAATATGATAATAATTAATACTATAGTTATTTTCAATATTTTCAATAATCTCATCATCATCATATAATAATGTCAGCATCTGTTAAGTGTGGCGCTTGCCAAAAGACCGCTTACCCCTTAGAGTCAATCGTTGCCAATGACAAGTCATACCATAAGGGTTGCTTCAAGTGCTAAGGTGTTGGATGTAAGTACAAGTCATCTGACTGATTGCTGATTGACATCTTGAAAATACTTTAGCATCCCTCAAAATTCATATCTATCTCTTTCTCTCTCTCATATATATGCGTGGTGGTTGATATTGTTTGTTAAACAAAACATTAATTTGTTTGTTATTTTATTATCTTTGTTATTATTATTGTAATTGCCCTTTACTCAAATTTATTGTAAGATCTCTTTATCTGTGCATCAATGCCAATGACTCCTCCTCCTCCTCCTGCCCATTCACACATTTATTGGTGTTTAATTTGCTTGTTGTTGATATTTTGTACTGCCACTCTGATCGATGGGTAGATAAAAACTTATTTTCACTTGAAAAGGAGACAAGACGTTGATACATTATCCATCCAAGCTTGAAAGCCAATTATTTTTTGGTTTGAAAAAATTTTATTTATTTTCACACCCAAAAAAAAAATCTAGCAGGCTTGCTCAGAGGTCCTCTGAACCTTCAATTTCTTCTTTTCTTTTTTGATTATCATCACAATAATAATATTTTCTTAATATTAATACTGTAAGTAATACAATAGACAATACTTTTTCAATCACCAAGTATGATTTTATTCTCTCATTAATAATATTATGGACACTCTTAATCAATGATATTATTTTTCATTAATAACACTATGATTTTTCATAATGACACCACTTTTCTATCTCCTGATAACACTACTTATCTCTATCTCCAATCAATATGATTTTTCATAATAACACCACTTTTCTCTATATCCTAATAACACTACTTATCTCTTCATTAATCAATACTATGATTTTTCATAATAACACTACTTGTCCATAAATCTACTTAATTCTCTGTTTAATCAATAATGATTTCCATAATATTAACACTTTATATTTCTCTCTCTAATCATCAATTTGATAATAATAATACTATAGTTATTTTCAATAATCTCATCATCATATAATAATGTCAGCATCTGTTAAGTGTGGCGCTTGCCAAAAGACCGCTTACCCATTGGAGTCAATCGTTGCCAATGACAAGTCATACCATAAGGGTTGCTTCAAGTGTATGTAATAATAATCAAATTCAAAATTCAAGTTGTCAAAAAATGAAATGAAATGAAATATATCAAGTTTGAAGTGAAGAGTGAAGCAGAAGGAGAAGTAGAAGTGTGAAGTGAATCAAAAAAAAAGGAAGATATATATTCAAGACTAAAGATGAAGGCAGAGATGAGGTGTGAGTGCGTTGATATATATTTCATATTATTATACTTTGTTTATTTTTTTTTTTAATAGATCAATTTCTCTAACTTTTTTTTTCCTTCTTTTTTTTAATTTTTTTTTTTTAGGCGCCGTTTGCAAGATGACTCTCAACGTTAAGAACTTCAAGTTGAGTGACGGTCAACTCTACTGTGCTGTCCACACTCCAAAGGCCACTGCCACCGCTGTTGCCGACTCTGTTGCCATCAAGAACGCCTTGAACGCACCAAAGAAGTCCTTCGAAGGTCTCGGTACCGCCCAAAAGGGATCTGGTGACAGACCAAACGTTGGTTTGGACTCGTTGGCCACCAAGAATGCTATGAACGCTCCAAAGAAGATCGCCGAAGGTGCTCGTGGTGTCCAAAAGGGAACCGGAGGTACCCCACAAACCGTCTACTTTGGTGGTGACGAAGGTCACCAATCCAGTGCTCCAGCCGAAGGTTATGAACAACAACAATACGAAGAGGCTCCACAAGAACAACAATACGAGCAATACGAAGAACAACAACAATACGAGCAATACGACGAGAACCAACAACAATATGATGAAAACCAACAATATGAAGAACAACAATACGAAGAAGAACAATAAGCCTGTTGTCAGACCGACCAAACCAAAAAGTCACAACAAAGCATTGAACATGTAGTATTATTGTATGCACACAAACAACAAAATGTACTTGCTATTATATTAATTTAAAAAAAAAAACAAAAAACAAAACAGTCCCATTTAATTTATTTTATCTGTTTATAATATATAAAAAAAAAAAACAAATAAAACATTATGTATTGTATTTAAAACTGTAATATATATATTCTAAATCAAACAAAACAAACAAATAATAATAATAATAGTCTTTTAATTTATTTATTTGTATTTTAATTTATTTTAAGATTATTTGTTTTCAATAAATCCATATTGAAAAATACATTTATTTAATAATCGATCTACATCTATGGTGGAGTCTGTATCATCAGTCTTTGGAAATTCTTTTAATAACCAAGCAATGGTTTGAGAATGAAATGTAAGGATTGTTCCCAAATCTTTGACGATGTTTGGTGCTTTGAGTTTATCTAAAAGTGGTGTTGGTTGAGTTTGAGTTTGAGTTTGATAATACTCTTGATACTTTTTGAAATAGTCTAGTACTTTTGGGAATCCATATGATCTTGAATCAGGTTGAAGAAAATCAACTAGTAATAGGTGTTTGAAAAGATTGTCTTGTTGTAGGACATTGCTTGGACAATGATCCCAAATTTGTTGATAGTTTAGAGTGTTGAAAGGATAAAACTCTAACAATTTTGCAAGTTCTCTGTCTTTGATAGTACTATCAATTGAAAAGTTTGATGGTACAAAAGGAATGAGCGATTGGATTGAATTTTGTATTACCAGTTGACCAAATGTTTGTAGTCCACTTCCAATTAAAACTTTAGTATCGTAATGTTTTTGAATGTATTCAGGATGGAGTGATTGAATGAGTAGATCTTGATCTTGATTTTTCACTGCTGCATAGATACATGAATTAAGATTAAAGGTGGAAAGTTTCTTAAAATCTGATATATGATTATATTTAATCATTAATGGTATTAATCTACAAATTGCGTGTCCATTTGGTATACCATCAATATCGATTGATCCAGACATTGCAGTTGATATAAAATAGGATAATGTTTCTGTACTGACAGTTGCAAGATTACAATATTTGAGTACATTTGAAAAGGGTATTGTAAGAACTGTACTGTTCCATCTTGGCATTAAAATAGAAAGAGATTGAATATCATCCAATTTTAAAGCACATCCAATCATTTTATCCAATTGATTCATATTATTAATATTTTCTAGAGTTATCTTGGATTCAAAATATTGTACCATTGTATAATTCTTATTCTCGATAGATTCTATTAAAAGTAATGGTATGTCACATGATACATGTGGATGATTGATCAGTTGATCAATAAGTGTCTGTGATAAAAGAGTTGGATGAATACTAACAACTGACCACTTTTTAGATTCGAAATGATCCAATAGATAATTTGAAGCTTTTAAATTACCATCACGTAAATATTTACCCAAAAGTATGGGTCTTAGATCCAAACGAATATCCTCTTCTTTGATTTTTTTCATTAAGGTGACAATACCAAATTGAAATCCATGCATAAATGGTGTACCACCAATGATCTCCTCTCTAGGTTTTCTTTGTTTAACTTGTTCACATTTAATTGCAAACTCTAACAATTCATCATCCATGTCAACGTCATGAACACTAGCTTCATTTAAAAAGTAACTGTATGTTTCTTGATACCTAGGAAATCTTGTACACACTTGAATTAATAGTCTAGTCATTGTTTTCTTTTCTTCATCTGTTCTAAATTGAACCAATGGCCATAATGAACCCAAAGATCTAGAAGAAGAATTCTTTATAAAGTTTGTTGATGGGATGGGATCGACCAATTGATCCAATACCAAACAAAGTCGATCAAATAGTTTCGATTGTCCACCATCCAAGTTACAAATGATTGTACCAATGATTGAATCAATTGGATAGATATCAAGCTTTTTAATACAACTTGCGAATAAAGGATGATTCTTGTCCAATAGTTGAATTAATAACTTGGTTGTATCAATATCCAAATTGACCAAGTTTCTAGCATTTAAAAATACACCTTGTATTATCAAATCTTTGACATATTCATCTGATTGATAGTTTTTGATTAAATAATCAATAATATAAATCAATATATCATTCATTTGATATTTTAATATATATTTAAATAAATCATTTAAAGGAGATTGTGTTTGAATCTAAAAAAAAAAAGTAAAGAAAAAAGTTAGAAACTATAAATATATGTTGATATATTTTGGTATATTTATTTACCTCTTTTTGAATAGCAATGATACAAAATACTTGATCAAAGTATTGATAGAATAGATTTAATTGATTATACTTTAAATAATCAAATAAACAATGCATATCATCAATCTTTAGAGCAGGTGATTTTAGATTCGAGTATTGATACAATAAATGATGTTGATCAGATACTCTTTTAAATATTTCATTCCTCAAATACTTATTATTAATGATTGATTTAAATAATATAGTAGTAATAGTTGTACAACTATTATTTGTATTTGTATTATTCATCATTTGAAAGAAAATAAAAATAAAATGACCTTTTAAAAAAAAAAAGAAAAAAACTATATTACTTGTCTTTTTATTCTTTTAATTTACTTTTTATTTTAGTTTAGATTGAATTTAAATCAATTTTATTACCTTTAACATAGATAGAATCAACATTACGATCATCACCAAGGAAAATGAATTTTTGGAAAATGTCCAAGGGAGTATCAGCATCAAACACGTCAAAGGGAGAGTTTTGGGAGAAGGGGTCGATGATTTGGGCGTCGAAATCCTTGCCGTCGATAAAGTTACCGATCGTGTCTTGGAGATTGACCAATTTGCTGCCACCGACTGTGGCCAAGTAGAATGCTTCTTCAAAACCGACGGGTGAATAATCTTTCTTTTCTTGGTCGGTTGGTTTGTTGAATTGGATAGAGTTGGATGCCTTGATGACATCTCTAATGACGACGAGCATGGATGCGCTGTAACCACCGGAAACGTCTGTACCCAGTCCGACCTTAACATCCATACCTAGAGCCTTGCGAACATCCAATGCACCACTAGACAGTGTAAAGTTGGATACGGGACAATGGGAGACACCGGCACGAGTCTCTGCAAATGTGCGTAACTCTGTTTCCGATAAATGACATCCGTGAGCCATGATGGTGCGTTCATGCATCATGTCAAAGTGGCTGTAGACGTCGGTATAGCTGCTACATTGGGGGTACAGTGATTGCACCCATTTGCATTCATCGATGTTTTCTGAAATGTGTGATTGCAACAATGTATTGTGACGGTGACTCAGCGCACCCAATTCCTTCATCAACTTGTCGCTGCATGAAGGTGCAAAGCGTGGTGTTACGATGGGTTGGACGAGTGGGTTGTTGGCTGCTTTGATCGCCGTGATAAACTCTTCAGTGTCGCGCACAGAGTCGTCGGTCTGCTCGACATAGTGGTCTGGTGAGTGACGGTCCATGCACACCTTGCCGACATAGGCACGTTGACCTGCACGAGTAACAATCTCGGCAAGCAACTTGGATGCGTCTGTATGGATCGTTGCAAAGTAGCAGCATGTTGTAGTACCGTTACGCAGCATACGACGTACCACCTTGCGATACACATTGTCTGCAAATTTCAAGTCTCTAAACTTGGACTCTGTAGGAAAGGTGTACTTTTCAAGCCACTTTAGTAGCGGCAAGTCTGTACCGGTACCAGCATTGTGGTACTGTGGAGCATGTGCGTGTGTATCGATAAACCCGGGGATGATGAACCGACGACCAAGGTTCACTACCTGTGCATCTGTGAATCCAAGTTGTGTCTTGAGCGACTCATACTTGCTGTCATCTACCACATTCTCTTTCACAAATCCAATGGTTCCACTCTCTGTAATACCAATCAAACTATTCTCTAATATCTGTACATGACTTGCTTCTAATGAATGAATCAAAGTTCCTCTAAATACTAATTTTATTGGTATTCTACAAAAAGAAAGAAAGAAAGTTAATATTCATATTCATACTACACCACTCTAGCATATACAATATACATATACATATACATAATACACATATACATATATAACATACCTTGTGATAGAATTCATTATTATTATTATTAAAAACACAAACAAAGAAAATAAATGAAAAATGAAATGTTGTTGGTTGTCCTGGGTTTTGATGATCTTTTTTTTTGATGATATTTTTGAAAAATATCTGCAAGACAAATTAATTTACAATATTTGTTTGTTTATTTGTTTATTTGTTACACTTATTTTTTAATCTTGAGAATTTAAAGTCTGACAAAACGTTGATTGTAATAATAGATTGACCTTTCTTCTTCTGACTCTGTTATCAGTTGTTGATGTTGTTTGGATACTTTAGTTATTCTTGTTTTGAGTTGATAAGGGTTGATAGAACTATCTAATTTACAAGTGTTTAGACAATCTTCTAGAAATAGTTTGATATTTCGTTCCTTGGCCAATAGATTAGGATTATTAGTGTCTTTGTAATCAAAATATTTAATGACTACTCTAGCTACTAGATCAAGCTGACAATGTAATCTAGATTTCCTAATCAATGCCTTCCAATATTTTTTGGTCATCGCAGGATGATCAAAACACTCAACGGGAAATGTATCCAAACATTCTAAAAGAAATGTTGATTGTCCAACTACAAATGTTCCCAGTCTAATTGGATTATCTTTACTAATAATACCTAAATCCTTAAATAATAAATAAATAAATAATAAATTAATTAAATATATTTTTATATATATATTTATATTTTGTTTTAAACTACATACAATAAATTTTGATAATATATCAATTCTTTGTCGATAGATAGTAATGGTGACTGTTGATTGCCAATTAGAGTGAATGATTTGACCACCATCCCAATCAATTATAAACTGTATTGCCTCTTGAATTCGATTGCCACACAGTATTGTAATGGTCTTGCGAAATAGATCAATTTCACCTTGTGCTTGATAAAAGTCCAACCCTATACCACAATCTCTGATTTCAAGTGCCATTGAATAGTTGCCTCCCAAAATTGCATGTTTAAAGATTGATAAGAGTTGGGTAGGCTGTGTGTTGACATGTGATAAACATGATTGTACAATATTACTTTTACCAAGTAGAGCTGCATATTTGTATATTTCAAATAGTAAGGTTGAAGGAGGTGAATAGTTACCTCCTCCTCCCCCTCCTCCTTCTTTTTTAATTGAGAATATATCAAACAATTGGTCCAAGTAAAATGGGTCTGGTTTCCAATTGGAGTGAATCTTTGTTAGGTCAATTAGACCAGACTTGAAAATATTGGTAACAGAGTTAACTTTACCATTTTCAAACGAGTGTTGAAATATAGCCAAGAGTGATCGTTTGGCGGCCATGTCTAGCTTAGCTCCCCAATGAACAGTTACGGCATACTTGAATACTTGTGGGTTATCAGAATGTGAACAAATTTCAACAATCTTATTGCCTCCCATCGGTGCTGTCAATATAAAATAGGATGTTGTAATTGAATTGTCACACATTATAATTGACTTTACTATTTCAAAATTGATTCTTTGATTATTATTATTATTATTATTATTATTATTATTATTATTATTATTATTATTATTATTACTATTATTACTAGTATTAAATTGTTTCTCTAGTAAATAATATATAAATAATAAATTAAGTTCTCTTTTGGTAAAGAAATCACTATGACTATTATTATTATTATTATTATTATTACTATTATTACAGTTATTACTATCTTTGATTACAGTATTATAATGATTTAATATTAAAGATAGTTTTGATTGAAAATAATCTTGACTTGATGATACTTGTTGTTGAGTGGTTGATAGTCCATTGTGATCAAAATGTAATTTGAGTTGATCTAATATTTCGACCAACCTAATATCATTGTCCAACCATGACAAGTCTTCATCTCGCATAAAAGTATCGAGATGAAATACTTCTTCTTCTTCTTGGTTTGTAGGACTGGTGATGGGTGGTAGTGGTGGCGGCAATTGAAAGGTTGATACCCAAGATACGATTGCTTTCAATTGGTCTTGATCATTTGGATGATTAGCAAAAATAACCACGACCATAAGTAGCAGGTCGACGGGCACGATGATAAGAAAAGAAGATCAACCCATCTCTCTTGCCCTTGACATTGACGTCGCACGATGCCAGCCTCTCCTTTATGACCTTTTCAAAGACAGGAGTGCCTCTGAATTGGTAGCTCGATGAATACTCTTTACATTGTTAAAGATGGTGTATCGTAAATAGGCATCTTTGAATACCCTTGTAAAGAGAGTATTCATATCGACACCGGTGCTACTATTAACACATATTATTTGTTCTTGTGTCATTCATTATACTTTCAACGACAACGACTCTTTAAAAGAAGAAGAAAAGAGAAAAGTCTCTGAAGATCATTCAAACCCCCACCTTTTAAATAATTAATTAAAAATTATTAAATTTATTTATTACCCAACTTGAATGTGTTTCTATCCTACTATTCACATTTTTGTTTTTTATATGTATGTATATGTATAAATGTACATATATAGAGTAAATAGAGCAACAATTAAGAATGATGATGAACTAATAAAATAATGATATCATTGTGTATTCTTTGGGATACCAATATGGAGGAACCAAAGCAACAACCAACAAGAAAATTACAAAGAGATGAAAATCGTATGTATCATAGATAGGTAGATAAATATTACTACTCTTATTAACACACATAGAATAAATCTATTGAAAGATATTAGATGTAAACTTTATAATCAAAGTGACTAATCTTTAAAAAAAGGGATATTGTTATTTGGAAGGCAAATTGGAAATTTCCACCATACCATCACTTGTCCACTGCTTTATCGATCCGACCCTATTTCTCGAATAAGGTTCGAGAAAGATCTTTTTTATTTTTAATTTTCCAAAATATCTACACTTTGATGATGTATTAAAACGGTTGAATCTGAACACACAACAATCAATCACTTCACTTTATCTATATTGTCCTAACCCATCTGCACACACACACAATGAAATCAAATATTTCTCTTTTACTATTCATATCATCATTATTATTTTTAACTGTATGTACACTTTAATCAAGATTGTTTTTTATTCTATTACTAATCTTTCTTTCTCTTTCATCTTGTCGATCTATCTATATCTATAGTTTTGTAATTCAACATTAGTTCAAAACATTGATGTCTTTAATGGACAGAGTGTATATCAAGTAGTTAACCTTACATCGGGTGAACTAGTTTCAAGTGTTGCCTTTCCCAACGGAGGTATTTATGAAAATATCTTTGGTATTGCTCAACAAACAGGAGATAAAATCTTATTGTTTGCTCAATATTACAAAAATGTATTGCTTCTTTCTTATACAATTTCTGTATGTAATACAATTAAAACAAATATTCATCGCGATACATAATAATTAATTAATAATTTATTTAAAAAAAAAGACAAATAGTCTTAGAGTAATTCAACAAATGACAACTGTATTCAATTATATCATAACTGATCAATCATTGGGATATTGGGCTGGCCAAAAGTTTATTTATGCTAGTGGACAAATTCCATATGGTTTAACCAATTACATTTCACTTATCATGATTGATTTTGTCACTCAAAGATCGTAAGTCTAGATCACTAGTCTCTTCTTATATTATTATAATATAATATATACTCAATTATTTATTTATTTTTTTTAAATTAAAGATTAACAGAAACTTTTGACGCAATACCACTTGGATCAAATATAGAGGTAGCAGGTGTATATTATAATAATTCTTATTATCTTGCCTATGGATATGCACCATCGGAAAAAAATTCAACCACATCCATCTTTTATTGTCCATTTGCAACTTATCAAAAACTAAGTTTCACAGTTGAAAATATCCCTTCTTGTGACATGAAGTTGTTCATTTATCAAGACCAGCTGTTGATTGCCAGTGTTGGGGATGACAGTGCCAGCATTTTCGTAGCTGATTTTGAAACAAAAGAGGCCACGCTTGTATTGACACTTCCCTTTACCAACAGTACCATCCAACCATTCATTCAAGATCCAGCTGGCTACTTGTACATGCTATCACCCGAACCAAATAGTAGTGGTAGTGATGCTATGCTAACCGTCACTACTATCGACCTTGAAACATATAGTACTACCACTAGAACCATTCCTGATAATATTCAGTCGGGATCTTGGATTCTATCAACTGTAGACAATTTAAATTAAATATATATTTATTTATCTTTATCAAACATGTATTTTTATTATTATTATTATTATTATTGGTGCAATGTAGGAATAGACAAATTTGAGTTCTTTTAGAAATTATTATTTTAGATTCTTATTTAATTTTCATCTTCATCATCATCATATCCATTACCAGAAAGGTTATTATAATTATTGTCATCATCTTCTTCATTGTCAGAAGATACACGAGAGTATTTTGATTTTGATGGATTTTTTAATGTTGCTTTGGATGACCTCTTTTTGGTGTTCTTATTGTTATTGTTGTTATTATTATTTGTAGTTGCAGTTGTAGTTGTCGTTGTCGTTGTAGTAGTAGTGGTAGTGGTAGTGGTAGTTTGACCAGCAAGTGGGAACATCAGAGATGGCAATGCTCTCTCGACAGCATCCAACCTATTTGACATTGGTGGGAATTCTTCTCGACCAATGATATCAGGGGTATCTGGAAACAAAAGGGTTCCTTGTTGATCATAAGTATAACTATTCGATATATCAATATGGTTTATCATCTCATAGAGTTCATCTGCCAGCTTTTTATTTTGGAAACATATCTAAAAATAAAAAAAAAAGAATTAAAATGAAATGATTAATAGAAATGATGATTGACTTTTAATAATTAAATTTAATTATGACATACATAAATTCCAGCATATAGAGTATGAACCAAATTTCTATTTGCATCACCAACACAAACTCTTCCTAATATTGAGAATGATAATTTTTCATGTCTGTGTTGATTAACAGCACCATCATATTTCCAACCCCTGATGTTAAAGATTCCCCAATCTTCGTCGGCTACATAAATAGATGGAATATCAATACGACGGGGTTGTGACTATATTAATTGAATTTTCATATTAATATTTTTAAATATTATAATCAACAAGCTTTTTAATTAATCTCTCTCTCTATCCTACTTACATAGGTTGAGACAAAGTAAACATCTTGATCAGTCTTTGCAATGAATGTGAATGGATCCATTCCAAGGTGAGCAATTGTTTTCATTTGACCCACTTCCTTTTGAACATTGCTGTCAAGCATACCAGCCCTACCAGTATGCAAACCGGGGTCAGAAAGTTCAAATGGTTTCATTCTAATATCTAAATTAAATTTATGGCAATAATCATTCAAGGTCAGTACAATTTTTTTTTTTAATATTTTTAAAATATGCATACCAAAACCATAAATGGTCATTCCAGTGGCTAGATTCATAGTATTAATACAAATACCAAGGGGGTTATTGGCAGGGTGACGAATAAAAGCAGCTAATCTTTCCCTTTCGGTTGCTCCTTCGTTAGTTTCCACATTGGCATACTGTAAAAGAGTGCTGTAAAAATCCTCACACAATCCATCTGGTACGTCGAATAAACCCAATACTTCACCAATTCTCTCTTTGATATTGTATTGGTGGTTTTTGGATAAGAGCGAACCTTGTTTATCCGGATCAGGGTGATCATCCATATAGTTTGTTCTGGTGAAGTGTGGATTTCCCCTCCCAATAATGATCATTAGTTGGTCAAATTCAGCTTATGTAAAAGAATATTCAACAGGTTAGCAATTTTTATACATTTCTCATGCATTTATATTAATATTTACATACTTGCTTCGAAATTGGTACAAAAACTGTGATGTGACATTACAAACTTGCCATCTGAACCACCAACATTTTCACCAAAAAGCTGATAGTCCTCAGACCATTGAATGCCTGTATCAATTGGGAGTGATGGAATGTTGAGTGAATGGTCGATAATATATCCATTTCCAGTCTCACTGTCTACAGATATAAGATACTATATTTTTGGTAAGGTATACAAGAGTGTTAATACATTTTTTAATGAAAAGAATCTATAGATTTATCTATCTATCTATCGCTCAATCAACCATACCTTTGCGTGAGCGTGTCTATAACCACCAGGGGTTGTCGCTTCCTCATGATTAATACTATCATCGTCACTAGCCTCGGCGGTAGGTTGTTTTTTACCATTACCGGCACGACCCAAGATGTCATGGTACCAAACCTGTGCCTCTATGCGTTTTTGGTCTACACATCCGGGTTTGACCAAGCCTTCCTTGACCTTTTTGCTCCCTTTTGTTCTACAATCATCGTAGACATCCTTGTTGTTATCGTAAGCTCTCTTTGTATGTCTCTCCCAAAACACTTTGATATTGATCGGGTCATGAGCGGGTTTGTTTGGAACCAGTTGATCTTCTTCAATGTCCTGTATTAATTGTATATATACCCGATAAGTATGTATGATCGATTGAATATTTAAAAAACGAATGATTTATACATACAAGGTATAGATTATTAGAATCCATGTATACAAAGCCTCCACCATGTTCGTTGTCTTCTGATTGTTTTGAAAAAAGGAACCACCAATCAACAGTTATGATCGGTGTTCCCATTTGCAAGTCTACTGGCATACCAATACATCGTGGTGGTGTAAAGACTGACTCTACATAAAGGAAGAGAGAAAAACTAACAAATAAAAAGAAAAAGATGACTTTTGAGAAAAAATAGGTTGAGACCAGAGTCATCGTATTGCTAGTGTTCACTAATTAAAAAAACTATATATATTTGGGAACAATTAATTAATTAATATTAATCATAAGTAAAACTAAGTGTATGGATATACATACTTTGTTTTAGAGAAGAACTAACAGAATCTTTTTTTTTCTTTTGTGTTTTGAGAGCAAGAGAATCCTAATTATTATTCGCAAAGAATATCTCAGGTCACATGTTATCATCGCGAGCTGCCTTCATTGTCTGTACAAGCTTGAAGATATTTCATTGCGCACGCCCAAAAGAAATATTTTGAGAGATTCCAAAATCACAGATACGAAGCGAGTGATAGGGAAGGATATGCCAATCAACAAAAATCTGGAAATTATTGGGGGGCTGATTATTTTAAAAATATTTTTTTTCTAAAGATTGGGCAAGGATGGTTCGTGTCAGCTTGATTCACATACGTGTGTATAGAAATATTCAAACATACATACCAAACATGACAAGAGATAATAGTTCTATAGTATTTTTAATTGTTGTTGTCTGTTTGGCAATAGTCAAAGCACAGAGTAGTAGCAATGACTACCAAGTATATGTTGACCAAAATTCAATGTGCACAGCCGACTGTGGTACTGAAATGTCACCCTTTTCCAACTTTGTTGATGCCATACAATTCATTTCTTTGATGCGTAGCAACAAGTCGTCGGCTGCTGTCAACGTGGACTGGCTCTTTCAAAACACCCAAAACCACCAAACGATTGGTACCATCATTGCAAAGGAGGGTATTTATCGTGGATCTAAAAACAAAGGTTTAGATATCAACTTTCCATTACATATTGTGTACGTATAAAATAAAAAAGATAAATAAAAAATGAATCAATAAAATAAAGAAAAGTGAAAAAAATGATCATCATACACGGATGGGCCAAGTGGTAGTTCTTTTGAATATTAATTAAATTATTCTTTATTTTTTTATTTTAAATTTTAAATAGTTCACAATCACCGACCAAACAAACTACACATGGTTTGGTTACATTTAATGATGCACAAGTAATCATTGATTGTGAGGGTGTAGGTAATGCAATCACAGTCAAGAATGTTACTCTGTTCAAGTTATCGAATATTGGTATTCATCGTTGTGTCGGTTCTTCAGGTGGTGCTCTATCGGTTGTAAACTCATCGGTCGTCGTAGGTGCTGTTACATTTGTCGGTAATCAAGCTCTCAACGGAGGTGCTGTCTCATTGTCCAATTCAAACATTGACTTCACTCGTTGTCTCTTTATGGACAATAAAGCTGTCACTCAAGGATACGATATCTATGCTTCATCGTCTGTCGTCGGTCTGTCAATGACTAATCAAAAACCATGTGACATGTATTCTACCGGAGGATCAGTGTCGGTTAAACTCGATTCATCGTATCTTTCAATCGACAGTTTGACAGGCATAGAGGGTCTCAAAATAGTAGGTGATCTATCTACTATATCAGTACCCACTGGTATCGTCACTGTTCTCGATCGTACATGTCCAACTCCACCAACAGGTATGATATCTATCAATCAAATAATTAATTCACATACTAATCATTATTCCTTTTCTATTCTATAGTATCATGGGCATATGTATTCAAAACATTTAGTACTTATTCTGAGAGTTGTAACAACAACAATGTATGTGATAATGGAGAGTCATGCTTTTCATGTCCATCTGATTGTTCTTGTGTTGCTCATGGATGGAAGCTTGAAATATTCAAGACCATTCCTGCACTTCCCATCACCTTTGCTGCTGACATTATTCAATTGTCGTCGTCAAGTATTGCCAACCTTGCCCACCCCTATGCTATTCTCAATTCGTACTTGAAAGTTAATAAGCATGCTACTTATGAATTTAAATTCATCGGTAGTAATTGCGGCCTAGTCTTTTCAGTTGATGGAATTGATTTTGTCTATACTGCAGCCTCCCTCTCCAACGTTGATACAACCAGATCAGTTAGACTGACAGCCACCAATGTACACCATCTTCGTATCGCCATCACCAAAGGAGTAGCACCCAACACTGGTGCCAAACTCAAGATCTATTGGAGAAGAAAAGCTGATGGTGAACAATTCATATTACTTGATCCATTTTATTCTAAAAATAGTATGTTGATTTATTATTTATTATAATTACTAGTAATTATAACCTCTAACATATTATTTATTTTCAATAGTTTGTAATGATGGTATTTTGGATGATAGAGAAAAAATACCAGCCTATAAATGTGTTGCTGATCAAGAAAAGGCATTGGATCTATCAAAAGATACTTGTGGAGATGGAATTTGTAGTGAGATTCCAGAGGATTGTCTTGTTGATTGCTACCATGTTTTAGCTCCAATGTGCCCAGAACAAGCCACACCTTATCGTCTCGATCCAATCTATTCCAAGATGGATTTCGTTGGAACAGCTCTCAACAACCAATACATGTATTCGTTGCCAGGTATCCAACTCTTGTCCCACGGTGTTGACATTATGACTGATGAAAATAGGAATGCACCTTTATTCCATTTTGGATATTGTGACAACTCATCCTACACCACTGTGCATGACCTGTACCGTGGTCTAGTATACACAGTTCCCAAAGGAATACTTGCTATTCCAACACCCAAATGCTCGTATTCAGCCTCGACCACAAGTTATTCGTCATCTTCTAAAATGTCACAAGAAATGTCTAAAGATACCAGTATGGATGCTTCTGCCAACCTTGGTGGCTCATATTGGGGAGTGTCAGTCCAAGCTAGTGTTGCATTCTCTCAGTCCTCCTCTGTCAAATCTGCAAATGATCTAGAGAAGAAGGTGTCTGGACAAATCATGGTAGACCAAGTTCTATGTGAGACGACTCGAGTTCACATCTCTGCTGACACTCTGACCTTCCATCCCAATTTCGTTAGAGATGTTTCACAAGCCGACACAATCCCCAAAATGGAACTAGCAGTCGCCAAGTACGGATCAATGTACATAAAGAGTGCTGTGATGGGTGGCTCATTGACTCACGTCACAGTCGTATCCCACACCACCCTTGATAGCAAAACCTCTTCTGAAATGGAAAAGCATACTCAACTTTCATTGTCTGCCAAGGTTTCCTCGCCAGCACTCAAGGTCAATGCCAACTACAAGACAGGTACCGACAACTCAATCACAAGTGAACAACAAAACAAGTTTGAAGATGACAGCGCATCAACGACGATTATCACTAAAGGTGGTCCCCCAGGTTCTTTTGGTCCCGACACTAAAGGTTCCCACAACAACTTTGGTGAATGGGCAAAAGCAGTCGATCTCTTGCCTGTACCCATCAAGAAAAAGTATGGATTCATTTCTGATTTGATCCCCACCAACTGGCTCGTCAAAGGTTCTACCGAAACCATCCAATCATTGTGGACCAAAGCTGAAATTGCTCACCTTTACAAACGTTATGCAAGTAGAGTTGATTTTGACCAAATTGAATGTATGTAAAAGTGAATAACCCTTACAACAATATTTACTCATAATGATGATGATGATTAACACTTACTAACTACTTTAATCTACTTTAGCATTAAAATCAGATGAATCGATTTATTATTTGAATGCTCCAAAATCTGCTGGCACATCGTATCTACTTACGTTTACCATTAAAACGATTAGTGGACTAACCAAAATATCATCCAAGACATTGGATTCAGGAGCACTATTTGTTTTACCACTTGGTGAGGTACAATCAGTCTCTGGATATCCAACCAGCAAAATATCTTTTGATGTCTATGATGTGGTTAACTCTCGTATCTACCACACAGTGTTTGCAAATAGTGTATGGGGCCAGTTATCAGAGTACAGCTTCAGCCTTCGTATTCAAAACACTAAAAATGTTTGTCCTACTTGCACCGTCTATCCAATCATTCGAATCACCTTGCAAGGTACACTCGACATCCACACTGTCTATTTCAACCCGACCACAGATCCAGGCATCAAGCATTTTATGGATGGTCCGTATATCGGAGACATCGAGTTTGTGTCATTTGAACCAATGACAACATTTGGAAATGAGGACGTTACCTTTTCCTACACAATCGATGTATTCAACATTGTCCAATACTGTCCCAACGCACCTGGAGTTCGATACGGTGCTGGAATGTGTACCATCCCCGCTAACATGCCCATCGAGAAAAAGTACTCGACCATCTATGGTACTACACAAAGACAATTCGTCTTGCCAAATGAGCAAGTTACAACCGTCACCATGACCAAAAATGATATCATTCCACTTTCAAATGCAATTTAAAAAATATAAAAAAATAAATAAACCAAATCAAAATCAAATCAAATAAAATTTCTTTTAAACAAATAAATAAACCAAATCAAAATCAAATCAATTTTGATTCCTTTCTATTTATCCAATTAATTAATCATTATTTTTTTTATTTCTTTATTTATTTTTGATGAGGTGGGTTTGGGATTAATTAACACACGGGATTAATTGTTCATTGCCTCTTTTTCCATGACATAATTTCTAGTGTATAAATATGGGAACCTTGATGGGTCCATAGATATCATATTCATGCTCAGGTAGGCAGTTGATTGTGAAGTGAGGTATTGATAACTATTCATTAGAGTGTGGTGGTAAAGTGCCCTTCTCTTCCAAGTTGAAACAGTGGGCTGAGGCTGCATGGAGAGTGCCCAGTCGACTCGGCAAGTGCTTCCGATTTGGTTATTGAGTTTGTAACGATAGGTTGGTGTACCGGTAACGTAGGGGTGAGAGAAAAGGTTGAATGTGAATTTGTGTTCATCATTATTCCAAGTGAATTGGTGCTCACCCAATAAGGTTTCGGTACCCGATGGATTGGTATAGTAGATTTGTACCTTGTCTTTAATTTGAGAAAGATCTTGGGTGTTGTAAAATACCTTTAGGAAGGAAGAGAAAGAATTCTGGCTCGCTGGAGAGTTGTTCAAATATGTGATCAATGGGGCAACAAGAACCGATCCATAGGTTTGGGCTACTGTAGTGGATACATAGGTGGTTGTCATTGGTTTGAATCCGGTCTTGTCAAATGTGATACCTTCTGACGACTCGAATCTGACAATCGAAAACATTGGGTCTGTGGTCGATGGAACACCAGTGACCGTGATGACAGGTGTGGTAGTACTCGTTAAAAAGTCAGCATCCAATACAAAGTCAAAGCGAAGCGGTGATAAGATTGCTTTACGACTGTAATGACAATATCTATTAGTGATATCTGCGATTTTTGGATGAGAAAATCCAATTGGATCTTGCCAACATGTATCACTGGAAGTAGGTAAAGAAGTAGGAACCTTATAGTCCAAGTCCATGACATAGGGTGGATACCAAGAGTTGGTTGGGTCATCCTTTTTTCTGTTGAAATAGGGCTCGATCTTGGATACTTTTGGCTTATTGTTGGTGTCGGTCCACTTGATAGAGATGGTGGGAAGGTATTGGGTGTTGGATGGAGTGGTATGAATCAACATCATGTACTTGAATTGTGGTGTTGTGAGTGAATTGTCTACAAACAAGTTCATATCATAGTACATTTTCTCTGCTTCTATCCAGAGTGCTTGAATGTTTTTCCAGCAACAGAAGACATCCATGACGATGGGATAATATCACGGATTGGAAAGAGATCCCTTGAAATAACGGCAGGACTGAGATCGATTGATGATGCCCATTTTTGGAACATTTCTCCTTGTGATGAACTTCCGGGTGCATACGATCCTGGCTCTCCTCCAAGTGTAACTATTGATGTTCTCTCTGATTTGGACTCCTTCTCGTCTTGTTGTGTGCCAGACTGAGTAGAGTCTGATGTATCACCATAGGATCCACCTCCTTGAAGAACTGGTGTCTTGATGGATGCTCCAATCGATCTTTTGGTGCTTTCGCTCCATTCAGATTCTTGTTGCGAGCTTGTCATTGATTCATCGGTGATGGTCGATTGAGTAAGCTTTCCTCCCAATACTGCACGTTTGATATAGTGAGTACCGTATTTCTCAACCACATCAAGCATGTCGATTCCGGAAAGTGATTTCTTGAGATCTCTTAAAAAGGTTGGGTGAAAGACAGTCTCTACCAACTCGACAGTCGATACGTTGCAGGCCACCTCGGTAAGAAAGACAGTCGATGTTGCAGAGGTTGATCTTGAATTGGTTTGAGATACAGATTTATCCTTTGAATAGGCTGCGTTTAATTCACCTCCATATCCTGCATAACTTCCTCCAATAGATCCTTTAAAAGATGACACTAAAGTAAATAAGTAAATAAATAAATAAATAATGTTAATGTTGATTTTGAGTTTGATAGCTATAAAAATATTAATATACATACTTGATTTTTCAGTCATTGAATCTTTCATCTCGGTAACACTTGAATGGGTGGTTGTGGAGGTATCGAATGTACATTGGGGAAGCATTTTTCCAACTAATTCTTTTGGCAGCTCATAGACAGCTCCACGGTATACATCTTGAATAAGATTGATATCACTGTCGGTACAGTATCCAAAGTAGAATATAGGGTCGCTAGCATGTTCTCCAGAGACAATATCTATGGCAGTGGTCATGTGCTCTGAGCCTGGAAGATGCCATATCATTTGGTTGTCAATGATGGCACCAAGAGTATCACCTTGAGTAATAAATCCAGGAGCAATATGGTTCTTTGGAACTTTACGAGCATCACATATTGGTGTTATGTGTGAATAACAATCTTTGAAACAATCATTTGGATTGTTTTCATTACAAATATTGTCACCACAAGATGGTGCTCCACTGGTTGGTACAACTATTAAAATGAAAAAGAATAAAATAATAAGTAACTAGCTTCCCATTCTTTCTTTTCTGATTATTTTTACATACCATTCGTATCATGAATACAGTCAGTAGTACCTAAATGGAATATACCATCTCCACACATTGAACGACTGTAGAATATTTCGATCCCTTGGTTATTGTCAAAGGAAAATGCAAATGATCTTTTGAGAACAAGTGATGAAACTGGCGAGGTGAGTTGGAAAGAGAGAGCATGTGGATGTTTCTCTTCGAGGTAAATGGTACGGTTGGATGACCAAGATTCTCTTTGGTAGTTGGACGATAGCATCATACGAGAATCTACTTGAAGTGACAGACCAAGATGGGTACTATGAGTGGAATAGCTGTAAAAACCAGACTTTGGAACAGTGACATAGGCGATGATATCAATGGTGACCTTGTCTGTAATACCTGGCAACAAATCATCAAAGTTGATGGTCGGTGAGATGAATCTTGATTTGGTACAGGTCCCAGCGGTGGTGGTCACAAATACTCCAGACATGAAACATGGACATGAATCACATGAAAGACAACTATCAGTAGTTGATTGACAACGAGTTTCGCATTGGGCAGCGTTTCTAGATGGGAGACAAAACGAGGTAGATTGAATAGCGATGTTACCAATGATAGTATCAATGGTACGGTGGCACAGGACATTACCACCTCTCGAGAATGAACATTGATTGTCACACATGGCAGTGGCTGTTGATGATGCAACGATGGTATCTGCAACGACAGAAGATTGACGACATGAAAATGTTTGTTCGACATTTGGAAATTCAACACCATACAATTCGACTGTTGGCGTGTTGGTGACATCAAAGGCAGGTCCACGTTCACTGGCTTGGTTTCCATCAAACTTGGTGCCAGAGATGATAATAGATTGGCATTGGTCAATGTAAAGGGCACCACCAATTGAAGCCTTGTTGTTTAAAAAGTTACAATTGGTGAGAGTAGCAGATGACTGGACAATAGACATGGCACCACCTATATTGGCATTACAATTCTTGACTAGGAAATTGTTCATCTTGATGTGAGAGGTATCACGAACATTCATAAAGTATCCAGAACCTTGACAGTCAACGGTAATAGTGGCAGCAGTGATTGAACGTAGTTCGATGGACGACCCTTTTGCAAGTTGGAGGTTGATTCCAGTGTTTTGAGTTCCAACATACGATGGCACTGGATTGACCAATATGACCCAGTTGTAGTTGGTCGATATCTCAGAGGTACTACCTTGCATGGCCGTAGTGACCGCATCACCAATTGTTGTAAAAGGTTTAGCAGAAGTACCACAGTCTGCTACTTTAATCGTACATGAATTAATATTTGATGGATCAACATACAATATATCTGTAATGGGTGGATAGTATTTAAAAAAAAATTTAGGGTTTCATTAGTCTGATATGTTTTATATTGGATCTGATCTACATACTTGTAGTAGAAAGAGAAAAGGTTAGAGATATATAATATACCACCAATAATAATACACCTCCGAATATTTTCATATTTGATGTATATCTATGTATGTATGTATGTATGTGTGAGAACATAGAGGTTGCAATCCCCAAGATCCTGTTCGCTGAGCGAGGTTGGGTTGGGCAAAAAAATATCCAGGAATACAAAAAAAAAAAATCATTTTTTGATTAATGGGCAGCTGCCCATTAGAATAGATATTTGCACAAGATTTGGGGAGAACGAGAAGTTTATAACCTAGTTCCTTATTCTTTTTTAAAATATCATTTTGGTTGTATGCTGGGAATTCCCTACGTTAACATCTTGTATGAATATAAAGCCAAGGCAGAATCTCATCTTCGAATATGATTATTCGTGTTTTTTCGTTTTTGCACAAATGCACGCACCATGAGATACTTTTCCACTTGGTTTATCTTTTTCAAGAAACTTTAATTTAAAACATCCTTGTCTACAACTTGAATATTTGATTGATTCTTGGTATATCATATATCCTAATCATTAACTTTTAAAGAGCAGGAAAGGATGGACTTGTTATTGAAAGCTCGTTGCTTTTTATTGGGGCTTTAAAAAAATATATTTTCTAAAAAACGAAAAAACACGAATAGATATGACTCTAGTAGTCGCTCGTTCTATTAAAATATCCAAAAACTAGAAACATTTGTTTTTGTTTTGAAGGTTAAGGTGTTTCGTTTATGTAGTCTGCATATGTGTCACGTATTGTTAAATACATACCTCTACACAAATATGCGAGTATTATTATTGTTGGTGGTATATTCATTGCTTGCAATCATATATACCCTAGCAATGCATGACTACCAAAATTGAATATTCGGGTGCAGTTACTTAATTTAATGATACACAAGTAATCATTGATTTCAAACATTGATTTCACTCGTTGTCTCTTTATGGCAAAAAAAGACGTCACTCAAGGATACGATATCTATGCTTCATCGTCTGTCGTCGGTCTGTCAATGACTAATCAAAAAAAGACGTCACTCAAGGATACGATTATTTAATTCATTTTTATTTAAATTTATTTATTTAATTATTTGGTGTTTTCAACTTTGATAATTTTTGTTGCATCTTTAGATTTGATTTAAGTGTACGTCTACGATGAACGAGGTAGATTGCAGACGCTATGGCAATAGCTCCTGCAGCAATACATCCTACAACGATTCCAGCAATTTGACCCATCGTCAATCCATTGTCTTTGGATTTACAAATTGATTCCAAAGTCGATCCAGTTTTATCACCGTTGTCAACATCGATCAAATGAACAAAGTTTGGATCCAATTGTGCTGACACTGAGTATTGTGGAAGATTTAATCCAATAAATGTTGTACTGGATGATGAGTTACTGTTACTTGTACTATTACTAGTACTGTCATCAATATAATCTGAGAGTATTTCATTTGTGATTGATGTGATTCTATCACCATCGATAATGCCTCGCTTAATGAATTGACCCCAAAGTGTCTTGTCATCAATTCCTAATTTCATCCATTCCATGTCTTCGGTGGTTCCACCATACTCTTTACTAGAACATTCTGATTCGTATTCTGCTTGGATCGATGTCTTCATAACAACTTGTAATGTATTGGTCGATGAATAGAATGGATATGCCGATAATCCAATCGACACCTTTGTACTAGTTGCTGGAATACTAATACTTTGGTTGGCAAATACAACTTGACTATCCTTTGAAAACCATTCGATTGTTACGTTGACAATGGTTGATATGTCTTGCAACCGAGTTTGATAATTCATAACAATACTATTATTATTATCGGTGGTTGTAATATTTAATGTCCAATTCTTTGGTCGATACTCTATGAATACAGTATCATCTATTGTCAACTCTCTGATTGCGACCACAGAGATAATTGATTTAATGACAGTATGATTACTTGTACCATTTACAATAATGTCAACAGTCGGTGAGATTTGATTGAATGTTGGTTCATCGATATTGATGACAGTTGACTCGCAAAAGAATCCTGACCATCCATTATTGCATATACATCCGTCAAATGTACATTGACCATTTCCAGTACAATTTAGTGCCGATGATGAAGATGACGGTGAACAAGGTGTTGGTTTTGGTTCAAATGGGACAGGTGTATTTTTATCGGGTATTCTTGGAGGTAGGATGGTTGGGTTGACAGATATCGTATCTTGTTGGTTGACCGATCCTGATCTTGTGACGACAATACTGACATTTGAGCCTGGTGCAATGGTTGCTGGGTCATATTTTACAAATAGAATAATGTGATATGCCATGCTGACAACTAGTGGTCGTTGAGAACCACCCGATTGTTGTACCGTCACTGCTAATTGTTGAGTGTCATCTCCAAACCCTCTTCCACGAATAGTAATATATGTATCATCAGATGACGAAAGATTTGAAGGATAACTGTAAAGATTGGATACACTAAACAGCGTTGGGATATTTGTAGAGTAGGTCGTACTGATTTTGTATTGGAATCCAGCTTGATTCAACATCGGTGTTGAATAGCCACCAAGATTCTGTACTTTGTCTCTTAGACCATACACTGATAATAGTATTATACCATTGACACCAAATCCATGTGGAACAGTGACTGTATAATTAAATACTGCTACCAATGATCCAACAGCAGGAGGAGTCTTGACGAATGGCTCAACAGCCAACCATTCACCTTGGTTACCCATTAAATATACGATTGGGTATCCCTCTAACCCAATTCCAGATGTCCCATCAGTCACTGATAAATTGAATGATACAGTTCTATCATTTGACCCAACATCCATCGTACTTCTAGAAACTTCAAATGAAACAATACTTGGTGAATCAACATCTGTAGTTGGATCTATAATTATAATTATAATAAAAATAATATTAACATTAAATTAATAACTATATTCACACAATTGATCTATATCTATATCTTTACATACCACAAGTAATTGTAACATTTGTTAATTGATCCAATACATAATAGTATGGGTTAAAATAGGAATCAGTTTTTGTGAAATAGGTTCCGCTAGTGAATGAATTGAAATTGAATGACATGTATCTGGCAGCCCAACCTCCTGTATCATACAATTCAGTCTTTCCAATTGAATAGGTTTGAGTCAGACATTCAGATACATTGATTGGTATCTCAAACCTCCAATTTGATTTAAATATATTGCCACCAATAAAAGCGGGTGATGATCTGTCAAATCGCAATACTTGCGTAAGAGGTGACCCATCTGATTTAATTTCAACCGATCCATTATCAAATCCATTCAAATAATCAACAATTGTAAATTCATAAACTAATTTACCATCTACCAGTGTTGTTGGAAGTACCATTGATTCAAAATAAGGTGGTAAATGATCCATTGCTATTATAATTTAGGCAGAAAGAGAGAGTAAATAATGGTATTGATAAACTTATCGTAATATTGATGTTGATATTTACAATTATTTGAACGAATAGTTAAAGTTGCATTGCTACCAAATTTAGCGACTAGTGATGGTTGAATCGATGATAATAGTACACTATAATAATCGAAATTGTAGTAGGCCGATGTGATATTGTTGGTGTATTGTGGGACTGTGAAATCACATCTAAACAATTGATCCAATGGATGATAGTAGGACTTTGAAGAAATATTCAATGATCGATAGATTGATGGCATGGTAGGAGACCAAGGTGATAACATGACAACCAAGTCCAAATTATTGTATCGATTAAATGGACTACCAGTCAGGTTGAAAACAAGTGATACGTTGACCGGACCTTTAGAAGTATCAACAATATTTGGAATAAATTCAAACATTGTAAAATTATCTGCTGTCACAAATGCTGTATAATTAAAAGGTATTTGTAAGTATTATTGTAATACATATTGAAATTGATAGATAAATGTATCGTGTATACATACAATCACGAATTGGGTTAGGTGGAATTGATTGACCATAAAGACCAAAAGTTTTATATTGTGAATATAAATAGTTGGAGGCACGATCAACCACTATTAAATCTAGGGAATTGATATCAGCAAAACTAGGAGTATGTTCAAAAACAAATGTTCCATCATTGATGGTACCACCAACAATCGTATTCGATCCAAAATATAATATATTATTGTATTGAAAACTATCGACACCAGACAACGTATCACCAAGTTGTAATGTAACGATATAACTAGTGGTCGATACCTTTAAAAGTTGAATATTTGATAATGTTGGTAAAATAGTATCTATAATCAAAAATAAATAAAAATTAAATAAATAAATAAAAATACTTTTAATGTTTGTATAAATAAATAAATACCTGTAATGACTGAACCAGGAATTGGATTGGGTCGAGTACTGACGACTGAATCTTGTTGAGTAGTGCTTTGTTGGTAAATGGTCATTTGAAGATTAAGAGAGACAATCCCATTAAAAGAGAATGTGAATTCTTTGGTTTGACCATTGCCAGTCACAGTATACCCAAATGGAGCAGGAATAAAGTACAGTACCGATGCAGAATTACCAGTTCTGAATCGAAGTGGATAACTGCATTGGAAGATTGTAACAACTTGACTGAAAATATTATCAGCTAATATAAAATCCATTCTTGCAAGTATTGGTTTTGTTGGTACTTTAGAAATAGGAAGAAAAAAAAAAAAGATTATTATTATTATTATTATTATTATTATTATTATTATTATTATTATTATTATTATTATTATTATTATTATTTGTTATTAATATTAATGTACATACGAGGTAATAGGTTGATAGTTATTGATGATTGATCCAATAATGGGAATGTTGAACTACTGTTTGAGTTTACAAGATATGATCCGGCGACGATTTGACTGCCTGAGGCCAATTCACTTGCGGGTCTTGTGTAGAGGTATCTCAAACCATCACGATTGTTTCCTTGTACTGCAATGATTGGGAGGTTTGCACTCGACAATAAAAAGGTTTGGTCTGGATTGGATGTTTTCATGTCAAACATGGCACCGACAGGTACAAAGTAGCCTTGCGCCAATTTAAACGCATACGTTGAGATGGGTGACTGTGTATCTGATCCACTGATCACCATTTCGTCTGTAGCTTCTTTGTACCTAGGTTCGATTGGAATAAGTATCGAAAAGACAGATGTTGCTCCAAAGGTCAAGTTGAAAGTTGATGTATACCCAGATAGATTACTCTGATATAGTGTAGTCAATGCTACTATATATCCATCTTGTTTTAAATTTAATAATGCTAAAAAGATATGATAAAGTTAATTTAATAAGTTTATAAATAAATAAATAAATAAATAAATAAATAAATTTAACTTTAATAATAATAAATCTTACTTGTACAAATTGTCATAGTAACATAAGGAGTATTGCAAAGTACGGGTGGATCTATGGGGTAAAAGGGAATCATACGTATCTCGAATCTAGTGGTGAGCCCATCTTGAAGGTACTCTAGTGGAGTCACTTTATAAACGAGGGTGTTGGGGTTTGGACAATCGTATGATGGGAATTCCCAAGTCGCTATAGTTGGATCAAGGGTTGTTTTGAGAGACACAGGGACGGCAGGTGTTAGCCCAATCGGATAGTTGAGTGTGATGACCCAGAGCCTCCGGTCGCCATTGCTCAACATGACGTTCTCTACCAACTGGCTACTGACCACATTGATTGATGAGTTGGTCAGTGTCAACGCTGGAACTTGGGGATAGTCACAATCTACCAACATAGTATATTTGACTCTACATCGTTTATCTGGTGAAAAATACCAATACCCTTGTTGACCAACTGTTACATTATAAATATTTATGTATCCTATGTTAGGAAGTTGAGTGAGAGAAAGAGAAAAAAAAAAAAATTTGTGTCAGGCCAAGTATGATAGATCGATCGATGTTTGAACTACTTCTGAGCAAGTGTTAAGATAAAGGTAAATGACAGTAACTTACCTTGGACAAAGCAAGGAGATGGTGGTGTCGAAAAGAACAACAACAACAACAAGAATAAGAAGAATAAGATATATATATATGATTAATGAAGATGGAAAAAGAAGAAAAGGGACAAAAATGAAAAAAAGAAAGAAGGAGAGGAATGAAGAAGAATAATGAGTTTGTAGCTATCTATCTATGTATTTATCTATCTATCTATTTGCCTATCTATCTATCTGTTGCGAAAAAGAAGAGAAGAAGAGAAGAAGAAAAAGAAAAAGAAAAAGAAGAGGATGGATGATCATCACCTTTCTAATGCGTCTATCGTTCGTCTTTTCCTAGGACGGATAATATCACAAATATCAACGCCCGAAACATGGTAGAGCCTACAAAAGCGTAGAGATGAAGGGATGGTGCGTCGAGTGTCGCTGCAAAAAAAAGCAGCTGAAAACGGTGGGATTCGTTGGTTTGTGAAGATCTAGATATTATCATGGTACCATGATAAAGTATCTTTGTCGATAGGGGATAATATATATATATATCGACAAAGATATTTTAATTATATATAACAAACAAGTCATACTTACCATATCATGATTGAAAGTATCATATGCATCATACATCATCATGAAAGTATTACTTTTTTTTGTCTATCATCATCACCCCCCCCCCCCTTTCGAAATAATAATAAAAAAATAAAAAAAAAATTAATTATCCACAAGTTCGAAACTTTGGTGATGTTCATTATTATCATTATTGTCAGTTTTAGAGATATCAAGATTGGAGATGATCGATAGAATTACAAAGAGACAAAATGATATTGCAACTTATAGAGATAACTTGAAGAATGGTATGCTATTTATTTATTGATTGATTGATTTGATGTTACTATCATATGTACTAACTCGAATATTTCTCTATTTAGATACACTTTCAAATTATACTCCTATGGTTGATACTAGACCACCTGTGTTGGTGATCATTGATATCGTTAGATATGCATGGGAGATGGATAAGATGACCGGTAGATACAAGTATTTTGCGTATGATGGACGATATGAATGGGCACTGTCACTTGGATTGGTATGCAAACAATTCTTTAATCTTGTCAAATCATCATTGTTGTTTAGACATGTCAGGATTTACAACTACTCACTACAAGAGGAAAAGGGGCTATAAAGATGAAAGGGTCAGAACACTTGCAAACGACGTATCACAGCCTATTGATAATATTGCATGTGCCATTAAACAACCTACCAACCTTACCACACAATGTATAATGCTGGTTGGTGTTGCATTACAACCATCTATAGGTGTAGTCATTCTTCTTCAAGGTATTACAAAGTTAAGATTAGTCGATATTACATCACAATATGATCAACTATTTGAAAGTGTTCTTTGTGCGATGCCCAACCTAGATTCACTTGTATTTGAAAGTACTGATGGTTATGCAGATGTATATCGACCAACACTCAAACAACTATCATTCAATGATGGTTGTCATGAGGTATTAACTCAAGGAATGGTACTCGGTCGCATCGCGCATCCCATTCAAACACTTGAATTACCATCAACTCACAACCTACCAATTCAACTACCAATCAACATCACATCAGAAATCAAAAAGCTTCGTATTCCCATTCACAACCTCCCCAAAGACTTTGAATCCAACTATAGTCCGTCGCTTTGGAAATTGCACCTCTCCCATTCAGTATTTATCAATCCTCAAAAGACACTCTCAACAACCATGACCAATGTTACCTATCTAACAGGTGAACTCACAAATCCCAAATATATCAAAGAATGGTTCGAAGAAATCATTCCAAAATTCCATCCCTCACGACATTGGAAGATTATACACACGATTGTTGTAAAGATCAATGTCATTTATTTTGTGATAACCTATTAAAATTAAATAATAACTGTAATAATAATAATAATGGAATGATAAATGGAATGATCACAACAATAATATTAAGAACTAGCAGCTATGGTCGAAAAAACAAACACGATCTCACTCTAGCAGGTTTGTCAAACTACGAAGCTACTAGCCAACGACTCTTCAAACACGAACGAATATTAAACACCAAAACTGTCTATTCCTACATTGCACCAACCGACCGCGGCCAGCTAGAAGAAGATGATGAAGAAGAAGAAGAAGAAGTAGAATAATATTAATAATGGAATGATAAACCAAATCAAACAACAATAATATTGCGTACCCAAGCAGGCTACTTATAAAGAAATGTGTGTCATGAATTATTATTTTTTATTTATACTAACTATTTATATACTATTTATTAATTTATTTATTAATTTAGTTAATTTTATTTATTTATTTAATTTTAATGTGTACAAACAAAATCATGAGCAATATCACCATTACAATACTTTTGAAATGGTTCAAAGTCAGTTTCAGGTTGACCTTTACATCCACGTTGAGGATAAGTGAAATCCATCAATCCTTTGTTATTCTTGCAACGCACCATACCAGAACCTGGAGGGATTCCAGTTTGTGGAAAACAGTGGTTATTCTTGAGTGCGTTGACCCACAAGACAGGGTTTTCATTCCAAGGTGTTTCACACGATCCCAGATAAACAATGGTGTTTGAGCTGTTGGCAGGAATGGTGTAGTTGTCGACACACTCCCATATGGTATATCCTACTTGATCGAGTTCAGGGAATCCTGTGCATTGACCAATGTTGTATGATTGTTGCTGCCATGAACTACCAGAACAATCGTCGTTTTTGTACATTGTACGAGTCGCAGTAACACCATCACACGAATACATTGCTCCTTGATTACAAGTGCCAACAATAGCATAGTTTTGTGCAAAATATTCACCTGTACAATTATTATCTGGGAATTCTTGAATTGAAACATATGATGATGCATCTACTACATTGTAATTCATCATCATCATAGCAACTATTGCAATGATTATTATATTATTTGTGAATTTCATTATTTATCTCTAAATATAATATCAATATATCTCTTTGAAATTGAATAATAATAATAATAATAACATGAATGAACGGATGTAATTGATGGTATTCAAGAAATGAATCTTACTAAAGGAATGTTTCGTTTGGTCTGCAGATTAGTTCTAAAGGTTCGATATTTTTAAGGTCAGCGGTTGTCGCAATCAAGATATTTTCATCTTCGTTTTTTGTGACAAAAAACGAAAGTCGAACCTTTCCGTAGTTCATGTTATTATTTTTAAATAAATAAAAGGTTGAAAATGAATTTATTTAACTAATTCAAATTAAATATCTTCTTGTTTTGAAAGTGTAATCGTCAAATTGTTATTATTATTATTATCTATATTAACTATTTCACTATTATTATTATTATTAATTATAATTTCTTGGTCCAGTTTTTCTTTTTCTTGTTCATCTTTTGTTTTTGGGGTTATTGATTGTTGATTTAAAGATTCTTGTTGTGGTTGTGGTTGTGGTTGTAAAATGGAATATTGTCGGTGTCTTGTTGAAATTGAAATTTGACCATCTGCCGAAGCTCTCATGTCAGGTGATGCTGTCATACTGTGATGTTGTTGACGAATGATGGGCGACTTTGGCGATTTCCAAACTGAACCAATTGATGAATGTCTATTGTGTAGATGCGATGGTAGCTTTGGAAGTGGTTGTGGTGTCTTTAAAAGTTGACTACCACTACTATTACTACTATTATTACTATCAAGTGATGTTGTACTTGAAGTTGAACCTGTACTACTATATAAACATTGACTACCAATACTATTACTACTATGATTCATTTGATTATTATTATTATTATTATTATTATTATTATTATTATTATTTCCACAGTGATCAACTGTTGTTGTAGTGGCAGTAGATTTAGGATTAATATCAATTGCTAAAATCATTTGTTTTACTTCATTTACTGCAACCATTCGACTATGTCTATAATTGATTGGTGAGGCTGGTGGTGACGGTGACATTGCATCTTCTTTTGTTGAAATAGAGGTTGAAGAAGATGAGGTGGATGATGAACATATTGTAATATTACTGATATTGGCAGTTGACAAGGTATTAGATGTTGTAGTAGTAGTAGTAGTCGTTTCCTCTGATTCATCATTATCATGATTATCATCATCCAATTTAATTTTTTGGTCCATTATTATTATTATTTCCTCTTTTACTTTTTGGTCTTTTTCAATCTTACTACTCTCACTATTACTATTACTATTTCCCTCACTATCGCTAGATTCATTACTATTACTCTCGCTATTACTATCCAACAATGATTCAACGTCTTTTAATTTCTCTAATTTCTCTTTTTCCAATTCATCCAATTTTAATTGTTGAGTTTGATTATATTTAATTGCCATTATATTCCAAATTTGAATGGAATGGTCTGGTAGTGCCGTACAATTATTGATATTTTGAAATATACATTCTATATAAAAATCTTCACTAAATCTTTTAAATCAAATCAAAAAAAATATTTAATATTAAATAAATATTAATATTAATATTTAGTATATTGGACGTTGTTTGTTGTTATGTTTGTTACATACTTTTTTTGATTCTTTTTAAAATGATCTAAATGTTTTTTATGAAATACAAGTCTACTGTTACAAAGGTTGATAAAAGATACATTGAAAATAAGATGGAATAATTGTTTCTTTAGGGATGTCTGACCTTTACTCTTCTTTCCCTTGAAACAACGTATTAAAATATCTTTTGTCAATCTCTTTCCTATTAATACATTTAATTTATATTGGTTTGTCGATTCATTGATTGCTGTTATTCTGAAGAATGAAATATAAAATAATATATATATATATTATTAGTATCATTTAATTTATCTATTTATACTTATATTTCTAAACACATACTGAATAGTAGCAGGTGAACTAGAGAATGATAGATTAGCTTCTTTTTCATGTTCATAAATTTCCAAAGAGATAGAGTTGGCTTGTTCTTTGGTGAGTGGTCCAAGTTCGATTGATTGTAAATTGAGAGACACTACATCGATCATGTAGTTTCCCGACACTATGTCTTTGAAATAGTTGATGTATCGTTGTTGTGATGGTTGGGTAACACCTTTTTTCAAATTCGATCTTTTCTCTGCAAAGTGTGCCATTGCCTTGTCCATCGTTGGGAATGCACAGCTGTAAAAGAGATAGCAACATATAATCGTACCTGTTCTCCCCTTGCCGCCCTTACAACTGACAACAGCCACATTCTCAGGGTCAGCCTTTAACCAATTATCCATTGAATTGACAATCTCAAATAATAGATTTAAATTTGGAGCGTGATGATCTGGAAATGGGAAGTCAATCTAATAATAATAACATTAGGTATTTGTATTTGTATTTGTATTTAGAGATGTGTGTGTGTGTGTGTGTGCATGTGTACATACAATTTGATTATTAAAACGATCATAATCATATTGACGATCATTCAAATTCCAAATCATAAATTTTCCACTATGTCTCTCTTTTAAAAGTGAACAAACATCTTGTACACTATTTCTCCATGTTGCTTCCAATCCTTTACCTGGGAAACTCATTGCTTTAATAATAATAATAATAATTGATCGATTGATTGATAGAGGGTTGTTATGTTATTAATATCAAAAAGTCATGATATGATATGATTGAATAGCCAAGACCAACTGTCAGTTGTATTATTATTATGTGACACATACCAATGAGATTAGGTAGAATATAAGATAGATCCAAATCATATTCATGATCTTTGAATCTCTTTCTATCAGCTGAAACAATTGCTCTAACTTTTGAAAGTATCATTGAGTTCATTTGATGTTGATGTTGATGATGATTATGATGATACTATTCTACTACTACTATACAAACTTTGATACTATTACAATGAACTATATATATATATATATATATATATATACTATCTATACTATATAAATACTATAATACTATAACTAACTATAATACTATAACTATTATTATTATTGTGTTTTGTTAGGTTGTGTTTAAAGTGTGTCAAAGAACATGGTTTGTCAAACCAACCACAAAAACAACACATATACAACACCACAACACAACTATAGAGGGGTGAGTGGGTGGGTGGGTGGGGAATCAAGATAGATTGTATTGGTACCTATGAGATAAACAACACAATAGATCTGAGTGGAGGTGGGGGGAGTGAATGAATGCAATAAGCAACTTATTAACCCCCTCATAGTACAATTGTGGTGTTTTTCAGACCGACTACCAAACCCCTACTATTTTAAAATTTTTAATATTTGCAGTGATATCTGCAAAGTAAGTAAGCTCAGACACCAACAATCTATTCTCTAGATTGACGATGGTTATCTGTACAACAAGTCTATATCAATAGATATTAATGATTAATAGTTGGTTGTGCGAAGAGGTATCGATCTTCTCAGATACCTAGATATCAAGATTACCAACACTCAAGTCTTCTGGTCGTATGATACATCCGTACGGATCTATCGTACTCCCATCCTCTTCTATCTCTCCTTTCTTTCATTTCCTTTCTGGTGTACACACTACATTGGTATGTATGTATGTATGATTTGTTTTATTTCAATATTATTTGTACAATGTTTGTTTATAATGGCATTTCAGCCATTGGGGCACTTAAAAACAGTCTGATACTAGTACGACCATCAGTTTGTGCAAAGTGGCCAGTTCCAGAAGGTAGGTTATACACTTTGTTACTTCTTTCAACAATTGATGATTGAGATGCAACTCCTTGGCTATTCCAAATATTTGGTCCATCAATCTTGGCATCCACATCGAATATAACAGAATAGGGAGGTGGGTATATCATTGGATTAGGTAACAAGCCAGCTGAGATTTAAAAGATAGATAGATCGATAGTAAAGTTAAAAAGTATTAGTTGATTTGTACAATATTAAAATATCAATCCGTTTTTGATACTTTACCAATTCCTTCAATTGAAGATTCACCAGCATCAGTTTTAATAATCATCTTTGTATGTTTTCTTTCCATTTTATCTATCTAATCTATCTATCTATCTATCTTTGTATTTTGAAAAGTTGATCAGAGCAATGAACTGTTTTGAGACCAACCCGACAAAGACAAATCATATGATTTTATTAATTCATATTTTTCCCCAATCTCAGATCTCATTTCCTTTTTCGTTTTATTTATTTTTCCAAGGACCATGTGATCCCAAATACATTATAATATATCCCCTCCCCTCCTCCTCCTCCTCCTCCCTCCTCCTCTTCCTGGGTATGTATGTGATCTAAAAATACAAATATTAATTATTTAATATTTATTTTAGTTAATTATAATTTGAATTACAAATCAACATCATTCTTTTGACATAATCGATAAAGTCACCGATTTGGTTACTTTCAGTAGCGTTGAACGAGTGAATAAATAGTCTTTTGTTGTTGGAGTAGTGGTCACGTTTACGGAACTGTTGTGAAATAAAGGCTGTTGCATCGACGCTCTCTCCGCTCTTTCCAGTATAGTCTGGAAAGTATTTGGCCAATGGTACCGTCTTTAACTTGTCAACAAACAAATCGCATTTGTTTAGTAGTAGTACCACTGGAGTATTGTAAAACCATCGATTATTAATAGTCTCTTCAAACAAATCAAATGTCTCTTGTAATCTATTGGTTGATTGACGTGGAGATGATGATGATGTTTGTTTTCTTGGTGATGAGTGACGTGAATGTCTTTGTTCTCTTTGTTGTTGACAACTATCTCTTTTTTGTTTGTTGTTGTTAGAGTTGGAATGTTTTAGTTGACCACATTCATCCAAATTTGTATGATTATTATTATTATTATCAATGATTGATATTTCTTCAGAATTTAAATCACTATTACTACTTCTTGAAGATGAAGTACTCTTTGTTTCCAAGTCCCCAAGAATATCCAATTCTTCGATATCGCTATCCATACTACTCTCACTGTACGTATAATTTACACTATTTCTAGGTGATGTCGTTGAAGAACATGATGATGAGGAAGAAGTTGGTAATGGAGAAGATGGTGATGTTGATGTTGAAAGATCATCATATTCATAATCATAATCATTCATTGATACGAAAAACAATATGACACCAACATCTTCAAATTGATGGATCCATTTCTTTCTTTCACATTTCTGACCACCCACATCAACAAATGTATAGACACAATTATTATCTTCAATGGTCGTGTCATACGTTCCACTAGTTTGTGCTTTACAACGTAATATATCTTCAACCGTAGGGATATAATCATCCATTAATATTCTTTTTGAATTTTCAATTAAACTATAAACAAAAAAAAACAATATTAATATTAATATTCAAATATTTCTTTTGATTATTATTTGTTTATGTTTTGTTTACATACTAAACCATATCTTCACGTTTTTGAACAGTAGCATTTGTAAATTCCAATTTAAATTGGTTGTCATTCCAAAGATCCCAAATAGTTTTAAGTAATTCCTTTGATATTTTAATATTGTCGGCACAGAGTCCACTCATTTTCTTCCAGGCATTTCTGGCAATAGTAGAGGTATAGATTTCCTTTTCACGGGTTTGTGTAAATGTGATCATATCTTTTGCAATTTGTGTTAGATTTAATCTCATGTATGGTTTGTAAAGTGACAATTCATCCTTTGTATATCCTCCATTATAAAGTATATTAATTTGTTTAATAAATGTTGACTATTAAAAAAATAAATTAATAAATAAAAGAAAAATAGTTAATATACAAATGAATATTTTTTAATACTTATATTGATATATTTATATTTACCTTTCCACTATTATTTGAACCTAAAGTTAATATTTTAAGTCTTGGTTTTTTCTCTTCATCTGATGTATCTTTGTTTTTTCCACGTATTTGGTTTTCCAAACGATCCAAAGAATTTTGTTTGATTAAAGTTGCATATTTACTAAGACTATTTTTTTGTCCGATTGGACTATTATTACTATTAATATTACTTTTACTATTAATAATAATATTATTATTATTATTACTATTATTATTACAGTTATTACTATTATTGCTGTTGGCAGTACTATGATGAGAACCCATTTTTGTTAAATAAATATATGTGATTATGTTATTTGTTATTTATATAAAATATAAATTTATAAATGTTAATGTGTTTTGGATTTAATAATTTAATTATTATTATTATTTTTATTATTTAAATGATGTTGGAAACAATTTAATGTTGATGTGATTGATTGATGATTGAAATTCAAAAAAAAAAAATTGATAATATCCTTTTTGAAAAAAGATATGTATATATATATATATAAATATATATGTTTGGAATGCTATATTAATTTCAAGTTTGTGTTTGTTGGTTGGTTGTCGTTGATTTTCAAGGTAAGGAATGAATTTTAAAAGGACACTATCTTAATTGATGGTATAACTACTACTACTACTACTAGTACTGTCCCTCTGGTGTTGGTTGTTGTTGTTGTTGTTGACTTGTGATTGCTTTGTTGTTGAACAACAAAACACGCTCGTAAAAAAACAATACAGATATAGATATAGATATAGATGGCTAGGGGGTACTACGAATAAGAAGAAGAAGAGAGAATGGTCAAGCAAGCAAAGCAGTGGGGAAATTAAAAATCGAATGTGTGTGAAAAGTTGGTTGACTGGCTGGTGTAATATTAGTTGTTGAAGTTAGTGATTGATGATGATGAAACAAAAATATAGTTATAAAAGGAAACGTTTACTAGTAGAATAGAATGACTGATTATTGAAAATTATATCATATGATTGATCCAATGTTATACTAGTAATTTTCCAAAGGGTTGGTTGGTAGGAGGTTGGTTGGATAAGGTTGGTTGATCGTTTGTTATTATTATTATTATTTATTGTTGGATGGGTGGAGTTGGCTGGCTGGATTAACAATATTACTATTAATATTATTATTAAGTTAATAACTAATGAATTTTGGATGTTGTGTTGTATATATTTATAAATGTATACATATATGTATATTTATTGTTTAATATTATTACCTTGAATTTATAACTTTATCATCATCAATCATACCAATACCCCCCCAACAACAACAACAGCACTACCTACTACTATCACTTTCACTTTCACTATATTTATATATGAATGTATGTATGTACGACAATTATAAAAATAAATACATTGGTATTGCTGATCACTCGGTAGGAATGATGGATGGATGGTAGATGCAAAGCAAGGATAGAGGGGGTATCAAGTTGAACAACACAACAGTTGTTGTGTCAAAAAGTCATTCACTCCTCCACCTCCACCTTGCTTGTTATTGTTGTTTCAATTGACATACATCTGTAAAAATGATTAGATAATAATATCTCTTCTCTCTATCCTCCTCATAATTGATCATCACAACAGTTGATTGACCAGAGTGTGTGTGTATATGTGTTGAATGTATTTTCGTTGTTCTTGTTATGAAAAACAGCACACTCAAACATATGTGTTGTTGTTGTAGTAGTAGTAGTTGTGTTTGTGTGGTTGATTGATTATGAACATACCAAAAGATATACCACCCACCCATCCATCCATCCACCTACCACATACAGGCAATGGGCGCTAATTATGTCTCATGTGTGTGTGTGTGAGTGAGTGTGTGTGGGTGTGTGTGTATATTGTGTATTCACATCTGTTGGTCAAGATGAGAGTAGGTTGGATGAGGGTTTCAAACGAGCAAAGAGAGAGTGACCACATGTATGTATGTATGTTGTTGAGTAGTGAAGTTGTTGATTTAATACATCATTCAATAACATGTTAACGTGAGTGAGTGAGTGATGATGTAAACTTCAAGCACCAACCAACCGGTATACTAGTAGTGCATCCTTCCATCCAACCAATCCATCCAACTGACCAACCAACCTTGACTTTCATATTGCTTAAACCATCAACTAGTCAAACCTTCTAATCCATCCATCCATCCATCCATCCATCCATCCATCCATCCATCCATCCATCCATCCATCCATCCATCCATCCATCCATCCATCCATCTATTCACATAATACTCTTTTGTGCGATTCATTGTGTATAGAAATAGTTGTGTGTTTGTGTGGTTGGTTGGGTGATGTTCCCAAAGTGAATAGTCATAATTATACATATCAATCACATCTATCTATGTTGTATGAATAGAATAGAGAGATCTATTCTAGTACTACTGATTTTGTTGATTGTATGGTTTACTATTCGAGTGTGGTGAGGAATACCCCAAAATTGAAACTTTATTTTCTTTAAAAAGGTAAAAGTAAAAGTAGTAGGACTGATGATCAATCCAATATTAAAATGAATTCATATTCTATTCATAGACTCACACACATATATATATAAAATTTAAATATGATATCATTCTAAATTTAATAGTAGGTTTATCCATTTATGGATCGATTTAGATAGATGTTATGTGTGTGTTTGTTTGTTTGTTTGTTTGTTTATGTTTTAAATATTATATGTACATTTTAACATTATTATTATTATCCCAGTCCCCTCCTAATTTATTTATTTAATTATTATTATTTGTATCTCTTCTCTATTGATTTTGTTGATTTCCACCACCACCATCATCAGCTGAACCAAAATCAGAATCCTTTTTAAAAGTTGGACCTCTTTGAATTGGTATATTTCTCTTTAGATGGTATTGTTCAAAAGTAAGAAACTTACTTTGATACTTGTCCATATAGGTTTCTCTGTCGTAGGGATCGATCATACAAATATAGGCAGAGGTGGCGTGTTTAGAGAGAAGCATCGATGGGTTGTCGATCAATATCTTGTTGATCTCTAATAGTTTACCCTTGACACATGGGTATATCGAATAGGATGTTCCATCAACACAATGAATCGTACACATTGCAGTCTCTTTGTTCATCTTGACTGCTCCCTTTTTACCAGAGCCACTAAATACATTGTTGAGTGCTGCCTGTGAATATTCAATCTTTAGTATACTCTTTTGTTCCGAGATAATTGGATGTGTAGGTGCTAAACCAACAACAAACACTCCATTTGAATGTTGATTTATATATTGATCTTCATTTTCTTTTCCTTGATTATCTACAAATAGAGAGAGAGATAGATTATTGGTTAATAAATGAATGAATGAATACAACTAACTACATATACATATTATGTGTCTCATACCTATACTAAAGTATTGATCATAATATCTTTCAATGACAGTTCTCATGATTGAAGGTAATATTAATTTCAAAGGACAAGACAAAGGTCACCTACTTTACTTTTGACAATTTCATTGTTGGTTTGTGTCGTTTTTTTTTTCTAATTTTTTTGAATTTATTTTTATTTTTCACAAATCGACGAACGAAAGGTGTTATGTAATTTAATGAACGAATAATAGTAATAATAACGATAGATAGTACACCACCTCACACGCACACTCAAATCATTTATTTATAAAAGAGAAGAGAGAGATAGAGGATGAGTACTAGAAAACCAACAAAGTCAACAACGACAACACCAGCTGCCGTTGCTGCTACTGTTGCTCCAATAGCCAAGAAACCACAATTCGCAAAGAACTCAAAGAATGTTGTATTGGAAGAAGAACCAACTGTAGTTGTAAAGAAACCAACTACTACTACTACAGCACCAACAAAGAATATACTTGGTAAAAGAAGAGAACAAGAAGTAGTTGAAAAGGTTGTTGAAGAGGAATTGTTTGAAGATGATAGTAGCGACGAAATTGAAGAAGGTGACGATGAAGATGATGGATCAATTGACGAACAAGATGATGAAGATGATGAAGATAATCTTACAACTGGTTCAATCTCTACATATGGTGAACAAGACAGTAGTGAAGACGACGATGATGAAAGTGAAGAAGAAAATATTGAAGATTTGGATGACGATGATGGTATCTCTGGTGAAATCCCTTCAAAGTATAGTAATGATCCAAATCAATTCTATGATGAAGATAATTCATCTGAAGATGAGGTATGTACATAAACAAAACAAAACAAATAGAATATTAGAATATTTGAATATATGTATTAATCTTTGTTTTTTTTTAATGTTTTGATTTTTTAGTCATTAGTAAATAGAATTGGTAATGTACCATTACATTGGTATGATGATTATGATCATATTGGTTATGATGTTGATGGTAATAAGATTATGAAGGGTGAACAAAAGGATTCACTCGATAAGTTTATTGATCAATCCGATCCAAACTTTTGGTACGTTCAAAACAAACAATTTAGACAACTTGATTTATTTATTAATTAATGTATATTATATTTATTATATTAGGAGAACTGTTCATGACAAGGTTAATGGTAAACAAGTAATTTTGACAGATGAAGAATTGGCAACTATCAAATCAATCCAGAGACGTCAATTCCCAGCAGGATTTGACCCATACAAAGATTGGTATGATCCCGGACCCAACCCCGACAGCATTCATCCATTGAGTGCTGCACCAACACCCAAGCGTTCGTTCTTGGGCGACATCAACGACGAGAGAAAGATCCGTAAGCTCACCATAGCCATCCGCAAGGGCTGGATCAAGATCCCCGACACGTCCAACGAAGAAAAGACCGACCAAGACGACGAGATTAAGCGTACCAAGGCCTACGATTTATGGGCTCCCAAGACCGAGCAAGAGGTGGAGGAAGACGAATTGCTCCAACGTACCAACCGTCGTATCAGTCGTATCCCTGCTCCCAAGACCAAGTTGCCCGGCAACGTCGAGTCGTTTAATCCACCCGAAGAATACCTACTCACTAGTCGTGAACTCAAGGCATGGCATATGATGAGTCCCGCACGTCGTCCACACAACTTTGTGCCACAAAAGTTCAACACCATGTCTGACATTCCATCGTACAATCGTTCCATCAGAGAAAAGTTTGAGCGTTGTCTCGATCTCTATCTCTGTCCACGTGTCACCAACATCAAAAAGAAGCCAACCGATGTCAGTCACCTCTTGCCAAAGCTCCCCAAGCCACAAGATCTCCGTCCCTTCCCAACCCACGAAGAACACCAATTCAACGGTCACAAGGGTCGTGTACGTTCCATCTCGGTCTCTCCCAACGGTCAATTCTTGGTTTCATGTGCCGAAGATCATACCGTCAAAATCTGGGAAGTCAAGAGTACCAGATGTCTCTTTACCTTGCAATTGGATGATACCGTATCTTGTGTTGCTTGGAATCCAAACAAATCATTAAATATTATTGCTGTTGCTTAGTATGTATAAAGATAAAAGAAGAAAAGATAAATATATTTATTCTCTAACCATTCCTTATTATTATTTTGTTCACTAGTGAAAACAAGGTAGTTATGATTACACCAAAATTATATGGACCAGTTCAAAATGAAGAAACAGAAGCAATGTTCCCCAAGACTCCAATCCCACCTGATCAAAAGGTTAGATGGTATCAATTAAACAAAGATAATGGAATTAGAGTTGAAGTTGAATTTGAATTTGTAATTATCCCCACAAAAAAAGACAAGACAAATTTAAAAAGAAAAAAGAATATTTATTTATTTATTTATTTATTTATTTATTTATTGATTGTTTTTTAATTTAGAAAATTAAACAAATTAGTTGGCATTATAAAGGTGATTATTTCAGTACCATTTCACCAGATGATAAGAGTAAATCTGTTCGTATTCACCAACTTTCAAAGAGAAAATCACAAGCTCCATTCAAGCGCTCCAAGACCCCATACCAAGTATCTAAATTCCATCCATCGAAACCAATATTTTTCATTGCCGATCAAAACATTGTCAAGGTGTACGATCTCTCGAAACAACAATTGATTAAAAAGGTTACCATTGGATCACGTTGGATTTCATCGCTCGACGTTCATCCAAGTGGTGATCACATTTTGGTCGGTGGTTACGATAAAAAGGTATTCTGGTTTGATTTGGATATGGCCAACGTATACAAGGTACTCAAGTACCATAGCAAGGCCGTCCGTCGTGTCGTCTACCATCCAACACTCCCATTGTTCTCATCGTGCTCTGATGATCTTTCCATTCAAATTTTCCACGGTACCGTCTACTCTGACTACCTCCAAAACGCTCTCATTGTACCACTTAAAGTCCTCAAGAAACACACTGCCTCTTCTGACGGTTTGGGTGTCCTCGATATTGTATTCCATCCAACTCAAGCTTGGATTTTTAGTGCTGGTGCAGATTCAACTATTAGATTATTTGTTTAAAAAAAAAGAAAAAAAAAAATCAATATATTCCCCTCCCCCTCAAAAAAAAAATACTTTAGTAATAATAATAATAATAATTATAATTCACAACAACAGAATAACCCCTTACAAAATATATATCTCAAAAAACCCCCCAACAACAAATAAACTAAGAGTAAAAAAATAATATTATTTAAAAAAAAAAAAAAAATTAAATAATAATAATACTTTTTTTTTTGGATTGAAAATGATTCTATTTATTTTATTTATTAATCATTTTGATTTGTTTTGTTGTTCCCGTGCCATTTTTATTTTAATTTAAGCATAGATAACATTCTTGACAAAGAGATTGGCAGGTGATGAACCATGGATGATGTAACCAAAAGTGTAAGAGGCACCAGCATTGATATCTTGGTATGATGGGAGGATGAGGAAATCGATAAATGATGGGCCATCAACAACCTTGACATTCCAGATAGAGTTGTTGTCTCTGAGTCTACATGTGGCATCAGTACCAATGACAATTTGTTTGATGTTCTTGTTACCGTGGTTGCTCAATACAATGTCGTATTGTGAAAAGGTTTGACCACCTCTTGATCCATCTTGCCATGTTCCAATTAATTTGTGTTGAATTGAAACTGGGTAGGATGGATAGCTAGCTGCTACAAATGAAATGCAGAGGAGCATTGAACATAATAGAATAATTGATTTCATTATTTGTTTGTTTGTTGATTAAAGTTTTAATTGTTGAATTATATGATTTGATTTGACTTGATATTTAAAACAAGTTTTATTTCCATTATTTATACTTTTTACAAAACTTTGATAAAATGTCTGTTTTTGGGAATACATAGTTTGTCATTGGTTCATCTTTTGACAACGCTTGTTTCTTGGTCGTCGACGACTACAAACGAACGAACGAACGATTGTTTGAAATAAAGACAATAATTATTACTCGTTTGTTGAGTGTGTGAAAAAAAAATAATATTGAACAGATCTGTTCAATCTATTTATATCTGTCTTGGAGGACTATTTAAATAATAAATTAATAAATTAATAAATAAATATAATTTTGGCAACCGATTTAATACAACAATGGTACTTACATTAATTTAATTTATAAATAGTTCTGAAGGGTCAGTGATGATATGACTCCAAGGGTACCTTGGTTTTTCGTATAGTCGCATTTGTTGGTACAACAGATCAGCGTCTTGGTTGACAAGATACATCCTAAAGAAATCCTCGATGCACTCTATATCATCAGTGTAACAGTCGTTGTGTTGATTTTGACCAAGTTCACTATGCAGTAGGATCTTTGGAAAGTGTGATGCATAACCATCATAGTGACGATCATAATTTGCTTGAACATATGGTTCGAAATTGGATTTGGTCCATGTTGGACCATAGGGAAGTGACGCCTCTTTATGTTTTAATAATAATTTTTCAATTAATTTTGGGTTGTCTCTTGCACTGAACAACAATGCCACACCATTTTGCTCCTTGTGGATGATATATGGTTTAAGAGGTGGGTCAATAGTAGATTGTCCAAATTGTTCAATAATGTATGGGTTGTCTGTAAAGTGAGCAATCGAGAATCCACGACCCAGATACTTTAACAGACGTCGTTGATAGACACCTTCTCCTCTAATATAATGACCATACGGTGATGCAAAATTACATCTATAATTGATTGCTTCAACACCTCTTTGCATTGTCCATACATTTGTTCCATCAAATGCAAAACAGCTGACTTCAATATCTGTACCAAGCAATACCTGTTCAATACTCGTGTAACAACAGTATTCCACTTGAACATGTCTTTGTGGATAATGTTTTGAGAATATGATGGTTGGTCCAGTCACTGAAACACTATATTGTTTGTGGTCTCCAAGGTATTGATAGAATTGTGTAATCCTATCTTTTATCTTTTCATAATCGACACCATAAAATATAATATCAATATCTGATTCTTCAAATCCAACTTCCAAACCAGTCAACGATGATGTAACTATTCCTCCAATAACAATCATATTATTCCAATTCATTCCTTCCTTTTTAAATATATTATTTGTATTCTTATTAAAATTTGAAATAAATGTTTCTTTATCAACTATTGATGATAAAGATGAATAAGATGAAGAAGATGATGTATTATTATTATTATTATTATTATTTTGATTATTATTATTTTGAGATGAATGAATTAAAATTCTATCAATTGGTAATTGTTTTAATTTAAATTGATCAGTTGAATCGAAAACATTAATTAATAAATCATCTTCTGAATAGTTTGGATGAAATGGAGATTGAGGAATTTCATAGAGATATGATAATCTTATAAACCGATCTCTATTAAACATTGATTTAATCCAATAATCCAATGGTAAAAGTTGTTGTATTATTTCATCATCTAGTGGTAGTGATGATTGTTCTTTTTCTTCTTTCCATTTCTTTTTAATATCTTTAAATATTTCAAATGATATTGGTCCACTATCATCTAAGCAATATTTAATAAATTCTTGTAAAATAAAAAATGGTAATTCTACAATAATATTAATTGTTTCTTTTTTTAATCTAAAATAAAATATAAATAAATAGTTAAATTAATAAATATAAATTAAATAATTTACATATTAATATTAATTGACATACATTAAATATTTTTCTTTTAAAACAGAGAAACAGATTTCTTTAAACTTTGGTAATTGATTTTTAATTGGCTGAAATAGTATGAGTGAACCATAATAGTCTGATGATATTGGTGTGAATGGTTGCATGTCAATGTTGGTATAGTCACGGTTTGTATAGAGTTTAAATATTTCCAAAAATGATGAAACTGCTTCATTCCACGATCCAAAAGAGTGTCGTTGAATATTCTCTATATTGGTGGTATAGATTCGTTTAGTCATTTTAATAATACTAGAGTGTGGTTCCAATGTTAAATATAGAATATGTAATGAACCATCTTGATCATATCTACCAAGTTTTGCTTCATGTGTAGGTGTACTATTATTACCACTTCCACTACCACTTTGATCATAATATTGATTATCCCGTAATTCATATTCTGGTGATTGATCAATCTTTAAGATTTCAAAAAAATAAAATAAAAGAGTATTATAAATATTAATATATTATTCTATTCTATTTATATTCTATTCATCTATTCTTTTATAATTTATACTTACACAATCTTTTAATTGAGGTCTAATCAATTGGAATATTTTACCGGTTCTATCTCTTTGCATTAATTGACGAAATGATATGGTTGGTCGTTCAGGTAACAGGTCTAATAATGGATGAGTTGTAAAATGGTGTTTGTGACCCATTGCAGCCAGAGCATAGATATACCGATAATCTCTGATTCTGTAGGTATCAATCGGTGAGCAAACAACATGTGGTGGTAGATACAGACTAATGTTACGTTGAATTTGCTTTTGTTCAAAGTTTGTTGTCGCTGATTTAGCGTTGCATACAATCCCGAGTATTCTTTCGAATCGTTGTTGATTACTTTCGCATTCCGATAGATATCTCTTTTTACTACTACTCTTTTCTTCTTTGGCTTGTTCCTTTCGAATTTCAAATGCTTGTAGACATGCACCTCTGTATCGTTGTCTTGCCTTTTGATATTGTTCTTGTTGTTCTATTGTCATGTCAAATGTGACAACCAAATCAGATGCATAACAAACATTCTGGTAGTCGTCTCTCCAAGGATACTCGATCCTCTCCAAAGGTACACCACCATCTTTATCTAATACTATTCTCTCCTTCTTTGCAATCAATTCATAGTTTCCTTTGAATGTTGACACTGATGATGATGATATCATCGTAACTCTATAACTCTACGTACTAGTCTAGACGAAACTAAACATGTGATGATCTTCTTGTGAAGCCAAAAATACTTAAATGGTCGTCCAAAAAATATTAATATTAATTCGTTCTATTATATTTCCAAAGTTTATTAAATATTGATGCTTAAGAGTATAGGATTTAAATGATTGGTTGGTTGTTTTCGAAATATCAAGAGACAATTGCTCTGTGGGAAAGGTTGGAGAAACTTGGTGAGGTTGTCCTTGTGAATAACGCCAAGAATAGATATTTTATTTATTAATTCATTTTGATTTGTTTTGTGATGCATTTAATTAGGCATAGATGACATTCTTGACAAAGAGATTGGCAGGTGATGAACCATGGATAATGTAACCAAAGGTGTAAGAGGCACCAGCATTGATATCTTGGTATGATGGGAGGATGAGGAAATCGATAAATGATGGACCATCAACAACCTTGACATTCCAGATAGAGTTGTTGTCTCTGAGTCTACATGTGGCATCAGTACCAATGACAATTTGTTTGATGTTCTTGTTACCGTGGTTGCTCAATACAATGTCGTATTGTGAAAAGGTTTGACCACCTCTTGATCCATCTTGCCATGTTCCAATTAATTTGTGTTGAATTGAAACTGGGTAGGATGGATAACTAGCTGCTACAAATGAAATGCAGAGGAGCATTGAACATAATAGAATAATTGATTTCATTATTTGTTTGTTGATTAAAGTTTTAATTGTTGAATTAAATGATTTGATTTGATTTGATATTTAAAACATGTTTAGTTTCCATTATTTATACCCTTTTCCATCCCTTTGATAAAAGTATATTATTATTTGTGAATATTGTTTATCATTGGTTCATCTGCTGACAACAACGTCTTGTTTGCGCGAACGTGTGAAAATAAAAGATTAATATTATTTGTTTGTTTGTTTGTTTGTTTCGCCCTCGTTTGATTGAGCGAGCGTGTCAATAATTCCATCTGTTCAATCTATTTATACTATCTGTCTATGGGATGGATAGGATTTAAATTAATTATAATTATTATCAATCCTATTTCCAATTTTAAAAAAAAAAATCAACAAACTAATTCCATATGCATCAATCATCAAAATAATAAATAATTCATTAATTTTTGAATAAACCATACCAATTATTGTTTCTTTTGAATGTTGATAATCTTTATAATATTTAAATTTGATAGATAATCTATATATTATAAAAAAAGGATAAGGAATGGTCAATCAAAATAATAATAATAATAATATATCTCTTTTTTTTTTTTTGTTTCTAAACCAAGGTAGATAATCCCATGGGACGACACTTGATTGATCTTTTTTGAGTGGCAGCACAATCAATCAATCAATCTAGGAATACTTGATAAACCATGATACATGCTTTAGTTTAATCGATTCACAATGATTGATATCATAGTTTATCAAAGCATACTAAATGACTCGAAATTAAGCCAGACTTTCAAATAAATATATATTGGTTGATCGTGATTACCACTTAGTTGTCTACCAATTTACCTATAATGTTTAAAAAGTATTGTATAATTTAATCAAAATAATAAGAGGGTGATCATGCACTGTAAAGATATCTAAACAAGTAAGGGATCTTGTAACATATCTATTTCGCATATGTGCGATGAATGCTGCATTTCTCTAAAAGGTTGTGCTCAGTGGTCGAGGGAGGCAGGCAGTGCCTAATTCTTTTTCGTTGCTAATGACTGCAGTACAAATTTGTAATTTTTTACAAAAATAATAAAAAATTACACCTTGTCAAAATTTTTTTTATTATTTTTGTAATTTTGACAAGGTGTAATTTTTTATTATTTTTTTTTTTTCAACGAACGATCGGTCATTCAGATCTTTTGTTTTTGGGTGATGGGGTTGATTGTCTTTGGCTTTGAACTTGGAACCTACTTTTTTGTTTTTTAATTCATTAATTTAATTATGATATATAACAATATATATCTTTTCAATCAAATATATTTAAATAATAATAATAAGAATACGAATCAACTTAACTTAAATACAACAGTTTTGATCAATCAAACAAGGAGGAAGATATCATCAAGTGTAACAAAACAGCTGATCGATCACATCATTGGATTGATCATTCATTCATTCATTCATTAATTATACGCTATGTATGTTATTATCGACTGACCCGATCGATGTACATGGTAGACGATCGTATATATATGGTGTTAGAAATAAAAGATCCTCCAAACAAAGTTCAAATGTATTAATTTATTATCTCTAAAAAACAACTACTGTAGGTCGCTTGAGCATCATTAGACAATCATCATTGGAGGCGTTGAGATAGCCATAGCCTCCAGCGGTACCCCATGTCTGGCCCCATGAACTTGAATGAAGAAAAAAAAAAGAGCAAAAGGTATTAATATTAATATTATTCAATTCAATTCATTAATATATGTGTGTGTGAACAAAAGTGAACATACTTTCTAAAGATCCAAAAATCTTTTACTGGATTGTAACCAACAACTACAACTACATGGTTTGTTGTATTGTGAAGACCGGGTACACAATTAATAATTCCATTCTTGTAGTTTTTCCAACCAGCATCCGCGGTGACTAGAGATGCTGTCATTGGACCATTCTTTAGCTCTTGAATGATTGCATCCTTGTTGTTGGGGATGTAGTTCCATGAATTCCACTTGACATGTGGTTTTTCTGGTTCATCATAGCATGTGCCGTTAGCCATTAGATATGGGCGGTCAGCTTCATATTGAATGCCACTTGCGAGTAAACCGCCAAAAACACGCCAAGGACTGCCACCTTCACACGAATACAACTATAAAGATGAGTAAAGTAAACAAAAAAAATTAATTGATTTAAAAAAAAAAAAAACTAACAAACAATTTGTTTTTGTACTTACAAAACAACCAACAGCTTGTTGCTCAGATAGATCCAATGAAACTGGGTCTCCACCATTCTTGATCATATATCTCGATTCGACTACACCAATCGAGGCAAATGCCCAACATGAGCCACAACTTCCTTGTTTACGGACTGGAGGGAACACATTCTTGGTTCTCCAATCAGTTTCATTTGGATGTGGAGCTGGTGTTGGAGTTGGAGTTGGAGTCGGAGTTGTTGTTGGTTTAGGAGTTGTGGTTGGAGTTTGGGTTGGAGTTTGAGTTGGAGTTTGAGTTGGAGTTGTAGTTGGTTTTGGAGTTGTTGTTGGTGTTGGTGATGGAGTGACAACCTTTACTTTGTATGGATCGATACCAGGTAATGCACCAGCAGGGTAATAACTGCATACCAAAACAGTTTTCAATAGACCACACTTTGTTGTTTTAGCACAAGCAAAACTTTTACTAATATTGGACATTGCCTATTCACGAAAACAATTAAAATATATTAATATTTTTATTGCTTATCTTTATCTCGTATCCTTTTACTTACAGCTAAATAAGGAAAACATTGTTTATTTGGAAGACAACCATGATTTACCCAATCATAGGTAGGAGCAAGATCGATAACAGATTTTAAAGTTTTATTCAAACTAAATGAAACAGATGAAGAGGATTTCCATTCACTGTACAATCCAAATAATGCACCTGGGCTATTATCCTTGGCACAACCATCAATATGAGTTTGGATTTGAGTCTCGATGGTTGTATTCCAAGACAATTGTTGGATTGGAGTGTTTGGTACTGGACTGGCTTCTAATCTCCAGCTTTTATGGTGATCCACAATAATATTCTTGTCAGATGCGGTCAATGGAGCGCCTTGAACCAATGAACTACAAATAATTATTATAGATAATATTAAAAATAAATAAATACAATTATACATTCTAATAAATAATATAAATAATATAAATAAATAAATAAATAAATAATGGAAATGGTAATGAGTTGTAGAATGATGGTTTGTTTGTCGTTACGAACATTTTTATTCCTTAAGGGCATGTTCGCATGAATCAGAATATCTATAAAAATCGAAAAACCAGTTACAAAGTGTCTGATATTATCATGACTTTTCGATATCGGCGATCAAGATATTTTTTAGATTAATTAATTAATTAATTGAACCATATTCTGTTTTTAGATTAGACAGCCACTCTTTAGTTGAATAGCGGGTAGTAAAGTCTAGTCCATTGGTTAAATAGGGGAATGGATATAATAATCCCAAAGAGACACCCATTCACAGAGATTTTCATGAAGTATTGATCTTTCTAAAAATCTTTACCTTATTCGTTTTACGATAACCGATCACATCAATGGCCGTGTACATCATTCCTTCTAGAAAGAAAGAAACAAGAATCACAACTATTTATTATTTATTTAATAAGGGCCATACTTTGACAAATAGATCTATATATCTATAATATATTTGTATTATCTATATATTTTATTTATTTATTTATTTATTAATTATAAAAATGTACAAAGTATTTATTTATTTATTAGTTTTATTTTTGGTTTTAGTACAATTGACAAAAGCTCAACAACCAAGTGACGATGAACTCTACTCTGTATTTGAGAATTGGATGGTTGCTTATGAAATTACAATTCCAGCTGACCAATTATCAGATAGATTTAAAATTTTTAAAGTATGTTTTATTTTCTAAACTATTGTAATAGATGAATTGTCTATTCATAATGTCTTATTTTTTGATAGGATAATGTAGTTATAGTTGCAGGATTAAATTCAAATCATACAGAAGAAGTTATAGATATTGAATTGTTGTATCCAGCAGAATCACTTTCAGAATCAAAAAGATCATTGTTGGCAATAGAGGAAGCTGAACCCACCATTTCATATCCATCAATGGATCAACCATCATACTCTTTAAATGAATACAGTCAAATGACTACTGAAGAGTTCTTGGCATCAAACACTGGATTTGATGGATCAGAGTTCATTCCTGTTGCAGCTGCTGCTGGTTTGGCTGCCTCTACTATTGGAGCTATTGCAGCTGGTTCTGTATTTGTAGCTGGTACGACAGTAGCCACAGTCATCGTTGTCAAGAAGCATTTGAACAAGAAAAAGAAGGATGCAGCTGAACAAACCAGTGAAATCGAAATGGAGGAAGCACCAAGAGAAAGAAGAAAGACATTGATTGATATATTTAGGTTCCATCCTAAAAACAGTCATCAATCAATTACTGCTAGAACTCCAGCAACAACCTCTTCTTAATAAAAACAGCAATGTAATTATTATAATTTTCCATTCAGGTTAAAAAATAGCTCTATCTGGTTGCTCAACTAAAGGTAGAGCTATTCATTAATTAAATGAGTTTGATATGATTTTATTTTCTTTGTTTTCCATATCCGATTGATAATGTTTGTGTATTTTTGTTATTGAGGATATCATGTTCATCTTTAATAGTTTTTAATTAATTTTTGTTTGTGGTTGCTTATTCTTTGAAGATTCAACTAGATTTGTTTTGTTGTCGATTTGGTTGTAAACCCAAAGAATAGTCCAAGTTGGAATCAATTCAGTGACAACCAAACCAAAAAATGTAAAGACAATATTGTTTAGTTCTGCTGCAACCAGAATCAATACAAACGCACAATGAAGAATAAAGGCAATTGAACATGAAACAGTGATGGTGAATACCTTTTGTTGTTGTTCAATTCTTTTCTCTTCACAAAGTGCAACCTTTTTGTTCTTCATCATAAAGAAGATGGTCAAGCCAAGATATGCAAATGCTGCACCAATGACCAACGATAAGACGGCTTGAACCACGGCATAGGCAATCGATATAATTCTCTGAGGTGTTGTATTTGGCTCCAATGTAATACGACCTCCGGGACAATGGCAATCTGGTATATCGGTAAAACCTCAGTGGAACAAACCTTCATTCCGTAGCCATCGTCCACAAACCAAAACATTGGATCTAATGCGATTCTCCAAGGCATTGGATCTAGCATACTACACCCAGATATCGGATATTCTTCGAACATCATCACTTTGTCGATTGGATCAAGTCCAGGATCATCTAAAATCGATTGCTTGCTCTTGCAACGATGGCTCGGATTGCTTTACAACGAGCACAATTACAATCGGTCAGAAACAAGTTTGTGCGTTGGTTGACGATGACTATACCTTCTCGTTTGGCAGACTATTATTCTCAGAGACGAGTGTACCACAAGCTTGCACCAACATACTCGTTCAAACAGTCCCAAAAAAATTACTCAAATCCAAAGCTACCGAAACATTGTCATCCAACTTTATTTCATACAAGAAACCAGACGATTTCTCCATCTATAATGCCGCTGGAGCTGTTGTTGGAAAGGTTTTAAGTGATGGTATCAAAGTGCAACCTTTGGGAGTTAAGTCATTCAGCATATGCTTTAAACAAGATAGTATTGAATCACTCGAGAACCAGACAGACGGTTTGGTGGTTGATTTTTCTACTTTGGAAAATGTCACTGAATCATCAACAGTAAGCCAACTTCGAATAATGGAAAAGAACATCACCAGACATACAATTCATTCAAGTGATGGTGGTGTGTATTTATGTGGTACTGTAGATGCACTGGAAGAGATACATTCATCAACAACATGGTTTTTGATAGAAAGAGAACAAGACCACAAAAACAAAAAATTCACGATATTTGACAACTCTTCGACCATCTATTTATATATATTGGCATCTATCTTTTTAATAACTGGTATTTGGGCAATCATTCAAATTACATTTGTCACTATCGAAATATCAAAATCATTGGAACAATTCAGATTGGTTCATCTTTTAATCATATTTATTATTTTATTTATGTTTAGTATGTATAATTTTGACAAAATTATGAATAGTACGATTTTTAAAATCCATTTATTAATTAATACTAATATATTTTTAGCACGGTCAATCTATTTCTATATCATACCAAAGAAATATATTAGTTCAGTGGTAGATTATATTTTAGTAGTGTTGCCAACATTTTTATACTTTACTTGCTTTACGATTATCATTGCAATTTGGTATATTATTGTACAAGGTCAAATCAAACAAGATTATTTAAAGAGATTGAAAATAATGGTTGCATTGATCAATGGTCTTTTATACATGATTTTCGTTGTTATCGTTTTGGTATTCCATTTCACACAAGACAATAGCAGTGTCTATAATTGTGGTGGTCCAAGTAAACATGTTTGTCCATTTACTGTACTGACTGTTGCTACAAGAATTACACATGCTTTCATTCATCTCGTTGAAACGATAGTTTTGTGGGAGATTGTCTCTCGAGGTGTCAATTACACGACATCCCATGTGAGAGAGACATTCTTTTTCATTTTTAGCAATTAACCACCATTTGTAATTTGCACCCAACGAAAGGCACTGCTCCTCGGTATAGATCTTATCGTGCTTGTGGTAACAACCTAATGGGCTGTCTACTTCGTCTGGATAATTGCAAGTTAGAATTCCCGATCCAAACACGGTTGTGTTGTGTTGGCGTACACATCTTGCCCAAAGTCGTCCATGCTCTGTGTCTCCTTCGGAAAATACATCGTCTGAGCACTGTCCTCCGATGGTTTCGCACTCATCTTTGTTTTCCAAAAAATTAGTATATTCTTCTGTACACACGCGGGCAGATGTAAAGCATTCAAGTTGATTCATGCTTGGACAATTGTACCATTTGGCACCATACCCAAAATCCGTGCAATTGAGTTCGGTTGCTCCAATCACAGTGCAATCTCCTTTATCAACTGTACCTGGTATTGATCGGCAACCTCCAGGGGGAAGAGAATCGTCCGATATAATGCATGCATTTGGTCCACCACATGAGTACCCAACCATTTTACAATAGCCATTTGATTGACACTCGGTCTCAGTCAAGTTAAATAGTGGTTCTGTTCTTAATAGACATACACTCTCTGTAGCCAAACAGGTTGATTGATCGGTGATTGATTCGAATACTTGGCACTCTGATCGAATGTCATCTGTACAATAACCACAATAATCCGGGTGTCCTTCATTTTCACAGTTATCTGGCGTGCAGGTAGGGTGTTGGCAAGGGATTGTACAAAATGTTGCTTCTTCACCAGTCCTCCGAGGAGTAGTGTAAAAGTCAAAATAATCCAAATGACCATCAAAGCAAAGGTTGTGATTGGTTTCGCAGCTAACATCCATACATTGTAGCTCCTCGCCTTGAGGGTTAATCTTGCATCCATAAGAATATTCTGCCCTTGGTGATATATAACTATAGGTTTTCCTGTCTTTTGGGCGAATTCCAATCCAATCTACCATTGAAAATCTATCGTACAACTCATCAATAAACTTGGTTTCATTTGGGAAACTTTCTAAATTGTATTGATATTTTAGGAAATAATTTACTTGTAAACTAATATTATTTATGACACACTAAAATAAATAAATTTTGAATTTATGCTATTAATAAAATGATCTATGAATATTTGAATATGATATATTTTTCATACAGATAAATAACTTTTATCCAAAAGATGGATACTTTCAAATGGAACATAACAATACCTATCAAGTAAATGGCATTTTCCATTCAATTGGGTACATTGAGAGTCATTTGAACAAGTGATTTCATTAAAGAATGATTTACATCTACGTAGTGCTGTGTAAATATCCGATTGTAAATCAAATGAACTATCATATGATAGTGAACAATTACCATCTTGTATATTCTTTGTTGCCACATAATAATCGTTTAATACAAGAGTCGTACAACCTGGTGATGAGCATTGACTCGAAACTAAATCTGTTTTGGCTTTACCTTGGTCTGGTATTGTGATGTTGGATAAACGTGGTAAGCAACATTGACCTAACGTTATGGTCGAGTTGCAACAAGGATCGGTGCTGAACATAGGATCGTTGGTTGGGTACGGACAAACAATCGAGTTGGTTGATATTGTTTTGGTCGATATTTCCAAGAGACTGTCGGCTTGTTGAGAACATCCAACCCAAGAATCATCCAAAGTTATAATATCGATATTAAATCGAATCGATGATACTTGGTCAAATCCGGATCTCGAAAAGAGCATTTGTTTGAGTGTTTCAATCTGGGACAGTTTCGATTGCAATCTGCTGTAATTGCATGCCAAGTGGTTGATTGTAAATCTGACCGACAAGTCCAATGGCTGTCCGTTGATATCGACCATTGTACCAGTAAAATCCAATTGACCATTGGCAACGTTTTCAAAGTCTGAATAAACAATGGCCGTTGACATTCGATGTTGAACCGAGATAATAAAAACAGCTTGGTATCGATTGTTTGCTGTTGTTGGATTGTCGTCTTTCTCCAACAAGTCAATGTCTTTGAAATAGTTGAAGCTGTCTTTTGGGTCAGACATGATAGTTGGTGTTGGGTAGATTGGGTTGGCATCCATCCTAGGATAAGTTGGATAGAATAGATTGACCAAGTTCCAATCGATTGAATTCCAAATCGATCCATCTTTCAATCTCATCCTCGAAGATCCCATCATCAGATAGGATCCTCCTTGTTCATGATTATCAACCAATGCTCTTTTGGTGTAATTCTTTTGGAAATGAGAACTAACCACGCAATACATCTCTGCATCCTTGCCCATTTCAAAACTGATATAAAGTATTTTGGGGGCATCTCTGATTGTTATTGTTAAATAATTATCGTCTATAAAAATTAATAAAGCGGTTAAAACATGATTAGACTTGATTCTCTGATATTTGATACATACATTGTAAATAGGAAGCCCAAGTGAAATTATTTCTTGAAGGGAATTGATTATCATGTGAATCACTGACAAAAAATACAATTTCGGATGTGATGGCAGGACATCCAATTGAAAGGGCCATAGGATGGTCAACTGAGAATGTATAATAAAATTGTCGAGGCTTAGGATTTTCAATGTCTATATCTTCAATCAAAGCACCATCATTGGCACATTGGTGACTTGGGCTATTATTAATGTTTGTACAATTTTCGATATTTGGATCTGCAGGAGGAACATCATTCTCGTAGGTAATAAATGAGAATGATGCTGATTTTGAAATTGGTTTAATATTTATGATATATGTACCAATAGCAATATCAGACTTAGACCCATAGATATTAGGACATATTGTAATTTGTTGTAATTTCTAGAGAAATAAATAAAATTATTTAAAAGTTGCTTTTTAAAAAATATTATTTATCCATCTAGTATACATACTTGAGAACCAGTATCACGACTAAAACTAGAGTGAGTATCATTATTGAAATAATAATCTACATTCATTTTAATAGCACCTTTGTCTTGTGAAGCATAGAATTGATATCCTACACAACTAGATGAATTTGCTTTGAGACGAAGTTCTAGCTCCTCTGTTACATTTCCAAAGTAGTAACGTGTGTTTGCTTGGATCGTTGTCCATTTTCTTTCGGGTAAGCAGTATGGATGGGGGTATGATACTCCTTTGTAATGATCAAACACATCACATGAATCACACGATTCATCTAGCTTTTTGGGACATTCGCTCCGGTCCGTGTAATCACATGTACAATCTATTCCGCCCTCTGAAACTAGATTTGGACAGGTATAGTTGGGACAGATGGCACCAACATAATGATAAATGTCTCGGTCAAACTCGATGTCGATGATTGCCATATCGATATCTGAACCCATCACATTTGCCTTCTTTCGTGTGATTGTACTTGACTTTACTTTAAATCCACTGCTATCTTTACGATAACCAACATCATCATCATTAAAAGTTGTTGTTGTTCTTGATGTGCTATCTTTGATGAATATAAATAATAATAATAATAATAATAATAATAATAGATACAATCGTTTAAATGATAGATACATATTATTGCTTATTTGTTACTTGTTAATCTTTTTAAATGATAATAACATCTTGGAGTTGTTTGTGATAGAGTATGAACAACTTATCACAATAAATGCCTACGTAGGCATAATAACAACACTACATTTATCCAAGAGCTACTTTTGTTGAGGGAATCCCAATTGGTTGGGTTTTAAAAAAAAAAGAATTTTTAAGGGTTGGGGAAGTTCGTGTTGGTAAATAGTTCACCCATTACTTATATATAGGATTGTACACTTGTTTGGTTAGACAATCAAAAGGTTGGGTTTTGGTCAAACCCAATGTAAAAAAAACCTGATTGGTTGTTGGGTATGCATTGGGGTGATCAAGATCTATTAATAGTAGCACCGACGTCAGCCTTGTGAGTGGAAGGTAAGGTAAATCGACGTTAATTTGTTCACAAAGAGATAATCCCCAACCTTTAAATTAAACAATCCCACTTTCAAATTAACACTCACAAGGCTGACGTCGGTGCTACTATTAATGGTATACATTCAAGATATAATGGGTATCACTAATCGTAGCAAAACAACTGTAAACTATTAATAGTTCATATGTTATTGTATTTGAATTTACTCACTCGAGCAGGCAATCCTTTTTTGAAACATAGTGATGCACTTGCAATGTGCATGCATCAAAGTTTATTCATTTTGTTTGGTTGATTGATTACATGATGCTTTCATTTAAGCATAGATAACATTCTTGACAAAGAGATTGGCAGGTGATGAACCATGGATAATGTAACCAAAGGTGTAAGAGGCACCAGCATTGATATCTTGGTATGATGGGAGGATGAGGAAATCGATAAATGATGGACCATCAACAACCTTGACATTCCAGATAGAGTTGTTGTCTCTGAGTCTACATGTGGCATCAGTACCAATGACAATTTGTTTGATGTTCTTGTTACCGTGGTTGCTCAATACAATGTCGTATTGGGAAAAGGTTTGACCACCTCTTGATCCATCTTGCCATGTTCCAATTAATTTGTGTTGAATTGAAACTGGGTAGGTTGGATAACTAGCTGCTACAAATGAAATGCAGAGAAGCATTGAACATAATAGAATAATTGATTTCATTGTTGGTTTGATTATTTAATTTAATCGTTGATTATTAAATTGTTTAAATGATTTGATTTTGAACATATTTTGTTTCCATTATTTATACCTTTTCCAAAACTCCCTTTGATTAAAGTCTCTATTATTATTATTAATATTTGTGAATATTGTTTGTCATTGGTTCATCTGCTGACAACAACATTTTGTTTGGACGAACGAACGAACAAACAAACTCTAGTGTGCGAAAATTAAAAGATTAATTATTTGTTTGTTTGTTTGATTGACTTGGCAAGCGAGTCAATAATTCCATCTATTCAATCTATATATCTATTTCCACATCGACCAAAATAATAATTATTTAATTAATTAATTCTTGAATGAACAAATACCAATTATTGTTTCTTTTGAATGTTGATAATCTTTATGATAATAATAAATTTGATAGATAATCTATAAGTAAAAAAAAAAAGGAAAAGGAATGGTCAATCAAAATATTAATAATAATAATAATAATTATCTCTTTTTTTTTTTGTTTCCAAACCAAGGTAGATAATCCCATGGGACGACACTTGATTGTTCCTTTTTTTGAGTGGCAACACAATCAATCAATCAATCAATCAATCAATCAATCAATCAATCAATCTAGGAATACTTGATAAACCATGATACCAATGACTATCAAATGCTTTAGTTTAATCCATTGATAATGATTGATATCATAGTTTATCAAAGCATACTAAATGACTCGAAATTTAGCTAGATTTTTAAATAAATATATATCAGTTAATAGTAATTACCAACAAATTCCTTTCTAGTTTACCTATAATGTTTAAAAAGTATTTTATATTTATATTAATATAATGAGAGGTGATCATTATTAATAAGTCATCAATGTAAGCAAGTAATAGCTATTGTACTATTTTGTTTTCGAAAAGTTCCTCCATTAGTCACTGGAGATTCCAAACAGTGCATTTGCATGAACTAAAGACATGGTTGGGATTACTGATTTGTTCATTCCTCCACTATACCAATCATAGATGACATCTATAAAGTAAATACACCTTTTTGAAACTTTCAGTGAGGCCTGTTGTATCGCATATACTGTTGATCTTGTGTAGTTTGTATACTTAATAACCAATTCTTCAAATCGATTATCTGTAATACTCTACATACTTTACATTCTCTCTATGTGTATACTATATAATGAATCTTAAGAAGATGAACAGGAATCAAACTGAAATAGAAATAGAAATAGATATACTACTTGTTAATTAATAATTAATTTTAATAGATAGAAATAGACAGTAGTCTGATCTTGTACACTTGACATCGATACCTTTTTTTTTTTGTGTTTTTATTAGAAAGAAAATATAATATATAATATAATATAATATACAAGTACTTGAAGTATGATTAGTATGGCTACATTCAAATGTGTATATAGATAAGATATTGGTAACAACACTTGAACTTGGATTGGTCATTAATCTTTTAACATTATCCACTAAAGGAAACCAAGGTGTTGTGACAGGCTCTCGACTAAATACAATAGATGGCTTGTGATCAACCAACCAATATTGTCTTGTCTACACCTAGTAATGCATCGATCCGGGAGGGGGTGTGCACATGGTTGATGACTGACTCGAGTAACCTGAATTGGCCAATTCAAAATGCCAATATTAATATTAAGGATCACATTCTGTACAAGAGTACCAAGGAGATGGAAACATATAATATATTATTATACTCGTCTCCTGATTCCAGTACAAATCCTCGATCCTAAAAGTTGAATCTAAATCAAAGCACAAACCCTCGCGAGAATGATCGTTGATGCTTTCTATTCCTTTGCACGAGCTCGTGTCCCAAAAAACGAAAAAAATTTGTTTCCCGACTCCTCTCTCTCCAGGCTGCCTGGGAGCTATGAGGCTTTCAGAAACAATCTATGAACAATCCAGTTAATGCCACCTCCTATAGTGAGTCGACCTGGGGGACAAGTGTTCTGCATTCATAAAAATGTACAAGAGATACTAGATAAGACTGATAGATGTACATCAATTCCGAGGAATGAAATATAGGGGATTTATTAAAAATAATTAAAAAAAAAAACGGTCAAAATTCCTTGTTTTCGAAACCACAACAAACAAACAGCGTTTGGCGCAACACAACAAAAAAATCAGAGATCCTACTGACCTAAAAACCCTTTCAAGTCCGCCGAAACTTCTAAAGGTCTTTCTTTCTTGAATAAGGTTATTATTATAGACAAAGAGAGAGAAGAAAGAGAAGATACATATACTATACATATACATATATATATATACATATAAATACATATATATTATATATATTGTTGTTATATTCTTACTAGTGTAATATTAATAGTAGTTGTAGTTGTAGTAGTAATTAGACAGGCACAGATAGTTTCACAGTCGCCCTCCTTCCTCTCCTCCCCTCCCCTACCTACACACCCACGCACACACTTATCTTCAGTACCCACATCTCACTACCAAAAAACATAGACATAGACAGTCACAGTAGTCAGTAGCAATCAGCAACTTGCATTTTAGATTTGTTAAGAAGAATCTTCATCTTAACAATTGTACACACATTCATACCCCAGCATATTTCATTATTCATATATTATATTATAATACCCTCGCTCCTTCATTATATACTTCTTTTTTTCACAACAACCAGACCAGATTAGATTAGATTAGGCGAGCTATCAAAATAACAATAATAACAATAATAATAATATTCATAATAATAATTTAATCCATCCCATCCTATCCCATCCCATCCCTTCCCCAGTCGTCGTCGTCATTTGACTAGTACAATTAAAAGAAGAAGAATATGGGTAAACAAAAGAACTTACAGTTTATAACAGAGTCTGAACCTCTGGTAATGAACTACTCGACTAATAGCGAAAGATTGGATATCACCATCAATGAGAACTATCTTGATGACACTTATCCACTCCCAGCAGTATCAGATAAACATGACCAAGAAATTAAATCTTCTTTTGGTCATAAAACAATGTAAGATATGAACATAGCACAACAACGACAATGGCTGTGTAGTCATACTAATAATAATCATTATCATTATTACCTATTACTACCTTAACTTTTAGTGGTGCAATTGGATCTATATCATTGCTTATAGGTAATATGACAGGTCCAGGTATGGTAGGAATTGCTTTACAATTTCAACAAGGTGGTTGGTTATTGTATGTATAGTCACAAATTAACTTATAGCATCCGATTTCGATTTCGATTCATTCATAGTTACATCATTCATTCATTTTCATTCTCTTCTTCTTGGTTTGTGTACAAGTAGAGAGTGAGAGAGAGAAAGATATTTGAAGAAAGAAGAAAGAAGAAGAAGAAGAAAAGTAAAAAGAAGATGCAAGCAAAGTTAATTATCTTGCAGATGCACGATACTCTGCTGTTTTTTGAAATTTCTTGTTCTTGGACAAAGTTGTGTCAAATCAAAAAAATATCAAGATTAATTAATCAAAAGATAGATACTTTTACAAGATTGAATGATGAAAGATGGATGAATGGATGAGATGGATGAGATGGATGAATGAATGAAATATATCAAGATTGAAAGAAATAGTGATTAACTTAATTTAATATGTATTTAGGACTATACTAGGATTTGCAGCCATTATGTTGTTAAGTACATTGGCTGGTTTATTCATGATTGAATCTATGGCATCTATTCCAGGTAATCCAAGATTCCAAGTATGTTGTATAAACTAAATCAAAATTGGAAGATAAATATTAATATTAATATTTTGTTTAATTTGATTTATTTATTTAGTTGAGAGTAGAATTTACAATGTTGGTTAGATTTTATTTTGGTAAATGGGGATATTATATTGCACAAGTATTTATCAATATAGCGTTACAAGCGACCAATGTAGCATCGATTATTATTTGTGCACAGGTAATGGATTCGATGTTTATTTTCATGTTTAAAAAGACGTGTGGTTTGGAAGCATACCCACATGTACGATGGGTATGTGAGACTGTTGCTAGTTCAAACAGTTCACCGTTCAACAGTGAATATTACATGTTTTTCACACTCGGGTATCTAGTGGTACTCGTGCTCATCATTCCACTCGGTTTCCTCAATCTCGACGACAACATTATCGTCCAAATTTGTGCCGTCTGTCTCATGTTTACCATCACGTCTTCATGGGTCATCATGTTTATCATTCACGGTCTCAATGTAGACAATATGCCAACATTTGGTGACGGGCCTGGTATGGCCCAAATTATGGGCAATGTAATGTTTAATTATGCTTATGTTACTACTATTCCAAGTTGGGTAAATGAAGCTGTAAGTAGAATCAAACAAAACAAACAACTGTCACCCAAAAAATATTAATATTAATATTAATATTAATATTCTTTTTTTTACTATTTTCCATTTATTTTTATTTAGAAACCAACAGTAAATATTAACAAGACAGTTTGGGGAAGTGCATCATTGTCAACAGCAGTATTTGTAGTGATTGGATTATTTGGAGCATTGTCATTTGGTCATATGCCATCATCATCTGATATTTTGAGTGTTATCAATTCATCACCAGAGGCTAATATCTTTTCAAAGATTTGTGTCTATATCTTCCCATTTGTAGTGTTGGCCAGTTCGATCCCAGTCTATTCGATTATTGTCCGTTACAATCTCATGCAAAACGACTTGATGCCCAAGTCTGCCGCCAACTTTGTGGCTGTCGTGTTGCCATGGCTCATTGTCATCCCGTTCATGACGGGTGACGGTCTCAACAAAATCTCAAATTGGTCATCCATCTTTTTCAGTTCGATTGCCAATTTTATCATTCCCCTCCTCATCTATCTCCGTTCGATCCAATTTAGAAAGGGTAAAAAGAAGATGACCAATGAACAGAAAAAGATCCTCCAAACCCTCATCCAAGACACTGTCGATTTCGAAGAGAACAAGCATCTCCTCACATTCAAAGATCATCATAGCATGTATCGTGCTTTTAGAAGAATGGCAAGAGAAACTTGTCGTCGTCTTGCCACATTTGCTGTATCTACTCTGGGTGTTTTAATCTTATTAGTTATTATTACTAGTTTTATTTATAATAATAGTTAGAGAGATAGAAACAAAAAAAAAAAAAGAAAATAATAATAATCAAATAATTAATATTTAATCATTAATCATTTTTAAAAAAAACAACAAACAAATCGATTATATATTTATATATTTATATATTCCAGCAACAACAACAACACAAACAACAATAGCAACAATATTTTTTGATGGAAATTTTATAATAGGCAATTATTCATTTCTTTCAACCATACCATCAATCTTTAATCATTTCATTTCCCTTTTTTTTTTAATTTATTTATTTAATCAAAGATTTCTAGACCTTTTTTGAATTTCTGGAATCAATTAATTTTCACCCCAACCCAATCGATATTAAATTAAATTAATAATTATTTAATCATATCTTAATTACCGAAAGAATAAAACATAAAACACATTTCAAATATAAATATATTTATTTTTTGTTTTTACCATTTGTATAATTTTAATAATTGTTGTTATTGTCTGGGTGTTCGTACCAAGGACCCACCCTAGACCAGATAATGTCAGGTAGTGGCGATATTTCTTCCAGTTTTAAAAAATTAAACTTTAAATTGGCTATGAATGCCACTAAAATAATGAGATACACTAATCGTTCATAAGATGTTGGAGCTGGAGAGGTTTATTGAAATAAGAGAATGAATGAATTAATAAAACAAAAGTATTGGATTGGATTAATTATTATTATTACAATGTAATACCTTTGGGATTAATTTATAACCATCAATATTTGATACGGACCGGGATTCAAGAATTGTGGACTGATTATTTTGGTGGAATTGATATTGAAATTCTCTATAATAAACACCACAACAAAGGTATAGTATTGTAATACCAGTGCCCCATAGATCATTCGTTTTGGTTGGTCCAATATGAGTATTATGTCCGTCAAGTTCGGAGAGAGTGGGTCCATTTAAGAATTGTTCAGCTCCAGATGCAAATCAAATTTAAACCTTCCAAAATCTAATCAATCATAGAACGCTATATGTTAGTAGATTTAATAGTTGAATAGATTGTGTGTATACAATCCAATGTTTAAAAAAAAACATACCAGCAATCTTTAAAGTATAGTCTGCAGATACAAGAACGTTACTTAGATTCACTTCACCATGAACCATATCGTTATCGTGAAGGTAAGCCAAACCTTGTAAAACTTGTAGCATTGACGCATGTAGCCGTGTTTCTTCTTGATAATAGGAAGGATTTTTTTTGAGAAATACTGCAAACGATCTATTCTCCATCATCTTGGTGATGAAGATTTCGTAGTCCAATGTCACGCGATAGTCCTCAGAACAGAGTATGTTGGGGTGACTTAACCTTTTGAGGTCACTGAACCGTCTAGTTGAGCAGAAGCTCAACTTTGATGGAAGGTTTCTTATGAGCTTGACAGCTACGAAAGTGTCTGTTAACCTGTCTCTTCAGATGAATACTTTTCTCTGTTTGCCCTCTCCGATCTGAAAATATTCGTTGGTCGAGTATTCGTATATCATTGGTGATGGTATCTTTTAAAAGCCTCCTTCTTCTTGCGAGATAAAGGTTTGCCAACCTGGCCAAAGGGATTTTATTGCCAAATTAATTCAATGTAGAAATAACCATAGAAATAAAATAAATAAAATGTTGAGTACACTTGTTGTGTTTATGAGGGAAAAGGAGGAGTTTTGTTTATTGAACTACTTTATGAATATTACAAAGTATTTGCCGATTATTATTATTATTCTTTTTTTTTTGCAATATATATAATAATAAATGTTAAATGTTATGGTGATTATGCGTTCGTTGACTGACTATTTGATACAAGTGGTGAGGGAAATCTTTCTCTCTCTATTGATTTTTTTGATTTTTACCATTTTGTAAATTTAGTTGTTGCAGTGATCTCTTTGACCATGTTGGGTATCCAAATTTGAGGTTTTTGTGTTTTGATGAATGCATTACGGAGTACTTCTCGTTCGAGCATTGGTAAGAGTACTTCAGATGGTCCGAGAATATGATGCATGTTGGAGATGTTTTCCTCATTGTACAAATTAAAGTTGTACATCTTTTTGTTCTTTACATTGCATCGATAGATGACCTCGTCGGTAATACCAACCGAAAATGACGTACCTACAAACACCACCACATCAGCCTTGTCCATCCAATTGCTCGCGTCATCCCACCGATAGAAATTATGTGATTTGTACTCTTCATCAAACAACAGCGATTGCGGTAATATAGGTTGTGAACAAGCTGGACATAATGGTGTTGATATTTGTAAATTTCCTAATTTCATTTGTGTATTATTAATTGCTAAAATAATAAATTAAATAATAAACAAAATAAATAAATTAAAATATTAATATTAATTCCAAAAAAAATAAATGAATAGTCGAGGTTCCGAAAAAACCGATTCAAAAATATCTTCTTTTTTTTGTTTTTTGACGCAGACGAAAGATGTGTATCTTCGTCGTCAATTTTCGAAAATAAAGAGATAGAGAGATATTATATATATTATATATATTACATACCATAACTATTAATATCAATATCAATACTTTGATCCATACTATATTTACAACCAGGTTTGACACATTTGTAGAGACCGATACGACCGTGAATCTCAATGACCTTTGGTTCAGGTACACCACTCTTGAGATGCAGTTGATCGATGTTTTGAGTAATAATCTTTACATTGCAAGCATCTACCAAGTTTGCAATAGCCAAATGACCATTATTAGGTAATGCATCAATATATTCCTGCTTTTCATGAGTATTTAACCAAAAATGATTCCACCATAACATTGGATCTAGATAGATATTTAAAGATAAAAAGATGTATTAGTAATGAAATATATGATAGATACTTTTTGTTTTTGTTGTTATAAATATGTACCTTTTCTCCATTTTGATCTAGTACCCCAATCAGTAACAAACTTCTCCCATACAGCTTTCTTTGTGCCTCTATAGGCAGCTAAACCACTTGGTACACTGAGACCTGCACCTGTTACAAAGAGTACTTTCTTTCCATCGACCATATCTCTTGCTAAATCATTTAGCAAATGTTTTGACTTTAAATAGATTTCCTAATAATAATAATAACAACGTATAAAGAGAGAGAGAGAGATATCAGATGATATTGATATTTAAAAAGAAGAAGTTAGTAACTATGAATGTTTATCTTATTTACAAGTAAGTAAGTATTTATAGCTCCCTTCTTCTTCTTCTTCTTACCATTTCAGAAGATCTAGATAACTTTTCATAATCTTCTTCAGTGTCTACAAAGTTATCATCAATGATATCAAACATCATTTCATCTTTAATATCGTTTTCACCCATTCTTATTATTGTTTAACTTTACTTGTTGATTGGTTGATTGATCTATCTATCTACCTATCTATATTTATATCTATATCTTTATATCTTTTTGATCTATGTTATGCTATGCTTTAAATCTTCTCGTTGTTTTCTTCTTTATCTGTTTGTTATTATCTGTAGTTGTTGTTATTGCTTTGTTACTAATGATTGATAACTTTAAAAACATTTAAAAAAAGATTGATAGGTAGGTAGGTTGTTTGAAGAAAATGACGCAATCCGAATCACCAACTATGTTTTAGCTCTCACTCTCTCTTACTCATCCCCTCTCTAAAAAAAATTAAATAAACCCAAAAATGGAAATGTAACAGCCAGATCATAGGTCGTTTCAAAACTAGTCTGTAAAACATTCTTTGTTATCAACCGAATATTTATATCAACAAATAATATAATAATGCAAAGGATAAGTTAGATATATATAATCAAATAATATAAGATAGATATATTGATAAGAAGATCATATGATACACAACAGCAAATTTACCACAACCCTTATCTTTCTCTACTACTACTCACAGATAAAGTATCTTCAAATTACTAAATAATGAATAGGTAGGTAGGTAGGTAGGTAGATAGGTCAGATAGTGTAGGAGACAAGAAGAGAGAGAGAGAATGAAAGTGTGGATCTCTGGCCCGCTTCATTCGTTGTTGTCCTTTACTTTTCGAAATTTATTTGAAAATGGAGCTGCATTGAGCTCTCAAAGTATCTCGTGAACTAATTAGGTACCTCATCGTAAAGGAAAAGAAAGGAAGGACTTTCTCTTGAACAAGAGTATTTCATTCCCATTCATTATTTATTTATTCTTTGTTGTAATATTATCTATCTTATCTATCCAACAATTATTTGCATAAATAAATAATTAATTATTTATTTATGCAATCAAAAATGAACAAGTCAAGTTTAAGTTTAATTTTAACTATATTGGTATTGATAGGTCTTTGTATTTCAGTTACAAAGGCAACAGTATTTGACCAATCTAAATGGGCAGAGATGCATTCCTATTGCGATACTCAATGTGACTCGGATTCAGAAGACGACGATGATATTGTAACGTTGGAGGTTGGAAAGTGTCTCTCTTGGTCCAACCATTGTGGTACACCAGGATCGATCAATCTCTTTATCACCTATAACACTACGACCGAATACTACACCTTTTCAGCGTCGCCCAGCAACGACGCTCAATGCAACAGCACAACCACCGATCCAATACTAGAAGACGCAACACTCAAATGTGGACAATGCTCTGAATTTATGGGTGGTAAGGGATACATTGAATTGGGTTGTTCAGATTCTACTTCCATCTTTTCATTATCCAATCTATCCCTTATGATCGTTGTTGTCACCATCGTCTCGGCTTTAGTTTTATAAAAAATTAAAATAAATATTGATGGTTTTCCCACCTTTGTTGTCCTCTGCTTCGTCACGCCCTAATGATCTTCTTCCTTGTTAAACCTAAATATTTGATAGTTGTTCATCTTTCAGCTGATTATTTATTGTATCATGAAGAGCTGTGAACAAAACATATCAATAGTCAAACAGAGAGAGAGAGATAGAGAGAGAGAGAGATAGATATAATAGATTAGATATCATATTAGTCAGCAGTAATTACAAATAGATAGATATTGACTATATAGAAAAAGGTAAAATTATGAACAGTGAAGAGATATATATAATATATAATGTTGAAAACTTTTTATTATTTATATAGATGACAGAAGTACAAATGAATGATTATCAAAGGATGATCAAGATTTTAGATTTATTAGAACTTATCACTCACAAGTTTTCGGTTCAAAATATGTATACGGAAGCAGTAGAGGATTGCATGAGTCTGTATCATATTTCATTTCCACTCTCAGAATGGTATGAAGTAGTGGGTTTCGATCAATTGACAGAGTTTCTGCGATTACTGCTAAAATGCGCAACCCAAATGTGGGCATCCCCTTACAGAGACAATAACCACGCAGAGGTATTCGAGTTGCTCACCTACTTTCGGTTCTTTGAGGAGAATGGTGATATGAACCCCAAATTCGTTGAGTATGACCCAAACGAAATACGTTCAATCATATCCCTTTGTGCAATGGAGCTTGGTCATCACGATGTTGCAGTTCACTATAGTAAACTGATCTATCAAGATATATTGTCACAAAATGCTTGGTTTACAAAGGAATTAGAGTCGGGTCAATGGTATCGTTGGTTTGAAATTGGAAATGGTGGTGACGGCGGCTCAAATGAATTGGTCAACATAGGAGACAATATTAAATCACTGTACCGGTTGATATTGGTGGAATTGATGGTATTGGATGCTACTTTGCAATCAAAGGACATTACTGAGATCAATCAAGTTGCCGATTCCATATCCAAGAAAATCAAAATGATATTGGATGTAGAACAACAACAACAACAACAACAACAACAACAACAACAACAACAACAACAGCAACAACAAGAGATTTTAGGAAAAGAACAATTAGCAGATTTATGTACAATCAATTCTCTAGTTGAAGAATTGAGAAGGACAGACGAAAATTATAATTCTGATAAAACTTTAAGGAATATATCTATTTTCAGCGTCGTTGGTCTAAATAGCACTAAGCGTCAGTCTGACACTTTCAATGGTCAAAGCTATTTCCAAAGGTTTCTTCAATTGGTTGACAGGTTGGAATCAAATACACAAAAGGTAGAACGACTCATTCAAGCATCGGTATTTCTTAGTCCTGAAGCAGTTGACTTGTCATTGCAAGGATCGATAAAGGCCTACAACATCATTAAACAAGATGATCAACAATATCATTCGCCAGACAGCCAGCTAATCGAGATCCTTTTCGACCTCATTGAAAACACAACTTTAAAAATCCAACAACAAGTATACACTATTTCTCAAGCCGAGGTATCGTTTCTTCAAAGACAATTGGCCCAGTACCACCAAGAAATGAGATATGTATTGGGTTATTCACAACACCCAAAACGAAATTTCTACCATTCTAGAGTGTCTTTCATCGCTCAAGACTATACAACATCAATCGACCTTGCACTTGACCTACTCCAAGAGATTGAAAGCCACAAATCGCCTCTGAACAGTGGAGAAATACAGATGATGTTAAATATCACACCTGTCCATAAAAGTAAACCAAATGATAAGATGGAGAAAATATTTGGTTATCTCAGACGATTGGCTCCAAGATATTCTGCTCTTCCGAGTTGGTGTACCATCGGCGACGAGGCTTCATATTTACTTAATACACATCAATATGAAAAAGCAAGAGCATGTGCACAAGAAATGATAGGCAATCCCGACCCACAAGACCGTGAAGATCAACTACTCCATGCCCATGCCATCATGTTTGGTGTCCACTCTTTCCATGGAGAGATGGATGAAGCAAAAAAGTTGGCAAACAAATTGGTTACCGAAACTTACAAAAATCTCGGATCGTTTTACCTCTCTAAACCAACCGAAGAAGAGTGCTGGAAACGATTAGAATTAAATCTAAACGAATCACCCTCTGAAAGAGCTGACCTTCGTGCTATATTGTTGGGGATTCTAGTAGAAACGCGTCCAATAGAAGAAGTTGAAAAGTTTATCACCACCGACTTTCCACACAGCACACCACAAGAGAACTGGCTATTCAAAACTAGTGTGGAATTCAGTTTCGCCCTCATTAATGTCTCCATATCACTCATTCATAAAGGAGAGTACGAACAAGCTGCAAATTTTCTTTTGGAAAGCAAAAAAAATCTGCTGGTCCGTCTTGGTGATTCAATCAATGACAATCAAGGTAAAAAACTGCTGGGCATCACAGACACGATGCCATCATTTCTTTCAGAGTTGGAATATTGTCAATTAAAGTTGGGTCAGAAAACAGAAGCACTATTATCATTTGATGAAAGAAGATCAATGACTATGTGTCGAACACTCGCCAATCGATTTAATCTCAACACCAAAGACAACAACAACAACAACAACAACAAACTCCTTCTCTCGATTGATGAAATGCAAAAACTATCATCAACAACCAACTCGAAATTTATTGTATACGTTGCTGACCATTGCTATGTCATTGATCACGAAAGAATAGAGATCAAAAAATTACCAAAAATCAAAGTTAAAATCAACTCTGGTTTCACAAGTAATTTTTTTTCAAATTCAAAAAATAGTGATAATAATGTTAAAAAAAAGAAAGAAAAGTCTCAGTCAAGTGGAGATGGATCATCTCTTTCATCAAAGTTTGCGAATCTATTAAAAATTCAACCAAAATCAACTAGACAACAGGAGGAAGAAAATGAAGAAGAAGAAGTGGAGGATGAAGGAGATTCGGAGGATGAAATTCAAGAATATTATACATTTAGATCAGATGAACCACCCATCTCAAAATCAACAAACAACAGAAAATTGGCTAGAACATTAAAACAATGGTACATCGAATTAATCGAAGAAATCGAAGAGTATTTACCTCCTGATTCAAGTGACACAACAGTGGTATTTGTTCCCAGTGAACTCTTGGCCAATGTTCCATTTTCTGCATTGATCGATAAAAATGGTCGACATCTTGTCGAAAGATTCCCAATATCAACCACTCCATCATTATCATTATTAAATACTCTATCTCAATTACCACATTCAAATAATAATAATAACAACTGTAATAATAATAATAATAATAATAATAATAGACCGAATGTATTATTAGTTGGTAATCCATATACAAGTGACGATGAAAAGAAATTATCTTCTGCACAAGATGAGGTGAATATGTGTGAACAACTATTCCAACAATCTGAATACACTTGTCATAAGTTGATAGGCCCAGAAGCAACTCTACCAAATGTTCTAGATATTTTAGAGAATACAATACTACGATACATCCACTTTGCATGTCATGGTGGACCCGATGGAAAGAAGGGATCAACATTATTCAAAGGATCATTGACATTGGCTGAACGTGAAGATGGTAAACCAGCCAAACTATACGCAGAAGACATTATACAACTTGCCAATGGAATCCAAACAGATACAGTAGTCCTAAGTAGCTGTCACTCTGGCAAAGGAAACAACAAACAACAAGGTCTCATTGGATTGGTTTGGTCGTTTCATTGTGCAGGTGCTCTTTCGGTTGTCGCCAGTCATTGGGAGCTACCAGAGAATGACCAAACAGTAAGAATGATCGAGTGTTTCTATGATTGCTTGATCAACAAGAAACTAAACAAAGCACAATCACTCAGACAAGTACAATTGATTGCAATCAATCAAGACCGTGATGACCCTAACCCTCATGCTTGGGCTCCATTATTTTTATCTGGTTTAAATTAAATTAAATTGGTTCAAAGTCTATGAATAAAACTTTTAATATGATCTCAGTTGGTTGTTGCTTTGATCAATTTTAAAAAGAAATAATATTATTGTGTTTACCCCACAAGTATAATTTTTTTAATGTGCACCTAAGAATACGATTCAGTTGCTCATCATGAATATAATGTGACCAATATATATATATCATAGACAACAAATAGAATAGATAAATAGATAAATAGATAAATAGATAGATATCATATCAGAAAAAGGTAGATCTAAATAATTATTTATCTCTGAAACATACATTGGTATCTAACTTATCATTATTATAATTGTTACAATATTATAGATGGCAGCACCACAAACTAATGATTTTCAAAAGGATATGATCGATGTATTAGAAACGATCACAATCACCAACATGTTTTCGTATGCGCATGGGTATTCCACAGCATTAGAGATATGCATGAACATGTATTGTAGTTCACCACCATTCTCTCAATGGGTTGAAGTAGAGGGTATCGGTCGAGTGACAGACTATATGCGGTTACTGCTAAAATGTGCAAACCAAATGTGGCTGTCCCCTCACAGAGACCAAAACCACTCAGAGGTATTCGAGTTGCTCACTTACTTTAAGTCGTTTTGTGAGGCATATCCCAATTTGGTTAAGCATGACCAAAACGATATACACTTAATCCTTTTCCTTTGTGCAATGAAGCTTGGTCGTTACAATATCGCTATTCACTATAGCCAACTGATCTATCAAGAATTACTATCACAAAATGATTGGGTTGTCAAGGCATTAGAGTCTGATCAATGGTTTTCATTTGGAAATGGTGGTTCAAATTGGGAAAATATAGTAGAAACTATCAAATCACTGTTTCAGTTGTTGTTGGTGGAATGGGATGTATTCGATGCTAGTTGGTGTTCAAAAGACAGAAACGAGATCAATGAAGTTGCCAATTCAGTATTAAAGAAAATTAGGATGTTATTGGGAATAGAAAGACAACTACAACAACAACAACAACAACAACAAGAGATTTTAGGAAAAGAGCAAAGAGCCATTTTATCTCAAATGGATGGACTAGTGAGGTTAATATTGATGCAAGAGATGGACGAAATTAATAATAGGTTCATAAATATTTGTTTGATAAGTGTTGTTTGTGTGAATAGCACCACTCGTCAGTCCTACACTTTCCAAAGATTTCTTCAAATGGTTGACAAGTTGGAATCAAATACACAAAAGGTAGAACAACTAGTAAAAGCATCAGGATTTGTTTTTGTATATAAAGCGATTGACCTATCATTGAAGGGAATGGTTAAGGCCTACAACATCATTAAACAAGATCATCTACAATATCGCCCCACAGACAGTCGGCTGATCGAGATCCTTCCTCAACTCATTGAATACACAACGTTCAAAATCCAACAACAAGTATACACTATTTCTCAAGCCGAGGTATCTTCTCTCCAGAATCAAATAGCTCAGTACCACCAAGAGATGACAGATGTCCTGCGTTGGTCTACACATCCAAAACGACATTTCTTCCATTTTCGTGCGTCGGTCTACACCCTAGACCTATTAAAATCGATCGATCTTGCTCTAGGCCTGTTCGAAGAGGTTGAAAGCAGTCAAACTCCTCTGAGCAGAGAGGAAATAGTAAAGTTGATTATGATCACACCTGTCTGTAATCTGCATGACAAAATGGATAAACTATTTGGTTTTCTCAAACGATTGGCTCCAATCTATTCCGATATTCCAATTTGGCGTTTCGCCGAAGAAGAGGCTACACTTTACCTTAATACGAGCCATTATGAAAAGGCAAGAACATGTGCACAAAAAATGATAAACAACCTCGATCCACAAGAGCGCAACGAGCAGCTATTCGGTGCCTACAAAATCATGTTTGGTGTCCACTTGTTCCATGAAGAGATAGATGAAGCAAAAAAGTTGGCTCCCGAAATTAAACGTCTCGAGCAACTCATCAACCAATCAAAAGAAAAAGACATACAAACATACGAATACATATCCAATCGTTCCTCGGACCCCAAACAGTTATTCAACAAGCCTCCTTCTAACGAGGAAGAGTGTCGGAAACGATTAGAATTAAATCTAAACGAAACTCCCTATGAAAGAGCTCACATTCGTACTACATTGTTATCTATTCTAGTAAAAACTCGCCCAATAGAAGAAGTTGAAAAGTTTATCACCACAGTCACTGACTTTCCTCACAGCTCACAACTAGAGATCAAGTTATATAAGGGTAATCCAGATTTCCCTTTAATACTCGTTAAAGTCTCCATATCACTCATTCATAAAGGAGAGTACCAACGAGCTGCAAATTTTCTTTTGGAAAGCAGAAAAAATATACTGTCTCACCTTGGTGATTCAATCTATGACAAACAAGGAAAAAAACTGATGAGCATCACAGACATGATCACAACATTTTTTTCTGAGTTGGAATATTGTCAATTAAAGTTGGGTCAGAAAACAGAAGCACTATTATCTTTTGATGAAAGAAGATCAATGACTATGTGTCGCACACTCGCCAATCGATTTAATCTCAACACAAAAGACAACAACAACAACAACAACAACAACAACAACAACAACAACAACAACAGCAAACTTCTTCTCTCGATTGATGAAATGAAAAAACTATCATCAACAACCAACTCTACATTTATTGTCTACGTTGCTGATCATTGTTATGTCATTGATAATGAAAAAATCAATATCAAACAATTACAAATCCAATTTAAAATCATTTCTGATTTCTCGCATCCAATTCTTAGTTCAGAATTATCGCATATCCCCGAACAAAAAACAACTATTATTAATAATATTCCAAGTAATAATTTAGAGATAATTAATAATGAAAAACAAAAGAAAGAATCAACTGTAGGTGGAGGAGTATCAGATAATGGATTAAAAATTCAACCAAAATCAACCAGACAACAAAAAGAAGAAGAGGAAGAAAATGAAGATGAAGAAGGAGATGAAAGCGATGATGAAATTGAAATTCAAGAATATTATACATTTAGATCATCAACCATTTCATATCGAACAACAAAGGAAGAATTGGTTGATAAATTAAAACTATGGTATAATGAATTAATCGAACCAATCGAAGAGTATTTACCTTCTTCTTCTTCAAACGACAGAACATTGGTCTTTGTTCCCAATGAAAATTTGGCCAATGTTCCATTTTCTGCATTGATCGATAGAAATGGTCAATATCTTGTCGAAAGATTCCCAATATCCACCACACCATCATTATCATTATTAAATACTTTATCTCAATTACCACATTCAAATAATAATAGAGAAAATAATAATAATAATAATAATAATAATAATAATAATAATTATCATCAAAACAATAATAATGTATTATTAGTTGGTAATCCAATTGGAAGTGGATTAGATTTTACAGAGGTAGAGGTGAATAAGTGTCAACAACTATTCCAACAATCTGAATACACTTGTCATACTTTAATTCGAAAAAATGCAACTCTACAAAAGGTTCAATCTATTTTAGAGAATACAAGATTTAAACACATCCACTTTGCATGTCATGGTGGACCCAATGGAAAGAAGATATTTTCATCATTCAAAGGATCATTAGTATTGTGCCAACGCAAAAATGGCAAACCAGCCAAACTATACTCAGAAGACATTATACAACTTGCCAATGGAATCCAATCAGATACAGTAGTTCTAAGTAGCTGTCACTCTGGTAAAGGAAACAACAAACAACAAGGTCTCATTGGATTGGTTTGGTCATTACATTGTGCAGGTGCTCTATCGGTTGTCGCCAGTCATTGGGAGTTACCAGAGAATGGCCTAACAGTACGAATGATCGAGTGTTTCTACTCCAGTTTGATCAACTCTAAACTAAACAAAGCACAATCACTCAGACAAGCACAACTAATTGCAATCAATCAAGATCGTTATGACCCGAGATCATGGGCACCTTTATTTCTATCTGGTTTAAATTAATTAATATATTAATTACACATCATGTGATGTGTATTACATTCAAAAAATAAAAATAAAAATAGAATTGAAAAAATTACAGCTTAATATTGGTCGATTGTTTAGATACAGATAATCAGATAAACAGATATATATATTTACAGAGAGGAGAGAGAGATGACTATCATTACAGCAGCCAATATAACGATTGCCACATGGGGACTCGGACTAATTACTTCTCCTGGTTGGGGAATGGGAGTGTTCATGGTGACAGCTATGATGAATGATTCAGGACAAAAGAGAATCGTCCCATATCAAACAGTGTGTCTCTGGTCGTTTGCAGCGACACCCATTGCAATGCTCTACACTGTAGTTCATACCATGTCACATGGGTATTCAACTCCTGTTGCTCTACTTCCTTTAGTTCCCATTCTAACTTATGTTGGGTCTCTCTTGCTTGCCTTTAAAAAATAATAATTACATTAAATTATTAATAATATAATATCCTCATCATTGTACATTAAACCTTTAATAAAGAAACAAATACTTGTATAACTTAGTTGTTGTAGAAGCTATACAGATAAATGATACGTGTAAAAAATCTTAATCGATGAATGACACTCGGTTCATTGAACCAAAGCGCGATCCAACTAACGATCGCAATTCTTATAAACATTGCATTACTTTGCATTATAATGTAATCTTATCTCTCAATGTTTAGATAAACTTGTATTGTAATACTTGTTGTCGAAGCTAGAACAACATTAAGAGATGGATAATAATAATAATAATAATACTATATTTACAAAAAGAAACATGACTATGGCGTTTTGGGGTGTTCCTCTTGTAACATCACCTATATGGGGAACGGGAGTTCTTTTGGCAACATCTATGATGAATGATGCAGGTCTCCCGAAACGACAAAAGTATCAAGCCATATGTATGATGGCTCTCGTAGCCATGCCAGTCACACAAACCTATACCATCTACAAGACGTACAAATATGGATTCTCAAACGAGGTTGCTTCTATTCCTATCATTCCTTTTGCTGTCTATGCTGCAAGTAGTTTCTTGGCATTTCTTTAACCTTCTTCACTCACTGTAATATATTACACCTCTATATCTATTCTTTAAAACTAAAGACACAAACAAGCTTCTAAACAAAAAAACAAATAAAAAGAAACCAGGTCAAGCAAAAGAAAGATATTATTATTTATTTGTTTGTTCTACGAAAATGGTGAAGATCAAAGATGATGATCATCTTTGTCCCTCTTTATTATTCATTATAAACAAAGAGAAGAGTCAGGTGTAAACTAGTTTGCGCGACAAAGTAAAGGAAGAGTGGAGTGATGGTACGAACTAAAGTTAATAGATCAGCTGCCAATAATAATAATAATAATGAAAAAGAGGATATAATACAATCATTCAATAATCGAGAATGGTTCATACAAGGTGATAGTGATGACATTGCAGAGGATGATAGAGTAGAGAGACTTAACAAGTATGGTAGTAGGATAGAACCAACTTTGGAGAAGATCGATTATCCTTGGAGACCAGATTATCAGAATGTTTGTTATGCATCTGATCTAGTTGTAACCTTTGACATGTCGGTGGTCGAACAACAAGAACATATTAGACAAACAAGAGAACGATACAGAATGGCTGCAGTGAAAGCTCAAAAGATTCACAAGGAACGTGAAGATGTTGAAAAGACAAAGAGAGCCAATGCAAAGAGATCAATCAACACAACATTGAATACCGAAAAGATCTTTAAAGATGTTTTACTCAACCAAGTATTCAATTACAATCCAGACAAGACTCCACCGCAGTTATCAGAGACTGATAAACGTCAAATCAGTAGATGTCTCTTTGAATACCTCCCACCATTTGTAGTTGCCGAACCACCCTACACATCATCATCCAGTGATCCTGAAATCTTTCAAAGATTGACAGCTATGGGTCACCTCAAGCCATTCCAAGCACGACTCATCGGTGACACTGGTTCTAGTAGAGGTAAACTATCAAGGGACCAATCAATCGTCACTCAAATCACTGGTACCAAATTTAATATTCATCAATTAATGCAACGTGATCGAACTGGTAGAGTATTTAGATTTCTTCGTGAAATATTAAAGCAAGAAGTATGTAAACAACATAATAATAATCATTAAATGATCATTTATTTATTTAATTTATTTAATTTAATTAATTTAATTTGTTTATTTTGTTTTAGTCACCATTAGATATAATAACAAGTTATAAAGATAATTCAATTGGATTTGGAGTGACTGCATTTAATGCAATTCTTGGTCGAGTTGATCAAGATGGTAACCTTTTGGCGTTGAAACTTCAAATTGCAGATTCTGCATGCCACCTTGGTATCACTAAGATTTATTCAAATAATTCACAAAGTTTCGAGTTGTTGGCATACGATTCAATGGAGGAATGTGAGGATGCATTCATGCAGCAATTTAAACAATACACCAACCGTGACTATGTTTTTCCAAGGGTGGTTGATGGTCCCATGGAACCATTTGCACCAATATCATCAGAGTATTATGGTTCATTAAACCACTTCCAATCAATTAAATACAAGTTACCAAAATTTAAAGAAATATGTTTCTCTGTTTTAAAAGAAAAATATTTATTGTATGTCGAAAAATAATTTAATCAAAAAAAAATAGATAAATCAATTAATATTTTTATTTTTATTTTTATTTTAGATCAAAAGAAGAAACGATTAATAATATAATTAATTTACCTTTGGATATTTTAATTGAATTTATTAAATATTGTTTAAATGATAGTAATAGACCAATATCATTTGAAATATTCAAAGATATTAAAAAGAAATTAGAGTTGTCTAAAAGTCTAGAGGAAATTGAAAAATTAATACCATTGGATTATTGGATTAAATCAATATTAGATAGAGATAGATTTATGAGATTATCATATCTTTATGATATTCCTCAATCTCCATTTCATCCAAATTATTCAGAAGATTTATTAGTTAATGTTTTTGATTCAATTGATCAATTTAAATTAAAACAATTACCAATTGATAGAATTTTAATTCAAAATAATAATAATAATAGTCATAATTCATCATCTTCTTCATCCTCTTCTTCATCTTCTTCATCAATAGTTGATAAAGAAACATTTATTTCAAATTTTAATAAGAATACAAATAATATATTTAAAAAGGAAGGAATGAATTGGAATAATATGATTGTTATTGGAGGAATAGTTACATCATCGTTGACTGGATTGGAGGCTGGATTTGAAAATTCAACTATTAATATTGTGTTTTATGGTCTTGGAGAATATGACATGCAAGAGAGAATCAAAGAAACCTATCAATTCATTGGTGACGGTCAATTTGGTAAATATAGTGTCACTGGAACCAATTCATGGATTACATTCTCGAGACACTATCCATACAGACACGTTCAAGTTTCAAATCACAAATTCAACACCTTGGAACAGGTTTTGCTTGGTGTTAGTGTCGATGCAGAATCCTTTGCATTTGACGGAAAGAATGTATGGACATTGCAAAGAGGCATTGAAGCAATTAATTATCGTTGTAATTTTGCATCGCAGTTTGGTCATTATATTAGTGGAGAGCGCGTTTACCAAAAACTTTTACTCGAGTATTTGGGTCGTGGATTCTCAATTGCTCACTTTACCAATGACCCATTCATCATTGAACAATTTGGACAATCAAACACCCAACGACCAACCAATCCTTCCTCTTATACACCTCATCCACATCAAAATGGTGTTGGTTTGTTGTACAGTATTAGAGATGAACCAGAGTTACTCAATCTTGTATTGGAAGAGAGCGAGTCGTTGCTTCCCTTTGGAAAAGAGTGGAGCAAGACCAAATTTGACAAGTTTATCAAAAAGAGAAATGATCATCCCATTTTATTCACTAGCAGCCATCCAAGTGGTGAAGATCAAGAAGAAGTTCAATCAGATGGTTCATCAGACGAGGAGGAAGAGGAAAGTGAAAATGAAGATGGCGAAAAGATTGGTTCTCTTGAGGAATTTTTCGAACAATACCCTGTCGAGGATGAATATGATGGATTTTACTCTCCATTCCATAAAATTGCACATCAAATGCCTTGGAACTATCTTTATTCAAAGAATAATTCGGATTTGGAATTATCTCCTTGGGATAGAGATAATGATTTCTAATTGGCAATTTAAAATAATAAAAAATGGTTTAAATATTTATTTAATTTAAACCAGATAAAAATAATGGCGCCCATGATCTCAGGTCATGACGATCTTGATTGATTGCAATAAGTTGTGCTTGTCTGAGTGATTGTGCTTTGTTTAGTTTAGAGTTGATCAAACTGGAGTAGAAACTTTCGATCATTCTCACTGTCAGTGGTGTATCTGGTAACTCCCAATGACTGGCGACAACTGATAGAGCACCTGCACAATGAAATGACCAAACCAATCCAATGAGACCTTGTTGTTTGTTGTTTCCTTTACCAGAGTGACAACAACTTAGAAATACTGTATCTGATTGGATTCCATTGACAAGTTGAATAATGTCTTCTGCGTATAGTTTGGCTGGTTTGCCATCCTCTCGTTCAGCCAATGTCAATGATCCTTTGAATAATGTTGATCCCTTCTTTCCATTGGATCCACCATGAACTGCAAAGTGGATGTATCGTAGTATTGTATTCTCTAAAATATCTAGAACATTTGGTAGAGTTGCTTCTGGGCCTATCAACTTATGACAAGTGTATTCAGATTGTTGGAATAGTTGTTCACACATATTCACCTCGACTTGTGCAGAAGTTAATTTCTTTTCTTTGTCACTTGTATATGGATTACCAACTAATAATACATTCGGTCTATTATTATTATTATTATTATTATAACTATTATCAATATTATTATTATTATTATGTTGTAATTGAGATAGATTATTATTATTATTATTATTACAGTTATTATTAACTTTAGAAATCTCAGCTACTCTTTCTGTTTCTAACGTTTTACCAAACGAAGTTGCGCATTTTGCAATCTCTATTGCTTGTATCTCATCTGGACCTGCGCGGGGTTCATTCATCGTATTACTATTATTATTATTATTATTATTATTATTATTATTATTATTATTATTATTATTATTGTTGTTGTTATTGTTGTTGTAATTCCTGCTTGTTGTCTGGTTTGTTTTAAAAGATTTGCAAACTTTAAGGAAAGTGATGATCTACCTCCTCCACTTGCTGATGATGACGGAGACTTTTCAACATTATCCACATTATTACTATTTTGTGGGACTGTAACAAATTTACGAGTGAAATTAGAGATGATTTTAAATTTGATTTTTGGTAATTGTTTGATATTGATTTTTTCATTTGCAATGACATAACAATGATCAGCAACGTAGACAATAAATGTAGAGTTGGTTGTTGAAGATAGTTTTTGCATTTCATCCAAAGATAGAAGGAGTTTGTTGTTGTTGTTGTCTTTTGTGTTGAGATCAAATCGGTTGGTGAGAGTTCTGCACATAGTCATTGATCTTCTTTCATCAAATGATAATAGCGCTTCTATTTTCTGACCCAACATTAATTGACAATATTCCAACTCGGGGAAAAATGTTATAATCATGTGTGATACCCAACAGCTTTTTTCCCTGTTTGTCATTGATTGAATCTCCTGTTACATAATCCAATATATTTTGCTTGCTTTCCAAAAGAAGGTTTGTTGCCTTTTGATACTGTCCTCTTTCAATGAGTGATATGGAGACACGGATAAGTGCTAAACTGTATGATGAACTTTTTTTGAATAGTCGGATCTCTTCTGGTGTGGTGTATGGAAAGTCAGTGTCCAGAAACTTTTCAACTTCTGTTATTGGATGTTCGGCGACGAGAGTACCTAACAATATGATACGAGTTTGAACTCTGTGGTCCTCGTTTAGATTTGATTCTAATCGTTTCCAATATTTTTCTATTTCATTCGAGGGGTCTATCAAATCATGAGGAAGTTTGAGGGATAAAGCAGTCGATCATTTTTTGTGAGCATTCTCTTGCTTTTTCATATTGGTGTGTACTAAAATAATATGTAGCCTCTGCATTGGCATAGTTCCAATGGTATCCACCGATATAGACTGGACCCAATTGTTTGAGATAACCATATAATCTCTCTATTCTCTCATCAGGTTCTACTTGAAAGGAGTTGGGGATGAGGCACATAAACATCTGTATCTCCTCTCTGGTCAGCGGAGATTCATTCCTTTCAATCTCATGGAATATTTGTAGTGCCAGATCGATCGATGTTTTCAAGTCTTCAGAAACCGAAGCATGAAATTGGTAGAAATGTCGTTTTGGATGGTGAGAAAAATCCAAGACATATGTCAGCTCTTTGTGGTATTGTTCTATTTGGCTCTCGAGAAACGATACATTGACTTGAGAAATGGTGCCTATTTGGTGCCATATTTTTAACTTTGTGTTTCTAATAAGATAGATAAGGATCTCGATTAGCTGGTTTGGCATGTGATTTTGTTGATAATCCTGTGTAATGATGTTGTATGCCGTCCCCAATCCTTTCAACGCTAGGTCTATCGTTCCAGTATGCATACAAAGAACATACGACGCTTCAACTAGTCGCTCTATCTTTGCATACATTGATTCCAACTTGTCAACCATAAGAAGAAATCTTTGGAAATAGTTTTGACTTTGCAAAGTGTTGGAACCCATACTATTTAGGCCAATGGCGCTTAACATACATATATTCATTAAAATTTTATTAAGAATATAATTGTCTCTCAGTGGCAATTGCTCAACAACGAAATTCATTTGAAATACTCTTTGTTCTTTTCCTAATATCACTAGTTGTTTTTGTTGTTGTTGTTGAAGTTGTTGTCTTACTGTATCCAATAAAATAGAGATCATTTTGATTTTCTTTGATATGGAATATGCCAATTGAGTGATCTCCTCATAGTCCTTTGTTTTCAGACTAGTATCGAATACCTCCCATTCAACCAATAACAAATTGTACAGTGACCCGATATAGGTGATTCTTTTAGCCAAATCATCTAAACCACCATTTCCAATTTCAAACCAACGATACCATTGACCTGACTCCAATGACTTTGTATACCAATCATTTTGTGATAACATATCTTGATATATTAGTTTACCATACGCTAGTGCAATATCGTAATGACCAAGCTCCATTGCACATAAAGATATGATTGACTTTATATGGATTGGGTGCACCCATTCGTTTTGGTCACCATCAACTAATTTGGGGTAGGTCAGACAAAACGACTCAAAGTAGGTGAACAATTCGAATATCTCTGCGTAGCCATTGTCACCCTTGTGAATAGAGGCAACCCAAATTTTGTATGCACAATTAAGCAGTAACCGCATATAGTCTGTAGTTCGATCCATACCCACTACTTTAAACCATTCAGTGAATAGTAGAGGTGCAGCACGATAAATGCTAAAACATTCCTTTACTTCTACTCCCTGATGGCCAGGTGGCAACGAAAATATGTTGTTGCTAATAAATTCTAATTTATCTAAAACACCTATCAATGTTTGAGAATCATTTGTTGGTGTCATCTATATATATATATATATATATTTATATAACATTGTAAAAATAATAATGATATGTTAGTAACATATTTGTCGACTTCTATGTTAAATAAATATACCTTTTTCTAATATAAATTGAGATCTACCTATCTATTTTCTCCTACCACTCCTATCAACTATTGATGTTTTGTTCAAAGTTCTTCATGATGATACATAAAATCAGCTGAACAACTATCAAATATTTAGGTTTACAAAATGTGGTGATGATTATAAATTAAATTCAAAATTTAATTAAATTAAATTTCCTTAACCCTTTGATAGGAATTGATTTCTTTTAGATTATTATCATTTTTTTATTTTATTACTTGTTTATTTATTTTTAACAAATAATAATATTACCACCACGATAGTTTGGTAACCTATTTAATTTATTAATTTAAACCAGATAGAAATAAAGGTGCCCATGATCTCGGGTCATCACGATCTTGATTGATTGCAATTAATTGTGCTTGTCGAAGTGATTGAGCTTTGTTTAGTTTAGAGTTGATCAAACTGGAGTAGAAACACTCGATCATTCTTACTGTAAGGGGTGTATCTGGTAACTCCCAATGACTAGCAACAACCGATAGAGCACCTGCACAATGAAATGACCAAACCAATCCAATGAGACCTTGTTGTTTGTTGTTTCCTTTACCAGAGTGACAACAACTTAGAAATACTGTATGTGATTGGATTCCATTGACAAGTTGAATAATATCTTCAGAGAATAGTTTGGCTGGTTTGCCATTTTTACGTCTACATAATTCTAATGATCCTTTGAATGATGAGAAATTACTTTTTCCATTGAATCCACCATGACATGCAAAGTGGATATGTTGTAATCTTGTATTTTCTAAAATTGATCTAACCATTGTTAGATTTGCATTTTCGTGCAACAAAGTATAACAGGTATATTCAGATTGTTGGAATAGTTGTTGACACTTATTCACCTCTACCTCTGTAAAATCTAATCCACTTCCAATTGGATTACCAACTAATAATACATTATTATTATTATTATTATTATTATTATTATTAGAATGTTGTAAATGAGATAGAGTATTTAATAATGATAATGATGGTGTGGTGGATATTGGGAATCTTTCGACAAGATATTGACCATTTTTATCGATCAATGCAGAGAATGGAGCATTGGATAAATTTTCATTTGGAACAAAGACCAATGTTCTGTCGTTTGAAGAAGAAGGTAAATACTCTTCGATTGGTTCGATTAATTCACTGTACCATTGTTTTAATTTTTCAACCAATTCTTCCTTTTTTGTTAAATGAGATAGTGAAGGGGATTGATCTGATCTAAATCTATAATATTCTTGAATTTCATTTTCATATTCATTTTCATCACCACTTTCATTTTCTTCATCACTTTCATCTTCCTCTGCTTGTTGTCTGGTTGGTTTTAATAAATTTGCAAATGCTGATGAAAGTGATCCACTTCCACTTGAAGGAGATTTTGATTTCTTTTTTTCTCTTGAATTATCTCTGCTATTATTCATTGGCAAATGAATAATACTTCGTTCTTTAAATGATGATAAACCATTTTCAGAAATTTTAACAAATGCACGAGTAAAATTAGAAATGATTTTAACTTTGATTTGTAATTGTTTGATATTGACTCCTTTATGATCAATGACATAACAATGATCAGCAACGTAGACAATAAATGTAGAGTTGGTTGTTGATGATAGTTTTTTCATTTCATCAATCGACAGAAGGAGTTTGTTGTTGTTGTTGTTATTATTCTTGTTGCTGTCTTTTGTGTTGAGATTAAATCGATTGGCAAGTGTTCGACACAAAGTCATTGATCTTCTTTCATCAAATGATAATAGCGCTTCTATTTTCCTATCCAACTGCAATTGACAATATTCCAACTCTGAAAAAAATGATGGAATTGTATCTGTGATACTCATCAGCTTTTTTCCTTGTTTGTCATTGATTGAATCACCAACCACATGAGACAATATATTTTTTCTACTTTCGATTAGAAATTTTGTTGCCTGTTCATACTGTCCTCTTTCAATGAGTGATATGGAGACTCTGATAAGAGCTAAACTGTATAGCTTATTTTCTTTGAATTGTTTGATCTCTTCTGGTGTGCTGTATGGAAAGTCTGTCAAGATAAACTTTTCAACTTCTTCAGGTGGATGTGTTGCTGCTATGATCCCCAACAATACGGTACGAGTGTAAACTCTGTCGGCAACGGTATCGTTTAGATTTGATTCCAATCGTTTCCAACATTTCTCTACAGTCGAGGGGTCCAAAAAATCAAAGACAAGAGGATCCCGGTATGAATAATGAGGGGCCATGGGAGGGACAGTCGTTTGTTCTTTTGATTTCTCGATCTTGATAATTTCGGTTGTCATTTTGTTTGCTTCCTCTATTTCTCCATGAAACATGTGTATACCATGCAGTATGGTGTATGAACGGATTAGTTCATCTTGTTGTTGTGAGTCGCGATTGTCTATCAATTTTTGTGCACACACCTTTGCTTTTTCATATTGGTGTGTATTAAAATAATAGGTAGCCTCTGCATTGGCATAATGCCAACTAGGCATAATGGAATAGACAGGTCCCAATCTTTTGAGGAACCCATATAATCTCTCCATTCTCTCGTCTAGTGTCATTGGAGAGTAGCTAGGTATGAGACCAACAAACGATTGAATTTCATCTCTAGTCAGCGATGATTCATTCCTATCAATCTCTTGGAGCAGGTCGAGTGCAAGATTGATAGATGATTCAAAGTCTTGAACGAGGACAGACACTCTAAAATGGTAGAAATGTCGTTTTGGATGTTGTGAGTACTCCAAGACATGAATCATTTCTTTGTGGTATTGGTCTATTTGGCTTTGGAGACACAATAAATCAGCTTGGGTCATACTAGTGTCTATTTGGTTTTTAATTTTAATTGAAATGGTTTCCATGAGTTCTGGTAGGATCTCGACCAACTGGTTGTCGGGTGAGACATTGTGTGGCGGTTGTAGTGCGATGTTGTAGGCCATGGTCAGTCCTTGCAACGCTAAATCAATTGTTCCAGTAAAGATACAAAGAATTCTTGACGCTTGAACGAGTTGTGCTACCTTTTCTGTATTTGATTCCAACTTGTCAACCAATTGAAGAAACCTTTGGAAATAGTTTTGACTTTGAAAGGTGTCAAATTGACGGGTGGTGATATTTAGACACGAGCGTATATACAATACCGCACTATCATAATCTCCAGTTGAATCTGATAATATCGATGAATAATCGAAATTATAAATTTCATCCTTTCCCAGTGATTGTTCAACAACCAAATCCATTTTAAATAATGAATTTCTTTCCTCTATCTCTAATATATCTTTTTGTTGTTGTTGTCTTTCTAAATCCAATAAAATAAATATTATTTTAATTTTCTTTGATACTGAATAGGTCAATTGATCAATCTCTTCTTTATCATTTAATAACAGATTAGCTTTTAGTACATCCCATTCAACCACTATCAACTGTAACAATGACTTGATATTCTCAACTATATTGACCAATTCATTTGAACCACCACCTCCAACTGTAAACCAACGATACCATTGACCTGACTCCAATGCCTTTGTAAACCAATCATTTTGTGACAGTATATCTTGATACACTAATTGACCATACTCTTGTCCAACATCGGGATGACCTAGATTCATTGCACAAATGTAGAGAATTGAGTGTACTTTGATTGGGTTATACACCAAGACATCTGGGTAGGTCTGACAAAACGATTGAAAGTATGTAAACAATTCGAATATCTCAGAGTAGCTATTTGCACCGTTTTGAGTGGCGACCCACATTTGGTTTGCAAAGCTAAGCAGTGATAGCATATAGTCTGCTGCTATTTTGATATTCGTGCTTACAAACCATTCAGTGAGTGGTGGTGTAAGACGATACATTTTAAGACATCCCTCTACAGCTAGCGGATAAACCAACGTAAAAAAGTTGTTGTTTATCATCTTTGTGATTGCCTCTGTAACGGCAGTCAATACTTTAGAATAATCTTCTTGTTGTAATTCTTCTGTCATCTATTGTAATAATGATAATTAGTAATCTTATTGTGTCTCTCTTTCCTTTGATTTCATTTCTATGTACATACTTTTTTGATTAAAATGTTGATAGTAAAATTTAATGATCATCTGATGATGAATGATCGATCAGTGCAGAGATTACAATGATTGATTAAAGATAAGTTGTTGACTACTACTATTTATTAAGAGCATGAGTTGTCTTTGAAAGATTATCAAAACTGATAATTTTTCCCAAGATGTTATCATAAAAACAAAAAATTTATAATATTATTATTATTATTATGTAATTAATTTTTATTTAATATTTAATTAATTTAGACCAGACAAAAATAATGGTGCCCATGATCTTGGGTCACCAAGGTCTTGATTGATTCAATTAATTTTGTTTGTTGAAGTGATCGAACGAATAAAAGGTATTTATTGGATGGTTTACTTACCCCAAAATTCAAAATGATCACATTGTTCAGGTCTTCTAGATCGAGAACAATCAACATCACTACAATTTCTACATTGGGCTACAATCGTGATCAGCACACCTGATTTTGGAACAATCTTAGGCACTTGATAAATAAACAAACTAAAACTAAAGTTTTTTTAAAAAATGGTTATTATTACTAATTTCATTGTTTAAAAAAATAATAAAAATATTTATTTGTTGATAATAAACAAGTAATTAAATTCCAAACATTGAAATGTTGAGTGAAGATGTATTTTTTTCATAAGAATTAAAATGTTTTTGATTTTGATTAAAATGTTGATGATGGTAAATGATCATCTATGATTTAAAAGATAAAATAAGGTTAAATATTAAAAGAGCTATTATTATTAAAATGATCTCTGCTAATAATAGGAAATAACAAATATTTAAATATTGCACCCTCTTTGTGGTTTTTTTTTATTGACTTGCAAATATTGCAATTCATTGTGCTTGTCAAAGTGATCAATTTTAAACTCATTGTTTAAGTTTAAAATTGATCAAGCTGGAGTAGAAACACTCGATCATATCCACTAGAGTCTGATCAGTGAATACTGCCCCCTAATATCATGTGCCATTGTATATTCATTTGAATAATGCATCTGCGGTGATGGTCGGCAGAGAGAGGTATGATAAAGCGAAATCGAGAATTTGAAGATATCGATTTCAATCTCAATATCGATTTACCACTTGCACCAATATGGACGAGAGAATGCAGATGTTTCATTGGTATTCATTATTGATTGATGGTTGGCACCATTATTGTTGATCACAATCATTTGTGCAGATGATGAAAATTGGTTGATTGAAATCTTGGTTAATGATTCTAAAAATAAATAAATTAAAATATTAATATGAATTTAAAAAATGTTTAAGATTATAAATGATGTATACATACTGAAGAGCATTTTTAATTTGTGTGTGTTTGATATAAATAAATAGATATTTAGTTGTTGTTGTTGATTTGATGATATTAAACTATCAATGTTTAATTGTATTTATAGTGAATTCCAAATTGAATGGTTATACTATCAATCAATCAACCAGTCACCACCACAATACCACAATTTAAATGTTGTTGTCATTAGTAAAATGACAATCTAGAAATTGATAGTGTCATACATAAACACATGGAACCCGGAAATATTCGGATATTATTATTATTATTATTATTATTATTATTATTATTATTATTATTACTTGTATTATTGACACAAAACAAAATGATTAGCAGTAAGTGAATGATATCATGTTGTGTGTTGAGTGTGTTGTGGGGTGGTTGAAAACTTAAATTCGATAGAATCTTTAATCAGATGATGATGATTCTATTCTATTCTATCATATCTTAGTTGTGTGTGTTTTTTGTAAAAGATATCTATACAAAAATAAATGTATCAATTAGCATTCCATTCTCTCTTTATCTTTCTCTTCTCTAACCAGTGTAAGAGTTTGTTTTCCCAAGATGAATGACGAAATCAATCAATCAATCAAAGATAATTGACAGTTTAATACTTAGCATTCCCATTTCCAAATGACATCTGACAATTATAATGATGACAACACTTGTCGTTAAATGCTATATACAAGTGATCCTACACTAAAGATTAGACTTACTTTTAAATAGTTTGATCTCTCTCTCTCTTTATGTTGACAACACACACCCGCCCACCTACTGTTCTTCTTTAATACATTATGAGGAGTAAACAAAAGCATAAATAGCTTCCCATGGTTGTTGGAATAAATCAAACAAATCATCAATCCTCTTTATTCTATAATTAATTTAAACCAATCTTTTAAAACCTCTAAAAACAAAATGATATATAGTAAGTATTATTATTATGATTATCTATGAAAAAGATAATTTAAATTATTTACTAATTCTTACTCTTTGTTTTTACTCTAATAGCTACTCTTACCAAGATCTCCATGAAGCAATCAACTTCATCATCATCATTATTTGTATCAAATTGTTCAACAATGAATAGCGTGACCAGTCAACAACAACAAACATTACAATCCAACAATACTACATCTAAATTTATGCGTCCATCGTGGGCATTTGGATACTGTTAACTGTTAACTGTTTGCTGTTTACTGATATCTACTTTCTTATAATTATTGATCGACAAAGTTCATTCATCGACTACGAATGATTCATTCTAAATAAACCAAATACTGTATATACTACTATTATAATTTATCAAACTACACTATTATCTCTTTCATTGTAATGATCAATATTTTGTAAAAGAACTTTCACCCAAAATTTACTGTTATCTGTCTTTTTTTTAATATTTTAAAATAAATCGTTCGTTACTGGGATCTAGAGAAGTTCTATTCCCAATAATACAAGCTTATTATTCACATGACAATAACAATAAAAAATATTCCATCTCTTTATCTATCTGTAACCCAAGATTCTTCAAATAATTATTTAAATTTATTATTTTTGATCCATCATCGGAGGTCATTTTTAAAAGATATTTTTGCTAAAGTGTTGGAGCCAAAGATATTTTTATTTTAATTGTGCATGTGACATCATTAAAATGAAGGGCACACCCTCTTTGTTGAATTCAATTTCATTCTTTCATAACTTCAATCAATCAAACTACTCTGTATATCTTTTTTTATCTTAATTCTATCTAACAATCTTTTTGTTTATATATAACATAAATGAAATTTTTTAACACTTTTATTGTGGCATCTTTAATGGTAGCCATCTGTTTAAAGAGTTATGTAGATGCCGTAACCTATTTACAAATGGTACCATATGCCGATCCAAATTGTACAGAGTCTGATGGATCGTATGGAGTTGGGTTCTCATTCCAAGTAGGTCAATGTATGGGAGTTGGAGACTTGGCTCCAGGAGCACAAAATATCTATGTATCTGTAAACAACGATGAAACCATAGCAACCATCTCGAGCTACAAAAACTACGATCCAACATGTGAATATAGAAATCCAAATGGTAACTCTACTTGGGTGGTTGGTGGATGCTACCGTGCACCTGCCTATGCTAACATTGGCTACAAGGTGACCAATAATTTCGTTCGTGTCTCAATCGTAGATAACCCATCCTATGTCCCACTCTATGGCTTCAAACAAGCAGTATACTCTGATAGACAATGTTCATCCGATCCACAGTGGTACTATTACTATACAAATGGTACAGTCTTCCACTGGGGAACTGAATATTCACAAACTTTTTATTGTGAAGAATATACCAGTAAGTCTAAAAACAAACAAAAAACCATATCAACTACTAACACTTTTCTTCAACTATACACAATAGGTATTGTAGTCACATGTAATGGTACTGCTTCACAACCATCATGCGCATCATATAATGTAAACCAAGGTTGTTCCCGTGATGTTTGGAATTTACATGAACACAATTACTACTTAAATTCTTGCTAAAACAACACAACAAGATTAATAATACTAATTAAATTTGATTATGGTATTATAATATTATGTACATTTATTGTTTTAAATAAAGAGTCGATTCATTTTAAATTAAATTAAATAATTAAATAATTAAATAGTTGGTTGGTATGATAAAAGTCGGATATCTATGCCAGTTGAAAGAAACTATAGTGGAATTTCAATATTACAGTATTGGCAATATCGATTTACCACTTGCACCAATATGGACGAGAGAATGCAGATGTTTCATTGGTATTCATCATTGATTGATGGTTGGCACCATTATTGTTGATCATAATAATTGAATGATTCATTTGTGCAGATGATGAAAATTGGTTGATTGAAATCTTGGTTAATGATTCTAAAAATAAATTAAATAAATATTAATATTAATTTTAAATTAAATAATATAATTGATTTTAATTTACATACTGAAGAGCATTTTTAATTTGTGTGTTTTGATTTAATTTAAATAAATAGATATTTAGTAGTTGTTGTTGTTGTTGTTGATTTGATGATATTAAACAATCAATGTTTAATTGTATTTATAGTGAATTCCAAATTGAATGCATTAGCCATCAATCATCACCACTACCACAAATAAATGATGATGATGTTGTTGTCATTAGTAAAATGACAATCTAGAAATTGATAGTGTCATTTATAAACATGGATCATTTAATATTCGGATATTATTATTTTGATTGTTAAGGAGTGCTGTGTGTGAGTGTGGAAAGTAAAGTATAATGATATCATGTTGTGTTTTGAGGGTTGTGTTGAGTGTGTTGTGGTGGTGTGGTTGAAAACTTAAATTCGATAGAATCTTTAATCAAAATGATGATATGATTCTATTCTATATATCTAAATGTCATTTCTTTAAACAATGTCGACTAAATGCTAAATATATAATAATAAATTCTAATCAATTCAACTAAAATTTGATGATGATGATTCTCCCACCACCAACCACACTTGTCTATCGAACACGTGTCGTGTCATGTCATGCTGTTCATTGTTGTTTTAAATATATACATCATCAACCAAACCAAACAAAACCAAACCTAAACCAAAAAGTTGACGCCTTTGACGTGCATCTGATGATTATTCATCACAAACGCGATATTTATCAATTCGAATGTTGACAACACTGACTATGCATTTACTAAACTAAATGAATTGAATCAGTGGGTGCGCTATTAATAATATGATCATATTAATAGATTAATTATAATATGGTGCAATTACGTACATTTAAAATTAAATGGATTAATGATTATATATGATTTAGATGGAGTGGCGAGCATGTTGACAACACTAGCTAATAGCTAATAGATACACACATCTTTTGGGTGACAACCATTCAGTATAAATAGCCAAGATATGAATATCATTTTAAAATATCAAACCAACCAATTAACAATTAACAATTAACAATCAACTCTTTGATCTTTTAACGATTAACTATATACACTATTTAAAAAATGATTTACAGTAAGTATTAATTAAAAATGAATGAACAAATGAACAAGCAACTTACTAGATTTCTATTTTCCTATAGATACACTTTCAAAGATTTCAATAAAGCAATCTGTACTATTGAACAACTCTTCTTCTTCTTCTTCTTTTTCTACTGTGCAACAACAAAACCAACAACAATCCAATAATTCCATCACTAGATTCATGCGTCCAGCTTGGGCATTTGGATATATCTAGACATGTATATTATACCAAACCAAATTAAATAATTATTTAAATAATTCTAAATCGATTTAGAATGAATTGTAGCCTTATTCTAATGTACTATAGTTGTAAATAAAAATAAATAAATTATTAATAAACTCTAATATCTTTTTTTACGTACCTCTCTCTCTCTCTTTTATTATCTTGATTGCGTGTTTTTGAAATTGAATCTTGAACCAGACCAGTTCCTTTAGTCCAACAACAAGATATAATAAACATTGATTATTCCTAGATATCGATTATTTTGAGTATTATATCTTGTTGTTGGACTAAACACTTATAAAAAAATCCCTCTATGATGTTTAATATTTAATATTTAATATATTATATTAATTATTCTTACCATTAACTATATACTCGTCAGTACAGTTATCCTTGGCATCCTCCAGTTGGTCAATGAGAATGTTGTACAGTGGGATAACACCTGCTAGAGACCCGTTTCTAACCGACATGTCAACTCTTTGACCTTATCCAATGGCACTAGTAGTTTTTCCTCGGTTGTGGTTGGTGCTTGTTGTCTTCCAATATATTGGCTTGCTCTAGAATTGGTTCCACGTTCTCTTGGGACCAAATTATGGCCTCTGCCTGTTCTGGTTGTTGGTCCTGCTGCTGTTGCTGTTGCTGCTGCTGTTGTTGTACTGGTTGGTTGGGTTGAATCATTAGTATTATTATTATTAATATTACTATCTACGGCTTGTTTGTTTTGACTTGGCACATATAACTGAATGATTTCTATGTATATCAATACACAACAACATGAAAAAAGACCAATCAATAATTCTGAAGAATGCATTGATAACCAATCAATGCACACATGTTCTTCCCTCCTTTTTCATGTTGTTGTTGTAGTTGATCCGTATACTATAGTGCTTAAGCTATTAGTGCTTGAGAAATGTGGTATATGAAGGTGTGCGTGTGATAAAAGGAGGGAACAATAAGAACGCATTGATAACCAATCAATTTGGTGATCAATTCACACATGCACATGTTCTTAAAGAAAACAAAAGGATTTTGTAAAGTTTCAACTACTCTAATTTTAAAAAAAAAATATTTTTAAATTTAAAAAATAATATTAAAAGAAAAGGTAGATGAATACTATTAGATTTCAAACCATGATGATTGTGTGTACGTATTTGATGGTACGAAGGAATTTTTTTTGATTGTTTTTAATTATTTAAATTTAATTTTATTTATTTTAATAAATAGATATGATATAATATGATTTACAAAATGTCATAGATTTTGATTGTGAACATTAAAGTGATTATTATTATTATTATTTACAAGATTCGATTGATCACTTTTTAATAAATTAAGAGTGTTGGATAGTTGATCTCATGATGAATTTACCATTTTCCCCAGAATGGTTTGGAAAAGGCGTTCATATTTTCAGATTGAATACTGCTTCCATTGTTCATTGAAATAATCATTGAGTTATTTGAAGAGGAACATGATTGTTTAATAGAGTTGGTGTTGTTGTTGATTGATCCAATCTTTGAAAGTGATGCTATAATTAATTAAATTAAAAGTTTGATATTAGAATATTGTTTTAAATTGAAATTGAATTAGATTTAATTAATACATACCAAATAATGACATTTTAGATTAATTTAATTTAAGATTTGATAGTTTTTAATTTAAAACTTTGATTTAGTTGTTTGTTGTTGATTTGATGATTTGAATGATTGCGAATCAATTCCTATTTATACTCTTTTGTTGGTGTGTTTTGTGTTGTGGTTTGATAGAGGTAGGGGGGTAAGAGAATGACAGTAATTCTATAGAGATTAGAATCACAGAACATAAAGTTGTTGTCATCACGTAAACCAACCTAGAGATGATGTCGCAAACATCAAATTGATTTAAACCAAATCAAAATGTAAAATCAGTGGTTAATATCAAACCAACGTCAGAAATCATTATGATGATAATTAAGAGATGTAGAATATTTGTGGTTATCATTTTTTTGATTTTTTAAAAAACCACAAACTTAAATTGTTGGGGTGTTGTATGACCATTCACTTCTTTTTTGAAAATACGGGAAAGTTAAACCAAACCAACAAACAAATACTAAAGACCACTGCCATTCCAAGTGATGTGCCACTTGATCAAGTGATTGACTAGACACACGGCACTATGCATTTAAAAGCTCCATCTTGTTCCAAAAAATATTATCGATTATTATTATTATTATTATTGACCACTCAAAGTTGATAGAATGAAAGGACTCAAACCTTAAAAGACTCACAATGTCCTGTTGTATATACACATATTTATATCTTCTCATATATAGTACACTTATACTTTATTCCATTATACCTATAAAAAAGAAATAGGTTAATATCAGATTGGCTAATTATTATGTTCAAAAATTGATGTATATAGAAAATGGGAAAGTTATTTACAATGAATAATTAATTAAATCCAAGCTTGTTGTGTTTATATTAAATATTAAATATTGAGTTGATCATCAACGACGTTGGATTGTTGTTGTTTTTTTTTGGTTGGTTGGTTGGTTTAATTTACAATTTAATTTAATTTATCATTCCATTCTATAATATACAAATTTTTTGTACCCTAACCCTATGGACAATTTAAAAATATTTTTATGGATGGATTGATTAGGCTTGGAATATGATCTATTCTCGATAGAATGTATATCGTCATCACATAACATTCTTTGGTTTGATAGGGAATGTATAACCATTTATCTATAGTAAATTCAAATGAAATGGGGGTATAGAGTCAGTAGGGAACAAAACCTATTGGTTCTCTCTCTTCAATGTTGCTTACCTGTTTGTAAATAGTATGAAAAGTACCGATTGAATTGGTTGATGTCAACGCTATACATCATACATCAATCTACTGAGTATTTCCAAACACTGTCAGTGCACACTATCCCATCAACGCGTTAAAATTATTTTTGAAAACCATCTAATATGAATCTACCTGTGTTGTTGTCATCCATGTAAATATAATGGTGTTGATTGAACTGAGTAACAGTAGATAATCAATTAATGTTGACAACAACATTAACTATTACACAACCTAATAATAATTCAGTTTAAACTAATATCGTTGAATCGAAAGATCGAATGATCAGCTTATCTCTTTTTCCTTTGGCTCCTATCAGATCTTTATGATCATTAGAATAAGCGCGTATAATATCTAGTACATTTAAGTTGACAATTCTCTTTCTATTGAAATGAATAATAAGATGCAAATATGTATTTATAACTTCATTCTCGATCTTGTGATGATTAAAAAAAAAAAAAAAAGAAATGAGAGAGGAACAAGATTGACCACCCAACATGATTTAAATTTTAATAAATAGATTTTAATTTAATTTTATTTTAATAAATAGATATGATATAATATGATTTACAAAATGTATTAGATTTTGATTGTGAACATTAAAGTGATTATTGTTATTATTATTATTATTTACAAGATTCGATTGATCACTTTTTAATAAATTAAGAGAGTTGGTTTTGATCCCATGTTGAATTTACCATTTTCCCCAGAATGGTTTGGAGAAGGCATTCATGTTTTCAGATTGAATACTGCTTCCATTGTTCATTGAAATAATCATTGAATTATTTGAAGAGGATTGTTTAATAGAGTTGGTGTTGTTGTTGATTGATCCAATCTTTGAAAGTGATGCTATAATTAATTAAATTAAATTTTGATATTAGAATATTGTTTTAAATTGGAATTGAATTAGATTTGATTAATACATACCAAATAATGACATTTTTAGATTAATTTAATTTAAGATTTGATAGTTTTTAATTTAAAACTTTGTTTGTTGATTGTTGATTTAGTTGTTTGTTGTTGATTTGATGATTTGAATGATTGTGAATCAATTTCTATTTATACTCTCTTGTTGGTGTGTTGTGGAATGTGGATATTGATTGAATTGTGTGGAGTGGTTGAATCACGGAATTAAAGTTGTTGTCATCATCATGTAAACTAAATAACAGATGATTTCGCAACATTCCAAGCATATCAAAATGTAAATCAAAATTGATAAACGCCATTAACGGTATTATTAAAGATGTAGAATAGAATGTGGTTTGTGTGCTGACATCACTTTTACTATTCCAACAGTGTGGGTGGAAAATGAATAATAATATCTATTACCAATTACACACCACTGTACAATCCACGCTATCCTTATGAATTTATGATCATAATCTAATAATTTAAATTATCATAAACTAAACTATACTATGTTGTGAGGGTACCCTAGATCTAATATGAGAAAAGAGGACCTTTTTTTTTAAAGCCTCCAACTATAATCACATTTTCATTAGATTCGAAAAATGATTTGATTGTATCCCTATTTTAAATTAAAAAATGATATTAATATATATTGGGATAATAGATATTATATTATAGATTACTTTTGATAGGTATCGAGTTCATTTGATTTAAAAGATAAATAAATGAACAAGCAAACGAAACTAAAAACAATTGAAATGAATAATTGATAAAAGTTCATCTTTTATACTTGCTGATGACGACGATGGCGATGGATAATTCAAATGCTAGCATTAATCTAGAAATCTGATTTACAAATTTCGAAATAGCATAAATTGTCGTAAGCCAATCATTGTAAATTAAATTAAATCGGCCAACCGATGGAAATAGACTATATTAGGCTTGATTAAAATCTATTCTCGTCTGTCGTCAACATACATCATCATCATCATCATCATACAATTTAATCAATTAATATGATTGCTAAATAAAAGAGATAAAAGAGTTAGAGTCATTGATGTATATCTGTAAAATCAGATGATGATGGCACATATCATACCTTTAGTCTGTGTACATTGTTTGTAAATAGTGATGGGTCCGGAATTAAATTGGTTGATGTCAACATTGAATAGATTATTTTGATGAATCGTTCAAAACACACACAGTCAACCAAATCATCATAATTTTTGAAAAGCATCTATTACAGATCTACCAATGTTGTTGTCATCCATGTAAATTATAAATGCTAATTGACTACTACCACTGACAACAATAGATTATCAGTTAATGTTGACAACAACATAAACTGCGATCGTGGGTTTGCATTTTGATTGATTTCGAATATGATGATAATGATGATCAATGCTAATTATAATTCTCAACTGCCGTTGTTGTTGTTGTTGGGAATACCCAACTATTTAAGGAATATTACGTAAACAGTATAACAATACTAAAAAAGTAAATTATCAAATATATTAATTAATTAATTATTAAACGCTAAAATGTTATTTGGTAAATATCATCATCAAAATCATCATTGATACATACATACACCACTTAAATTAGATCTGATTATTAATCATCATTCTTCTTTTTCAATTATATAGCTGCACTATCTAATAAAATGGGATTGAACATGATGACCAACAACAACCATAACCAATCGTTGTCATCATCCTCTTCGTATATATTATCGTCATCATCCTCGACATCGTTGACATCTACACAACAATCATTTAACCATCTATCTGTATTTTCTAAACCACTTTGGAGTCGTTGGTAATACTAATAATATCACTGATCGCTTCAGCAACCAACCAAACATATCTGCACCTTCAACGATGATTGATCGTTGATGATTGTTATTGACCGATCAAACAAACAATCAACCGTGGATTGTATATAACGATACGATTAGTATACTACTACTACTACTACTACTGCTGATGATAAGTTGTGATAAATAATATTATTCATAATGAACTTCATCAACAACACTCTTTTGTAAATAATTAAAATAAATAAAATAAAAAATCTGTTTCTCCTCTGTATCCTTTATCCAAAAAAAAATTGGAAACCTATTATTTACATTACACCATTATTATTACATATACTAGTTACAAATATTATTATTTATATTTTCTTTAACTGAGCATATCTTTTCTTGTCTTTAATTCTAGTCGAGTGTTGAATTTTATCCTTGAGTTGATCAGTCGTTTTCTCTTGATACGAATGGATATTAAAACAGCAGAACCTGCTACCAATGCACCTCCTAAAACACCTGCAATAATATAATATTTGCTGTTTGATTGGTAATCGCTATTACTAATCTTTGGGTTATCGCTATCGTTTGATGAAGAGGAAGAAGAGGATGAAGAAGAAGAAGAAGATGAGGAGGTATTGGGATATTTAATATAAATAGAATCAAAAGATGTGAATGAGTGTCCATCGATTGAAATATAAATCTCAACGTATTCACCATCATCATCATCATCATCATCATCGACTCTTCCTCGACCATTTGTATTCAAAGTAATATTACACTCCAAATAAGTTGAATTGATCGATGAAATAATACAATCGGTATTATTGATCAGGACCGATGACATTGTTGTACTTGTTTGATTAATCATTCCAAATTGACCAATTAATTCTAATTTATATTGTTGTGGAGTTGTTGATTCATTCGTCATCGGCATCATCGTTATAGTATAATTATTGGGGAAAAGTAAAGGGTATTCTATTGGATTTGGAGATAGAGTTAATTAATTAATGTGTTCATTATTAATGATAGTGGGTAGAATAGAGATTAATACATACGTCTTGCAAAATTGTATTGATATATTTCATTATTTCTGATATTGGCAATATTATATTTCAATAGAGTTGATTGTGATGATATTTGCAGTGGAAAGAAACATGATAGTGTATCATTGATATAAATACTATTGTATTTCCGACAAGCTGCACCATTTAAAGATATAGTGTGTGGGATATTGATATTATAGTTTAGGTTGATTAATACGTCGACTCCAAAAGGTTGTTGATTTATAGTTATAAATTTGCCAAGATTGATTCGAGTAAATGACACTGGAATAGAGGCTGTTGTACCTCTACTAGTACTCAACAGTACTTGATCTTCTATTGGACTTAAATAGGTTCTTTGGTATTCCACAATTTGGTTGGAAAGTATAAAACTAGTCACTCCATTGGGTGAGGAGAAGTCAAACCCAAAAAAAGATGATTGAAGATTATTACCATTGATAATGACTGTATCGGGTTGCTTATAGTATAGTGATGTTACCTGATATCTAAACAGAGAGATAGAGAGAGAGAGAAAGAGAGAAACATAAATAATTATTATTATTTCGATTATTTGATATTGTTGAGTGATGATGCATCATACCACAAGGATAAAAGGATAGGTCCAGCATAGAAGTTCCAAACATATAAGGAGATAGTGCGCCATCAAAGCATTTGAAACAATCGGCTTTATATGTGGCAGGTGGCGTGTCGTCTGGCGAATAATCAAATATCCTGCTGGCTCCACACAAAGAGTCTGGCAACCTAAAGTTCGTTTTAGTAGATGGCACGAATCGGCTTAACGGAGTCAAATAAAAGACCGACATTAGACCCTCTCCCAAACCATCTGGTATAGTTTCAATGTAATTATTTAAACTTCTATTTATTTGCAACAATGGAATGAGGGAATAAATATATATCCAAGAGTGAGAGAGATAGATAGATAGGCGTGCATACATACATAGCAGTCAATCGAGGATAATATAATGAATTGATATTCTTTGGAATGGTTGGACTTCTGTATGCTCTATATAATACAATAGACAGTCAGAGTAGTAGAGGGAGTAAAATATTATTGTTAGATGCTTCTCTGGTACCATACTTTGTATTTATATTCACCTATACTATACATACAAGGTAGTGAGTTTGTTTAAATTGAATGGGAACCCATCGGGAATATACTGAATGTGAGGTTTTGTGATTTGCAGTGTTTTGAGTTTAGATAGGTTCCTCACCATATAGAGAATGTTGATACTGCCATCCCTCTGGAGCGAGTTGATTGTAAGCTCGACCAAATTTGGGAAATAGAGCGCTGAAATCGACCGTTCTGGTAATTCATAGTTGGTGTATTGTTGTGATCTGACCGATAAAAATGATCTACAATCCAAATAGAATCAAAAATAACTAAGTAAGTCTAATGTTTGACCAACAGTTAACTGTGATACATACAGAGATGTAAACGATCCCTTGACAACGACAACATCTCCTTTATCGTAATTTGATAATACATTATCAACCAGTGTCCAATTCATCATGTATTGTTTGATCATAAACGTCAGTGATGGTACTATAGTATAAATCAATCAATAATAATAATAAATTAAATTGATCGCGTTATTGTTAATGATATTTATACACTCAAATTTTAATGACTGTAAACTATAGATCTATCGACAGATCTGTCTATCTTACCTTCTTTAGCATTGATCGTTAGAGGAGGAGGAGGAGGTTGAGCATTGACTACAAGGATGGTAAACCAGAGGGAGAAGATGAGGAAGATGAAACTTCTTAGTTTGCAGTGAGACAACATCAACCGTCTGAGCAAAGGGGTATATACTCTATCTGCCCTATCTATCTATGTATATATTTGTTATTGAATCATCCGATCGGAGTGCCTCGATACAACTACCCATGATCGTTTTATAAAATTAAATAAAAATAACAAGAATAATAGCGCTGAAAATATCTGGGTTTTTTTCTTTAGAAATAGTATTTATTATTTCTACTCAAATAGAAATAATATCAGTTGAACTACTATCGCGAATAATATTATTTATATTGTCTTTAATTCTAGTCGAGTGTTGAATTTTATCCTTGAGTTGATCAGTTGTTTTCTCTTGATACGAATGATTATTAAAACAGCAGAACCTGCTACCAATGCACCTCCTAAAACACCTGCAATAATATAATATTTGCTGTTTGATTGGTAATCATTACTAATCTTTGGGTTATCGCTATCGTTTGAAGAGGAAGAGGAAGATGAAGAGGATGATGAAGTATTGGGATATATAGCAGGATATTCAATATAAATAGAATCAAAAGATGTGAATGAGTGTCCATCGATTGAAATATAAATCTCAACGTATTCACCATCATCATCATCATCATCATCATCGACTCTTCCTCGACCATTTGTATTCAATGTAATATTACACTCCAAATAAGTTGAATTGATCGATGAAATAATACAATCGGTATTATTGATCAGGACCGATGACATTGTTGTACTTGTTTGATTAATCATTCCAAATTGACCAATTAATTCTAATTTATATTGTTGTGGAGTTGTTGATTCATTCGTCATCGGCATCATCGTTATAGTATAATTATTGGGTGAAAGTAAAGGATATTCTATTGGATTTGGAGATAGAGTTAATTAATTAATGTGTTCATTATTAATGATGGTGGGTAGAATAGAACTGTGATTAATACTACATACGTCTTGTAAAATTGTATTGATATATTTCATGATTCTCAGTGTTGGCAATATTATAATTCAATAGAGTTGATTGTGATGATATTTGAAGTGGAAAGAAACATGATAATGTATCGTTGATATAGACTGCATTATTATTATTATATTTCCGACAAGCTGCACCATTTAAAGATATAAAGTGTTGGATATTGATATTATAGTTTAGGTTGATTGATATGTTGACTCCAAAAGGTTGTTGATTTATAGTTATAAATTTGCCAAGATTGATTCGAGTGAATAATACTGGAATGGAAGCTGAAGTTCTACCTGTTCTACTAATACCCAGCACCACTCGATCTTCTATTGGATTTAAATTGGATCGTTTGTATTGCATCATATGGTTGAAGAGTATGTACTCGGACATACCATTGGGTGATGGAGTATATTGCAACCAAGACCATAGAAGATTATTACCATTGATAATGACTGTATCGTTTTGCTTATAGTATAGTGATGTTACCCTGATATCTAAAAGAGAAAGAAAGAAAGAAAGAAAAAAGTAAATAATTATTTCCATTATTATTATTATTATTTGTTGTTGTACGTCGTAGTCATCTGATTGATTCATCATACCACAAGGATAATAATATTCTCCAAAAAAAAATGAAAGTCCTGAAAAATAAGGAGATTGTGCGCCACCAAAACATTGGAAACATTCGGCTTCATATGTGATCTTCTCGGTGACTGGTTTATCACTAGAGAGGTACGACCCGCACATCGAGTCTGGAAACCGAAATACTCGAGTCGATGGTGTATAATAGCTATGAAGTTTTAAAGGTCTCAGAAGCACTTTCATCCTAAGACCCTCTCCAAAACCATCTGGCATAGGTTCAATCTGAAAGTCTATATTGCTAGTTTGATTACAAACAACATTTTGGGTTAGTTATAAACATTTATATATATATATATATCTCGAGCATGTTTTACTGTAAATATATGTGATCGTGCATACATACAAATCAGCCAATTTAGGATAATATAATGAATTGATATTCTTTGGAATGGTGGTTGGGCCACGGTACATTCTAAATGAATGAAACGTTTCATTAGTTAGGTATCCGGATGAATGTGTAGTACTCCTACTCCTGCTACTCACATCTTACATACAAATAATTTAGTTTGTCCAAAGTGAATGGGAATCCATCGGGAATATAGGGAATGTGAGGGTTTACGATTAATAATCTTCTGAGGTTGGATAGGTTCCTGACCATGTATAGAATGTTGATACTGCCATCTTTTTGAAACGAATCAATTGAAAGAGAGGTCAAGTTTGGGAAATAAAGTGCCGAAAGTGATCGGTCTGGTAATTCATAGTTAACAAATTGTTGTGCTGCGGACACCATCAATGTCCTACAATCCGATGATGGTAAGCAAGCAAGTAAGTAAGACAGTAAGTCATTTTCAAAGTACATCAGAAGAAGAACCAATTTTGTATACATACAGAGAAGTAATCGATCCATCGACAACAGAGACATAAAAAGCATTGTAATTTGATAATACATTATCAACCAACGTCCAATTCATTCCATATTGTTTGATCATAAAAGTCAGAGATGGTACTATAATATAAATTAATCAACCGATAGATCGATCGTTAGTGTCAATGATTTACAGATGACTATAAACTCTTACGTGACAATATCTATCTATCTAAATCTTACCTTCATCAGCATTGATTGTTAGAGGAGGGGTAGGTTGAGCATTGACTATGGGGATGTTAACAGACACTATCACTTGCAGTAGATACCATAGGAAGATGATGAAGATAAAACTTCTTAGTTTGTAGTGAGACAACATGAACCAGCCTATTCTCTATCTGCCCTTTCTATCTATATATGCTTTTGTAATATCGGCCGAATCACAGACAGATTGACACGTCTGATCTTTCACCATTTTTGAAGACCATGCGCGAAAAGTCAAAACAAACTAAAAACTCAGAGTTTGTTTTAAAAATAAATTATAGAATAAATTTACTTAAGTTTAATATTTTAGTTTTAAATTATAATTTTATTTTAATAAATAGATATAATATGATTTACAAATGTATTGGATTTTGATTGTGAATATTAAAAGTGATTATTATTATTATTTACAAGATTCGATTGATCACTTTTAATAAATTAAGAGAGTTGGTTGTTGATGAATTTACCATTTTCCCCAGAATGGTTTGGAGAAGGCATTCATGTTTTCAGATTGAATACTGCTTCCATTGTTCATTGAAATAATCATTGAATTATTTGAAGAGGATTGTTTAATAGAGTTGGTGTTGTTGATTGATCCAATCTTTGAAAGTGATGCTATAATTAAATTAAATTAAATTTTGATATTAGAATATTGTTTTAAATTGAAATTGAATTAGATTTAATTAATACATACCAAATAATGACATTTTTAGATTAATTTAATTTAAGATTTGATAGTTTTTAATTTAAAACTGTGTTTGTTGTTTGTTGATTTAGTTGTTTGCTGTTGATTTGATGATTTGAATGATTGCGAATCAATTTCTATTTATACTCTCTTGTTGGTGTGTTGTGGAATGTGGATATTGATTGAATTGTGTGGAGTGGTTGAATCACGGAATTAAAGTTGTTGTCATCATCCTGTAAACTAAATAACAGATGATATTTAATTCCAAGCATATCAAAATGTATATCAAATTGATAAACGTTGTTTGAGTTGTGAGTAATGTGTTGTTGACATCATCCACATTATTCCGAATGTTGTGTGTGTGTGTGTGTGTGGAAATTATGATTTACATTTTCCAGATCTCTTAATCATAATCACACCACACACTCACATATCAATAAATATCGATACTATCATATCGATTCTATTGATAGTATCGATTCTATTGGTTGTATATCTATCTATTTGATTGAGGTCCATATGATTCCAAAGTCCTCGAGAATTATAAAAGTCCTATTTGGCCATTCCTATTAATAATATCATTGAAAAATGCTATTTAAATTAAATAAATAAAGTTAATTGACTATATTTATAATTTGTCAAATTATTAGATTATATTTACCAATCTATAGATATATATATTCATTGTGTTTAGATTATTATTATTTATCATTTGAATAAATAAAAGAACAAACTTAACTAAAAATTGGGTTTGGTATTTGCTTTTATAGTTGACGGTGACGACGGATAATTCAATCAAATTAAATGGAGGATTAATCTAGAAATCTGATTTACAATTTAGAAATAGCATAGCGACAACATTAATAAATTATCTTATCCTGCCATTGTAAATTAAATTAAATCCGATTGTACGCATTTGAAATGATTAAATCGGTCAACCGATGGAAATAGACTATATTAGGCTTGATTAAAATCTATTCTCGTCTGTCGTCAACATACATCATCATCATCATCATACAATTTAATCAATTAATATGATTGAATGCTAAATAAAAGAGATAAAAGAGTTAGAGTCATTGATGTATATCTGAAATATCAGATGATGATGGCATATATCATACCTTTAGTCTGTGTACATTGTTTGTAAATAGTGATGGGTCCGGAATTAAATTGGTTGATGTCAACATTGAATAGATTATTTTGATGAATCGTTCAAAACACACACAGTCAATCAAATCTATTAAAATAATAAATTATTTTTGAAAAGCATCTATTACAGATCTACCAATGTTGTTGTCATCCATGTAAATTATAAATTCTAATTGACTACTACCACTGACAACAATAGATTATCAGTTAATGTTGACAACAACATAAACTGCGATCATGATTTTAGCATTTTGATTGATTTCGAATATGATGATAATGATGATCAATGCTAATTATAATTCCCAACTGCCGTTGTTGTTGTTGTTGGGAATACCCAACTATTTAAGGAATATACGTAAACAGTATAATAATACTAAAAAAGTAAATTATCAAATATATATTAATTAATTAATTATCATCATTAAACAAACACACTAAAATGTTATTTGGTAAATATCATCATCAACATCATGTTTATACATACATAAACCACTTAAATTAGATCTGATTATTAATCATCATTCTTCTTCTTTTTCAATTATATAGCTGCACTATCAAATAAAATGGGATTGAACATGATGACCAACAACAACCATAACCAATCGTCATCATCATCATCCTCTTCGTATGTGTTATCGTCATCCTCGACAACATCTACACAACAATCATTTAACCATCTATCTATATTCTCTAAACCACTTTGGAGTCGTTGGTAACCACTGATGCCATCAGCTCAACAACCAAACCAAACCAAATTAATCTTCTCTACGATGATTGATCGATGATGATTGTTATTGACCGATCAAACAACAATCAACCATGCATTGCTCTCTATCTATTCTCTATTCTGCTTAGAGAAAGAGAGTTGTATATAATGATACTACTACTACTACTACTTTGTGATAAATAATATTATTCATAATGAACTTTATCAACACTCTTTTGTAAATAATTAAAATAAAAACCCCCCTTTTCTCCACAGCTTCTATTTTGTGCACCTCCAACTTTTTAATTATTATTTATGATGTATTTAGATATTTGTTTAACAAATAAATATATTTATATATTATACTATTTCTGGTTTGTCCAAAAAGTACCAAATCTAATAATTTTACTTGTAATTTCGATCAAGACTCATTCTATGCTTATTATAGTCACTTTCAATTATGTTAATAACCAATCTTAAAATAGAATGTTTAGATGTACACAATTTTGCTTGCCCCCACAACCATCATAAACACTCAAAGCATAACCAAATATGGAGCATGCTTCCTTTAATTTATCAAATTTCTAAGTTTAAAGAAACCTAAAATATCACCTTTCCTTCTTAAAATAGGCATTATGAACATACCCTAAGAGGTTTGATCTGTTCCTATTTTATCAAGTCTACTCTATCAAAACATATTTATTTTTGACTGACCAGTCCAAAGGTTTAAATAATAATTTTTAATTTCTTCCCAAGAGAACATTATCTCAAGCTTCATAACATTGAATCACTCTATCTATCTCACATTTACAAATTCTATTTATATTTATTATAACAAATACTACCAACTACTCATGTCTGACAATGAAATCCGAGTCCTTGTCTTTGGTACCTCAAACACTGGAAAGACATCCTTGATCAACGAGATGACCGGAAAAGACCTACCCACTAGTAGTGACGCCATTGGAACTACCACTGACCACAACACTGTAAAAGGTGTTATCAGTGGCTACCAGTTCAGCTTTACCGACACTGCTGGCTTGGACGAGTGCGAGGAGGGCAAGGTTGACTCCAAGACTGCAATCACCAAGTTGATCCGACTCATCAAGGCGTCGCGGGAGGGTTACCATGCCCTTGTCATGGTGATTCGCCAGGGATCCATCCTCCAGAGCACAGTTGACAACTACAAACTCTTTGCAGAGGGGTTGTGTGGGGGAACCGTCCCGGTTGTTCTTGTGGTAACTGGATGCGAGAATGAAATTTCAATGCCAAAATGGATGGACCGAAACAAACAAACCTTCCTTGATAGAGGATTCATCTGTGATAGTATGCTGGCCACCTGTTTTGCAAAGAATGGGAAAATCAACTATGACGAGATGCGCACAGAATCCACCGAAATCTTGACCGAAACTCTCATCAATGTCAAGAAAAATCACCCAAATCCTAATCCCTTGTACAATACTCCCAATGGGATCATAATGATCTTCAAGAAGATGTGGGACCTTCTTCGCAGGTACTTGATCAACAGTCTCCCTGCATGGGTGGATTCTGGACTCCATGCCATTTTCATTAGACTGGGATTCTCTCAAGCAAAAGCCGCAGAGATGGCTCTGGAAATAGAAGGCACCAAAATGCAAGACCGTGATTGATGAGATCAATTCTATATATCTCCTCTCCTCCATGTACTAATCCATCAATTTTAACCCTTTAACAATTGTAAATAAATAAAAAAATAAATATTCCCTCTTGATGTCAATAATAGTTTTTAATTTTATTTTAATAAATAGATAGATAAATGATTTACAAAATGTCATAGATTTTGATTGTGAACATTAAAAGTGATTATTGTTATTATTATTATTTACAAGATTCGATTGATCACTTTTTAATAAATTAAGAGAGTTGGTTGTTGGTGAATTTACCATTTTCCCCAGAATGGTTTGGAGAAGGCATTCATATTTTCAGATTGAATACTGCTTCCATTGTTCATTGAAATAATCATTGAGTTATTTGAAGAGGAAGAACATGATTGTTTAATAGAGTTGGTGTTGTTGATTGATCCAATCTTTGAAAGTGATGCTATAATTAAATTAAATTAAAAGTTTGATTAGAATATTGTTTTAAATTGGAATTGAATTAGTGATTAATACATACCAAATAATGACATTTTTAGAATAATTTAATGTAATTTAATTTAATTTAAAGATTTTATAGTTTTTAATTTAAAACTGTGTTTGTTGATTTAGTTGTTTGTTGTTGATTTGATGATTTGAATGATTGCGAATCAATTTCTATTTATACTCTCTTGTTGGTGTGTTGTGGAATGTGGATATTGATTGAATTGTGTGGAGTGGTTGAATCACGGAATTAAAGTTGTTGTCATCATCATGTAAACTAAATAGCAGATGATATTTAATTCCAAGCATATCAAAATAAATCAAAATTGATAAACGCTGTTTGAGTTGTGAGTAATGTGTTGTTGACATCATCCACATTATTCCGAACGTGTGTGTGTGGAAATTATGATTTACATTTTCCAGATCTCTTAATCATAATCACACCACATACTCACACAACCCATTATACATATTATCGATACGATCATTATTATGATGGATGAACATAGTATCGATTCTATTGATTGTATATCTATCTATTTGATTGAGGTCCATATGACCCCAAAGTCCTCGAGAATTATAAAAGCGCAATTAGGCAATCTTAATTACTATCATTGAAAATGCTATTTAAATTAAGGTAAATGGTTAGTTAATCGACTATAATTATATTTCTAATTGTATTTATTTATAGTTACCAATCTATAGATATATGTGTATATATATATATTCATTGTGTTTAGATTATTATTTATCGTCGAGTTGAAATAGAATAAATAAAATGAACAATTGAAAATGAATAATTGATAAAAGTTAATCTTTTATAGTTGTTGAAGATGACGAAGGATAATTCAAATTGTAACCTAGCATCTGATTTACAATTTAGAAATAGCATATCGACAACATCAATAAACTAAAATTGCCATTGTAAATTAAATTAAATCCGATTGTACGCATTTGAAATGATTAAATCGGCCAACCGATGGAAATAGACTATATTAGGCTTGATTAAAATCTATTCTCGTCTGTCGTCAACATACATCATCATCATCATCATCATACAATTTAATCAATATGGTTGAATGCTAAATAAAAGAGATAAAAGAGTTAGAGTCATTGATGTATATCTGTAATATCAGATGATGATGGCATATATCATACCTTTAGTCTGTGTACATTGTTTGTAAATAGTGATGGGTCCGGAATTAAATTGGTTGATGTCAACATTGAATAGATTATTTTGATGAATTATTCAAAACACACACAGTCAACCAAATCATCATAATTTTTGAAAAGCATCTATTACAGATCTACCAATGTTGTTGTCATCCATGTAAATTATAAATGCTAATTGACTACTACCACTGACAACAATAGATTATCAGTTAATGTTGACAACAACATAACTGCGATCGTGAGTTTGCATTTTGATTGATTTGGAATATGATGATAATGATGATCAATGCTAATTATAATTCCCAACTGCCGTTGTTGTTGTTGTTGGGAATACCCAACTATTTAAGTAATATTACGTAAACAGTATAACAATACTAAAAAAGTAAATTATCAAATATATTAATTAATTATTAAACACTAAAATGCTATTTGGTAAATATCATCATCATCATTGATACATACATACACACTTAAATGAGATCTGATTATTAATCATTCTTCTTCTTCTTTTTAAATTATATAGCTGCACTATCAAATAAAATGGGATTGAACATGATGACCAACAACAACCATAACCAATCGTCATCATCATCATCCTCTTCGTATATGTTATCGTCATCCTCGACAACATCTACACAACAATCATTTAACCATCTATCTATATTCTCTAAACCACTTTGGAGTCGTTGGTAATCATTGATAACAATCTGTTGATAGCTATGTCATCAGCAACCAAACCAAACCAAACATATCTGCACCTTCAACGATGATTGATCGTTGATGATTGTTATTGACCGATCAAACAACAATCAACCGCGCATCCATTGCTCTCTCTCCTATCTCTAGAGTTGTAAATAATGATACTACGACTACTACTTTGTGATAAATAATATTATTCATAATGAACTTCAATGCAATACTTGTAAATAATAAAAACCCTAAACGACCGCTTTGTTGTTTCCCCCAATTATTTATCTTTTAAAAAAAAGAATACATATATTACATACATATATTTATATATATTTATTTATTTAAAAAGTTTCATCAAGAGTCATGCACATGTAAGAGTCTTACACAGTGAATAGAAACTTGTGAAATGATTGGTTCCACTACTACAACAAACACAGCAGATGATCACCCCAAGACAAACAAGAATGTCAATATGAAACCATCATCATTGGACGATGAAGGTGGTAGTGTTGGTTGTGTACTATCAAAATACATTCAAGCTATGATTATTGACAAGATGGTTCATACAAGGGATGTTCAATATGATATCAAAGGTGTTGATCATTGCCATGGATTTCAGTACTTGACTTCACAACAAGTATCACATCTAATGTTTAACAAAAGACCTAAAGAGAGTACTAGTCGACGTCGTAGTGTCGGTTCATCATCATCATCACCACCATTTAATACACTAGGCAATATTGCATTAGTGTCTAAATGGTGGATGCAAGTGACCAAACAAATAGCATCATCAAGTGTACACATAGTTGGTCCAATGAAAGAATCAAGCTTTTCAGCTAAGGATAGTAGTAGTAGTAGTAGTAGTAGTAGTAGTAGTAGTAGTAGTAGCGGTGGTGGTAGTGTAGAGTACCTCTATTGGAATATTATGGTTGGTCAATTGCAACGACGACGACAACGAAGACAACGACCACCAAACTTTAAAGAGTTTGACTATTCAAGATTACCTCTACTATTACCACACCTCAAAACAATCGATATTGTTGGAGAGAATATAAACATGCAAGCTTCACAAGCCATCATACAAGTAATCAATGCATTCCCACACATCCAAGTCAATCTAAAGTTGAATATCACCGATCAAACTGGGTTTGAATGGCCTGATAATTCTTGTATTAAGGGGTTGAAGCCAAACACTGTCGTCTCTCACATAGACTCTGATTATCTCTATAATACCAAATATTTTCATCAAATGCTTGATGATCTCCAACCAAACCATGTCAATCTGCGATTTGATGAAGGCAATCATGATGGTGGAGTTGTTCATTTCAATCACCCAGATCTATTCCAACATCTCACCACAACTCAACACATCAACATTGCATATGATTTTGTTGAATTGTCACATTTAAAAGAATATGTAGGCGATGACGATTCATTCAATATTCAATCTCTCAAAGTTGGTATCATTACATGTCCTATCGAAAAGGAACAACCGGTACACGACGTTGCCGGTCAATATAATAGAGGAATAAGTAGTTGGGCTGACCGATACCATGGATGTAGTTTTTGTTGTCGAGGTGACATAAGAACTAGTGATGTTTTGGAGGATTGGAATGAGTTATGTTCCAATCTCGGCACCAATTCAACAATGAAAAAACTTTGGTTGGAAGGTCCACATGGTGAACACCCCATGTTTAACAAGTCAAACAAAGAAAGAAAAGAAAAAGAAAAAAGGCGGAGGGCAGAGCAAAGAAAAAGAGGCAGCAAAAGTGGAGGTGAACCAGAGGAAGAAGAAGAAGAAGTAATAGTTTCATTGGAAAGATTATCATCTCGATTTGTACCAATTTGGGAAACAAACAAAAGCATTAAACTTTTAGGCCTATCAAAGCTTCCAAAGATCATTTCACCACAATTTTTCAATTCTTTGTGTCACAACCAACACATTACAACATTAATATTGACAGATGGTACATTGGTTAAAGAATACATTCCATCATTCTCTCAATTATTGATTACGAATCATACAATCAAAGCACTAGATATCAGTCAAAACTATTTGGAGCATAGTGCAGAGTTGGACAAGGCATTCAAACAAAACCAATCAATCAAAGTATTAAACATTTCAGAAAATGAATTTACATCAGATATATTTGATTCATTCTTGGAGAGTGATACGATCGAATATTTAATAATTGATGAAACATTGGCAAAGACCCATCATCAACACCGATATTTTAATCAATCAAAATCATTAATCAAGAGATTTTGTGTTGGTGCTATTGACAAAAAACCTCTCCGTTTCTATTTTAAACCTTCACTTCTTTTAGAAGATTAAAAAATAAATCATAAATTGTAATATAATCATATGCTTCAAAAACAACAGAAATTTAAATAATAGTTTTTAATTTTATTTTAATAAATAGATATGATATAATATGATTTACAAAATGTCATAGATTTTGATTGTGAACATTAAAGTGATTATTATTATTATTTACAAGATTCGATTGATCACTTTTTAATAAATTAAGAGAGTTGGTTGTTGGTGAATTTACCATTTTCCCCAGAATGGTTTGGAAAAGGCGTTCATATTTTCAGATTGAATACTGCTTCCATTGTTCATTGAAATAATCATTGAATTATTTGAAGAGGATTGTTTAATAGAGTTGATGTTGTTGATTGATCCAATCTTTGAAAGTGATGCTATAATTAAATTAAATTTTGATATTAGAATATTGTTTTAAATTGAAATTGAATCAGATTTGATTAATACATACCAAATAATGACATTTTAGATTAATTTAATTAATTTAAGATTTTATAGTTTTTAATTTAAAACTGTGTTTGTTGATTTAGTTGTTTGTTGTTGATTTGATGATTTGAATGATTGCGAATCAATTCCTATTTATACTGTTTTGTTGGTGTGTTGTGGAATGTGGATATTGATTGAATTGTGTGGAGTGGTTGAATCACGGAATTAAAGTTGTTGTCATCATCATGTAAACTAAATAACAGATGATATTTAATTCCAAGCATATCAAAATGTAAATCAAAATGATAAATGTTGTTTGAGTTGTGAGTAATGTGTTGTTGACATCATCCACATTATTCCGAACGTGTGTGTGTGGAAATTATGATTTACATTTTCCAGATCTCTTAATCATAATCACACCACACACTCACACACACAACCCATTATACATATTATCGATACTATCATCATTATTATGATGGATGAACATAGTATCGATTCTATTGATTGTATATCTATCTATTTGATTGAGGTCCATATGATTCCAAAGCCCTCGAGAATTATAAAAGTCCTATTTGGCCATTCCTATTAATAATATCATTGAAAAATGCTATTTAAATTAAAAAAATAAAGTTAATTGACTATAATTATAATTATTTGTTTAAATATATTTATAGTTACCAATCTATAGATATATATATTCATTGTGTTTAGATTATTATTTATAGTTGAGCTGCTTGGTTTTTAAGATAAATAAACAAACTAAACTAAAAATTGAAATTGATAATTGATAAAAGTTAATCTTTTATAGTTGACGGATAATTCAAATTGAATAATCTAGAAATCTGATTTACAAATTTTGAAATAGCATATCGACAACATCGATAAACTAAATTGTCGTAATCCAATCATTGTAAATTAAATTAAATCCGATTGTACGCATTTGAAATGATTAAATCGGTCAACCGATGGAAATAGAGCATATTAGGCTTGATTAAAATCTATTCTCGTCTGTCGTCAACATGCATCATCATCATACAATTTAATCAATTAATATGATTGAATGCTAAATAAAAGAGATAAAAGAGTTAGAGTCATTGATGTATATCTGTAATATCAGATGATGATGGCATATATCATACCTTTAGTCTGTGTACATTGTTTGTAAATAGTGACAGCTCCGGAATTAAATTGGTTGATGTCAACATTGAATAGATTATTTTGATGAATTATTCAAAACACACACAGTCAACCAAATCATCATAATTTTTGAAAAGCATCTATTACAGATCTACCAATGTTGTTGTCATCCATGTAAATTATAAATTCTAATTGACTACTACCACTGACAACAATAGATTATCAGTTAATGTTGACAACAACATAAACTGCGATCATGATTTTAGCATTTTGATTGATTTCGAATATGATGATAATGATGATCAATGCTAATTATAATTCCCAACTGCCGTTGTTGTTGTTGGGAATACTCGAGTGATGACAATACCCAACCAACTATTTAAGGAATATTGTTTACTAATTTAGTGTCATCATCAATTCATTTACGTAAACAGTATAATTAAACAATTACTAAAAAAAGTAAATTAAACAAATATATTAATTAAACACACTAAAATGCTATTTGGTAAATATCATCAACATCATATTGATACATACATACACCACTTAAATTAGATCTGATTATTAATCATCATTCTTCTTCTTCTTTTTCAATTATATAGCTGCACTATCTAATAAAATGGGATTGAACATGATGACCAACAACAACCATAACCAATCGTCATCATCATCATCCTCTTCGTATATGTTATCGTCATCTTCGACATCGTTGACATCTACACAATCATTTAACCATCTATCTATTTTCTCTAAACCACTTTGGAGTCGTTGGTAACCACTGATATCTATCTATTGAAAGTGAACATTTGCATTTATATCCATCGATGCATCTACGGTTGTTAACAACCGATCAAACAAACGTGTATTTTTGAAGAGCTACATTCATTTCTAAACTTTTATAAAAGTATACTCTGTAAATAAAACAATCCTATTTATTATTATTATTATCTATCTTTTGTGTCTATGTGAGTTGTTATAAAAGTATGATCACTTTAAATTCTTTCGAAGTTGTGCGATACTCAAAAAAAAAACTAATAATATTTTTAATAAAAATTAGATTTATTTAATTTTAATTTACAATAAATATACAACCTCGAAAAATATAGTATTTGAAGTACCAAAGTAACTTATACAATATAATTGCCTCAAAAAGAAAATAATACAAGGAATGCTCTAATATCTTTGTCTCCATCTTGTCCAAGCAATTTGATTTGTTGACATGTTTGATGTCATATGATTACTTTGGGATAATTGTGTTATGGAAGAATGAGAAACATTCAATGATGGTGATGATAAGGATAAGGATCCAAGTTGACTAATAATTTCTTTTTAAAATGAAAAAAAAAAAGAAAAAAAAAGAAAAAGATAAAAATTAATAAAATAATTCTTTTTAGAATTTACTTTTAATATTATACTTACTGTATAACATTTTATATATATTTGATGTTTTAAATTTAGAATAATAATGAAATAAAATGTAAAGTATGATGACTTAGAAATAAAATTCTCCTTGGGGTTTTTATAGTTTATGGATTCCATAGATTGATCCAGATATCCATCCATCCATGTATCTTCAAGTATGTCGGTTATACGATAGAGTATGTTATAAAAAGGATCAATCTACCGATTTTACTATTATTATTATTATTATTATTATTATTTCTGATCAAAGATCTACTTTTTAATCTTTCAAATCACATCCAACAGCAGATCGATAGTCATATTCATTTAGATTCAATGGAATGTGGAATATTCATCCATGAACATGATTTTTGCATTCCTCTCTAGCTAGAGATGCAGCCTTAAATTCACGTGATTCGCACTCCCCCCACTCTAACAACAACATGGTTTAACCAAACATATATCTATTTAAACAGTGGCAGAATATTCAACCACTATCGTTTATGCTACATTATTTGTGCGTACTGTATTATTATTACGCACCCGCAAGTTTAATAAATAAAAGCTAGTAGTAGAGTATATACTAACAATCATGTCAGGAAAATCCAACTGCAATGCGTGGGGTCTACCCTTGCGATGGATGTGGGTGCGATCTTCTGAACGATTTTTCCATTTTCACCCCACCCTGACAATAAATCCCACACCATACGTTGTTTTTGAATCGCGATTAATCGATTGATCACCACGCCCTCACCTTTGTCGTATTGTTAAAAAATTTTCTTTTGGTTATAAATCCCATCATGTTTTATTTAAAATACTGTTTGGAGTGTTGATGATCTGATCAACTTTTTTCAATTTAATGTTTTTAATAATTCAAACATGCAAGGAATAATCGTTATTATTTTTAAATTGTTAATACGTAGATTAGAGGTGTTATGTTTGATCGAATCTTGGGGACCAGTATTCTAAAAACCAAAGATCTTTGATGACATCCCATGGCCAACGACGACAAGCAACCAGCCAAAGGTCGGAAAAAAAACATTAATTTCGAATCGCTCGTTGCGACTTCCCAAAGACAAAAGAAACACTGAAAAAGAATAAGATATATTCATTTCTTTATTTATTCATGAACGAATGAAGATTTAGATTCTCTCTCTCTCTTTCTTCAAAATATGTTTATTATTGTAAAAAAGAATCAACAACAACAACAACAACAAAAATGAAATACATATTTATTTTAATATCATCATTATTATTATTGGCAACAGAAGTATGTTTAGGACAAAATGTAGTAAATTTTCGGTGGTCAGTAGATTGCAGTCAACATTGTGATTTCCAAGACCCCGATAATTGGGTTGGCGGTGATGCTCCTGGAACAGGTGATATTGCAACAATTGACCTTACAGAGTACAAGTACAACTCTGCTCTCATTCAATTGAGTTCCGATATCATTAATATCGAGTATATCAATATCACTGGAGCACCTGAAAACTGTCATTTCATCTTTCAAATCAACAATAATGCTCAAGTTATTGCCAATCATTTCCTCGCCACTGGTAATGTCGCAGTCATCATGGACAGCTATGCCAATGTCATTGTCCAATCAACGTTTATGATTGATGACTCTAGACTTTTAGTCAATACCAATGCCGTCCTCAACATGACCACCTTTACATCATCGCTGACCTGTTCCACTATCATTGGTCAAGGATCCATCCTTTCAGTCATAGACTCTGCTTCGATCGGAGGTACATTGGAATCAATTGATACTTCACATATCAATTTCCAAGGCAAGATTGTGTTTGCTGACAGTGCCAATGTAACAGTGTCAGGTTCCATCAAGTTTGGAGACGACCAAGTTATTTTCCTCAATGGTTCTACATCCATCTTTTCTCAAGGTCTCGAATCGAGTGGTCAACTCTTACTAGACTATTCCTATGTAACTGTATATGGCTCGTTTATTGCTAACCATGTCAATCTTACTGGTGATTCAACACTCGATATCGTACGTTCATCCTATTCCAGATCAGTGCAAACTCAAATTGCCAGCATTGTATCTGAAGATCTATCGGTGTTTAGTGTCGAAAACCATGATCTTGCAACCATCCAACAATTCGATTTAAAAGGATACGCTCTTTTTATCAATACTACATTATCTCTAGTCGATGGAGTTGCCAACACTATTGTATTTGAAGAACCAGTTAACGATATCACCATCACAAATTGCCTAATCTATTCGACCATTACCCACAATACAACATCGCAATTTAACCTTGTACTTCAAGGTACGACAGAATTGTATCATGTCAATGCTACCAATTGTCATATGACCGTTAATGATCTGATCTACTTTATCGGAAGTAATATTGGATTGTATGGTCAATCGTCATCAATAGAAATATTGAATGGTTCGACCTTAGTCATTTCCAACTCTTATTTGACAGTTCCAATCATTTCAGCCGATGGTGCATCGATCAATATCGCAGACCAAACCAATATCATTGGTAATGTTCAAATATCTTCATCTAATTTGACATTTGGTGAATTCAAAGTAGAAGGAGACATGCTAATTGGTGCACAATCAAATGTCAATGTCGACGTTGAAACATTCAGTACCCAGACTTGGAACACACCCGTTCAAATCTATGGTAGTTTGAAATTCGCTGGTAACCATCTAACAGTTCTTCCAACCACCACTCGTATCGTTCCACCCATCTCTTACTATATCTTGGAAGCTACCAATACTCTCAGTATTGATACATCAATTTGTACCTATTCAAATGGAAATGGAAATAGTACATTTTCACTTCAAGGAACATACTAGTAGTCAATATTTAGTTCTATCATTTTAAATAAAAATTAATTATTCTTTTTTTTGCCCAATGAGAATTTACGTACATACATAATGTCAAATGAGTAGAGGGGGTAGGAGATCTACTTTTGAATTGATTGATCATTAACTGCTAATATTTGTAATAATTTAGTTTGATTGAATCTTAATAGATAATATTGATCATTATAACCACATCTACATTTAATCTTGGGAAACAAAATAATATTTTAAAACTTGTGTTAATCAATATCCAAGATCCATATATTATGATTTGATCCATATATTTAATCATATATAAATTGTTTGACAACTTTTTGAGTTGTCTAGTTGTTTTGTTAGGGGGGGTCAGATTAGATTTTAAAAGATTGTTTTGATAAGATTGATTGATCGATAGTTTGAATTATTTTTTTCAAAACATTGAGTGTGTGAGTGGAGTGGTAAGCGAATCATACTGTTCACCACAACACATAAATTAGCATTTGAATACGCATGTATATTGGGATAAGCTAATTAAGGTTGCAATAAACCACATTCCAATAAATATCTATCTATCTATTAATCTAATAAATATTGTTCTTTAAGAACCTGGTGACCAGTGAAATGATGACGATTTCCACTCTATTCGAAAGTGTATAGCTGTGTGAATGTTCCAAATCACGGTCACCATATTCTTTCTCTTGAATCACAAAAAAGAAAAGTATATATTCAAAATGATCTATTTCTATTTTTAATTATTAATTTATTTTCTAATCTAAAATAAAAAACAAGATAATTAATAAATAATTTATTAAATATCATTTTCGAAAATGTTATATGGTAAATATAACTAGATTACTTACTTATGTACAACCAAAACCTAACTTTGATCTTTTTTTTTAGTTTCCATTTCTAAGTTATTTTGTTCGTCGTCCATGAAAATGTTGAACTCCTCCTCCTCCTCCTCCTCCTGCTGCTCGTCATGTACTACTGTACACCAACAACAAAATACAACTATACAATTATTAAACCAAAATTCTACATCTTCATTTATCAAACCATATTGGAGTCGTTGGTAACTATAAGTACGACTCTTCATTTATGGTCTATAGGCAACATGTAAATATGTAAATAAATAAATAAATACTTTTCCAACCACAATCTATGGCCTTGGATTATTCCTTCCTCGCCAAGGTTTATGTTTTGGATTGAAATAATGGTTGATAGCATTGGCGCTGGTGACTGTCAGGTGTGGATATTGACATTGTCTAGATGAATGTGTTCATTCATTGGTAAAGTGGTTTTATTACCTTCTTGGCAACACTATCCAATATTATTATTGTTCAGTACTAGGTTGATAGATATCGACACCCTACCAACTTGATCAACTGCTGAATCGTTTCGATAGTTGCAAGTGCAGTACTGAAGAGTGAATACAACTCAATGACATGATTGTATCATTATTCATGTTTGTAGTCGTTGATACTATATAATGTCGAACAACATCCCATGGCATACCGAATCTCCACCAACATGTACTCCTAATCCAATGATCTTTGTTTCTTGAAATAATATCCTCTTCTTCTACAGCTCACTGCTTCAAATATCATATTCCTACATTTCTAAATATCAATGTTATATGTCTATCATTCTTTACTACCACTACTACTCTTTCTATCAACAATGAGACAACTCTAAAACCAAACGCACAGCACCACCAAAAAAAAAAAAGAAATTAATTTCTTGGGTGCACGAAAATACCTATAAAAAGCGAATGAACTGTACTCATACCTATTCATCTGATCTATAGACGACTAATAATAAGTAGTACCACAGTATACTTTTGTACATATAACAGATCAATCACTATAAATATTATATACATATTCACATATAGAAAGCAATGTCATTGTTTCAAAGATCAGCCTTTACTTTACAACCATCCGTATCTTTACTCTTTACTGATGCTCGTATGTAACCCTACCCCCAACCCAACCCAACCAACGAATCAACTCATGCAATGAAATAGCAGAAGTAGAAGTAGTAGTAAAAAGAAAACTAACAATAGATCTCTCTCTCTCTCTCTATCATCATCCTCTATCATATATCTATACATTTGAATCAATCGAATGATCATTTGGGCTTTATCATCTTTATTGGCTCTACAAACACATACATACATACATACATAATGGAATGTATATACTATCAAAATATTACCTCAACCAACCTATTACTATTGGATTATATACATTGATTTTGGTTTAACAACAATATTATATGATTACGATGATGAATTATTGCGATTGATTAACTTTTTAAAGTTTCAACATCATCATTAAATATTACAAAGAGATGGGCTACCAAGAAATCAGCAGGTACAACAAAGAATGGTAGAGATTCACTTCCAAAGTACTTGGGTGTAAAGATTTTTGGAGGAGAAGTATGCAAAGCAGGAAATATCATTATGCGTCAACGTGGCACCGAATTTTACCCAGGCACTGGTGTCGGTATCGGACGTGATCATACCATCTTTGCAACTGTCGATGGTTATGTCAAGTTCCATCAATCTACTCTTGATAAAAATAACAAACCAGCTAAACCAAGAAACGTAATCTCAGTTGTTTCAAATCAACAACACGAACAACCACAAGCTTAAAAAAATAAAAAAATAATAATAATAATAATAATGATAATAGAATATATGATATAGATATGATGATATGATGATATTTGATTGATTCAATCATTTTTAGAATCGAGATATCTTTCATATAGCGCACCGAAATTGTTGATGACGTTTTTTGTCCATCGATTTTTATTTTTCCTTCCCAATTTTCGAGGGCGGTTCGACATCACCCGCCATTCTATCACCATTGTCGCATTGTCACACAATCCCACCCCACTCTCCAGCACACCCGCTCACTCTCTCTTTTAAAACTGTAAATTTTAATAATAAAAAAGAGAGCAATCAATAAGAAGAAGAAAACAACTATACTACTTTCTTTAATCTTTTAAAGACGAACAGTTCTTCTGGTCTGTTGATCAAACAAATAGATTTAACTATAGTTAAAGTAGAATGTCAAATACTACAACAACAACAACAGATAATCACAATGAAAACCATGATACACCTTTAAAAAGAAAGAATAATAACAATAATACCAACAATAATGTAAATAATAATAATAATAATAACAATAATGGAAAAAGTTGGTTTGAATTAATAAGAAATAATAATAACTCTAATAATAATAGTAATAATAATTATGAAGATGATGAAATAAGAAAGAGCTCACCAGCTGTATTAATGTCATCAATGAATAATAATAATCATTTACATACATTAATGGATGACTATGATGATAATGGTGTTGAAGAAGTGGATATGATTGATTTACATAATAGTAGGTCACCTTTGATTGACCATGTCATTGATCAACAACCTCAATCCCAAAGTTCTTGGATACCATCATCACCCAAAAGGAAATCATCATCTTCATCAACGACTAGAAAGAATAATAATAACAATAGTCATTCTCCACTATCATTATCAGCATCCAATCTATTTAGTAATCATCATAGTGGTTACCAATTAATGACTGCTGTTTCCTACCAAAATAATGAATTAAATAATAATAATAATAATAATAATAATAATGTAATTTTAACAACAACAACAAATATGGAATATGAAGATAATAATAATACTGATGAAAAGAGATTATTAGTTTCACCATCATCATCTGTTAGTGTGGATACAACTCCAATATTAATATCTAGTGGAGTATCAAGTGGTGATGGTGGTGATAGAGGAGGAAGACGAGGTCACCGATCAGGAGGAAGTCACAAAAGACAAATCATTGATTCAGATGAATTGGATGAAATCATGACACACAGTTATGGAAACAATCCAACTACACTACGAATCTTGTCATCATTGGTCTATATAACTTGGTTGGCTGCTAGTATAACTCTTATTCTAGAGAAAAGGAATATATTTTTACAAACCCATGCACTTCAATCCTTTTTCATTGTATGTAATCCTAGTATAATTCCTTGACGGTACCAACAAACATATAAACTAATCAACATTAATAATTATTATTTAGGGAATATTGGTAACTATATTACAATTATTTTTCGTTTGGTTACCTTTTGTATTTAGTATTGTATTATGGTCCATATATCTTTTATTTATTGTAGTTATGATTATTAATGTAAATAGAACTGGTATGTAGTCACAAAGTATTAATATTTACACTTTTTCAAAAGTACTAATATTATCATTTTTATTCTTCTTTTTCTTTCATTCATTTTAGTACATAAACAACAAATCATTTTATTACCATTGATTGGAAAAGGATGTGAAAAGAGGGTAAAACAAAGAAGTATAGATTATCAAAAAATGTTAATATCTTATTTAAAAAGATATGGTATTCTTGTTGTATCTTTACCATCACAATCAGTATTGGAAGTTTAAACTTTCTTTATATAAATATATATAAACATTTATATGTATAACATATAATATTAGAAGATGAAATGAAATTTAGAGAACCTGATGGTGTCAACATCGAAAGAAGTATACATCTTCTTGGTATTTTATATAAATATATAAACATCGATCATCTAAAACCAAATATATAATATTTTATTATTATTATTATTTATTTTTATTTTATTTGGAAAAAGGGGAAACAACCTTTTTTTTGTCACTCCAACAACCTTTTCTTTCTATTCTTTTTTTTTTAAAATAATACAAACTATCTTTTATGAATAATCAATTACAACTACAACTAAAACTACAACCTCAACATCAAAGTATAAATAATGTATTACATAATAATTATTATTTAAAATTAATATTAAATAGAGTAAAAGAAAATAATGATCAATTGCATGGATTGAGAAGTTTAAGATACAAGTATAAATTCATTACAAGTGTAGAATGGATGGTTTACAACAAATATTTTGAATTACTCAAAGTTAAAGTGGAAAGAGGTGAAAGATTAACAGTCTCACAGAATGGAATGAGATTATTATTCCTAAAAGTAGAGGATCATGAAATGATCAAAAAAATGTTACAACAATACAAAGAGGAATTTATCAACAAACCCAAAGCCATTGAATTTGCTTGTTTATCTGGTAGTTTGGAATTGGTTCAACAACTTATTGGAATGAATCAGTCATCAATGAACGCAGGTGCTCGGACCCCACTTGATATTGGTTGGATGGCCGGTGACCCTTTATTAGGATCACTTGTAGCACCAAGAGGTGGAATTGAACTAGTCATGTATCTTCATGAATCCATTCCAGGATGTTCCATTAAAGATTTGGGAGCTGCTAGAATGGTCAACTTTCTTAGACATTTGCGTCCATCGAATCGTGAAAAGTTACCACTTGTCATGAAATTCTTTCCCATCCATCAATTGTACAATCTCACCGTATTTGATATACTATTATCACACGATCCAGAGTTTATCGAATGGTATCTATCGACTGTACAAAAAAATTCTCCAGATTTGAATATCAAAATGTTTTCATTCTATCTTCAAGCCAATGCCATCTTTTTCCCAACTAGTCATGCCAACACTCAACTACCAAAGAATCTATTTAAAATGATTAGATTCTATAGATCAGAATCAACTCGTCAAGAAATGTTGTACATTTTGGAAAAGAAAAAACTCTATCTTTCCCAAACCTCTAGAATCTTTGTTTCATTGGTCAATCATACCAGTGCTTCTGGATCAATTTATCAATTGGAAAAGATTAAATTGGTTGTAGAACAATTATTGAGTCATTATGACGAGACGACACCACTCTACAATGTCATTTTGAATTTAATCATTTCCGTAGAATGTATGGATTTATTTCAAGATTCATTCTATTTGTACACTGTCATCAAAGCACTTTTAAGATTTGGTATCAAAGATTTTAAAATTATCAAGTATTTTATGCATTACCTGGTATATACATCTATTACTATTCAACTTGAACGTTTAGTAGATCCTGACACTTCAATGGATCAATTCTCTATTCTCATTAGATTATTATACCTATATCACAAATCAATACCTATTCATTCCCTTAAAATTTATGATTTTGAAGATTGTCAACCTGACATTATTCATTATTTAATTGCTAATAATTTATTTGAACCAGATGATGATGATGAAGAAGAAAAAGTAGATAGAAAATTTTATGATCAAACAGATGATGATGATGAAGGAATATATTTTTAAATCAAAATAAATTATAATTATTTCTTTCTTTTTTTTTTTTTTTTATATTAATGTTTTGAAAACAACTTTATATTATTCTTATTCTTATTCTTTTATACTATATTCTTTTACAATTAAAATTTGTTTTGTGTTTTGGTTGTTTTAAGCAGATTCAGAAATGGCAGCAGCACCAGAAGTAATTTCAATCAATTCACCAGTAATCATAGCTTGACGAGCTCTGTTGTATTGGATAGAGAGGGCAGCAGAGATTTGTTCACCATTCTTGCTAGCGTTATCCATAGAAATCATACGAGCGGCAGTTTCAGAGGCACGGTTTTGGTAGAGGGAACCCCAGAGAGTCGAGATGAGGTTAAACTCGGAGAAATCCTTCATGGTGGCGGAACGATCTTCGTTGGTTTGGTAGGCATAGAACTTTTCACGGTGGTGTTCGAGGAGGTTGAAACCTGGAACAAAGGTGGAAGAGACGGCGTACGACATGGCGTTCTTAAACTTGTTGTAGACGACGGTGGCAGAGTCAAAGTTTGGAACGTCCTTTACGACCTTGGACAAGTAGACACAGGTCTCTGGGAAGGAAAAGTCAGACTTTCCAAAATCACGACTGCTCGAGTGCAAGGCCTTTGGATAGGCAGAGGTGATGGGAGCAACACCCTTTAAACCAGTCATGGTGACGACGAGTTGTTCGGTCGAGTTTTGGGCTTGGTTGTCGGCCAACATACCCTTGATGGCACGGACAACTTGATGGTTGACTGGACCACACATACCAGTGTCGGTGGTGACACCAATCACCAAATTCTTGTGTGAACGCGACTCGCCAGTGTTTTCAATCTCACCAAAGCCTTCGAGGTTGGTAATCTCAGACACCAACTTGTTTGGTCCCAAACTGTATACTCCCAACTCTTCAGCCTTCTTTTCTGCTGAACGTAAACGTGATGAAGCTACCATGTTTAATGTCTTGGTCAATTTTGAAATGGTCTTTACTGTACCTAAACGATTCTTTACTAATAAAAAGTAAGAGTAAAATATAGTGGTAATGGTAAGTATCAAAATAGGTCCAATTTATAGGTCAACAACAACAACAACAACAACATTCAAGCAAGTAATGAAATGGTTAAGAAGATAGAAAGATAGATAACCTTGTTTATCTCTTTTTTTCTTTTTTTTTTTTTTTTTCCTCTTCTTTGCATCAACCATCAGATTAACCATTTAGTATATTTGATATTGTTATATTACTAATAATGATGATGATGATCATTTCATTACTATGCTCTATTTCTGCTGCTGCTGTTGTTGTAGGTTGATTAGATTATATTATATTGAAGTATGATACTAACATTCCTTTAAAGTAGCCATGTTACGTTGTTGTTGAGCACATGGTTGTCTAATATACATAAAAAGTAATTTAAATTAGTCTAAAATGTTCGTCATATCTATTTTAACCAATATCTTTGTTGTTTGCAGTATATATATATTCAAATGTGTGATCATAATGATGATCTGTCGTTTCATATTAACAACACGTTTTCATTGTCATTTGATCATAAACTACTTCGACTGATATATGATATTGTTGTTGAGTCTAATCATTCTTTCTCTTACCTCATAAACAAGGTTGTGGTGGTGATAACTGTACGGTTCATCTTTTGATATACTACAACTATAGTAACTAAAGGCTATATAGAGAGATGAGATATAAAGTGGTAGAAAATGCCTCCTTTTCTCTCTCACAACACACAACATCAGATCATCAACACGCACAAAAAAATAAAAATTAATTCAAAAAAAATCAGAAAAAAAAAATTCTCTTTTCTCGCTCTCCTGGACAAAGAATTGGTACTTATCTTGTTATAATTATCTTTTTTTCTATTACTTGTACATTATAAAGTTAATTGATCCACATTTTATTTTTAGTAAAGTTTAAAGTAGGATTTGAATTGGATGATTGTACTATACCACCAGATAAAGAGTATTTATCGTAAATGTAGATGGTTGTACAACGACCATTACTGTCGATTGATTTACGAATACCAAGATTGAATTTGAAACCTCTACCTGAAATGATCAAGTTGTTCAAATGTACAATACTTTTTAATGGAATCGATTGATGACCAATATCATCAACATTGTCATTATCACGATGACTCTTTTTAATTTGTAAATGTAAACTTGAAAGTTGTGATGCTATGATACAAGTTGCTCCTTCTTCTCTTTCATTTTCATTTTGAAACAAATCAATAACTTGATTAATTTGTTTTAATCTTTTAATAACTAGATGTTTTAAATTTGGTAGATTGTGTTGATTTAAACCAATTAATGAACCTTTAGAGAATAATTTGTGAAATTTAAGTACGATGGTGACTAGAGTATTTGGTAGGTTGTGATTCGGACCAATATGAATTGCAAATTCATCAGACTCTATTAGTTTTAGTTTGGTCAGCTTTGGTAATGATTCGATTGTATCGATATAGTATGGCGTAGAGTTTAGCTTGACAGTCTCTAATTGCGTGGGTAGTGTTGGTAAAAATGGATCTCGCTCTTCTTCATAGTATCGTAATGATAGTTTACGTAATGATTGGGGGAGTGTGGATGGAGGTTTTAATATTCTAATGTAAAGTGAAAGGATATGGGGAGGTAGACACTGACTGTTCCAATGGAATAGTAATTGTTTCATTTTCAGAGTTTGTAGAGATAGGGGTAAGAATCCAACTTTAAAAGAATACATTATTTCATTGGTCACACTCAAATAGGTGAGTGTAGGTGGCAATAATCTAGTTGCATTATTAAAACCATAGCTATGATCAACTAGTTTGTTTTCATTTTCTATTAGATATGATTGATTTTTAAAAGAAGATGAAGAAGAGGATAAAGATAATATTTTACTATTGTTATTATAAAGTTGTAAACGAGTTGATTGATTAAATATAAACTTTGATCTAAACTTTTTAGGTTTGTTTATATAGACCAAATTTTTAAACTCTAAAGAATTCTTTGATAATAGATTATATAAACGTTTTGATGATAACATGAAACATATCGTGTCTATATCATCATCCAAATATCCTATAATCTCTTTTAACAATAGAGTTGATAGATGATTCATAGATACGTATGAATTATAATAAATTAAATGATTATTAATTATATAATTTTACCACAAAAAAAAAAAAAACTAGCTATTCTTTGTTTCTGTCCGATTGTGAAAGTTGATTCTTTATTTACAAAGAGAGTTATTATTTAAATGGATACTTGTAGCATTAACAACATAATATTATGCACTCTTGTTTGATGATAGAAGAGATGATATCAATGAAATCTTGACTAATACCTTTAATTTCTAAACTTTTCTATTAGGTTTTCTAGTCTAACAGAATCAAAGGCTTTCTTGATATCTATTTATGCTATATGGAGAGGCTTTTGGTGGAGTTGCTATTGAGAATGATTGATTAGGCGTGGTCAGTAGAACGGTGTGGGCGGAACCCGAATTGTGTATCTGAAAGTTGGTACAAGGAGTGGTTTGGGTCAATGCTTGGTTCAATGGCATTGGACAATCTAGAGAGGAGTGTGATTGGGCGGTGGTTGGATGGGTCGTTGGCACTACCACCCTTGTGTATTGTAAACACCGTTCCTTTTCTCCAAGGTGATGGAATGGTCTTTGGATGGAGACAACTATTGAATCGGGATACAGTAAACCAGTCAGTGAATCTCCAATTCAGTGCTCTCTTTTGTTTTACAACCTTTTAACATTATTGTACATCAAGAAAATGCCCTGAATTGGAGAGATTCTCAGAGGAAAAAAAAGGTCTCTTTAGAAACATGTTTGTTAAAGTATGTACCTTTTAATCAAGGATTTTTATTATAATTGATTTATAGTTTTCTTTTTTATTTATTTATTATTATTAGTATTGGACAATCAAGGGAGATTTAGATTTAGATTAAATATTATTATTTATTTATTTATTTTGTAATAATAGCTAAATATTTTCTTGAATACATTTGATATTCATAGAATGGATATTTTAAAGATTCTATTAATTTTTCGGATAGGATTTCAAAGGTATAGATACGTGGTACAATATTGGGACGATTGATTAGACTTAGGACGGCTTTGAGGTAGAAATCCGATCGAAGTGGTGTGTGGATGTGGGTGAGTGTACGATTGGTAGACATTGCAAATTCGAAAAATTTAATGGAAGAGTCGGTACAAGTTTGATTGATTTGGTGGGTAGTGGTGAGCGATGTATTGGCATTGGCCAATCCAGACTCTCCTGTACTTTTATCTGAAAAGAGTGATAAACTAGTTAAACTCTTTGTACTGAGCAGATAATAAGATAGATGAAGTATTTCCTCTTTGGTAATGAATGGACCTAGTTCAAGTCGTTCAATGTGAGGATTGGATATTAAAAATTGTGAAAATGTATCTGGTCCACCAAGATTTGTAATTTGTACATGTTTAGTCCTACTTGATAATTGAAATGATATGGTTGAAGGTAATTTAATCATTGGTGGTAACGATATAGATAAACTTGATAAATTTGGCATTGATGCAATTTGTATCAATTGTATTTCATCTACCGACTTTTTTAGCTCCAATCTTTGGATACAATTTAAACTACTTGCTAAAAGTGTTGAAAATGGATCGGTCTCTAATAAAAAGGTTGATGTTGTTGATCCGCTCATGTTCAAATTACCACCACCGCCGCCACCAATACTACCATTACTATTTATATTATTATTATTATTATTACTATTATTAATATTATTAATATTATTATTATTTACTAGGTCTAGTAATTTTAATTTTTGAATATTTGTTAATTTTGAGAAATGAGGGATTGCTTCGATAGGTGCTGCCACTCCACCACCTCTTATTTGTAACGATGTTATATACTTTCCAAATCCACTTGCCAGAGCACCAAAAAACGATAGAAACTCTGGGTTGGTCATATGCACGTGTGAAAAGTAGAGACGTAGACTTGAAAGCGACTCTGATGCACGTAGTAATTGAAGAAATGATTGTGTATCAAAATGCAGCGATGCAATATACAATGAATACGATTTAATCTCTTGTAATAGATTGGTAATGGTCAACATTTCAAATATTGATTTATAACTTTCCAAATGATTGTTTAAATAGAATGAATAAAATTTAAATGACATTGAAACCAAAGAAGAAGAGGATGAAGAGGATGAAGATAGATTATGATTATTATTAATATTTTGATTGAGTAGAGATTTCATCATTTCAATGGTAGAATAGATATCTGTATTTTCACCACTATGTAACTTTACAAAACTTAGATGACATGTTGATTTGGTGATGACAAGAGACAAGATGGTTGAAAATCTGGAGTCTATAATAACATTTGGGTCATTGAAATGAATCGATACATGAGAGATGAGACTTTGTTTTGGTGATAATACACAATAGTCACTTGATAGATGATTGATTATATGTTGTGGTGATGAAAAGATGGATGTATTGATTCTAATCTTGCCAACTAGTCTACACACCAACTCGAACCATTGTCTACAAACTAATCCCAATGTTAACCTTGATTTAAATGATACTGTTGAACATCTCCATATTAATCTAATTATATTATATTGTATATTAATTGGTAAGTGATTAGAAGAAGTAGTATTCATAGATATAAAAAAAGATAAAGATAGTAAAATGTAATATAAAAAACAAATAAAATTTATTGTTCATCATTTTCAAAATCGACAATTTGATCAGTGGAAGATTTTACTTTTTTTTTTCTAATTCTTTTTTTCTTTAATTTATCATTATTACTATTATTATTTGTATTATCATCTTTTTCATTATCATTTTCATTTTGTTGTTTAGTTTCAATATATTTTTCTTTTTGATATTTTAAACTATCTTGATGTTTGTTTCCTTTGTTTATAAATCTTGAAAATTCTTTTTCTAAAAAATTAAATTAAATGTAATTAATAAATAAATAACTATTTGTTTGATTGATTTGTTGATTCTTACCAGAGATAATATCAGTTGATAAAATTTGACCATCAATATTGATAGATTGAGAGTGGATGATATTTTTTGCTTTTTCACGATCTTCAAATGATCTAAACTTGCAAATTGCATAACCATCACCTCTAATATAATCTAAAAAGATTGATTCAAAATATTTGTCTAAACTTTTCCATAAATATGGTTTGGAAGTTGTCAATGTTATATTTGTAATCTTTAATATTCTCTTGTCAATCTTTTGATTATCAATATCTACTGACATCGACGTCGATGATGTCGATGATGATGATGATTCAACTTTTTTTGTTTTTGTCTCTCCTTGTCCAAGATATAATGATTTTAATCTTGTCCATTCATTTTTTGAAATGGCTCTAAATCTATAAAATGGTTTGGTTTGATCTTGACTAGTATGTGAATCTGCAATACCAACCAATGCATTATTGGCGGACTCCTTGCTTGTAAATTCAATAAATGCAAACCCTTTTGGTGTACGATCAGGTAGTCTTGGTATACTCGTATAAACAATCTCTCCAAATGTTTTAAATATCTCTTTTATATTTTCAATTGTATCCTCTATCAATATTGGTTCCTTTCAAAAAAAGATTAGAATAAGTAATTTAAATCAAAAAAGAGAGATATATATATATATATTGGTAACTTACAATATAAATTGTTTTTAAATCAATTTCATTTAATACTTGTTGATTTACTTGGAATGGTATATTTCTTTTAATCATTGTCTCTTGTTGATTGACTGTTACTCCAGTTTCTTGTTCACCTTGTTGTTGTTTGAATAGATCATTTTGAAATACTTGTTTGATTGATTCATTGGTTACTTTTAATTCTTTCATCCTATTAAATGATAATAATTGATCAATTGATATCCCTAAAAGAAAGAGATTGATATATTAGTTTTCATTGTCAATTGTAAACAATCGATCAGTTTTTGTTTACATACATCCTTGATTACTATTTTCAACTAGTTTAGATAAGAATCTATCTTTATATAGGTTACTATCAGATAGATAGAATTGTAATTGTTTGATTATCTCTATTACTTTATCTTGTTCCATTATTGAATTGCAATAAATAATGAAGATCTTTTTTGAAAATATTTTTGAAGAATGAATGCTTGAAAAACTTTTAATTCTCATCAATACGATCATACGCGAAACAGATAATTATAGCAAACAGATAAATCATATCATACCATCTACTCATTACATCTAGATAGGAGTGCTTAACACAATACATACACAGGGGTGAAACAAGAAGGTAACTATAATTAGCGCGAGGTAGAGCGGTGAGGAGGTACATCAAAGCAAGGGCCTTTTGTGAGCATAGTGTCATACTACTCTGCTCCCAGCGAGTATTTAAACCCATGAATGTACTAACCCATGAATGTAAGATTATCTAATCCTCATATACAGATATCACATAGTTATATAGTAGTTACACCTCGCAGCAAAAAAAAACAACAAAAGGCTAGCTTTTCATCGTATCGATCGATGCACCTGTGGGTTATGAGCCCACCGCTCTACCACTGAGCTAAAAAGCTTTGCTATATATGGCTTGTGAGATATTTAAAAAACCGGGTATATATATACCCCCTTTGAAATGGGGCATGGCGTGGCAAGTGAGTCGGGAACGTAAAGGTCATAGGTTCGAATCCTGCCCTCGAACTTTACTTTTGGCGCCAACGTTTAACTTGACCACAATTGGGGGGATTGAGGAGAAAAACCATCCGACTCTAGGGATCTAGAGACAGGACACCCCCACGGAAGGATGACCGGGTTAGTTTCCCCTTCTCAGTAGGAGATTGGGTAGCCAGACTGCAACAAGTAACGGGAAGGTAGTGGAGGACCTACTGGGCCGTCGCGATAGAAAGCCATCTGACATCTCAAATACAATATGCAACACGTAAAGACGAGTGTCCACAATGGGGAGTAAATCGGCGCGAGAGTTGAGAGCGGCAGTCGGTCTTGGACGCACCCAAGGCTTAAGGTTTCACCGCAAGTATGGTACTAAAATTAGAAGAAGATGGGTGCCATATTTGCGTCAACACCTTCATCTTCTTCTATTCTCTCTTCATCTATCAATAATAATATTAATAATATAATAATTTACTAAATAATAATAACATAGAATAATTATATAACACAATATTACAGCCTATAGTGCTGAGAAAAAAAAAAAAAAAAAAAAAAAAAAAAAAAGCGATATCTTTAACCAATTTATTTTTAGAACAAGCAACAACCCAAAACAATCCAACATGCTTGACACTATACAATAAGATACATGATCAACGTCCATATAACATGTATCATAGACATGGACAACCCCCAGAACAAATTAACTTTAATTCTTCTCGAGATAATCTTTATTTCTTGCTGGTCAATTAAAATGTATAATTAATAAAACTTTGTAACTTCTGAGTACTACTCTTCCCGATAGGAGAGAACAGGAAAAGAATTACTTTAAAAAAAAAAAAATACCCCCTTTGAAATTTATTTTTAGAACAAGCAACAATCCAAAACAATCCAACATGCTTGACACTATACAAAAAGATACATGATCAACGTCCATACAACATGTATCATAGACATGGACAAACCCCCAGAACAAATTAACTTTAATTCTTCTTGAGATAATCTTTATTTCTTGCTGGTCAATTAAAAAGTATAATTAATAAAACTTTGTAACTTCTGAGTACTACTCTTCCCGATAGGAGAGAACAGGAAAAGAATTACTTTAAAAAAAATATACCCCCCTTTGACCCTACGACGTCAGCAGAGAGGTTGTACCCAAGCCAGCAATGGAACCAGACAAAAGAGGAAGAGTACCTCTCAAGCAAGTGTACCTCCAAAGGCTGGCCATAGCCAACGAAAAGTGGAATGTGTACGACCCGACACCAGGCCAAAAGATCCTAGCAACCGATGACAGAGTGTATCCAATGAATGCACTAGCTGCTCTCTCTACCATCGTACTACCAAAGGGTCGAGATCTGGTTTGGAAGTATGTAACCAAATGTCTCCCGCTCGTCAGGGGTGACCCAGTCGCTTCAATCTGTGTATCCTGTGGCAAAGATGAATCTTCCAAGCATTTGTTCTTCCAATGCAAAGAGACCACACTACCAGTAAAGATACTGAAAGAGGTTACTGCTGCCAACAACATTACACCACCAGTTTGGGATATCACCCTCCTCAACCTCAAACAACCTCCAATGACTATAAACTTGATTGCTGCAACACTCGAACGAATATGGTTCCGACGTAACGATCTACGTCACCAAAGAGATGAACCATTCACTGAACAATATCTGCGAGCTAGATTGCTAAATGATATGCGACATATTATAAAAGTAAACTGGGACAAGACGTTAGAATTATGTAATCGATGGCACTTGGCTCTAATGAACCAAACTGATGAATCAGTAATACATACGATTACAGAACGAATACAAACTATCATCCTTCGATTCTCCTCCAACTACAACCACCCTACTGTATACAAGATCGCACTACCTAGTAATTAACTTTAATTCTTCTTGAGAAAATCTTTATTTCTTGCTGGTCAATTAAAATGTATAATTAATAAAACTTTGTAACTTCTGAGTACTCTTCCCGATAGGAGAGAACAGGAAAAGAATTACTTTAAAAAAAAATATATACCCCCTTTTGCTATATATTTATATGGTCTGTGAGACCATGAAAAATCTGCGACTAAGAATGGTGAAAAAACCGGTCATATATACTAAAAGACTTGTTGATTTAAAATCCTTTGAATTCTTGTTGTTGAGGAGTTGGAGAGTCTAATAGAGACCCGTTGGTTTGTGGGTTGTCTGAATGTCTACTAATGCAATGACGTTGGTTGACTTTGCAATTGGTTCAACATAGATATTCCTTTTTCTAACCATTTATATAGATATATATATATCTATATAAACAACCAAACGTTGGCAATTTGTTCATAACCTTTTTCTTTATTATTTAATACTGTCTTATTTTGGTGGTTTGATTCAAATTGGAATTGGAGTTTGGGTTTAGTATCTTTTATTTTCAAAGTCATTTCAACAAATTGGTTTGTAGGGATAGAATACCTTACCTTTCATTTGCCTTCAATTAAATCTATATCCAATGATTTAAAAGATTTGATCTGTTGTATTGGTTATACTAGCTCCTCAAAGCAATTACTAGGCGAGCAATACAACAGATCAAATTCATCATCCCTTTTGTTTTCAATCACACGAGTAAGTATTATTCCCTCTTTTTTTTTATAAATAATAATTTATACAACCAAAACCAGATTTACTTACTTTCAAATTTATCATTTAACTTTTTTTCAATTTGAACAAAATGTTTTAAACCAAAAAAAATAAATAAATAAATAAAAAGCAACAATTAATATATATATATTTAACAATAGTTTTAATTTATTTATTTAGAGAGAGTATAAGATTTAACGGGTGATCCAAGTATCCAAAATTTAGGTCTGTTGGAAACTGTAGTTTTGCATAATTGACCATTATTGGAATTGTTTTGAATCATAATCATTGTTGGTGATTTGTTTTCTTTGTCTTTGTTGATGATGATGTTGTCATCTTTGTTGTCTTTGTTAGTTATCATAGTCTGAACGACTTGTGATTTGGTGATTGATTTCTTTTTTGGTTGTTCAATTGCAATGGGAACCTTTTTCACTTTTGGTTTAGATACCACTACTTGTTGATTTAAAATCTTTTGAATTCTAGTTGTAGGTTGGTTGTTGTTGGTGATTGAGTAGTCCTGTCATCGTCGTCGTTATTAATCCTTTGGATTCTGGTCATTGTTGTTGGTTTGTTTAAAGAGGTCGCTGTTGTTGTTGTTGTTGGTGATTGAATGGTGGTTTGAGAATTCTTGTTGATTTGTACAACTGGTGCTTTGCTGATTGAATCCGAATTTTTATTTTATATTTTTTTTTTTTTTGTTGCATCTATGATGATCAATCATATAATGCACAGATACAACAATAACAAGTCGATATTAATAATTATTATCCTGATTATTTTTTGACTCTTTTTTTTTGTTTTATTATTATTATTAAATAGAAGTTGTTTCTTCAAATTTACCACGTACTAAACATAGAACAGATGCAATGATAAGAATGACCGTATTAACAAGCATGCAACACCAACCAACATAAGGTGACGATTGATAATTTCCAGTGTTTACAAACTTGTAATTTGATTCGTCACATCCAAAGTTCATTTTTTCACAATCCCTAAAAAAATAGTATAGCATTAGTAGGTACCTAATATAGAATGGATAGATTTACTTGGGTGTGTAAAAATACTTACTTGTACATTGCATTTGGATATCCAATAAAAATCAATACTGACAAGAAACTAAACAAGACTGAAATGATTGGAAGGAATTTTGGTACCTTGTTGGCAAACGGAATCTTGGATAGAATATTAACCATTGAGAGAATAATAAACATCATCTCTACAATCAAAGTGATAAAGGTTAAAACACAAAAAGCAAATGATGCTCTTCCAAGTTGACCAGCCGCCATTGATTCTTTAAAAGAATTAAACTTGAAATAATATTTAACCTTGTAAGAATAGCCACCTCCTCCATATGAAGTACTAGCATTAACATAATACCAATTTGCTACAGAAAAAAAAAAAGAGTGAAAGGGAAATAAAATTCTTTAGAAATTTATTTCTTTCTTTTTTTATTAATATTCTTTTACGTACTTGCCATTGCAACAATATTAAGTATCCAAGCTATAAAGAATAATGCAAATAATAGAATAGTAATTTTTCTAACCATTGTGATTTTAAAAAATAGACTTTGAACAAAAACAGATCATCACATCAACCCTTACAACTCGAATGGAAAAAATTGAAAAAATTAAAAAAAACAGTCTAGGGGTATAACGAATTAATTGTATGTTGTTCCGATCTAACGAGGACTTTCTCGCTGAAAATAATTCAAAAAAAACTCATGTATGTTCGGGTAAATCCCAGAGTTTTCCAAAACTCGAGATTTACCAAAAAAAAATTACTTTGGATTTTGAGCATTGATTTCCTTTTTTTTTTTAATATGTACAAACAAAAGCTGCGCACATTAATGTCATACTTTTTAATTTTATTTAGAATTACTTTTATTATTATTCATAATAAAAGAAATGATTAAATTTGCATACCAAGCACGATCGATATTTGAGCGATCAGCCATTTCTACACCAGCCTCAATGACATCATCTGGAATCAAACCTCTTCTACCTAGAATAATATCCTTGATGAGAGGACCAGTATATTCAGGGTGACCTTGAAAAGTGATAAAGTTGTCACCTATCGAACCATGATTGGAACATTGATCACTATGAGCAAAACATTTCAACGCTAGAGGTGTCGTACTAACCAATTGTTTGTTTGAACAAATGATATCCAAATTTCTACCAATTGAATCTAATCCTCCAAATGGTTTAAATACAGAGTTATCATATGGCTTTAGTACATCTTTGTCTATATTGATAGCATGTTGTGATACACTCCATCCTTTTGGATTATCACTTATCTTTCCTCCCAATACTGATGATATTGCCTACAAAAAAAAACATAGAAATAAATAAATAAATAATCTAGATTCATTTCTATTTCTTTCTTTATCATTTCTTACTTACTTGATGACCATAACATACTCCAACAGTATTAATAGACTTTTGATGTAATAGTTTAATTGTATCTTTTAAACGATTAGTCCAATCATTATCATCATTGACAGATGATCTACTACCAGAAATGATGAAACCACTGTACAATTGTTTATCTACTATATCAGAGTGACTTGGGAATTGATTCTCTTCTTTACATTCAAATACATTCAATTCCCAATTTGGATTGATTGTATTGAGTGACAACAAATTTCTAAATTGTACATCTATATCTCCATATTTTGATCTAATCTCTGGTATAAATCTATCACACTTTAATAATCCTATTCTTAATTTATTCATCTCTCTCTAAACAAACAATTAAAATAATGGATGTTCAAAAAAGAATTCATTTTTTGTAATTTTTTCAATGTGATCATTATTTCGATTCTATGACGATTTTTTAAAAGAGATAGATAGAGGTAGAGAGAGAGAGATACAATATAATATATATATATAAAGATTTGATTGTGGAATGAAATTAACAGCAGATCTTATAATAAGAGCACCAGATTCTTTTAATCCATGTCAAGATCGTGAATTGAATCTTAGAGGTATGTAATACAACAAATAAACAAACTACTATAGTAGTCTCTTTTTCTTTTTCGTTTATTCTGATATGATATTCTATCTATATCTCTATCTATATACATATACATATACAGCAATAATATAAATTGACTATGACTAAACATGCTCTTTCTCTTTTCATTTAGGAAATAAGATATCAGTATTAGAGAATTTAGGAGCAACAAAAGATCAATTTGATACTATTGACTTTTCAGACAATGAAATAACACGTCTTGAAAACATGCCACAAATGAAGAGATTAAAGACTCTGTTGTTTAACAATAATCATATCAACAAAATAGCAGATGACTTTGGAGAATCACTCGTCAACCTTCATACACTCATACTGACCAACAACCGTATCACCAATCTTGCAGACCTTGATGCTCTTGCAAACTTTCCAGCTCTCAAATACATCTCTCTACTCGATAATGTCTGTACAAAGAAACAAAACTATAGATTATACCTCGTATACATTTTACCAAGATTAAAAGTAATCGATTTTAAAAAGATCTCTCAAGAGGAACGAGATCGTTCCAAAGAAATATATGGACCTTCTAAAATAGTAAAGGAAAAATTACAAAAATTAAAAGATCAACAACTTAAACAAAAAACTTTTGAACCTGGTGAAGGTTTAAAAAATTTAAATAATAATAATAATAATAATAATAATAATGGTAATGGAAATGGAAATACAAAAAAATAAATAATAATAATAATAATATTATAGAATATATATTTTATTTTTTGTTTTGATTTAATTTTTGATTTTAGATTTCCCAAAGATTAATATTACCATTATGAGAACCAGTTAGGATATTAGTTTTAGAGGTTTCACGATTAATAGATACGTTGATTGAAATGACAGATTCATCAGAGACTGATGATAAATCTCTCAATTCAGTACCAGTTGCCAGAGACCAAATTCTAATACCACGTTCACAACCAAAAACCATACTAGTACCATCGGTTTCAAAACAATTGATTTGATCATTGACAGTGCCAGAAAAGATTTCCGAACCTTCAATACCGATCAATTTAATGGAACCATCGATACAAGAAATGACAATTCTCTTTCCATCTGGTGTAAAACGTACACAAGTGATTGGGTCGTGATAGATGCGCATACTGCGCAACAATGAAAGTTGACCTAGGTCATAGAAAAATAAGTGACCATCTTCTGATCCAGCAACACAAATCGATCCATTTGGTGAAATATCAATCGATCGAATCTCTGATTCACTATCTATAAAATCGGCAATAGGTACACTTTCAATACCAAATCCTCCACCAATACCTCCAAATCGATTACATCTCCATACTTTGATTGTACTATCCCAACTACCAGATACCAATATATTATCATGTAATTTTAAACATGAAATTGCATCATCATGTGCTATCAATGTATCTGATATACTACCATTATCAACTGTATAAATATATCTTAAAATAATAAAAGAAAAGAGTCAATTATTGCTATTTTTTGTTTTTTTTTTTGTTTTCTATTCTCTTACATATTATTATCCCAAGAACCAATAACAATATGTTTTTCATCATTTGAAAGTTGACAACTTGATAATGCCAATTCACAAACATTGAGTGATCTTAATTGTTTTTTATCCTTTAATGAATAAATCTTTAATGATGCATCTTGTGAAACTGAATAAATAATATCACTATTATTTGATAAATATAATGATGATACTTTACTATAAAGGTAAAAAAAAAAAAAAATTAAATTAATTAATCATATATAATATATATATATTTGTTTGACTCTTTTCTTACTCTCTGTGATTTTTAAAAGAATTCTTTAACTGTAAATTTGCAATTGATCCCCAACTATTATTTGAATCTTCTTGGTTATTATTATTATTAGTAGTGTTGTTATTATTATTATTATTATTAGAGTTATTAGTACTATTATTATTATTATTATTTTCTTTAATATTTAAATTATCAAAATCATTTTCTATACTATTATTATTATTATTATCAATGATTAAATTATAATTTCTTTGAACAAGAGGTAATCTTTGAGGATGAGGAGTTTTAAATAATTGACGAGGAGTTTGACCAAATTCATTGATTTGAGCTTCAAGACTTTGACGTTCAAATGGATTAGTGATGGCATCAATGTTGACACTTCCTTCATAGGTTAGATGATAAAAGAGATTGTTGGCTTGAACTGCTTCTTCACCTTGTTGTTTGTAACCGAAAATGAGGTCAATCCAATGATGAAGATTTTGAGAGACATATTCACTTTCCAAAGCATTACGAAGTGTTGAAACAAACTCTGACGATGTTTTTGCCCATGGTGGGAGTATGACATCTCCCAAACGTTTTCCATCTTGTCTTATACCCAAATCCAAACGTTGATCATTTGCCAAAAAGCCACCTTGATTGTCTGGTTCATAAAACTCTGGAATCAACTCTTTTACATCGGATGAAGAGTTTGTTACACTGTGCCAAGTCTCTTGAATCGAATGAAACATACGAGAGGGTGCATCAAAACGACCATTTTGAAGACGAAGCATAAATTCGGGTACTTGACGAACAAGATAGTACAATACATAGGCTGGTGTAGAGTAATGTGTGCCATAGAGGAATCGTGGTTCATCGGTTGGCATTTGAGCATAACGTTCTTGTAGTGTTGCTAGACGAGTTGGGTTGAGTGCTCCAATCGGCCTAGACAAGTCACGATAGACTGCCGGATTGCCTAGATCGATTGTCTGACTTGTATAATCTGACAAAACCCATGGAAACACTGGGTATTGTGTTAGATCGCTATAGGTTCTACCTGCTGCACTATTCAAATAGATTAAATATTCATAATTGGATATAATCCCATTTTGCCATTTCAACAAATAATTTTTTTGTTCCAAATTTACATTTAAAACATTTTTACATAATTCCATTGTTAATAATCTATAAACTTCATCTCTATTATTTAAACTAAGAAAAATAAAAAGAAATATTAATAAAAAGTAATTAAATATAATATTATTATTTTTCCTACTATACTTTTTAAAAGTAAAAAATAAACTACTAGATTCATCATTAAAGAATAATTCCAAACCAATTTCTCTTAGACCATGACGACGCTTTAGTACTTTTGTAATTGAATCCAAATTAAAATGATTGATTCTTTGTGCTTCGATATTGTTCATTGGTTGGAAATAAAGTCTGACATTGGTGATGAATAGTCTGCCTGGATTCTCTACGAGTGGAGTAATCTTGCAACATTTGATTTCAATCCTATTTCTCTCATTGATATCAACCAGCAGACTTAGATCAAATTGTAATCTATTCTCTCGATCTTCAATTAAACTTTTGATCAACATGTCATGTTCCATACGATCCTTTTTCGAATATAAAAAGAATACTTTCATATTACCAAGTATTAATGGTAAACTAACATAATTTAATGAAAATTTAAACATTGACTTATTTAACTAAAATAGAAAAAAATATAATAAGTATATTTATAACTTTTTCTATTTCTTCTTTTTCTTCTTTTTTATACCTTTTTAAAAGAATAAGGAGAATTAACATCATTATCTTTCATTTCAACGACTTGATTTGTTTGAATGTAGAATATTTCTGCTTTTGATGCCAATAATGACGATGATTGTGAAGTATTTGAAACGACTCTTCTTGCAAATGGATGTGATGATTGTTGTGGTTGTACTTGTAGTTCTGATAATTCTCCAATGGCCAACATCTCTTTAAATGGAAATCTCATTATAGGTAATCCAATATCATCGGGTTCAAAGAATATTGAACTTGAACATACTAATATTCTACCTTTTGTTCTCCTAAAAGTAATCAAAAAAAGAAAAAGTCAACTAATCTATTTGCTTTAAGCTGTACTACACTTTAGTTTGTTTAACATACTTTGCCCAAGATTCATCTTCAGTATCTGCTTGTGGATAGTATGATGCACTATAATCATCAAAGTAATATTCACCCTCATCCATGAGAATGAGGTTAAACCTAAACTTTTGTTTATTACTTTGATACATTCCTCGACTATGACTATCTTCTTCCTCTACAATATTACTATTATTACTACTATTACTACTTCTACTACTATTACTTATGTGTGTGATATTATTATAACCCAAAAGAAAGAGATGAACCTTAAACTAAACTAGTTAAATAGATGAATGAAGTTTCAAACTAGTTGAGAACATTCAAAAAAAAGCAGAATAAAAAAAACAAATATAAAAAGATGATTTTTGTTCTTTGACACAAAAGACACAAGAATAAAAGAAAGAGAGATAGAAAGAAAGAAAGAAAGAAAGAGATAAGATAGATAGAAATAACAACTGAAAAGAGAGAGAGAGAGAAGATAGACAATTAACAGCACTGCATATTTATATAAACATATATCAACACAACAAACTGTTCATTCATTCAAAAAAAACAAAGAGAAAGACGACTTGAAAAAATAGACCTATCTGTTGTGATCTACAACAACCAACCAACCAACCAACCAACCAACAATATATACATAGAAATGATTGACTACACTTCAGAGTTGGTAAGTAATACAATAGAAGAGAGAGAGAGAAATAGAGATAACAAAAAAGATGACATATATATTTATGACAGATATTAATTATATTCTACATTACAATTAACCTCTACGCACATTCGTATCTCTCAATTGTTGTTGTTGATGATGTTGTTGGTCTATACTACTTTATAAAATCGGTCGTGTAATATAGAGTCAGCTGAATCGAGAAGCCGAGTTTGATCATTTTCAACAACAGATCTTATATCAAAAGACAGGAAAAAGGTAAGAAAACATTCTTGCTTTTCTTTTTAAATTTTAGAAAAGAGAACACCAACCAACCCTCGCGAGACACAAACATACGATTGTGTTTATCTTTTATTAATACATATTCATCCATACCATACTACTATTTATTTATTTATTTATTTATATATAAATAGTTTTACACCTGGACCTTATAAAGCTTGGACATTAGAAGAACATAAAAAGTTTCATGAAGTAAGTTACTCTGCTCTACTCTGAACACACAACATGGAAACATAGAAGAGAGAGAAGGGATCGAGGGGTACCTCAGTCTTTCTTTGTGACATCATCAAAGAAAAAAAAGAAAATATCTTTACGATTCAATGTTCATTCCAACTATTTTTGGTCGTTCCTTTTTTCGCTGAATTGTCAATGTTGTTGTTTCCCTCAGTGTTTATTAATACTCTCTATTGTTTGTTATTATTATCTCTCTCTTTCTTCTTATTCCATTAGGCAATTAAAAAATTTGAAGTTACAGATCATCATTCCATATCCACATACATTGGATCAAGAAACAACGAACAAGTAGATTCACATCTTCGTATCTATCGAAACTATTGCAACAAACAGTATCCATCGGCCACGGCGATACCAACAACTATCAGCGCCGTCCCTATTATAACACTACCATCGGCGGCCAGTACTACGACTACTATAGTAGTTTCAACTCCATCGACTACACCAGTCCCATCAACTCCATCTACACCAACTACAGTAACTTCACCACTCATCACACCAGTATCGCCACTAACAAACACTAGCAATACTTTTCTATCAAACATCACCAACAACCTTTTCAAAAATCTTATTGATCAACTTGACAAGGAACCAAATATCAATCAAAACATGGCAAGAGGAAAAGCATCAACTTCTGCAACTGCAACCGCTGGAACTGCTGGAGCAAACAAGATTAGTCTACATCTTGCTTCACATGCCATTCCAGTTTCAATGGTACCTCCTCAAATAAATGCTACTGCATCAAATAACAAAACCTCTACGGCCACGTCAACAACGACGACGACGACTACAAATTCTGGAAGAAAAAACAAGAACTCATTAAATACCAATCTAGTTAATGACTCTAAACTAAAAAAGAATCAAAAACTTCTAAGTGAACCATGGACTGACGATGATCAAAAGAAACTATCGGATGCACTTGCCAAATATCCATCCTCTCGTTATAGTAGTGTATCAAGATGGCAAGTAATCTCTAAAGAATTGGGTATCTCTCCAAAAACTGTTGCTCTTAGATATAATCAAATGTTAATTGTATGTAGATAAAAATAATAATATCTTTATTTAAATAATTTATATTCATTTATTATTTTTTCAAAATTTTGTAGAATTTATATCCAAAACAAGAAGAAAGTGAAAATGATGAAGAAGATGAAGATACACCACCACCACCATCAACAGGAAAGAGAAAGTCATCTGCTAAAAAGGCAGCAACAACAAGATCAACTAAAAGAGGAAAAAAAGGACAAGAAGATACACAATCATCATCAGATCTAGATCTAAACTCCTCCAGTGATGGTGGATTACCTCCACCTCCAATGGTATTTTCACCTCTTCCTCCATCTACACCTTTATTGGAACAACCAAAAAGAGAACCAACTATTCACCATCTCAACTTTGACCCAATCAAAGCAGACTCGTTATTACAACGAAATACACATCTTATCGATCAGATTAGAAATGATATCATTTATACTGGTTCAACTAAAATCGATTTATTGAATCAATATAAAAATAATATAAATGAAGCTCTTAAATGTACAATGATTTGGTCTGACAATAGTCAAGAAATGCCTCCTCTTCCTGTTAAAATTAATGATATGATCATTGGTTTAATGGGAATGAAATCAAATTTAAATAATCAAAATAATAATAATAATGATCAAAATAATCAAAATAATCAAAATAATAATAATAATAATCATTCTTTGGATGGTAGTGGTAATAATAATTTTTCATCTTTATCAACTTCATCATCAAGTGGAAAATGGAGTGATCTACCAAAAGTAGCCAATGAATGGTTCTTACCATTGGAAGAAGATTCGACGACTTTATAAGTCTATATTAAAAAGATAGATATATATAATAAATCATTGTAAATAACTAAAAATATTCTAAATCATTTATATTTAATAAGTATAAATATTTTTGGGTGGTTTGGAGTAATTCAAATTATTATTATTATTTATTTGGTATGTACAACGAGTCATGCCAAATCTATTTAGTGTAGTATTATTTTTTAAAATCATTCTCTCCCCACAGATCAATAGATCGAGCAGATGGAAATTATTGACTCGCGAGAGCGAGGACGAAACAAACAAATAAAGACAACATTGTCATCAGATGACCATTACAATGACAATGAATTGAATATTCACAAATAATATTATGAAAAGGGTATAAATAATGAAAACTAAACATGTTTTAAAAATCAAATCAAATGATTTAATTCAACAATTAAAACAATTTAATAATCAACAAACCAACAATGAAATCAATTATTCTATTATGTTCAATGCTTCTTTGCATTTCATTTGTAGCAGCTAGTTATCCAGCCTACCCAGTTTCAATTCAACACAAATTAATTGGAACATGGCAAGATGGATCAAGAGGTCAAACGTATTCACAATACGATATTGTATTGAGCAACCACGGTAACAAGAACATCAAACAAATTGTCATTGGTACTGATGCCACATGTAGACTCAGAGACAACAACTCTATCTGGAATGTCAAGGTTGTTGATGGTCCATCATTTATCGATTTCCTCATCCTTCCATCGTACCAAGATATCAATGCTGGTGCCTCTTACACTTTTGGTTACATTATCCATGGTTCATCACCTGCCAATCTCTTTGTCAAGAATGTTATCTATGCTTAAATTAAATGCATCACAAAACAAAACAAATCAAAATGAATAAACTTTGGTGTGGGATAATTTTGAGTTCTTTATCACTCTTTTCATTCAACTCCTCCATTTATCTATCTTTGTCTTGTGAGAAATACAAATACAGGATTATTTTAATATTATACATATAATTAATAATTGGGTGGGCATTATATTGAAATGGTGGCAAACAGTTTTGGGATAAACATTAAATATAATTTTGATTGATGGAAAAAAAAAATGAATTTAAACCCATCCCCCATCTTAAAACCTATTTATAGATTAATTGAAACCATGCTCTGGATAGATACAATGACTGCTAGATACAGGTATAGGGAATGTGAACCATTTGACGAAAAAGTACTGGATAATTATCCTACCAACAACTACCAACATCAAAACGAATGAATTGAAATCAAATAGAATAAATCATCAATGCTAAAAAAATTTTCAAACCTCGAAATCTAGATTTCATTCACTTCTTTAATAATATTATTCGAATAATAATAATAATAATATGAATGATACAACAGATAAAACAAAAGATGAAATAGGAAGTTTTATTAGATTAGTTAAAATATCAGATTTAATCATACTTGATATTATTAGTTTTATAGATAATAATGTAGATGTCATATGTTTATTGTTGACTTGTAAATCATTGTATAATGGTATACGATTAAAGATTGAAAATATATGTAAAGAGTTTAATCAAGAGAATAAGAATAATAATATTAATAATGAAAGAGATAAATATCAGCTTTATCATCCACTTCCTCCTCCTCATCTATTGACATTATTTAAAAATGTTAAATCAGTATCACTTCGACCGACACCAAACATAGATTATGATCTCGCTCATAATTGTTTACGATCATTTGTCAATATTCACAACACTGGTATATTTCTATCGACCAGAAAGTTTAAAATAGTCAATGATTATAATTTAAACGAGGTGGTTGAACAGTGCAAGATACCAGACTATGTCGAGACAATGGTTTTACAATGTGCCGCTGAAATCGACACCAAGTATATTACTCCGAGCGTGAAAAGTATGGGGATCAATATGATCATCAAGCCCAACTCTTTCCCAACGATCAAGGTGTGGCCACCATCGATTACATCATTGGCAATTGGAGAATATACAACCTATGGAAAGGAAGACTTTTTTAAAAAGATCGCACCTACATTACTCAAGCTCAAGATTAGAAACTGTCCACCTAAACTCGATATTAGACATCTAAAGTCGTTGGTCAGTCTCGAGGTATCTCACAACCCACTTGCTGGTATGATCAACTTTAGTAAAAGGGTGGGACCCAGCAGTATCGGTGATATCCTCATCCCCAAGACCAAGACGATGAAGAAGCTCACTATAGGAGGTCTCGATGGCATAACCACCGGTTTTCTCCCTCCCAACCTTGAAAAGCTTACCATCTCTCACCAAACCAAGACATTTAAATTACCATCAACGTTGACGTACCTGGATATTGGATATAGTCCCATCCTTGTCCCTAACACTGGGTTCATACCATCGTCGGTCAGAGAGCTTCACATTACCTTTCCAAAAGATACCGATCTCTTGGAACCTGGTGTCGTTCCAAATGGTGTTGAACGACTTTTATTGAATCAATACTATGGTCCAATCGATTCATCCATTCCCGATACTGTTACAGATCTTTCTGTTCGTTGGCGTGTTATTGAAGAAGAAGATGATGATGATGAAGAAGATGAAGAAGATGAAGAGGAACAAGAAGAAGATGATAATGACCAAGAAAACAATACATAGCACATCTACCAACAACAATAACAACAATAATAATAATAATAATAATAATAATAATAATAATGATGAAGAACCAACAATCGAGGAAATAGAAGAAGAAATGGAAGAAGAATTGAAAGAGAAAGAGGAAGAGGAAGAAGAAAGATTAATTATTTTCCCAGTTAATTTACAAAGATTACAATTTTCAATACCTATACCCAGACACATCACTCAACAAATCCCACCTACTCTAACTTCACTTGTTCACATCTTTTCATTTAATCAACCAATCGTCTACATTCCAACATCATTGACTAGTTTTACATTGAAAATGGACAACAACCCTTTAATTTCTCCCTATCCAACAAGATGCACCACCAAACTTGAAATAATCAATAATAATCAAGACAAACATCAACAACTATACGACAACAAACAACTACTCCTTCCCTACAGTTTGACTACATTGGAATGTAATTCATACGACTATGATAAACATGGTAAAGGTAGTATTCGATTGGATCAAATCATCTACCATACAAATGTAAGACATCTCAAAGTCGGTCGCTGGGAATTTGAAATTAGAAAAGATTTGGATAGCAATGCTAATAATGGTAGCTTTATGTTGATTGAAAGATCTTCTCTTGAAGGAGGAGTGGTAACAGTTGTTGGAAGAAATCAATCAAAACAGAAGATCTATCTTAATTTCGATCGATTCGATGAGAGTATATATGTTCAAAAGTTATCAATCACTTTTGACTCTCCAACCTATGAAATAGTTGAGTCAATCTATTGATTACGATGATGAAGATTGGGAAGATAATTTGGAAGATTGGGGAGAAGATGAAGATGAAGATGAAGATGACGATTAGGAATTTTATCAGGTTGTGAATGCTTAAATTAAATCAAATTATATAATATTGCCCCGAACCTATGACCCTCTTATCAATAAACAATTAAACAATTAAAAATGATAAAACATATTTGGAACTTTGAAAAGATGATGACCACAACGAGGTACAGTCATCTCTTGAATAACTTTCATAACAATTTCTATTTGGGATTAATTGTAATAAAAGATCGATTAAAGGTTTATCATCACACTCTGATAACAATAAATAAATAAATAATTATCTCTTTTTTTTTTATACATCAAGATAATTTCATGGTCGTTCTTAGTTGGTGAAGTGATTTGTCAGGTCAATTCGGGACACCAATATCGTCGACCTGCTGGTCTATAAACGAACCAAGATATTTATCATAATGTTTGTTTTCTTTCATTTCTTTATCAAACTTTGAAAAAATCTTTATATTGTTTTTAGTTTGATAAAGATAGATAAATAGATAAATAGATAAATAGATAAATACAATGATGAACAGAATAATTTCAAAAATCATATTCATTTCGATGATTTTAGTAGTAGTTTCATCGTCGACTAGTTATATTGCAACAAATAATTATATTTCACAGAATTGTCAAGGTGATTCATTTACAACAACTTATAATTTGGATGGTGCTTGTTTTGATGGTACTATTCTAACTTGTGAAAATAATCAAGTTTCAATATATACCTATGGTGATTTAGCTTGTACTGGTACACCATACCAAGTACAAATCAACTCAACAGGTGAATGTGGAATCGTATCCAACTTCCCATCTGGTATTTACCAATGTGTTGATGACTTTGAAATCCCAACTGAACCAGCTCTTATCACTCTCACCTACAATGGTACTTGTCAAGATAATTGGAAAGAGGAACCAGTCATCTTTATGGTGGCCACCAAGATTGACTATTGTTTCCCAGTTAATGGAAATCCAAACGTCTCTTATAAACTTACTTGTGACGCTGCTACCCAATCCAACTTTACAATGGTTGAATATTTTGATGCCACATGTCTTGGTAACTCAAATCCAATCAATATTCCATACGCACCAATTTGTGGTGATATAATGTCATCAATCTTAATTTGTAATAATTAAATTAAAGAAATCAAATTAGTTAATAAATAAATACATATAGATAGATGTAATAATACAATTTATATAGTTTACGATTTATTTTTAATCTTCTAAAAGAAGTGAAGGTTTAAAATAGAAACGGAGTGGTTTATCATCGAAAGCACCAACACAAAATCTCTTAATTAATGATTTTGATTGATTAAAATATCGGTGTTGATGGTGATTCTTTGCCAATGTTTCATCAATTATTAAATATTCGATCGTATCACTCTCCAAGAATGAATCAAATATATCTGATGTAAATTCATTTTCTGCAATGTTTAATACTTTGATTAATTGGTTTTGTTTGAATGCCTTGTCCAACTCTGCACTATGCTCTAAATAGTTTTGACTGATATCGAGTGCTTTGATTGTATGATTCGTAATTAATAATTGAGAGAATGATGGAATGTATTCTTTAACCAATGTACCATCTGTCAATATTAATGTTGTAATGTGTTGGTTGTGACACAAAGTATTGAAAAATTGTGGTGAAATGATCTTTGGAAGCTTTGATAGGCCTAAAAGTTTAATGCTTTTGTTTGTTTCCCAAATTGGTACAAATCGAGATGATAATCTTTCCAATGAAACTATTACTTCTTCTTCCTCTTCTTCTTCTAGTTCTCCACTTTTGCTGCCACTTTTTCTTTGGTCTGCCCTCCACTTTTTTTCACTCTCTTTTCTTTCTTTGTTTGACTTGTTAAACATGGGGTGTTCACCATGTGGACCTTCCAACCAAAGTTTTTTCATTGTTGAATTGGTGCCGAGATTGGAACATAACTCATTCCAATCCTCCAAAGTATCTCTGATGTCTAGGTCGCCACAACCACAAAATCCACATCCATGGTATCGGTCAGCCCAACTACTCTCCCTCCCTCTTCCTCCTACATTGTATTTACTGGCAACGTCGTGTACCGGTTGTTCCTTTTCGATAGGACATGTAATGATACCAACTTTGAGAGATTGAATATTAAATGAATCGTCGCCGTCGCCGCAGCCGCCGCCACCACCAACATATTCTTTTAGATGTGACAATTCAACAAAATCATATGCAATGTTGATGTGTTGAGCTGTCGTGAGATGTTGGAATAAAGGTGGATGATCGAAATGGATAACTCCACCATCATGACCACCTTCATCAAATCCCAGATTGACATGGTTTGGTTGAAGATCGTCAAGCATTTGATGAAAATCTTTGGTGTCATCGTAATATTCATAGCTCGTGTGAGAGACGATAGTGTTTGGTTTCAATCCTTTAAAAGAAACATTATCAGGCCATTCAAAGTCATTTTCACCGGATATAATCAACTTTAGATTGACTTGGATGTGTGGGAATGCATTGATTACTTGTATGATGGCTTGTGAAGCTTGCATGTTTATATTCTTTCCAACAATATCGATTGTTTTGAGGTGTGGCAATAGAAGAGGTAATCTTGAATAGTCAAACTCTTTAAAGTTTAGGGGTGGTCGATTTCCCCATTTTTCAACCACAACATTCCAATAGAGGTACTCTACACTACCACCACTACTACTATCATTTGCTGAAAAGCTTGATTCTTTCATTGGACCAACTATGTGTACACTTGATGATGCTATTTGTTTGGTCACTTGCATCCACCATTTAGACACTAACGCAATATTGCCTAGTGTATTAAATGATGATGATGATGATGAACCGGCACTACTTCGACTCGTACTCTCTTTAGGTCTTTTGTTAAACATTAGATGTGATACTTGTTGGTGTGTTACCCACTGAAATCCATGGTAAAGTTCAACATGTTTGATATCATATTGACCATGTACCAACAAGTCAATAATCATAGCTTGAATGTATTTTGATAGTACACAAACACCACCATCACCACTATCCAATGATGATGGTTGTTGTATAACGACACCTTCATCATCATTTTCATCTTTTGCAATGTTCATGTTTGTCTTTCTTGGGTGGATGATTATTATTTGTTTAGTGAAGTGAAGTGAAATTTCTGTGTTACTAAAGTAACATGTAGACCTTTTACTCGAAACTAACAGCTGTTAAATCGGGGTACCAAGAACTTGCGATTCTTAATAAAAAAAATTTGTATGGCTTCCTTTTGAAATTGATCTCGTGTGCCTCATTTGTTTGAAAGACCAAGTATGGAGGAACCATCAGAAGATTTCATAGAGATAGTTGTTATTTTAGCAAAAGAAGAAGAACAGAACCGACTGATACCTTCATATGATAGACCTCGGTCACTTGCAAAACAACGATTTAAACAATGTGCTAGCACTGATAAAGTAGCACTCGTATCATGGCTACTCTTTTTAATGATAAAGGGTACTTATCCCACTGTAAGTATTATAGATTTGATCAATATACATATTACATATATATATAGAACTAATAATATTATCTTTATTATAAAGATTCAAGATAAAGCAATACGATTACTTGATCGATTGATACGAAAAGGAGGAAAAGAGTTTATCGTATCATTGCCACAACCAATAGTTCAAGCTATCAACGTTGAAACTCAAGAGTTGCTTAGCAGTTGTAAGGAGCAGAGCTGTACTGATAATTTTGTATATTATTCATTTGATATCATGCAAGCACTCTCACAAAATCAAGGCGATCAAGAAGAAGAAGAAGAATACGCATTTATCTCCAAGTTACTGTCAATACTCTCAAAATGGGATGTGGTTGCACCCCCCCAAGTCCTCATTAAATGCATTATAGACCGTCTGCGGAGGGCTCGCTATAATCGGTTGTGGACACGACATGCCATCGATACGTATTAGAAAGACATGGCGGCAACAAAGAGTTTCCATCCAAAAAAATATTTGACCTTTTGTTGTATGTGGCCACAAAGTCTCCCCGTTATGCATTTAACTATACCGATAACCACATTGAAAGAATCATTAGGCTTACACAAGTCAAGGATTGTGGGTCACCAGAGGAGGAGGAGGAGTGGTCAAAGAACAACTCCAAGATTGACATTGACAATGTCAACTTTTACTCATACAAATTTCCAAAAAAAATTCAACAAACCAATCAATGGTTACAATGAAGAAAATTACAACGATGATGACAACCAAGACGAATACGACGACGACGATGATGAAGAAGATAGTGATAGTGATAGTGATAGTGATAAAGGTATGGTTGAAAAAAAAAACAAATATTATTATATATTTTTAATTATTTACCTTTAATTATTTATTTATTCAGATTCTGATGATGAAAATAAGAAGAAGAAAAGAAAAACTAGAGACGATGATGATGATGATGATGATGATAATGATATGTACGAGGAGAAAGGAGACATTCAAACTTATTCAATATTTCAACAATTTGCCAAAGTATGTGGTAAACATTTTGAAGGACCAATTTTCAAACAATTCAACTCCCTGTCCAACAACAACAACAACAATTCTAAAAAAAGCTATCTCGCTTTGATGAGCTTTTCTCAATCTTGTAGATCCAACAAATTCATTCGTAATAGTATTACAAAACAATTTCCAACTATTTTAAAGTAAGTCAATATTCGATCGTTTATCCTTTTATTTATAGTTTTATTAATATTTAATAAATTTTTTAGATTGGTATTAAAATTTATAGATGATGAAAATATAAGAGTTAGATGGGCATCATTACAATGTTTAATTCAATTATCACTATTTAGAGTATTGATGATTGATGAACAACTCTTTGCTGATGCTGCCCTTGGAAAATCAATTCATGATCCAAATGAATGCATCCAAAGTCGTTATTGTATATTGGTTAAAATCATGACCACACGACCAATGATGTCTGCAATTGGTTTGGATGGGTTATTTAATTGGTTTGAAATACTACTTGGATCATCAATACTAAATGTTGTTGAAAATACATTTTTATCATTGATATCAGTTATAGAAACAACTCATTGGCAATCTCAACCATCAGGATTTAAACCTGTAAGTAAAAAAAACAAATATATAATAATCATTTTTATTTTTAATTAAAATATTTAATATTAATATATTTTATTTGTTTTTAGTATTATGACAAAATTGTACCCATTTTATTTTCATTGTTGGGGAAATATATTGAACAGGAAAAAGAATCAAAAGTATTAACTTATGTAATCAAGACATTTGCAATGTGTGGAACAGCGCTGGTTGACGTGAAAAAGACTTTGTTTTCAAAAGATTTGTACAAGTTTATGGTGTTTGTCAAAAAGAATGAAACCAAGTCTTTTGATCTGGTCGTCCAACTTTTCAACCAAACCGATTCATTTATTAAATCGATTGGCAAGTCATTTGCAATGTATTTACCAATGGTCGTCAAGATGATTGCAAATATACTAGAAAGACCATTACCCAATCGAGGCAGAGATGTGACTCCACACCTCAAGAAAGCAATGCCAACACTCAAAGGATTGAGAACCATCATGATGAATGGATCGGTATATGAACCATTGGCGCCATTTGTTGTGCATAGTTTGGTTGGTCCACTGCTTAAATTGGCAATTCATCCTTGGTTTCAAATTGATTCGCTTCACTGTTTACTTGGTTGTCTTGCACTGTCTAAACTGCATTTTGGTGTGCGCAGCGAAAAGACACTCGAACTATTTGCCAAGATATACGATTCAGTGCTATGTATAGGGCCAGAGAGAGAGATCGCAGACCGCATCACCATAGCGACATGCCTCATCAAAACGATGGAAACCGATGCGATGAGTATTGATCAAGTGCAAGCTACCTTGGACGTATTTTGCAAGGTCGAGAAATTGGAGCAGCAGTCTGGAACATTTAGCGACAACAGCTTGTTTGAAGGGGTGCTCGAGATGATTAGCCAGATGATCGAATTAAACAGTGTCGTCGCATCACCCCTCATCGCTTCTAATATATTGGACACTTTGTGTAAAAAGCTCCTTTGCACTACAAATCGGAGAGCCAAGAAGGTCATCATCGTCTTTATGAACCAATACTGCATGTTTGGTGGTGATGTTGCTGTCGACACATTTCCACAGATCATACCAACATTGATCCAGTGTCTGACACAATCCGATGACATCGACAATGTTATCAGATACACAGCTTCATTTGCACTTGCAACGGCAGCACAGTTTTCCAAGGATAGATTCGTACCTTGGGTCACGGACGTGTTACAAGCCTTTGACCCCATAATGTCTGTTCCAAAAACGCCGTTTTGTATACACGGTTTGGAGGAACTTCCCATCTCGAGTATCGGTAGAATCATCCGATATGTTCCACTGGCCACCAGCCAACTGCTAGCAGTCATTCCAAAATGGATAAATAATCTACTCGTCACAGAATTCCGTGGAATGGGTTTCGTTGATAATTTTTGTGCCATTATCCGTCTATACACCAACGAATGTTTAGGTAAAGAGTACCAACACGTTGCCAAGCTACACAATATCATCGATCACTATTTATATCATCAATCTTTTTCAAATCGACCTCAATCTCCAGAGTTAGTTGAAATCTGGTTTTTTATCAAAGAATCATTTGAAAAGAATTGGGATAGTATTCCACCAGCTACAAGGAAAACAATATCAGATTGCCATTAACTACTAAAATTAGTCAAAGAGAAAATAATTTCCTCCCATAGTCAAAATTAAAATAAATATTTAAGTATTTAATAAATGATCGACGATCATGATGATGATGTAATAATACAATTGTTAATTTATTATAAATAATTTTATATATGTGTGTTTCTGATTTCTGATTTATGTTTAAGTTTAATTTTAATTTAATTTGTTAGTTATTATTATTATTATTATTATTATTTGGATTGTCCAATTGTTTGATGGTTGATAAATTTAAATTAGAACCACCACTGGCACGAGATGGAGATAATAGATGACTACTACTACTGCCACCACTTGAGAAAATGGTACTTGAACGATGAGGAAGGTTTGGAGTTAGATGATGTTGAGAGGAAGAGGTTGATGAAGATATAGAACCACGTCCACTAGCACGTTTAGTATGATTGATGAATTGCATAGACTTGGTTCGGTTGACTTGAAGTTTGGTGTATTGTCCAAGTGCATCGATCCATTCTTGACGGAGTTCAGGTGTCTTTGCTTGGAGCATGATATACTCGTCATTGGTCACCTTGATTTGGAAGCAATTGACAACACGCATATTTGGACAATCTTGTATGGGTACACAATTAATTTCACGCATTTGATTATAATATTGTTTGACGTTGAATTCGTTGCCCGACTTTTCAGCCTTGATCAAACCACTGCCCAAAAGTATATAGATAAACTTTTCACCGTCGCTTTTGAGTTTGCTCTGCAAAAAGACACAGTTGCCGGGCACGAGGATATCGGGGAGTGGGGGAACCAGCTTCATATAAATGTCTTGGATACTATGTTTGTTTTCGGCTTCACGTTTACGTTCGTTGAGCACGACTGTCGCACGTTTGAGCGATCGAGAAGCTTGGCCAATTTGTTCGTAGTCAAAGTAGAGGGCGGGTGTATTTTTAAGTAGGTCTTCTAAAAGCAAGACATATCTTGGCATACGTTGAACTGGCATAATGAGGTACGCAAGGATATCAATACCCTTGCATTTGGCTTCACGTTGTTCATTGAAAAATTCGGCAATCTTTTCCTCCTTGCGTACCGATTCCATCTCTTTCATGACATTGTTGTAGTTGTTGATATAGGTAGAGTAAATGTCAACGATGCCTGCTTCGAGTTCAATCATAATATCACCAACTGCAGTGTTGAGAGTCCAACTCTTGACACGGTCTTGAAGTTTTTCCAAAAACTCTCTGTGATACTGATGGAGCACTTCAATGTTACCAAAGATGGTGTTGAGACGATGCGCTTCGATGAGGGGTGGAGCCGAGCACCGAAGAGGCATGAGGTAGCCTTCGATGGCAGTGTTGAGCGAGTTGACATAGGTCTGCTCGGTGGTCATGAGCTCGGTCACAATATGCGACCGACGTTTATACAATTTGAGTTCATCTTTGAACCGTTTACGTGCCACAAATGCAGCGGCAGCACTTGCAAATGCATGCATACCAGTTGTGAATTGGGTGTGTACTTCGATGACTTGACGTTCACGATGACGAAACTCCATCTTGCGCAGAGCCATATCAGAGAGGAGGTCAACGATAATACCAGTCTCTGCTTCATCATCAAATCCACTAATACTATTATCCGATTCATCACCAGACATTGCACTAGTATCATAATCTCCATCACTTGGGAAATCAGATACATCTTCGTATGATGTATCATGTCCTCCTTCGGAATCACGTTCACTTCCATCATAACGATCCATAGCACTAATCTTTTTAATGAGTGATACCATACGTTCAATTGGTTGAATGACTAGAACTTGGAAATCCCTTGACATTAATAATGTACCAAAACACAGTACCAAGATAACACTCGTTGTCAATGTTATACCAAGTGCAGCCGATACTTGTTCATTATGCTTATTATTGATACGTAGTACGTCTTGACCGTCATTCTCACTACTTTCAATAATATAGCCATTGAACCAGTCGGATGTATCGATACCCGAATTGTACACTTCCGTGTCTTGAATACGAAGTGTGAGCATATCGACGGCACTAGAGTCTGCCACAAAATCCGACAATAATTGTTGGAATTGAGGTGACTGGGTTCCATTTACATTGTCATTGGCAGCATGCATAAACAACTCCAATACACTATGATAGGCTTGGTCGGTCGGTCCCGTATCGATCGATGTCAACGAGGTGATGAGGATGAGTATCAGAACCATGACGACCAACTTGTGCGTCGACTTTGTGAGAATTTTTTTGCCAATGGCACTGGGTTCAGTGGCGATCTTGAGTTTCTCTTCATCTTCCAAGTCACGGTTGCGAGAGGTCGATGAAAACGATGAGAAAAACATGACGATTCTGGCAACACGAGACAGACGAGAGGCGATTCTGGCAACACGAGCCGTTCGACCAAGTGAAAGTGCATTGATTGCATGAACGATCGATTTGATGCCAAAGATGAATCCGACGACATCGGGAATGAGTGAAGCGATGGAAATGAGATCAATGATGAAAAAGAAAGAGATGACATAGTGCAGTCGTTGCACAAATATCTGTACGGCCATCTCCAACACAAAGATGACCAAAACCAAGATCTTTAGTACCGATACAATGGTATAACTGACAGTGCTATCGGGTGCACCAGTTGCCAACATAAAATCATCGATATAAATAAGATACAATGTACAAAGGATCATAATCAACATGATCCATTTAGAGTTTAACCATCTATTCAATACTCTTCTCTTTGCAAATGTCCTACTCTTTCTTCTATATCTTCTCTTTTTACTCAAAGATCTTAATTTTGATATACCTTTACCATGAAATATTTTACTCTAAAAAGAAAAAGAAAAAGAAGAAATTAATTAATTACATCGATATTTATATTATTTAATATTTACAGTTAATTGACCAACAGATTGATGATTTGGTAAATGAAATGGAGATGATGGTAAAGTAAAGTTTAAAGTTGATTTAATCTTTAATTTTTTAATACGACTTGGTGAATGTTCTCTACTAATCGATCCACCAGTTTCCGATCGACGTATGGCAATAGAACCACTTGCATCAGAATCTATATCTTGATTATTTAGTTGTAATCTAGTATTACTACCACTGATTGAAGAGTGTTGTGATAATTGATCACTACTGTCAGAGTGTACTCCAAATGTTTGTAATTCTGTTTCTCTGACCATCTCCACAAACTCTCTCTAAAAACTACACTAATTAATTAATTAATTAGGTTTTAATCAATTCTCTCTCTCTCTATTTCTCTTCTATTATTATTATTGAAACTGATAAGTAGTAGTTGATGAAAGATGATAGGATAGGATAGGTAGTTGACTTGAATATTGATCAGATCTATCCGACAAGCTAACACAGAAAATGAAGAAGAAGAAGAAGAAGTGGGTGTGTTATCGAGATCTCTTTAAAACTACAATGGTAAAAAAAGGGTGTGTGTGGGTCGGTCGGTTGATTGTTGTTTCTATCGGGGGGGTTAGGTTGGTTGAGCCTATACTAAATCTAACTCTATCTATCTAACTATCTATCTAACTATCTATCTCTATTGATCAATACAACAACGATGTTAAGGAATGATTGTTTGTACAATAGCGCTGGTCTGAAACTAATTAAACGATAAAAAGCCCTCTTGTCACCATAAATCTTTAAGAAAAAAACAAAACTGCTGTGTTCCTTGAATTGAAACAAAAATAACCTTTTTGTGATCAACATGCACAGATGTATTCATGCTAACCTCCCCTTTTTCTCAGCGAGCGTCGATTCGAATTGGAATCAACGCGTCTCACACGATATTAGAATGAAATTAATTGTTTTGAAGAGATTGAATAATAAAGAAGATCATTCATCAACATTTTCTAAAGATTGAAATAAATAAAAATAATGTTTTGTTTATTTAATTATTATTATTTAAAAATAAATTATTACAAGTTGTACGTATTACAATGATCATTATGGTTGGATATAAATAAATAAATAAATAAATAAATAAATAAATAAATATTGATTGATTATATTATTACTTTTTCGATACAGATGGAGAAAATAAAGATCTAGTTATTTTTTCCTTTACTTGTTTTGATTTTAAACGCAACGAAGATTTACCAGACTCTTTTTCATCTTTTTCAGAAGAAGAAGAAGAATGATCACTACTACCACTTGCATTTGTTGTAGTCGATGATGAAGAGGATGTAGTTGGATTGGGTAATGGTCTAGGTGAAGGTATTGGTTTAGTTTGTTGTTGTTGGGCCGCTGCCATTTGTTTTATCACTTGGTCACCAGATCTTCTCAATGTTGATGACAGTGGAGTTGTTTGCGTAGTTGTAGTAGTAGTAGTTGAAGAGGATGTAGAAGTTGATCTTCTTTTAAGTGTATTGTTTAGGTTATTATTGGTTGTTGGTGATGATGTGACTGATCCAGGAGCTGGAATAGGTGCACGTGGTGGTGGGACATAAGGTGAAGATGGGGATTTGTTTAATGACATGGGAGACGCTGAAACCTTGGACAGCGGGGTGACATTGATACGTGGGGGTGGAAGAGGAGGTGGATTTCTAACAGGTGGGCTTGGTGAAACTGCCCTACGTGCACCAGCTGGAGATGGAGCTCTCTTGGTACCAACTGCACCTGCACCTGCACCTACTTTGGGTGGGGTTGGTTGTGGTCTACTCGGTGGAGTTGGTTTGGGTCTTTGATCAGGTGGAGAAAATAATTGTGATTTAATTTGTTCTACACTTGATGGAGCTGTTGTCGTAGAGGTAGTAGAAGTAGAGGTAGAGGTAGAGGTAGTATCGCTATTACTAGTTTCTCCAATCTCTGATTTAGACGGAGAGGTTGAGGTTGAGGTTTCTGGCTTTGTTTGAGGAGGTGGAGAAAATGTTTGAGTAGTGATTGATTGTCTTGGTGATGCAGATCTTCTATTTAAATTTAATGATGCTGATGTCGTTGGCATGGGAGGAGGTGGAGTATTATTAACAAGTAATTTAATCGATGTTGGTGTTCTTTTTACAGTGGGTGGTTGTTGTTGTTGATTTGAAGATGGGCTACTACTATTATTAATGATGAATTCATTATTATTATTATTTGCCATTGCCAAACTGACAAGACTATTTGGAGGGTTGGACAATCTCTTTCCAGTTGCACCAGATACTGTAGACGCTCCAGAAATGGGTGGTTTTTGATTAGATGATGGTGTAACTGGTCTTGTTTGAATTACTGAGGAGGAGGAGGAGGAAGTGGATGGAGAAGATTGTACAATAGCAGAGGATGAGGGTGTTCTAATTACAGGTGCAGCAGAGAATGTTGGTTTTACAACATTTGATGGTAAATTTGTGGATGGAGGTGTTGGTAATGCCATGATAGATCCATCGGTCATGATTGTACTCATCTCTCTAATAATCTCCATCTTTAGTGATTTTAATTCTTGAGCTATAAATAATTTTAATTCATCTTGTTTTACTTGCATATCTGCATATAATTCTTGTTTCATCTTTTCTATCATCATTTCATCTGTACCACCACCAATCTTCTTTTGATTAAATGTTACATGTCTTTGTTCATTATTATTATTATTATTATTATTATTAAAGTTATTATTATTATTGAAAATGGATGATATTGGTATTGATGATTTTGGTGATTCCTTTTCCTTTTCTTTTTCTTTTTCTTTTAGAGAATTATTTAGAGTACGTTTTAGGGCAGCTATAAAATCAGGAATATTTCCATTTGATGAATCTTGATCATCGTCATCGTGAACTACCATGGTTCCAAACTGTAGAGATGAATCATCATCACCACCACTTTCACTTGTACTACTAACAGTATCGTGAATGATCAATGTAGAGGTATGTGAAACATCCGATCCATTTGTTTTGTTTCGATCTGACGAAGATGATGATGATTTAGGTGGTACTTGACCATTATTTCCACCTCCACCTCCACCGGGACTGAGTAATATAGGTGGAGAGTTTTTCTTTTTCTTTGCAATGGTAGCACGTTTCTTTAGACACTCTTCAATCAATGATTTTAAAGTATCACTACCCATTGCACCAGAGTTTACAATCCAAGCATGTTGAAGTAGGTCAATGGCAGAAGGACGCTTCTCTGGGTCTTTTTGGAGACAACAAGCAATAAAGTCACTCATATCCTTTGAGAATTGTGCTGGTTTGGTAAGAGTGGGAGGTGCCTTGTTTGGAATCATCAACATGGCACGAGTTGGTGGCATCTGGTACCAAGGTGGGTATCCCTCTGCCATTTCAATAATCGATATACCCAGACTCCATATATCACATTTATTATCATACGACTTGTTTTGTATAATCTCTGGTGACATCCACAAAGGTGTTCCAATAAATTCATCAGTCTTTGATAATTCATTTTCTAATTGTGCTGAAACTCCAAAATCCGCCAACTATCAGAAAAAAGGAAATGTTAATACATATATAAATGAATTAATTATTTTTACTTACTTTAACAATACAATCTTCATTTAATAGAATATTGGCAGCTTTAATATCTCTATGAATAATTGAATTTTGGTGAAGATAATGTAACCCTTTTAAAGATTGCATTACAATATTTGCAATTTGTTTCTCTGATAATACTTTTTCTGTTAATTCCAACATATCTCTAATTGATCCTAAACTACAATAATCCATTAATATCTACAAACAAATAATAAAAAATAATTAATATATTTAGATATTTAATATTTAATATTTAATAGTTTACCCATAATTTATCATCAACTTGACGAGAACCATAATAACTAACAATATTTGTTGATTTACATTTCTTTAGGATTGAAATTTCCTTTTCAATCTCTGAAGCATCTTTTAATGGAATCTCTTTGATTGCCAATTCATAGTTATTGTCACGATGACTTGCTTTAAATACACGTCCATATGATCCACTTCCAAGTTCCTCTTGTATAACAAATATCTTGTCAACATCTTCACCACTCCATTGAAAATCCATATCAACATGAACCTAAAATGAAAAGTAAAAGAAAAGAGTTAGAGAGAGAGAGAGAAACAATGATATTTTGATATATATTTGTTGTTTTTTTGACATACTTTATGTTTAACATTAAAAGGAGTACCAATAGCAATGATACTTGAACTATCTGGTGAAGATGATAAATCTGATGATAGTATGGAACTACCACTACCACCCTTACCCTTTTGTTTTTGTATCTTTTCAGCCTTTTTAATAGCCTTTTGAATGTTACGACCAATGTTTGCACTACCCGAACCTACACACCTAGACAATGAATCAAAGATGATCTTTCTTTCTTCTTCAAATTGTTCTTTTTCTTTGAGTAGTTGTTCACGTTCCTCTAATAATAGTTGTTTCTGTACATCCAACTCTCTCATTTGTTCCTCCATTGATTTTTTATAGACTAGGTTTGGTGGACCACCCGATGATACTGATCCATTCATACCAAGACTAATACCAAGTGCCGATAAACCACCTCCGAGTCCTTTTGTCAAAGGTGAAGATGATAGATTACTTTCATCCATCATGAAACTATCAATCAATCTCTATCTATCTATCTATCTATCTCTTTGATATTCAATGGGGGTTGCACTATTCTCTTATTATTATATTTATATATGTATTTATATCTATTTATCTATCTATATCTATCTATTTCTAGTCTCCTTGTTTTAAAATTACGTAGTTTTTTGCTTTGTTTTTGTTTTCAAAAAACACCAACGATGGTTGATGTTTTTCAAAAGACAATTTGCGATCAGTTTCTATTCTTATAATCTATGGTTTGTTGTTTGAAAATTTGCAATATCAAACTACGTAGTTTGTAGTAGCAGCAAGGGACTAACTCTTTTCTTTTCCTTTTTCTCTCAATGTAATTACAATGGCAGATCATTGTCACAAGGAAGGAGTACAAGAGTAAATGGAGACTTTTACATTTTTGGGGCAAAAGATATTTTACTAAAATGCATTCTTTGAAGACACAGTGATTAGATTTGATTTGGTTTCGCCCCGAATTGACCCGTTTTCCTCTCTCACTCACTCTAGAATGGTGCACCGATTGGCTGGGGCGAGCTAGAATCACATAATTTGATGATCCCCACATTTTGATTGAATAGAGAGAGCCATGGATGGATCTTCACCCCCTCTCAGCCCATCTTCTCCTCTATTTTTGTTTTATCAATCAAATCTCTTTCGAGCCACCTTCTCTACTCTTTGCGTACTTTTGCTTGTTTGCAAAAGAAGAAGAAAGGAAGGTTTCAATTTAAATAGATATATCTATCTTGCTTAAATCTGTCTCTTTTTTTTTTTTTTTTTTTCTAATTTGTACAACTACCTATATAAATATTATATTCTATTAATATATCTCCTTTTTCTTATTTTGTACACATCTATACCTACTATATTATACTATACTATTACCCCTTTTTAATCTCACATATATATATTTATTTGTAAATAATATATTTATCTATCTATCTATCTTTCTACTAATCTTTCAAAGATATATTCTATTCTTTTCTATTCTATCCTACTCCTCACCCCCTCATTCAGTACATGTATTAAGAAAGTGAAGTTTAAAGTAATAATCAAGTCGTCGTAATAGACCAACTCACCAATAATCATTCGTAGTATCACATTTTTTTTTTTTAATTAAAAATTTAATTTTGTCTCTGTCTGTGTAAATATATAAAATTTATCTGTAAATTTATAATTCCTTCCTTCCTTCCTTCCTTCTTTCATTTCCCCACGCCACAGCTTTAACACACTCTCTCACAACCTCCAATAACTATCGCCACCAATACCATCATCACACTTTTAAACTATTTATTTATTATTATTATTTATTATTATTATCCACACATACGCACCACTCAAAGTCAGCAGCCAATCTCTTATTACCAATTAAAAATAAATCATCATTTAAGACATAACCACCAATCATAAAAATACGGGACTAATCTCACAAGTTAAAAGTCAAAAGCTAAGAGTGAGGGGGTTTACTCTGAACGAGAGAGCGTATGTATCATATTTAGAGTGAGTGTGGTAAGAGTGCGAGTGTGAGCGGTGAAGATCAATAATTTTAAAATATTAATATTTTTATTTTATTTTTAGAGACATTTAAAATATCGACCGTGTCCCTACCTACCTACTAGTAGCCTATCCTCCAACAGGTCAACCTACTACTACTTCTACTTTAGTCATTGCTTCTCTCTCTCTTCTACCCACCATTCGAATTATTTAAATATTTCCCTAACCTCCTCCTCCTTTTTAACAACCCTTTTCTGTCCATCCGTCCATCCACCTGTCCATCCATCTATATTATATTTATGATTAAACTTACCAACAACATCAACATCAACTCTAATACTGCTGCTACCGCTACCACTACTACTACAACTTCAATCGGAACCTTTTTTTCAATCTTTTATCTCAATCTGCAGAGAACTCTAGTTTTCTCTTACACTCTGTTTTCTATCTCGCCATTTCCATCTATTTATATTATTATGTTTTGGTAGTCTTTATCACCTCTTTTATACTTTTATTTATTTAAAATCACAATCCATCAACCAACCTATCACACAAATAGAGATGAAAAAACTATTAAAATATAGATTATCAGAGGATGGTAAATTAATGTGTCGTCATGATATTTGTATTGTACGAGCTTGTTATGATCATAAAGCAAGTTTGTGTAGACACGAGAGAAAGTCATCACATGATTGTGACGTTTCCCAATGTAAAATTTGTCAACGTGTAAAGAGTCGTCCAACTGTCACAAATAGTAATCACAATAATCATAGTAACAATAGTAACCATTCACCTCGGTCAGATTCCTCATCTGGATCAAGTTCATCATCATCATCGGCCAAAAGTAGTCCAACTCTATTTTCAAGTTCAGAAGCAGTGTTGCCAATTGGAAGTTCGCCAGTAACATATCAAACCAATTTAATTGTTCTTGGAACATCTAGTTCATCTAGTTCTTCGTCTTCATCATCAACTTCATCAAGTGCCATTCCATCGCCTGCATCAAGTCCAAAACCAAAACAAGGTAAAACATCTCCAACTTTAAAAGTTCAAATTAAATCGCCAAAAAAGTCTGCTTGTATTTCTGGATCATCTTTGTCACCTACCAGTCTCTCATCATGTGTCTTTGAAAAGAAAAGGAATAGTAAAGAGAAATTGTTTCCCAATTTAAAGATTGATAGTCATAGTCATAGTCATAGTGGTCAATACTCACCCCCTTCATCGGCTACGACTAGTCCAGTTGCACCAGGTGAAATCATGAGATCCCCTCTTTTACATCATCTTCATCATCCTCCACCTCCTTCCAACAACAACAACCAACCTCCATTCAGTCCAACAGCCGGTATATTGCATTTGACACCACAACATGCACAAAGAGACCCTTTTGCACTAGACCTGGTATTTGGTCCGTTGATGGGATACCCAATCTCACCAACATCATCATCACATCATCATCATCACCAACATCAACATCAACATCATCAAATGTATGCTAGTACTAGTACAATAATACCAACATCTCCATCATCTACTGCTATACCATTACATCCTTATTCTGATCAGCATAATGGTGGAGGTGGTGGGTCAGCTATGGGAACACCATCTTCTTCCTCCTCCTCTTCATATACCAGCTATAGTACACCACTAGACTATAATGGAATCATTCCAACTACACCAACAACCATTATAGCACATTCTCCATCATTGTCTGGGTGTGAACAACAACATTTCAACGTCCCCTATATTAATTTAACATCATCTGTTCAAGATACTCCGCCTGTATCCTTTATTACTACCGTCACTCCTCATAACCAACACCATCATCAACAACAACATCATCATATTCATAACCAACAACAAAACCATCATCAACAATCACATCAACAACATTCTCAACAACCATGTCAAAATAGTCAAACTTCCAACAATGTTAATTCTTCCAACATTGATAATACTCCATTGTATAATAATAATAATAATCAAACTTTGAATCGAATTACTTCTGCGCAAAGTGGCAGTAATAATAATACCAATACCAACAATACAAATACAAATACAACCAACACCCATTGTAATCATAATAATAATAATAATAATAATACCGATGCTGTAAATGATAACCATTATTTAAGTTTTTTAAATCCTTCATCTCTTAACAACCACAATAACACTACGACCAATACCAATACCACCAACAACAACAATAATAATAGTATTGTTGTTTATAACCAAAACAATCATAACCATCATCACCATCATCACCATCACCTTCAATTTTCCAACAACAACATTAACAATCCCAACAACATCAATAACAATACACCAACCAACAACAACAACAACAACAATAACCAACAAGAAATGTATATTTTAATGTAATGTACATAACCTCAATATCAACTATAAAAATCAATCCAATCCATTTTACTCTATTCATTGTTTAGAATTTTTAAACAATACCAATATATTGGCAAGTGTAACTATAGCAGTAGTAGTAGCAGCACAGCCAATCTCTCCCTCCCAATCACACAACAACAACAATTCAATCACAAAAGATTTATTTATTTATCTATCCAATAATTAATTAATTTATCTCTCTCAATTCATCTATAATAATATAATTTTCGATCCTACCATTATATTTCTCCAAACAACAACAACAAAAAAAAAGAAAAAAAGTTAATAAAGTACTCAAATATTTAATTAAACAATGTACACCAATTCTCGTATATTGCGTTTCTCCTGTTTTGGCTTTGGTCACCGAGCGGAATAAAAAAATAAAATAAAAATCTAGTCTTGAGTGGGCAAGATTGGCGACATCATGAGATCATTGTCACGACGTCGATGTTGTTTGGTTGTAATGATGACTGCTGAGCCAAGAAAGAGAGAGCATGGATGGGATGGGGATGGGGAGGGATAAAGGAAAGGGGGTGCATGCCTCTACAAGTTTGGGCATTGTCATGACCAGCTGGCTCCTTCCTTGTTGCTTTTTTTTGTTATTGTTGTTGATGTAACTGGTCACACAATAATCTAATCTTAAAACTTCTTTGTTTATTTTCTTCAATACTAAGACATAGACCAACCAACTAACAATACAACCTCATATATCTATTGATTAAATTAGTTTTAAATACAAAACCCGTTATTAGGTATTAGGTACTATATATTCCGTGTCATTGCACAAACACATTAATAGTAGTTAGATTGTTAGATTACACCATCTATCAAAGTATTGTAAGTTGTACACATCATCATCATCATCATCATCATTGCATTCATTTTTGTCCATAGTCCATTGTCGCATATCTACTCCTCTATCCATCATCAATCACACAGACATTCTTTTCTTTTTTTTGATTTGGAGTGATAAGTAGAGAGAAAGAGATAATGAGCAACAACAACAAACCAACCCAATTATTATTCATGACTGTAATAAAGAGTGGGTTGTCGATGATGATGAGTGATGGTTGATTGATTGATTTGAAAATAACAATGACTATACCATCTACCAATGGTTGGTAAATGCTAATCTATCATCACATCAACATGTATAGTAGTACTTCTAGTAGTCTCTCTTTCTCTATAGTTATCTTTATCTATTTTATTCAATTAATAAAAACCCCCCACAGTTCTCGTCCTCCTCCTTGCTGCTTTGCTTTGTCACCAAGTCTTGAAGTCAGCAAGTCATTCACTCATCTTCATCTTGCTCTTTTTCTATTTTCCTCATCTTCGATTAAATTACATATATATATACAACAACTACTACTATATATTATAGTATCATTACAAATTTGTATCGTTTGAAATTGTACATTATTACTCATTAATTTAATATATTAATCAAGATTATATTTTATTTATTTATTTATAAAGACTATATAGTTATTTATTTACAATTAACATCTATCTATCTATCTATCAATCACAATATATGAATTAGTGTTTGGATTATATATATATATATATTTATTATTTATTTATTTATTTATTTGTTAGTAGTAGAGTACTCTCTATTTCTATTTATTATTATTGAATTGAATAGAATTGAATAGAATGAATTCAATAAGTACATCACCATCTTCATCATCTTCAAAACAACCTCCTCCTCCTCCTGCACAACAACAATCACAATCTTATCCAAGTACAAGTAATCTAGCAAACCTTGTAAATGATAATAATAACAACAACAATAACAACAACAACAACAATAATAACAATGATACTATACCAAAATCACAAACACAACCAAATCTAACATCTACATCACCTCTAACAACAACACCTCCATCAACTATTTCCAATGGAGGAGGAGGAGGAGGAGGAGGAATAATTGGTGCCAATGGAATACAATCACCAGTATTCTTTTCCCCTCCAACTACACCATCTTTGCAAGGTTCTAATTCGCAAGAGTATCATACTGTCACTTCTACCAGTTCTACACCTTGTGGAACCATTAAAAAGGATACAACTAAAAAGTCGTCGTCATCGACAGACATGCAAACAGATGTTGGTACTGGTAGATCAAGAAGTCATAGCGAAGATTTAAAACAATCTTCAGAAAATAGTATATTAAAAGAAAGTTCTGAAAAGGTAAGCTAGTCTATTAAATATAAATATTTATATAACAACCCAATATTGTTGTTCTGTTTATATTAATCCTTTCATTCTTTTATAGATGAAAAAGAAAGCATTTCTATCACCAAAACTATTGGCACCATCCAAAAAGAATACAATCGGAGGTGAGGAGCCTCCCATTTCAAAGACTTTGGATAGTAGAATGAAAAGTAATCCATATATTAAAAAATTTAAATTACCTTCAACCGAGTTATTAATTAATGGTATGGAAATGAAAATCAAATCAATCAATCAAATCAGAATCATCAATATTGACATTAATATTAATATCTATTTATTTATTTATTTATTATTTATTAGATTATTCTGCTGCATTACATAGACAAATTTTATTACATGGTAGATTATATCTTTTTACAAATTATATATGTTTTGAATCAAAGATTTTTGGTCTAAAGACAACAGAAATCATTCTATTTAATCAAGTTACAAGTATTAAAAAAAAGAGTAAAAAGTTCCAATTCCCAGTTGGCATTGAAATCATTGCAAATGGAAACAAGGTAAATATAATTCATCAATGTGAATCAAAAAAAAGAATATAGAATAGAACTATTTATTTATTAATTAATTAATTAATATTTTACTACCTATATAGTTATCATTTGCATCATTTGTATCAAGAGATAAAACATTTAATGAATTAATGGTACAATGGAAAGAAGTAACTGGTGAATCTCATGATGAAGTTTCATCTCATAGTATTGATGATGATGAAGATGAATCATCAAATAGTGTCTTTGAAGCCGAGAGTCAATCATTTAATAATAATAATAGTAGTGGTACCATGAATACCAATCTGGTCAATGGTAATGGTAATCAATCTGAACAATCATCCCAAAGTAGTGGATTTCAACAAACTGTCAATAATAGTCTTGACCATGTAAATAATAATAATAATAATAATAGTAATAGTAATACAGAAACAACTCCTACAAATACAACAATAACAAATAATCCTGAACAAACAAATCAACAACCAACAACAGACTGTAATAATAATATAAATGGAGTTGTTCTTAATAATAATATACAAATAGAAAAACCACAACAACATGCACCACCAACCGCAGCGGCAGCAGTAGTAGTTTCAGAGAAAAGTGTTTTTGATGAATTGTACGGAGGAATTGATCAATTTCTATCAGTTAATGAACAATCTTCAATATTGGAAAGTCAATCATCAGATTTTGAAGAACTCCTTACCGACAATTTCAATTGCAACACTACCAACTTTTTCAGAGCACTCTGTTCAGATAAATGTAACTTTGCATTTAATTATCATACCAAACGTGGTGATAAAAGTATGTACAAACGCGCATATATTATAATTATCTTTTTCTAATTCTATCTATTTAATTATTTCATTTTATTTATTTATTTTCTAGATATAAGTGTAAAAAATTGGACAACAAGAGAAAGATTTGGAACAGTTAGAGAATTGGAATATGTAGCACCAGTAAATTCACCAATTGGACCAGATAAAACTAGAATTCAAGAGACACAGAGATATCATCTAACACTTAAAAAGTTGGTCATTGAAACTGATACTATTATGCTCGATATTCCATATGGTGATCATTTCAGAATTGAAGCAATCTGGGAGGTTGTGGAGACTTCACCAGATACTTGTCGATTGACTATTCAAATATGTGTTAGATTTATCAAAAAGACTTGGTTCAAGAGCAAGATTGAAACGAGCACCATCAAAGAATCCAAAGGTTCATTCCAAACGTGGGTGCAATTGGCCAAACAAGAGGTTCAAAAGGCTATTCAATTCAAGCGTCCAACCGCTGGCGGATCATCTAGTCTAGCTGCACCAAGTACTGTTGGTGGTGCTGCTTTACCATCGATTAATATTACCTCTTTGAATAGATCGATTGAAAAGATTAGAGGAGATGAAGGTGTTGGAAGTGGTGTTGGTGGTGGCGAGGGAAGAATCGATTCACCCAAACCACATCACAGTAGATCACGTAGCAGACAACATTTGGTATCATCTTCAAATCAAGTTTCAAATCTAAGTAATGAATCTTCTCCCTATTCATCCATTCCACTTCATACTCAACCAACTCACAATAATAATAATAATAGTTTACAACCACCACCAGCGTCCACCCCTTCACCAATTAATTTAGGATTCAATCAGAATCAAAATAATAATAATACTTCACCATTGACATCGATCAAAGAAAATGAGGATGTTACCTTGGTAGAATCCAAGAAAAAGAGAACAACCTCTTCTTCACCATTCCGATTACAAGTTACATCTGATTATGGAGATTTGATCATCACTGGTTATCCAATGTTTTCTGTTATCATTATGCTCTTGTCTCTATTCTTTTATATGTACTTGAAGATTAATTCTCTCGGTACTCAAGTTGGAACTTTGGAATCATTATTATCTAATATCATAACATTGAATCAACAACTAAACCAACAACAACACCAACAACAAATAGTTACACGTACAAATTCATAAACACATTTCCATTGTTTTTAAAAAGATATTAATTTATAATAATAATTGTTACAGCTAGTAGGATTGTCGATAGATATATAAACAAACAAAAAAAGAAAAGGAATAAATATATTAGTATGGTACAAGTCAGAGGATTAGTATGAGAGCCAACCCCTTTGCTCCTGAATTGTGGCACTGTATGGATTTAAATCGATGTTCTGTGCCTTTATTTGTATAAAATATGAAGCCATAATGGTGAATGTTTTATCACTGAATAGGACATGGAACTTTATCATTATCATCTTCCTCGTCATCGTCATAGTCACCATCATCACTTTCCTCCAAGTCTGATTCTATCATCTCTTCAAGTTCCTTTGGATCACCCATTTCTTTGAATGCTTGCAATGGAGTCATGAACCAAACATCATGATACCCGTCGTTATCGCACATACATTGATACCATCGAGATATTTTAACTCTATCAGCCTCACTGTATTGTGATTCATCGACATCTCCATCATCATTGTACATTTTGAAAATCATATTCTTTGATTTCAATTGTTTGATTGTATTGGTGATCTCTGCGTGATAAGGGTAGCAACAATAATAGTAATAGTAATAATAATAATAGTTATTGTTAATATTCGTCAACGTATTATGATTGCTATAAATATTTCGATACCTACTCTTTTGAATTACATTTTTTTTATCGAAACATCCTTGGATATCAATTGCCAACATTTTAGCGATGGTCCTGAGATTCTCGGTTGGAAGTTCCCTCACCAACTGCCCAAAGTTTGCTTGGTGGCCGACTTGATCGCCATCGTCATCATCGTCTTTGTTTGCTTCTTTCAAGTGAATTTTATCAAAAGCTTCATTGAGATCCTCGGTGTATAGCAGATCAGTCTCTTTGATTTTTTCCAACAACTTGATTGGATCTTTATCAAGAGTGTCCGGTTGAGTTACGGCTTGTCTAATATTTGAAGGTCGAAATAAAGTGGATACCAGAACGCATACTTTCTTTCGATGAATCTGTGATGTTGATTTAGTTGACCAAGTTCGACAGTGTACTTTGTTCCTGGTATCTTGTACAATCGTGCATCCAACATTCTAATCTCTCTAACATGATTGAATATTATAGTTCTGAGTGTTGCTGATCCAATGATCTTGCTAAATAAATCTTCTTCTTCTTTATTATTATTTTCATATTGTTCTTTATTTGTAGACATTCTATAATTGAGAATCCAGAAGAAAAAACCGTTGTGAATCATCATAAGAAAGCAAAATGACCCCGACAGTCGGGTTATGAAGATCGCCAAATAATTAATTTGATCTTCTCTTTTTTTTTTTTTTTTTTGTTTAAATCAAAAAAGTGTTGTTTACTTCCCATTTAAATAGAATGGTAGACTTGTAGTTTTAAGACTTTTTTTATATATATTAAAATGTTGTTTTTTTTTAACGAAGTAATCTTTCAATAGCAGCATTTACATTTCCACCAGTTTGTAAAAGAGCTTGAATATTTTCGGCTGGATCGAGGAATCCCATATCTCTGAGTTGTTGTAATTGAACAGTGAATCTTTGTTCGGGTGGTTCTTGATTGGCAGCGGCTTGTGTAGGAGAAGTTGTGCCTGGTCTTTGACCAGTAGCTCCACCCGTTCCACCAAACATATTGGCAAAATTGCCCATTCCTCCCATTCCTCCCATACCACTAAACATATTTTCCATTCCTGCTGGCATTCCTGCTGGTGGCATTCCTGATGCTCCACTAAAATATAATAAAAATAAAATATAAATTAGAAATCAAATCAAATGAATATGTATATAGTTTACTGTTTCATACCCAAACATTCCATTATTTTGAAGAGTAGATAAAGATTGCTGAAGTTGAAGAAGTGCTTGAAGGTTTTGAGGGTTTCTAAACATTTCCAAACTTTCAGGACGTGAAAGTGCCTCTCTCATTTGTGGATTCTGATCAACCATTTGACGGAGTTGTGGATTAGAGTTGATTGTTTGTTCCATAAATTGTGGATTTGACATTAATTGTTGCATCATGCCTTGAACCTCTGGTGATGATAACATTTGAGACATTTGTTCTGGTGACAATCCAAATGGATTGCTGCCACCGCCCATTCCTCCCATTCCCCCCATTCCTCCCATTCCTCCCATACCACCAAACATACTGGCAAATGGATTTGATGCGTTACTGTTTGGACTAGTAGTTGTGTTGCCGCCACTAGTAGTAGTATTGTTGGATGATGCACCAGTTCCAGTAGCACCGGTTGTAGTTGGGGTTGGTTGTGGTGCCCATGGATTTGGTAATGGTTGATCAGAATTTGCATTGTTGGTATTATTGTTGAATAAAGATGAAAATGGATTGTTGTTTTGTTGATTGGCTGCTGCTTGATTTGCTGCATTATATAATGGTTCCTAAAAAGAAGAAGAAGAAGAAGAAACAAAAAAAATAAAAAGATCAAATTAGTTTAGGTTAAAAGAGTTTTGTATTACTGATGAATTAATTAATTAATTTACATACTTGTACATTTGTATACATTCTACGAAGGAGATTAAAACCTTCTGGGTGATTTTCAATGTTAATCATAGCTCTATCAGCATTACGCATCATTTCACGCATCAATTCTGGATTACGCATCATTTCAAATGATTGTCTAAGTGCCTATAAAAACAAAATATAAATATTAATATAGAGAAGAAGAAGAAGAAGATAATATTTATATTTGTTGTTTTATATAAATATATATTACATACTCTTGGATCATTTAAAACTTGAGCCATTTCAGGATTTCTATTCATAACTTCTCTCATTTCGGGATTATTTAAAATCATTTCCTTAAAGGTATCGGGATTGTCAAATATGTTTTGAAACATTGGAGAGTTTAGAATCTCTTGCATCATTGGATTCTGGAGCATTTGACCCATGTTTGATGGCATACCAGGTATTTGCATTGGTGCTGGTTGAGTATTGGCATTTGGTGCTTGCTCTGTTGGTGGTGGTGGAGTTGGTGGAGCTGCTCCTTTTACTAAATGTACAGTATGTCCTTCTTGAACATCTAAAAATAGATATAAGTAATAATTAAATGATATAGGGAGAGAGTGTGTTTTTTTGTTTTTGTTGGTTTGTTATTAATATTAGTATTTGTTTGTATGTTTATATGATCATTTGACAGTCTGTCTACACCTTTCTTTTTCTATCTACATACTATATTCTGATAACTTTTGATGATCTTTTAATACATGACCAGAATATATAATTCTTTGTTGTTCAGCTGGGATACCTGATTTAGTAGCCAATAAACCTTTAAACTCTGATACGAGAATACTAGTGTCGACATCAACAGCAAACTTGTCACCAACTGATGTCTTTATATTAATATTGATCGTCATTTTCTACTACTACTACTCTATTAAATTCTTCTTTCTATACAATCAACGAATGATCTTTCTAGTAGTCTGAAGAATAATAATAATAATGATTAATAAAACAAAAAAAAAAGAATTTAATTACAACAAAATTGATGTGTGAACTACCCCTTTTTTTCTTTTTTTATTTTTTTTTTGTTTTCTTTTTGGAAGTGAAATTCTGATGAAATTTGTTGGACCAATTATTAAATAAATAATAACAATAAATAAATAAATAAAGAATTCTTTGGTTATTTTTTTTTGTACAAAAAAATTGATTTATTATTTATATTTTGCCCACCCATTATTATTATTATTATTATGATTATTATTATTATTATTATTATTATTACCATTTGGTTATTATTTTTAATTAAGTAAGTTATCCCATTTTTAAAAGTTTAGTTGATTGTTTTTCCAAATTTGTTTCTATGTTTAGTTTGTTTACCAATCTTCATCATCATCATCGTCATCATCATCGTCGTTTGCTCGTCTGGCAGCGATCATTGCTTCAAGACCTGATGGTGGTGGAGCTGGTATAAATATATCGTCTGTATTATCTTGTGGAATGCTTGGTGGTGGAACCATTAATCCACCTCCCATACTATTATTACTGTTATTATTATTGTTATTGTTATTGTCATCGTCATCATCGTCGTCATCATCGTCATCATCATCATCATCGTCTTGATTGGATGATGATGGTGGTGGTGGTGGAATGAATGGTGGTGGAACAACAAGTCCACTAGTGCTAGAGTTATTTTGATCAGATGTAGTAATGATTGGTTTGATTTCATCGTCATCATCGTCATCATCATCGTCATCGTCGTCTTGATCGTCATCTTCTCCATCTGATTTTGGTGGAGATGGAGGAGGAATAAACTCATTAAGATTGTTACCACTATTTTCTCTTGAAGGTGGGTTTGGTACCATTGGAGGTGGTGGAACCATAGATGAGGATGATGATCCTCCTCCTGCACCTTGACTAATTCCATCAGGATTACTAAAAAATAAAAAGATTAATATTTATAAACTATTTGTCTCTCTCTTTCTCTCTATTTGTTTGTTTGTTTTTAAACTTACGAGATAGCATTTGGATCTAAACCTAAAGCCAACATCTTTGATTGGAAAGCAACGACGGGAACACCCTTTCTATTGAGATCAAAGAATGGAGCGTATCTAGGATCCTCTTTATATGAAATACCACCATTTGAGGCAGCAGTTGGAACAATGATGATTTCCTCTTCATTGTCTGATTGATGTGAAGAGGATGGAGGTGGGGGTGGAGGTGGTGGACCAGAAGCAGCAGCAGCACCTTTACCAGGTGGTGGAGGTGGTGGTGGTGGAGGTGGAGCTCCACCCGATGCTGTAGATGATGTTGGTGGAGCAGCAGGAGAACTTGCAGTTGGTGGAGGGGGTGGAGCTGTAGCACCAGAGGTGTTTGTAGTTGTATGATAAGTTGGTGCATTTGCAGTGGGTAGTGATTCCAAGCCATCGATCGAACCCAATTTAATCTCGAGTAGTGACATGGTCACCTCGAGACGATTGAGGTGGTTTGATACATCGACCAACTTTTGTTCACACAGTAAACTGAATCGATTCAAGAACTGTGTAGTATTAATCACAAAGTTATTCACATAGGCCAATGTCTTTTTGTGTGCAAGTGGTGCAACATTTCGATAATCAACATAAACTTGCATCCTCTAAACAAACTAACTATATATAGTCTACTATCTATCTATCTATCTATCCCTCTCTATCTATCTATCTAATCTAGTTGTTACTACTACTGTTATAAATATAGAATGAAGAATGAAACAAATAGAGTTACTAATAATACTCTACTCTGTAATACACAAGAATATCCTTATCCTCAACTTTGCAAAAATCTTTCAAAGGGTCACCTCAGAAAAGGCAACTGAACTTTTTTTAATTTTATTTTATTTTTTTGTCAAATATGACCCTTTTTCGGATCCTGGACATGAATCAATCGATTTGAAGATATATACTATCTCTTTTATTATTATTGTTTATTTAATATAGTTAGATTAAATCTTAATTTAACAGTCATAATTTTAAGTGGAGGACCGACACATTTGACAACCAATTGGTATTCACGAACAAAGCTGGCGTCGACACCGGCCACCTCGGATGGTAGGATGTTGGGTGGAATGGCGTAGAAAAAGTCACCTTCAAATCGGTCTTTGACCAGAGGGAAACGTGTAGAGTTGTGGAATTCGCAACGACCAAGCTTGGCAGTTGTCTTTTTGGCACGACGGTCATATGCAGAGCCGACAATCTCCATACGTGTCTCTGTCATGAGAATGTATGCTACTACCTTGTCAACCTTTTTCGAAGTGGGATTATCAATGAGAAAACCAAACTGGATGGTTTCACCGGCACGATAAAACTTGCGTTGCAATTGAATCGAAAAGAAGAGATACTTGCTCGATCCGACAAAAGTACGGCGTTCCTCTTGGTAGAGACCGGTTGTTGACTCAAAGCATAATGGGTGGTACGCCTTGTTATCCTTTACCTTTAGAGAGAGGTTGGTCAGTGAGAATGGCTTTTGACAACCAGCACAAATGATAGAAACCGAGAAACACTCTGGATGCCATGTACGTTCAAGTGCACGTATCGAGTTGGTTGACAATATAGCATTACAAGCAGCACATCGATCCAACCCATTTCCAGGCATAATATTAATCGTTTGTGTTGATGGTGGTGGAGATATACCTGATGCACTCGACATCATAGTTGACATATTTCCAATTGAACCAGTTGATAAATGATGATTATGATTATTATTATTATTATTGACAATGGGTGGGAATCCAGATAATGAAGATGATGAAGATGAAGATGATGATACATTTGGAAATGATGCCATTGAAATATTACCACCACTATTATTAATATTTGGTAAAGTTGGGAAATTTGATTGTTGTTGTTGAGCAGCAAGTTGTTGCTGTTGTTGTTGTTGTTGTTGTGCAGCAAGTTGTAATTGATGTTGAACATATGGTTTTAATTTCTCGACTCTTTCAAGATAGATCTTTGCCTTGTCATTTAAACTTTGTTTGATGATACTATCAGGTTCACCCTTGATTGCCAATAAAAAGTATGAACACGCTTGTTCATAGTATGAAGATGCCTTTCTGTAGTCTCTCAACTCTTCTTCACGTTTTCCCTTTGCAACCAGTCCCATTGCCACTTCATCAGCCTCTACTCTTCCCATTGTACTCTTTGAAGAGAATTGGTCACCAACAGATGGCATAGATGATAGTTTCGATAAAGTATCATTTGAACTACCGGTACTACCAAATGATGATGTTGATTGATTCATACCAACACCACCAGCAGATGGGAATTGATTAATCGATGCAGATGATGGTTGTACAACACTGGTAGTCATATAAGTATTAGTTGATGGTAATGTTACATTGGCTACTGATGGTGATACTGATGATGGTATTGATGGAAAGTTGAATATTGCATTACTATTATTACTATTACCTCCAACACCTGTGCTAGTTGAAGAGGAAGAAGAAGAAGCTAAATTCTTTATAAACTTGTTACGATTTGTGTATTCTTCAATCTTTGTCTTTACAAGAGCAGTCCTCGATGGATCCTTTTCGCTGACAATCGCTAGTTTAAGGTTGAGTATTGCTTGTTCATACAACTGCGATGCCAGAGTATATTGTTTTGATGTGTCTGCTTCAACTGCCTGTTTAGCTAGTTGTAATCCTGTTTGTAATATTTCATGTGACATGTTGTGCTGCTGTGATGATTTAAAACTAGTGTACTAGTTTAATATAATAATAATAGATTGAGTAAAAAGTAAAAGTAAAATAAATAATAATAAATAGTGTTACTAATCTAATATACAATGAGAGGGAGGGGGTTGCTTGCTACCCTACACAAAAATACAGTAGTAGTTATACTTTTTTATTAATAATTTAATTTTTATTAATTTCCGCTGATGCAGTTCAGAGAATCAACACCCAACCTCCTTGGGTTCTATATAGTGTAGTTTTTAGCTTTAGTATGTTTGTCTTTGGTTTTGGGGATCATTAATATATTATTTTTTATTACCATATATGTATATTTTAATTTATTTATTTATTTATATATGTATGTATATTAGAGTGTTAAATCCAATTCAGAGACAGCACCTTTAATGAATTTAGCAACTTCTTTGTCTTTGGTGATGAGAGATGCGTGACTGGCTGGGAGGTGGAGTACTTTGGCATTGACCATTGCAGACATTGCAGTTTGTGCAGCGAGTGGGAGAATACGATCCTCGTCGGATATTTGGTACCAACATGGAAGACCCTTGTAACCAAGTGTGGTAACATGCTCATAGACACACTTGAGACCGAGTGGTTTTTGGGTTTGTAGCCAGACTGCGCAATCAGCATCGGAAGCATCGTGAGCCAATACAGTCTTGAATAAAGTTGGATTGAGCCAGAGATTACCGTAGCCGTCTGGAAGCATAAGGCCGTCTGATGGGAACTGAAGGTTACCTCCTAGGGCGGCATCCAAGTTTTGACCTTCACTTGGAATGATACCATTGACAAAGAGTAGACCGGCAACCTTGTTTTGTAGTTTGGGAACGGCTTCAGAGATGACAAAACCACCATAAGAGTAACCTACCAATAATACCTTTCCATCGATTCTTTCAACCAGTCTTCTCAAAGCTTCAACATCGTCAGTCAATGATGTCAATGGTAATTGTACACCATAGACTTGATGTCTCTTGGCGAGTCGAACTAAAACCTTTCTCCAAATCCCTGCATCACACCATGACCCGTGAACCAAAACTACTTTAACTTTTGGTGTTGGTTTGGTTACTTGAATTGGTTCCATTTTTTTAAATATAAAGATATTATATGTATGTATATGTAGAGTATAGAGAGAGATTGATGAAATAGAATGAAAATGAAAAATGAAACGCGAAAGAGAATGATCACTTGACGGTTTATGATGACGACGGTTTGCTTGTCTTTGAGACAGTAAAAAAAATCTTCGAGATATTTTATTGATTAAAAAAATATCATTCAGAAAAGTTGAATAAACCAATGGAAAGTTCAAGTTTTAATCGTGTATACCAAGGGTTTATTGTAACCAAGTCTAATAAATCTAAAGATTATCACATAAATATCTATTGATCAACTTCTTTGGAAATATTTGAAAAACAATGAACCAAAGGGGCAAGGAACCATAGACATCACGGCCAGACGAATCATAATCTATTTTCCCCATTACTTTTTAAATGTGTACGGGTTACTGCCAACCTGCAAACATTGAGTGATATTTAATCACATATCTTTCGAGAAAGTCTTTCACTCAACACCCACTGCCTGCATCTACATCATTGTTTGCCTCTTTTGAAAAAAGAATAGAATTAATCAAGAATAGTATAAGATAAGATAAGATAAACAAACAAATTAAATAGTAAGTATAGATAGATTTGATTTGATTTTTTTAAAAGGGATTGTACAAAAATACTCTTATTGTAACAAATGTTTTGTTTTGATTGCTTTTTATTAATTTAATTTATTATTTACAGATTCTATTTTCTATTTTTCTCTAAGATGATGAAGAAGTATTTGTATTTGCGATTGGGACAAGTTTGATATCATCAAGATAGATTTTAAATGCAGATGAACCTATGTTTCTAAAAGCGAGGTTGGTTGGTTTGCCAAGAGAGTCTGGTGCACCGAGGGACGAGAGTGAAAAGGTTTGTTTAGTCCAAGAGGTGGAGACTGGTACGGTGACAGTGGTGGCATAGCCGACGGCGAGTGTGCTGATGGCAGAGTCACCCTTGATGTAAAACTCGAGACTGTCAAAAAGAGGTGCCCACTCGACTGGGAGGTCGGTACCGATTTGAATGGATCCGATGGGGTTGATGGTGGCAGAGCAGACTGCAGCGCCACCCTCTCTGGCAGCAGATGTATCGGCCCAGTTAATATTGGCGTTGGAAGACCAATCGGCCCATCCAAGATTGGGGTGGTTGTAGTCGAGTGGCTTGACAAGCGATCCATTGTGGTAGATCCAACCTTGTGCGTCAACTGGAAGAGGAGCGACACAAGCGTCCTTGATACCGGTGACTGGCTCGCCAAATTGGCCGGTTCCCTCGGTCACGACAGCACGGGTGAACGACTTGACCATGACATCAACACGCTCGCCATACTTGGAGTAGACACGAGCAACGATGGGGAACTTGACTTGACCTTGCTCGCCAGAGTAGGTCCAGTAGTTGTAAAGACGACGTGGGAGTGAGATGACCTTGCCATCGGCAGTTTCAATGTCGATATGGTCCAAACCAACCTTGTGATTAAATACCATAAATTCAAACCATTGGGCAGTAGTATCGGCATCCTTCATCAACAGCTTGATAGGACCTTGGACATAGTCGCAAGACACCTTCTTGGCAGTACTCATAAATACTCCAACAGTGCTACCTCCAGCTACAGCAAATGCTTCAGGTGATAAATCAAAATGTGGGAATGAAGTATCACACCATCCTGGATCTGGACATTGGTCAACAATCTAAAAAAAAGGTAAAAAAAATAATTAATTAAATTAATTAATATTTTTGAATTTCACTTTTTCTTTTAATTATTACATACAGTTACAACTTGAGTACCCATTGGACCATTTATTTCATAACATTCACCACATGCACTTGAACCATTGTAGACTGCTGTAGCGGCAGCTGCAATGAAACGATGACCTGGACCGGTTGGACCTTCGAGTGGACCATATCCACAGTTTCCATGTTCGACGGCTTCATACCATGTGGATCTTGATGAGAAACATTCACCCAAATCTGTTGCACCAAGTACACCAGAAATGGTTACCATTAATATAGAACTAATGGCTATTAATTGTTTTGAAAATTTCATTATTAAATATTTATATAAATATTATTATTATTTCATAAAGGGAAATATATATTTGTTGATTATTATTATTAATGTTTTTAACTTTTAAAAGTTTTGAAATGAGAATGATTGTAAAACAATGTTTATATATAGTAGTTGTAGAGATTTAAACAAGAGTCAGTTAATCTTCGAAATTATAGTTTGTCAAACAACTTCAAATAATTTAATTTAATTAATTGAATCGTACATCAACTGTTTAGATTATCAGTACTGGAACCACCGATATTGTCAAACAGTTGGAGTTTTGATTTGTTTTAATTAAATTTTAGGTCTTTTGGAGGAACATTGAGTTGGCCTCCTCCTCGAGACACGGTCCTATGAACATATGGGAGGAGCTTCAAAATTAAACGTTGATCTCTAAATCTAAAAAAGGTCATTTGAAAAAAAAACAAAAAGGACACCGTTTTTAAAATCATTTTTAAAATCTCCAACGTTGGTCTATTGTTCTAACCAACCCATCCATCTCAACATTGGTGTCCAAAATATCAAATAGTTTTTAAAATTCTTAAAATCAAAAAAAAAAAATAAAAAAGACCAAATATTTAAATTAAACTGATTTATTTTTGAATTTCAAAATATTATAAAATAATTAATTTTGATTTTTGTTTTCCAACCAGTTCTAAAAATAATTGTTTTTAATTTTTATAAACGTCAACTGCTGAAAAAACAAATTAATTATTATTATTTTCATTTTTTTTCCAAATTTTCAAAATTTATTGTTTCAATATTCCAAAATAAATTGAAGTTCCAAAAAATAAAAGATTTTTTAATTTGGATTGAATACTATGTTAATGTTATAGATCTAATATATGGGAGCCAATCAATAATATTAATATTGCCGGCAACGGAATTTGGGGAATGAGAGAGAAAAAAAAATAAAAAAATGCATTATGTGAGATTTTTGGGAACATCAAAGAAAACTCGCTCAAATTGAGTGGTTATCTTGATTTCAATTCTTCTTATCGTCTTCTCATTTCTTCTTCTTCTTTTTGTTAGAGTAGAGTATATGTACATTCAAAGATCCTTTTCATTTGTAAGAAGATCATTATCAATAACAACAACAACAACAACTCAATTCATATCAACAACAAAAACAACCAATTCAAATTATTCATATTACAGTAGTAAAAGTAAAGAAACAGACATGTCACAACAAGCATTTAGTAGAGCAGGTTTAGAAGACTTGATGAAACGTAGATTCTTTATTACACCAGCATTTGAGATTTATGGTGGTGTAGCAGGTCTCTATGACTATGGTCCCCCAGGTTGTGCAATCAAGGCCAACTTGATCAACTTGTGGCGTCAACACTTTGTCATCAACGAAGATATGCTCGAAGTTGATTGTACATCTCTTACACCAGAGGTTGTCCTCAAGACATCTGGTCACGTTGCCAAGTTTGCCGATTTCATGGTCAAGGATGAGATCACCAAGCAGTGCTACCGTGCCGATCATTTGCTCGAACAACATATCGACAAGTTGTTGGAAGACAAAAAGATCACTGCTGAACGCAAGGAAGAGCTCACTCATGTACGTGCCAAGGCTGGTGACTATGGTCAATCTCAATTGACCGAAGCACTCAAAAAGTATGGTGTCAAGTGTCCAGACACTGGTAATGCCATCACCGAGCCATACCCATTCAATCTCATGTTCCAAACTCAAATCGGTCCATCTGGTCAATTGGTTGGTTTCATGCGTCCAGAAACCGCTCAAGGTATCTTTGTCAACTTTAAGCGTCTCCTCGATTACAACGCCAACAAACTTCCATTTGCCGCTGCTCAAATTGGTAACTCTTTCCGTAACGAAATCGCTCCACGTTCTGGTCTTCTTCGTGTACGTGAATTCACAATGGCTGAAATTGAACATTTCGTCAATCCACATGATAAATCTCATCCAAAGGTAAAAGACAAAAAAAGAAAACAAATCAAATCTAAAAATATATCAATGTTAACATTATATATTTCCTTTTCTATTTAGTTTGAAGAAGTAGCAAATATTAAAGCTAATTTATTAACATCGGAAGCTCAAGATGGTGATAAAAAGGTAGTAGAGATGACATTTGGTGATGCAGTTAAACAAGGTACTATTAATAACCAAACACTTGCCTACTTTATGTGTCGTACTCAATTGTTCCTTCATACTATTGGTATCAAACCCGAACGTATGAGATTCCGTCAACATCAACAAAATGAAATGGCCCATTATGCCTCTGACTGTTGGGACGCTGAGATTCACACCTCGTACGGTTGGATCGAGTGTGTTGGTCATGCTGATCGTAGCTGTTACGATCTCACTGTGCATTCGGACGCCTCGCGTATCCCCTTGGTCGCCTTTGAAGAGTTTAAGGACGGTCCCAAGACAATCGAGGTGGTCGATGTCAAGATCAACAAGAGCAAGATGGGCAGCACCTTTAAAAAGGACGCCAAGGCCCCAATGGACTACCTCGAAGGTTTGGCCACCAAGATGGAAGAGGCATTAAAGTTGCGTGACGAACTCGACGCCGCCGGCTCTGCCACTATTGTCGTCAACGACCAAGGTTACAACATCACCAAGGAAATGGTCTCGTTTACTCAAGCCACCAAGAAATTGACCGGTCAATCATTTGCTCCACATGTCATTGAACCATCTTTTGGTCTCGGTCGTATCATCTATTCGCTCTTGGAACACAGTTACTCTGTGCGTCCAGCTACCGAAGAAGACAAGGCTGAAGATGCCAACAAGAAGCTCGACAGAGCCGTCCTCTCTTTGCCAGCCATCATCGCACCTGTCAAGACCTCTGTTCTCCCACTCACCCAATCCGAAGCTCTTGCTCCATTTGTCCAACAAATTACCCGTCTCCTCAAGGAACAAGGTATCTCTAGCAAGGTCGACGAGTCTGGTGTCGCCATTGGTCGTAGATACGCCCGTACCGATGAGATTGGTATCCCATTCGCCATCACCATTGATTTCACCACTGTCGAAGATCAAACTGTCACCCTTCGTGAACGTGACACTATGATTCAAGTCCGTGTTCCACTCCAACAAGTTGCTACCACCATCAAACAACTTTCTGAAAATACTTTACAATGGACTCAAGTTGCCAATACTTTTCCAGCTCACAAGTAAATAAATTCTCAAATCAAATCAAATCAACTTTACTTTTCCAGTCTCAAAAGTAAATTCAAATCAAATCAATTAAATTATTAGATAGAAAAAAAAAAAAAGATAAAAGGGGAATGATATATTAGAAAATTGATTAGACATGTTTAAAGATTATTCATTGGTTGTTTCCAGAGTTGACCACCACTCCAATTTTTAAAATAGATTTTAAATCTTTTTTCTTTTTTGGTTCAATTGGATTTGATAAGACGAGCAACTATAAATTATCTATATATGATTAAAAGTAGTTAATATTAAAGTAAAATTAAATGGTATCTGAATCAGGTATAAATAATTTAGAGGAGAAAAGAATATTTAATATTTTGGGTTATCAAACTAACAAAAAAGTATTTTTTTTTATAAAAAAGTTTGTGAAAGATTATTAAGAGGAATAGCAAGTTTATTTGCAATTGCATGTACTATCATTGTTGAAACTATTAGACTTGCATGGTTTGTTTTTGTAGGAATATGTGTCATTTCCCCTATCTTTTGTGTTTTTGCTTATTTTTGTAAGAACCAAAATTGAAAAAGAGATAATATATTTTTGTTATTTTTTTTTTTAAATATTAATATTATTATCTTTCTATCTTTATCTTTATAGTACCATGGATTAAAATTAATTTAGATGTAGCAGTTTTTAATCCATCAAATTATACAATGCCAATTGGAAATCAAACCTATGAAGTTGATTACTATTTAAATTATTATAGTGTCTATTTTGGTCAAAGTCAAAATGATTGCGATTATGGTCAAAACAACACAAAGATTATTGTAAACAATAATAGTAATGGTAGTGATGACTCTATTCAATGTTCATTTGTAAATGAATTGGGTCAAAATTCAATCTTTATGACTAGACAAGATGCTGAAGAAACTTCAAAGACAATGTGTAGATTACTGATCTCACAATTTGTCTTGTCGTTTGTACTGATGCTATTGTTGTGTCAAAAGTTTACATTGAATCGTGCTCCATGTTGTATGCTTTTGGTTTATCTCGGTCTTGTCTCTACCGAGGTGACACTATTAGTATACTTTCGTCGTGCCTTTATCCCATCACTTGGCATCAACCATCAAATCCTCGCTTTACCCGATAAAGTCGACTTTGTCTATACCAAAGGCTTCTATTTCGCTCTTGTATCATGTCTAAGAGAAATCATCACTCTTTGTGTTATCTTTGTTGATCCAGCATCTTCACAACGTAATAAAGGTGGTTATGCTCCTATTGAAGTGTAAGTAGGAGACAGAGAAAGCCAAAAATAAAAAAAAATTGAATTTTACCCTCACCTCTGAGTTTGAGTGACAGATTGCGACACCAATCTTCAAGACAGCTGTTAAAATCGGTCAGTCATCACTTCCTCATAGTAATTCTATCTCTCAATAATATACAACGGTCAGTCATCTACAATGTAGAGCTCTATAAAAGAGAGCCTTCAGAGGCTCTAGAAATCATTCTTCAACAAGTTAGTACCTCCTCTCTTCCAGTCCTAGTCTTAGTCCTCTCGAGCCTGCCTAGTCTTAATCCCTTTAGTCCTATAGTCCTCTGCCTACCTGCCCTCGCTATCAACCCTTTTTGGTAAGATACATACACTTCACTTTAACTTTAGTCTATCATCATATGATGTCGCTAGCCTTCTTTTTTTTTTTTTTTTTTTGCTTGCAGCTAACTCTCCTTATCACAAGCCTTGTTGTGATTGCCTCATGGGGCAAATCATTGACCAACCCAATGCCATCATCACTTCATTGGGATCTTATAGGAGGGATTATTAATAGTACACCATGATGATGATTACAATAACATCTTTTGTCTCTCTCTCTCTTCAATCGTTTCAATGTTTAACCTCAAACAGTTTTGTTTCTTTTCTTTCTTTTCTTTTTGTTCATTCATAATATATACAAGTTATTATTACTTTAAAAAAAAATACAATAATACGATAATGGTAATAATAATAATAATAATAATAATAATTTAAATATTATGAATGAATGACATTTTTCAATCTCATTGCAGATAGGAGTGTGTTACTACTTTTGAAACCACTCACACTCAACTCTATTATCTACTCTCTCTCTCTCTCTCTCTCTCTCTCTCTCTCTCTCTCTCTCTCTCTCTCTCTCTCTCTCTTTAATATGATGATCACCCATCCAATGATCAAGATCCAATACTCTCTCTTTCCTCTTTTGTGTTTTGTGTGTGTTGTATATTATTTAATTTGTTTTATTCTTCCAGCGAACCAAACCACGCACACTCAACAATATTAGGATAAAGAAGAGTGATGAAAAGTAGCCAAGTTAAGATGTGATCATAATATAATATAATATTGTATGCAATTCTTAATGTTATTGTTTTGTTCTATTTCTATTTCTATTCTATTTCTTTTATTCTTATACTATAATAATAATAGTAGTACAACCATCATGATGTATATATTTCAACTTTTCGATATAAAAAATGGTAAATGTCAATTTAGAAAACATCCAGTCAATTGTAAAATATATATATATATATATATCATTATCATTATCATTATCATTTAAGCAAAGCAATCAAATCAAATCAAATCAATTTTAGTTTAATCACAGTGATGATTGGAGTATAGTATATAGTATAGTATAGTTTGAGTGAGTTCGTAATTGGATTAATTAATTAATTAATACTATGATGAATGATGATGATAAACTTCGATTGTATCTAGATAGGGAATATATTATATTCTATTATATTATTGATTGATCAATAACAGGGAAATATTATATATATACATAATAACAAAAGACCAATATAAATAGCATCACTTCTACTTCCCTTCAATCACACGATTGTATATATAAATATATATGTTCCGGTATATCATCCAATCCATCCAATCCATTAACACCACACACAACACAAACACATTTATTATTTTTTTTATACCATTAAATGGGTAGTGGGTTGGAATATACACATACAAAAGTGGATTGTATTAATGCAACGTTGGGTTAATTGGCAGTAGATAGAATCAATCAATCAGTCAGTCAGTCTTCACACACACATATTTTTTATATTTTTTTAATTACCCTCCTATCATTATCATCACCAAATAATATTTTGTTGTTATTGTTATTATTATTATTATTGTTGTTATACTCAATCAAATAATAGTTTCAGAATTGACAAGAGTTCTTGCTTTTTTTGGATATATTACAATCGACGTAGTAGTAGTAGTAGGACAATCTACACTACACCAAAGACAAGCAACTACAAACAGAGTACTACTACTACTCTACCACCCACTCACTATCAACCGCATTTATCACAACTCTTTTTCCTGTCCTGTCCTTTTTTTTCCCTATCTCTTTTTTTTTTTTTTTGTTTCAGTAATCAAATAATTTAGTCTGCTAGTACTCAATTACACTACTACCCTCCACAATAATAATAATACTGCTTGGTGTTTTGGACATAAATGTATGAAGGTAAATTAAATTTTATTCTTTTTTTGTTTTCTTCTCTCTCTTTTTATTTTTTTGTTGGGAAATTAATTTCCATTCATCCACATCACATATATCAATCACATCAACAACAGACATCCAACGACAGACAATAGCCAACATAATAATTGATATTAATAATATTTTCCCTACTCCACTCTTTATAGCCTATAAACCAATTACAGAGAACTTTCCATTCCTGATATTTTTCTTCACTTGCTACTTTGCTCTTATTCATTCCATTATGCCTACCATTGCCAAAAAATCAATCAAAAAATCAACTTCTTCCAACTCCAACAACAACAATCAAACTTCCATGGAAAAAGTAGCCAACAACAGCAACAACACTGACACCAACAATATGAGTGGCAGTAGCAGTAGCAGTAGCAGTAGTTCTGGTAGAATCGATGGTGGAGAAATCTCAAAGATTGTAAATAGAATCACCAAGAAATTAAATCATATAATATCCTCTTCAGAATCTAGAAAATCTACTCCACCATCATCACCATCATCAACAACAAACCAACAACTTGAAAATTCAACCAACAACAACAACAATAATAGTACCAATTTATCATTTAATAATTTAAAGAAATTTTTAAATTCTTCATCATTATCATCGATTAAACCATATAAACAAACCAACAGCAGTAACAACAACAACAACAACAATAGTAGTGAATCCATTCTTTTAAATTTACAACAACAACAATTAAAACAAACCGATTCCAACAATATAACTACACACTCTTCTTCCGAAACAACAGATTATTTTCCATTTTTAAATTTACCAGAAGAATTAATAATAGAGGTATCAACCTTTTTAGATTTGAAATCATTGGCCAATCTATCAACTGTATCTAAAGATATAGCCAGATTGGTATTCAACGATGTATTGTTTTGGCGTCAAAAGGTACAGGAGATTTGGACAAGTGCTGCTCCATCTACATCCATGTTGCACCAACTTGGCGTTGGCAGTAAATTTGAATGGTACCAATACTACAAGATGCGTCATCTCATGTCGCAGTCGGGTGCCGTCCACTCGACATTGGTGCGCGTCAAGGGTACCACCCCGTCGGCTCGCTACCAACACACTGGCGCCGTCGTCGGCAACAACATCTACTATATCGGTGGCCAAGAGACACAGGTGCGCCGATTCAACGATATTTTCAAATTCAACACCGACACGCAACGATTCTCCAAGGTGGAGATCCAAGGGCCGACCGCTCCACCTCGATTTGCTCGTCACACATCCGTCGCCATTGGCACCAAGGTCTATGTGTTTGGTGGGTTTGACGGCTCGGGTATCTACTTTGATCTCTCGATATTCGACACTGAGGACAATAGATGGCACACTGCCTGTGTCGGCGGCAAACCACCTCGTTCGCGTACCAACCACGCCGCTGCAGCCATCGGCCACAAGCTATACATTCACGGCGGTATCAACCGTGACACGCATTGGGCACTCCAAGATCTCGACGAGTTCTATGTCTACAGCACTATCACTGGCTATTGGAGCGAGGTAAAGTGTACCGGCGACAAACCAACTGCTCGTTGCGGTCATCGTATGGTTGCCATTGGCAACAAACTCTACATGTTTGGTGGCGGTGCAGGTGACAGTTGGCGTGAACGTTACAATGACATTCACATTTTCGACACTGAAACCAACGCTTGGAGAAGGGTCCCACCCAACCCAATCGTTCGTGTCTGTACCTTTTCAAGTGTGTTTGTCTTTGGTAATCTCATCGGTGTCTATGGTGGTCAACATCTCATCAAAGGAAAAGTCACTAAAAAGATTTATTTCTTTGATACCATCTCTGAAACTTGGATTAAACAATCTTTTAAACCAAATAGTATAAATAATCAAAATAACAGTAATAACAGTAATAATAATACATCAACATTATCAGCATCAAGTTTATTTAGTAGTAATCACAATAATCATCATCATATTGGAAATATGGAAAATAGAAATAGTGGTCCAAACACTAATAGTCTCATCAATCCAAGAGATATGGCATCTGCCGATGTAGTAGGTGACAAAGTCTATCTATTTGGTGGATATGATGGTAAAGCTATGGATGATTTAAATATTATTACTCTTTCTAGTGAAATTAAAAACCTTCAATACTTTAAAAGGTAATTGATTGAAATTTAATAAATAAATAAATAATTTAAAAACAAAAAAAAAAACAAATTTATTAAATTATTTTTATTTATTTAAAGGAGAGTGTTTTAGACTAACTTTGCTCCGACAAATAGTATATAGAATCATTACTATGAGGAGGATTCTGTAAAGGATTACCAGTTAATGAAGAAGAAGAAGAGGAAGAAGAAGACAACGAGCAAGAATAAGAGAGCGTTACTAATTCTTTGGTTAAATTGTTGGTTTTGGTTGGATTAGAGTAATCCACCAACGTCAATGAACGATTGATTTCGATTGTTTAAAAGGTTATATAAATGTTTAACCAGTTAAATATGAGAGGTTTAAACATATCCATAAGCCCAACTTGGTCTACTGAATCTTGATACCGAATTTATAGATTGTTGTTGTTGTTGACCGACATTATTTTGTGATCCAATTGATGTTGAAACAAAAGATGATTGTTTGAATGATAATTTTGAAAGGTTTTCTATAAAAAAAAAATAATTTAAGTAATTTTGTTTATGTATAAAGATCTGATGTATGAATATTATTCTTATTTTAATACTTACGGAAAATCATTTTTAAAGAAGTAAGTATATTTTTATTGAAAAAGAGTAATAAAAGATTGGATGTTGAATGAATGATGAAATAAAAGTTAAATGGAAGGTATTTATACATTTTTATTGATTGTCTCACATTAGAGTGTTGATGTCAACGACAGAGAGTATTATTATAATTATGATATATAATCATCATCTAATAGATTAATAGTGGTTTACTGTCGTTATCATCTAGTGATAAATACTACATCTAAAAGTTGTGTTGTGTTGACATCAGTTTTAATTCCAACAATTAATTGTGATGCCATTTTTTTATTGGGTCTGCCAAGATTTAATCTTTAAAATCAATCATCATCATAATCATCTATACTTTTTACGACAAATGGGATCCATCCATGGATTAACATTAAATACATCAACTGATCATTCGTCATGTCACTTTTATATTTTGGACAAGATTGTTAGTGTCATTGAACATCGCAAATTTGTGTATATTCAATCAAAATGATATCTCATTTAAATGTCATCAACACTCTATAGAATCATTGATCATTGATTCAACTGATCCAGTCCAAGGGGAGAGAGAGATACTGCTACCCCAATATACCACCACTTTTTTTTGTTTGGGTTAACACCCCCTACCCTTAACTTTCCTTTACATTCCTTACTCTAAAATTTCTATTTGGGAATAAATAGATAATCACCTATCCCTAAATAGAGAGAGTACTTAAAATAACCAACTTGTTTGATCCGATTTATTATTTTGTTATTGTGAGAGTGTGTGTTTGTCCCCGACTCTGATTTAACACACCCATAAATAATATGACATAGAGAGAATGAGTGTGGGTTCGTCAGAATAATATTATTAGTGTTTTTTTTTCTTTCAACACAACCACACAAAATTAGTGGAATGGAGGATGGTATCACTACACATTGTTTATAGTATCATCATACAACCATCACATCACTCACATGTTTTAACCATCAAAAACTAACTTTCTTTTCCAAACGATGGACTAATAAGGAATCATATATCCGAAAATTTCCTAAATTATCACTACCAGCCTGTCCGCCAATGTTCCAGCTCATCATATGATTCCCTAAATGATGTTTACACTAACCAACCCCCATTTTCAGAGGTATTCAAAGTTCTAAATAACTTACCCCAAAACAACAAGTATGGTTACTGGATCATGAATTTTGTATAAATAGAAATCATTTGATTTGATAATATCATTCATTCAATTCAAATCATTAAATATTAAATCTCCTTTCAAACTTTTTATAACAACCCAAACCTTTAAAAAATGCTTTATAGTATGTATATTAAAATTAAAAAAAAAAAAAATGGAGTGAACAAAGAATTAATAAATTATTCCTATTTTAGAATCATTATCAAATATTGGAACCATTAATAAATCCAACGGAAAATCTATCCAACAACAACTCAATAATAATATGAATAATAATGTTTACAACCAAACGAATAATGGTTCAAGTACATTGAATTTAAATCAAACTTCAATGTTTTCTCGTCCATATTATTGTGCCTGGTAACTTTATGAATCCATAGGAATGCAAGTTACCACCTATTTATTTATTAATTATTACTATTAAAGTCCGAACCAAATCAAACACCCTTATTTATTAAATCTTCATCTTAAAATAAAAACAAATTGATTTTAACCTATATAAATATGTATTAGATCCAAAAAAGGAATTCCTCATGTCAGATTCAAATCCTGTCAAACCAGGTTTATTGTTTTTATTTTTTGTTTTGTTTGTTTAGTGTTCACGTTATACTATTCATGATGGTGTTATCAATGACGTATGCTAATATCATCATAAGAATTTAGTAAATGTTTTACTCCTGTAACCAGGTTAATTAATTTGAATCTAAATTAGATGTTGTCATTTTGGCAGATGGATCGATAACAAGCATTTACCTAGAGTTGGAAAATGTCGTTTCAAAAAATCGGAATATGGGTGTGTTGACATCAACCAGTATTTTGTGGTTGACGAATAGATCTTACATACTTTTTACTCACAAGTGCTAAATAACACAATTCAATCTATATGATGGCATATGGTATGCCATCATCGTTCAAGATTCCAAATTATTCACATTGTTTCTCACTGGTTATTTACCATTTGGATTTATTACCTTTTGTAATCGATATTTGTTGATGTTATCATTGACATCAGTATCTGATTATATCAATAAAAGAATGACGCAAACTAGCAGAGTTTATTGTTAATTTTCAATAATAAAATGTACCAAGTACCGAAATCGATCGAAATTAGTATTTACCAATGGTATCAGTTCCCTTCATTATCATCATACTCTGCTAATTGTAATTTAGATCCTATAATCAATTGATTGTCAGGGTATAAATAAATAGAATTCATTTTGTTAATTAAATTAACAATCCAAATCAATCCAGACCAGAGTACTACACTATCTAGATATTTATAATTGATTTCTAGGATCTAGAAATGAATGATATAGTTTTCAATTTCTTTAGATTTTAGATCATACAAAACATATTCATATTCATAAATTCAATTTAATTATTATTATTATTTTCTTTATTTTTTTTTGTTTTTTTTTTTTCTTTGACAATGGAAATCAATATTATTGATCACCTGGTAGATTTGGTAAAGGAAGTTCAGTACTTTGTAGGGTATTTCTCAATACAATAAATTTAGTCAATACCAATTATAATAATTGATATTTGTTTAATAGTAGATGATATCATCACATGTACAGATTTAATTTGTTGTAGAACCCACACGCTTTTTCATTTTGCCGCTTACCAATTTAATTAAATTAATGAACCGTACCACATATTTAATACATCATACAATGTATGATTATATTGATAAAACTGCCCACTACTAGCACTCTTTTACACATTTTCCAATTCAATTTAACATGTACTCACATTAAAATTGTGTAAATCAATGATTGCGACATGTCAATTTGATTAATTGGATCTGTTAATTGATGACACCAACATTTAATACATCGTGTCATATACAATTTATTTGTGGTGGTGATAATATTATTACCGATACCACACCTCTCTAAATGAATATAAATAGTTTAATTTGATCATTCTTTAAAAATCATCAAATTCAATATCTTAATTTAATAAATATCTAATTCACTAAACAACAATAATAATAATAAAATGATTTTCAGTAAGTATCAATTAATTAATATATATATAGATCTATTTTAATATTGAATATTAATTCCATGTTTTTCTTTTTCTTTTTTTTTTTCTTTTTAGATTCATTCTCAAAACTTGGTTTCTCTTTAAAGCAATCTACCACTACTTCTTCATCTTCTACTATCCTTGGTCAAAAGCCAATGATGAATTACCAAAGTGAAAATAGTACTACATTTGCTCGTTTCACCAAACCATATTGGTCAAATTGGTAAATCTAAAATGTGTTGCCAAAATAATGAGCTCCTATGGCCATCCAATCCTGTAAAATGTGTACATACTTTGTATTCCCAAATATTATTTATCTATCTCTATCTCTCTTGATGTGATTCATTTCCCAATCAAATAACCGAAACCCTATTTATTTAAAAAATTAATAAAATCTACTTTAATCTAATTTTAAATCTTTAAAAGATTGTAACTTGTATTTCTTTGATCAGATTAGAATCTAATCTGATGATGATTAATCTATTATTTAATAAAATACAAGATAGTCCTATTACAAATAAATCAGGTCATCAACACCTTGTGTCATGACCATTATAATGAGAACCATGATGTTCTGGTCACAACTTTGTTATAACAAAATCTGTACTCTTCATGTCTTGTTAACAAAGTGTAGCTACAAAGATAAATTATTTCTTTACTTTATTGTGTACTAATGAATACTATTAACAACATAGAGAGTTTGAAAAAAAAAAAATTAAAAAAATAATTTTGAAAAGGAGGGAGAAGCAACAACAACAACAAATTACTCTTTTTTCAACTACTTTCTGATTCAGAAACATTAGTTTATCTAACAGATATATAGACAAAAGAGAGAATGAAAAAGAAATATAAAACTACATTCCCAAGAGAGAGAATCAAAAAGATTATGCAAAAGGATGAGGAGATTGGAAAGATTGCTTTGGCTACTCCCATTTTGATGTGTATGTACATTGGTGTAATTCGTCGTTTGTCGTTTCGATATATACATATTGTTGCATGTGAACTAACTTTAATATTCTATACTTGAAATATATAATATAGCACAATGCTTAGAGTTATTCATGACTGATTTAGTATTAAAAGCATGTACAGTCACACAAGCAAGGAATGGAAAGATTATAACTGTATCACATTTGTATGAATATCAAAAACTGATTAAAAGATAGATAGATAGATATAAGAAGAGACTAATCATTAAATGATACTATTGATTAATAGGAAATCATGTATACTTTCAGAACCAATGTTTGACTTTTTAAAAGATATCGTTGAAAAGGTACCCGAACAAGACGAAAAGACAGAGTCACGTCGTGGTAGACCAAAGAAGGAAGGATCGAATGAAGACGACACAAAAGAAGAGACTGAAATGGATATGGGCGATGATGAGTCGTCTAGCGAAGACGATGATGACGATGACGACGATGATGACGACGACGATGATGATGATGACAAGCCATCTTCTTCTACTACCACTACACCAGCAAGAGGACGTGGGTCTAGGGGTGGCAGAGGATCAAGAGGAGGAAGAGGTGGTAGAGGAGGTGCTGCAGCTGCTGCAGCTGCAAATGGAGACACACCACCACCAACCACAAGAGGTGGTGGACCTGGATCAAGAGGTGGAAGAGGTGGTAGAAAGAAATCAGTTGATCAAGGTGCACCACCACCACCAAACGGCGATGTAAATACGGTATTGGAGAATGGTGGAGAAATACCTCAACCACCATCAACACCAAAGAAAAAGAGAGCTAGTAGTAAGAATGCTAATGCTTCCTCATCGACAGAATCACCAAAAAATAGTCCATTCTTGTCATCTAGTACTGGTGCTTTACCAACCAGCAGTCCTACATCGGCAACCATTTCACCTCCATTATTTAATATGAATAATATTCAACAATTACAACCTCCACAACTACAACAACAACAACCAAACATACAATTCCAACCATCGCAACAACAACAACAACCAACATTCCAACCATATCAAATACCAGAAACATCTAATCTTTTTGGTAATATATTATCACAGTCTACATCTGCCATTCCTACGACTACATCACCTCCACTCACTTCATCACTATCTTCATTACCACCACTCACTATTCCATCTCTTGGCAGACCACAATTACCACAACAACAACCACAACAACCAACAATAATCCCAGGATTGCCATCTGTAGGAGGTGTAATAACAACACCTGTTGCAGGCAATTTTTCCTCAAAATCATCAACCACGACCAAGAAAAATATCAATTTTGACGAAGATGATGATTTCGATAGTGAACCCTCATCAAATACAACTACTACTACTACAAATACAATAGCCGCAGTAGTGGCTCCACAACAACCAAATAATAATAATAATAACAATAACAAAAATCATATAAATAGTTTAATGAATAGTGATGAATCTATCAACACCAGCATGTCATTTTCATCACATTTTACTTATCCATCTTTATCAAACCAACCTTCATCATCATCTTCCTCCAATTCTTCTTCATCATCATCATCTAAATCTAGTATTATGCATCTTTTAAATTCATCAAATTCCAAATCATCAGTCGAAGATGAAAATTTTGATGAATAGAGAAATAAAGAAAGAAAAAAACAAACCAAACTATACATATATAATCATAACAAAAATAGATTCCAGTAGTAGTTATTGTATTACTTATACTTTTTTTTTCGATTTGGAATGTGTAATGTGATCACTTTTGTGTTATTAATTATGATTATTATTATTATGATATATATAACTATACAATTTTGATATTTGGTGGATGGAAGAGTTGTGTGTGTAATAAATTTAAATAAATACTTGGTAGACACCTAATGTTTCGATGAATGGATACAAGAATACACTTGATAAGAAATAAAATAATATTCCAAAAGCTATAGATATTGGAAGTGCAGGTAATGCTTTTCTAAAAATAGCCAATAATAATAATGTTGCAAATAATCCCTAAAAAATAAATTAAATTAAATTAATAAATGAATGATTATTATTACTTTTTTGTTTGTTTTACATACAGTAACAATAGCAACAAAGCAGGTAAATACAGTACTCATATCGAATAAAGCAGCACGACCCAATAATACAGAATAGAAAACAAAATCACCCAAACCCAACTTTAAACTTCTTCTTTGTTCTCCTACTTCTTCAATTTCGATATCTTCTTCTTGTCCTTCTTGACCATCTTGTTGTTGTGATTGTTGTGGTTGATCTCCATCTTGTTGTTGATCACTATCACCTTCAATCAATGGTTCATTTTCATTATTACTATTACTACTACTCTTATTTGTTGATCTTGGTGATTGTACTCTATTTGGTGGTGGATCAAAGTTTGCTAATAATATCAAAATAAATGAATTAATTAATATCTATCTATCGTTTGTTTTCGACAATATTATATATATATAATGTTACCATTATAAATTAAAGCAGGAATAGTTTCATTTCTTTCTTGAGCAGTTTCAACCAATACACGAAGTGGACCCTTTGGGCAAAGTACCGCAAAAAGATCATAGATTGAGACGATGGCTAGAATTGACCATGTGGTCCATGATGGGAGACGAGTAAATGAAATGGCCATCAATGCAGATATGATAATAAGATAGGATTGATTTAAAATGGTTGGTGCATACCAAAAGATTGCTATAATACCACCTGCACTAAAATTCAACAATAAAAATGCAAACGTTATATAATCTATTGCTAAATTGTTTGCTTGTAGAATTGCCCTAAAATCATCATTTAAATAAAAGTATAATTAGTATAATTATAATATATAATATATAAATATATAAATATCTATGTAAACATACAAAAATATGTAACCACCAGTTGCAGCCAATAAAACACCAACTGAAAGGAACAACCAAGTATAAATAGCCTTTAGACAACGATACTTGTACAAAAAGACAAAACAAACGGTTGTAAATAGAATGGTGACAAGAAAGATTAATCCATTGAGTAATGATCCCCATATTTTCTCTCCAGTAGAATCATTACTTGATTCATTGTAATAAACTGTTATACCAACATATCTAAGAAACAATAGAGACAGATTAGTTTGTTGATTGATGTAAATAGATAGCAATGAATGAATGAATATTCATTAAACATACGAATTAAGATTATTTGATATAGATAGTTTTCTTACTGCCCATACTACTAAAAGCATTGTTATTGTTACAGGTTTCTGTAGAATGATGAAAGGGGTTAATATAAATATATATATATTGAATGTATATGACTATATGACTATTAATATGACTATACATACGAGGATAGCAATGATCATATGAGAGAAATCTTCAAGATCGGCTTCTTCTTCTAGATCTTCCTCTGATATCTTTTCACCACCCTCTCTATTTGCAAGTAGGTTTGTGTTTTCATTTATATTACTACTACTACTATTATTATTGTTGTTACCTCCATCTACATCTTGACTATTAATGATGATAGAGTCGTTGATATTTATGTTTTCACCATATTCATCTTCTTCATTGTTGTTACTCGATGATAGAGGATCTAAAGGTAAATAACTACTGCTCATTTTACCTCTCCCTCTATCACTTGTATTATATCTAGTTTAATCTTTAAAGTAAATAATAATCTAAAAAAACAATAATTAAATAAAAGATAAGAAGAAGGGAAAAGGAGGTTTATGTTTCAAAGGGGTCAAGACCTAATTAATGAAAAAAATCCCATTTTGTTGCAAAGGTACACAATCTTAAGATTGGATCGAAAAGAGAACAAATAAACAAAAAAAAAAAGATATATTCTAAAAAAAGGGTCTTTATTCTTTTTATTCTTTTTATTATTATTATTTATTAAAGATACTTCTATTGATCATAGCACCTTCAACTCAGGAGTGTGGACCGAAAAATTTAAATTAAACTTGAATGCATCATCATTGATTCGTCTTGAGGGTGTGTCTTTCAATATTATTTATTCATTTTCAAATTTTCATTCATTTCATTGTTTTAGTAATAATAATAATTAAATCAATCAGTATTTATTAGTAGTAGTAGGATAAGTTCGTGAAGAGCGATAGTAGTAGTAGTAGTGGGAAGGAATCATAATGAATCATTTGATTAAAAGTGGAATCAAATCATCATCGATAGCAATCAATCGGTCGAGTAGTAATCTATTTCAAAGATCACTTGTTGTTGGTAGACAACAGCAACATTCATTCTCTACGGGAGGAGAAGAAACAAAAGTAAAAGCTATATATGATCAATCGATACTTCAAAATTATGAAAGCAAGGTCAAAGAACAACAAAAACAACCAAAAAAGACATCGTCTACATCAAATTTTGTGTCAGTCACCAATCAACACCCAAAGTTGAAAGAGTTTATAGATTCATTGCCACCAGCAAGCACCTCTGATGCAACTACCAAGTTCCCAACCAATTTCAACAAACCAGAGATCACTACATTGCCAAACGGCATCAAAGTCATCAGTTTGCAAAGACCAGAGAGTGCATGTGCCATTGGATTATACATCAAAGGTGGATCAAACTATGAAACTGAAGATAATAGAGGTATATTCCATTTATTAGAGAAAATGGTTTTCAAGGTATGAAAATAATATTAATATACATATATAGTTTGTGTATATGTTGCATTGATTAACATTAAAATTGTTTCTTTCTTTCTATTTTATATAGTCAACAGAGAATGAAACATCATCAGAGATTGCAAAGAAATATGAAAATATATCATTGAATGCAATGTCATCGAGTAGTAAAGGTGTGATGCAAATATCACTTGAAGTGTTGAGAAAGGATGTAGAGTATATATTAAAGTCATTTTCCGATCAGATAACGTGTCCATTGTTTAAAGAGGAGGATATTGAAGAGCAAAAACAAAACTGCGCCATGTCTTATGACATGATGATCACGTCACCAGAGCATCTCTTGCCAGAGATATTACTCAATGTGGCGTATGGAGATGAGGGATATGGACACCCATTGATTGTACCACCAGAACTTTTGGAAAAGATTGACGCCAAGGCGTTGCGACACACCATCTCGACACAATATGTGGGCAAGAACATTGTCATTGCAGCGACTGGCATTGACCACCCCACACTCGTCAAATACGTGTCACAATACTTTTCATCGATCCCATACACATCGCAGGTGGTACAAGACCAACAAAAACAACAACACCAACAACAAAACTCGACCATGCTCAACGACGCATCCAACAGCTTCTTGTTGGGATACAAGGGAGGATCGCGTTTCTTTGATGCGGCACCGGGTATGGACCAAAGCTACTATTTGGCCTTCCCGGCACCCGGTCTACGCTCCATGGCACATTCAAACGATGTGTTTATCGCATTTGTCTTGCAGACGCTGTTGGGTGGAGGATCGGCCTTTTCAAGTGGTGGTCCAGGCAAGGGTATGCAGTCTCGTCTCAACTTGCACGTGGTCTATGCGTTGACACAGGTGCGTCACTGCTCTGCCTTTTTCAGCCTCTTCCCCGAGACGTCGCTTTTTGGCGTCAACCTTACCACCTCGGAGGGATACCTCAATCAAGCCATCAACATGGTGTTGCAGCAGATCCTCTCGCTCAAGCGTCTCATCACACCCGTAGAGGTTGAACGTGCCAAGCGTCAACAGAAATCGCTCATCCTCATGAACCTCGAATTGCGTGGCGTGATTGTCGATGATATGGCCCGTCAACTCTTGACCACCGGCGTCTGGCGTTCACCCGATGAGATTTGTCGCGGCATTGATTCAGTCACCATCCCCGACATTCTCAATTTCATCGACCGTCTTACCAAAAATACTCCATCCATCGTTGCTCTCATTGGTGACAAGGATAAAGCTCCAAATGTTAAAGATCTTAAAAATATTATTGGTACTAGTGGTAAATCATTATTCTAAAAAATAAATAAATAAAAAAAAAAGAAATGAATTCTTTATACTCGAACATTTTTAATTATTCGAGTCAAGAAAGTAAGGATGCCTTCAACCACAACAATAGTTAGTAATAATAGTAATAATAATAATGGTGATCATACACAAACAACAACAACAACAACAATAACATTTAATGATATATTCAAGATGACATATATCAGATCATTGATATTCAATCACGTCGATCAAATTTTCAAAGTAGAGTATGATCATTCAAACAAAGGTGGTGATAGACAACGATCATTAAAAGGAAGAGATATCATCAAGTTACCTTATCTTGGAATGATATCAAGGTATGCAATGCCATTACAGTTCATTCGTCATTATCTACCACCAACCGATCGGGTATTACCCAGAAGAAGAGTAGAGGTTATCAATCGTTATCATCGTAATGCAACTTTGGACACTCTTGAGCATCTATTGGAATTTCCAATAATAAATGATCCAGAGTATACATTCTTCTATTTAACAATACTTTGTCTCTTGGTGCAATATAATGTTTGACAAAACAATGGCATGATCACCGGCGATACCAAGATGAGAAATTTAATCCTTTGATTGCTTGTCTTCCACTTGGAAGGTCTCCTCCACTACCCTTAGTTAGTTGTCATTCTCAAAGTCTTCTCTCGATAACTCTTGTACATTATTGAATATTATTAGAAATTAATTATGTTTGAAATGTAATATTTGTTGATGTTGTTGAGTAATGCAATATACTACTATTACTACTAGTATAACTTATTATCCTCAATCGTTAAGGAAACTCTGGGTTGTACAAGTACCATCTACACTCTTTTGAGGAGGAGGAGGAGGAAGATTCATTAAACTAATATTGGGATGGGACACCTATCTATTTTAGGTGATCACAATTTTAGTATATTGTGTCTGAAAGTTTATCGTGTTGCGCGTCGCAACAAAGTTCTTCAAACACACCAGGGGGGAGTTCTTCAAGAAACACAACACTGAATTTTTACTTGTGCTTGTTTGTCGAAAATGCGTAGTCTCATTTCATCACCATTCTAACAAACATACAACAACCAACAACAAAACACAAGATATACAGAATATTATATTATACTATACTATCATCATTATTATTATTATTATTATTAATGACAGATCTGTTGGCTTTAAAATATTAATATTCAGATCCTCTACCCGACAACAAGCAGGGAAGGGAGTAAAGCAATAGAATAACAAGATAATCTTTATAATAATAATAATAATAATATAATATTTCACATATTACACCACACAATACACTAGATAGAATAGATAGGATATATAGATTACGAGTTTGGAAAGAAGGAAGTAAAGAAAGAATAAGAAGGAGGAGGAGGAGGAGGAGAGTACAATTACTATTATTATTGTAATAATTAATTAAAATAATCAAAACTATAGTTAGTCGAAGAGTAGAGTAAGAGTAGAGTATATTAATTAAGTTAATATACTACTGACTGTGATTGATTGGATGATGGACCATCATATTAATAGTGCTGGTAGTAGTAATAGTACAATAGCAAGTGGGAATAATACTACGACGAGCCAGTGCACCGATTTAGACAATAGTTTACAATCACTATCATCATCGACAACATCATCATCACTGGTTCAATTAAATAGTAGTATTAATAGTAGTGGTGCATTAAATAGCAGTACTTGTAGTACGAATAGTACCAGTAACACTACTACTACTACTACTACTACTAGTAGTAATAATAATAATAATGCACCACCAACAATGCAACAACCACAGGGCATTATCGGTAATTATATCATTGTTAAAACAATTGGTAGAGGTCAATTTGGTAAAGTTAAATTGGGTTATCATAGAAAAATACCAAATGAAAAGGTAATTACAATTAAAAAATATTCAATTGATTATTCATTTAATGATTATTAACAACATTGTATTTAGGTTGCAATTAAAATTATAAATAAAAGTAAATTGGATCAAGATACGCTAAGAATGGTTCAAAGAGAAGTTAGAATTATGAAATTATTAAATCATCCAAATATTATAAAGTATGTTTAGGGAAAATATAAATAATATTATTATTATAATATTTATTAATTTGATTTATTTTAATTTTTAGATTATATGAAGTGATTGAAACAAATAGAGCACTTTATTTAATAATGGAATATGCAGGTGAAGGTGAAGTGATGGATTTTATGATTGCACATGGAGTGTTGTCAGAGAATCAAGCAAGAACCTTTTTCATTCAAATCGTATCTGCCATGGCATATTGTCATAGCAAGAGAGCCGTTCATCGTGATTTGAAACCAGAGAATCTACTACTCGATACGAATCGTCAGATCAAGATTATAGATTTTGGATTGAGTAATGTCTTTACTCCCGGTTCCTATTTAAAGACTTTTTGTGGGTCACCTACCTATGCATCACCTGAATTGATCCTTAGAAAAGAGTATAATGGTCCGTCGGTTGATATATGGAGTATGGGTGTAGTTTTGTTTTGTGTTGGTCACTGGTTATCTACCGTTTGATGGTGACAACTATGTAGAGTTGTTTCAAAAGATTCTGGCAGCTGACTATACCATCCCCGATTACTTGTCGGCCGATTGTCGATCACTCATCAGTCGAATGTTGGTAGTTGATCCAGGTAAAAGAGCAACCATGGATGAAATCATTTTACATCCTTGGATGCAACCTGTATTCCATTTATTAAATCTATCTGGTACTTCAACTTCCCCAATTCTAAGTAGTAGTAATAGTAATAGTAATAGTAATCATTCACCACAACTTTCAATCGCATACTTCAATTCAACAACAACAACAACAACATCAACAACAACAACAACAAATCATTCAACAACAACAGGAATTGATTGCAGCGGGCAGTAACAATAATTATATTGGAAATGGAATGAATGGTGGAAACATAACGATTGATATGTTGGATGCAAATGTAATACAAGAATTGATGAACCTTGGTTATGAAAAGGAAGAGATTTTGAATAATGTCAAACAAAACAAATACAATGATTGTGCAGCCACCTACTTTTTGCTATGCAGTAGAAAGAATCGTGAAGCACAAGCCAGTAGCAGAGACATTGAATCATATGACGCATTCTATTCCGACCAGCCATCCATCATTGCTCCAACCGGCGATAAAAGTCCATTAATTAAATATAAAAGACATCATAGAAGAAGTCAAACTGCTGATAATTCGAATCGTCAACAACAACAAACTCAACAAAGTCAAGGTCAACAAGGTCAACAACAACAACAACAACAAAAGAGTCAACATTTAAATATTCCTCAACAACAACCAGCAATAGTTTTAAATCGATCATCCAATGTACAAAATAATAATAATGCCAATAATACTATATCACCAAATGAATCACCATTACAATCACCAGGATCGACATCACCTCCAATGGGAACATCTCCAAATACGAATATGACAACTGCCCCACATACGAGTAGTGCGACAGTTACAGGAGACAAACCACCAAGACAACCAAGTTCCGATACAATCAGACCAGAACTCAAGAACCAAATTACTAGTATATTGTCATCGGCTCCAGCAACACCAATCAATCGTGGCAATGGAACAAGACAAATCAGTAGATCTGCCAACGCATCGGCAAGCACATCACCAAATAATTCTACTCCTGGGTCACCTGTTGGTTCATTTATCAAACCTTCCATTCATATTAATAATAATAGTAATAATAATACAACAAAACAAACAATGCAAAGACGTGCAACTGCATCGGCAACATTAACACCTCCACAATTGGGACAATCGTTGAATACTTCAGGAGGACATGACAATCACAGCAGTCATATCCACCATATCCACAACAGAGCGAGAAGTAATAGTAGTAGTGTAGCAGACTCGCAACCAAAAGAGTCAAAGGTCATTGACGATGATTGGGTCATCTTTGAGGATTACCCAGACCAACTATACACCGATGGTACCTATGGTGGAACACCCAGACATCAATATGTCAAACAATACCAAACGGCCAACTCGGCAAACAGCAAAAAAAGATCATCGGTCCATAATCTATTATCATCATTTAAGAATATGTTAAAGAGATCTGAAGACAAGGAAATCACTCCTCCTTTAACCCACCATCAACAACACGCATATACAACTCATAATACACCAATCATATCATCTGTAGAAAATCAACTTACTAACAACAATAATAACAACACCGATGATCCCCATTATCATAGTTCAATTGATCCAACAACCATTTCTCCTTTCATTACAACTCCAATAAGTTCTTCTGAAATTTTAGACATTAATAATCAAAACCAAACAGATAATAATAATAATAATCCAAATGAATCAACCTCGACGACAACAACTGATGAACAAAATACTATATCATCTAATAGTCAACCATCAACACAACCAAGAATAGTTAGATTTGTATTTGGTGTACATACCACGTCAATGAAACCAGCACCAGAACTAATGAAACAAGTGTTGAGTGTAGTTTCCAACTTTTGCATTCCTCATACCCAAAAGGGAGACTATGCACTAGAGTGCGAAAGTGAAGGTGTACGATTCACCATTGAAGTTTGCCGAGTGCCAAGATTATCGGTCAATGGATTAAAGTTTAAGCGTATTGGTGGATCAGCTTGGAGATACAAAGGAATTTGTAAAGATTTATTATCTCAAATGAAATTAACAAATACTTGATCACAACCCAAAATAACAAAATAAGTAATAATATTAATAATAATAATAATTAATAATAATAATAATAATATAATAAAATATATTTGTAAATTAGAAGCAATTGGCAAAATAACTAAATAATAATGATTATTTACCACAATCAAATCTTTATTCCTACTACACAACCCCCACTAATCGAATTACTCCATGTTATAATAATAATAATAATATAATTCTTATTTATTTAATTTAAACCAATTGAATAATATCTGATGGTTTTCCAATCTGTTTGATTTTACCATCCGAGATGACTACGCACATATCATAATCAACAATGGTATTGAGACGATGAGCTATAGTGATAACAGTGCATTGATTGAATTCCTCTCTTATGGTCTTTTGTATGATGGAATCTGTTTCCAAATCTACAGATGCTGTTGATTCATCAAAAGCTATGATTTTAGACTTTCGAATTAGGGCTCTGGCCATGCAAATGAGTTGTCTTTGACCAACACTGAAATTAGCTCCACCATCTGTTACTTGTAAATCTAAAACTGATGTTGTTTGCTGCTGATGGCTTCCAATACGAATCAACTTGTCTTTTACTTGAACACGATCCAATACTTGATTGATTTCTGAATCACTGCACAAGTCAAAGGGATCGAGATTATATCTCAACGTTCCATTGAACAATACTGGATCTTGTGCAACGACTGATATCTTTTGACGTAAAAGATTGAGTGGTATCTCTGAAATGTCATAGCCATCAATTTCTATTGATCCTTGGCATCCTTCAACCAATCTAAACAATGAAAGTAACAAACTTGATTTACCTGCACCACTTCTACCACAAATACCAACTTTGGTTCCTGCTTCAATGACGAGATTGATATCGACCAGAGATGGGTCCAACTCTTCACGATATCGCATAGAGTAATTTCTAAATACAATCTTTGGAGTTTGTGGCCATTCATTTGGTGGGGCTATGATTTTTAGTTGATCTCCCAACAAAGGTTGATTGTCAATTTCTTTTAAAGGTTTACTTTGTTTTTTGGAATACCGTCCAGTAGATTTTTCAACCTTTAAAGAACGATAAAACTCCATTCTCTCGGTACTGTTCATAAATAGTTCTACTTCAGAGGCGACATAGAAAGCAGAGTTTAGCTCGCTCGAGAGATTTACAGCATATGTAATCGCGAGACCAACCAGAGCCGGGGATACTTGGTGTCTTAGAAATGTGGCAGCAACACAAGTAGCAATGACAAAGGTGGCACCAATAGTCTCTGTTCTGATTGTTGCCCAGATACCGACAAATCTTTCATACATTGAGATTCTAGTGTTGTTGTCTACCCTGTCCATCATATCTTTAGCAAATCTTTCGTTGGCTCCAAACGCCCTTATGATGTTTTGACCACCTATGGTTTCGGAAAAGTGAGTGAGCACTGGCGATAGTGAAACACTAGACAGACGAAAGAGCTCTCTTGCGTTGTTTAAATACCAATCTTTTAAGTACCACATGCCAATAATGACGGGTATGGCTGAGAGTAGAGCATACGGGACAGCCAGAGCAATCATGATAAATACAGAGAGGATGGAAAAGAACGAGTCTTTGGCACGTGACAAAGAGAGTGCTAATTGATTGTCGAGCACAGATGTGTCTTTGCTGAAACGATTAATGATCCGACCAGATAGATTCTGATCGAAAAACTGAATAGGTGAATTTAATACTCTGTCCAACGATATGTTATGATATTGGACACCAGCCGACAATCCTGCATATGAATTGACAATGTTTGAAAGAAAAGAAGCAGTACCAGAAAGGACTACTGAACCAAAATAAATACCCAAATAAAATGCCAACGACGAGTGTTTGAGACTGTCCCAGTCCTCTGTCCATCGACTTAACCAATAATTACCAAAAACATTTGATGCCGGCGAAATTATACTCATAAAAAATGTTAAAATAAAATAAATGGTTCCAATTGATTTTAAATATTTTAACTATATGGTTTACAAATAACAAATTAGTTGTGTGATTATTCTTTTTTTTTTTTCTTTTTTTTGTTTTTTTACATACATAAGTTTTATAACTAACTTTACCAAACTTTCTTTCTTCTTCTCCAACCAATAATCCATCTTCTTCATCTTCAAAATTTTCTTCTTGATCCACTTTTTTTTCTTCTTCTTTTTCTTCTTTTTCTTTTTCCTTTTCATCTTGTTGTAACTTATAAACATTGATTTGAGTTTTATCAAATTGATCATAGGTAGATACACTTTTAACAGTGCCATGTGACATTTCTATGATTTGATCTGCATATTCTAGTGGGTACATTTGATGCGTAACCAAAATAACAGTTTTTGATGGCATCAAATTTCGAATGGTATTTTGAAAAATGTCAATCGCAATTCCATAGTCCAACGATGCCAATGGATCGTCAAAAAGAAAAATGTCAGCATTTGAGTAGAGAGCTCTTGCCAATGAGACACGTTGTTTTTGCCCACCACTAAGATTAATTCCCTTTTCTCCAATCTCTGTCAAGTCTCTGGCTGGGAATTGTTCGAGGTCCGGTAAAAGACAAGAGACTTTTAATACCCAGTCATATCGTTCTTGATCGAATGAATGGCCAAATAAAATGTTTGATTTCAAAGTATTGTTCATAATCCATGAAAGTTGGCTAACATAGGCAATTGTACCACGTCTTGATAAACTTCCACTTGATATTTTCATATCTCCCAATATTGCTGATAAAATACTGCTCTTTCCACTACCTATAAAAGAGAAAAAGGTTAGATATTTAAAAATAAATTTATCATTTTACTTTTTTTAAACTTACCTATTGATCCAATAATTACACTTAGAGATCCAATTGTGAATTGTAAATTGATATCTTTTAAAATATTTTCTTGCATTTCTGTTAAAGGTTCTTCTTTTTCTTTTGTAACCTTTTCCTTTTCTTCTTCTTGGTCAATTATAATATGTGACCACTTGAAAGATGAATTTGAAAAATGAATTGCTAAATGACCAGTGTCGAGATCCAACTCTTGTTCACCAAATGTGGTAACACCTGATGCGCTAACAATTGGTTCCTCCAACTCTTCATTTAATAAAAATCTTTCTACTCTTTTCATTGAAACAAATGCAATAGATATACTAGAGAAAATAGATGGCAAAATACTCAATGGTGATCGAGCTATATATAAAATGGACAATGCTGTTACAATTGTAGTAACATCCAAATCATTTCCAAATAATACAAAAGAAGAAAATGTTGTTACTGTTACTAAATTTGGTAACTAAAATAATAATACATATATTAATATAATAAATAATAATAATAAATTAATTAATTATTATTTCATCTTTAACTTACAGTATTCCAAAATAAATCGTTTAAACCAATAAAAATATTTAACTTTTGAAGTACTTTAACCTCAGCTTTACGCATTTTCATAATCTTGTCATAGATTAAATCTATCCATCCATAAAATTTTAATACTCTGATGCTCTAAATACAATCAGAGTAAATAAATGTTGTTTTCTTTGTCGAATATCTCTTTTTTTTGATTTACATACATTAATAGCTTCAGTGAGTTGAGTGATTCTAATATCTTTTTTTGTCATAATTTCTTCAAAAAAAGAGTACTCCACCTTTGCTGTTAAAAAGTTGAGTGGTAAAAATAAAAGAAAGGTTCCAGCTCCAACTAGGGAGGCCCAACCTAATAATTTGAATAATAATACACCTGCGACGATTAATTGAAGTGGTTGAGTCACAGGGTATTGAAGATAAAGAAAGAGGTCTGTTGCCATATTAATATCAACCGATATTAAATTCATAATATTTCCTTTACTTTCTTCTTCGTTTTCTCTTGTTGTTGCTGAATTTGATACACACAACTAATAAAAAATAAATTAAATTAATTAATTTGGTTATTACAACATTGTATATTGACATACAGATTTTTATAAACAGTATTGATTAAAGCAGTTCTAACGTTAAATGATGCGATATGAGTTCTATAATCCCAATAAGAGATAAAAAATACGTTTGATAAATATAATAGAAATAAAATAATTGTATATAATAATCCATAATAGTATGGTTGTGATTGATCTTGGACAAAATTGGTCTAAAAAAAATAAATAAAGGATTGATTGATGAATTAATTGTAATTGTAATTTTAATATAAACTATAATTATTAATATTAATATTAATATATTTACAATTTTATAGACCATTAATGGAAACATCATTTCAGATGCATCACCAAGTATCTTAAAGATCATAGGACTGAAATAATCCCATCCAAATACAGAGAATAATGCTTTGATTAGTGATGCCCTCTTTTTAAGATTCTTTTTTGGGTCGTGATCATCATCAAAGTTATCAATGAGCAACGATGATGAATCTCTCTTGGTTTGTTTCTTTGGTTCAGTTTCAGTCCTTTTTCTATCCCAATGCTTTTTGAAACGTTTATATAGCAGATCAGATCGATCACGCTTGTTGATTGGATACATATCATCATAATCCAAATGTTTGTTCATACCAACTTTCATCAATCTATTCATAAATGATAATGTCAAGATTGAGAATAAGCTGCTTGTTTCTTCTGGGTTGATTTGATTCTACAAGATTTAAATATAAATGATCAGATGATGATGATGAAGTTAATATGATCATTCTTTACTAATATATTAGTGGGGGGGGGGATACTATACTTTAGTATTAACATTATTAAACTGACTGCTGCTACTACTTTTTGTAGCTGTTGATGGAGATGCCATGCAATTTAAGTTGTCTTTGTGTGTGTTAAATGTAATGACATCTGTGACAGAAAAGAGATGCTTAAGTAGTTTATTCTTGTCTCCATATTTGCTTGTTGTTTTTGTTTAGACGTTAAAGTATTGAGAAACGGTGTAGAACATAATATAATTTGTATAAGCTCGATGCAAGGGTCGACTGACAACAACCAAAATTGCTTTTTTTTCGAGCTCTCCCAACAAGTAGGGAATCTTGAACACTTTGGATAAGAGAGTTAATTAGTGACCATAAGCATTATGTCTTTTCCATTCTAACATTAATACCAAGAAAAGGTTAAGATCCCCCAAACACCACAGCAGGCAAATTTTAATAATCTATACTATCGATTATTCATTACAAAGTATGTTTCCTTCTTTTCAATGAAACTTCAAAAAAATGACATTTTTTTTAATTAAATTTTTAATAAAGGGGCAGACTATGAGGATCTTGAATCAAGCATTATTGTATTATACTTTTCAAATCTTCTTCTTCTTCTTCTTCTTTATAACTATCTATCTTATCTATCTCTCTAATGGTTGGACAAAGTAAATTACTATTTGTTGGTAATTTTGTCAACGATGTCATTATCAATCATCGAGGACTGACCATTAAACGTGATAGGTCATTCCATGACTTGGACGTTAGCAAAATTATTAAAGACTATCAACAACAACAACAACAACAACAACAACAAACATCTTCAACTAGTTTAGCATCTTCAGCATCTTTAACTGAAACAGAAACAACAGATTTAACACAATCAGTTGGAATATCGGACCGATATGAACAATCTGTTAATATTGTTTTGGGGGGAAGTGTTACCTATGGTTCATTGGCTGCTAGTTCATTTGGTGGTGCTACAAGTTACGTTGTATCAGAGGTTGGAAGTGATATTAATCAACAATTCACAACGCTTATCGACAATAATCCTCATATCAATATTGATCATGTCGCGCGATCAACAGAAACCAAGACAAGTTCCTACCAATTGGACTATTACAACAATCACAAAAGTAGATCTCTTTCTCTAAAGTCAAAAGGATCACCAATCGATCCTGTAGCGTGTCTCCAATCCATCAATGATATCAAACCCGATGCTATCTTTTTCGTCCCTGTCTGTGCTGAATTGGACTGTGCCTTTGTTTCCAATATCGTAGAGTCTATTGTAAATCAACCAAACCAACCACAATCACAACTTTACAGACCAACTGTTGTAGCTTGTGATGTTCAAGGATTCCTTAGAACATTTATTGGTGAAAGAGTGTCGACTAGACCAGCACTAGAGATGGATAGAATCCTTCAAGTAGTTGGTAGATCCTTTTCAAGATTGGGTGACAAGACTATTAGCATTATCAAGGCTGAACACGGAGAAGCAGTTGCAATACTTGGTGATCATGACCCAGGTACATGTGCCAAGTTGTTGTGTGACAAATATGGTTTCACAGTGGCATGTGTAACGATGGGAGGAAATGGTGGTTTTGTATCTTCCAGTCAAACTGGTCAACTCTATGTTCCAACATTCAAACCTACACAAGTTGCAGATGAAACTGGTTGCGGTGATACATTCCTCACTTGTCTTGTATTAGAACTTCTCAGCGTGGTCTCTCAAAGAAACAAACAATTGGCAGTTAGTACCGATCCATATGACAAACTTTGTAATCTCTATCTAACAGGTGAGGATATTTTACATTGTGTACAGGTTGGCAGTGCAGGTGCAAGCTTTTTGGTCGAACAAATTGGTCCCAATGGATTTGGAGATCGAACCAAAATAATAGATCGTGTAACCAAAGGAGAGAAACAACCCAAAGTACAATATTTACAATGGAACAAACCCAAATCAATGGTATTATTATCACCAGGAACTTATTCACAACAACAACAATTACAACCAAAACAACAACCAATTAAATCTATTACCAATTATTTTGTATAAATCTCTCTCTGTAAATAAATAAATAAATAAATAAATAAATAAATAAATAAATAAAACCTCTAATAATAATTATATAATTAATTTAATAAATATTTTATATATATGTTTGTTTATTTGTGTTTTTTGTTTTTTGGTTTTAATGACCAGATTTTTCAACCAAAGAATAAAAGATACTTTCATGATTGTTTGTTAAAACTTGAGGAGAGTCATATTCAACCAATTCACCCTTGTCCAAAACCATAACCTTGTCACTATCAATGATAGTGTTGATTCTATGAGCAATGGTGAGGACTGTACATTCGGCAAATTCCGAACGGATGGTTTGTTGGATGAGTGCATCGGTTTCAATATCAATGGCAGCTGTAGCTTCATCCATAACGATGATCTTGGCTTTTTTGAGGAGTGCACGGCCCATACAAAGCAATTGACGTTGTCCGACAGAGAAATTTTCACCATTCTCTTGTACCTTTGTATCGAGACCTCCATCGAGATCTTGAATAGCCTTTTTGAGATGGGTTCTCTCGAGAGCTTCCCATAGTTGTTGATCGTTAAAGTTGGTGAATGGATCGAGATTGCTACGAATGGTACCGGCGAAAATGACCGGATCTTGGGGTACGATGGCTACACGACTACGGAGATCATGGAGACCCAACTCGGTAATGTCAACTCCATCAATTTCGATGGTTCCTTTGAGTGGTTCGACGAGACGGAAGAGTGCTTGAGTAAGACTGCTCTTACCTGCACCTGTTCTACCGACGATACCAATCTTGTGACGAGCTTCGATGGTACAGTTGATGCCACGAAGAACTGGTTCCAAACCTTCACGATAGGCCAACCAGAGATCCTTGAAAACAATGGTTCCGTGGTCTGGCCATGAACGACCAAGACGATAGTCATTCTTGAGAGCAGCTTCTGATGGCAATTGACAATACTCTTGGATACGTTCGACAGAGACGACAGAGTTTTCGAGATCACACGACATTCTAACCATCCAATTCATGTTGCTTGTAATGGCCAAGGCATAGGTGATGACAAGACCGGCGGTACCTGGAGCAATATGGTGACTGGCAAGAACAGTGTACATGACAGTCGACGTGACAATACAAGCACCAAGGAATTCAAGACGAAGAGCCAACCAACGATTGGCAGAGATGTTGATGTAATAGCATTTTTGATTGTCGTCCAATAGTTTTTCATTTTGTTTAATGAATCTAGAACCCTCTTGGAAGGCACGAATCGTGGTGACACCAGCCAAAGTCTCTGAAAAGTGAGCATAGATTGGTGAACGTGAAATACCTTCGAGTCTGGTCAACTCACGACTACTATTGAGATAGTACTTTTGAATGTAGAAAAAGAGTGCAGCGATTGGAATCATGGCCAAAATGATAAATGGTGACACTATACCAATAACTATGATGGAACCAAATACTTGACAGAATGTGTTGAGGAACATACCAAAGGTACGAGAGATGACTTCATCAATGGTAAATTGATCCTTGGAGAAACGATTCAAGATACGACCGATTGGAGTGGTATCAAAGAATGACATTGGCGAACGAATGACAGCCATAAACATCTTTTCATGGAACAACTTGCTACCTCTGATCGAACCAAAGACCATACCAAAGGATTTAAAGAATGTAAGAGCGACAGCACCCATTGAAAAGGCAACATAGATGGAAAGATAATAACGGGCATTGTCAGCATTAGACTGATCAGACCATACAGACAACCACCAATTGGCCATAATAGAGAGTGCTTGAGTAGCTACATAGAAACCCATAATAGATCCAGATAAAAGACCTCCCAAAGCCTTAAAGTAGGATAGATAAACCTTGAAAGAGACTTTACCTTCTTGTCTAGATTCGACTTGAATGATTTTGTTATCACTTTTAAGTTTATCATCAGCTAAAGCAGCTGTGGTAGGTGTAGTAGACGATGGAGTTGGTGTAACGACTGCATTATTGACAAGACGTTGAGTTGGTGACATTTCAATACCATCTTCCTCTTCATTATGATTCTTTTCAAGATGAACATCTTCCAAATCTTCCTCCTCCTCTTGTTGTTGCTTTGGAATCAATGATTCTTCTTCATCTTCTTCCTCTAATTGTTCATCTTGTACATTTTTTTGTGGAGGTGAGAGGATAGCTTGAGAGTTGGAGGTACTACTTGAAAGCTTTTCAGATCTATTAGCACTCTTGTCAAGTGATTCTCTTAATTTGTTTGTTACTTCTTCTTCATCCTTTAGGGAATCTGGACTAGATGATTCATTGTGATGTTTCATTAAACTTGAAAAGGGACCATCGGCATTGAGCAAATCGTCATATGCTCCTTCTTCAACGATTCTACCTTCCTTCATCATGACGACACGATCTACAAATGGTAGATAATGTACACCATGAGTGACCAATACTCTAGTCTTTCCAACCAACAAACCAGAATGACCAATAACATTTTGGAAAATCGAACGACCAACATGAGCATCAACAGCAGACAATGGATCATCAAATAAATAAATATCAGAGTCATTGTAAACTGCACGTGCTATAGAAACACGTTGTTTTTGTCCTCCTGATAAATTAATACCTTTTTCTCCAATTTCAGTTTGATCTCCTAAAGAAAGAAATAAATAATTAATAATTAATTAATAATTGTTTTTGATTTTGATATGTTTTTTAGTTTTTCTTTTTACTTACCTCCAGGTAAAATAGCAATATCAGGAATTAAAGCACAAGCATCAATAACTTTTTGATAACGATCTTCATTTAATAAACTTGCAAATAATACATTATCTTTTAGGGTAGCATTTTGAATCCAAGCTTGTTGAGTGACCAAAGAAATGGAACCTTTGACAGCAATTGAACCAGCAGGGTTTGATAAATCACCAACAAGAGAAGAGACAAGACTTGATTTACCTGAACCGACTTGACCGACAATAGCAATCAACTCACCTTGATTGACTGTCAAATTAATATTTTTGAGTGTTTCCTTGCCAGACTCCCATTCCATGGTGGCACCTTCAATCTTGATGGCTACGTTTGGCTCGGTGATGGTATGACTAACAACATTTGGATTGAGTTCAGAACGCAAAAGGAAGTTTTGAAGACGATTGACAGAGACTGAAGCTTCGATCAAACTCGAAACGACATTGGGAAGCATATTGATTGGGAATTGCATAACATTGAATAGAGAGAGACATGGGAATGCAATGGCAGCTGTCAACTTACCACCCATTAAAACATAGACTGTAAAGGTAAAGACACTAACGAAAATGGGGGACATGGACCAAAGTAAAAGTGAGATACCTTGGATATACTTGATAATCTTCATGACTGATAGTTCTTCGTCACGAATCGATTTGACGTGATCCATAAAACTTTGCTCCCAACTGTACAATTTAATTACTTTGATGCCATTCAATACTTCGTTGACAGCTTTGGTACGACGATCCTTGAGACGCATAGAGACTGTTGTACGCTTCTTGGCGAGGTTACTAATGTAGAGATTGATTGGAATCATGATAAGCATGACTGCGAGACCTGCAAATACTGGTGGTCCCAATTGACGATAGAGAAGGATAAGTGCAACGGCAATTTGAGCGGGAGCACTCCAAATCATGTGTAGGTAGGGACAGAGATCCATAAACTTTTGAGCATCGACCGACATGAGATTGACAATCTCACCGACAGTGGTACCTTCACGCAACGAAGTACGAAGAGCTTTACGATAGACACTAGTGACGACGGCAGAACGAAGCCACATACCAACACGGAAACAACGATGGAAATATTGGTGCAATGTCAGAGATTGGACGATTGGTGCAAGAAAGTAAAAGAGTACATAGAGCATACCGTCATAGGTCGATACATTACGAGTAGTGACAAATGTAATAATGTTTCCGAGAAGGATTGGACCTACAAACAAGAGTGCATCTTGAATGGCCTTGAATATAGCAGATACATAGAAATGTGGACCAAATGCTTTGGATAGTGCACGAACGAGTGATGGTTTGGGTAGGGTCAATTGATGATCCCAAGCAGCTTCAAACTTTTCAGACAAATTCTTTGCCCAATCCAATTCGGTGAGACTTGGCACATCAGACATATCGAGTGGGTTCTTGTAACCCTTTCGCAAGACATCGTTGATCCACCAAAAAGTAATACGTGAGAACAAGTTGGCATCTACCTCTCCTTGAACTCTATCTTTCATCTTTTCATAAGACATATCATTGTCAAAGAATAATACAGCCGTAATTGATAATATTAAAATTAATATATATCCTCCAATAAATGATAAATATTCAAGTATTGAAACTATTGTTTCGGTTTGCTAAAAAAAAAAAGAAAAAGAAAAAAGAAGAGGTAGAGTAGAGTATTAGAGTTGGATCCGATCATTATGATAAATATTAATTATTATTTGTTTTTTTTTGTACATACATGGAAAATACCAAGAGTAAGAGTACGTAATTTAATGGTAGCAGTAATAAAAGCAATAACCCAAAACAATCTTAACTTCCAAGATCTAGAGACACCCTTTTTCGATTCCAATAATACCAATAGACATGCGTAAACCCATTGGAAAAGCGTTGCACCAGAATAGAGGAGAATGTAAGACTTTGGATCAGTCACACCCATGACAACAAACCAAACGATCTTCCAACCAACCAAAAGAAAAGAGACAACAATCTCTAATTGAATTGAACGTTTCCATTGTCTAAATTGTTGTACCATCTGATCGATCGTTAATATATCTGGTCTCTTTAACAAAGAGTATAATTGTTTGGTTCCAAATAAGATGAGGAATACCGTTGGTATGAGCATCAACACTGAATCCTCAAAGCAAGGTGCAAAATCACCTCGCTTCCATACTATAAATTGTTCTTCATCTCCACAAAACCCCCATTATTTAGATTAAATGTATATATGTATATGTATATATATATATATATATATAGAGTTTGAAAGTGAGAGAGAAGATATGTGTATAAAAAGTAAAAAAGTAAAAAATACTATACTAATAATGAATAATAGTACAGTTTAAATCGCAATAGATAGAGAGAGAGATAGATAAATAGATGGATGTTGATCAAACTAGTATTCTATTCTGTCTGTCTGTTTAGTTGTGGGTGGGTGGGGGTGGCGAACTCTCTCTTTTTCTCTTTTAAAATTTAAATAAATATAAATTTTAAATTGGAAAAAGGGTGGGTGGTGATTGGTAGCTCTAATCTATTATGCTCGCTACTGTTTATCGAGAGTGTTTTAAAACAAAAAAAAAGTTTCACAAATATACGCGAGAGATCGTGAACTTGTTTAAGATCTATAAAAAAAATGAAAAAATAAAAAATATGATAGTGTAATATTTATATTATTTATATGCTGTTGTTGTTGTTATTGTTGTTGGAGTTTTAAAACAAATAAAGACAAGAGCATGTGTTTATAAACGAGCACAACGATTTTTTTGCAAGTTTTCCACTTTGACGTTCTGTGGTGATGAAAACAAAAAATTATGAGTTGCCCACGAAATTTCATTCAAGAAGCTATCGAAGAAGCTTGTTCTACCGATCAAACCCACTTTTTACGTGTACTCGTTCCAAACACACTGTATACATCGAACCACACCCCCTCTGTCTTTTTGTTATTGTCTAATCGTGATGATATTTATAATAATATATTATTAGACTATCAATTTAATCAATTTCCTAGAACTGAGTAAACCAATATATGGTTTAATATTTTGAAAAGATCTTTGTTGGAAGTTTTCAAACGAAGTTCATGTTTTTGAATTTTCGCGCGTGATATTGCAATATGGCAACTGTTTTTTAATACCATTTCGAAATTGGTACTCCCATTTTTTTTATTAAACAAATAATTTGTAAAAGATAGGTAGATAGGAGAGAAGCAAATAGATAGAATAGACAAACATGGTTAAATCATCTACATTGCTTCACAATGTAAAAGATATACATAAGGAGATGGTTGACAGTGACCAGTTGGATAGATACACTTTAGAGTGCTTGAAAAAGTATTGTAAATTAAATCAACTAGAATTATCTTCTTCAACAACAAAGAAATCTTCTATCATCAAATTAATAATTGATCATCATCATCATCATCATAACAATGATAGTAGTGATGATGATGATGATAATAATGATAAAGAGAACAATGTAAATACTATAAATATTAATAATAATAATAATAATAATAATAATAATAATAATAATAATAATAATAAACCAATCAAACCACCAACCAAAAAGAATACTACTACAATTGCTACAACTACAACGACTCCTACTACAACTACAACTAAATCAACTGGTACATCAAGAAAATCAATCTTAAAAGATAAAACCAACAACAACAACAACAACAACAACCAAGAATCTATTATTATTCCAAAAAAGAAAAAGGTATCATTTAGTGATTCTCAACAAGTAAAGGAAATAGAGATCATTCAAGGTGAGAGAACAAGATTCATTCCATGTAAGAATGAAAATCTAAGAGATATCATATCACAATATGAAAAGGAATTGTATGAAAAGGAAAAGAATAGAAACCATGGTGATCAAGATGGAGAAGAAGGTGATGAAGAAGAAGATCAAGAAGAAATGGAAAAACCAATACCACCACCAACAATGATTCATTCATTTGAAAACGTTGAAGGAGAGGATGAGATGGAATATGATACCGATGAAATGGACAAGGAGGAATTGATTGAAGTATTAGAGATGAATGGACTCAAAACAACAGGTTCAAAGGCAAAACTCAAAGAAAGATTAGAGGATTTTATTATCCAATCTAAACTGGAAAATGGATCAAACAAGGGAGAATCACCAAAAAGAAAAGGAAAAAAGAAATCATCATCATCAAAACAACATGGTGATGAATCTCCAAATTCAAAATACCTTCAAGACTATGAAAACGATTGGAATGAATGGAGTAGATTAAAGAAAGAAGAAAGTGAAAATAACCTCTATATGAAAAAACCTCCCTCTTCATCTGTCTCATCAACCAACAACAACAACAACAACAATGCAAAGCCCTACATTAATTTGTTTGAAGCTTTTACAAACTCTTTATCATTTACTTCTACTTCTTCTTCCTCTTCTTCCACCTCTGGACTCAATAAAAAGAAAAAGAAATAATAAGCATTTTGTTTATTTTTGTTGCAATGAAATTTCACCCCTCCGTTTGTCATTATTGTCTAAATGTTTTGATCGACTTGTTTTTGATCTGTTCATGTTCTATATTTATATTCGACAACGAAGACATACAATTAATTAAACATTAAATACAATGAAAAAGACATGGATATTTTCATTAGAAGAAGAGTGTAAACAAGAAAGAGTAATAGTAGTTGACAGCAAGAAAGTTTCGATCAATGGTGTACCGATAACAGCCGAGAGGGTACAAGGAAAGTTACATTTTAGTGTATCAGAGAATGGAGAGTTTCTTAATAATCATCATGGAGGAAAGAATTGTTATACAGTAATAAGAGATCTCGGACTCAAATCATTGGGTCTCAATAAACGATTGTATCTCAACAATGTCGATGTCGAAAATGGACATATTCTCAACAGTCGAAGGAATGTAACACTCTTTGACGTAGCATTACTCGCACTCTTGTTTATAATTGCAGCGGCTGTTAGTACCATTGCATCGATAGTAATGATCCCATTAATATTTATAACCTACTTTTTTATCTATCGCAACAAAGTGGTTCATATCAACAAGTTACCAATACCAAAATATATTGATGGTGTTGAATCAACTACTGTTGGTCCATCAGGTGCTACCTGTTGTACAGTAGGAGAACCAACTACTCCTACGACGATTGATCCATCTATCATTGCTTCGCCAACTGAATCAACAAATATAATTATCACCACCGACAGTAAACCACAAATAAATAATGAACAAGAACAACAAGTAAACTATGACTCTTATCAAAATCCAATGATTCCCAATAATAATAATAATAATAATACAAACATAACAATAGACCAATAATAATCAAAATTTAAACCAATAAAGTGTATATATATAGTAATTTTAAAATAAATACAAATAATTTATTACGATTAGTAATGAATCAAAGATATAGGAATTAGCAAAAATTCCCATTTGTTTGTTTTGGTTGGTTGGTTGGTTGGTTGGTTGTTTGGTTAGTTGGAAGAAGGAAGGAGTGGGGATGTTTTGGGGGTGTGGCTATGATGTTTGGGGGGGAGGGGGAGTCTTTGTTTTGGACTTTTCTGTTATAGAAAAGACACGATGATGCGAGTGTTGATGGAGGTGATTGAAAAAGTTGTTTGTGAAAATGGTATGATGTTGTTGTTATATCTCTTTTTTGTGTTTTCTTTTTCTATATTCTATCTTTTTTTTTGTTGTTGTTTGGTTGTTATTGTTGTTGTTTAAATCCATTCAAGCCATAATAGGTGAATTAATCAGTTATGGTGAATAGGGAAGAGAATGAATCCATTGAATATGATCAGCATATTTAGTTCTGATCGTAAGTAATTCAGGTCTGATCGTGTTGTGACGCTTCCAAATCATTGTGATACATTTCTTAAAAAATGGATCATCGACAAATACTCTTGTATAATAGGTAAGGGTTTTAGTCCACTGATTATTTGTAGTGACCAATGCCAAATAGACACAAGCCGCTGCAACCAATGATGGGAGGAAATTCATTAATCCATAATCCAATAATGCTTCTTCTCCATAAAACTAGAGAAAAAAAAAAAAGGTGTTGGTAAAGAATGAAAAAGGAGGAAAATAAAAAATAGTCTTGTGGAGATGACTTACATGAGCCAAGGCAGAGACTCTGGGATCGGTTGTACCTGCAGCTTTGAGGTATCTACCGAGGAAGAATTTGATTGTAGGAGCAGTCAGTGTAAAGTTGAGAGCTTTAAGTACTTCCTTTTCAGCTGCTACCAATTGGACAAGATCAAAGTGATTATCGGCCAATGCAATAATATCACCATGTGGTGGTGGAGATACCTCTTCATATTTACTTTTAAAAAAGAAAAAAAAAAACATTATTAATATTTAAATTGTTTGTTGTTGTTGATGTACTTTTTTGTTTCTGTACATACCAAGCAATCATAAAGGTTGCAGCTGCCATTAATTGGAATTGGTCCTTCTTTACACGATGACATGACAAATATCTATCCAAATAATTGACAGCAAGAAAGATTGTTTCATTTTTCATCTTGAGATCAATTGCCACATCAACCAACCAATCAATGACTACTGATCTCATGTCTTGATTGATATCTGGTTGGAATACCATATAATCTCTTGGTTGAGTTGCCAACTAATTTAAAAAAAAACCAAAATGTTAGAAAGATTTTGAAAAACGTCATTCAGTCATTATTGGCCACAACTTACTTGGCTTTTTCTTGCATGATCATAAATTTCTTCAATGTATTCTGTGCAAAAAATTGGATCTTGAGATGATTCATCGGCATCAATATTAATGTGTTCAATTAAATCCCAACTGGTTCCATAAATATGTAGAGCCAATCTACGTTGAAATTCATGTTGTTCGGCCAATAATGCATTATTTGGATCATTATTATTATTATTATTATTATTATTATTGTTATTATTATTGTTATTATTGTTATTATTATTGTTATTATTATTATTATTATTGTTGTTGTTATTATTATTGCTATTGTTATTATTATTATTATTATTATTGTTATTATTATTATTATTGTTATTATTATTATTATGAGCAACATTGGTGGGGAATATTTGTAGTGCTATGTTGTTATTATTAAAAGCAACATTTTGGTTTGGATTTGGTAATGTAGTTGATGGTGTTGGTATTGGTGCTGCTGTTGTTGGTGTTGCTGATGTTATCGAGGTGATTGGGGCAGTCGAGGTTGGAATAAAATTATTTGATTGGGTATTAACTATCTGTTGTTGTTGTGGCTGTTGTTGATTCAATGGTTGACTTGGAAAGGTTTGGGTACTTAATGAATTAACTTTAAGACCTCCTTCCTTGACAATCCCTGATTGAGAAATTAAGGTAGCCTGTGATGTTGGTTGATTATTATTATTATTATTATTAATATTGATATTGATATTGGGTGTTGATGAATTAGATTGACTCTTTAATTTTTTGTTATTTTTCTTATTATTATTATTATTATTATTATTATTATTATTATTATTATTATTATTATTATTATTATTATTATTATTATTATTATTATTATTATTATTATTATTGTTTGTGATATTACTATTATTAGTTAATTTATTATTATTATTATTGTTGTTGTTGTTGTGTTGTGGTGATTGTTTGTTATTTTTATTGCCTCTTGAGTGAATCTCTGTAAAATCATTTTCATCAACCTCCATTGTTTTTGTTTTCTCCTACAAATTGTTAAAAAGATTAGAACGAACCAAATACATTTCATTTCATTTCTTTCATTTGATCGACAAAATACATACATCATTTGTTTTCTTAAAAGTAACAGATGTGTGGTAATGACTTGGTCTATTTGTCAAATCGGCAAGGGCGATTCTCTTTATGGATGCCTTTCCCTCTTCGTCGGCAGATGGAGAGCCTCTCTTGTACGTATGGGTATTATCGATCGAGAAGGGTTTGGTTGACATTTTGTTCTAAATTTCTATATGGGTTTGGTTGGTGGTGATGTGATGGTTGGTTGGTTGGTTGGTTGGTGCTATATATATGTGTATATGCAAGGTCGGATAACTTGGACTCCCTACGATTATTGTTTTCCAGCAATAGAAGAAGAAGAGGTATAATTATTAATTAATTGTATAATAGATTGTTAATTGATTGCGTTTGAATCAATTGACTGACAAAAAGATACAAAGGGGATAGATTATAAAGATAGCGAATAAAGGTTTGAATCTGGTAGGTTGGTTGGTAGATTGGTTTTGGTTGGTTGGATATGGTACAATTGTTAAATAGGGTTTGGCATCAAAAGCGATGTTTTGTCTACAAAGGTACAAATGTTGGTGTTTATGATGGTGAATTTATAATAAAATGATACTATTATTATTGGGCAAAAAAAAAAAAAAGAAAAAGGCGTGCGACTGATGATGATAATGTGCCAGTTGTAGTAAGTGTAGTGATGTTGATAATTGGGTGTGAGTGGTGGTAGAGATGCAAAAGTAGTAGTGGTGATGATGATATTGTTGTGGTTGTATTTTAAAAAAAGAGGGGGCTCTCTTATATATATCTCTCTCTCTTGTTGTTGTTGTTATTAGACTTGTGGGGGCTACAAGTTGAATCAATTAAATAGATATAAATGTATATATGAATGGGCAGTAACAATCAATAGTCGTCAAAGTTGTAAACTGGTTGTGTAAGCACAAAAGGGTTCAAGAACAAAGATGATGATGATGATGATGATGGTTCTTTGGCCTTTGTGTGGGTTGGGTATATATATATATATATAAATAATTATTGAATAAAAGGAGTAGTAGATAGCCTATGTGTGATCTGATTCCAAAACAGGACCACAAATGTGCCAACTAACTAACTAACTAACTATAAATGAATAATTGTGGAATGTGTTGTTGATTGTAATGTTTATGATAAATTACAACAAAAAAATAGAAAAGATGGATGGGTATGATGATGATGACGACGGATGGATGTTCAAAAAAAAAGATTCCTATAGATATCTATTATCTAAAGATGAGATAACAATAGAAATGTACTACTACTAGAATGAAATGATGAATAACTGCAATAAATAAAGAAGAGCAGTAGAGTAACTAACAGAGCAACAGCAACAGATTCAGCCAAACAAGCATCAAAAGCAGTGACAACAGCAACAACAACAAAGAAATCTATTATCCTTTTGTTGGATGATACTGCTACTACTGCATTGAGGTTATTTATACTATTATTGTTGTTGTTGTTGTTGGTTGTTATTGTTACTAACTATTACTACTACTCTACTCTACTACTAATATTATTTTAATAACTAATATTGTTATTAGTTGTTGTTGGTATTGCTGTTGCTTTGCTTCTTGATATTATTGCCCACTGATAGTAGAATAAGAGTAGAGAAGGAGGAGGATGATGGTCCATCCAAGGGAAGATGTTGCTAACAACTAACAGAGCAGCAGCAGCAGCAGCAGCAGAGCACAATAGTTGTTATAGTATTTGTCGACATCCTATCCCTCTCTTCTCTTCTCTTACCCCAACCTCTAATCTGGGAGGACTAAATACAGCTTGGCTTATATCCGATAATAATAATAATAATAGTTTGAACAAACAACAACAACAACAGCACCAGTAGAGCAACAACAACAACAACAACAACATATTATTGGGTTGAGCAGCAACAACAAGTGTGTCCACAGAAGAATAAGGAGAGAGATGTTGAATCACAAAATTAAAGATCCTTCCTTCTTTTAAGCAGCAGAGTATTATGTTGATGATGATCGTTGGTTGATGGGGGATCGATCCACTTTAATCATTAAATTATTGTATGGTCAGGTCATTGGTTGTTGGGTTTGTGTCTGGATGGTAGGCAGCTTAAGCAGAGCAGCTGATGATGATGCAGCGGTGCGCTGTATTGGCATTGTTTGTTGTTGTTGGGATAATAAGTGTAGTACACTTTGGATTACAATTTTTGATGATGATGATGCATCTCTCACTCTCTTCTCTCTCTCTCTGCCAAAACTTGTGTGTGATGGTGGGTTGGGTTGGTGGATTGAAATGGGTTGCTTTGAAGTTCACACATGGTGTAAGGGGGTTTTTTTGAATCCAATTACACGCCCCCCACACACTGCACACACACACATGTGATCTACATGTTGTTGGAATGACTGACAACCAACCAAAAGTTAGCAAAATAACTACAAACAACCAACCCTACTACTACTACTACTAACTACAACATCCATATGGGCTGTAACTCGTCGTACGAGATGGTATGAAGTCGTGGAATAGGAGGCAGGCAGGCTGGCTGGCTGGCTGGCTGACAATTAACAAAACATATATATAATATAAATTTAAAAAATGGAATGTTCCAGATCTGCGTTTTGTGATTTGGGGCAACAAGATTAAAGAGGTATATAGTACCATTATTATTATTATTATTATTTCGTGGAATTATTATTATTGTTGTTGCTTTTGCTTGTTGTTTGTTTGTTTGTTTGTTGTTATTGTTGTATGGAAAATACAAAAAATACAAAACGACAAATGTGGTGCAAAAGATTAAGCAATAATTGGGGCATTTACCGAAAATGGCTAGTTTGGTATGTAAACAAATGTTGTCACAAAACTGTTGTCGTTGTCGTTGTTCTGCTGATCTAACAGTTTCAATATAGAGTAGTAGTATCCATGACTGGCCAGTCAGTCAGTCATTGGTTCATAGTTGGGGTATGACTGGCAATGACTTTGACTGTGATAGTAATCCTTTGTATCAATTGATGCCGTGCCCCATCAATCAATCAATCAGTCAAATAATACGGTTATTATTAGAATGAGGGATACATCCCTCTCCTATGATAATAAGGACGAATCTCTGACCCCAAAGATGATTTAGTGGCGATGATGACGATGATGATGTGATTATTGTCATTATTGATTATATGGGTGGTGTACAAAAAAAAAACAAAAAAAATTTAAATGTTTACTAACTTACAAAAGATATCCTTAAGTTGGGGGGAAAAAAAAATTAGGTTGGGAGATCTCCTAGGGAATCCTTGTTTCTATCTATCTATCTATCTATCTCTATCTCTCTATATTCCTGGAGCTGGTGGGAGCTCTATAGACTTTGTGTCTTTTACTTGTTGGCAGTGCTGGACAATCGAACCTTTTTGCGCGGACAAATCATTGATGGTCTCGGTCATATGATGATGGATTTGGACAGACACACTTGGAAGACGACTTTGACTTTGGACTAGTATGGTATGGACAGTGGCTTGGATAACTTTTTTTTCTTTTGTCTGGAAACTTGTGTTCGGTACTTGAATTATTATTCTACTACTACTTGTTGTTTGTTGATTGAATTAATAATAATAATAATAAAAAAGGTAAAAGTTGAATATGATTGTTTCGTGTTGTTGAGATTATTATAAAGTACAATGTATTATGAGGTGGGTTAAAAAATCAAGGCGGGAAATTATTATGATACAGCAGGTGATTAATGTGAAATGGTAGTGAAGTGAGAGTTACAGCTACAGAGACAGGTGTTGGTGGGTGAATAAATAAATAATAAATAAATAAATATAGATGTATGTGTGTATGTATGTATGTATGTATGTATGTTATCACAACAGTGTTATTTTAGAGCAAAGGTGTTGTCAGAAACAATAAAACAAGAAGTTGAAAAAAGAGGAGGCAAAAAAACAAAAGATGTTGTTTGATCAACAATCAATCAATCTGACAGATGATGATGATACTCTACTACTACTGCTGCTGCTAATGCTGCAGGTGATGGCTATGACCAGAGGAGGGAAGATAAATATATAAATGGGGTGTGTCAGAATAAGTATAAATGGAAAAAAAAAAAAAGGCGCCTAAACAATGACTACAATGACAACAAATTATAAATATAGTATAAAAATGGATTATAAACTAAAAAGAAAGAAAGATAATTGATGTATGTATAATGTTGTATTGTAATCTAGATTGCTGTGCTGCTGGTGAATGAATGAAAGAATGAATGTGACGACTGGACTTGGACTGGTATTGTAATATATATATATGAATGGTATCAGATGATGGTGAAGATGATGACAATGATATAGTTTATCTTGTAGTAAGAAGAGTATTATATATATAATAGATATATAGTATAGAATTATAATAATTGGACAATAGTTTGATGATGATGATGATGATGATGATGATGATGATGATGATGATGATGATGATGATGATTGATGAACAACACAATTACAATTGGCAAAAACTACTCTGTCAACAAAAAAACAAAGATATTTAAAACATGTTTGCAGTATTTAAAATTAATAAATTAAAATTAAATTGTTGTTGCCCTCCTCTCTTGTGATGATAGATATTATCTTGAAAGTGTGAAGAGGAGAGGAGGACGATGATGATGAAGAGGAGAGCTACAAAAAGGTGTGTGTGGTCACCCCTAACAGCCTAAGGAAGAAATTAATTATTCTAAAACTAGTGTTTGTTGTGCTTGTGCTTTTTCATCAACAACGATTTCAAAAAAACAAGATCATCGGCGCACGCTCAGTGATCAACTGTGTCTCTATAAAGAGACAGACATCAGACGATTGTAACGAAAGAGGCAGTTCTACGACGACACGCTGCATGGTAATTAATTAACATAATGCGTGAAATGTGAGCTGTTCACAAATTAAAAAAAATCGACTGGATTTCTGCCCACAGAGAGACGCACCCCACACGATGCTTTGACAAAAAAAGCCTTTGGCACGACAGATCAGAGCGCGCAAAACAACAATTCAAAGATGGGGATCTTGGTCGCTATGAAATATCCGACTTTGTCACGTCTCTATATTGGCAAATTGGAGATCGTAATCCAACAACAACTGTGGATGAATGAATGGTTGTCCTGCTGATTGTTGGTGTTGGTGATGGTGTTGTGATACCTTGTCTTTCATAGATACAACGTACGGTTATAAGGACAAACGAACAAGGAAAGGAAAAGGTTTCCTATTATGATAAAAGACACAAACAGTAACACAGACCACGACACGGAAGAGACCCTACTCTAAAAATCTCCATATCTGAATCTATAGAGACTGGGTAAAAAGAATCTATATGTACTATGATGGTCTGATGATGATGATGACATGTCTTACATTTATGTTATGAATAGTGATGGATTGGATTGTGAAGGAACCCACCCGCGTCGTACAATAATTAATAATACTTTGGTGGGTGGTGGTTTATCTTGAATATAAGACACCCTCCTAATCATGTGATGGAGGAGAGGAATAAAATATTTCGAAAGATATTATTAGAATGACAACGTTGAAAAACATTACAAGAGCGCTGTGTATGAACTTTCTTCTCTCTCTCTCTTTGCTAACCCTTTCCTTCCTTTTTGCAAAGATGATAGGGGATACCCCTTTCCCAACAACAATTGGTTGAAACGAATCTACAAACCCCATAATCACATGATACCAAAACGAATAAAGGGCCAAATGAAAAAAATAAAAAAAACGAAACCGATCGGTGGTATTGAAAGGTAGATGGGTAGGTAGGTCTAAGAGCCTATACATACAATATTCACAAACAACACAATCAAAATTGTCATTGTGGATATTGGGGATAAATCCAATTTCCATTTATCACAAAGATTTAAAAAACTTTGAACTATCAAAAGAGGAAATGGAAAAAAAAAAAAACTCGTTTTGGCGATCAACAATAAAATCGACCAAAAAATTTGATGTTTGTTGGTTGAATGGAGAAAAGGCAAAGGTGGGTGTGATTGGAGGTCGGATACTTACGCTTTAATAATAAAGGTCAGTGGTCAGGTCAATAAGAAGGGGTATTCGGCGAACTCTGAGATGTATATCGGGTGAGGAACAGTTGACTGGATGGAAGAGAAAGTAGTAGGTATGAAATGGCCAGATAAGAAAACTATCTGCTGAAAATATAAAAAAAGAAAGAGATAAAAGAAGAGATACAATAGAATAGATATTCTATATATTAATAAATTATGTTGGTGGAGTGGAATAAGATTGTTGAAGGGTTGATTGATGGTGGTGGTAAAAGACAGAAGATGAAAAGATGGTCAATTAATTGGGTAATAACCCAAATCATATGGTTGATTGTAGCTGAAGATGAGCCTCTCCCAACCCACAAACCGTCCCCAATCGTTTCTGGGGCAAATATATCTTTCTTTTGACCCAATGCCATATTTTCCGGTTCTCATTTATTCAAAAATAAAGATGAGTTTGTTTTTTGTTGGGGCTGGGGGAGAGCCTCTCACCAAACCACAGTAATAGTCACTCAAAAAATATCATGTGGACAATTGAAACAGACAACAGAACTGATAAACAAAGGACAGAATGAGAGAATAATACAGATACAAAAAGTCATCACCTACATGGTTTATTATATGAATCCAAATCAAAAAGGGACCGGAAATAAAAAAAGGAATAAAAGAGAGAATGCTGCCAACATTACACTCGCTCATTTCCATGAGCAACAGTAGCAAATGCCTACTGGATTGGGGTTAGTCCATTCTTTTAGCCGAGACACTATGGTGGTTATCAAACGGCGCCGAGAGAATCCTTTCGACCACTGATCAGGTGATGGATGAATCAAACATCAGGTGATTGTGTTTATAACATATATGCCAAAAGAAAACTCTCGTAAACACCGATGATCCCTCTCTTGAATCATTGTCTGAAAGTGTTTGGAATGTTGCAGCTGGGTGGGTAGTTCACAATATGCTTTTAAAAGTGGTCCATATTGGGTCCGTAAAAACAATATTGATCAGATGATAAGCATCACTTGACCACACACCTACACCTGACCTCAGGTATCTGCTGTCCGCCACTCTCGAGACAATGAAAACAAGAAATAGTGGAAGCTAAAAGAATAGGGGACACTTATTTGGTCTCTAGCAGCCTTCGCCTTTTATTATTTCCGATCCCCTTCACAAGATGGCCTCTCTACAAGGTGCGCCCTTTGTTCCGATTATAATCTCAGATGAATGAATGAAATGTGGTGATTGCTGCTGAGGGGTGATGAAATAGATCCTGTCAGATGACGACTGTGTTTGACTTGGGGGATCGATCAACCAATGGATAGTGGTGACCACCCCCTTTGTCATGGCACAGCGGCGTGGCAGTAATACAAGCAAGTAATATAGGAAGACACACAAAGGCAAGTGGAGAGACAAAGGGTCAGCTGATGACGGTCACTTACCAAATGGAATGGGTAATATTGGTTCTAACTCTGAGATATGTATTGGGTATGGGTATGGGTATGGGTATGGGTATGGGTATTGTATGTATGCCTGAAGATGAAGAAGAATAAAAGAAAGGAAAAGAAAAAAAGGAAATGGTTATAGAAGAGAGGAGAAAGGTTGTGATGAATGAACAGTGTCTCGCCCAAATTGATCTTTTTATAGGTTTCGACTTGAACAAAGCAAAAAATGTAATTAAAATTCGAAAAAATGTTTATAGCAAACAGCAAACTCGCAGAATCATGTGAGTTAACACGAGTAGAAAGGCACAACATCCCGACGAGCTCTTTATCACGTGTTGTTGTGTATTTTTGAAGAAGATGAGGTCCCTCACTACATTTTATATAAAATAAGCATGTGCTCTTTCGAAAATATCACAAACCCCTTTTGCCCCCCACTCTCTGGAAAAAGTTGATACTAAAAAGAGAATGTTGATTTTAAAGAAGAAAAAACAAAGAAGAAGATCACCAAATCAAACAAATACTCATTTAAGCAAAGTCACGTCTTTTGGTTTGGGAAAATAGGTCGGGTAGTTTAGTTTAATTACTACGAGATTTGTCTTCAAGGTCATTTATTAAATTTAATGCTCCGTTTATATTTGATTGTAAGGATGATGTTGATATTTGTAAATTGCATAGTGATCCAATCTTTAAAGCTGATGCTTCTTTTGGTAAAATTTCTTTTTCCAATCTATCATAATGACGAAAAAAAAGAAATTTAAATAAATGTGACCTATAATATTTTAGCTTGTACAACTTACTCTGAAAGACTTGATTTTAGTGAATCTATTGGTTCCATTTCATGAAGAAATATTGATTGATTGGTTTGTAAAATGGTTGGTATAATAATCTATAAATATAAAAGAAAATTTTGTTAGGATCGATTGGGCATTTTTTTTTCTTTCAAATATCACGTGATACAAACATTATGTAATGCACATTTAACAATATCATTTGCAATTTTAATTGATACACCTCTTAAATAAACTTGAGTCCATTCAACAGAGAATGGAGATAAAATAACCTTTGGAAGATCGGCAGATGATGTTGGCATGATCGATGAAGGGTTTGGTGAGGGATTATGAGTGGTCGATGGCTGTAATGGGTAATAGTAGTGTAATACACTTCTAAACTCTTCATATGAAAGGGAGGGTGTTTGTTCCTTGTAGATTTGATGCTTAAATATATTAGTGTCCAAACTTTTGGTGATAGCTTCTCCTGTCTTCATGAGGTAGAATCGTTCGATTGGTTGAAGATGGGCTGTCAATTGCATGATACTAGAGTTGATGATGGTTGGGATCTTTAGTTCAAATGATTGTTTTAATAGTTTACTGACAGTCTTTCGATAAGATGCATTCCAATTTTCAAATTCTACTTGTTGTTTAGATAATTGTTGGTGAGTTGTAGTAGAGGAAGAAGAAGAGGAGGATGTATTATGTTGTTTGGGAGCAGGTGGTTGAATTGCATCTGGATAAAGTTTGCAATGTTGTTTCAAGTCTTCAAGATGGTGTCTCAGATGATCGGCCAGAGATGTTTGGGAAAGTTCAGGAGAGCCTAAAAATCTAGTCCACTCTGTTACATAGTGATTATAATTGATGGGTGATACAATGGCATCAGACTTTTTGATTGGAACTGGGTGTCCAAGATAATCTTGAAGTTGTTTATACTTTTCAGTGAATTTTGTTTCCGAATATCGTTTGACATTTGGCAATAAATGATGTCCATGAATATCCTTTTCTTCCAATTTGAAAGCTTCAATCAATGTTTCATCAAATATTTTACTAATTTCATGTTCAATATTTTTTTAATAAATAAATTCCTAAAAAAAGAGAATAATAAAGATATATAATTATTATTAACGTGGCTGGATGGTTTTCTTTTTTTTATATTTACATTAAAATTGATTCTTGTGAAGAGGGATGAGTTAATAATTTAAAATGTGCACTTTTTTCTCTCTTTTCCCATTTTGATAAAACATTGGCCATTGATGTCATTACAGTTGATTTCATTTGTAAATATTTTAAACTATTTTGAACCAATGAATTAATTTCGTTTCTATTTCTAAATATATATAACTAAACAATAAATAAATAAATAAAACAATAATTGTCAGTTGATTTGGTCATATGATCATATGATTTATCTTGGTTGATTGATTTTGCATACATATAAAATTTTGTTCCAGATTGAATTAGGTCCGACCTTTTCAATCTTTAAACTATGTTGAATCTCGATTGATTCTTTAATTTCTTTGTTGTATTGTTCAATCTTTTCAAGATTGAATTTAAAACTATCGGTAGTTGAATATTGTAATGGGAATCTTGTTTCCTTTTCACCACTAGAGTCCTGTTGTGGTGGTGGTGGTGGTTGTTGATGATCAGAATTTGAACAAAATCCAACCCATCCACTATTAAAATGATATTTTTTGTTTTGAATCATAGAGGCAGCTTCATCCAATATATTACTATTTGTATCACTATCGTCAAACAATAGTTTATCCATCTTTGTCAAGACCCCAATAGTATTAGAGTAGAGATGATCTACTACATGTACAGACTGATAGTCAGAGTCGAGAGGTCCTCTAAATGATTCTGTGCAAAATACAATCGTTCGTTTGATTGGATCAGTTTGAAAGAGATAGTTTGTGACACTAGAGTTTACCTTTGACAAGATATCTCTTTGGTGAGTGTCGAGAGAATGAGGAACAAAATCGACCAATTTAATATTGTGTAGATGAGGTGCAGCGTATACTATTTCAATAGGGATGACAGACACTAGATCTCTATTGCTAAGGGATTTAGATGTATTAATTTCAGCTACCTTTTTTCGTACTTGTTCAATGTCGTACAGCTTTCCAGAGTTTCTCCAACCACCTTCGATCACTTCAAAGTAGACATCACCTCTAGTTCTAATACACGATACAGCAATATTTCTATTGAGATTATTCTTTTCGTAAAGCCTCACACCCAATAGAGATTCTATAATCGAACTTTTATCAGATCCCTGTGTTCCAATGAATCCAACCGTTCCCAAATGTGGTATAGAATTGTGTGGTACTAAATCATATAATGATTCCATTACTTCAATTGAACTTGATTCATCCATTGAAAGTGGTGGTGGTGGTGGTGGTGGTGGTGGTTGAGATTGTTGAGAAGGTTGTTGTTGTTGTTGTTGTTGTTGTTGATGTGATTGTAGTTGAGGTAATGGTTGTTGTTGATGATGAGACTTTTTGTTATTTAAAGATTGATATAATTGTTCAGAAATCTCTCTATCCTTTATAATCTTTCTAGATACCAAATCGGTAGGTATCTTTATATCATAACCAAGATTACCAGATAGATGACTTTGATCTTTAAGATTACTTGCGTCTCTCTTCATATTCAATCCAATTCTACTGGTCATTTGAAAATCGAGGTGGTATCCAATGTTGTCGGGTGTTTTCATATTGTTGGATGATGATGACGATGATGATCGTTGTTGTTGTTGTTTTGTAGTACTATCCTTTTTCTTTTTCTCTTTATTCTTTTCCTTTACTTTTTCTTGGTGTCCCCTTAGGAGACTCTTTAGATCATCTTGTGATACTTTGGTTTTAGGTCTTCCTCTTTCTCCCTTTTTTTCTCCTCCTCTTGATTTGTGTTGCTGTTTTGGTGGTTTAGATGTTGTGCTTGTGGTGGTAGTAGTAGTACTGGTAGGTGATGATGATGAAGAAGAAGATTTAGAAGGTGATGATCTAATGTCTGTAGTTGTTATATATTGTCTTGTTATTAATGATAGTGATGCCTGTTGTTGTTGCTGACCACCAATAAGTGTTGTCAAAATTGATGATGTTGTTGATCTATTGGTGGTGTATTTTAGACTATTGATCAAAAGATAAGACGACGACGTTGATGATGACCGCAACATCTTATAATTCTTCCTTCAATTATCTATTCTCTTGTATCTATATCCTTAATTACACACACAAAACTATGATCGATTGCAGAGGTCCACTCTCGTAGTGATGATGTAAAAACTCCTTCCTCGTTTCGGTGTTGTCCGTCCTATAAAACTTTAATAAACTAACTAGTTTAGCTGTAACATGTTTGTTTGTTTGTTTTAAATATTATAAAGTTAACTTTTATTGATTTAAACAATAAATAGTGATTCGATCGATCTGATTGTTTGGTTGTGGTTGGTTGGTTAAGGTTGATTGGTTCATGTATGTGATTCCCATTTTTCACATGACTATATAGTATAGTATATAGTATATTCTATTCTTTCTATCTATTTCGATTGGGGTAGTAGTTGTGATTATTGTTGTTGTTGTTGTTGTTATCATCGTTGATTTAATTAATAAAGGTGATGCGTTATTATTATTTTTGTTATTATTATTTACATATAAGTATCGGTAGTACTCTTCTTTTTGTTCATTTGATTGATGAAACCAATTTCAAGCTTTTGAAATTCATCGATAAGACAATGTATACTGCCTTCTAAAGCTTGAATAGGTGTAGATTGTGGGAATGTTTGAATCTTGATGGTGATATTGTGTTCCAATGGATGTGGCATTCTATAGCCTGCAAACTTTACATCTGGGTCACCAACCAATTGCATTCTAATCAAGTTACCAAGTGTATGATCCTCTTTTAAGATTGTAAACATACATGCATTTGGGATCTTTGTATCTTTGGTCATAGAGATCCTTTGATTGATTAAATAAAAGGTGATGAGTATATTATACTCTTTCATATTGTTTCCGATCTACTATCTTTCTTGTTACAATGCTATCTAATCTATCTATCTATCTCTATCGCTCTTCTCTCTTTTACTACATACTTCTTTGCATCATCGGGAAGAACAAAGAGTTCAAATCTATCTGGTGCGTTCATTTTCTAATTTATCTTTCTTTCTGTTTATCGTCTACCTCTTTTGTTCTATCTAATAATAATGATGATGATGATGATCAAGACAACAACAAGCTGATGATGATGATAATGTTGATAATAAAAGGAAAGTGATTAAATTAGAATAATAAACAAAAACGATAAATGAACAAGACATTGATAATGACACTTCAAGTCATGTTCATTCTTGACAAAAAAATTAACACAAACAATTATTAATATTAACAACAAAAGTTTGTTCATACACACCACAACATGATGGTTCATAATTATTACTATATTATATCATACATAGATAGATAGATATATTGATAGAGACAACAACAATGGGAGAACCACATTTATTATTAAATTCAATTAAATCAAGATACAATAGATTGTTGGAATGTAAATTTCATACCAATGTACAAGTACTACACAAAGATGTACATGTACTACAACAACACTTACAGTCAACTATTAGTAATAGTAACAGTCCTGCTTATATAGTCAGATCACCTATTCTACTAGATAGTGATGATGATAATAGTGTCATTGATGGTGAATTCAATCCAAATATTGGTGGTGGAGAAGATGATGAAAGTGGATACTATTATAGATACTATCATGATAGTAACTACTTGTCCAATGTAATAGATTCAAAGTTTAATCAATTCTATCAAACTGTTCTATCAAAGGACGTTCAACATCAACACCAACATTCCAAAAATAATCTACTTGACAATAAGATTTACCCAACTCCATTGGTATTATTTTCTCCATCCTATTTCTATCAATGTGATAATGGATCTAAAAGATCATCGGTCATTTCAATACCATCTCATGTATTAAATAATTACCAACAACAACAACAACAACAACAACAAAATAATAATAATAATAATAATAACATTGTTAATAATAATACAAATAATATAATACATGATGTAATATATTATAGTGATAGTGATCATCAATTCCATAAGGAGCCATTTACAATGAATCAAAATCTATATGATTCAATGGTTAAATGGTCAAATACCCAAAGAAATATGTTAAAGGATCATCAATCATCCGTATCATCCGTATCTGGATCATCCATCACAACATCAACATCAACATCTTTTAAAAAATTGGATATTCCAAGCATCAACAAACCAATTAAAAATAACAAAGGAAAAAAGAAAACAAGATCAAAAAGAGCAGGAATTGTGAGTAAAATAAGAGGAAAGAAAGGAAAGTCTGCCATCAAACAACAAAGACATTATCTTGAAAGAGAAATAGTTAAATATGAGTCTGGACATCCGTTGAGAAGAAGTTGGAGTAGATCTAAATATGTTTATGGAGCTGCTGCTGCTCAGAGTGGTACAATGATGGAAGATGCACAATTGGAACAAATTCAAAGTCAACTACAACAACAAGCCATACCACAAAGTAATTCACCTTACTCTTCAGATGATAGTTATCGTGCCAGTTATAAGGAAAGATTTTGGAGAGGTGAAAAGGATGTTACTGATCCTTATGATCTAAGGTCAAGATCTTATTATTGATACTGTCTCTGGAAAATAAAAAAAATAAAAAAAAAAAATCATCAATGGGTCGTTTTTTTCGTCACTGTCTGATCATTGAACAGAGCTGTCAGATTCTACTCAATAAGAAGAAGTAATACTCGTATTATATATAGTAGTTTTAAAGAGAATGGTTAGATTTGAAACACAAGATCGTGATGATAACCCATTCAAGTTATCTCCACGTTTCAAGAACAAGACTATCGTCGTAAAGAGAGAACCAAGACATTGTGGTGACATCATGACTGAATACGGTGTTTGTCTATCTGCTAATAACTTTGATATCTCAAAGTGTACCGATGAAATGAAGGCTACTGAAAGATGTGTAAAGGAACTTGTATGTATAGGAGAGAGAATAAACAGAGAGAAACAGGGAGAGGAGATAGATTAGGGTGATTGGTGGATGAGAGCAATCAACGAAATAGATATAATAGAACAATGCAGAGGTGATTATCTTTTTATTAACATACTTTCTCAAATTACAATCAAAGAAACAACCACATCGTACATCACCATTCAATTATCATCTCAGACGTGTTATTGCTAACAAGTACAGAGTTCCACTCAGATAATAGCAAAAACAATTAATAGTAACAACGAGTAATATAGCGCGAAAACAACAAACATGGGATAATAAACAAGAGGTCATAATAATAATAATTTTAAAACACAACAACAAACATGGATATATTGGTGATTGATTTAATCCTATTATTATTATTATTTATTGGGAATATTCATATTATGGTTGAATAGTTAAAATGACAGGATACAATGTAGATGATGTTGGTATTTGGACAAATGCAAAACCGATTGGTGATAGATTTACATTGATGGCATTCTTTTCTAGTCTGATAAAACTATATGCAGAACAATAACCAATACCTTGTCCAACACCTCTAATCAGTGATTGGTCACCCGATACAATATATCCAATTGGTGTTCTAGTACTATTTTCCTTGAGTTCAATTTCATTTGATGGTATATCATTGGCATCTTTGTATTCCAAAGGTGGCGATGGAGAATGTCTAAAGAATTCACATTTCTTTTGATACTCTAAATCTTTTTGATTTGGTGCATAAATGACTGAATTCATTACTGGACGTCCTCCATACAACATCTTGACTGACACTCTCACCAATCCTCTTTTATATAAATCTTTTTTAATTTTAGAATCATAATCTATAGAGAAAGATAATGTGGTTAATTATTATTGTTTATCCTTGGTTTTAATATTACATACTTTTCATAATTGATGGAAGTTTAAGATTTAATATTGATAATGCAGATTTACCTCTATATACAAAATATGGTGATGCCTTGTTGATGGTATGTTTGATAAATTCTTCTTCCTCTGCCTTTTTTGGAGTTGTATCTGTTTTTGTAAGCTTTGTCTTTTTCTTTTGATTTTCCAAAGTAACACTTGTTTCTTGTTGTTGTAACTTTTCTTTTTTAATCAATACCTCTTCATCTTTATCATTATTAAGTTGTTGATAGAATGATTCATTGTCTTGATTATCCAAATCTAAAATCCAATTCCAATTTGGATTAAATGGGAAATAAACTTGGTTGTGAATATAGTTTGGTCTTTTTCCACTTGGAGTTCTCTTGTATTTCTCCAATTTATCATTTTCGATTGCTTGATGATATTCCTTGTAGGCATTTGAATCTGGATAGTCTCTAGGATAGGATGGTATGCCTTGTTCGAGTAACATTTCATCTCTATTTTGTAATCCTATTGCCCACGACCCACTATACACCAATGACAACCAAAATGCTTGTCCCCATCCTTCTGGAATAATAATATCAAATCCACTACCATATCCTCTAGACAATCCACCATCCCTTTGAATTAATAAAATTGATGGAGTTGAATAATTATTTGTATTATTTTTAATGGCGAATGGCTAAATAAAGAAAATAAATAAATAAATAAAATATTAGTTCTTTTTCCTCTTTTTCTACTTTTCTTTTTAACATACATTTTTTCTTCTTTGATAAACACTTGAAACCTTTTCAATATTTTTTGACATTTCCAATCTTTTAGACTCTTCATAAATGGGAGAATAGGAAACTTTTTGAGATGACCAATTAACAATCAATCTATTGATTTCCTGTTGTGTTATTGTTGCTTTTTGTTGTTCCTCCTTTGACAATGGTGGTTTAGCAACCGAATCTACACATTGAGCAATAGATTCAGGTACATGGCAAACCAAACGTGGATCCAATACAGTCAATCCTAAAATGACACTAGTTGGAAGGGTGGCTGTTGATCGTAATTGTTTTAAAGAATTCCAAAGAGAATGTGCTCCTTTCATTGAATTATTATTATTATTATTATTTCCATCAATATCGATTGGTACAAGTACTGAATGTAAAGCACTATTACATTTAGCTCCTGTTAATTCGAATCTTTGTAATTTATCTTGTAATGATTTAATTGAAACTAATAGGAAAAACAAAAATAGGTTATTAAACTGGATGATTATAATGATTTCATTTTTTTTTGTTGATTTCTACTTACTTTTATGTTCTTTTGATTGATTTTGTAAAATGGATTGAATATCAAGAATTGAAGATGGATGAATCCATAACCAAAGTTGTCTTGATTCGTTTTCTTCTACTTGTTCTTTTTCGTTTGTTGTTGATGGTTTCCAATGAAATTGTGATGGACAAATAAAATGAAATGGATAACGATTTGGATAATATAAATCGATTGAACCTTCACGATCACCATTGATATAGGTACGACTATTGACTGATAGAGAATCGGGTGGAGTCATTGTCTTGAATAATGCAGCGATTGAAGATTCCGAGCCAGTAATCTCTAGACAAACCATATAGGATCTATCACAAACAGTAGACAATGAATTTGATGCACGAATAACCGAACGTCTACCCTTTGCAGTTGGTTTGACAGCCAATCTATAACGCCATATATTTGTCATAAACATTCTCTTTGCATGCCAAATATGAGTTTCCAACCATTTGTTGACACGTTGTCTTCGAACAAAGTCTTTTTGAATGTAAGGAGGTCTTCTCTTTGCTTTTCGATGTACCACCTTTTTAGCACGAATAAACGAACCCGACTCTGATGGTCCACCCTTTGCCGACTTTTCCATTTCACTTCTAGCACGTTGTCTAATGTGTAGTGGTACACGATAGGCATTCGTACTCATTGTTCTTCTTCTCAAGTGTCTTGGTAGTGATTGAAATGCTCTTGCATTTGATTTCTTTTGTTCTATTTGTTGTAATAATGCTTTTACTTGATGTGTTCTCTCTAACAAGTATTTATCTGCATATATAAATCTTTCTCCATCTATGATCGATGATGATTAAACAAAAGTAGTAAGTATATGTTATATGATGTAGTAGAGTAAGTCTTAGACTTGATGATGGGTCTTCAACACATACGATAGGAAGACATTTTATCGGTTGACGGATATATCGTCCTCGTCAATCAAAAAGAAGAATCGAGAAGCAAGAAGAGAGAATGAATAGAATAATCAAGAGAAATACTAATCATCAGGTGACTTCGTTTTAGTTAAAAAACCTCAAAATTCAATTTACCCCATGTTAGTTTTCACCAAAAGATCTTCTTTAGTGGCGATGATGTGATGGTGGTTGAAGGGGCTGGCTGTTTAAACTTTACAGTTGTAAATCGTACCTATATATCTGTATCTATCTGTATCTGTATCTGTATCTTATTTATATTTTATTTGTATACAAAAATATCGACGACGATAATCTACTAGTAGATAAATCACAAACACACACAATATGTATCATACAGGAAGTATAATTAGAAGATTGAAATCGTTAAAGTCACATATTGAAACATCACAACAAGAGTCTGCCATCAATCAAGATTTCGAAGAACAACAGAAAAAGAAAAAAAAGAATAAAGATACATCGCAACAAGATCATCATGGTGAAGAGGAAGATGAAACCTATGATGTCATTGTTGTAGGTGGAGGTATTACAGGTACTTCTTCTGCCTATCTCTTGGCAAAGAGTGGTTTAAAAGTATTATTACTTGAACAATTCGAGAAGATGCATTCTAATGGAAGGTTGGTATTCATCTACATAGATAGATAGATAGAGATCGACAATCATATGATGGATGATGATTCGATTCAAAATTTTATTTATAAATATCTTAACCTTTTTTTTTTTATTCTTTTATTTATTATTATTATTATAATTAATTAATTGCCAGTTCACATGGAGATGGTAGAATTATCAGATACTCATATCCAGAGGATATATATGTAAAATTATCAAAGATTGCCTATCCATTGTGGGCACAAGTAGAAAAGGAATCAAAACAAAAATTAATACATATCACTGGTGGTCTTGATTTTGGTGCATTCGATGAAGAAGCACTTAGACAATTATTAATTGCCTATGATAATGTATGTTTGAAATATTAATATTAATATTAATATTAATATTTTATTTATTAATTATTTTTTTTAATTTTTTTATAGAATAAAATAAGTTATAGTATTTTAGGATATAAAGAAGCAAACAAGAGATTCCCACAATATAAATTTGATAAGGAAACATTAATTGTTTACCAGCCAGATAGTGGAGTGGTATTTGCATCAAAAGCAGTTGGAGCACTTTGGTCTTTGGCTCAAAAATATGGTGCAACTTTGTTTGATAAAACAAAGGTAGATACAATCACTGTTGAAAATGATAATATGGTCACTGTAAAGACTCTTGATCAAAAAACATTTGTAGCTAAAAAGATTGTTTTGGCTGCTGGTGGATGGATCAATGACTTACTTTTACGTTCACAATTGGGATTACGTATTCCTGTCAATATTTCAATGGAAAAGGTATTTTATTATCAACCCAAACAATCAACTGCCACCACCACCACCACCACAATAGACTATACAATGTATTCAAATCCAGTTACAATCAATTATGCAGGAAAGGATTTAATTTATTATTCACTTCCACAAATTGATATTCCAGGTGTCAAGGTAGGATATCATCATTCTGGACCAGTACTAGATTCAATGGATAGTCCAAAACCAGAATACCCACAAGAATACCAAGATATGGTATCTGGTTTTGTTGGTAAATACATGCCAGGATTAAATAACAAATTAGATAGTAATACCAAAACACTACTATGTCATTATACCAATACATCTGATTTTCACTTTATTATTGATCGTCATCCATCACATCGTAATATAATTATTGCCAGTCCTTGTTCTGGACATGGTTTCAAATTTGGACCTGCCATTGGTCAAATTGTTTTAGATTTGGTCATGGACATCGATACACCAATCCCTTTGGATGACTTTTCACTCAAAAGATTTAAATCAAATATTTATAAAAGAATTGGTGCCTAAAACAAATAATAATAATAATAATAATAATAATAAATTTATTTCATATCATAGTACTCGTTTAGTTTTTATTTAGTCTTTCTTTTGTAATTGATTTTTAACCAATTTATAGTACATTCCTTTCTTTGCCATTAATTGATCGTGACTACCAAATTCAGAGACAATACCATTTGAAATGACAGCAATGGCATCTGCATTTTGAACAGTGCTTAGACGATGAGCAATGACTAGTGTAGTTCTACCTCTCATAAGGTTTTGGAGTGCTTCTTGTACAAGCTTTTCACTTTCACTATCCAAAGCAGATGTTGCCTCGTCCAAAATGAGGATCTTTGGGTTCTTTAGAATGGCTCTTGCAATGGCAATTCGTTGTTTTTGACCACCTGAAAGTTGTACACCACGTTCACCAACCATTGTATCGTATCCGTTCGAGAATGAACTAATAAAGGTGTGAGCATTTGCCAACTTGGCAGCTTCCACCAACTGCTCATCTGTTGCCTCTGGACAACCATATCTAAGATTTTCAGCAATGGTAGTTGCAAAGAGAGCTGGTTCTTGGTTGACAATACCAATTTGGCCACGTAACCAACGGGGTGACAATTCTCTAATAGGTACGCCATCAATAAATATATCACCGCTTTCAGTGTCATAAAAACGTTCAAGTAGCGCTGCAATGGTACTCTTTCCTCCTCCGCTTGGCCCAGCCAAAGCAACTACCTGTCCTGGAAGGAGATCAAGTGACAAACCCTTTAGAACTGGTACATTTTTACGTGTTGGATATCTAAAGTGAATGTTGGAAAACTTGACATTTCCATCGACCTTGTCGAGTGTCTTGCCCATGTTTGAAAGAATCTTTGGTGTTCGGTTGACCATTTCAGAGATACGATCCATTCCTCCAATGGCAGATGATATCTGTGTGAAAAGGATTGATATTTGAGCAAACGATGCTTGCATGCTCATTGTGTGAATGATAAATGATGTCAACTGGCCAGATGTAATATCTCCACTAGCAACCAATGATCCACCGTACCAATAGACGAGTAGACTGACTGCATTGAGAGCCATTGCACTGACACCTTGGAATATTCCTATTTGAATACCACTCTCTGTTGCCAAATCAAGTGATCTCTGACTTTTGGCAGTGAATCTTGCAACCTCTCTTTGCTCGCCAGCAAATGCAACCACAGTTCTAATATTACCCATTGCCTCTTCTGCTACGATAGTTGATTTAGCTTGAGCTGCTTGTGCCTCTCTACTGAGACGTTTGAGCCATTTGGCATAGATCGATCCAATGGCAACCATGGTTGGTACGACCGCTGCCATTGACAAAGACAGTTGTGGTGATATCATGTACAGTGATATGGCACCACCAACTATTTGAGCAGTACTCTTGACACCCATCGACACTGAATGTTTCAAGGCCGATCGAACCAATTGCACATCACTCGATAGTCTATTTACAAGATCTCCGGTGGAATTTTGATCATAGAATGCAATCTCTTGATTGAGTAGTGATTCAAATAAAAGGGTTCTCAAGTTTGCCGAGAACCTTTCCACACTGATCGATATAGAAGCACTGTACACAAAATTAAGTGTTGCCTGTACCACTAGAACAGCTACTGCATGCAGAGCCGGTTGAGTTAGGTCTTTTCCAGCTTTTGAACAATCAACCAAACTACCAAATACTCTTGGTATTTGTATTCCAACCCATGATGATAAAAAGGCAGTGATCACACCAAATGCCAACAACCATATATCTTTTCCAATTAAACTCCAAATAATTTTACCGTTTGATACCTTTTCCTCCAACTCTTCCAATTGTTCTTTGATTTCATGTGAAGTATGTACAATGATAGTTTCACTATCAGACGGGGTTGGTCTTTCTTGACAATAAATGGCATCAACCAAACGACCATCCAAATCAAATACAAATAATAATATTCCTCCAATACAAAATGTAATCATTGCTCCAATTTGAATATATGAATTTGATGTTAATCTTATTCTTGTAGATGTTGTTGATCCATTATTATTATTATTACTACTACTATAATTTCTTTGTTGTTTATTATTATTATTATTATTATTATTATTATTATTATTATTATTATTATTATTATTATTATTATTTAATCTATAACCATTTGAACCATTACTTCTTCTCAGAGATGTTGATGAAAAGAAGAATCTATTTACATTTTTGTTATTATCATTGTTGTAGAGTAATGAAAGTTTATTATTATTACAACTAGTTGTAGTGTACTTTATATTATTATTATTGATATCTTTTCTGTTATTGATAGATAAAGATGAAGATGAAGACGATAATCCAGATTTAAACTTTAAAACAGAAAATGATATTGATGATGATGGAGAAGATGATGATAGTGAAGATAAATAAGGAGATGAGCCCAAAGTAGTTGCTCTCCTAAATAGATACATAATTTACTTGATCAAAAAAGAAAGAGAGAAAAGAGAGGTATATTCAATGATCAAAAGTTCATTCCCCAATTTACACAAAAGAATCGATTCGTTCATCGGGATGTTAATTTAAAAAACAAATATTTTAATATTTTATTTTATTTCTTTAATTTTGTTTGTTTGTTTGTTGATTATAAGCATAGCAATGACTATCAATACCTTTCACACGCTCTACTACTTATTTATTTACCAAAGTGGACGTGGTGGTAAAGCAGAACGAGGTACACAAAGAGCAGCATCATGACAACAAGCATTACCTTGACATGGACTGAGTTTAGCCATGGCACAGGTAAGACCTACCAAGTTACAACGCAATGATTCACAAGTACCAATGAATGGATCGTATTGCTTGAATCTAGCTGGAAGAGTAACACATGGATCGTCGAGCATTACATTCTGTCTACCGATGATATCAGTGTAACACAATGGTCTATTTGAACCGAATGGGAATTGTGGATGACAACGAGAGGCATTGACACTTAGACACATTGATTGTGAATGACCACAACAACCTTCAATGGTAGCCCATCTACATTGTGGATAGGAACCACAAGACCATGGGTTTTGTAATGATTCACATGATCCTCCAACAAATAGATCTTGTGTTTGTTGTGTCTCTTGGGTATCGATGGCATGAGAGGTCTCTACTTTCTTCTTTTGCTTGTGTTCCTTTTCTTCAACCTTCTTTTCTTCAACCTTCTTTTCTTCAACCTTCTTTTCTGGATAATCAAATTCCTCAGAGACAACAAACTTGAGTTGTGGACCTGACCATGGACGTGTTGGTTTGACATCACAACGAGCATATGGACCACAGCAACTACCTTGTGGACACTTGTTGTCAAAGAAACCAATGCATGACTTTCCTTCAGATGAACAGTCTAATGCTCTGCATACAATTTGGAGTCCTGCCATGTCCTTTGGTGACACTGGACATGGTCCGTGTGGTGGTGGTGGTGGGGGTGGATGAACACCTCCTCCACCATGACCTGGATATAATTTGCTTGCATGTACACAGAATGGAACATATGTGCAACACTTGGTACCAATACACTCGGTATTTTGACCGTATCCACAAACTAATCCACGACCAGTACAATTCAAAGAGGCACAGGTTTCTATAAGAAAAAAAAAAAAGAAAAGAAAAACAAAAAGATTAGAATGTGAAACAAATGTATACAATCTATTTAGTAGACTTACGAGTATTTGGAGTAAAAGATTCCCAACCCTTCTTTGGTTGACAATTTGATGGAATTTCATAGATTTGGTTGGTGAGAACTTCCTTGAGACAAACGGTACTGTTATAGTTACAGGTTTGAGATGGAGGTGGGAAGATAAGTGGATTGATGATAGTGTTGGTGACACAGAGTTTACGTCTTTGACCACAACATCCAGAAGCACTGACGAGTTTACATTGTGGAGATGGACATCTATTGAGATCGGTTACGGATTCACAATCTTGTGGAGCATGGGTTGGAGATGGTTCGAAAAGACAAGTACCCCTGCCATTGACAACGGCACAATACATTCCACGTGGACAACCTCCACATGCATCATCACCATGTCCTCTAAATTCTTTTTCCAACTCTGAACAACTTACTGTTGCCAGTATTAATAGTACCTGTACTATTAAAATTAATATAGATTTTTTCATTATTGAATAATATTATTGGTAATAATTATTTCTATTATTGATATTCAAAAAAGACACAAAATGAAAATGAATGGAATGGAATGGATATGAATTAATATTTGATGGTTTGGTTTGGAATGGGAACCAGAGCAGGAGAAGAGTAAATTTAATGTGTTTATTTGTATTTATTCTTTTTTTTTGATTGAATCAATCCAAAAGCACCCATCATCACAGTAGTAGTATTCACACTTTGATCCAAAAGATAGCTATTACTAGTCAGAGTGTGAGTGTACAATGAATACAAAAATGAAATGTAACATCATATGACAACAATCGTTATTGGTATTTCCCAATAAATGGGGTGGGTGGTATGTTAGTTTGATTAAAATCAATACAGGTATGATTGATCAATCCAGCCTGAGAAGAAGAAGTCTTTTTAATCATAATATTTTGTTAACCCTCACTATTAAAATTGATTTCATTAACAACAACAACACTACCACAACCACCAAATGAATGCATAAAATACTACTTACATTCTGATATCGAATCTAACCACCGCTCATTACTAATACACCACCTCTTTCGATATGTATCCCATTGTATGAGTGCCATGCTACTCATTGATCACTACCCAAAAAAACAACAACTGATTGCATTGAGAATACTGATTTTTCATTCAGACATCATACAGTGAGTAATCAACTCTGTTCAAAAAACAAAAAGAGTAGAGTGGTAATGGGATTGGGATGTCAAAAGTTCCAATGATTGTGATATATTACATTTTTTATTTATACTTTTTGGTGCTAAATTTTAAACAACACCTGTGTTTTGATGATGGGGGGGTTAAATCTAATCAATTTGATACAATGGGGTGGGTGGGGGTAGCATTCCAAGGTTTAGTAGGTAGCACCTGCGCCATCATCCTCTTCTTCCAACTGAAGCTGTCTTTTGATTTTTTCCAATTCCAATCTCTTTGTTTCTCTTTCTTTTTCTCTTTCCTCTCTTTTAAGTCTTGTCATTTCAAGTGGCGAAAGATTTGAATGTGAAGATGATTTTGAATGAGTTATGGCAACTGGTTGGTCTTGTACTGGTGTTGGTGTTGATTCAATATCCTCTGTAATGTTATTTATGAATATCTCCTCTTTGGGTTGTTGAACAACAACAAGCTCCTCAATGGGTGGTTCATTATTGTTGTCCTTTGCAACCTCTTTGACCTCCTCTTCTTCTTCTTGAGTTTCTTGTTGGACTACTTCTTCCTCTACTTTGACCTCTTCTTCTTCTTCTTGAGTTTCTTGTTGGGCTACTCCTTCTTCTTTTTCTTCCTCTTTTGTTGATTCAATAATTTGATTTGGTCCTTCTATTTTCACATCTTGTTCTTCTTTTTCTTCTATTACTTGATCTCCACTTTCCGTTGTTGTATTAATTTCTTGTTCTTTTACTATTATTACATCTTGTTCTTGTTCTTGTTGTTGTTCTTTGATATTTGGATTTTCTGGTAAGACTTGCTTTAATTCCTCTTTATCTTTCTTTTTCTTTTTCTTTTCATCATCTTTATCCTTTTCATCTTCTTTATCTCCAGCTCTTTTTGATGATCTTGATTTCTTTGGAGATGATGTTCTTAATTTTTCAGTTTCTTGTTTGATGATCTTGTCAGAGTCCAAACTTAGCTTTTTTAATTCATTGCTTGTAAGATTGAGTAGGCTCTTTGCCTTTGCCAAACGTTCTTCCAATGATTTCTTCTCACTTTCCGTAGCTGATTTCAATTTGAGCGAGTTTGATTTTGAGTCTTTGAGTTTCTTTAGTTTGCTAGAGGTTGATTCAAATTCATTGCTAAAATCCTCTTTTATCTTTTTGGAACGATCCAACATTTCCATTGCCTTTGTTAGATCGTTTTCGAGTTGTTTTACCTTTTCCTCTGACTTTTTATTGTCGTTGTTGAGTAGTTCCAAACGCTCGCTCTTTGCAGCCACTTCAGCTGCATTTCTTGCCAAACGTTCCTCCAATCTCTTTTCCTTTGTTTGGAGGTCCTCGATTTGATTACCAACTTTGATGAGATCCTTTTGTTTTCCTTCGACACCAACCTTGAGTCTAGCCAATTCACGAGCATGTTTCTCGTCAATCTTTTTAATCGCATCTTCTTGGCGCTCCTTTTTCTCTTTTTCCAATTTTTTGAGGCGTCTCTTTTCGTCTTTGAGCTCGGCCTCTTTAATTGTCAACTCGGTCTGCTCATTCTTGATGACTGATTCGATTCTCTGAGCCATGACGAGGGTGCTGTCCAAATCATTGGCCATTGACTCGTTCTTTTGTTGAATCTCTCTTGCCTCTTTTCTCTTGTTGTAATTTTCAGACGATAGCTTTTGTAGTTCTTTTCGAGTCTTTGATTTCCTTTCGAGGAGTACTTGGTTTCTTTCTTCGAGTTCAGAGTTGGCTGCCTTTTCTTGTTGCAAAAATTTGTTTGTTCTATCGTTTTCGCGACCTAGTTTCTCTGCTTCTTGTTCGTACAACTCCTTTTCAGCGATTTGTAGACGAATGTCACTTTGAAAGGATCTATGTTTCATTTCCAATAGTTCCACCTCTCTCTTTACATTTTCTGTTTGGTATTCGGCACGCAATTGCTCCGTTTCCACTTGAACCAATTCCAATTGTGTCTTTTTACGTTCTTCTACCAATTCCTTTTTCTCGCTTTCAAAGACACGTTGCATTTTATCTAGAATCTCTTTATGTTCCTTTTTCTTTACACTGATACGAGCTTCCTTTTCAATAATAGTCTCTTCCAATTCGACCTCTTTATCAAACAATTCTTCTCGTAACTCTTGTTTCCTCGTCTCTACCTTTTTCTTTTCAATCTTGATATCCTGCAACTGTTCGTCAGCCTCTACAATTTCCACCTTTAAAACCTCTGTTTGTTGTTGAACATAGACACGATCATTTCTAATACGATCAACCTCACCTCTAAGATCTCGTACCTGTCTAGTTGTACTGTCAATGATACGATCGGTTTCTATTCTACTCTTGATCACCTTTTCGTTGCTAGTCTTGGCAGTCTCTAATTGTGCTTGAATCTTTTGCTTGGCCACTGCAATGCGACGACGATCCTCTTTTGCATCCTTTAAATCAACCTTGAGGTTTTTTTCAGATTCTTTGAGTTCTTTGATGTTGGTCTCTATGTTTTTGATTTGTTGACGTGCTTCATCTAGTTGCTTCTTGGTCTCTGTGTATCCAGTAGCATCAATCTTTTGTTGAACTATTTCCTTTTCCTTGTTCAATGTATCAAGCTCTTGATTGAGCTCTGTTTGTGCCTTTTCCACTTCTTGTTGAACTTGTTGTAATTTTTGTTCGCTTTGAAGAGATTGATCTCTCATGACAGATAATTGGTCGGTTGTTTCTTTTTCAATCTCTTGTCTGAGCATTTCAACCTCTCTTGTTTCTTGTTCCAATTGTTCCTTGAGTACGTCAGATGAAGGAGGTGCAACTGCTTCAAGTTGTAAGAGTTCTTTTTCCAATCGCTCAATGGTTGATTCGTATTGATCACGTTGTTCAAAGAGTTCTTGTTTGTATGTTTCAACACGCTCTTCAAATTGTTGTTCAATCTCCTTGTCCTCTACCTTTATCTCTTCTATCTGTCTTTTAATTTCGTCTATCACTTCTTGTTTGTGATGTGATCGTTGTTGGTAGGCTCTAATTTCATTGTCAATGCTATGTATCTCTTGATCAATCTCTTCTAGCTTTTCTTCAGCCTTGCGAATGACCACCACCTGCTGACTTGGGACAACAGGTGCTTCATCGGCGGCTTGATTAAACTTGTTAAATACATAAGCAATAAAGGCTATATTGAGACGACCATTTCCATTGACAATATCATCGGCAGTGATAAACTTTCTACAATCGATACGTTCAACCGATTCCAAAAACTGATTGGCACGATCACCAAGATTCGATTGATTGAGTAGATCTAGTGAACAGGCACTCGGTGCAAGATGGTTGAAAAGGATAATATAAGCTTCACAATCCTTGATATCAGATGAAAAGTTTGTGATACGTCGTCTTTGACTATGATTTGCCTCTGCCAAATGATGATTAACCCAACGCACCAAAATCTCATCAGCAAACATATCCTGTACCTTTTCAGTCTCTGATAGATCCAATATCTCACCTTTAACTCTAATTGCCAATTTAGATACTTTGTTTAATAGATCAATCTTTACCAATTGCCATAATATAGATAAAACTAAATGTCTCTAAATAAAATAAATTCCAATTAGAATCTTCAATCGATCAATCAATCAATCATTGTGCGACCATTTGAATTGAATACAAACTCTTTCCTCTTGAAAATCGACAGGACCAATATTAACAGTTGAACAACCCATTACTTTGGCAGCCTTTAAACAAATGTCAAGATTAACATTCCTCTCGAATACATTGATTTGTTTATCATTTGTTAATTTAACTAGAGATTCTTTTACTGATCCAGGTCTAATTGCGTTTATAAATTTACTTTATATAGTATTAATCAACATTGTTGTTAATATGACTCTTCTCTTCTTTTCATCGTCTTCTTGTTAGTTCTCTCTCTCTCTCTCTCTCTCTCTACTTACCAAAGAATAGTACCATCTTTTAAATCAGTAAATATTCTATCAGACTTTGGATCGATTGGAAGTCTTTTGCTACAGAATTGGTCTTGTCTCAAAACAAAGTTTAAATGTTCAACGAGAGCTTCCTTTTCCTCACTATGATATGAATGAACTGCACTATCTTTGGTTTCCTCTCTAACGAAACCTGCTGAATGGGTGTTTGCTGACTTCATTATTTTTGTTTGTTGTTGTTGTGTTTATTATGCCTGCTAACCCAACAAAGACTGGTTTAGATTCGCTGTAATATTACAATTTATATATGTTACACAACTTAGTGAGAGCTACTAAATAGTTGATATGTTTCTACTATTTTAATAATTAAACGATAAATTAGTTGATTGTCTCGATTATTATTATTTATTATGTAGGAAGAGGAAGAAGGAGAAGTAATAGTAGTAGTAGTAGTAGTACTACTCCTTTACTACTGGATGATGATAATAATAACTCATCGTTCTTCTATATTGAGTCATGACATGTTAGAATGATAGATAGATACACCCGAACTAATTCACCCAACAACAACAACGGGTGAGTGAGTGAGGTGTGTTGTAGTTTGATTTTCTGTTGCTACTGCTGACCGAATAATATAATAATTCTTACCGATATGAGTATGTAGAGATTTCTCTCCCCCTTTTAGGATTGATTATTATATGATTATTATATCTATCGAAAAGAGATCGAAAAACACTTATGTGAAGGTTTTTTTTTTTTGTTAATCGGTTGGGCAATCTGCAAAGATGACAAGTTCTTTATTTTAATTGTTGGATAGCAATTTTTAGCACACCCAGTTATTATTAGCATGATGGTGTTGATCAACAATCATCATTTGAGCTCGAATGTTTGTACAGAGTGAGCTCCAACCATTTATTAATATTAGTGAAAAGAGGGACAACAATTAACTGTTTATAATAAGATTGTTATTATTCGTTCAACGATTGTGTACCTCTTTATATCATCACGGTGACTCCTTATGTACAATTAAGTTGTTAATAATAAATAGTAATTTCAAAACAATAAATGTTGATGTCAATAGCTGACCAGTTAATAATATTATTATATTATTGGTCGATTGAAATCTAGATGATATGGAAAAAGGCGGGTTTGTGGATACTCAAAAGTCTAGGGACTTTTTCCCACACAACACCATTGAGATGGCGTGGAGCTAACCTAAAGTTATTTTACAAAAAAAACAAGTGGGAAACCCAAAATAGACCCCCTATCGAGAAAAAAGAACAGCATTATTGAGAAAAACAAAAATAAATGTAAATATAAATACAAAAAGGTGGCTTATTTGGTTAGGAGGGCTCTCTTCTCCTCTATATCCTCCCGATCAAGAGTCTCTTGAGGATGTTTGGTTTGAGGAAATCATTCTTTCTTTCTTTCTTTCTATCTCTCTGTACTACCAATAATATTTGTATCATTACTATTCTGCAGAAATTGTAGACTTACAAAGGGTAGGTAGAATGAAGGCGCTCCACCATTTTTAATACTCTTCCATTAACAAAACTTTACCTTTTTCAACAACAGAAATAGGAAATACCATATTTGCTTAAAATCTTAATTTGTTGTTGGACTGAATTTATTCAATCTTTTGGAAAAGATTATATCTTTCTTTCTTTCTTTCTTTCTTTGTCATTAACGATCCAAACAGTTAACCTTTTTGAAGCCTGCATCATTATTTATAAAGAATCTAAGAATTCTTCAAAGGGTACATTTCTTTTTGTTTCAAGATCGATCGATACATTGTATGATCTTAATTTAACGACAAAAACCTCTTTGGGAATAGTGAAATAATCATTTTTTTTTCACAATCATTCTCTGCAACCATTCCACCATCATCATTCATTCATTTCACCCACGTCCAAACTCACCCCACCACCTCCAAAAAATCACAAGAGATTCATCCAACAATTGGATCCAATTGGATCAACGTTCTGTAAATACAACCTAACCCTACTCTCCTACCTCCTTCCTACTCCCTCACTCGCTTATCCATTTTAATTTTAATTTTAATTTTTCCTTTCTATAGAGTTGATTGACACTATCAATCAATCAATCAATCAAGATTTATTTATCCAAGAGGAGGGGTTAGTCTTCTTGTTACTTGATTTCTCTTTATTTCAATAATCATAATAATAATATATGTAAATATTTTTATTGATAATAACAAAAACGGAAATTGATTATTTATTTATTTATTTATTATAACAACAAACACACCCCAACCAAATCACACACAAACAAACAATCTATAATTTCCTTTTAAAGTTTATGGTCGTCATCAACCAACACTCTTTTTGCAAAATCAACAACAAAAAAAAACAACAAACCAAAACCATCAGGTAATAAGCTTTTTACTTTATTAACCATTCCAAGTCAGTCACGCTATATCCAAACAGTCCATCCTTTCCATCAATTCCTACACCATTTCCAACAACGACAATAACAACAACAACCAAGACTTTACATTAGCAGTACTATCATCATCACCATTACCATCGTCAATCAATTAAATCAAATTCAAAACTAATTACCACATATCCTTTTTTAATTAACTGCTCAAGCCCATCCATATATCTTTGTTTCATTTATTCCTTTTTTTATTTATTTATTCATTTTGTTTACACATTATCATCATCATCAACATCAGCATCAATCAATCAATTAATTAATTGATCCAACTACAACAAAAATTAATATTCTCTATCCTTCTTTTCCTCTATAGTTTTCCGATATTTAATACAACTTTAATCAATTAATTAATGAGCAGTACAAAGTCTACAGTCAAATATCGAGTGGGAATTGTAACATGCTATCAACATGCCAATCTTGCCTCTGATGATTTGGCATTAACCGATGCTTTTAAAAAGAAAAATATTTATAGCATCAAGGTTTGTGTTTGGAATAATCCAGATGTAAATTGGGAAGAATTCCATTGTTTGGTTTTTAGATCAGTTTGGGTAGGTTTAAACAAACAAGAAAATCAAAATGAAAATGATCTAATCTTTTTATTTTATTTTCTAATAGGATTATGTTGAACACTATGATTCATTTATGGAATGGTTGGCAAAAATTAAAAAATCAAAAATCTATTGTCTCAATGCTCCAGATATCATCAAATGGAATACACACAAAAGATATCTTTGTGATTTGCATTCTAAAAAGATTAATACCATTCCAACTCTCTATGTTAATTCAACTACAAGCAAGTGTATTCATGGTATTGATAATTATGCTGCACACAAGAGTTGTCCAAAAACTCATTGTACCCATTCTAAATCGTCCAACAATCAATTACCATCAAGGCTTTTGGTAGATCTTGTTGAAAGTGGTGTCAATGAACACAATATCTTTGAAAAGGAGGAAAGAGAGTTTGTTTTCAAACCATGTGTCGGCGCCAATAGTTATGGAGCTTTTAGATTCTCACTCGATGACTGGCAATCACACCAAACTCAATTTGAACAACTAAGTTCAGAGTCTGACATGATGATCCAACCATTTGCACCATCCATCATGACAGAGGGAGAGTTATCATTTATCTTTTTCAATTGTCAATTCTCTCATTCCATCAACAAAAGAACTGCTCGTGGTGAATTTAGAGTTCAACCAGAATTTGGAGGAACTACAAGAGAATTAAAAGCAACCTTTGATCAAATATTACAAGCTCAAAAAGCAATCAATGTTATCAAAAAACAATTCAATTCTCATTTCCTTTATGCTAGAATTGATATGGTAAATTGAAATAATTTCAAACTCATTAAATAATCATATTTATTAACAAAACTTTTTTCTTAATTTTAGATTTTATATAAAGATAAATTATGTATTGGTGAAACAGAATTATTTGAACCAACTTTGTACTTTGAAAACGATGAAAGTTTAACCAGTAAATTTGTAGATGTAATCACACTTTTCATGGATCAGAGATTTCTTCAATCACCAGGTCGTTTTATTCAACCTCAATCACCATCGACCCCTTGTTCTGGAAATACAACACCTTCCTATGAAGAAAACTCTCGATTCTTACCATCTTCTCCCAATATTTCATCAGAGTTTAAGAGAAACATTGCTAAATTTAGACCACCTACCATTGCTGTACCTCACAATCAACATGAGAATTGTGATCCAATTAAATTATGTTCCACACCACCAAGTAATCATTCTCCTAAAAAAAGATTAAGTCAATACGTCTTGACAGATTCTACTCCACCATCACCTGGTTCTTCTGTAGGTAGTAACAGTAACTATATATTTTGGAGTCAATCACCTTTGACTTCACCAAAATAATTGGTTGCCCACTCAACCAAAAAGTGTACAATAACAAAGATATATAAAATATATCTATCTTTAACTCCCCACCCACAAGTATAAATAAAAATAATTTTATTTTTTTACAGTTTAACTGATGGTGATCGCTATATAGTAGTAGTGTGACAACATTTCTTCTTCATTTGATTATTGATGTTGGAAACCCAATAACTTCATGTAAACTGGAACTCTTGAACTAACCAATTGTTGGTGCGATCCGCTACCAACCAAGTGACCATGGTCAAGTACAAATATGTGGTCGACTGCATTTTGTATGCTCATTAGGTCATGAGTGACAATGATAAGAGTGATGTTGTGTTTTTCGGCAAATTGAAAGAGTTTGGGAAAGATAATCTCTCTCTTTTTGAATGCATCCATCTGACTCATTGTCTCATCGAGAATGACAATCTTTGCCTCTGTTCTAACAAATATTCTTGCCAAGGCAATGCTCTGTCCAAAGCCACCACTAACATTCTTTCCACCCAATTCGACCATCTGATCGAGAATTGGATGGTTTCTATAATCCTCTGCTGGTGGTACGATTGGAGGTGGTGTCATATTGGTTTCATCGTCAGACTCGTCGTCATCATTCATGCTTGCAAGATTTAAAACTGACCATACACGTTGCACCAATTTACTAGATTCCTCGTTTTCGTCACTCGTTCCACTTCCTGTACTTTGGTTCTTTGTTGGTGTCATCATAATATTATTATAGGTTCTTGGTGGAATTCCAGTTGCATTTCCTTTTAATTGTTGTGGTGGTTGTTGTTGCTGTTGTTGTTGTTGAGCTGATTCTAGACATTCCAAATCACCTGTCGAAAGGTTTGATTTCATAATACCCTTTGAACTCTTGAGGAGTTCTCTCGAAGCGGTCAGCTTTTTAAAGTCGGCAGTTGAAGAGCTGATAGGGTTTGAAGCAGATGGAGGTGTAGAAGTAGCACAAGGACTGTTGGGTGATGGAGATTGTTGATATGGTCCATCTATATCAACACCATCATCATAGAATAATTGGTTATCAGCATCTTCTGCAAATGCAAATACTCCTGCTGCTGCTGCTGCTTCAATAACTAAAAAAAAAAAAAAAGAAAAAGAAAGAAAGAGAAAGTTAATAAATGAATCAATTTCAATTTCAATTTTCATAAATCAAACTATTTATATTTACTTTGATCTTCAGTTGCATCTGGGTTACCAACACGAATATTATCTCTAACAGTACCAGGGAAAATAGAAGGTCTTTGAGATACATAAGAGATGAGACGTCTAATCGATCTTCGTGATATTTCTTCGTATGGAATACCATTAAAAGTAATAGTACCCTCTTGAGGTGAGTATATTTTACACAAAATATGGTTCAATGTTGACTTTCCTGCACGATTTTGTCCAACCAAAGCATATTTTTTTCCTGGAAGGATTGTCATTTCGCCCTGTAGATCGAGTACAGGTAATGAAGGTAAAATTGAAAACTTATTTTCATATGCATATTTTACATTACTTATTTTAAGTTCATTAAATTTATGTACACTAAAAAGAAAGAGAAAATTAAATTAATAATTTTGATTACTCTATAATTTTGATTATATTAAAATATTTTATATACCATTTTAATTTATCATCTTCTTCGATAAAAGTAGGTATATCTAAAAGTTTTTTAACCTTTTTTTGATGTTTTAGAATATTTTTAATACTACTAACAGATCCAAATACTCTTCTTGCTAATCTTCTACAAAAATTTAAATGAAATCGATTGATAGAGAGTTGTTAATACAATTGAAAATTTAAATGGAAAAAGGAGGATTTAAACCCTCTCTAAGGGGGGGGGTTGGGGGTTTCACATACATTATTCTATTAATTTCCAATAACATTGTTCTATATTCTTGATTATCAATACCTTGTCTAAGCATTACTTTATGAGCAACAAATACTTCTACAGCAAATTCAAATACAGATCTGTTATTGATCGATCTCCACATACCCGATACCAAAGATGACCAAGAAGTAGTATTACCCATTTCCTTTTCAATCAAATTATCAAAGATTGATAACTGAGTCTCTTGAAGATTGTTGATTTGAATGTCAGATAGACCATCAAATGTATTGCCAATCATTCTACTCATTGCAATTTGATAGGTATCTCTATACTTGATTTCATTTCCCTCTACCAACAACTCTCTCATTCTTTGACTAACCTTTTGGTAGATTGCAATTAAAATGGGATGTAATATAATTAATGGATCAATTTTGTTCTTTCTCTTTAATAAATCTGATCCTTCAACAGCTAAATATAATAAATTAATAAATTAATTAATAAATATAATCAACGCCAATTTGTTTGTTTGTTTGTTTAACATACCAAAAGCGTAAGCAGAAGATATCAAATCAGGTATAGTATAAGTAAAAAAAGAGATTGTACTACTAATAGAAGATGATATCTTGAATTCCAATTCCAAAGGACCAATATTATTTTTCTTTCTCATAAAGTCAAATGCTCCAATTTCACTGTACAATAATTTCTCCATTACCATTCTTCTAATAAATAATTGATTCTCGGCAGACTATAAAGAGAAAGAGAAAAGAGAAAGAAAAGGAAAGAGAAAGTTTAGAAAATCTTGAATACTATGATTGGATTTGTTGTTTATACATACTACTAATTTAATAAGATGATTATGAATATTATCAAGAATGACATAATAGACAGTCAACATTACATATTTAACCATTGAACTATGAGAATAAGTAGTATTGGTTGACATTCTATGCGTAATTTCAACACGACTAGATCGAAGGAAATTACCTATCCTTCTCTTTGAAGTGTACCACGGCAACATCTCGATGACTATAGTGAGAACATAATGAACTACGATTGTCTTGAAAAGGAGCGGTTTGTTTCGTTGCCAAAGGTACTTGTAAAACGATGCTATAGGCATACCTTTTATGAGTACCCATAGATGAAGTAACTTTTCTCTACTCCATTTATACAATATAAACACCATGACAATGATGGTGAGTATACTTGTAGTAGACTCTAAACGATCGTTGTGCTATTCAACTTTTATCTATCCTATCCTATCCTATCCTATCCTATCCTATCCTATCCTATCCTATCCTATCCTATCCTATCCTATCCTATCCTATCCTATCCTATCCTATCCTATCCTATCCTATCCTATCCTATCCTATCCTATCCTATCCTATCCTATCCTATCCTATCTTTTTAAAATATATTAAAGGGAGAAGAAGAAGAAGATGAAGAAGAAGAGTTATCTATTATTTTTCATATGCAAAGAAGAAGAAGAAGAAGAAGAAGAAGAAGTAGTAAGAAATGATATATCAGTTAATAAGCTTATATATATATATATATATATAAATGGTAACAGTCAATACCTTTATTATTAATATGATTATTCCTACACTTGTCTCTTGTTTTTTTTAAAATTGCTTTTGGTAAATATATCTTAGGAGGTTTTGAAAAATGAATCAAAATAAATAAGTCAGTTAGAGAATTGGAAAGTAGTATAAAGATGAATCAATTAATTAATTGTTTATTGTTTTAGGGGTTTAAAGGTAATATTATAAGATGTAATGATACTGCTATAGATAGATAGGTAGTAGTAGTAGAGATGGAATCACATTCAACGTATTTATACTTGAATACCACGGATCTCCAAATTTGGGCTGGTATGACCAGTTACGATGTAACCAAATTCATGGTTAGAACCTGGAGCAATGTATTCCAACCATTTTGGAAGAGAGAAAGTGGCAGATGATGGCTCATAACCAATACTCCAGAGTGAACCAGCAAGATCTCTAAACTCCAATGTGCAATCGGCTCCAATGTAAACATTTCTGATTGGAATCGATCCAGTGTTGATGACATGAACCTTGTACATTGAGAAGTCAACTCCATTTTCGATCCAAGAGTGTTCTTTGATTTGATCGATGACGATATAGTTGTGTTTGGAAACATCGGCACAATGTTGTTGACCTGCCTCAAAGAAACATAGTTGATTGTCTTGACACAGTCCATCTCCACCACAATAGGTTTTGGCATTGACCCAACTACTACCAGCTGTCAATAAAAGACATAGTGTAAGAGTAAAAAATAGGAGTTTCATTATTAAATATGGATAGAGACGATTGTTGTTGTTGTTGTTGTTGTTGTTTGATTTGATGAATTGAATTGAAACCAAAGAGCTCTTCTATTTATAGGTTTCATTTCATTCATTCCACATCGTCATCATCATCATCATCATCATCATCATCATCATCATCATCATCGACATCATCATAGACTATTATTGTAAAAGAGTTGGTATGTTATGAATACTTTGTAGTAGCTTGTCTCCTCCTGTACACCCCAATAATAACATAGTACTATTATTATGGGCCAATAATATATTGTTGTATTATAAAACAACAATATATTATTGGCCCATAATAATAGTAATAGATGTAATGATATTATTAGTATTCACTAATTATTCGACAACACACAAGTGATAATAATATCTTGCAATGATACTATACTCTCTTCTCTATAAGCTATAGTAATAGATAGCATTCGTCTGTCTGCTATGCTATGTTGATTGATGATAGAGAAGTGACGACAAATGGAGCATTCATTATAATAATAATAATAATAACAGACTTTTAGTAATAATCTAAATATCTTACAAACAACAACAACAACAACACTGTGACCGGTTACCTACACAATATTATTATGTTTGTTATGATAATTTAATTTGTATTACTACGATGCACACGGTGATGATGAAAATACCACACGTACACTTCTTCTTACCCACCACACCCGTTATTATTAAATACCAATATATATGGTGGTACAATATTATATCTAGCATATATATATATATGTGTGTAATATTTGTATTTATTTACTACAATTCGATCTTCCAAACAAATACATCTCAGGGATCGCTGAGATGCTTTTGTATACAAAAAAAAAAGGCGGGGTTGAGCTGAGAGCATGATCACCATCCATCCTCAATGCATTGGGTTGAGTGATTGTCAGATAGGTAAGGGTTGATGGACACTTTGATGTGGCCTCGCCCCCCCAAAAGCAGAGAGGCGGGGGCGAAACTTGAAAAACCAAATATTAAAAATAAAATCAAACGAGCGATAGATAGATTGTGTGTGACAAAGAAGATTTTATGCTGTGAGCAGGAGGAATACGAATAGCTGGCTTTTAGAGTTTCAAGGTTATTATTATTTATTTATTGTTGTTACCCCCCTTTTTTGCTTTGAGGTTTTGGGTTGTTGTTGGGTTAGATTGATCGATACATTACCATCACATCTACCTCTACACCTACCTACACACCTCTCTACACAATATCTTTTATATATTTATTTATTTATTTATTCACATACACACACACACACACAAAAAAGAGAGAGAGTACCAAAACAATCAAGTCTAGAGACAAACAAGGCACCACCCCCTATAGTAACCCCCCTTATCTTGAAAAGGTAATGCATCTCAACAAACACACAGTCGCGAGATCTATAGAGAGGACCAGTAGTACACTACATAGATAAGAACAACAACAACAACAACAACAACAACTAATTGGAAAAGGGGAGGGCTTTAATCAAAAAAAGATCGATGCATTGGCAACCAGCCAGCCAACCAACCATCCCAATCCAATCATTCTATGAACACAAAACACACACACTCACCACCACACTTTGAACAACCAATTTGTTTTTTAAACAACCGAATCAGTCGAGCGTCTCTCTCTCCCACTCCTCCTCAAACCTTTATCATCTTTATCTTGACAAACCATCGTCTACTATTTTGTCATCTTTAGAGTAGTAATAGTACTAATACATCTATCTAATATCTATTACCATCTATATATATATATAGTAAAGAAAGAGGAATTAATAACAACAACAACAACAACAACAACATCAGAGAGACTATGGAGGGTACTACAATTGATAATAACAATAATGTAGTATCGTCTACTCCCTCCTCTTCCTCCTCTAAAACTATCACTCGATCAAAGATTAAAAGACAGATTGATGAAGATGAAGAGATTGATATTATGAATGACAGCGATGATGGAGATGACTCTGCACCATCAACAACTACTGCGAGCAGTAATAATAATATCAATAGTGCCAATACATCACCAGCGATTGCACCAATATCACCCTTTTCCCCTCCACCTACACTCGCAGCGACTATAGTTACACCACCCAACCCAATGCCGATACACAAACCATTGTCACTACGAAAGAGTGCTAGTACTTCACCAAAACTAAAATCTCAGACATCGACAACAAAGAAATCAAACGCTGAACCAGCGAATGCCACTACCACCACGGCTGTTGTTGTTGTTGTTGCTGCTGCTGCCGATACTAAAAAGACATCTACGTATGTATACACTAACATCACTCATATCATTGTTAGTACAATATACCTAATGTATTGTTATTTATTTATTTATAGAAACAAGAAAAGGAAATCAAATAGTGGAGAACAAGATGATGAATCAAGTAACAATATTAATGTAAATAATAAGGAAAAGGAAAAGGAAAAGGATAATAAGGACAATAAGGATAGTAGTAGTAAATCAACAAAGAAACAAAAGTCATCATCAAAGTCAAAGTCAAAATCAAAGTCAAAGAGTAGTAGTAGCAACAATACCAATACTAGTAATAATATTAGTAGTACAACAGCAACCGATGAAGATGAAGAGGTAATGGTAAATACAATGGATGGTGATCATCTCATTTCTCTCAATTCCTCTTTAAATGGTATGGTTGGTATGATGGATCTGTCACTATCGACAGCATCACTACGAACGAGTAATACTGGTATTAAAATGAATAGTGTACTATCACAATCATTGGCCGAACATTTATTACCAAAGTCAGACTCAACGATGAGTTTGTTACTCTCACCTTCTTTACCCACTTCAATTGTCAACATGTCAACGCCATCACCATCAAAGAAATCACAGTCACTATTGTCTTCATCATCATCATCGATACACAACAAAAAGAAGTCATCATCGAGGTCATCCTTGTCACACAGTGAAAATGGACATAACAACAACAACAGCAGCAGCAGTAGCAGCAGTAAACAAATAGTACCAAACGTAAAAAGTATGACAGTGACAAGAAATAGTACAAAGAGCGCATTACAACACTACCAACAACAGAAACATCATCGTTCCAACCACCAATCAGACAATGAGTCTGATGAAGAGATCAATGTTACATCAGACGATAGTTCAGCAGAGGAAAACGCCGCTGTAAACCTCGATGACTATGACCAAGATGAGGATTTATCAATTGAATCTTTTGATTCGATATCTGATAATAACATGTCTGACGATGATTCTGATCTCTATGAATTTGAAGATCAAATCAATACAATGTTACCAACACCAAATAATTTAACCAACAACAACAACAACAACAACAAAAATCATAATCATAATCATATATCAGCAACAGTACCAACCATCAAAAGTAATGCAGCATTGGCAATTTATAATCATCACCATCACAACAATCAAATGAAATCACAACAACAATTAAACAACACTTCAAATACACCATTATCATCCTCTTCGTTGACAAACAACAATAATAATAGTTTATTGGGAGGAGCAACATTTTCTATAGATCAACATATCCATTCAACAATGCCATTTATGGCACCCTTTTCACCGATGAACTTTCCATTGGTATCACCAATGTCTCCAGGTGTACTTGATATGGGTCCATTGTCACCAGTTTGTCCATTGTCACCATTGTCACCTCTGTCTCCTTTCATGTCACCAACATCACCATCCTTTTGCAAAGGAGGGTCAAATGAATCAATGGATCATGTTGTCAGTAGCAATAATAATAATAATAATAATAATAGTAATAATAATTACAGCAGCCTCTCCATCAATGGTCAATCTCTTCATACAAGTAGTGGTAGTGTACGTGGTCCCAATAGTATATTTAATACAGGTTCTACATTTATAAAGAAAGAGGAAAAGGAAAAGGAGAAGGAAAAAGAAAAGGAAAAGGAAAAAGAGAAGGAACCCGTTGCAGCAATGACGACTGTAAAATCGATGCCAACCATAGCACCAATACCAGCAGCAATTGCATCATCGGCGTCTATATTGTCAGCGCCAAAAACAGAGGATACATCATCATCATCATCATCTGCACCCAATACTCCCAAGGCATTGTTACCTGGTTCAACGATTGCACAACCCTACCAATCTGTTCAGAATCAACATCTTCTTTCAGCTTCCTCTTCAAAGCGATCAAAACGTTTTACAATGGATCCAAATGTACAAAAGCACTTCCAACTCACAGTTTGGTACGAAGAGGAAAAGCTATTGTTTCGTGAACTATTTTGTGCGTATGGTAGAGAATTTCATATCATTTCAATCTTGATGTGTGGCACCAAATCTCCTACACAAATTAAAAACTTTTACTACGATGTCAGATTGTCATTGTTGGCGCCATTGTTTGGTTTATCGGCCGATGAAACCAAATCTCGTATAACACTTCCAAATAGCGCCGTTTTAACTCCTTCCTCCTCAACCCCTTCCTATCCATCATTATCAACTCCTGCAATGATGATAGAAAATAGTATTAATAATAACAACAATAATAATAATAGTAGTAGTAATAATAACACTGCTGCTGCTGCTGCTGCTGCTGCTACTAATAGTACTGAAAATAATAATAATAATAGTAGTACTAACGAAAATAATAATGAAAATGATAATAGTAATAATAATAACAATAACGAAAATGAAGATGATGATAGTAATAGTACAACTACAACTACTACAACTACGACAACAACGATAGGATCAAATACAACTACGACGACAACGACAACAACCACAACTACTACATCACCACCATCACCTACATTAGGATCAAGCAACGGAAGTGTTCCATTGCCAACACATCCTTATTCCCTACTTTCAAACATTACGACTACAACCAACATTAATAACAAAAGATTAACCATTTCAAACCAAGATGATGATTCAAGATCAAAAAAGAAATCAAGAACTACTAAAAGAGTAAATAGAGTATGTGAACATCAACAACAAAATCTTAGAAGAAATTAGTATATATTAAATATTAATGTTTGTTTCATTCATTTTTTTAGACATTTAGATTTTCAAGAGTTACAACAGCAGTAACCAAAACACCAAAGAATACAGTAAAGATTAGTAAGCTAAAATCTTTGGAATTAATCAATCAACAACACGTTCAACGTTTCCCAATTGGAAGCGCAGCTTTTTATTTCTATCAACACTCTGAACTATTGCCAGTTGGAAAATGGTTTGAAGTCAAGGTTTTGGAAGTTGGAGATGCAAGTACGCCTAAAAATCCATCAAACAATACTCTTCCAGTTGAGATTCGTCTCGCCAACCCCAAATCACCCATTTGCTACAAGGTGGTCATGTTTAACATGAACAAAACCAAAGGCTTTTGGGTATACGACGAAGAACTCAAACACGAGATTGAGGTTGGCATCGAGATTTGGGAATTCAGTGCTGACCCTGTCGTTGTAGCAGAAGAGTCTGCTGCTTCTCTAACACATAGTCCATCTGCAAGTGGTGGTGCCATCGAGGGCACAATCATGACACCAGGTAGTACTGCCCTTGGTACTGTCTCTCAGTCTCTCTATCAGGCACAGATACAATCTCTCATGCCTCCTCCATCTATGAGTACAGACTCTGTTGGTAAAATGGTAGAGACCCTGATCCCAACCACCGATCGTATCAAACTTCAACAATGGCTTGATGCAAAGTTGGAATCAATGACCCCCAATCCAAGTATCAAACTACCGTTGCTCGAAAAGGGTGAGCCTGGATCACAAACCCGTGAAATTTGGGAGGTACCAGCCTTTTCTTCCGACTTTCTCAACAGTGGCTCTATTACATTGGTTGCCAAACAAAGATGTTTTATCGAATGTGTTTCATCCAATTTTGAGGAAAAGGAATTCATCACTATCAATTATAGTTCACTTTTTGGAAGTTACCAATACATATCTGATATTAACAACTCGGAATATATCACTCAATTGTTTGATAATGTTTTAAAGGCTGCAGATATTTCCATTTCAAATATTTTGGGATTCCCAAAACAAAAACAACTTGTATTGGCTAATTCCCCAATCCCAACAACTCCTGCTGCTGTTGCTGTCGTAGCCACCACCTCTTCTAGTACCCCAACAACCACAAAGTCACAACCAACCACTCCAACCCCTGCAACTACAACGACAAACACCAATACCCCATCACCTGTAAACATCACACCAACAACAACAACACCAACTGTAAACACCTCATCATCATCATCATCATCAACTACAACACCCAATACATCTCCAACAAAGGCACCAGTTCCTACTACTGTACCAGTTGCTGCTTCTTCTAAACCCGTTCCATCATTGTCAAAAGCACCAGCTACACCAACTGCTGCTGCTACCACCTCGGTTGGTAACTCACCTACTAAACAAACAGCAGCAACTGTTCCAACCAAAACAACAACAACAACAATACCAACTACTACTGTAGCCAGTAAACCTGTTGTTGGCGGTACTGCACCACCGATGACATCAACTTTGAAACCAGCAACACCTACACCCAATGGAACTTCAAAGACACCAGCTACCATCCCCCAAAGCCTATGTCTGCCCCTCAATTCCAAATTGTCAATGGTCAAAAGATATACACTTGTGCTTGTTGTATTTCTAAAAACCCTCCAATGGTTAAACCTGCTGCATCAGTCCCCTCTGGAACTTCAAAACCTGCTGCTGGGACTACAACAGGTACAGCAGCACCAACAACTGGAACTACAGCTGTAACGCCAACTGGTACCTATAAATCATCAACAATCCCACCATCAAACAGTCCCTCGAAACTTCCGCAACCAACAACATCGACTTTAAAGCAACCTGCGACTCCCGTAACAACACCACTGTCATCAACCAAACCAACAACTGTACTCCCCACCACTGCTACTAAACAGACAACAACTGGAACTCCCACCACACCTACTGCTACTGTAATACAAACTACAGCAGCTACTCCAACTACCCAACAAACCAACTCTACCTCCAATCCCATACTACCTGTACAACCAACAACAACAACAACAATAGCAACCACACCATCACCTACTACTATAGTAGCAACAACACCAACTACCACGACCACCATCAAAGCAGTTCCTGTACAACCTCCAATGAACCAATTATCATCGTCCTCTAGCTCCAACTTTATCCTACTTTTTAATCCAGACAAGAGTCCTATTCCCTACAAACTATTTATTGGTAAAAGAGAGTTATTTTTGGAATGTCGACGTTTACTAAGATTACAATGTTCCAGAATTAGTGAATTAAATAAGCAAAGTAAGTGTTCCAATATAGATAGACAAAGAAGAAATAATAAGAATGTTTAACTAATAATCTCTTTCTTTTTTTTTTTTTTTTAGTATATTGAAAGTGGCAAAGAAACAACAGAAGTAATTGGTAGAATGAAAGAATTGACAACAGAATTGTCACTCTACAAAACATTACTTTTGGAAACAGCCTCTGAGAGATTTGGCTTGTACAAAAAATCTTTGGGTGTCAGTTTTTAAAAGAGAGAGATCAAGAGATAAAACACAAACAGAAAAGAGTTGTACAATAAATTATTATTATTATTTTTTTAATCATATCAATTTTAGATCTATATTTTTGGAGGGATTATATAATATCTATTTATTTATTTTATTTTTATTTTTATTTATCTATTTATTTATTTATAAATTTTAAGCTTAGAGTCAGCACCACCAGAAACAATAGATGGATTTGTAGAGGTAGAAGAATTTGATGACCAACCAACACATAAAACCTTGTCAGTATGTTTATCCAAAGTGTAAAGAGGAATCTTTGTACGAATATCCCAGAATTTAACGGTACCATCATGAGAAGAACTGACGAGTTGATTTTGAGAGGTTGGATGCCAACGAATACTTGTCACCCAGCTCTTGTGTGACAACATTGATTGAACATTATATTTTCCGTCACTAACACGAGGATCCCAAATACGTACTGTTTTCTCGGCTTGTGCTGTTGCTATCAAAGTAGATTCTGTAGAGTAGGTTACATCGTGAATGGCTACACCACCACTACGGATTGTATCTGTACAAGTCATTGTTTCAATATCCCATAATTTAATACCGTGATCCATACCACCTGTCAATATTTGGAATTGAGTTGGCCAACAAACACTCAATACTCCTTGAGTATGTCCTTCCAATGATGTTATTGATTCCTAAAAATTAAAAATAATTAAATAAATATTAATACCAATTCTATATCTAAATCTATCTATCTATCTAATCTATCTATACATACATTAACAGTTTGAATATCTTTTTCTTTTAAATAATCAGGTTCTTCTTCAGTGGTGGTGGTATCAGTAGTTTTTCTTTTCTTTTTAGATTGAGTTGGATTGGTGACAGATGATGATTTGATGTTTTTGAGATCCCACAACTTGATTTTACTATCCATAGCGCCAGACACCATCTTTGATCCATCTGGACTAACCGAAACAGATTCAACAGTACCTGTATGTTCTTGGAAGATAGCTCTTGTCTTGTAGGTCTTTTGATCGAGATTACATGACCAAAGACGAATGGTCATATCGTGTGATGCAGATACATATTCGAGCTGAGAACGATCTTGACTGTTGACCCAAGCAACACTCTTTACTGGTGCAGAATGACCAACGGTAGTCAACAATGTAGCACCATCCAAACCATTGACAACTCTAGTACCAAGATCGTATGAACCAGTGACAATCAATCCACTAGACAAACAACCATCGAGACTTGAAATCCAATCATCGTGTTGATTCTCTTTTTCCTTTTTGGTTCTGTAACTGCCTCTATATATTCTACATTGATGACTGGTTCTTCAGAGAGACCAGCTTGTTTGATATGTTTTTCGAGGCTGGTTCTAACGAATCTACCGTTGATGAGGAAATCAAATGGACGATGCTCCGATGCATCACTGCTACGCAAATGATTTACAACCTCTGAAAGACCAAGACGACCCAATCTAACAGGTACGCCAAATGGTGTCTCTGTTACTCTAATGTTTTCATCATTGGTTATGAATCTAATTCTAACCTTGTCCTCTTCAACTTGAACATTATTATTATTATTATCTTCTGACATTTTATAAGATCTTTTTGTTATATATAAATAATATATATAAGTGTGATAACAATAGATAGATAGATAATAGATAATAACTGCTCGCAGTCTCAATAAAAAAAAAAAGAATCGTTCGTTTTGTTGGTTTTTCTTTTTTTGAATTTTTGTTTTTTTTTTTTGCAAGCAATTTAAATATTAAAATACGTCTATTGAACAATCAGACAAGATAGATTAATAAAGAGAATGAATAGTGCCAAGGATATATTTGAAAGTTGGACAAAGTCAACAGACAAAGAAGAAGATGTTGAAGAGGAAGATCTTTCAATAGTACCTTCTCTACAATGGGAGATTGCACAACACAACTATAGTCTCGATGGACCAATACCAGTCGATGCTTCAAATGAAGATAAATGGATTTGTAGATGTGGTCAAAGCAAATCATATCCCTATTGTGGTTAGTATTGAATACCTACCTACCTACCCTATTGTCAACCACAACCTTGCTTATCTCTCTCTCTCTCTTATTCTTTCTTTCTTTTTTATCATATTATCAGATGGTTCACACACTCAATACAACATTGATAATGGTTCAAATGTTGGACCACTCAAAGTACCAAAAGAGAATGGAAGAATTGTTTATGTTTGTCGATGTGGATACTCTAAAGAGAAACCTTTCTGCGGTTAGTATTGCAATACAACCTTACTCTCGATTTGATAGAGACAATGTTCTAATTATGAACCTTCCTTTTTTTTCATCATTAGATGGAACACATACAAAGTTAAGATTAATTGATAGAAAACCTGATGATACTTCATTATTTACAAGTTATTTGATTATTGGAGCTTCATTTCTCATATTTTCATATTTATCTTTTAAAGAATCAATTCCACATTAATAGAATGGAGTATTTACCAAAGATCGCGATAATATTAATTAATTAATTAATTAATCACACACACCCTTTCACTTTTGTACATAAATAAATGAACAGTTTATATAAATAATATATGTATGTATTTGATTTGTTATTATTATTTATTTATTTAATTACTATCTATGTTGCATATTTGATAAAAATGGAGGTGGAGAATTAAACATATTTGGAGGATATCCACCCATTTGATCAAAGGAAGATGGAGGAGGTGGAGGTGGAGGCATACCCATTCCAGGGATATTGGTTGGTGGAGGTGGTGGTGGCATAGACATATTTTGTAAAAAGGGTGGAGGTGGAGGCATAGGCATGCCTCCTACTATACCAGGTGGAGGAGGCATACCTCCAAATTGAGCAAACATTGGAATGCCACGTTGTTTACCTGCAGCAATCATACGCTCTGCTTGACTACCATGCTTCTCTGTTGAATCTTTCTTTCTAGCATATGTTACAGAGATTGGTTTGTTGCAAAGGAACTCACCATTCATCGCCTCGATCGAAGCATCAGATGATGCAAAATTATCATATGAAACGAAACCAAATCCCTTTGAAACACCTGTACTAGTGTCTCTCATAATCTTTGGTGGTTGAATGATCGCTCCAAATTGTATAAATGTATCGTGTAATATCTTTTCATCAACCTCTGCATCCAAATTACCAATAAACAAATTAGCTCCAACATCAACTTTATCTTTATTATTCTAAATATATATATAAATAAAAGTAAACTATTAGTTATCATTCTCTATATATATAACTAGTTATACTATACGAACCTTTTTCAATTTAATTGGTCTACCAAACAACTTTATATAATTTAATATTCTCATTGCATAGTCTGCATCATTTTCAGATTGAAACTCTACATAAGCTCTACCTGAATGTTGTTGAGTAAGTTTATCTTTTGGCATGAATACCTTTACTACAGGTGCCACTTGAATCATCAACTCCCACAACAATGCCTCTGTTACCTGTGGATCTATATCACGTACTTGTATAGTTGCTGCATCTGATCCTCTATCTTGTGTTGTATTTGATGTCATCATCATCTTTTCCTTCTTCTTCTTCTTCTTCTTCTTTCTATTGTTATCTTAACAATAACAATTCAAGAGTCAGACTATTTTGTGAACACTCAAATCGTCTTTGTTGTGAAATTTTCAAAAGTCCAACAATATTTATTTTATTATTTATAATTATTAATTAATTTATTTATTTATTTATCGATACTTTCTAATTTCATTATCAAATTGATAGCATCCAAAACATCATCAACAACATATTTAGCAGGGTTTTCGATATCATTATCACCTTTGAAAACACCAGTTCTTACGAGTATACTAATCCAACCTTCATTCTCTAATTGATTGGCACCTTTGATATCCGAGTGTGGATTATCACCGATGGCATAGATATGTTTTGGTGTACCAAGTTGATTTAATTTCTTTACTTGTGTACCCATTAATTCTTTGGCATAGTTGTACGTACTTGCATAGGGTTTACCATAAAATGTTACTGCTAAATCTCTACCTCGAGTTGATAATCGATAAAGTGTAGATAGACATTGAATAAATGCACCCATTGTATAACGTGGCATGATAAATTCACCACCATATGTAAAATCTGGATTGGCTACATGTAAATCAATCTCTTGTACATCGCTCTTGTTAACCTTGTCAATTGATATAACTCCATCCTTTGTTTGTAAAATATCACTTAATATTTGAAGTTCTTCTCCCCAATCTATATATATATACAAAAAAAAACAGACAAACATTAATAATCAATAAAGCATAAAGATGAAGAATGATCCAATTTAGATAGTAGTTACCAGCAGGTTCTTCAAACATAATGATTGCCTTGTATTTAATGTCTACAACAGTAGTAGTATTGTTGTCAACAATGTCAGCCGACTCTTCATATTGATTCTTGATACCCAAAGTCCAAAATTTACTATATTTTCCAGGATAAAGGAATTGACGTTTATCTACATATTGTTGTATGGTAGTGAATTGATGGAATCCATACAATTGTGCAAGACTGACAGCAGTTTCATGTTTACGTGCAACAACAATAACACCATCATTTTTATATTTTTCAGCCAACTCTTTCATTGGTGTATGTGCGACCATAACTCTATCCTCTTCAATCTAGATAGATAAAATAAACCTCAATTTAATATGTATATACAGATTTATAAAATTGATCTATCTCACTTACATCAAAATCCAATACAGAAGATATTTTTTTAGCCTTTTCCTTTTCAGAGAAACCACCATTGTTTGTAACAAATACATAAGGATAGATCGGAGTTTTAGTTTGTTGATCTACCAACATGTTTAGAGCTTTGACTGCACCAGCGATCGGTACACCATCTTTCATCAACACACCATCAATATCAAATACTATTCCAAACTTGGTTTCTTCTTCTTTCATGATGATCTTCCTTCTTCTTCTTCTTCTTCTTCTTCTTTCTATTATATCTTTGCAATGATGACAAATAAAACAATCTAAGCGAAAAGATCAATCTATCTTTTCTCTCAAGGAGGAAGACGAATAAAAAAAAAAAAAAAAAAAAAAAAAAAAAAACCCTCATGAGTAAGTATCATCTCCACATTACAAGTTTATAATAGTGTTTGTTTTAACTTTAATGTGATAAATAATAAATAATGTCAATCTAAAAAGAAGTTCGTAATCTTTGAAATTTTTTAAATTAAATTGCAACGGCAGATCCAAATTTGGTGGGGGTGTCGTTGGGAATTAAATTAATTTTAATAAATTTTATTTTATTTTTTGCAAATTTGTTTTTTGAACAATTCAGACACCTGTCTGCTCATTGTTGGCAGCCAGTTTGGAAGCCAATCTCGACACAAGATCTTATTATTAGTTTTTTTACAGTCGGCAAATAGTTTAACACCCAACAGCCCCCCTTCTTTTGCACAGCTCAACAAACCAAAAAGAACCAGTCAAAAAAAAAAAAACAAGACCAATTCAAAAAGGTAAAAATCATCCCTATCTCTTCCATAGTACCCTCCTTTCTATCTCCACAAAAAAAAAGGACCTCATCGCATCGCTTGTGTCTTTCAAAGTTTGACAGGTAGGTAGGTCACCATCCATCATCAATATTGTCCCTCCTTTGCGATTGAACAAAACAGACAGACAGACAGACCCCCCTTCGTCACCAACTAGTTTCTGTCACCCACCACCATCCATACTAGTACCTCTATAGTATCTCACTCTCTATTGTACCCCCTCAAGCACAACAATCATGTAATAATTTTCGTATTCCTCCATCCACACCCATCCCATGCCATGCCCCCAATCCTCTTTTCTTTTGTAATAATTTACATCTTTAAAATACCACTTACCTGCCATAGAGGGGAGGAGGTGTGGCCCTCCACCCTTCAAATATCTCGAAACAATCTTTCGTAATGAACCCACCTTTAATATCATAGGATCATCCATCATATGCATAAAACTCATTGATAAGGGTGCGACCTAACCCAACAACAACAACAAGCTGCTTTTTTATCATTGCTTTTATTAAATAATAATAATAATGAATAACAGTTCAAACATGTAGATAGAAAATTACAATTATCTCTATTTAGATAAAAGAGAGAGAGAGAACAAAGAGACATTTCGATAATGATCACCTAGGTGATTGTAGTAACAGTTTGGTCACAAACACACACACACACACACAATTACATAGGAATAATATAATAAGAGAGCAGCAGTGTATATGTGTGTGTGTTGTGTTGTGTTGAGACATTCTCTAGAGTAACAAGGAGGATAACAACACATAGATCTCATTATATCTACGTAAGCTGCTTTTATCTATCTAAACAAAACAAACAAATTGTTGTTGGAAAATAACACCCCCATTGTTACTTTTCAGCCATCCCTAAAATCAAACAAAACCAATCAACATTATATATATATCATAAATAAGATATTAGTTTAAAATATTCATAATAATAATAATAATAATATTAAGCGAATATATAAGGAGGATTAATCCTACAATTCGAATTATTGTTATTTTTTATTTATATGTATAAGTTTATTTAGAGAGAGCGAGCGGGTAAATATTTAATATTATACACATGCATACACACACACACGCACACACCAACCAAAATGCAGCTGCAATACTATGCACACATAACTAAAACAAGTATCAGAAACCAAATCAAATTGATAATATTATTCTATTCAACCCTCAGCCGTTTGAATACCACCCCACATAAAGCAAGCACATCTAAACTAAATTTGTGGGGGGTGTTTCAAACCATTAACCATAACAATCCAAAAAGAATATCATCATACCTAGGAATCATGGTGCTCTCTTTTCCTTCCACCATGTTATTTTACATTCTCGTTCACTCATTCATCAGTCAGTCTTTTGTTATCATTGTTTTTTCAACTTGCCAATCAATAAAAAAGTGTAGTGATGGGGTGTATCATTAGTTGGTTGGTTGGATGTTTATTGTTGGAATTATATCTGTGTGTGTGTGTTGTGTGTTATTATTTCCATACATGCCTCCAGATTTATAAATATATATATATATATATATATATATGTTATGTATATGATTCACCACATCATCCGATGATGATGATAATGATTAATGAGCGCTCTCTCCCCCGGGAATATCACACATCACTCACTCAACTCGCCCAACCACACATAAATTATATTATTAATATATATGGATGGATGGCAGTGGAGGGAGGTGCAGTTGTGTATGAATATTCCTTTTATTATCCAAAAGGTTGGGGGGTGATTCAAATAACACCAATAATATTTGACACACACACATTGTCGCTGTTTGTCTATCAACATGATAGTGATCAAAAAAACAAAAAAGTAAAGAGCGTATCCTCCCTATCACATCATCACACCCCCCCCCCCCCCCCCCCCCCCCTTTTTCCTACTCCTCTTGATTGAAATATTATCAGCAAGCAGAAAAAGTAGACAGCAACAGCAGCAACAGCGCGAGGGTAGCAGAAGCAGTAGAGAAAGCTGTGATTGATTGATTGTTGATTGAAATGCTCACCTATTGTCAGTAAAATTATAATTAATTATTGTGTACATTTATAAATTTATTTTATTGTTGTTGTTGACCGTGTCAAAAATAGAATAGAGTCAGTCAAAAAAAAAAATCCACCTATCCATCTATCATCACAAACCAAAACAACAAGCAGACATCCATCCAACAATATACTGACAGCCAACTATCAGGCATCAGTGGGGACAGTGACAACGCAAACAAGAAGAAATCAAGCAACAAATTTGTCGTGTATTAGCAGTAGCAGGAGGACAGGCTCCAAAGATTATATTTAATTAATTAATGACATATGTCCGCAGTATGTCATAGTAGTAGTAGTTGTTGTTGTTTTCACCACATCATCATATCCACCATATCATATCTTTGTTCTATAATATATAGTTCATATTTCTTCCCCATCTCGAGGGAGAGTAGTATCCACCAACAACAATACGACATATATATATAAAAAAAAAAGGGTAGGACAGACCTGGAACAAATATTTCATACCTCCTCCTCCTCCTCCTCCTCCTCCTCCTCCTCCTCCTCCTCCTCCTCCTCCTCACTATCGATATGAAGAGAAGAGTGTATCATGGATAGATCTATCCACACACACACCCATTGGATATCAGTCATCGTAGTCTGTTATTCAAATATCTTTTACCCATACCTACACCCCTTCCTCAAACCACCACCACCACCATCTTAAGATGAGATTGTCAGCAATCTTTCAATCATTTTTTTTTAAAGATCTTTATCCATTTTAGTTAAAACAGTTGTGTTCATCCCATTGGTTTAATTAATCTAAATCACTCTCTCGAGAGATGATTGGGGGCAAGCAGTGGTTTGACAGCTTAATTAATTTGTTTTTGAATTAATAAAAAATTGAAAAAAAAAAAAATATTGGTCTCACCCACCCAATCTCCACTCTGTTTTCAATATTAAAAAACAACAACAAGACAGACATCAAATCAGCAGTACCCTCCCTCAGTAGTCACTACTCCTATTACTCTTTTGGATTGTTTTGTAAAAAGTAAAAAGGCTCTCTTTTGATCAGATTCAATATTACTTTAAAAGGATAACTACCCCCACCCTCCTTTCTATTATTAAAATTGCAGCAGCAGCTGAAAAAAACAATCTTATTATTTTGCATTAATTAATTTCAAACGTTATTTCTAAATCGTAAACATGTACATTCATTTACATCATCATCATCACCCATCATCATACATCATCTACGATCTTTCTAAAATCACCATTACCCAAACCTCTACTAATATCCTCTTTTACAAACATTAGTCTACATAGCATAAATATCATCAAACCAACAACAACAACAACAGTAAAAATATAAAAGAATCAAACATTCTCTATCTTATTTACATTACATTACAAAAGAAAAAAGAAAAGAGAGAGAGAGAGAGAGAGGAAACAAAAAAAAAAGAAAAGAACAAATGAATCAACCAAATTTTATGTTACCATCAACAATGGGAATGTACTTTCCAAATGCAATGGGAGGATATCATCCCCAGTTACCAAATATCATGGAGATGGGTAATCTACAAGTCAATACAGGTGGTTCAATCACTCCACCGATTGCATCACCATCTTCATCACCTGCAACCATATCAAATTCATTGCCACCTTTGATGCATCAATCACAGACTCAATTTCAACAGCAACAACAGGCACAACAAAATCTTCACTATGGCACAAGTTCGCCATTACACAATGGCAACGGCGGAACGACAATCAACACTATATTGCAATCGATTCAACAAGGTGTCCAATCATCAGATAGTATAACATCACCACTCTTTGGTGCAGAGGTTCAAGGTGATGGATCATCTCTTTTAACACCATCACCATCGATAGATGAGGCAGCCGCTGCAGGATCACCAAAGGTAAAGCCAAAGAAAAGTAAATCATCTGCTTCACCATCACAACAACAACAGTCACAACAAACCACCCCAACCGTACAACCATTGTCAGGTTCTACTGCCTCATCTACTGCACTAGCTCCTACCACCAGTGGAACTACTGCATCATCATCATCGTCGTCATCATCATCGTCTAAAAAGAGTAGTTCCAAACAACAAGCACCACCAACCATATGTACACCACTAGAAGGCTCACTCAATTCATTGACCAAAGAGCAACTAGTTACTCTTTGTGTAAATTTCTTCCACAATCTCCACCCCGAACACCAATCAGAGTTTGAAAATATCATGCCACCACCCGATCTCAAAGAGATTATGGACGAGTTGGATAGCCTACAAAAGGCATACAACAAACTCTTTCCCAACAACAAGTTTGTTTTTGACAACAACTCCTATACACGTGTAAAGAGTGGTTTGGCTTCATTCAAAAAGACATTGGTCGAGAATGGAGAGGATTTTAAAGAAAAGAATGCTTGGTCTACCTTGTTGCAATACGTCATTCAAGCACTTCCCTATGCTTTGAGAATGCCCCAATGGGAGGAGGAAAAGAACAATGCATCGAGAATAGCTGCCCTCTCAAAAATGGATCAATTTGGTAAATCTGCCATCAAAGGACTACTTCAAAACGACTTGCCACTCGAAAAGTGGGAGAAGCATCTCTCTTCTCTGCAACCCCACGCTCAATATCTACAAACTACCATCGAAGAGCTCAACAAATGTATAGACAAACGTAAAAAAGAAAGATGCCAAGACAGAGAAAACAACCAAAAAGAGAAAGACTACGACCAAACAAGAAAGAAGTCCACCAAATAATAGCATCAACAATCAACAACAAAATGGTGGTGGTGGTGGAATGCACATGTTGGTTCATCAAAACGAACAATTACAGCAACAACAATCACTACAAGCACAACAGGCTCAACAGGCTCAACAACAAGTTCAACAAGCACAACAACAGGCACAACAACAAGCCCAACAACAAGCTCAACAAGCACAGCAACAACAACAACAACAACAGGTGCAACAAGTTCAACAACAACAATCAATACAACAAGTTCAACAACATCACCATCATCAACAACAACAACAACACCACCATCAATTACAACAACAACAACATCACCAACAATTGCAACATCATCAACAACAACACCACCATCAACAACAACATCATCCACAACAACACCACTCACAACAACACCATCCACAACAACATCATCCACAACAACAACAACAACAACATCCTCAACACTCCCAAACACATCATCATTATGATCCAAGAATGGCTCACATTCAAGGTGATAGAACTTACTACATGTATAGTGATGGAAATTAATTTCCAATCAACAACAATTATTGTCAATCTCTTTCCCCTCTTCCCCCTCCTGTGTCATATATAAATTAATACGCCGCGAACAATTCTTTACTAATCAACTCCTCCCCCACCATATTTATTCAATCTTCTTCATTCAATTTTAACAATAACAAATAGTAATAATAATAATTAATAATAATAATAATAATAATAAATAATAATGATGATAAAGACAAATATTGGTTTCATATAATCCAAAGAGCCAAACCAACAAAACAAACAAAACAAAACAAAACCTATCAATCAAAATCCCAGATATTAATATTTTTTTTATGTCGTCACCCCTAATCCAGAATAACTATACATTTATAAATACAAATCCCCAACCTCCCAAAACACAATCACATAAAAACGATATTATGTAAATATTAAATAAAAATGGACCCTTTATTTTTTTAAAACGAGAGGAAAACAAAATCAATGGACCAACAAATTATTATTTATTATATAATTTAAAGTGATAATCGCAACTTTACAATCCAATTATTTACAGAGCTTTTTACATTTGTTTCTTGGGCCTTTTTCTCTTTTGAGGAAGAACCAAGTTTGGTGGTTTGCAAATTAATCAAATTGCTTTGTGATGAGGTCTCTTGAATTAATTTATCAAGTGAATCGAAATTTAATTTAGTCTCTAAAATGGCAATTAATTTATCCCTTTCTGATTCATTTGGTTTAATTTCGAGGGTATTGTTCTAAAAAAATAATATATCAACAACAATTTTTTGTAAGTTTTGTGGTCGGGTCAATTAATATAATAATAATTTACCTTTAATACAGATTCTGTTAAATAAAGTAATCTAGATGCATGATAACAATGTTTTCTTATACAATTGAAAATATCTTCATTGTCATTGTCATTATTTTTGTTTGATGATAATAAAGATTTTGATTTGGCAATTTGACCTTGAGCTACACCCCAACAATGTTGAATAAAGTTGGCAGTGAGATAGTTGATATTTTTCAATCTTAGATCATCCCATACCTGGCTTGAACAATAATCTACCTTTTCATTGTAAAACTGTTCTACAGCACGATGATTTCCTTGTGATAGTAGGTTTAAAAAGTATGATACTTCAAATAATTGAATACCAGTGACGTATGTATCTCTTGTCGTTGATGATGCATCTGTATTATTGGTGGTGGGTGATGATGTAATGTCAAGTCTGTCTATTGGTTGGTACAATGAGAATTGTGTGTCTGTCTTTGTTGCATACACTGCAATCCAATCTTGATCATTCTTTTTGACACCATGAAGAGTACTACCCGATCTACCAACATAAAGAATATTATAATCAGTGATGTTGTTGTTGACCATAATTTCATTACATTTGTCAATCACTGTTTCAAATTGTTTGTCAAACCCAACCAACTTTAGTTGATCTTCATTATAGTATTCACTACTAGTAGTGGTGGTAGATGATTTAAATTGGTTGATAGTTGACCTTCTACAATTTATAATCCAGTTGTTTAGAGCCATTTTGTCTCCAACCATTGGAATATTGTGTGGATTGGTCGATTTCATTTCGTCGATACTTTTATACACTTGTTCGTAGAGGTTGTTGACTTGATCCATTGATTCTTGAACACTTATTTTACCCATTCTAATATTCATAATGTAGTCTCTGTGTTGACCTTGAAGATAAACTAGTGGATCATCACCATTTAGCATTCTCACTGTTTCATGTAGTAATCTAATGGTATGATACAACTTTTTACTTGGAGAGTGATTGTTACTTAGACCATCATTATTCTTTTCTTTTCTTTCTTCTGTTGATCCTTTTGATGGTGTAAATGTAGAAGTTGAAGATGATGATGATGATGAAGTTGGAGAAGAGGAAGAAGGGGTAGTGACTCTAGAAGTCTTTTCATTTTGAGCCTTTTTAGCATCACCTAGTTGAGATTTACTATAGCTTACATAATGACTAATGACCAATTGTGAAATGAATGAATGTCTGATGGATCGTAGTTGTTCCCATTTTTGAGAGATATAACAATTTCTCTCAGTGAATAGAGGTTCCACCAATTTTGGATTACCTTTGAGCAAGAGTTCACAAAACTTTGATAGTTCGTACAAGACAAAGTCTTCTGGTTGATGACCATCGATAAGGGCAGCATGTGGTGACAGTGTAAGTGACAGCAATTGATCGGCATCTAATTCGTAGACACCAAAGTAATCATTGTCACTAGTTTCTACATTCAAATTAAAACTATGACTTCCAACTTGACAAAAGAATAGTAACTGTGCTTTAACCTTTTTTTCTTTTAATAAATCTTCACCCAACTATAGTAGAAAAGATAAATAAGATAATGTTGGTTGAGAGACCCTGTATTTTTGTTTCTTCTACTTACCTTTTTAAAGTGTTGACTATTATTATTGTTTGTATTCTCCATGTTGTTGTTGTTGTTGTTGTTGTTGTTGTTGTTGTTGTTGTTGTTGTTGTTGTTGTTTATCTATATATATTTATAGATAGATATATTAATATTTTAATAAAATGATCAACAAAGAAGATGATGATTTTTTAATAAAACCTGTGATGTTTGATTTCTCAGAATGGATAATAAATCGATGGTTTGGGTGTTTGAGAAAAAAAAGGAAACGAGGAAATGTATGAACAATCAATTGTCATCCATAATCATGATTATCTATCTATCTATCTCATAATAATAATAATAATAATTAATTTTAAAGAATAAATTTTTAAAAGTTTGGTTTTGTAAAGACATTGCCGAAAATCTGATCTATTCGTTTGTGTGAAATTCAGAGATATATAGATAAATATGTCTACTCAAACGAGATGTTTATCTTTAATAGTACGATCATCGTTCAATTATCCACATTCATCTTTGATCATTGCTACCTCCTCGTCTACTTGTAGGAATGTACTCAAACCTAATACTATATATAATAGCAGCAACAGCAGCAACAACAACAACAACAACAACAACACATTTCAACCTCGTTTGAATAAGCAATTGATTTCAACAACATCAACTTTTCTATCATCTTTATCATCATCATCATCATCGAGTACATTTTCCTCTCTATCTGCATCGATTCGACAATATAGTAGTAGAACAACTTTATCCAAAAAATTAGACTTTTCAAAGAACAACGATAAAGACGAAGATGAAGATACTGATGCTGATGATGAACTTGTCAATGCTAATCAACAACAACAACAACAACAACCAAGAGATATAACAAATCAAAACCAATTCTTTCACTGGAATAGAATAACAAAGAAAAAGCATTTGGATGAAAGAATATGGAAATCTATAAAACAACAACTATGGTACAATCCAACTGAAATTCAATCTGAAATCATTCCAATCATGCTTGATAATAGAAATGTATGTAGTTTAAAGTAAAGGTAACCTTTACAGTAAACAAACTCTAATCAATAACTCTCTCTCTCTCTCTCTCTCTCTATATTTAGGTATTAGCATCAAGTCAAACAGGTAGTGGAAAGACAGCATCCTATTTAATACCAATATTACAAATCATATCAAATATAAAGAAAAAAATTGATCAAGATATTTTAAATCCTCCAAAAGAAGAAGAGGAACAAGATGAATCATTAAATCAAAAAGAAGATGTACAAGAAGAGGAAGAAGAAGAAGAAGAAGAAGAAAAAGAAAAAGAAAAAGAAAAAGAAAAGAAATGGAGTCACCAAGATAAATATGGAGTTAAACCTCGATTAATTGGTATACCAGATATTGGAATTAATAATTATGGTACATTGGAAAAAGGAAAGGATCCATTAGCACTAATTTTAGTGCCAAGCAAAGATTTGGCCGTACAAGTAACAAGAGATATGGATCAATTGAATAGATTTATGGCACTAAAGGTTGTTTCTATTATTGGTGGTGTCGGTGAGCATACACAACGTGAATCACTTGGACGTGGTTGCGATGTTTTAATAGCTACTCCTGGTCGTCTTTTGGTACTTTTGGAGAGCGGTGCAGTGTCACTCTCCAAGGTACATATAACTGTGGTCGATGAATTTGACAAACTTTTCAACATGGGATTCTTCCCAGATACCAAACAAATATTCAAAGACTATCTACCAAGAATCGCAAATAGATCAAGACCAATGGGAATGCAAACATCACTCATATCTGCAACCATTGTACACGAAAAGTATGATGATCTCATCACAAGATTTGCACCAAATCATATCATGGTCAATTTAAATCAAGAACTAAAGGCACCAGATCAAGTTAGACAACATTTTTACCAAGTTTCCTATCGAAAAAAGAGAGCACTTTTGATGTACTTTTTCAGAAGATCACCTGCCTCCAAGACATCACTTAGAGGTAGAAAGGTATTGGTATTTGCTCGTACACAACAACGTGTGGAAAATCTCAAACAATCATTTATGGAGAAGAAAATTGGTGTCGTTGCCATTCACGCAGATATGAGCATGGCGGCACGTAACAATGCTTTGATTTCATTCAAAGAGGATGACGATCTCAAGGTTTTGGTTTGTACCGACGTAATGACAAGAGGTATTCATATTGACTGTTTGGATGCAGTAGTTAATTTTGACGTTCCACATGTCTCTGAAGATTATCTTCACAGAATTGGTCGTGCAGGCAGACTTGGACGTCAAGGGTTTTCATTGACCTTTGTTTCACGAGAGAGTTTGGTATTTGAAGTTGGAAAGCGTACTGTTGGTCTCAATGAAGGTCATCTTTTGACAAACATTGAAAGACTAATGGGTAAACAGGTACTCATCTCTAAAGTTCCAGGTCCTTGGACAGAAGACGATATACAAGGTAGTACTGATGGTAGTGATATTACAATCAGAGTATCAGAAGAAGATGGTAGAGAAGAGGATTTCGATGAATACGATTATCAAGCAAGAGAGGAGGAGGAAGAAGAAGAAACTCGACCAAAAAGAAAACAAGAAAGTGAAAAGCCAAGGTCCATAGTCGATAGAGAATATAAAAAGAGTGGAGTCAAAGAGAAAAAGGCAGTGACTGATATGTTGTTGAAACAAAAAGTATTGGAATCATTTAGAGGACCTCCAACCAGAGATGGACTTCCTCGTGTCAGATTCAATCCCAATGCTAAACTCAAGAATAGAAGAATGTCAAAGGTAATAGTCGATAGAAAGGGAGAGATACATGACCTACCACCAATCACTGATTTCGAAAGCGGCCGATACGAATCGGTTGTCCAAGAATTTGACAGAAAGAGAGCATCGAAAAGAGGAGTTGGTCTCAAGGAAAAGAATATCAAGGTTTTCACACCATCAAAGATTATGACCAAGAGACAAGAGAACAAGTTGAAAGATTTGGAAACAAAAAAAGATAAATAATAAAAAAATTAAAGGTTTCTCGACTTTTTCTTTGAAGTATGAAATTAGAGACTAATTTATTTTTCGTGACACATTGCGATGATGCAAAAGTTCGATTGGTGATGATCATCATCATCGTTTTTAAACACTACTCAAAGAGAAAAGAAAAGAAATACATAAAAGAAAGAAAGAGAAAATGAACCCAATGCATATTATTTTATTTGTAATGCTATCAATTGGTTTTGTCTTGGCTGACGGTAAGAGGAGAAACAAAAAAAACATCATCATTATTTGATAGAGTGTAGTCACTAACAACAAATCAATTTCATCTACCTTTATAACACACAATATTAGGATCATCAAGTAGTTATAACTTTTTAACAAACAGCATTATTGTATCTATTATAGTTGGTATCACCGGATCACTTGCACAAAAATTGGCACCAAAATTTGTCTTTTCTTTACTTCCTTATCACTCTGTTTCATGTTAGACGCGTTGAAACAAACCAAACTAAACCAAACAATAAAGATTGATACTAGATATTTGTATACATCAAATGTTCATTAATATACAAAAAAGTTACAACATTGATTGTCGAAATTTTTTTGAACTTTCATTTGCTCCAGCATTTATAAATTGTAATAGGTGATCATCATCATTCATTCGTTTAAATATTATATATATATATTTTTAATTTCAAATAATCAATTATTCAAGATAACAAATACAAGATATGTTTGGTGCACCAAAAGACATTGAATTACCACAACCTCCAACAGATGGAGTTTCATGTCTCAAGTTTGCTCCAAAGGGAAGCTTTATAGCTGCAGGTTCTTGGGATAAGAATGTTAGATGTTGGGAAGTTCTCCCAAAGCAATCCTCTGCAGTAGGAAAGGCTATGATCAATAATGAAGCTCATGTACTTTGTACTGATTGGAGTAGCGTAAGTAGAATTCTGCAATGCAATCGCGATTGAGGAGCACAACTCTGACCTTTTTTTTGTTCTCATTACTTATCTCTTTTGTTCTTCTTTAATCCCTACTACCTCTTTTAGGATTGCACTAAAATATATGTTGGAGGAACAGATTCAAAGGTTAAATGTTGGAATTTAGCTACCAATCAACTCACTCAAGTAGCACAGGTATGATGACATATATATATATATGTATAGTTTATTCTTTATCATTACTTTTACTAAAACATCTTTCTTGTCTTTTTAGCATGGAGCACCTGTAAAAGAAGTATTTTGGATCGAAGAATCACAAGTAATGGTCACAGGTAGTTGGGACAAAACACTAAAATATTGGGATATGAGAATGCAAACTCCTATACTCACTGTGGATTTGCCCGAGCGTGTATATGCTTTGGATGTTTTACATCCTCTTTTGGTTGTAGCTACAGCTGATAGAAAGGTTATAATTTATGATTTAAATAAGCCAGGTACAGAGTTTAAGGTTTGTATCATCATGATGGATGGAATCATCAACCATCACCACCAACAGAACTGTTTGTAAACCAACTAACTAAATTTATTGTTAATTTTCTTTTTAGAGAATGGAATCACCACTTAAACATCAAACAAGATCGATTGCATGTTTTTCAGATAGAAATGGTTTTGCATTGGGATCAATTGAAGGAAGAGTAGCAATTCAATCATTTAGCGAAAAAACAGAGTAGGTACACCAAATTATGATTAATTTCATGTGATCCAATTTTATATGATTATATTGCTAACAGTAGTTATCACCACACCTTTTTAAAGAGAGACATTTACATTCAAGTGTCATCGTGAAAATGATATATTGGCATATCCAGTAAATAGTATTTCATTTGCTCATCCATTTGGCACATTTGCAACGGCTGGATCTGATGGAACCTTTAACTTTTGGGACAAGGAAACGAAAAATAGATTGAAACAATTCCCCAAGTGCCCAACATCCATTTCCTGTGCCACTTTTAGTCCAGATGCTACAATGTACGCATATGCAGTTTCATATGATTGGTGCAAAGGTGCTGATCATGTTCCCAATCTTCCAAATAATATTCATTGTCATGTAGTTCCTGAATCTGAAATTAAAGGAAAAGGAAAAAGAAGATAATCAATTAAAAAAAAAAAAAAGTAAACCAATATATATTGGATGTTATAGTTATTATTATAGTATAAATTTATTTCTCACATATTTTATGGTTTGACATCAGTTGGTTTTGGACTGGTAGTAGCAGTGTTGGTAGTAGTAGTTGTTGTTGTTGTGGGAGCTTTTACAACATATGTTGATTGTTGTGGTTGTGTTTGTTGGTATTTACCCTTTTTTGTGTTGTCTCCTCCCCTTGGAGCTCCATCTTTCTTTTGGTCTCTGTTGTATTTCTTTTCATTATTTTTTTCAGATGATTTATCCCTATTATCTTTGTTAAATTTTTGATTTTTTTGTTGTTGTTGTGGAGGAGATTTATCTTTTCCTTCTTTTGGAGAAACAGATAAAGATGGAGGAGTGGTGGGCACTGCTGGTACTGATTGGGGAGACACAGCTGTGGCCAATGGGTTAGGGGCGGCAACAGGCAATGGAGGGGTTTGGGCAGAAGTCACTCGATTCCACAATGCATTTTTTTCTCCCCATGCATTGGTTGGTTGCTTTGTTGGTGGATCAACGGTTGCTGGTTGGGTTGTTGGAGCTGCATTGATTGGTTGTTGTGGTTGTTGTTGTTGTGAAATTTGATCATTTTGTTTTACATTTCCGCTATTATTCGATTTCCAGTGTTTCTCGCTATCAGCTTTGCTTTGTTGTTGTTGTTGTTTTGGTTGGTATTGTTGTTGTTGTGGTCTTGGCTGATATTGTTGTTGTTGTGGTTGTTGTAGTTGTTGTTGTTGTTGAGACTTTTGACCTCTAGTCTGTTGATTGGGTTGATCAATTGGCAGAGGCAATGGAAGTGGGGTGGGGACAAATGGGGTAGAGGGTAAAGATGTTGACGATGGGATTGGGGTAGATGAAGGAGATTCTCTAGGGACGTATTTCTTTTCACTACCACCTCGTTTTTCCTTTTTATATGATTGATCATCTTGGGACTTGTTTAAAGAGGATGAGGAATCCTTTTTCCACTCTCTTGATCTACTTCTAGGGATTTGATCTCTGTGTTGTGGAGATGGTTGGGAAATACCGACAGGAGATGGGATATTTCCAGCAGTGTTTAACGGCAATGGCAAAGGATTAGGGGCTTGTGGTGTTTGATCATGGTTAGATTCTTGTTCCAATGGAATTGGATCTTTTCTGACAAATTCCTCTTTGCTTTTTTCCCTTTCTCTTCTAAATTTACCTCCACTTTCATTGAGTGGACCACGTTGGTTAGTGTTATTATTGTACTTCTTGTCAGACGATCCCATAGTTCTATCTCTTTTTTCTTTTTGGAAAGAATCACTTCTTTTAATACTATTACCACCTTGTTGTTGTTGTTGTTGCTGCTGGTTATTATTATTATTAATATTATTATTATTATTATTATTATTGTATCTATCATTTCTCGATTTCTTTGATTTATCTACAGTTGACTTTTCAACACTTCCTTCCAAAGGAGTTGTTGGTGTCTCGTTCGATGATAGTGACGATGTTGAAGATGATAATTCATTCTTTGCTAAAGGAGTTGTAGTGGAAGTGTTGGAGGTGGAGGTGGTGGCGACAGTTGATGATTGAGAAGGTGATGGCAAAGGTGTTGGTAATACTACAGATTGTGGTGGCGGTACTAGTGTCTCTACATTTGTTTTATCTTGTGTCTTTTTACATTGATCGTCCTCTGATGTGGTGGGCAGCTCGATATTTTTTAAAGATTTTTCTTTGGTTAGAATGGCCTTTGGATAATTTTGGTCTCTTTGTTGTGGAGCGGCCGATTGCTGTTGGTGAGCATGTCTATCGTGATAGTTTGGTGGGTGCAACTGATATCCGGGAGATGGGCCACGTGGAGCGTATGGAGCAGGACCTGTTCCTCTTTGCTTATTTCGATCAGAATCGAGTGGAGCTGGGTATTGTACATTTTCTCGGTCTCCATCTTTGTGATCAAAGTTATCACCACTTCTTTCATATCTGTTACTATTTACATTACGTTGATGATGTTGTTGTTGGTGGTGATGTTGCTGTTGCTGTTGGTGGAAATCATTTCCTCTATCATGAACTCCTTGGGGATGTCTGTGCGAATCGGGTTGAGGAGCATGGTGCTGATCTCTATGTCCTCCATGAATTGGTGCCAAAGGTTGTGGATAGTACTCTTGATCTCGGTGAGAAGAACGATGATATGGTTGGGGAGCGTTTCTATTATCGGGATACGAATTTCTTTGATGTTGTTGATTATATTGGATGCCTCTATTATCATGTTGTTGTTGTTGATGATGGTGATCTCTTGGGCTACGATCTCCTCTTGGATGATACTCATGATCTTTTGGTAGTGGCAATGGAAGAGGAGGGGCAGATGCATTTCCAATAGGTCTTTCAAATGATGATCTATTATTATTATTATTATTATTATTATTATTAATGTCAACTCTTTCCTTTGAATCACGATTTTTGTCCTTTTCTACTCCAATAGATGTAGGAGAAGTCATGATGTGGTTATTTGAATGTAATTGATCTCCTCTCAATTCTCTACCATCTCTGTGTTCGCCTCTAAAGTCTCTAGAGTCGTTTCTATCTCTTGAAAATCTGTTCTCATCATGACGCTCTCCTCTTTCATGACTATGACGACGACCGTCTTCATAGTGACGATCTTCATAGTGGTAACGATCGTGTTCATATCCATCTCTTCTGTTATTATATTGATAAGGATAGCCACCTCGGCCACCCCCACCTCTAGAGTCCATTCTTTGTATTGATGGTGGTGGTTGTTGTTGTTGTGCTCCACCTCTTCTATTATCTCGATTATAACTATCTCTTCTTTCTCTTGATTCTCGCTCGCGCTCCAATCTTTCACGTTCACGCTCACGTTCACGTTGTTCTTTTTCTTCACGCTCCAATCTTTCACGTTCAAGCTCGCGTTCTCGTTCTTGTTCCAAACGTACTCTCTCCTTTTCTTCATTTTCCTTTTGTTCGAGTTGCTTTAATTTGTTCAAAGCACGCTCCTTTGCCAATCGATCTTCCTCTGCTTTTTGATCCATTTTGAGACGAAGTCTTTCTACTTCGGCATGTTTTCTTTCGTTCTCTTTGAGATCCCATTCGTCCTTTAATCTTTTTCGTTCATCTTCACGTTTCTTTTTATCTTCCTCGGATCGTTTGCGATCGTCTTCGGCTCTTTGCAATTCCTCTTGTCGACGCTTTTCTCTGTCTTCCTCTTCCTGAACAATACGTTGTCTTTCTTGTTCCTCGCGAAGCTCTCTTTCTTGAATTTCTCTCTCCTCGTCTTCAATTCTCTGTCTCTCTCGCTCCTCTTCTAATCTCTTTAATTCCTTTTCACGTTCCTTTGCCTGTGCTATATTTTCATCGATAAAAACCAATGGTTTGGAGTAATCCATTGGATCTTCATCGTTGGCCCAGTCGGAATTGGCAAGAGAAAACATATCTTTTTTAAGGTTAAGAGGAGAAGAGCTACTGGTTGTTGTGGTAGTAGTTGTGGTTGTGGTGGTTGTGGTGGTTGTAAGAGTGGCACTATTTGATACAGATGTTGGGTTGGCAGAAGAGGAAGAGGAAGAAGTTGGTGTATTTGATGATGATGATGGTGATGTCATCACATTTGCCGCCAAATTGGATTTGTTTCCCAAAGGTGAAGAATATATTTTACCACTTTGAGATTTTAATGTCGTTTCTTCATTTTCTATTAGAATTGTTATAAAAAAAAAAAAGAGAGAGAGAGAGAGTTGATATTAGTAGTGTGATGAAAGAGCTCATATGGTGATGTACTTACTGTTGGTAGTGTGCAATAAGGTTGTGCTTCTGGTTGTACTACTTTCTTTTTTCATATACATAAAAGGACTATCTGAATCATATGTTGTAGTTGTTGTAGATGATGATGATGATGGTGATGGAGGAGTTGATGGTGGTTGTGATGTTGTTGTTGTTGTTGTTGATGGAGGTTGAGTATCTTCATGAGAAGGTGCTGGTAAAAGGGATGATGATGTTGAAAGATTCGGGCTTGTAGATCCACTGATGGATTGGGCAATGATTGATGCCACTGTGGGGATTGAAGTGGTTGGTGATATTTGCTGTTGCTGGCTACTATTGGTAGAAGCCGTCGTGGTTATTGCCGATGTTGTTGATAAAGATGATGAAAAATTTAAAGGATTACTATTCACAGAGGTAGTTGGTGTTGTTGTATTGTTGTTGTTGCTAAAATTACTATTCGAGGACAATGAAAGAGGATTTACTGCTCCACTCATGGTTGATGAGGCCGATGATATGGTTGTACTGGTAGTAGTAGTTGGTAATGGTGGTGGTGGTGAACCAGAAGCTGCTGTAGTACCCATTGTTGTTGACGATAAAGGTGTCGGTGTCTTGACGATTGCACCTCCCCATACCGACATAACAGAAGGTGCCTGACGTTCATCGTGCCCACTTTCACTGCGCTCACTTGGCAAATTAATAGGCTGAAACTTTGGTGCTCCTCTCACAGAGGTCGTCGGAGGTGTCGACGAAGACGATGGAAGTGTCGCCGGTTTATGTGGTCGTCCCATCATATTTTTTGAATTGTTATTATGGTTGTTGCTGCTGCTTATTGTTGTGGTTGTTGTTGTAGTTGTAGTTATAGTTTTTAATATACCAATTGAAGATGAATTTTGTTGTTGTTGTTGTTGTTGTTGCTGTTGATTATTACTCGATTGTAATGATGGTTTCATTTAGAAATATCTGTATTCATCATCATGATATGTAAAAAAAGGTTATGTATGTTAGCATGGGTTGTTCACAGTATAGGGTCGATTGATGATTGATTGATTGATTGATCGATGTCAAATAGGATGTGTAGAGAGAGAGATGATGATCCTTGAATAGCATTAATGTACACCTTTAACTGATGAATCTATCTTGTGCAGCACCTGTTTTCATGCAGCAGAAATACTGATTTGGTGTTGATCATCATCATCATACTCTTTCTGATTTGAAATATATCAACTCTTTATCGATCATCATCATCATTATCATTATTATAAAGACAACCTACCATAACGGATAGCCCTGAACCTTCAAAATAAAATAAATAATTATAAATAAAATGGTAATCAAATATTTAAAGGCATGTGTGGTTTTTTTTTTTTTTTTTTTTTTTTTTTTTTTTTGCAAACTGATTTTATTTTGGATTCATTTGTTCCAAGTTTCATATATTTTTAATATATCTTTCATCAATTAATGAACTTCAATTTTACGTTGGTACTTGTTATTAGAGTCTCTGTCTTTTGGCAATTTGTAAACAGATTCTGGATGATTGGTAACCAATGAACAGTATCGTGATACTGCAAAAAAGTAATCTGATAATCTATTGATAAATTTGGGTGCCGTCTCGTCGATGGCTGACTCTCTTAATAATGGTGACATATCTCTCTCTGTTCTTCTACAAACTGCTCTACAAATATGGAATTGTGATGATTCTAATCCTCCTCCCTTTTTGTTGTTGTTGTTGTTGTTGTATAAATAATAATAATAATTATTATTAGTAAGTAGTCTTTTCTTTTTTTTTTCTAGTGGTGACATACAGGTAAAATAAAATTCTTCAAGGGTGCCAAGTATTTATCCATTTCGTCGATAGCCAACTCTATCTTTTCTACATGAGTTTCACTAAATTCTGTTCTAGCTAAATGCATTGAAGATGATGATCCTTCGGTTCTTGGTGTTGCAATGTGTGATCCTAAATCAAACAATAAACATTGAATCTTTAATAAAAAAAAAAATAGAATTATTATTATTATTATTTATGATTGAGTATATTTAAATATAACAATTTACGTACCTCTTCAAGTTCTGGTATCTTTTCTATTAATCTCTTATTCTTTTTCAATTTACAATATTCAACAGCCATTCTATTAAGTAGTAGGTAGGATTAAGGATATTGATGTCAATAATCATGATTATAATGATAATATATCATTGTTTTTATACGCACCCAATATGAGCAGACAATTCATCCAATGAACCCAATACATTAAATACAGTATCATCTTTTGGTCTTCTTTCACCATTAAAAAGACTACTAGTACCTTTATCACCAGTCTTTGTATAGATCTTTATCTTTTTAATATCAGATGACACTGGTGTGATATCTAACTCTTCTTGTCCTTCTTGTTCTGACAGATCCCTTTGTTGACTATCATCATTTTGAGATTCATCATTAGTAGCAGTAGTTGTTGAATACCAGTTTCCCATTCTTGAATGACTTAATTCTTTTGTACAAGTTGTTAATTGCGTAGAAGTGTAACAATTGACAATATTTCTTGTTATTGTTGTTGTTGTTGTTGTGCTATTGATGTTGTTTGTTGCGCTCCTCTTTGAAGTTAACAATACTAAAGAAGATGATTTAAAGCAATTTCGTATTAGAAACATCTAGATGTCTCAAAAATTATATTTATATATTAAATTTTGAACTTCAAGAGCTTCCTTTGTTGGAGACAAGATAATATTAAAAAAAAAAAAAAAACCTAAAAAATGATTTTGGTGAATCATCATAAGACAATAGTAGTTTTAATATTAGAATAGATAAGTAATAGATAGATAGATAGATAGATAGAAGATCAGTTGTAATATTAAGAAGAAGAAGAAGAAAGATGGGAGATATATTATTTGAAGCAAAGAATTATTATTACTTGGGCAATTATCAAGGAGCAATCAATGAAGTAAACAAGAGATACAAGCAAATTAAAAACGATCAACAAAAGTTGGAAGCAGATGCATTCCTCTACAGAAGTTATATTGCTCAAGAGAATTACTCTCTAGTATTGTCAGAGTTGAAAGAAGGCAACAATGATATTACACTTCAATCAATTCGTTACTTTGCTCAATATCTTTCAAACAACAACAACAACAAAGAACAAGTTTTAAACTCTATTAAACAGATTGAAAACCAACTCAACAATACTACACCAATTGCCCAACTTTTAATTGCTTCTATTCACTATGAACAACAAAACTTTGAAGAGACACTACGTATTTTACATAAAACTGATAATCTTGAATGGTATTTATCAATCAATCAATCAATCAATCAATCAATCAATCAATCAATCAATCAATCAATCAATCAATCAATCAATCATTCCTTACAAATCAAACTCTAAATGTCTAATCTAAACTAACAACTATCGATATATATATATAAAATATTGTAGTATGTCATTATTGGTTCAAAGTTATTTGAAAATCGATAGATTGGATTTGGCAGAGAAGCAATACAGTCAAATGAAACAGATTGATGTTGATGCCACACCATCATTATTTTCAAATGCATTAATATTGATCACTCAAGTAACTATCTCTATCCCAACTATATAGTTTAATCCACACAACTAGTAACCAATTAATTCATTACTTATTTTCTTTTTCCAAAAAATAGGGAGATGATAAAGTAAAGGAAGCATTGGCAATCTATGAAGAATTGTCAGAGAAATATGGAACAACATCATTATTACTAAACTCTCGTGCAGTTTGTGAATTAATGTTAAAGAGATTCGAAAAGGCTGAACAAACATTATTACAATCGATTGAAAAGAATTCAAAGGATCCAGCAACCATTTCAAACCTTATCACTTGTTACATTCACATGAAGAAACCAATCGATATTATCAATCGTTATCAAAGGTAAACTTATTCCATTTCAAATCCTTTGATTTACCAATGGTAGAATCACTAACATTCCTGTCTTTTTTTCTATTTTCCAGTCAACTCAAATCATCTTCACCAAACTATTTATGGTTAGAACAATTAAACCATGCAGACAGTACCTTTGATAGATGTAAATCAAGATTCGGTTAATAATTTGATCAAGATTTGATTAAAGAAAATCGTTGACCAAATAATATTATTATTAATAATAATAAAAAAATAGTTTTGTTGTTGTTCTGAAATTGAGCAATTTTTGCTGACTCACCTCTTTCTGAACAAAACAAAGAAGGGCAATATAAGTGCGCATTTAAATTATTTATTATTATTTATTATTAGAAGAAGAAGAAGAATACATTATCTTTTATATATATATATAGTTTGATATTGGTTTCTCGAGATATAAACCAATATAAATCAACCTTGTACATAAATTATATATCTCAACCCCATCAAAGGGTCTCTTTACAATGAAGAACAAGTCATATTATTCCTTGATATTACTCTTTATTATAATATCAACAGTATTTATAGATGTCATTAAATGTCAGCAACAACAACAACAACAACAGCAACAGCAAAGGAATGTAAACAACAATAACAATAATCAAAAAAAGAAAGGTTCAAGCTCTATACCAACCGATTTGTATGTAATCAACCTCAACTGAGCAGCTGACAGTATCTATGCTATGCTATGCTATTCTATACTATACTGATCAAATTCACTAATTGATCTTTTATTTTTAGAGATTTAATTGTTAGTACAATGGATGGGAGTATATATTCTTTCAAATATGACAATGGAATGTTAAATTGGATTATAGATGAAGGACACTCTCTCTATTCAACATCTCAAACATTTAATCAACAACAACAACCACAACAACAACAACAACAGCGAGTAGACAATGATAGTGATAATGATAACGATTTCTTTGATCAATCAAGTGATAATGATATTGTTACATCGTCGTCATATGACGTTATCTCTACCACCACTACCACAAACCAAAATAATAATAATAATCAACAACTATACATACCAAATATAGATGGAAGTGGTGAATTTTATATTTATTCAAAAGACAGTGGCATACAAAAGCTTCCCTATTCATTGTTTGATATTGTAAACTCTTCACCATTTCAACAAAGTTCTGTCGACGATCAAGATACTCTATTTGTTGGAAGTAAAGCAACCACTGTTATGGTAGTCGATGCTACCACTGGAAAGCTACTAAAGACTCTAAGACACAATGGTGAATGGGAAGGATGCTCGAGCATGAGTGGCGTATGTGACGACTCTGGTGCCAACAGCGACAATCAAGATGGAAAAAATAATGTATTGATATTTGTAAGATCAGATTACAAAGTCATTGCTATAGATCCAACAACTGGTGTAGAAAAATGGAACATATCAATTGGAGAGTACAAACCATTCCACCAATCTGTAAAAAGAGTAAATCAACAACAAGAAACAGAGTCAACATCAACGAAAAAGTTTGAACTAAAAGGAACGATTCAGGTCTATCCAATGAACTCTCTATATAAACTCTTTGTTAAAAAGAGTAGTGTGTTGTCATCAAACTCTTATTGGGAATCAATACTTCCATCTCCACCACTATCTATATACGCCTTTTCAAAATCACAAAATATATTGGAACCACTCGAATTTACTAGAATATTGTCTGCCGACAATCCATTTGCACCTTTTATATCGGCTGGTACCAACAACGACAATTCAGGACTAGTACCCTCTGGTTGGATGCCTACCTTTATTTTTGATAGTTATGATGGACACTTTTACATTACATCAAACGATAAAAACCAAAGAACCGATAACGGTGGACAAGATCCCTTGGCAATTGGTGATGGTAGCGAAGATAATGGCACAAGAGTTATTAGTGACAACGATAATCATACGCAAAACAACCAAAATAATCAACAAGACAACCAAAACGCATTCATTAAACTGATTACAGATAATTATCAGGTAAACACATTATTATTGATACTGTTGGCAAGTGCCACTTTTATAACAAAGTCTTTGATTTGGAGGCCCAAAAAAAGGAAAACCAAACAAGACACCATCAACTCCAAGTAAAAAAAAAAACAAAAGAAAACAACAACAACAACAACATCAACATCAAATTGAGGTGGAACAAGAGGAAGAAGAAAAAGAGGAAAAGGAAAAGGAAGAGATTCAAGAAATGCTAGAGGAAGAATTGGTAACAAGTACAACAACAACCAATATTCAACAACTGGAATATAGCACAAGAATTATATTAGAAAATGGAAATGTAAAGATTGGTAAACTTACAATGTCTAATAATGTTTTGGGAACTGGAAGTTGTGGCACTGTGGTGTATGAAGGTTTTTTAGAGGGCAGAAAAGTAGCCATCAAGAGAATGCTTAAACAATTTATTAAATTTGCCGATAGGGAAGTTTCCCTATTACTGCACTCTGATGAACATTTAAATGTCGTTAGATACCACGCCAAAGAAGAAGATAGCGAATTTATATATTTGGCACTATCTTATTGTACAAAAAGTTTGGATCAAGCAATAGAAGAAAATTTAACCTCTAAAGGTGTTACAGGAGGTAAACCACCACCACCACCACATTCGCAACAACCAACAGGAAAATCAACCCAACAACAAAAGATAATCATTACAGATTTAATGAAAAGGATGATAATGGATTTATTATCGGGATTGAGTCATTTACACTCTCTAAATATTATTCATCGTGATATTAAACCTCAAAATATCCTCATTGATCCAAACAATCGTGTAAAGATATCAGATATGGGACTAGGAAAGGCTTTGGACAAGGACGATCATTCTTTGACGTTTGCCAGTGACAGCTACGGTTGGCAACCTGCAGAGTATTTAAATGGTAGCAACAAAAGTACGAAAAAAGTAGACATTTTTTCAATGGGATGTGTCATTTACTACTTGGTCACTGGCAGTAATCCATTTGGAGGACGTTTCAATCGTGAAAAGAATGTATTAAAAAATAAGTATGACATTGAAGCAATTGAACATCTTGGTGAACTTCATCATTTAGTTTCATCAATGATACAATTTGAACCAGATAAAAGGTAACTATTCTATTACTAGTAAATACGAATATATTTATATATATATATATTAATATTAATAATTAATATTTCATCTACCTTTAGACCAACGATATTAGAATGTGAATCACATCCATTCTTTTGGAATTCACACAAACAATTATCATTTTTGGTGGCAGCATCTGATTATTTAGAATTTGAAAAACCATCTAGTCCATTGGTAACCGATCTAGATCTACTTATCGACCAAGTATTACAGAATAGAGATACTGAATGGTGGGGTCTCTTGGATCAATTATTCATCGATAATATAGGTCGTTACAGAAAATACAATGGTAAAAGTGTTCGAGATCTTCTCAGAGTCATTAGAAACAAATTTAACCACTATAGAGACCTTCCACAAGACGTACAACAATGTCTTGGTGATTTACCAGATGGTTTCCTCGACTACTTTAAAACAAGATTCCCTCGTTTGATCATGTCTACCTATTTATTTATCGAAAAACATCTAAAGAATGAACCCTACTTTAAACAATTTTATGTTGATCCAACAACCATTATCAAATAAATTTAATTAAAAAAAAAAAATTTTAATTTAAAAAATGAAGAAGAATTTTTCACTGGGGGGGGGCATGAACATCATCACATCAAAAAAAAGCTTTTTTGTGTTGTTGAACAATAACAATAATAATAATAAAAAAGAGATAACAACAAAAGAAGAGAATAACAGTTTCTTTTGAAGGAAATAACAATTAAAAAAGATAACAATACAAATAACAACTATTGATAGAAAAAAATAAAATTATATAGAAAAAATCATAACTTTTAATATCATCAACAAAGAAACTTTTTATAATAACAATAATAAATAAATAATAACAATAAATCATTCTTCTTCTTCTTCTTCTTCTCTCTTCTTCTTTTAAACAATGAACACCAATAATAACAACAACAACAACAACAACAATATAAATAATAACAATGGAGGTGGTAATGGAAGAGATGGAGGATATCAATATGGCCGATTTCACATGAGGGGCACAAAGAGATATGGTCCAAGAGGTGGAGGACAACACACTGGTGGTCATATAGATCAATCACAACAACCCCAACAACAACAACAATCATCTGCCCCTTTTCAACAACAACAACACCCAATGATGGATGATATTGTCCAACAACAATCATATTTTAACTCACAACCATTGCAACAACAACAACAACTGCAACCACAACAACTACAACAACATCAACATCAACAACCACAACATCAACAACAACAACAACATCAACAACCACAACAACAACAACAACAGCCATTACAACAACAATCATCATCTGGAAAACCATTTAGAGGTGGATTCCAATCAAACTACAGTCCAAGAGGAGGTCCCTCTGGAAATCGTGGCTCAAACCGTGGAGGAAGAGGCAGTCGTGGCGGATTCAGAGGTGGCTATAGAGGTGGATCCTCGTCGTCTTCTTCTTATTTCCCACACTTTGGCGGAAAAATGTTAAAGACCTTTGTCAACATTCCAACATTTAGTGGAGGTGCAATCATTGGAGTCAAAGGATCATTGTGGGGTCTTATCAACAAGGCCACCAATGCCAGACTCAAAATCTTCAAAACAACTGCTGTCATTAAATGTCCAGACGCTCAACAATTGGAAAGAGCCAAAGAAATTGTTTTAAAGTTGAAAAACACTTCTGTAAGTTGTTCCAACCCATTTAATAATATTTATTACTCTTCTTAATAATCTATTTTATTTTTATTTATTTTTTACTTACTTAGGCCAAATACTTATCATTGGTAGATTACAAGGGAGATCAAAGATTAAAGTTTGTTCACCAACCAAACTATGCTGTCGTCTTGTTTGAAAACAAGGCATCCCAAGCATCGTCGTCATCGTCGTCATCATCATCATCATCGACTAGTACCACCTCTACGACAGAGGACAATATCGATATCCAAGAGATTGTGAGAACACATGAACCACAATTTGTTGGACGTTTCAATGAGATTTTTAGTACACTATCTATAGAAAAGACAAACAATATTCCATTTGTCGATGTCAAGGCAGGCAAGATTTGGTTCCTCAACAGCAATGAAATTCCATCACCAGCAATGACGGCAGACAAATACGAGCTTCTCACAGAGTCACTCGATTCTGTCTTTCAAAACAGTACATGCATCTCAGAGTCATTTGTACACACTCACAACCTTTTCAAGGAAAAGAAGCCATACGTTCTTGTAACTCTTCTCGACACTGACACTCTTGATATTCTCACCATCAAATGTTTCGAAGAAAAGGTAGTTTCACCTTCCTCACCATCGAATAGTGCCAACTCTGCAACATCAAACTCGTCTTCTTCTGCCACCTCATCAACTAGTACCGCCGCTGCTGCAGGCAGTCCATCTAGTTCTGTTGAATACAGATTTGTGAACCCAACCCTCTACAAACAAACACACCACATCAATGCCAAGGTACTCCTTCCACAACTCAGCAAACAAGGACACTTTGATTTGAGAATTTCGATCGACACCCTTTCAAAGGCACCACTTGAATCACACCCACACAGTGACAGATTGAAGCAATTCCTCTCTTCTATTCACATCTTTAAAAACTCCAACGGCAACAACACCTACCAAATCCCAGACTCGAATCTCTTTATCGTCGAATCACTCATCATCCAAAAGGTATCAATCTATCGCAACAACCAAAAGACATTGCAGTTCCACCTTCTCGAAGACAATGTCACTCGTTTGACCACTTCTGCCCCAGAGTACAACAGACCTGCCACCTCTATCTTGTGCACTTCACCTGCCTTGTATGATATGTTCAAATCAAAGAATTGGAACAACGAACAAGTGTTGGATGAAATTAAAAATGTCTCCAAGAATGTAAGAATCCTTATTTCCCAACTCGACGTCAAACAAGCCACTCCTCCACAAACTGGCGATACTGAAGGAAATATTCACCAAGAGAATGACCAAGATTCTGATGAAGAATAAATCATAAAAAAAACAAACACTCTAGAGAACAACAAGAAAGAAAAAAAACAAAAAAAAAAAAAAAAAGATATAACTTTTAGTCTATCCAATCATAAATAAATAATCCATCATACAAAATTAAATTAGATTTTCTTTTTTCTTTTCTTTTTTCTTTTCTTTTTTTTAACTAAACAAAATTTAAAGGATAAAGTTTATTTATGGGTGTAATTATGTTTGTTTTGGTATAATGGTACAATGATTGGTGTTGGCAATGGGAGATTATTATTTTGATGAATCGGTTTGTTAGTTCAAAATATTGGTTCGTTTGTGTGATTATTAGTTGTAAAGTATTACTGATTGATTATGATGGTTTTGTTGTTGGTTTATGATTACTTATTATTATTGACCAAAAAATAATTGTAATTATGGTGGTTATATTATTATTATTATATCAAAGAAATTCAATCAAATGATTGTTTCCATGTTTTTGTTTGTTTTGATGGTTATTGGGAATGAAAAAAAAAAAAAGATGGACAATGTTCCACCAGTTTAACGAAGATTGTGAATTTTGTAATGAAAAAGGCGAGCGTATATCCAAATACAAAGATATTTTTGGTTGTTGTTGTTGTTGTTGTTTAAAAGTGAATTTTAAGAATTTGGTTGATAATAGTTCTACGAACAGCATCAAAAACCACACTAATATTTTCAGTATCGGTAGCCGTAGTGACATGTGCAACTACAGTCATACTTGGTGGAACCATTTGGAGATATTTACCTCTAATAAATTCTAAACCTCTTTCATAATCGAGTCCACCTATAAAATAATAAAAAAAAATAAAAAAAAAGTAGGTTAGTGTTTGATCGTTGTTGAGGTTTAATATTTTATCACGATTACATACCAGAGTAATCTGGGAAATAGTTTGCCAAAGAATCTTTGACAACCTTTTCTCTGAAAAGATCATTCTTGTTTAAGAAAAGAACAAAAGAAGTACCCTTGAAATATGGATTACCAATGATTTCCTTCCATAATTTTAATGAATCCTCCATACGATTGGTGGCTCCATCTTCGACGAGGTTCATATTGTAGTCTCCGAGTGCAACACAGAAAATAATGGTTTTGACATCCTCAAAGTAATGCATCCATTTTCTACGTTCATTCTTTTGACCACCAACATCCAAAAGTCTGAATCTAACCTGTTCAACGGTAAAGACTGTCTCTTTCATACCAGTAGTTCTTTGTCTGCACTTTAAAATATCTTCTTGTGTTGGAATATAACCATCGGCTGAGATTCTTTCAACTGAATCTAAACAACTAATTAAATGAAATGAAAATTGTGTGTTAATACATTTATATAGATATATATATTATGCTTGGGTTTTTTTCTTTTCTCTACATACTATTGAGCTACTTCCAATAAATTAAATTCGTTTCTCTTTTCATATAATTGTTGGATTCCAGCATCTTTCCAAATGGCAACAACAGACTTTACCATATGATCTTCTAATGGTAATTCATATGGATTGATATCTTTAAAGTATTCTATTTCTTTCTATAGATTGTTTAAATAAATAATAGATATAAAATAAATTAGTCAAATTTTGTTGTTTTGAAATGATAGCTTTCTCTTTTTTTTTGTTATACATACAACTAGTTCTGGAGCTACTTGAATATCATAATTTTCTAGGTTTCTTGCCAAAAGTTGAACACATTGCAAGACATTACTTTGCATAATATCACTATAGTTTTTGACTTCATCATTTGAGAAACCACGTGTATGAATATAACGCATTTGTTTTGCTATTGTTGATTTACCAGAATCACCAGCACCTGTATGTTTTTTGATATTTAATATTGGAAAAAAAAAAAAAAAGGTTAGGAAAAAGATGTCAATGTTGAAATCAAATGTTTACATACCTAAAAGCAATATTTTGATTTCTCTATCCATCGACTTTTTCTCATTGGCAAGATCCTTGTCAATGGCTAAACTTGACTTTGACATTATACTTCCTCCGCAACCCATTTTTCTAATAACTCTTTATAATAATAATAATAATAATAATTACAATTGAAATTTGTTCTAAATATATTTAATTTGTGTGTATCTAAAGATTTGAATAAAAATACTGTTAGTAAAAGAAAAATAAACGTCGACGATGAATGGATGGGAAGAGGAAAATGTAGGTACACAAAAATATTTGGTGGTTACCTTGGCCAAGGTGTTCTCGAGATTAAAAAAAATCGATAATGTGGAAGATCAACAACTGGTGGTTTTAAAAAAAAAACAAATGAAATGAAATGAAGTTGCAAGCTACTAATGATTATTTATAGGATGGTGATAGTGAAGAGATTAAAAAGTTGTGGATGGTAAAAACTATCGACTACCAACTACTTTCTTTTTCTTTTTTTTGTGGGGGGTGTTTTTTTTTTTTTGATTGCAAAGAAAATGGGTGTTAAAAGTAGTAGTCGTCGACTTGTGACTCGAGTTGTAGCTTTTTCTTCTTCTCACCTTTGCTAAAGATATTGAAATGATGATGCTGTTGATGATGAAAAAAGTAGTTTGTGTTTGCCGATTTTTTTATCGACCAGATTCTTTTGACTCGAAAAAAAAAAATCTTTGTGGTTATATGAATTAATTTGATTTTGGTAATATGGTATTAGAACAGTGGTGGTGCTGTGGGTCATTGTATATGGGTGCCTCCCACATACGAAATGCGGCCGGCACTTTAACAAAAAAAGTTAAAAAGGAAAATGTGCGTTGTGTGTTTGTCAAAAAAGTATACTTTGGGGCTTGCTTCATATTATTAGCTTTGATCTTTTGGGAACAACTGCAAACAATACCCCAGAGACTCTTGTTTGTAGGTTTATCAACTCCTCTTTTTCTCATAAACCCAAAACAACATGTCTATGAGAAAAATAATAAAATAAAAAAAAAAAAAAAAAAAAGTAAATCTATCGATTTGTTTATCTATCTATCTATCTTATCGCGATCGTGTTAAATTATAAGAAAGGAAGAATAATCGATGTGTTCTTCTTGTGTCAATTAAAAAATGATACCACAATGTTGTTGATGATGATAAATGATGATAAAGGTGGTGATGAAATAACTACTCTGTATGTTTGTTTGTCTATCTCTTTAGGAAATAATAAACAGTCTATTATTTTTTTTGTTTGAGGAGAAAATTGCCGAATGATCAAACAATGAGTCTAAAGAATGACACCAACCAAAACAAATCAAAGAGAAAATGTGTTGTCACTCTTTGCTAACCTCCTCTTTTGCCAACTTTCTCCAAAGTTGTCCTCCTTTGCGGTACCCAAGGACAATGGCCCTTGTTTTTTTTGGCTCAAAAGAAAACCGAAATATTGTTGTTTTTTCGTCGATCTTAACGAGCGTTTGCTAGATATTTTTTCAATGCTTTCATCCAATTTTCGAGCTCTAAAACCTTAAGGTTGTAGTAGATTCCAGAACGATAACGACCTACTATTAGGGTGGGGTGCACCGCGTATATTTTTCATGAGTCAAAATCAGATCCAACGATACTTTTGATCCAATGGAGAACATTTTCTTAATTTGGTGACATGACGAATAACTAATAATTAATAATTAATGCGTATTCAGGTGTGAATATTTAAGAATTCTTGTTCAAGTCTATGTAAAATATGGATTATATGATACTCAATTAAAAAGGAATAAAGCCATGTCAAGTAGGAGTAATCACTACTATAACAATAGTAGTAATTAAAATGTATAGGTTTAAAGGAAAAAATATTCTTTATTTGAATGAATACTCTTAATCGAAGAGACCCATACCCATATCGTCATCAGACTCTTCCTTCTTTTCTTCAACCTTCTTGGCAGCTGGCTTGGCAGCAGCGGCGGCGGCTGGAGCAGCAGCAGCTGGGGCAGCGGCAGCAGCTGGAGCAGCAGAACCAATCTTGGCCTTACCGGTGGCAATGAGGGCAGCGACGTCCTTGCCGGCGAGTTCCTTGACGACAGCATCAACACGAGCAGCGTCGACTTCAACACCAACAGAGGTCAAGACCTTGGTGACATCAGCAGCGGATGGGGAAGCATTACCTCCGAGAGTGCATAATAAGTAAGCTGAAATGTATTTCATTCTGTTGATGAGTGAGAGTGAGTGAAGAAATGGGTAGTAGAAGGAGAGAGTGGGTTAATAACTTATGATAAAAGAAGATAGTCAAGTTTTATAGACATACTTGATCGGTTTCTGGGTGGCCTAAGACTAGTGAGATAGTAAAGGAGTAGTAACTTTTTAACACACTCCAAGCAAGGGACGTTCACTCTGATTCATAGGCAACAGCGAAATTGTGAAAAAAAATCGAAAAATGAAAAATGATGGTGAGAAAGCAAGAAAAAAAAGCCCATTATTAGTTTTTGTATGACATGTTTAATAAACAACAATATATTTATAAATCATAGTAGTATAGATGAATGGAGAACCAAAATAAATTTCATTCTTCTTCTTCTTCTTCTAATTCTTCTAATTCTTCATATGTCAATAACCAAAATATTAATCATAATAGGATGATAAACAAAGATGCATCAGCTGCTGCTGTTGTTGGTTATATTAATAACCAAAGTTCTTCATCCCCATCTACAACTACAGCAACATCAATAACAACAAAAACAACAACAACAATATTAAAGAGTTCTGATATGAGTATGGGTATAGAAGATGGAGAAGAGGGAGAAGAGGATAAAGAGGATTCATATTCATCAGCTTCTACATTAGTTGATGACAATGATATAGCACCAACACAAGTTTTAGATGATGAGTTTTATAGTAATAATAATAATAGTAATAATAATAATAACAATTACAATATAATAGATGAAGATGATAGTATAGATGAAGATGGAGGAGATAAACATTTTAGACACTTGGTCAAACTAAAGTCTACTGTAATTGGTTATGAAATATCTTTCAATGAGCTATATGTTGAAAGGGAGATTGGAAAGGGCTTTTTTGGCAAGGTTTATAAAGCATCGTGGAAAGGAAGAAGTGTTGCTCTCAAAAAGATTACAATCACAAAGTTTCGTGATCGCTCAGAGGCAGAGATATTTGAAAAAGAGTTGGGTATAATCTCTAGACTTTGTCATCCTTGTTGTGTAATGTATATTGGAGCTTGTTCAGCAGATGTGGCCAACAAATGCATCATTATGGAGTATATGGCCGGTGGATCACTGAAAAAGTTGTTGGATGAAAGACCCCATGTCCTTACACCGTCTCTCCAATTGTCGATTGCAAGAAATATTGCAAAAGGAATGAACTATTTGCACACTGCATTTGATTCTCCTATCGTACATAGAGATCTCACATCGTCAAACGTACTTTTGGACGGAGACTATTCCATGGCCAAGATCAACGACTTTGGGCTATCCCGAGAAATAAAGGCAGGTGTCACAGCGGCAGAGATGACGGCAGCTATGGGTTCCTTGGCATGGATGGCACCCGAAAGTTTCAAGGGTGAGCGATACTCGGAAAAGGTGGACATTTACTCGTATGGCGTTATTCTATGGGAGATTATCACCCAAAAGGATCCATATTGTGGTATGGAGCCACTTAAAATGGCTTTTCTAGCGGCAATGGAAGACTATCGACCGCCTCTGCTTCATGTTCCCGCTCAGTGGCAGGCTCTCATTACAAGGTGTTGGAGCCCAAAACCAGACCAAAGACCATCGTTTGGTGAAATTCTTCAAATAATCGACAACATAGAATCGAGTCATACATTTAATGGTTATTTAAAACAAGAAGGAAACTTTTTTAATCTTTCAAGTGAAGGTGGAAAGAAAAAAACAGCTCTATCAAATATAATGTCAAGGTCATCAAGTGATGTAAAGCAGCAGCAACAACAACAACAACAACAACAACAACAACAACAACAACAACAACAACAAGGTGGTGGATATTACGCATCACAGAGCTTTTCTGGATCCATGGATTATGAAACTACACCAACAAGATTAACAAAAAGCTCATCATCAAAATTAAATCAAACGGCACCCAACAAGAATCAACAAATATTTAGTCATATCCTTCCAGGAGGAAAAGGAGCACAAAACATTGTATCATTGAATCTTTATGATTCATCAACTCTACTGGCATCACTGTCAAAGGAGATCTATGTTTTGGATATAAATAATGAAAATCATTACCAAACACTATCATTAAAGCATAACAATAACAACAATCAAACCATAAACACAGTTTCAACAACTACCATAAACAACAAATCATTTTTAGTTTCGTCATCATCTTCTCTGGGTGGACAAGGCAAACTTTCTGTTTGGGAGTTTAATGATAGAGACAAAGGCATCAACATTTTACCAGCAAAAACAATTGATTGTGGTGATTCAATGGTTACATCGTTGTCATGGAATGGCCAAAATATTATTACAATCTCTAAAAACGACAGATTCATCAAAATATGGGATTTAGAGAGAGGAGAGGTTATTTCAAATGTCGATGGCCTTTCAAATCAACTTTGTTTGGATTCCACTCATGACCACTCTTTGATAGCGACTGGTGCAATGGATCAGAAAATTAGATTGGTGGATATTAGATCAAGTCATTGTTTTCGTTCTTTTAGTTGTTCTAGCCCTATCAATTCGATTCGACTACGTTCCACTTCATCCGATCCAATTTTAATTGTATGTTGTCAAAAATTGATCAAAACAATTTATTACAATTATATTTTTATTATTTATTTATTATTTTACGTTATTTATATAGAGTGGATCAAAGGTTGTAAATACATGGAATATGTACACAAGTCATTGCCAAAGTAGTTTTCAAGTTCATGGGGAAAATGAATGTGTTGGTATTCATAGCAATCGAAATTGTAAGCAAGTAGTTACCCATTCCTCCAGTTCAATTGCACAATTTAGATATGATAGTTACGACCAAGATTCAATACAACTTTACCAAGTCCACAATTTCAGCAATGACCAAGATGATCATTCTTTAGGAAACAAAAAGGTAACAAATGCACAAATTATTTCACCAACAAAAATAGTTTATTCTAGTGATGATAAATTATATATTGTTTAAAAACTATAGATAGGAATAAAAAAAAAGATTGTTTTTTTTAGTAGATTAAAAATTTTTTTTTTCTTATTTATTTTTTGTTGATTTCGAATTGCTAGAACCTTTTGATCTAACAATGGCGATTGTAAAAACAACTACCAAGGAGCCAATGATAGTAAACAATAATGTATAGAACCCAATACTGCTTCTAACGTCCAATTGTCCGACAGGAACTTCAATGTCAATGTTGGAATGGACAGATGATTGTTGTTGTTGAACAAGAGTCCATTTGTCTTGGTTGTTGCATTGTACAAACAAGAGTGGAGAAGATATTTTGGCAATTCTAAAGGGTGCTCTGCTTGGGTTTTGATATCGAAGATGAATAGGAAGTGTAACATTGACAATGGTGGCGGCGGTGGTGGTTGAAGGGTTGAATAGAGTGATTGAGGAGATGTAATTTTGAGTTGATGTATAGGATGGTTTCTCGAGGTCAATGAGTTGATAAATACGAACATCCGATCCTCCAAATCTATGGATTTCGTCAACCTCGTACTGGTCAACGAAAATTCCTTCATCAAAATGTTCGAGCAACAATAGTTTACATTGTTGTTGCTGGTTATTTGGAGTGTTTATCATTAGGCTGCTAAACAAGTCCCTGTGAAATCCTTGCTTTTTAATAGATCTTTCTAAAAAGGTGGCACTCGAATGTTTTGTTGTGTTTTCTTTTGCTTTAATGACCGTCGTTGTACTAGATGCAACGCTATTTGAAATGGGATATAGTTGGCTTACATATTCACCATTTTTAGCATTGATTACAGCTGCCGTTGTTTGAACGGAAATTGGTTTCTTGTTGTTTGTGGTCATTAATAATCTTTCTTCTTTGATGGTGATTTCCAACAATTCTGTAAACTTGATCTTGAGTCTATTATTTCCACTTCTTTCAATGACCACTTGAGTTCCCAAAATATTTGCACCAGCTCTTTGGTTTTTTGATACTCTGATGCTTGGGAATGGAAGCTTGCCAGCGTTGACAAATTGATCCATTTCACCCGAGCTGGTTGATGAAAGAAATTCAAACCAACCACCAAGTTTAAAGTCTTTGGACTGTACGATTGATTGAAGGAAACGTACCTTTTCTGCAGTCTTGAAGGTTTGATCATTGTCAAATTGGGCATTGACAAAGTTGGGAGGAATGATATTGCTGGGCATAAGCCCCATGTTGACAAGACTTGGGAGCAATGATCTTTGATCAAGTGGTTGAAGATCCAACCCGACAACTGGCTTTAGAATGTTACAGAGAGCAACACTAATATTAAAGGAAAGTTGTTTGACTGTCGAGTAGGACTCCATCTTTACATTATCTGATCCTTTATCATAGGATACGACAATTGTCAATGTTGGCAACATTGTCGATGGGAATAGTTGTTCATCATCTTTATCATTTTGTTCTGATAGTGGCAACAACGGTCCATTTTTGTTGGTGTTTTGGTTCAAATGGATCTTGATAGACTTTATCTCTGGTTCGATGGTATCAATATGAAGTAGATCATCGATACTATCTATCGTATATGTATGTAATGAGTAGAATATCTGAGAGGAGGAGGAGGAGGATGAGGAAGGCGTAGAGGATACTGCAAATGAATTTGTTGTGATATCTTTTATAGACAGTGATGATGATGGTGGTTGTTGGAAGAACAGGAAGTGATCTTTGGTTAAATCTTTACTGTTATCCAAAGTTGTGGAATGAGATGGTGAGGAAGAGGATATGATTATGAATCCATTGATTGTTAGCAACAACAACAAAAGAGTTATAAAGTTATATTTTATCATCATTTTGGTTGGTTTAAACTATGAGAAATTTAAGGGCTGACACATCAAACGATGATCTTCATTCATCAAAAAAATATAAAATTAAAATTAAATTAATTTTGAAAGACTCTGAATCATTTAATTCATTTTTCATCATTCATAATTATTATTCACAAATTGTTGTTATAAATAAATAAATAAATAATGTCATCAGGTACGTAAAGTTGTAAAGATGTTAATATTTCTAAAAATTTACAAAACTTTTAAAAAAAATAGGAAAAAGATTAGGATTTAAATTCAATCAAAGAAACGTCAAAGACAGAACTAGATTCAGTGGAGAGACAGATCAATCACCCATTTCGTTTAGTGATGACAATGAGACCATTACAAGAGTAGAGAGATCTATAGGTGACGATTTCCCCAGTGTCAGAGTTGTTGGTGACACTGCCATACCATGTTCTACTTTGCAGTTACAAAAAGAGACAACTTGTGGATGTAGTTGTTGGTGGGACTTTAAAATTCAAAAGAATCATGGCTTTATAGAGATTGGCATCATTGGTACATCTGCTACTGGCGATAGAGTATATTTTCTAAAACCAACAAAGAAAGAGGTACAATATGAAGAGAATGGAGACTATAAAACTCAACCATATGGAGATGATATTTTCGAGGAGGGAGATAACATTCGAGTCATTTTCAAAGTATCATCCAACAGTGCTGGTGGCTCTTTATCATTTGAAAAGAATGGCAAATCTTTTGGCACTGCATTTGGTGAGATTCCCTTGATAGATGGCCACCCATTTTATCCAATGGTTGGATTAAATGATCAAGGTGATTCAATCTCAATCGTCTAATATAAATAAAAAAAAAAGATTAATGATATTTTATTACAATCTCCGCTATCTCTCTCTCATAGATTATTATTATTATTTTGAATTGTCGTAGAGGTTGTCGAGGTGGTAGAGGTAGATGGTTGAATTGGTTGGTTATGATTATTATAAGTAGTTGTTGTTGATTCAAGTTGGGAACCATTTTTAAAATCCATAAACAATTTTTTAATATCTTCAATCGACAGTTTAAAGGTAATGATTTGACGGGTGGGATCATATTTCTGATCAAGGATAGCTTTGGTCATTGATTCCTTGGCTCTTTGAAGCTCCAATACACGTTCTTCAATGGATGCCTGGATGACATATTTCTTTACATAGACATGTTTAAGCTGTCCGATACGATGAACACGATCGATTGCCTGATCTTCGGCACTACTATTCCACCAAGGATCGAGAACAATTACATGATTTGCTCTGGTAAGATTAAGACCAACACCACCTGCCTTTAGAGAGATTAAAAGGATTCTTGGTTCGCCGTTGGTAGTTTGAAAAGTTTCTACAGCCGCTCTCTTTGCATTTGGAGTCATTGTACCATCATATCGCAAATAATGTTCTGTGGGCATTATATTCTTTTCTATCAACAACATCTCTACCCTATTAAGCATCGATGTCCATTGTGAAAAGATGACAATTTTGGCGTCACGATCGTTTCTCTTGGCTTCGTTGATGTCGTCTAGCATTCTAGTCAACTTTGCACTATTTTTGTCATCGATAAATTCTGATCCGGCAGCAATACGAGAGGCTTCTGAATCGCGATGAGCTGATTTTGGTAGAGTGCGAATCACTTTTGCTGCTTTGATGTTGATCTCTTTATCGATTCTGATATCATAGTCTGATGCCAACTTTTTGTCCAAAATGATCTGGGTGTCGCATTCGGGGCACTTTACTTTGGGGAAATGCTGAGTTATTGATTGGTCTCTAAAAGTTTCCAAAACGCATGCCATACAATATTTATGGTTACAAATGCCTTGAATGAATGGTGAGATGAGAATATCTCCACACATTGAGCAAAATTCGGTGGTTACTTCTTCTTCTTGACTGGTTCGAACAATAAGAGATGTATGATCACATACTTGTCGGAGTCTTAGAATGAGTGAGAGAATATAACCATAGTTTAACATTTGTAATCCCCTTCTAAAGAGATCATCCAAAATTGCAGAAGATTCTGAGAAGAGTTGGTCATAGATTAAGGATTCCTTGCGGTGGAATTTTAAAACTACCGTTTCTATAGTTTTTGATGGGAGATTCAAAGTTGGGATGTTTTGTTTGGTTCGACGAAGAAGAATTGGTTTAAGAGTTGTTCTGAGACGAGGGATTCCATTGGCTTTGTCCTTGTCTACATATTGTCTCCATGTAAATAGTGACGATGCGATAGGATAAACGTGAAGAAAATGGAGGAATGGGAACATTTCGTCAACATAGTTTTGTACAGGTGTGCCAGAGAGACACCACTTATTGATTGATTCGATATTTTGTAGTGCGTCAAAGAGAAGTGAAGTCTTTTTCATTACTTGAGCTTCATCAACAATGATTCTCCACCATAGCATCTGATGTAGAGGCGAATCTGTTCGTTGGCCTTTTATAAAATCTTTAAACTCTTTGCCAAAGGTAATATGGGTTGTGATAACAACATCATAGTAGGAAAATGGAAGTGTGTTTCTGTTTCTCTTGTTTCCATGATAACCATATATCTCAAAAGGAGGTTTTATGAATCTTTTCAACTCTGCCTCCCATTGAAAGACCAACGCTGCAGGACAAATGATCAACGTTGTCTTTGGCATACTATTTGTTGCCAGTGGCGATGTTTTTTTATACTCTGCTAATATTTCTCGATGTTGACTGTTTCTATTAAGTACTGGGTGATTTGATAAAATCAAATTTAAACTCTAAAAATAATTTTAAAAGTTAAATTATTAATATAAATATAAAAATTTTAATTATAAAGTTACTTACCATTACAGTCTTTCCTAAACCCATATCATCACATAATAGTCCACCTGTAACTTTGTTTTCAGTCTTTGGAGCAAATCTACTGACCCTAAGAAGAAGAGGAAAAAAAAAATGGTGTGAGAAAAATAATATAACTATTGACTGGTTTTTGATTTTCTATGATTTCTATTACTTGTCACAATAGTTATTATAATAAATTATAGTATTATCGTCACATTTATATATTTTCCAATATAATCTAACCAAGTCGTTATAACTAACTGATGGATTTCTTTCACGATTAAGCATCCACCATAAACCCTTGCTTTGATGTTCTTGGAGTATTCCATCGAATCTTTTATCAGGTGCTTCTTGGGAGAGATTTGTATTATTAAAATCAGTATCAGAAAGACTTTCTTCTTGATCGGCACGAATGAGTTCTCGTGAGGGAAGATCATCGCCAGATCCTTTGACGACATTGAGAAACTTTTCCAATACATTGATTCTTTGTGTAGTTGTGTAGAGATTTTCTTCTTGGCCCGAGGGCTGGATTTTGTCCAATGGTTGAACAATTTCGGCATAGTGACTTAGGTAGAACTGAACGTCAACTGTAGCATTTGATTCGGTAGGTTGATGGACAACTGTCTTTACTACTCCCAACATTCTAATAAATCGATTTCGAAGAAGAGGAATGACAGCTTGGTGAAGATTTGGAGATATTTTGAGCGTTCCCACTATACTTTTAGTGACACGTGATCGTGCAATTAAAGTGTCTGCAGGTTTACCAGTTTCATCTCCAATACGAGTTCTTGTAAAATAAACTTGTAGTTTATCTGTCAAATGAGCCTTCTCGTCGCCCGTAGCAGATATGGTACCTCCTTGTGATGTTGTTAGATGCTTTATCCAAAGACGTTCATGTCCTTGTCGATGACCATCGGCCAAGCCCTCGTCATTTAAATGCATAACGTTGCCAGTACCAATAGAGTTGTAGTCGATTCTAGTCCACCAATGGTTCTCGTCTCTCTTGTCGATTTCATCTGGTAGCTCGGTTGGTCTCTCTTTTTTTGTTTTGTTTGTCGAATATAAATCTTGCATGAGATTCAATCTGTCTTGGCTAGTTGCATAGTCAGTTTGTACTCCACCAACACTGGACGATAGTATTGGTGAATTTGAGGTTCTAATATTTGATGTTGACCCATTTGTTGCAATCTTTTTGGCAATAAAGTCTTTACATGCTTTTACCGCTCCCTCAATATCACCATCATGTTGATATTGATCCAATAGGTTTTCCATTTTCCAATAAGGCATCATATCACTGTCTTCTTTACCAAGTCTATTTCTAACCATTTCTTCCATTTTTTCTTTACTCATTTGATTATTATTATTATTATTATAACGATTAGCTCTATTCGTGGTATTATTATTATCTATATTATTATTATCTTTGTTATTATTATTATTAAAATCTGGTTGACTAGAGGTTAGATCAATTGATGCTCTAAAATTGAAGCCATTATTTGATTTGGTCGGAGAAGTGGAATGATTTAATGATGAGCTAGAAGATTGAAGTCTTCTTGCGATTCTAGTTTTTGCGTCCTCTTGGTCATTGTTTGTGTTGTTTTCATCGTAATATGTATCCAATTGGTTAACTGTTTCTTGACTCTTTAGGTGTTCAATGTCTTGACTCGTCGATGACGTATTAAAGTCATTACTTTCTTCTAGTTTTTCTGTTTTCATTTTCCTTAATCGATGCAGGGGTTGGAGGTCTTCTTCTTCCTCTACTTCTTCTTCTTCTTGGTGTTGTCTTTTGTTGTTGATATTTGATTCGGGCGATGATAGTAATTTGTTTAGATCACTCGAAGTTTTCTTGAGTTGGCTAATAGATTGATATTTACTATCGTCGTCAGATATCTCATAGTCATCTTCATCGTCACTCGAGTCAATATCAATAGAAAATGATTCCTTTTTAATTCCATTTCCCAACAACAACGACGACGACGAGTTTTGATCCAGGTCGATAGTTGTAGTAGTGGTGGTCGTTGTAGTGGAGGTGGTGGTGGTTGGAGGCGTTGTTGAGACAATGATCGGAGATGTCTTGAAAGAGCCTTTTAACTTTAATTTTAATTCTTTTTTTATAAGAGGAGGGGAAGAAGAAGAAGGAGGAGGAGGAGGGAATACAGTTGAGCTTTCTTGGTTGTCATCGACTAGAATGATGTTTTCGGTTACAGAAGGTTCTTTATCTATTGTAGATTGGTCGATTGGTATGGGTATTATTTCGTTATTAATATCTATTGGTGTTGTTGTACTAATAGAAGTAGAGGTAGCTGCAGTAGCATCACAATCTATTTCCATTTTAATTGGTGTTGTATTTGTTGTTGTTGTTGTAGTTGTTTGTGATGAATTAGAATCTTTAAGAGTGGTACTCTTTCTTCTTCTTGTAAAAGGTATAAACTCTGCTTTGATGGGATTTAGTGGAAGAGAGGAAGGTGAGATGATATCATCAACTTTGGTGTGAGTAGAAGCAGTAGAAGGAGGGGTGAATATTTTTTCATCATCAACTATCGTAGTTGGCATTGCTTTGAGCTTTGTCTTTATAGATAATTTTTTAACCATCTGTTATTAGTATTTGTTGTTGTTGTTGTTGTTAAAGATAAGAGTACTTTAAATAAATGTCTCTAACTATTAAAACACGATTTTCTAATAAAAATTTTTATGGCATAAATCAAAGGGGATGGACGATAACGAATCATTATTCAAAATACGCACAATAATAGATCAACCAATCTATTATAGAGAAACATGTTCAAATATGCAACAACAAGATTAACTACAACTGCTGTATTGTCAGTATCTTCAAAGATAGCATCATCATCATCAAAATCGATAAGCTTTAGCACCATCAAGAGCGGCTGCTCTATATCATCATCATCATCGACAACAACATCACCATTATTATCATCATCATCATCGTCACCACTATTGAGCAGCAGCAGCAGTACCAATACAAGTTCAATCAGTAGTAGTAGTGGTGCATCGAGAGGGTATGATTAAAACATGAGAGAGTAGAAATAACCCATTACTTATGATCGACATTTTACCTTTTAGATTGATTTTAAATAGCAATGGTATAGGAAAGTTTTTAACAGGTTTAAACATTTTTTGTTTCGGTAAGAAAGAAATCTCTATAGCACATGCCCCTTTGTCTTTGGTTGATACTTATACCTTTCTTTCTTTCTTTTTATATATCTAGATGATGGCAGCTAATGTTGGTTTTGGCAAATTTAATAATAATATTAATAATAAATTGGATTATATATATATAAGGCTTGAAAATATTTTGGTTTATTGTTACAGAAAACAGGAAAGAAGAAGAAAAACTTTACAAGACATTAATCGATCAAAAAAGGGTGTGAAAACTCTATATATAACAAAAAGGTCAATAAGTTTAAATATTAAATAATATTTGAATATTTGGTCCATACCTTGGAAATGTTGGCTATTCTTACGGAAGCACTTGTCAGCATACTTGCATGGTGGTTTGGATGGAGTAGTTGAGGCGCCACTTGTAGAGGAGGAAGATGAGGAGGAGGAGGCCTGATTTCCATCATCCGTTAGAGGGATCGCTTTAATTTCGACCTTTTGTGTGACTTGTTTAAACAAACTGAATTGATAATCTGCAACATTCATGGTCTTGAGAGAAATGACAGATTCATACAACCACTTTTCGCTAACGACAGGTATATTGCTTCCTTCAGCAGTAATTACCTTTCCACTCTTGTTTTGATAGTCATTGGATGTTGTGACAACATGAGTAACACCTGCAACAACCGAGTTGCTGTATGAGCCTCCATGTTTGGTGATCATTGAGTGTATGGTTGCATGATTACAGGAAAGAGTACCCGAGAGACAAATCTTTACTCCAACCAAACAATTGCTTGACAATTGTCCAATAGCTGAGCTTCCCAGACTGTGAAAATCATCATCATCATTATTTCCTCCTCCTGTTCCGTCAGTATAATGAACAATATAAAGTGGCAATATTTGATCAGGGTGAAAGATCACCAATTCTTTTTCATCGGGAGATAAATGTGAAGTATAACCAGTTGCACAGGGCTGTCCAGTAATCAAGCCTGGACATCTGTATGACTTGCCCAAAATAACTTTGCACAATAATAATTTTGTGCAATCTGAAATATAACCTATACTGTATTCTGGATACTCTGAGAAATAGATGCCCTTACCAAACCATCCACTTTAAAGATAATAAAAAGATAATAATTAAAAAGGGACCAAAGGTTAGTAACAGCTGGATGATATAGATGTTGGTGAATTTTAAAAAACAATAGTTTACCTATCAGTTGCTAAGATAAAAATTAGAAAAAGGACTTATAGTTAGTAACTGAATGACGATTACAGAAGAGATGATATATGTATATAATTTTCATACCATGGCCTACTCCGTTTGTTCCAGGTACACTAAAATTGTTTTTGCAGATGGGGATCAAATTCTTCTCTGAAGTGCCATGGAATCCAAACACAGGTGAGCACTGAGGATACCCTGCGGCCTCAAATTCTTCCCTTTTCTTGTTAAATTTCCTCACAAGTGTTGGGTTTACGATATATTCCACCTTTGTGACTTTATAGGAGGCTGAGGAACCTGATTCGATCAATCTGTAGAATTGGCTCTCACCGATACGAAGATGAAGGTCTGCTGCCGTTTGGTCAAAGTGTCTTGTGGGCTTTAGTATATATTTCATGGCCACGTCTCCGTTTAAAATATCCTCTTCTCCTGGAAGATATATAGCATCATCATTTTTCTTTTGCTTTTTAATAGTTTGTTGGGTTTTGTCATCGTTGTTGGTTTGTTGTTGTTGTTGTTGTTGTTGTTGTTGTTGTTGAAGCAAAGTAGCGATTAATAATTTCTTTTCATCCTCTGACATTTGAGAGTATGATTTTTTGAGTGCGCTAACGGGCCCATTATCTCTTTTAATCTTTACACTTGTGCCACCTTCCTTGGTCATTGTTGTAAACTTTATCTTTTCACCCGAGGCAGTAGATACAACGGTAGCTCTACCATTTTTGATAAAATAGTTAAACTTTGATTCTATTTCACTGCTTTCCTTGAACAACTCCCAAGTACCAGCAGCCGAGTTTTCATAGTACCACGATGGAGAGATTAGAACAGTGACATCAACCAAAGATCTAGACACTCGACGCTTCTTGGTGTCATCGTCGAATCTGATTTGTTCCATGGTAGTGAAACTGATGAATCTTTCAGTATCCAAAGATATCTTTGATAGATTCTTTTTATGTGCAGCTTCTATCTTTTTGCAAAGATCAACATCAAAGGCGTCATATTGACCTCTACTCTTTTCCCAAGACCATACAGCAATGTTCTCTGTTCTCTTTACGATATGAATCTTTGATTGATCACCAGTGTGAGCTTGATTATCTCCAAACTTGATATAGAGTTGATCGTCGATCTTTATAAAGTCAGATGATTTGGGGTTAAGTTGAAAAAGTTGTTCAATAGCTTCACATTTACCATTATCGTAGAGATCCCATTCTGTTTCTGTTTTCTTTGAATACCATAATACTTGTGTATCATCTATTGTTGATACTCCAGTAGTTGTAGTGGTGGTAGTGGTAGTGGTGGTGGTGGTTGGAGTAGTTAAAGTAGAAGTACAAGTTGTTGATGTTGTTGATGTTGTTGTAGCTGGTGTACTAGGTGGTGGTGGAACAGTTGATGATATGATAGCTGTTGAGGCAACACTATCTTCTTGAAGAACCAAAGCTTTTCTTTTTGGTGGCATTATAAGTATGTATAACTATAATTAAATAATATTTACAAAAAAGACTACATTGGGAGGGGATTTTTTTTTTTCTCAGTATGGGGGAAAACTTTTTTTTTTCTGGGAATTTTTATTTTTTATTATCTTTTTGATTGAATGAAAACAAAAGATAATAGCAATACGATGATAAAAGTAAATACAAGCGATGAAAATTGGAATAGACTGTCAATTTCTGGTTTTAGGTCATTGTTTAAGAAATTATCAATAATCTTTTCACGAAGTCTCTTGGATTCAATCTTTGTTTTGATTTTTCTTTCTGCCTCTTCTCTGCACTCTTGGATGAATGAATATTTGAACCAATATGATGACAATCTTGATTTCATAACTCTCTTTACTGAATTTAAATAGTCCATCACTATTAATTTCATTTGTTCAATATTTTCATTGATCTTTGATTCTATTTGTTTGTCAATAATATCCTATAAATATAAAAGTAAATATAATATTATTGATTATTATAAATATATATAAATATATATATATATATATATGGCGATTTTCAAAGGTCATTCATAGCTATTCTCATTTACATACTGATAAAAATTGTAATTCCTCTTTAAAAGAAGGTGATGATTTGAACAAATCCAATGAAGACTTGAACAAATTCAAAGACTTTAATTTTAGATCCTTTGTTCTCTCTTCTAGATATTCATCTTCAACTGGAAGAAGAATTTGACTTGTTTGTCTCTTGAAATCCAATAATATTCTTGATGACTCTGATCTTACCCTCTCTGCTATTTTTTCTTCATTAAATTGTTTAAAATATTCGAGGTTTTGGTGAATCGATTTCTCTAAATTTGCTATAAACGCTTCATAATAACTTTCATCTTTTGCCTATTTTAGAAAATAATTAATTGTTGATTAATAACGATCGATCGTATCTCAATGATGATAGAGACGAAAGACTTACTAAAAAGGTTGAAGATTTAAAATTCTCAAATGCCGTATCCTTTGATTTCAAGTGAAAACTATCCAGCTCCAAAAAAGAGCAAGGGTAATTGCTAAAACTAAGAAAAAAAAAGACCTTTAGGTTAATAATTACTGATGTAATGTATTTTTTCGCATTGACTTGCAATATATATATTACCTTTTCATGATAACTTTATATCTATCGACAGAACTAATTACAGAACTTGTGAGAAGTGATTCTATTTCATTTTTGTTTTGAAGTTGTTTAAGAGATGATGCCCTCTCCAAATCATTCTAAAAAAAAAAGGTATTGCAATTTAGTATCATAATCATATTACAAGATTACATTTCGGCATACCTTTAAATTTGTCAATGACAATGATTGAGATTTGGATTGTGAATAATCGATTGTTTTTGAAACATAGTCATTTAAAGACTTTGATTGATAGTTGTCAATAGTTTGTATTAAAATTTGGCTTCCAACTGGCGTACGAATGGAATTTAAGTGGTCTTGGAATAGTTCATATAAATCTCTATGTGTTTCTTGACAATAACTAGAAATTCTATCATTATTAATCTTGTGATAATGATTCTTTAATTCTTTTAATTGGTTCTATATTCATTAAAAAAAAAAAAGAAATGAGAGTTTTTTTTTTTTTTTTTTTTTTTTTTTTTCTTCCATACATGTAATTTTATCAAACCTGGTGAAAATGCCTCTGGAAGACCAAATAACAATTGTTTATAAAGATTTAGACTATAGTCATAAGTAGATTGTTCTAAAATACCATATTGTTGGTCATTTAAAGGAGAATGATTTGAATCTTGGACAATTGCCATTTTAGATTTAAATGTGGTTATTGTGTCATCTAGTGCTAGTTGTTGTTGTTGTTTGATGAAACCAATCCAAACCGAAGGAACTGCTGGAAAACTATGACTGTTTGCTATATCGACGAGTAGTTTAATGAGACTACTTATTGCTGGTCCAGTAAGTGTTGGCTTGAGTGAAGAAAATATATCTTGTTTTAATTGTTCCATCTCTGTCTTGTAAATTGGATTGAGATCTTGGTGTGAAGCTTTGTCTAAATGTCTAAGTATACTTCTATCACCTGATGGCAAAAATAGTGTATGACAATTGATTGAAGGAAATATCTTTGAAAGTGATAGATTTGCATCTGGTTGGTCCCTAGAATGTGCTCCAAGTAATTGATACAACCATTCGGTTGCTGTTATATCACCAATATCTTGAAAGAAATCTTGTACTACCCACTAATAATGACGGATCAATCAATCAATCAATTGGATTAGAGAGGAGAAGAAAAAAAAAGAAAAGAATATTTAATATTTAAACTTACAGTTAAAGAGGGAAAACCTAATATTCTTGTCAATGGAGAATCATTTTTAAGTTGAGATTTTAAAGCAAATAATTGAGTTCTTCTTGATAGTAACCTATAAATCATATGATCGGAATGATTAGAGAGGAACAAAAAAAGTACAAATCGCGATAATGATTCTACATCATACATACTCTAAATACTCTAATGCAGATTGATCAATTATTTTAACAGAATTATAGATAAGATGAGAAGATAGTAGAGTAGTTATTGCAAATATCTTTGCATCATAACTCTCACTAACATTGTTTGAGTAGAATCCCTCAGTATCCAACAAAACAAGGTTATGAGTTTTGTGATTAATCTGAATAGGAGCAGCCCATAACCATATACCCATAGTCTGTGGATAAACTGTATGTCCTACTGTAAACCTATTGGTACTGTTTACCAATTGACTCAGTAGAAACGATTTACCAGAGTGAAAGTTGCCTACAACCCCCAAGATGGATTGATCATTTTGAAGTGAATTCAACAAAGATAGACTAGTATAATTGATTAATAATCTCTCATGATCTTTGTCGGGATATATCAATTGTACTGGTTCAAGAAGAATCGTTTCAAAAGTAGTAGAAGAGGATGGAGAGGAGCTGGTTGCTGCTGGTTGAACCAATAATAATAATAGTTGAGAGATAAAGAAGATTAGATATAATAAAAGATATCTAGCGGTAGAAGATGTTGTTTTTTTTGCTGTAGGCGAGGCGTTAATATCAACTATAGACATTATCGTATATAAATATATATATATATATCTCTATTGAAAATTTTTGAAAAAAAGGTGTTTCTTCTTGATCAAGTTTGTTGGTGCAGACATTTAAATTTTTATAATAACAACAAATAATTAGAATTAATAATAATAACAATAATAATAATGGATGCAATAGTTACAAAGATGGAGGAGACTCTTGAAAGAAAAAAGTCAATAGTTTATATAGTTGAAAAGAGAACCAATGCAATCGATTACATAAGAAGAATTCATGAGTCGGCCTACTATCAACAAAACTCTAAATCACCTCTACATTGGATGAATGTAGCAAACATTCAAAAGATTGATTTTGAAAAGAGTATAGATATACAAAAGAGGTAGGTAGAAACTATGATCATAATTATCGCCGGCCTTTCTCTCTCTCTCTCTCTCAATTATTAACATTGCCCAACCAACCCAATCTTCTCTTGTCCTCTTCTCCACCCCCCCTCCTCCTCCTTTTCAACTACTATTAGATTGATAGGATGGTTTAGTTTAGGTTTAAGTTTAGCACCACTACTATCAACAGATAAAGGACCAGCATTTGTTAGAGCATTGGTACAACTCATGGAAGAATATGACTATCAGTTTGAACTTGGAAGTGCAATGCAAGGAGTTAAAGTATTGTTGGCAAAGAAACAACAATCACATACAGTGGTCAGTGAGAATGAACACATCAAGAGTAAGATTGTAAAGACAGGTAACGCTGTCATTTATGAATTCCTCAAAGTGTTCAACATATCAATTGCCAAGGATCTAGATTACTTTCACGTTGTCTTTAGTCTATTGGAGATACTAGAGCAAATCTATAAAAAGTTTGACAAGGAGACATGCTCTAGTAAATATGTATACGATGCCATTCTAAAGATTGACTCGAGACTAAAACATCAAATATTTGGCTTCCTTTCCAAAGAGATTGACAAGATGGCATCACAAATTATTCGCGAACAATTAGAGTTTATAAATCTTTGTACAACCTCTAAAGATCCTCGTGATATGTCTCAACAATCAAAACTATCATCCTCATCTTCTTCATCATCATCTACAACCACCCCTGTTGCTACTCAAACCACTGCGACCCTTTCCTCTTCCTCTTCCTCTTCATCTGCTGTTGCCTTATCAAACTCATCATCATATAATCAAAATAATAATGCTCCTAGTTTTAGTAGTACAAGTGATAAAAGTATTGGTTCTTCTGATTAGATGATAATAATAATTAATAATAATAATAATAATTAATAACAATATTATAGAGTCTCATTACAACAATGGATAAAATATCACCCCCTTGTAATAATAATTAATTAATCAACAATAATAATAATAGTACATACCGTTATTGTAATTGTAAAAATAAAGGTCCCTTTGTGTAAATATATATATATTTTATTTTTATTGTTGTTGTTGTTGTTGTTGAAAAATGTATAATGCAAATATTTTTGGATGATGATGATAGATTTACAATAGGTATGCTCATTCATTGATTATACATGGTTGATAAAAAAAAAAAAAAAAAAGATCAATGCGAGTAGGATCATTGATCTAAATTATTGACAAATCTTGGAACTGTTCTTACGCTTTCCATTAATTCTTCGTTTGTATAAATAGGTCTATCGAATTCGAGCCAACCAGGTGCACTGTATTCTGGTTTCCAAGGACAAACGCTTCTTAGGAATTTAAAGTATGGGAATATTTCTCCTGTCCTGTGTTTCATCAAAAATAATCAAAAATTGTTTGTATCAGACATTAAATGTTCATTTTACAAAATTATATATAATTTAAAAAAAAAAGTACATACTTTGGATGAACTCTAGTGTACCATAAAATGCTTGTATTATGTATTTGATCTCTTGGATCTTTTGAAGATTGTAACTGATGGAATCTAATTTGACTCAATCTTTCCAGTCTAACTCTAAATGCCCACATAACTAGTATTTTAAAAATAAAACAACACCAACAACAACAACAATAGATTAATAGGAATGAAAGGACATCTCTTCTTGTTCTTCTTCTTTTTACATACTTTCTCCATGACAAACGATTACAACTCTTTTGTTTGCACATTCTCTACGTAGTGTTGTAAAAGTGTGTTCCACCCTTGAACAAATGCTAGCTATACTTTCTCCTCCTGGTGGTGCCCAGAAAAAACTAAAAAAAGAAATAAAATAAATAAATGTGAATATATAAATAGTTGTCATTTTTAAACTATTCTTTTAATATATTTACCTATCCCTTTTTCTTAACTCCATTTCAATACCAAACTTTTCATTCTTTTCAGTCCAAGATATGTTATCCATTTTACCCTTGTCACGTTCACGTAGTTGAATTTCCGTTAGCCATTGTGCCTCTTGAAGACCCAACAAACTTGCAGTTTCCATAGCACGAACATACTCTGATGTATAGTATCGATCAAAAACCTCTGCAACATTCTCTCTCACCCAACGACCAGCAATTTTTGCTTGAAGGATTCCCTTGTCAGTTAATCTATAGGTTGAAGAATGTTTCTTTTTAAACTCGGGAGTGTATGCAGAAAGGTCACCACGTTTTGATCTTGATTGTGCCTCGTTACCTTCACTCTGTCCATGTCTAACCAATACCAACTCGAATGGCCAGTCAAATGGTGGTTGAGCCGATGATTTGAGAGTCTCTGCACCTATTTGAATATTTCGGAGTACTTCTCTACCCAAACGTTGTTCGAGCAGTTCGTAAATCTTGCCCTCCTTTCTCATGGTTCTCTTTTTCTTTCGGATACGTTGACTACTGATATCTGCTTCATTGCCACTGATATCACTTCCACTCTCGGCAATCACTCTTCTACCACTAAAATACTCACTGTCACTCTCAATCTCTTGTTGTTGTTGTTGTAGTTGTGATGCTGTCATCACAACGGCGCCTGTTCCGGTCGACAAGGAAGATGGCGATGAATGAAGTGGTGGAGGAAAAGATGAAAATGACTTTGGAGAATGAAGCCCACCAATTCCAGAGGAAGATGTTGAAAAGAATTTTGGTGATGGTTGAGGTATACTACTAGTGGTGTTGTTGGTATTGGAAGAGGAGACCGATGAATTCTGTTGAGTGGTGGTGGTGGTGGTGGTAGTGCTGCTGCTAGAAATCATCTGTGGCGATTGAAGATGTAAATGTTGTATGGCTGGTTGTGTAGAACTATTAAACTCTATTGGTGACAATAAATCAGATGATGGATAACTTGTAGCTTGTGATTGATCATCTACATCATTGTTTGATCTCTCATCATCTGCACCTTCATCTTGTTGTTCTTCGTCATCTACATCACTGATTAACCTCTTCTCTGTCTTTTTCTCCTCTGGAAGATGGAAATCAATGTCATGAGTGTGATCACTTCCTGCAATATCACTCATTTTTTAAAAAAAAAAAAAAAAATCTAATCTTTTGATTATTATCTATTTGAAGGAATTATTTAATGATTATTATTATTATTATTTGTTGCAGTAAAAAAGAAATCATCTTCACCAACCCCCTTTAGATTAAATTAGGAAAAGGGTTTTTTTTTAATTTTTTTTAATTTTTTTTTTTTTGAACCTCCACTTGATCAGAATGGGGGCGAAATTAATTTTGTAACATTTTTCAATCAATGTCAAACAACAACAACAACAACAACAACAAAGACAACAGAAATGCCATCAATACAATAGTAGAGGAAAAGGACAACAAAAAGAGGGTTGCATCTGATCAATATGTTGTTGATGACGATGAGGATATTGATATTGCATCAATGTTGGCCGGAAACAAGAGTCGAAAGAGATATCACAATCCAACCAATAATGATAACAACAATCAAACTCCACTTACAACACCTTCCTCTTCTTCTTCTTATTCTTCAAAATCAACTATAGCTAGAAGAGATTGTCCCTACCTGGATACTGTCAATAGGGGAGTATTAGACTTTGATTTTGATAAAGTCTGCTCAATCTCTATGGTGAAACACAATGTATATGCCTGTTTGGTTTGTGGTAAAAACTTTCAAGGAAGAGGAGAAGGATCACATGCCCACTATCATTGTCTACAGAGTAATCATCATGTCTTTGCTAATCTTCACACTCAAAAGTTTTATTGTCTTCCCGAAGACTATGAAATCATTGATCCATCTCTTGATGATATAAGAGTATGTATAAAAGAGAAAGAGACAGAGAAAGAGAAAGAGAGAGAAAGAGAGAGAGAGAGAGAGAGAGAGAGAGAGAGAGAGAGAGAGAGAGAGAGAGAGAGAGAGAGAGAGAGAGAGAGAGAGAGAGACGACCATATCATCTTAATTAATTGACTTTCTTCACCTTCTAACAACACACAATTTATTATTATTATTATTATTATTTAAACTATAACCATTATAATATAGTATTTAATCAATCCAACATTTACAAAAGAACAAATATCAAAAATGGACAGCAATATAAAACAGTCTAGATCACTTGATGGTGGACTATACTACCCTGGTATGGTGGGACTAAACAACATTAAAAACAATACATTTGTAAATGTTATCATTCAAACCTTATCAAAAATTGTGCCAATTAGAAACTATTTTATAGATCCTCTTCAACAAATTGAAAATAGAAATAATCAAAATAATAATCAAAATAATGTTCACATCTCATTTAGTAAATCATCAGCATTGGTATCAACATTTTCTGAACTACTCAGAAGAATGTGGAATCCTCGTAACTTTAAATCTCAAGTTAGTCCACACGAACTTATTCAGGCTGTGATTAAAGCAAGCAAAAAAAGATTTAGTATTGGTGTTGAAAGTGATCCACTTGATTTGCTTCAGTGGTTATTAAATTCTTTAAATAATGATATCATTGAACAAAAAAACATCACTGGTAACTCTTCATCCTCCTCCTCCTCCTCCTCCTCCTCCTCCTCCTCTTCTTCTTCTTCTACAATCATAACCAATACATTTCAAGGAATGGTAGAAGTTACAACCAAAAGTCTTCTTAAAGCACCAACACAACAAGAAGAACAAGACAATATAACCAACAACCAAGAGTTCAAAACCACCAAACAGATAATACCATTCTTTACACTAGCCCTAGACCTTCCATCTCGATCTATTTTCAAAGAAGATCGTGACAAGAGTTTTATTCCCCAAATCCCACTCTATGAATTGCTAAACAAATACGATGGATCAACAGAAAAGATTTTCCCAAATGGAGACATTAAACGATTTAGACTTTTAAAACTGCCTAGCTATCTAGTCTTTTCCATCAAACGATTCTCACAAAACAACTTTTTTACTGAAAAAGAATCAACCATTGTTAACTTTCCTCTAAAGAATTTGGAAATGAAAGATTGTAAGTAGACTTTTTAAAGTTATTTAATTATAATATATTTATTTATTTATTTAAAAAAAAAAAAAAAAAAAAATAGTTATATCAAGAGACAACCAAAGTATCAATGATGATGTCGAAAAGTACAAATACAATTTGATGGCAATGATCAAACATGAAGGTGATATTAACCAAGGTAATTATATTGTTTATCTGTACCACAAAACATTGGATAAATGGTATGAAGTGCAAGATTTGACAGTAAAAGAAACAATGGCTCCCCTTATTGCTGTATCTGAAGCTTACATCCTTGTCTATGAACAACAACAACAATAAATAAATAAAAACAACAAAGTGCCATTTATTATTATTATTATTATTATTATTATTTACATCTTTATGATTTATTGTTGATTATTTGTTATGGAGATGGTGGATCTGTGATTCTCAAGTTTCAAGAAATCTAATTCACTTTTATTTCGATCTTGAAAATCATCATCATCGCCGTCACCATTAATATTCTTGATTGATTTGTATTTGAGCTTGCCATTGTCAGAGGAAATTCCCAATTGTTTGATCAAATCGGAAGCATCACCAAAACGATTCCAATCTACAACCAAAACCTTTGATCCTCTTTGCTTCATTTCATCTAAAAAAACTTGGTAACATGAATCCAATCCTTCTAAATAGGACAATGGGATGGATTGCTCGCATTCCTAACAACATTATCGAAATTAAAAAGTTGAAGTTTTAATAAATCTAGATAGTAGTGTTGGAACATTTTCTAGAGTACATACCCTTTTTCTCAGTGATTGTATTCTTCTTTGGCATTCGGATGGCTCTACTGAGAGATAGATTGTTGTGTGAGGTATTTCAATGGTTGATATTAATTGTTTCCTTTTATCTGAATATTTAGAAAATCCTTCGGAAGATATCAATCCTTCCCTTCTACAGTTCTCTGCAAACACCCAATCACTGAATACAGATCGATCTAATATAACACCAGCAGAGGCTTTTTGGTTGGATTGTTCTTGTTTGTCTATATTATCTATTTCTATATTATCTATATCTATATTATCTATATCTATATTATTGTTACTAGTATTATTATTATTACCTATATTATTGGAGCAATAAGTCAAAGCAGCTTTATAAGTGTGATACCTTTGGTTGAGTAACCATAATTGCATTTCCAATGCATATTTTGAAGGTTCTTTGTAGAATTGTTCTAGAAATGGGTTGGTAGTTGTTGGTTCAAGGAATACTTTGTAGTTTAATAACTCGCCAAGTTTGTTGCAAAGATAGGTCTTTCTAGAGAAAAATTTGTTATTATCTAAAGATAAGATAGACACAGATAGATCACAAAATATATCAACATACCCTGCACTGATATTACCCTCCAATATAATGATATTTGCCATTTCTAATCCCTTTGTGCCATCGTAATCATCATCTTTATGTTGTTGTGACATTGTATATCTGCTGATAATGCTATTATTGTTACTACGATTGATAGGAAATACCTTTTTTGTTGTTGTTGTTGTTGTTATTGATGATGATGATGACCACGATCTAGTAGATATTTTTGGCAAGAGCTTGAGTGATATGCTCTTTAACATCTATTCTGTCAACCTTTGTATCAAGATAGTTTATTCTATCAACAGAGAAGATTAATGATATTTGTTAAAGACGATGATTTTTTTTCGTTCGTTTTAAATTAAATTAGAAAAAGAAACCTCAAAGTTTTTAATTAAATTTATTAATTAATTTTTAGGTTTAAGACAACTATAAATTAGGTTTATTAATCTTGGTGCCCATCAAAGTTGATGGGCAATCGTATATTATTATTATTATTATTATTATTATTATTATTATTATTATTATTAATTATTATTAACTATTATTATTAATTATTATTATTATTATTATTATCAATTATGATCATGTCGAGAGTGATAGTGGTATGTTTATAGTATAGTACATTGATAATGTGGCGCAGCTTTTGGTTGTTGTTATTGTTGTGATGGTGGTGTTGGAGAATTTAGTAGAGTGAGCTGCACAATAAAAAAAAAAATGGATTTTAACTCTTGGTTGTTAATCCAACATCAATCTGGAAAGAATCCATATTGACAATGATTGTTGTTGGTTAGAGATTTCAAGAGGATTGTTAGTGGGGGTGTAGTATTGATTAAATGTCAAAATACATATGAGAAATCTGTAGTTTTGTTGTTATTATTATTATTATTATTATTATTATTATTGTTATGTTTTGTGTGATTATGTATATTATTTTTTGGGGGGGAGGCACATTGTTGTTAATGTTTGTTGTTGGTGTTTATTATTATTATGATTACTATTATTACTATTGATAACTATTTATTATTATTATTATTATCTCATTTCTTTAAGTTCAAAGTTAACTTGATTCTTTGGTGATTTTCTCTTAAAAGATATGCGTAAGAACTCTGGGAGGTGACACTTTCCAGTCTCTTGTTTATATTTGTGGTAGGCGGCAGTGTGGGTGAAAGGAGGGAAACAATCCATCCATAATGATTCATATACAACTTTTTGGACATCGTCAAAGATGTTGGCATCGATCTCTTCGGAAAGACGGAGACGAACATGTTCACGACTAATAGCATCGATATTGAGTTCAAACTCGCTTCCATTCTCGAGGTAATGATCGAAAATTGCTTGTGCCTTTTGTCTAAGATCGTCTTGTGGTAAATATTTACGATCGCTACTATTTCTACGACTTTTGTTCTTCTTGTTGGTGGTGGCGCCATTATTAGTTGGTGATGGGGGAGACGACGACAAATCAGCTGATGACATGGTATTATTATTATTATTATTATTATTATTATTATTGGTGGTAGTGGTTGAGGAAATATTTGATGAGGATGATGATTGATCGATTGGAGCAGATGAGAATGCAACCAATGGTCCTGTGGAACCTTGAGAATTTTGGGCTGGTGGGGCAACTTGCTTAAACATCTCTATTTCCATCCAAAATTGTAAGGTTTCAGAGCAATATATGGTTCTGAGATAATTTTTAAATAAATTACAACCAATTTCATCTCTTAGTACCTCATTCATAACATCGTTTGGGTATATCATTTTTTTTTTTTTTAGATCAATATTGTGTTTATATTATTATTATCTATTATTGTTAAAATATATATATATATATGTAAATTTAAAGTATTATATTGGTGTATCTTTTTTGATTAATTGTGTGGTTTTGATGTATGGTAAAAAATGTGTACAAAGAAAATTTACTAAACTAAAAAAAAACGATTATTATTACTATTATTTAAAATATAATAAAGGCGCAAAAATGTGACTATTTAAAAAGATTGGTGACTGGTGGATGGATAAATCTTTTGATTGATTGATTGATTGAGTGGGACTTGCTGTATTTTTGGTATAAAAAGAAAAAAAAAGAATAAGGTTATTAGTTGAATTGTAAAGAGAGGTGAGGGATCAAGAGTTGTTGGAGGAAAGGAGAAAAAAAAAAAAAAAAAAAAAAAAAAAAAAAAAAGACAAAAATAGGTTAGGAGAGTGGTAACTTTTGCTTCAACAAAACGATTGGTGGAGTAATAGGTGGTGGTGGTTGATAATGGTTTGGTGATCAAAATCACTGTCATAACACTACAAGTACTTGTTCGCATGTGAGGAGGATGCTGCAGCTTCATTTATCCATGTTTTTGTTTTTTTTTTTTCCTCCTTGACGTGCAATATAATTGGATGAACCAGCTCAACTGGGGTTTCTATTTTTGATGTTGATGCTAATCGCAGAGTAGTAGTAGTATTTGATGTTCTCTCTCTCTATTGTTGTATCTGTTGAATCACACCTTTTGCTGTTTGTGAAAAAGAGAAAAAACCTTTTTTTTTTTTTTTTTTTTTTTTTTTTTTTTTTTCCTCCAGCAACAGTTTATTCATTGTTGAAAGAATAAATAAATGTGCATGTAGGTGGACAACACCGGTAATGGGAAAAAAAAAAAAGTATATAGAACACGGCTTTCCACCTAAATGTCTCTAATACATATCTGTAAAGTAAACACAAGAGGAAGAACAAGAGATAGAGAGAGGATAGAGATAGAAAAGTTTAATCATAATGATCATACCTAAATATAAAATTTGTAATTGAATCGGTTGGTTGTTTGGGTTTAAATTGAGCTATGAATTTGTTGTTGTTGTTGAGTAATGTGGTGCTTGTAGTGTGTTTAACTAAAATTCTAGTGTAGAGAGAATGTGTTGTTGATGAAAAGATAAACCAAAGTAGTATTGATGTTATGTTGTTGATGTTGTTGTAATAAGGAATAAATAAATTCAGAGATAGATAGAAGAGCTAACGAATGTAAACAAAAAAAAAAAACAACCAACAAGCCTTTATGGAAATGGAAGTGGTGGGTATAGACAACTTTCTTTTTGTCTAATAATAGTTCTAAAGATTGTTTTGTTGTCACACACACATACACACACAAACCAAACACACACAAGGTGGAAGCCGCCGTTGGTTGGTGATAAACATTGTAAAGCAGCAGCTCTTTACCCTCCCGTTCATGCGTTAGTATCAAACGGCGGAAGCTAGCAGCAGCAGCAGAGAGGTTGGTGCGGGAGACGAGGAGGATTGGTTTCACAAAAACTGGGATCTGGAGATGCAATTTAAAAAAAACCTAAAAATAGTGCCAAACGAATCAACAAAATATTTTTAGTTTCATGAGCCCCCATAGTAGGGGGATTAACATCTTGAAAAAGAATCTGGTCAACGAGGAAAGAGGTCTCTCTTGGTTTTAGAAAGTGGCCAGGTACCTATATTAGTTTTTAAGAGGCAACAGTAGTGCGAGTGATTAATCGTCGTTCGTCTTTTTTGGATCTACAATTTATATATTTTCAAAGTAAACACCCTATATATTTTATATCAAAAAGCCTAGGCAATGTTAATCAAGGAATTCTTTCTAATATTCATTTTAATATACTTTTCCAACCTTTTATTTATATTTTTAAATTTAAATTTAAATTACTTTTTGACAACCAAAGAATAAAAAGAATCTTTTGTTGTTTATCTATTGAATTGATTTAATGACATTTAAATATTTGATTAAAAAAAGAAAAATGAACAAAAACATCAAAATAATTGTAGTTGTTGGCTAGTGTAATAATAATAAAATATATATATATATATATTTTTTTTTTTTAAAAACTGCAATTTTTTGAACAAAAGTTGAACAAGCATCTTGAAGAATTGATTTATAATCAATCAAACAATTTAAGAAATGTCCAATATTGACAATAGTAAAGACCACAAAGCAGCTGCATCGACACCTAATACTGTATCATCATCATCTAAAAACCATCAACAACAAACAACAACAACAACAACAACAGTAGCAACAACAGCATTATCTATACCCAATACAAAGATTACAGAGATTGCAAACAACTATCAACAAATATTTGATCGAAACCCTGATGACTTGCAAAATCTACTAGAGTATGTGGGCTTTCTGTCGACGCTGAGAAAGAGCGCAGTAGAAACCTCGACCACAACAATGATTCCACTATCTTCTCCTCCATCTTCTCCATCCACTGCAAATACAGCACCATCTCCGCCACCAATACAACCATCTCAACAACAACAACAATTTAGTAACAATGTTTTCATTCATATCGATCAACTAAAAAAGAGTCCTTTTTTAGAATCTGATCTCTTTGAAATATCATTTATCAATATACCTACTATCAACCATTTCAATAAAAGAGAACATTACCCATCTGCCACCTCATCAACATCTTCATCAACATCACTACAACAACAACAACAAAGAGGTAAGAAAAATTGATACACCTCTATCAACTCTTTCTGCACAAAATCTACCATCGCTATCGCCATCACAACAACAACAACAACACAACCATACTACCAAGTTAAATAGATCACCCGTCGTCGAAGAGAAGGAAAAGTTTAATCAAGCTGTCTATAGCAGTTATTATAATTGTACACCTTCTACAAACAACAACAACAACAACAACAACAAACCTATAACAAATATCAACATCGCTAATAATAGTTGTGGTAGTAATAGTAGTAGTAGTAGTAGTAAAAATATTAATATAAATAATAATAATAATAATATAAATAATAAGAATAGAATAGACAACAATGGAAATGATATTGAATTTCAAAAACAACAACACTCACTGGAAATGTTATCAGAGGCAAATAGAAGGGTTTCAGAATCACTTTCCAAGATTGAGACAAACAATATTCATTCTGTATCACCACCCTCTACATCACCTATATTCAATTATATTAAAGATAATGACCAATCGATAGCCACTACCTATGGGACCAATAATTATATTTTGGAAAATCTCTCACTATCATCCAATCACAATGACCAAGATGGAGGAATGATGATTGATGACCAAGTCAATATCTCAAGCGGTTTAATTGGGGAAAAACCACAATCAGAGACAGAACCTCAAACGACAGCAGTAAGAAATTGGTCTTTAGATTTCTGGAACGCTTTGCGTATGGAGCATAATTGCGGAAACGAAAGCTTGTACGTACCAACCAACCAACCAACCAACTAGCACATCCACTTTTTTGTTCACCCACTAATATTTTACTTTTTCGTTAACGCGGTTAGATTGCGAAGCCAAGAGATTCAAAAAATTGCAGAAGAGTTTGTACAAGTGGCAACTAGACATGGAATGACCATTATACAGGAGCGTGGGAAATTAAAGCCAAGTATTCCAATCTACGAGATTGGAGGAGTGGCTGGAGGAACAAAGTATTTAAAAGATGGAATATTTTTTAAATTTGCATTTGATGTCTATGGTATATATGGTGGAGATCAATTTTCTTTCAAGGCATCGGCACATGAGCTAAAAGGTCTAATGGGATATTTTAACTGTAATATCGATGGTCTCTATCTTCCATTGATGGCTTTGATAGATTACATGGGCTATCGTTTGATTGCCACAAGTGAGCTGGCAATCAATAAAGATACTATAGTCTATGGTTCAAATGACCAAGGAAAGACAATACACGATGATAACTCACTCATGTCATTGAAAATGAAACAAGCAGCCGAAATTATGAACATTAAAGGTCATTATACTGGAGAGTCTCCAAATGAAAAATTCCTTTATTCTCCTTGTGATAGTAAGTAATAGATATAGATCTATATTGATGGATTGAAAAAGCAAAATTAATAATAGTTTTCTTATTAATTATCTTTCCTTTCCTTTTTTTTTTATAGTTGAAGGTCATTTAACACAAGATAATCACTTTGTTGTGATTGATACAGCCCGTACTTTTCCTCCAGAAAAACCATCCGGTACTAATCCTCGTACAGCTTCACATCTTTATAATCTACTACGTCCTGAGCTAGTTAGATCAAATAAGACACCCCTAAGTTCAGATGCCTTTACAAAATTTTCCAATCCACAAGACAAGGACCAAAATAATGATGAGGTTGAAAAGGCTCAAAAAAGATTATTGTGCGAAGTTATACCCAATTTCGTTTTAACCTTGAATCAAAAGTAAAAAATTGCAACTACAAAACAACAACAAAAGTTAACAGGTCAACTAATTCTCTTTTTTTATTTTAGAATCAAAAAATCAAAATGTTCAAGTATCATTGAACTTTCTCACAACATATCTTTGGTTGACAGCATGCATCGAGAAGGTATCAATATGAGATACCTCAGTAAACTTAAAAAAACAGATATACATTCATTGGATATTAGATTTACCACAATTATCAACACTGAAATAATAGCAAGAAAGATAAAGAATAGGCTAAGGGAATATCAGAGGATGATCTATCCCCAATCTCAATCATCTCCAAAACTTGGGTCTCCAACTCATCATCATCATCAAACTTCTCAAACACCATTGTTGGACCTAGACATTATAAACAAGATTGTACAGTTTTTAAATAGAATGTTTATAATTGCGATGCTACAGAGCCTGGATATTGATGGTTTTTCACTAGAGCTATTAGTTGAAAGGCTATCTCAAATGACAGGTATTGTCTTTTCCAATGGCATACATAAAAAATTCGAACAAGCTCCATTGTCATTCTTTGTTGATGAAAAAGAACATGGAAAGGGTGGACCAATACTTTTAGAAACCAGTGATATTTTAGAAATAGAACCAAAGGTTAAATTCCTTCACATGGTTCCTTATCAACAAGGTGTATCTTTATTCCATCAAGCAATTGCTGCAATGTCAAAAGAAAAACAAGTTAATCAAAATAATCAAAATAATCAAAATAATCAAAATAATAATAATAATAATAATAATAATAATAATAATAATAATAATAATAATAATAATAATGGTAGTTTAAAGTTTCAACCTCCTATTTATGATAAAGATGCTGATAGATTTTTAGAGTTGGCAGGGCAGAAATTTAAACAAGCCATTGAATCAAAACCAGATGATTTTGCTATACTTGCCCATTTAGGAATATTGTTAGGACTAAGGGCTCATAATGCAGCAAAGGCACAGGACAGTGAGGCAGACAAACTATACATGGAGGCAGTTGAAAAATTTAAACAAGCAGTTCGAATCAAAAGAAATTACCACTATGCCCTATACCACTGGTCCGAAGTACTCAAAGATTGGGCCAGTACCAAACCAGATAATGAAGGTGCCAAACTAAGGAGACAGGCAAAGATTAAATTAAAAGAATCTGGTGTTTTCCAAAAGAAGTGGTTCTTTGGAACGCTCGAGACCAATGGTGCTGCATCACTATTATCAGGAAAGGAGGCAGGATCATTTATCATTAGAAATAGCAACAGTCGACCAGGTAGCTTTGTTTTTTCTTATCTTTCCGATCCCCATCGAAAGGTACAACACACTCTTATCAAATCTTCTTCTCAAGGTTATCATGTTGAAAATGTCCCAACAAGAAAATCATCATCGTCATCATCACCTTTGACTGGTTCAATCACCTCAAACAACAATAATAATAATAATGCCGAGACACAACAACAACAACAACAAGTAAAGATCAGTAGAACACCAACAGTTCTTTCACAACAATCGTTGCCAGCCAAGACCATACATTACCAATCGCTTGAGGAATTTGTATCTGATAAAATCAAACAAGGGTACCATCCGATTACAACCGATTTTTAATCACAAATAAATTGTCAAAAAACAAATCTTGCAAGATCACTTCCGTCTTTGTTCAAAGATCTATACAACAAAACTTTTTTGAATGAAATTTCTTCTCCCACCTCCTCGTTTCCTCCTTACACAAAAGTGGGGAGGAATGCATTTGTTTCACTCAAAACAATATAGAAATATATAGATATAGAAAGAGTGATAATATTATTTGTTATTTTATTATTAACAATAACAACAAATGGGCGACAAAGCAACAGCTGATTTTTCTTTAGAACCAACAAGAAACAAAGAGTTTATCATTAATGCTAAAGAGCCATTTAATGCCGAACCTACACCAGAAAGACTAATTCAATCGTTTGTTACACCTACAGAGCACTTTTACGTTAGAAATCATGCACCCGTACCACTTGTACAAGAGTCTAGTTACTTTTTAAAGATAGATGGATTGGTTGGAAAACCTCTATTACTATCAATCGATGATATTAAACAACAATTTGAAAAAGTTACTATTACAGCACATCTACAGGTAGGTATTTAAAGTCTCACATAAATAATCAATACAGTTTTAACTCTTTTCTTTCTTTCTTTCATTGTTCAATATAGTGTGCTGGTAACCGTAGAACTATGATGAGTGACTATAAAAAGGTTAAAGGTGTTGGATGGGGAATTGCTAGTTTGTCAAATGGTGTATGGGCAGGATGTAGACTTCGTGACGTACTCGAAAAGGCAAATGCATTCCCTGTTGGTAATGGTGCAAAGCATGCATGTTTTTGGGGTTTAGATGTTGGATGTCCAGAAGATGAGGGAAAACCCTATGGAAGTTCAATTACAATGGAGAAAGCAATGTATGTAGTAGGAATAGGAAAAGGAAAAGGAAAAGAAAAAGAGAAAGAATATTAACAATTATTTATTATTAGGGACATTAATGGTGATGTAATATTGGCATATGAAATGAATGGCGAAACATTGACTAGAGATCATGGATATCCATTAAGAGTTATTGCTCCAGGAATCATTGGTGCAAGAAGTGTAAAATGGTTGGACAAGATTACTGTGAGCAGCGAAGAATCTACCAGCTTTTTCCAACGTAGAGACTACAAAATATTTCACAGTGGTGTAGATTGGAACAATGTTGAGCAATATTGGGACAAGACTCCATCGCTTCAAGAATTATCTATACAAAGTGCTATATGCATCCCGGCTCCAAATTCACATCTCTTTTTACCATTCTCTATTTATGGATATGCTACTAGCGGCGGTGGTCGAAAGATTGAACGTGTTGATGTTTCACTTGACGGTGGTGAGACTTGGGATTATGCAGAGTTGATGGGTGAAGAGAAAGGTAATTCCAATAAATATTGGGGTTGGACTTTGTTTAGATATACTATAAAGTCATTGGCAACCAATCATCATCATACAACAGGTAACAAATCTAGTATCCCTATTAGAATTTGTTGTAGAGCATGTAAGTTAAACAAAATAAGTGGCAAATGCACCACCAAAAAAATACTTACTCACAATCTATATATCTCTCTATTTTTTAATTCATTTTTCTGTAGGGGATTCTGCAAGTAATACACAACCAAAAGATGTAAAGGATATTTGGAATCTTAGAGGTGTCATGAATAATTGTTGGCACTATGTTGATATAAACATAGAGTCGTCTGACAATAACAAAATAAAACAATCTAATTTATAAATTGTTTGATCATCATCACCACCAACCCATCATACCAATTATTTTTTTTTTTTCGCACAACACAATGATTCAGACTGAAACTTTTAATAATAATAATAATAATACTACTACTGATACCAATACATAATAATAATAATAATAATAATAATAATAATAATAATAATAATAATAATAATAATATATAAGGATGATAAAATATTTAATTCAACTAAGAAGGGTAAAAGCAATAGGGATGATATTATTAACAATAGGATGTGTAATAATAGGCATGTCATCTGGTTTTTTATTTTTATCAGACAGCAAAAGTATTCAGTTCACCAGTTATGTCAGTTTGTCGATCACATTGTTGTTATTGTCTGTCGTCTATCTCTATGTCATACCAACAATCTACTTTACACCCTATACATTAAATATATGCATACTTCGAATCTTTTTAGAGACGATAATGGCTAGTTATCAATGTCTCTCACGATTCAAGATTATCGAACAATATGGTCTCTATTTTCATAATTACTTTCTCGAAGATGTATCTCCTACTAGCAAGCAACTTGGTTTCAATCGTATTAGATATCAAATAGAGATGCTAAAAAAGTTTGAAGATACTGTCAATGTCGATCTGTCAAACAAAAAACCTGGTAGTCTACAACAGTGGATATCATACAATACGATTAGTTGGTTTCTTTCAACTTCTCTGATGGGACTTTCATTAAAGATTTATCTTTCGCCCCTCTATATCTACCATCCAACTATCTTTCCATTAAATCCTTCAAAAGGTTATATAGTTGCACTTAGACAAACTCTTTTTACCTCTCATTCTGTATGTAAATAAAAAAAAAAAAAAAAATATACAAAAATAATAATAACCTTTTTTGGTTTTTTTTTCTTTAGTTAAAAGACAAAAGAGATATTGAAGCATATATATCAAGAATATTAGAAACAGAATCATATGTATCTGGGATAATAAAAGATATAAAATCCAGAGTATGTGAGGGAATATTGGCACCAGAGAATATAATGAAAAAGTCAAACCAACAAATTCTAGAGTTGGCAAATATTTCAGAGATTGTTGTTGGTGGCCCACAAAATGAATCTCCAAAAACACAAACATCATCAAAAAGAAACAATACTATTTCATCGACAGAATCACTCTCTTCTTCTACTTCATCATCTTCATCATCATCATCATCATCATCATCTTCTTCCTCTTCCTCTTCTTCTTCCACTTTTTCAACATCATCTTTATCCCCACAATCCAACAATGATGATGACGATGACGATGATGATGCACCAGTTGTAGCAAGGAGGATACCAAAAGATGTCACTACCCACAAATTATACCTTAGACTTTATGATCGATTATATTGTGAACCCTTGTTATCGACGCTATCAGAAAAGATGAAAAGATCATTATTGGAAAGATTGAGATTGGCGCTCTCTGAACATTTCGTACCATCTCTTTTGCGCTTATCTCAATACCTAGACTCTATTTATCCATTGGCTCCAAAAGAAATTGGATTGTGGAATTTACCTTCCAATGGAGATGAAATCTATCGTTTTAGTCTCTATTATTACACCTCGACAACAATGCACCCCATGGATATTGTAGAGTGTGGATACGGCGAAATTAGCAGAATTCAACACTCAATTATCGATCTCATGTCCAAAGACTACCCATTTGATTCGCAGACAGAGACTTTTGGTCACTATATCAATCGAATCGTTGATAAGGAGTCACTCAACTTTGACAACTCTGAACAAGGTGAAAATCAAGTAATTGATTCCATAAACAAGGTTTTCAAAGATCACTACAAAGATATAGAGACATTATTTGATTTGCCACCAATTGGACATTTGGAGGATATTCAATATCTAAAATCAGATTTTAATTCAGGTGCAAGTTCATTCCTATACATTCCACCTCCTGCAGACAATAGAGAAAAGGCAAGAGTCTATATCGATTTTAACAAGGCCCTGGGTAGATCTAAAATTCTCATCAAATCAATAGCATTTCTGGAGGGGGTACCAGGTCACCATCTTCAATTACTAGTTTCAAGACAGGAAAATATAGATATTTTTAGAAGAAACTTTGTAAGTTCTTTTTAAAAACACAGAGCAGTCAGTTATTAATCTTTTGTTTTTATTTATTAGATGAATTATTCTTCTTACGAGGGTTGGGGACATTATGCAGAAAGTCTTTCAGTTGAATTCAATTGGATTGAAGATAAATGGGGAAGACTAGGTCATTATATTACTGATCTTAGAATGTATGAAAACAAACAAAAAAAAAAAAAAAAGAAAAAAAGAAAAGATTATAATTTAATTTATTTTATATTCCATTAGAACTGCTTCAATGATTATAGATGCTAGTATGCATTATTCAGGAATTAAATGGGGATATGATAAGTGTCTATCTTTTCTTGTAGATAGCTGTGGATTTGAGGTCAATGATGCAAAACTAAATATTGACACTATTGCTTCTTTGCCTGGAATTGTAATTATCTTAAAACAAAAAAAAAAAAAAAAAAATACTGCTCATTCATTGATTCAAAAATAATATTTTTAGGGGTTATCAAGCAAGATTGGTGCACTCAAAATCAAAGAACTAAGAAGTTATTGTGAACAACAATTGAAGGAAAGATTTGATATTAAAAAATTTCACAGCATTATTCTAAAGAATGGTGCTCTTCCTTTAGACATTATGTATCAAGTAATCAATTATTGGATAAGTGAACAATCACAACCAGAAGAAAAAAATACATAACTCGAAATTCATTTTAATAAAATTAATTTAATTAAAAATCGAAACAAAAAAAACAAAGCAAAAGTGTGAAAAGGTTATTATTAATATTATTATTGTTGCAGAGATCTTTATTATATAATATATAATCCATTATAGAACTATAAAGTTAAATGGAAGAAAAAGACGAAGGAGATGATCTCTTCTTTTTTGATAATACCAACGACAATAAGATATTGAATGCAACTTCACCATCAAATATGATGAGACCTCAACAACATCGTCAACAACAACAACAACAACAAAAACAGCAACATCAACACAATACAAACTTGCTAATAGCAACTACCAATGAAAATAACAATACAACCAACACTAGCAGCAACAATGATTTAATTGATTTTGAACAAGCTACAATCGACGAATATGAAGAAATTAACTTCTTTTCTTCTCCCATATCGTCTTCTATTGGATACAATAGTTCTTCAACTCTTCTTGACAACAGCATTGCTGCTCAGACTTTAGAGAAATTCTTTGTTACCAACAACAACAAAAATCAAGATAACATATTGCAAGTGAATCATCATGTCACTGACGATGCTATCAATGATTCTATCAGGCTAAATTTTGGGTTTGTTGATGGTGAGGATCGAGCAGCTACAATTACAGAAAATACTACGACAACAAATTCAACATCAACAACATCAACATTAACAACAACAACAACATCATCAACAACAACAACAACAATAGAGGATATAAACCAATCCAATATCGATTTTAATGGACAAATTGAACAAGGATCATCATCTTGTTTGGAGGAACAAATCCCTACATTCGATCCTTCTACAAATAATCTTAATCTTAATAATCTTAATCTTAACAATAATAATAATAATAATAATCTTAATAATAGTTCAACCTATTCAGTAGTTTCTACTGAAAACATAAAATCGATGGCAATCAATTCACTTGCATTTACAAAGAGCACAATCATGTCAGCATATAACGCCAAACCTGTTCAAAATCTTTTAAGCTTTAGCACAGATAACTTTTGGAATGATCTTGGAGAAGAGGTTGAGGAAAGGAGTAAATCTGAAAACTCTACCTTTGAAGAGGAAGACATTCAATCGGAAATGGAAAAGTGGCAGAGATTGGGTGAGGATATTCCTCCCCATTGTTGGACAAGGGCCCTCAACAATCAGTTTCCTGATCACAAAAAATTTCAAGTAAGAAAATCTCTTTACACCTAATATTTTTAATAATATTTTTGTTCATATTTATTAATTCCTCCTCCCCTCCTCCTCCTTCTTTCTTTCTTTCTTTAGGTATCATTTGGTCAAGGAATTAAATTAATGGGTCTAGGGTATAGAATGTGGAAATATGTAAAGAGAGAAATGAATGCAGGTAGATTACCGATTATGGATCCATTTAATATGCCAAATCCAGGACCGATTATGGGCGTACCAATTGGTGGTATTGGGTGTGGATCGATTACACGTGGATGGAGAGGTGATTTTGTAAGATGGAATTTATCAAATGGAGTTGTCACCAACAAAGTAGTCGATGCCAATAATTTTTCGGTATTTATCAAAATGAACAATCAAGGATCCACTTCTTCTTCCTCTTCCTCTTCTTCTTCTTCTGCAACCAACAAACTTGCAACTGTTTTATGTCAGGGTAAACCAAGAAATAATCAAAATCTAGATGTTTGGAACTGGGCACTCAAAGGAGATAAATCTAGTTATTTTGGAATGTTTCCTCGTGCTTGGACCGTCTATGAAGAACCTCATCCCGACATTAAATTGGTGTGTAAACAAGTGTCACCAGTTATAGCGCACAACTATCAAGAGTCTAGCTATCCTTGTGCAGTATTTGTGTGGAAGATTGATAACAGTGCTCCAGTATCTGCAGACATTAGTTTAATGTTTACTTGGCAAAACGGTGATGGCACTGATTCCACTGATCAGCTGGGAGGTCATTACAATCGTTCCTTTTCGTTGGACAATGGAAAATTTAGAGGCATAACACTAAATACCAATAGAAGTGCTTCCCAGAATAGTAGTATGGAGTTGTCAATTGGTGCACTTTGTGACGAGCCTGGATCGAATTTTTCATATGTATCGAGATTTGAAACGACAAATAGGCTAGAGGCTGCAAACCTATGGTACAGTTTTAATAAGAATGGTGTTTTGGATAATAGTGACGATACCAGACCCAACCAAGCGAAAAAACCAATTGGTGCTGCCATAGCATACAAAGTCAGAGTAGAGGCTCAATCTTCGCGTCAAATAGTATTTGCGGTTGCATGGGATTCTCCTTACTGTACTTTTAACTCTGGAAAATCTATATATCCACGTAGATATACAAAGTTTTTTGGAACCAGTGGCAATAATAGTCAATCGATTGCCCATTATGCCTCTCTAAACTATCAAAATTGGGAACAACAAATCAATTCTTGGCAAAATCCTATCTTGCAAGATCCTCAACTACCTTCTTTTTATAAAAAGGCTCTATTTAATGAATTATACTTTCTTGTTGATGGTGGTTCAATTTGGACAATTAATCAAAATAATCAAAATAATAATCAAAATAACATTATAGATAATAATAATAATAATAACAATAATTATATTTATGATAAAGAAATTGGACAATTTGCATATCTAGAAAGTCAAGAATATTTAATGTATAATACATATGATGTACATTTTTATGCATCTTTTGCATTGGCTACCCTCTGGCCCTCGCTGGAATTCAGTCTACAGAGTGGTATCGCCGATGCTACGATGGAAGACTATGGAGGAGAAACTGTAGAGTGCATTCATAGTGGAAAACAAATCCCTCGTAAACTGAGGGGAACCGTACCCCATGACATTGGTAATCCGGGTGAAGATCCTTGGAAACGAGTCAACGCATACAATATACAAGACATATCAAGATGGAAAGATTTACCTTGCAAGTTTATTCTACAAGTGTACCGTGACTACCTTTTAACATCGGTAGACTCTAGTGGCCAAAAAAGTAATGCTACTAGCAGCAGCTTTGGTCAGGAATACATTCCACTTGACGGTGATAGAGGATTCTTGTTACAAATGTGGGGAACCGTGGAAGAGGTCATCAGAAAGGCATTTGAATTTGATACAGACGATGATGGAGTTATTGACAATGAAGGTTTCCCAGACCAAACATACGATACATGGTCTGCAAGTGGATGCAGCGCCTACACGGGTGGCCTGTGGTTGGCAGCAATTAAAGCAACATCGGCAATGGCTCGGATTCTTGGTTTACGTGACGACGAGGAGGTGTACAGTAAACTATTTGAAAAAGGAAAGAAATCATACAACAAGAAACTGTGGAATGGGCATTACTTTAATTATGACTCTTCAAAACAATCGCACTACAACAGTATAATGGCCGATCAATTGGCTGGTCACTGGTACTTAACAAGTTGTGGCTTGTCTTCGTACATGACCCTTGACCAAGCTCTTTCTACACTATCCATTATCAATGAATACAATATAAAGAGTTATTCAAACGGATCTTGTGGTGCCGTAAACGGGATTTCTCCTTTGGCCATTGTCGACCAAACATGTCTACAATCAAGCGAGGTTTGGATAGGAACAAGCTATTCACTTGCAAGTACATTTCTTTTACACTATATGGACAAAGAGGCTTGGAGTTTAATTAAGGGACTGGTAAATAGTTCCTATGAAAAATGGGGCTTTCAATATCAAGTATGTGTAAACAAAAAAAAAAACAAAAAAAAAAAAAGGTTGATCAATTAACCATTTTTTTATTATTTATCTATAGACACCTGAGGCTTGGGATATGAATGGCAGTTTCAGAGCCTCAACTTATATGAGACCTTTGGCCATTTGGTCAGTCCAATGGGCACTTTCAAGACGTTCAAAAGCTCTTTTATTTATAAACGATCCAAAAAAACAATAAAAACAAAAAAGCAATCTATTTTTTTTTTTTTTTTTTTGTTCACCCCTTTTTAAAAAAACAGATACGAAATGTGGATTTCGTTATTATTGTATTATTATTATTATTGTTGTTGTTGTGGAGAGATAAAGAAGAAGAATTCTTTGGTTTCTGTGGGGGATCATGAAAAGAAACGAAATATCATCTTCATCAAGGAAGAAGAATGATAACAAACAAAGACAATCATCCTATTCCTCATCATCATCCTCTTCTTCCTCCTCCTCTAAAAGAGACCATTATCATCGTCAAAAGAAAATAATAGATGGAAATCATGATACAGAAACTGCAGATCATAGGAAAACCAACGATGAGAGTTCATCCGATGATAGCTCTGATCAAGATGATAAAGAGAACAAATCTGAATCTGAATCTTACTCTTCACAAGATTCTGGTGATGATGATGATTCCTCTGATATTTCTTCATCATCTTCTGGTAGCAATGAAGAAAAGGTATAAACACAAAAATGACCAACCAATCGTCGTCCTTCTTTCAACTCTTTAACCCTTTTATTTTTTTTTTTTTTAGACTTGTTCGTTTTGCAACAAAGATGAAAACGGAACAAACATGGTAAAATGTCTTAGATGTCACTTTTATTATCATTCTTATTGTACTTCACCACCATTAAATAGGGTACCTAGAAGGTGGGAGTGTCAAGATTGCCAGGACAAGAAAAAGAGAATTAGCAACTCAAAGAGGCTTGGTTCTAGGGATCCCTCACTCGAAAAAAACAAATCTCCCATTTCTTCTTCTCCCACTCTTTCCTCTTCTTCTTATTCTTTAAAAAAGAACTCAAAAAAAAAAAAAAAAAAGAAGGAAGGCCAAGAAAACAAACCCCAAAAGAGAAAGAGGATGGAGACTTTTCCGACGACGATGACCAATCATATAGCTCGCTATCTGAATCTGACGACAGCCAAGATGAAATTCTAGAGAATCTTTTATGTAGTAAATGCAAGTTGGGCAAAGATGAAGATAAAATTCTACTTTGTGACTCGGATGGATGTGATAGAGGTTATCACATGTATTGCCTTCGCTATCCCATTTCAAATGTCCCCAAAGGAGATTGGGTATGTGATCATTGTAGATGGGGTGATTTATCAGATATAGATCTCAACAATCAAGAAGATGATGAAGAAGATGGAGAAGTCAAGGATTATAGTCATAGTAATAGTAATAGTCATAGTAATAGTCGTAGTAATGGTGATAATAATAATAATAATAATAATACTTTTGTTGATAACAAAAGAAAATTAAACAAATTTGGTGATTTGGATGAAGAGAAGAGAAAAGTTGATGAAAATTATTCTCCCCAAATCCGTCCAAACAAAAAATTAAAGGATGCTCCATCTAGTAGTCCACCTTTGCCATCTCCCTCTATGATTCTCAAGAAACCCTCACCCTCATCTGGAGCCACAACGGGGATGAATCAATACCTCTCCAAAGTGCCAAAAACCAAATCCCCTTCTTCACCCCCTTCCTCACCACTTTTAAATGGAAGCCTTCCAAGCATAATCAACAACAACAAAAAGCAACCCCCAAAAATCATCAAGGAGCAATTGGATTCAAATCATAATAATAACCAAATTTCTTGGGATCTAAGTCATAAACCAAATAATCACAAACAACCACCACCACCACCACCACAATCATCATCAACCAACAACAACAACAAAATTCAGCCCAAACAAGTTCCTAGCATTATTTGGAGAGGAAGAATAGAATTTGATGATATTTTTATTTCGACAATGTCCATTTCTAGACTAGATGAACATAACAGCAAAGTAAGGCTCACAACAACAAACTCTTTAAACTTTCAAAAATGCAATTTTTATTCACTCGATCAAGACACCAAGAACACTATCCTTGACTTTTCACTAAAAGATCATTGTCTGTTTCCTGTATTACACTTTTCACCGTCAAACAATTCACCAAACAATCCCACGTCACCATTTTATTCTTTGCTATACAAGCTAAAAGTTTCGGTTTCATCACCAATTGTGGGCTTTACTCGAATATCAAATAGAAAATATGTATATCTATTTTCAACAAATGGTAATAAGTTGTATGGAATTGTTTACAAACAACCAAAACCTCTAATAACTAAATCAATCTCAACACTCAAAACAACAGAAAATAATTTGAATGGCGATCAAACAACAGTGATAAATGTGGTATTTATTAAATCAAAGACGCCAACAGATAATGATTCATATCCTTCATCTAAATTACAAGAATTTATTATTGATTGTGGTGGACGTCTTGTAGATTTCTCATCCCTCAAAAATCAAAATAATAATAATAATCAATTTAATAATCAATTTAATAATCAATTTAATAATCAATTTAATAATCAATTTATTTATTTATTCATTATTGAACAAGGATATCAAAGAAGAGTATTCTTTGAATATCCATTTCTATATCGATATCAATCCAAAGATTCAAATATATTTTTTGTGGCAAATTTAGAACAAGAATTATACCTAAAAAATTATTTAAAATCATTGTTTGAACAAATACAAAATAATCAAGCAGGAATTGTTTACCAACCCCCCTCTCCTCCTCCTCCAACTCCATCCCTTCCCCTTCTTCTCGATAACCAACAAGCAATTACACTTTTGTATCCAATCAATGGAACACTATTGATTGATAATAATGTTATATTTGAAAACGACAAGTTGTTCAATATCCTCTTGCCATTGTTATCATCACTTTTGCGTATTGGATACAAGTGGAATGTACAAATATTTAAATCTGCTCTAAATGATTTAAATATCATCTCGGCACAACACAACAGCCCAAGCGGCAACGGCATTAATCATGCTCATATAATGAGCAAAAGACTTGAAGAGTTGCATTACTATGTCAAGTCCAAGCTAGTAGTTTTGGTAAACAATAGAGGCATGCCAATAGAATCATATTTAATGGCACACAGAGGAACTACTCAATTCAAATATCGACACATCATTTTGGTGTCTCTCAATAGATTGCTTTTAACATATGGCGGTGAAGGCAAAAAAAACCAACTGAATCACCAGATAACAATAATAATAATAATAATAATAATAATAATAATAATAATAATAATAATAATAATAATAATAATAATAATAATAATAATAATAATAATAATAATATTAATATTAATTGTATGGATGTTGACCAAACTATTTCTTGGTTCAAATATTATTTAAACTTTAATAAAAATTAATTTGATTGAAATCGCGAGAAGAAGGTTCTTCACCCACCACTATTTAATTTGTATGAATTCTTTTTACCAACCACAATTTTAAAAAAAGAAAGGATGATGATGGTGTACACCACCTTTGACTTGTTCTTTTGATATATATTTAATTTTCGGTACTTCTTAAAGAGTTCTTTTTTTTGATATAGTTGCAAAGAAACGATGAAAAAGAACTAGCTAAAAACAGAGTCGACAAAAATATCTTTCAAGAACAAGAAAAATCTTCCCAATTTTCGTTTCATTCATTCGAATTGAAGGATTGAAAAGCACCGAGAGATAGAGAATAATAGAAAACAAAGAACCCGAAGATTAAAAACAACATTTATCAGCATTTATTCTATAGAAGATCCATTATCTATCACAGCTAAACACAAGACAAAAGAGGAGAGAGACATAGTTTCATTTCACATTCTTCTTTCTTTGTTCAAAGCGAGCCACAACAAACAGGTATATATAAAACTTAGTATCTATCTCTACCTTACTTTTTTTTTTTTTTGTTTTTTTTTGTATCGTTCGTACATATATATTCCCTCTCATCATCACATATCTTCCTCCTACTCTTCATATCTAAATATCAAATGATATTCTTTTTATTTATTTCATATCAATTTTATTTGATTTTTTTTTTGTACACATGCGTCAAAAATGTTGGCGTCTCTCTGTGGTGGTGGTGGGGTTACTAGATTATCTTATCTCACTCTTAGATTGGAATATTTATAGACAAGCACACACATTATCAATAGTAATAAATAATAATAATAATAATAGTAATAAATACATTGTCTGACACTTTAATCATATTTTGTTTTATTTATTTCTTTTATTAACCTTTTTTTTTTTTTTTTTTTTTTTCACTTTCACATGGACCAATTTATTTC